CAGCGCCAAGCAGAACAGCATGTTGCGAATCACCTGCATGACATCACGCCCAGCTGCTGATGACATCATCGAAAATCTCATCAAGCCATTCAATGAGTCAGCAAAACACCGGGGGTTCCATCCAACAGTCAGCAAAACACATGGAACCAAATCCTGGACTGAGCCTGTAAGATTTACAGATTTAAATCGAATCAAACGGACATTTGTCGGTTTCCCACCCTGTGTCCATCTTGGAAGCTGGGCTACGGGTTTCTTGAAAATAGCCAATTTTGGTGCTTGAGACATACGATAATATTTCAATGGCAGGTTCAGGTATGGGCACTCGCATCAAACCGATCACCGGATCCTTGAACTTACAACCCACTTTTAGCCCAGGGTTTAAAGGATCTGAATTTGGTATTCATTGAATGAGGGAAGGGATCTTCACAGTGACATTTTTTACGGGGAACGCAGTGATGAAACTAGGGCTTAGGGTCGATGAAGGGTGACAAATGTTATCCCACATGTGCAAAGACAGGATTGATGGAGGGCTGCAAAAGGCGAAGACTCACCGCTCCTGTCGTGTATGGAACGTCCCGTTTTCCCAGGAACGCCCCCGAGAATCCCAGCTGAGCAGAGTCACGCATCCTCCTGTGCGCAAAGGTTGACACATAATACACCAGCGCTTGAATTACACTTCTCTTTAGATTTGTCAACGATGGAAGCATGCGCGCGCGCACAGCACTGCCTGAGCTGCTACATAATTAGATTTAAGGTTTAGGGATCGCTCTTCCACCTGACTTCTTGTGCTCCTTATCTTGTGAACTCTAGCGCTATCATGCAATCTAGCTGTTCAAGCCTCACGTATCCCCGCATGGACACATCATGTCAATGAAAAGCTTCTGCGAGGTTCATGCATATGAAAGCGCATTACCATTATTATCACACGCTTTTCCTGCCAAGAGGCAAGGTGCGTCCTGCAGACAAGCTGCAGTTGAAGGCCGCCATAATCCTACCCCTTGTTGGACTCGCCAGATCCAAGCAAGACCCAATCAACCGTGGGCACGGTGCTCAGTATTCATATTGCCCCCCGCCAGCCGGGGCCATGATAGCGCTTGGGACATCAACATTCACACAGAGAAAAGAGGCAGGCCTCACCGGCATTGGAGAACAACGTAGGCGTCTCTCTTGTCTGTCGCCCCGCCAGAGACGCGTGCCACAAAGATTGTGGTGTCCTTCCCGGTTTGATCTTTGGCCGGGCCGCAGCAGAAAACCCCCGACAGATGGTGCGCCTTGAAGCCTGTGAGCTCGGCAAACTCCCTGAAGCTGGGGTCCTGGAAGATCTCGGCATTCATCTCCTGCGTTGCCCACATACCCTCAGCCCATGCAGTGCTCACCGTTCATCAGCTGTTCAGGCCAAACTGCATTTGTTAAATTTAGAACATAGGATTTCACAACGACTTTTTCCCCTTTACACGCTTCTTGCTGTCTGGCTTGCAGAAACACAACCTGGCAGCATTTATGGTGCACGGGGCGTGCACCTCTCACTTAGGCTTTAGATATCATGGCTCCAGGCCAGTTTTAACACTTTGCATTATCTTAGGGGTGACTCACCGCAATGTCCACGCTGGCGTGGTGATGGCAGTCCTTGCTCATGGCAACGAGCTCCCAGAGCTTCTGTGGGAGGAAGTCCATCCACCTGCCCACACCGCTCACGCAGAAACAGCGCAAAATGAACTCCAGCTGCTCCAGATGCTCCCTGGCGCAGCAGCATGAGAACACCCCGACTTCAAAATGCATTTTTGAAGCATTGAATTGAAGCGTTTCTTACCTCAATTGATCCTGCCTGGCAAGCAAGGTGCGTCCACAGGCATTGGACTGGTAAAGGCTGCCAGCTGTTGGACAGGTAAAGGCTCCCTTGCACACTGCACAGGATCGTGCATTGCTCCACATCAAAATTCTGTGCACTGTGCGATCGCTGGCTCGGGGAAATCTAGGCATAGAATTGTTGATATCCTGAGACTGCCGCTTTTCCATCAGGTCACTGCAATATTCATTGCAGGGAAGAGACTTGCTTGTCAAGTGCCATGATGTATGCAACCAAGCTGGAAGTCTGACCAGAAGGTCCGGCGCCTACTTGTGGGAGGAATGACCCAAAATTTTAACATCGATGCATGGACTGCTTTGAGTCCCCTCAAAATGAGTAAATTGAGGGGTGTAACCTACCCGGTCAACCTCCCGTGCAGAGTAATCAGAACGTTGAGAAAATAATGCTGGGTGACAGAACAGAGGCTTGCAGGAGAGCAAAAGGCCTTACTCATCCTCGGGTCCCCCGCCCTGTATCCAGATGAGCTCCATCATGGCTCCAGACACATTTGCACACCGCTCCAAAGCAACAGCTGCGCCAAGCAGATACCCTATCTCAGCTATCTTCTGTCATTAGTCATCCCTCAGGCTCAACACAAAAATCTACACCGCGCTCCCCGGGCCAGGCCTATCTTTTGCACATATCTTGGCCTCTATTGTCACATTCTCCTGCTATGCATGCCCCAAAAGGGGAACGGGTATCTGGTCACTAAATAAGTAGGAGAAGAAAACAAAATGCCAGGATGTTCTGGTGCAGGTGGTGTGTCTGCATAAATCCTGTGTCTCAACCATTGAAAGAATGAGTGGCCCCATGACCAAGCCCGGGCCTATCTTTGCATCCCTGCCTTTCCTACAAGGTGCCTTCATGACAGGCAGATGAGGCTGGCAATTTTGGGTCCAGTGGATCACATTCCAAGGTCAGTGATAAATTAGTGTGTGAAGCCCACTGGGATGCAGGCTGAAAGAGGGGTGCGGAGCACACCTCTTCGGGTCATGGCTTTCACAACAAGTCGCCCCAGAAGGGTCTGGGAAGACAAGGACATCCCTTGTCCTGACGAACGTGGCTTCTTGCCAGTCTCCTTTATTTGCTGCATCTGCATGTAGAAGAGATGCGCTTCTGCCCTGTAGCAGACCTGCGGCAGGATGTATTTCTGCTGTTAGCTCCATTATCTTCCTGCCATGTTCATCGTTGTGCTGATAATGTTTTATCTTTGTTCGATCAGTCTACTCATGAGATCTCTTGATCAAGCATCCATTTATAGGCGAGCGCCCCCTTCCGATGATGATCCTTGAATCTATATTTTATCTGTAAAGAACCCCCTTTGATTGAGGAGACTTGTTGATAGCCAGAGCTGACACGAGGGGGCAAAATTCCCGACCTCCTGGGAAAGCAGGGAGTGAAGAAACTCACTGTGGCAGCCTCTAAGGCAGGAGCAGCCGCACGCGCCCATGTTATCCTCGGCAGATTCAGCAGGGTCTGGGCAAGGTTCAGGAACAGCGTGGCAGCCCTGCGGTTGTCCTCTGGTGAGAGGACAACGGCTGCACTCTTCGAGTCAAGCTCGATGCAGCGCTTCTGATTGCACTTGCTGCATCCTGTGGCCATGCCTTCTGGGCCGAGCGCCATGAAGCCCAGACCGCTGCGGTAGAGCAGCTCTGCATCCCTGGTGCATCAGCGCAATCTCAAAAGGCGCACCGCCTGAGATTCTAAAAGGTAGCTCTGATAAAATCTATGATCAGAGGATGGATGGGTTGCAGGAGACAGGTTTTCTACCTGTAATGCTGCATCCCAAAGAAATGGTTGCCAGCAGACTTGATATCGTCCACGAGCTTGGCCTCCGGCTGTGTCAAAGGTCTCACCTCCAGGTCGTTGGCTGTCCGAGCCTGAGCAAGGATTGATCCCATGTGTGAGGTACATGCTTCCCAGTCAGCTTGAGTGCAATTTCATTTTGGCATCACAATAATAACCTATTATTTTCTTACTCGTACCATTTGATAGGGTACAAGTGAGAGTTCAGAGTTGGATACTGCCTCCAACGAGGATGCACGTGAGCTTTTTGTCACCAGTAGCAACACTGCTTTTGCAAAGTCGTGCCACTGTTCGGTATAACTTTCTTTGAATGTTCTTATCTCAACGATGGGACCATCTCAATCGAATATAGACACTACTAGCATGTGACATGCTTTCACTTCTTACTTCTAAACAATTTGCTTGATTGTCCAGGCGCACTATTGCTAGTCCCCGACTTTTGGATTCGTCTTGAAAATAACATGATCTCAAGATTCTGCTTCGCGAAAGCTGGGAGTCAGCAGAAATCTGGCCCCTGTGCAATATAGCTGCCCATTTTGGGCAGTTTGGGCAGGGTAGGTAGGATCCGCTGCTCATCAAACACTCGAAGGTGCATTACAAGAATTGTGAAGATAATGTACACAATTTCAGTCCCCAAGATATCATTTTGTATCCACTGGAACCAAGGCAAACTTGATCTCCACTTCTATTCATTGCACCAAGCATGTAACGTACGGTACTGTACAGTGCCATCAGCGATCATCTAACTACTTAATCCCTATCTAAAAACCAGTATCAGTAAAGATAAAAGAAAGATATTATACATAAAATATTGGATACCCTCATTTAGAGCGTCGGCTCCGGCTTTCGCCTTTGTGGGGCTGCTGCCAGGGTTTGACAGGCGGTCAGCAAAATCTCAGGTTGCCCCTGGCAGGAACAGGCAGGGGCTGCACCCCTGCCTGTTCCCTCAAAACGAACTAAAAATCCCAGGGCAGCCCTGACCAGATGGAAACTACCTTGGGGGTGGCAAAATCGCAAGATGGCTCAGATGAAGATTTGGTACCTATATAGGCACTCAATCCACACAAGGGGACAGAGATGAATATATCGCATGGGATACTGGATATTTCCGTAGTTTATAACTACCTGCCAGCACACAAATGTTCTTGCAATGGGATTCTGAGGTGGGCCAGCATCCCTGAGGTTTGCCACAGCACTTGCCAGGAACTTAGGGGGAGCCCTGAGCTTGGGGCAAAATGGTGTCAGGGCTTTGCCCTGACCCCATTTTGCCAAAGTCCAATGTTTCTCATCGCATCCCTGAAGTCTGCCCCCAACCCCTGAACCGAGCTGCCAATCCCTTAAGGATCCCTTAAGGGGTGTCAAACTCTGGCTGCTGCGCCTTGCGAGTGTATTTCTTGCAGACTGGCTTGTGGTTCTCCCAGTCTGCCAGCTGGCACTCTGCTGAGCAGTAGCGCACCAGGCGGCAACCCCGGCATACCTGCAATGTGCATGCATGCAGTCCAGAATCATCACTTACTTCAGCATACAACAAGGCTCAAGCCTTCAAGAAAATCAACATGTCAACTGTATGCTCTGAGCCATTATGGCGTTGGCTGCACCGTGCACCTCCTTATTAGACGAATAGGCATCAGGAATCCTGATTCAGGATAGCAAAACAATAGGGGCACACAAGAGCATTGTGGCAACCACAGAACAAGCAATTCAGCTAAGACTACTTGGTACAGGCAGCCAATGATTGCAACTTGCACGCATAATATTATGGCGCAAATGCAAGTGCCTTACAGCTATCCTGCAGCTAACCCACTCACAAAGACTGCATGTGTGTGAGGACTGTGAATACATATTGACATCGCCTTGTCAACAAAGACTGCAACTGTCTTGAACGTAGTAGGACAAGAAACCATACGGAGCACTGAGGCTAGAGCTTTGTAGGAATAGGGGAATTATACCTTTGTTTTTGGCATATTGGGGTCAATCACCAGGGAGATGAAACAAGGGTAGGGCTGTGCGCAGCGGCAGCAAGCAAGCCGCGCCTCAAAGTTTGATTCCAGCAGCAGCCGTGTCTGAGTGTTGGCCATCCGAAGGGCTTGAAAGACAGAGACTGCAGCTATCATCAGCGGTTGACCCTCTGGGAATATTGCCAGCATGCATGCAAAGACTGGGCCATACACCATCAGCACATAAATCTGCATGCATCCTGCCCGACACACACAACAAGGGGTCAGCTTATTTGCAGCTGAACGGATTTCGCTTGTTTTGTTTGCAGGATGATGGTTTTTAGGGTCTAAGGTAACCCTAAAATAGACATCTTTCCTAACTTAAAAAATGCCCTAAACACTAAATGTCAAAATTAGTCTCCTAACCCTAAACCCAAAAAAATAGGAAGACTGCACGTTGTAGAATGTGCCTCGGTCACAGACATGACACCCCCAAGGTTGAATATATTTTAGGGGGTTTTTACTCCTAATACTCCTCAACCCTACCCCCTAAAAATATAAAATATAAAAATATATAGTACAAAAAATATTGTTATAAATATAAATATCCTGGCAACGAAAATCAGAACAATAAATGCAACCTTCTGCGCAACTGTGGAGGGAGGAAAGGTAGCACACCTGTACTGGGGTACCACAGATAGAATGCTTTGACTTCTGTGATTGACAAATCGACCGCCGTTTGTAGGGATGCCGGGTTCAGAGTTTTGCTGTGTGATTCCACATGTTCCCCAATTTCCTGCGGTGAACCCCTCAGAGCATCTTAATAACTTTCTGACAATCGCGCACCCATGAGAGCTGTAATGCTGATTAGAGTTTTGACGGAATGCGGACACATGAGAAATTTGTCATATGAAGATGGGCATTGAGCGACTGCCCACAAGACCAATGAGCCTCAGATGGCTCCCAACAGGTCTCAAAAACGTGATGATAATAGCAACAATGATACAGATCTGAGCTTGACAAGTGCATATCGAAGGAAACGCATGAAGTGGAACGCTGTGTTGAAACAGCAATCGAAAAGATGTGTCACCTTCACATTTTGCCAGATCTGGGGGTTTGCAGCTGATTCCTCATGTTCCAGCTGTGGCATGCAAAACTTGAAGTACTCCACCGCAGCCTGCAGAGAATGTATGCAGCATATACAGTAATTAATCGTTAACTCTAGGAAATGCAATGTTTTCCCTGGCACTACAGATGAATTCTGGATCACTGCAACACACTGCAACACATTTTAACTCGCTTTCAAGTGAATTTTGAAAACCTTATCAAAGAGGCAGCTCTGTGAGCAAATTCTAGAGTGCCTTGATTTTTCATGAAACGATGCATGATTGCACCAGGAAAAGAAGAGAAGAAAAGTATTCAGACAGCCTACAAGACCAATGAGCCTCAGTTGGCGCCCATGAGTTCTCTAAAATGTAATGATAAAAAAAGATTTACCTTCACAGTGCCAAATTGCTTCACTGTCTGGCGCATAGCGAAGGGGCGAGCAGGCTTAGTCATGAGTGCCTTGGCCAGATTGGCGCTCCTGAGGTTGACGCTGACATCAGAGGGCGATGTCAGCCATCGAGGCGCCAGCTCAAAGGGGCAGTGCTCTGATCCCCAGAGGCTCTGACTGTTCAACGGCCTGTCCAACACAACTCAATCCCCTCAGACCAGCATTGCTGACTCAAAGTCAACAACTTCTGCGCTGGCATGCTTACAAATGCCGCAAATCTCTCACGAAGAATTTTGAAGGATGCATATTCTGCTTTCCACAGCTTGAGCCTTGCAAGAAAGCGCTGTCAACTTCCCACAGGCACAGATATTTAAAGATGCTATGGTGCCATCACGGCACACTGTGCAAGAGCTGCCAGAGAGACTAGATATTGCCTGCAGACCTCTGCATGCATAAAACTTGACACAAGAAAAAGGTCGGCAGAAATATTGTTGGATGCATGGAGGCAGCACTCACCGAAGGGGAACTTCGAGCTGTGGGCTGAAGACACAATCTGGGGGCAGCGTTGCAGAAATGGATTCATTGCCCGCATCGGACGGGGTCAAGACCCCTTCTGCGATGTCAAGCGCGTCGGCCGTGAGCAGCGTCACGGATCCTGCCGGTGCTTTGTAGAGCGCCTGCACCTTTTCTGGCAAGTCTGGCAGCCCAACCTTGTACTCTGCTGCTGCATGGCACGCCCGCTCTATTGCCAGATCCCTCCAGCGGCCTGCATAGCAAGGAATCTCTTTTTCGCACACTTTTAGCACATGCGGCAAAGGTTTGAGCAAACAGCGTATCAATCCCAGCAAGCCACTGATATCACAAAAGTGGATGTCTGATGTTGTACAATGGATGGACATGGCATCAGGCGCTGTTCACACATACAAAGGCATATTGTTTCCAGGGTCGTGATTGGCATCTGCTAAGCTGATTGGCATCTGCTAAGCTGACTTCAGGTTCCAGACGTTTATTCTTCCAGCTTCACACAATATCTGGGGTGGAGCACTGCTGCCAATGCCAGACTTGGGCTGAGAAAGGGGGAGGGATGACCACAGGTTGCGCATGCTGAAAGATGTCAGGTGCTGCAGCAATTTGAGCACCAGGAAATAGACAGGCACCTCGATTATGAGGCTGGAATGAAGGACATTGACAGGTAAACCACAAGGGTAAAGAGTAACATGAACACAAGATCGGACAAACGAAGGCACCTTGCTTTGTCAGGCTGGTCTGAAGGGAGGCAGCTGGTCCGCGTGTCACTTTGAAACTGGCGAGAGTCCGGGTGGGTGCTGAGCTGTCAGGGCCATAGCCTCCTGCACACACCAGTGAGTCACCGCCGACTAACCCGCATGCTGCACCCTGCCGCCCAGAAATCCACTTCTCGCTTCCATCCTCCGGTACAATCTGGCATAACAAGAGAGCTTCAGTTCCTTTGGCATATTCAATGGAAAAATCAGAACTTTTCGAAGTGAACTCATCTCCTATGGCATAATCTGCCAATCACCCAACCACCTAGCTGAATAGCAGAAAGCGGGAGTAATCTACTCCTTTAGTTCAGACAAAGTCTTATCGCTCCTATCCCCGGGCACAACCTGGCTGAATGGATACCAGGAGATAGCATATATAATGAAATGCCCCAGCATGAGAAATGCACATGCATGTGTAACGTGATTAGCTGCCTGCCTAAAAGCAAAAAAGCTAGGCACCCAGAAGCCAATAAATTATATTGCCTCCAGAGAACGAGCTTAATTTCAAAGCAGTACCTTGCTATCATGACATAAGTATTGTGAGAGATCTACGGTGTTCTGGATTCAGCATCCTCGATCAGTACAAGCTCTTAAGAATATCGATATTCTAAAAGGCGGTGGAGGTGTGGTTTGATAGAACATCACAAATATGAGAGGGAGGCAGGACAGATAATGCAGAGCCTCGCCTGGACCCAGCATTCCTCAGCAAAGTGGAACTCCCAAACGTCCGCCAGCTGCAGAGGCTCATGCCCCCCACTCGCACAGGTCAAGCCCCCAACAATGATGGCCCTCTTCCCATCACATGCAACCCCTACGACACAATGCCCACAAAATGCTTCCATGCTTGCAGGAGTAATAATGCCGGTCCAATTACCGTACAAACGAAGGGAGTCTCCGTCACACTCAGCCGCAAGGCTGGAAAAGAGGATATCCCCTTGACAGACACTATTTCAGGTAGAGAAAAAATTAAGAAGGGCCCTTGATGGGGGGCCTTGAGCCCTTGGCATTCAAGTTAAAATACTGGAAAAACCAAAAATAATCCAACGTTTTCCTACCTAGATGTCATCTGGTTACTACAGAGAAGAGAAGGTGACTGACCCATGGAAGCACGTGCGCATGGCTTGTTGCCGAGCACATCAATATCTCGCCATACTCCATACTCCGTGTCAAAGCTCTTCATGTCATCAAAGAAGATTCGCCTGGCACATGCCACATGTGTCATTCTCTCTGCTGACATGTCTATATTATAATTTTTAGGGCTTGTATTTCAACATTGATTTGTATCTTTTTAAATAAACCCTAAATCCCAAACCCTCAAACGTACAATATAAAGACATCTGTACAGGCAATGCATGCAAGCAGGAGAGGCCAATGTGAACACCAAGACGCCATGTGGGGCTTGTCTGCAAGAAGTTTCATGCACTGTGTTGATTTCCAAGTGTCTCACCGTCCAAGGTTGTCGCGTGTGCCATCGGTCCCGCCAAAAACATATATGCGCGTGCCATGCACAAACGTGGCATGGCCCCACCTCGGGGAAGGAGGCTCTCCCGTAGAACTTTCTGCGCAAGAACATCTCAGCAACCGCCTAAAATTCCACAAGTTGGTAAATGCCTTCTGGTGTTGCACATCTTTGCAAAACGAGCAACATGCCTTCTAGGGTTTAGGCTACGAAAATAACTCCAAAAATGCATTTTCTCTGATCTGCAAGCACTGTTCCATGCAGCATAAGGGTCTCTGCTCTTTCAGGTATTGGTCGTACTTTGCCTGTCCTTCTTGCAGTGTTAAGCAGTGACCAAAACCAGGGGCTCTATCGTTAACCAGATATAGAGCCCCCTGCAAAATTGACAACAGGGGTGATTCAGCTAAGGGGTTAAACCTGCAGGAATTGAGGTGGTGCACAAGATAATGAGAGCTCCCTTGTGCATTGTGTTAGGCACAAAGACGAGGAGATCATTGCAGGGAACTTCACTTCCATCCTCCAGAGTCTCCCGGCCGCCAAACATGAACATTGTGTCGTCGCACACCACCAGCTGCTCGCTGGATCGTGAGATTGGACACCTGCCCACCCATTCCACGGCGATCTGTGTTCCAAGCAGACAATAGAGACAGCTTAGACACTTCGCTTCCAGACAACTTTGGGGTCGATTAAACCAACAAAACCGAAAGCCAGAAAGTGTGGACTGATTGAATGCCTGTGTCTAGTTAGTTGGAGTCAGCGCCCAGCGTGATGGCAAAAGACGGGAGGACAAGACTGGTGGTATCGTAAATATTTTCCTGCCAAAAGAGATGCTCAAGGGCATCTTCCAACTCATACTTGTGTTCAGGGGTCAGGGGTGTAGGATTGAGCACAACGTTGCGGTAGCAATTGACAATTTATTTAAGAAAAAGATGGTAGCTGGAGTCATAAGCAGCAAGCTCTCGTAAGAGTGCAAGGAGCTGCATATGATGATACTAGCAATGACTAAGAGACTATCGGCTCCTTGAACATAAAAGGCCAAAGCCGCACAAGCACTAGACAAATGCTGCTGCAGCAAAGATAACACATACAGCGTGTGCAGGATGGCAGAAGATTACTTGCCTGCTTGTCAGCATTGGGCACGCCATTGTCGACGAGGCCAAGAGGGTAGCAGGTCATGTGGGGCCTCGCACCCAGGGAGGGAAAATACAAACAATCCTTATACACCTGGCCAGAGCACATGACACAAATCACACTTCAGCATGTCGTTCCTTAATGTTGCTGACTTGGTTGAGGCAATTCAGGAGAGAACGTCTCAGGGACCACGTCGACAGCTGTAAGCTACCTTGGACGATCCGCATTTCTCTGCCTGACGGCACGTTTGATTCCCCAATGGCTTTGTAGTGCCTATCAGATGATCAACACTGCACTTGCTCCTTCACTTGGCTCGTAAACAAGGCATGCAATGACACGTCTAATCGCTCCCCACTACTTCTCACGTCTGCCTACAACTTCTCTGAGTGGTTTTATAGCTTTAGGGTGTTTTGGGTTCAGGAGTGTGTGAAATGTAGAGAAACCCCTCAGCAGAGCTTGGCAGGGGCTTAAAACGCACCGCTCCGGTGGTGTAGGGCATGCAGGGGTCGCCAAGGAATACACCCCAGTCATGCGCGTCAACCCTCCCACCCGAATCCCTGAACATTGCATAGAAATCCGGGGGTTTAACGGGGGTTTAACAGGGGTTTAACAAGCCCACCCTGCATGCATGCGGGGGCCACTTGCCATGTTGTGTTCCCAGGGGTTCCTTCCAAGGTTTTACTTTTTAAGGGTCCCCGCAATAAAGCACAAACTAAAGATGGGGACTGCTGACATGGATCACAGTCCGTGCAATCCTGTTACTGATCAGGGCAGCTGCAAAACATACAGCGCGCAACGCACAACAGCCATCGGTGCAGTGACCGATGAAGGTTTATGCTTCGCTTGCTCCTCAGAGAAATACAGAGTGAGCCTGCGTCTCGGGCTGCTGTCATGTGTAGTGCTGATTTGTTATTTGTCCAGAAGAGAGACACAGAGTGAGTATATCTCCTGATAAAACTTTAAGGAGATATACCCAGAGAGAAGTGTTCTCACTCAAGTTGGTCGCTCTGCAATCAGACGGCAGCCAGAGGTCTCACCGGCACTTGTAAATCATGTAGACATCGCCGACCTCGCCAATTCCAATGTCGAGGGGGTGGCGCACAGTTAAGAAGGACCGTTTACTCCCCCACGAGCCGCAGCTGAAAATGCCACTCAATTCGCCAATTCGGCCGCCCTTCGCCTCAGCTGTTGCCCTGTAGTGGGATTCCTGCAGACCCTGCAAGCGAGCCATTTCTTCAGTTTGATCATCCAACAGATCAAAAGCTTTGTTGGAGACAAATTGACATCTCTGCATCTTGAATAAAAGTGAACTATATCCATCAATTATGCGCATACTGCGAATTTTGTGACAAAACCACGAAATATGAAACTTTCTGCCGGGAGAATATTCAAAAGTGTTGAATATTGTGTCCGGCAATCTGTCGCATTTCTGCCAAATAGAGCACCATACATGGCCATCCTGAAACAGTAAAAAAGTGCCGGTAAGTGGCCGGTCAAGAGTTATGGGAGTTGCATTTACCCAGGTATTGACCATCGCCCTGTGATGGCTCGGCATGCTGCTCGAAAGGAGTTCCCGCAGCTTGGATGGGAATTTGACAAAGTCTTTATCAACGCAGAACTTTCGCAAGAGCTGTTCCGTCTGCTCAAAGCGCTGCCTGCCACATCAGCACACAGAGTGACATCACATGAGTAATCTGCTGACTCATCTTGTAATCCATGACTAATCCAGAGGCAAGCTCCGTTTTGCCATGGAGGCATGCTTATTGGGCAGAAAACAGTCTGGGCTGCCCTGCAGTGTTTGCAGCAATATAAAGATCTAAATTCAGGAAGAGCAAAACGTGAGGCAATTAGATGCAAGGAAAAGGCTCACTGTTCAGAGGGCCCCCTGTCAATAATCCTGGCGAGCTCTGTCAATGCTCCAGGAACATTTCCACATCGCTCCAATGCAACAGCTGCCCCCAAAACAAATTTTACAGTTTCCTTAAACGCACAATAATATTCCATCAAGAAACCTTCCATCCGCACACGTGGGGTGCAGCGTTGCAGATCTTGCGCAGAGCTACGTTCGTTACATCGAAAGCCTTTCAAATTTCTTGAGTGGTAGCTCTATAGATGGTAGTTCGCAGGCAGGTAGAAGGCTGCAAGTACCTTTTCGCGCCACGGCCTTCATCAGTAGATTGCTGCCCGCCTTTGGAGGATGATCAGAACTCGCTTGAGACTGATGCATGTCCATATAGTGCAGATGGGCTTCTGCCCTCTCACATAGCTGCACAATCACCACACAAGCTATCAATGTCATCTGCCTTGCATGCATGGCCTTTCCTCGTTCCAATGAGGCCATTGATCAATGTGAGAAATTTCACGTGGCTTGAGTGCTTGAAGAGGGCCTAAACACAAAATTGACAAAGATACTTGTTAGCAGAGAGACCTTGCACTGACATGCATGAAATTCATTAGACATCATGCCAGAAACCTGCAAAAGGAAGCCTGCCATGTTATTTTGAAGCCTTTGGTGACCAGAACTCACCGCGACAGCCTCTGCAGCGGCAGCAGTGGCTAGCATTGACGAGACATCCTGGTTGAGCAGAGTCTGCGCCAGATTTAGGAGCAGAGTGGCTGCTCTGCGATTGTCCTCCAGCGGTATCAGCAAGCATGCATCTGCAGGGTAGATGTGGTCACGCATTTTCCCCCTGCTTGTATGACGCACTTTGGTCAAGCCTTCTGGCCCCAGTGCCAAGACCCCCAGGCCGCTGCGATACAGCAGCTCTGCATCCCTGCAAGCAGCCATCTTGATCAGAGTCACAGGCATGCCAACACAAACGTGCAGGGACAAAAAGAAAATCTGGGGAAAATCTCACCTGTATTGTTTCCTTTTGAAGAATTGATTGCCGGCGAGGCGAAGCTCCTCCACAAGGTCCTCTTCAAGCGGTGTCAGAGCTCTCAGGTCTAGATCTGTAGGTGTCCTCACCTACAAGAAGGCATATTTTGATAGTGATTATCTTTTTGGAATATCACATCGAGATAAACAATTGGAATAATGCATGATTCATCAGACGCGATCAGAGCTACGTCGACGCAAGACAGCTGGTGCATTGGTCTTCGTCTTACCAGTTCCATGGCGAGGCCTTGTAACATTTTTGATAACGATTTCTGTTCTGCTAGAATATGCCTACTAAAAATTTACGTATGTACGTAATAGTATCAGACTGTTCTCGATTATTGAATGGTCTATGATTGGCCACTTGTTGCAGGATCATCCTTGTCAATGATCACTCGAAGAAACAGCTCGACAGCATGCTTTGCTAGCCCAGGATCGAATGATTATATTTTATTTTCTCATTCAACGTTCTGTGACGATATATAGATTTTAGCGATGTCCCAGATCAATCCAGATCCTGATCAGTACAAGAAATCCTCTCCTTCTATTCAACTACTCTTATTCGAAGGAACAATTGGATTGATTGCAATAATGAAGTCATGCAACAGTGTCTTCTGGGCGTTTGTTTTTTGTGAAAGAAAAAGTGTGCCAGGAAAGCTCCGGACACGCTCCCTTTCTACCCGAGGCGTTCTACAGATGTGTTGTGCTTCATCGGCAAGTCTTCCTTGTGTCTATATGCATTCAAGGAAATCTTTGCATGGCAATATCACATGTTCGACTTGAATGATCACAGCCCATCCGTTCATCGTAAAATTTTCAGTCGTGTAAAAGGGTAGCTGCTGACAAGGAGGGAGCTTCCTAGCCAATGCATTGACATTTAGGGTTGCAGATGTGAGGTATTGATTATTAAAAAAAACTACTTTTCACCTTGATAAAAAGTACAAACCCATGGCAACGGTCTTGAGAGGGCACCCAAGCCTTCCACAAGCACATCGAACACACGTTGCACGATATGTAGAGAGAGCGCCATGTAATGGCGTGTCACATTTCAGATTGAAAACCGCTGCTAGCCAGCCAAGGTGGCGCAAGGCGGACGCCACTCGAGGTCAGGGAGCCACCAGTGATGGCCCTTGCTGCCCTGGAAGATATGCTTTTGGAACCGCTCCAATCACATCTGTCTTGGCATACTTGGCATGAAGACTGTGTGGAAGACCTGTCTTGTTGGATGTACAGGCAGGAGAAGATGCCTGCAGTGCAGATCCAGCGCAGCAGGCAGCGTGGCTGTGACTGTGGAGCCAGCAGGCAAGAATGCGCAGCGGCTGTATGCTGGGGTGGACATTTCTGCGCCGGTGGAGGTCATATGGGGGGCGCTCACAGACTATGACAGCCTCGGAACCTTCATTCCAGGTCTGTCACCATGCAAGATACGTGTGCATGCCCCATTCACGGAAGTCTTGGTCTGCCCTAGCCGCATGCAAAGGGGGCTGCATGTGACAGCTTGCCGCTGACAAAATGCAGTAGGCACTCAACATGCAGCCTGTCAACTGCATGCTCCCGGGGCTTATGAAAACTCTAATGAGTGGAGCATGCATCAGCGCATTTGCATTGAAATATCTGGCCCATCCGCCTTTTGTGCCTCCTCAGAGCTGTACCCCTCATAGGTGTACCCCCTTCCAGCACAACACTTCCTGCAAGTGTACAGCATCCCAGCATCGAATGTATAGCTCTCTGTGCAACAACATAGAGTGCACCTTCCTGCGTGCTTTGTTGACTATCCGGTGCTACATGCCCCCAACTTGCATGCATTTATGGCCCAGAACGCATTAGGATGCATTGCTCACGAATGCAGACACATCAGAAGTTAGGGGTATGAAGATGGACAGTGAGAGACTGCCCACAAGACCAATGAGCCTCAGGTGGCTCCCAACGAGGCCTTTGGCGGAGCTCCGCAGAATCTCAAGGAGTACCCCTGCAAAAGGGGAGGGAACAACTTGCAGGATTAGAATAATCTTGACAAAATTTGTATTTCTGCTGGTGGCAGGGCTAGCAGAGAATCGGTGCCTGGAGAGGAGGGCACAAGGAGCGCAGCTGCTACAGATCGGCGAGCAGGAGATCGCCTTTGGCGCCAAATTCAGGGCGCGCGTTGTCCTGGACATTGAGGTTCATCTCCTCACCTTCTCACAGTTGCCGTCTGTCTTGGCTCTCATCAACCTGCACTGAAGCCACATAGAGCTTGCAGCTTGCGAATCACTTGCAGAATGGAGGATGGAGCCTGAGCTACCTTGATGCACTAAGCTCCAATATATGATCCTGGCAAACTGCTATCAGCGTGCCTGCAGAATTCCCAGCATGCTGCTGCACCGCTAGCCAGAATGGAAGCCACCATAGCTGTATCCTGTTCGTGAAGCTCATGTGTTTCACAGCGGCACCGTGTCCAACTAGATTGCGACCCCTTTTGCAATGCAATGCATCTTGCGCTGCTATCCAAAAGCTTGCAACATCACACATGCATTTCAATCTTAGATTGATTGTTGTGAGCGTCGTGCAGGAGCACTGGTCTGGCGTGCCGGGGAATGGCAAGAACGGGGGCGCGCGTTCGAACGGCGGCGGCTGGTTCGGCGGCCGGCCGGCGGCTGAGGAGCACCGGATTGAGCCGCGCTCGCCGCTGCCAACGCAGCCGCACGACATCGCCTTCTGCGCCTGCGAGGGAGATTTCCAGGTGCGTGGGGGTTGTGGGGTGTTCCCTGCTGATCAATTTCCACTCCCATGCTTAAACCAATACTTTAAGTAAAGGGAGCTCAAGTCCCTGCTGCTTCAGCCACTGTGTCATGCCCCCAGCGATATGTGTTCCCTGCTGCTCAAGCCCCTCTCCCATGCTCAAAACGGTATTTGCAGGAAGGGGAGCTGGATTCTTGCAAGAGCAAAGAGGATGTGCAAAGAAGATGTCGTAGGAAGGGAAGGTTGATATCCTGCTGCTGAAACCCCTCTCTCATGGCCCCAGCGATTGGTGTAGGAGGGACCTGAAGGGGGTCCCCCCTGCTGCGGAAAGTCCTCTGGCATGCTGAGAGATTGTTTAAGAAGTGGGATATAGGGGGAATTCTTTGCCGCTCGCTCTGCCACACCCACAGTGGTGGCTGCAGGAAGCAACTGGAGAAACCTCATGTAAGGGAGGGTCAAAGAATTTTTGAGGTTGACTGGCTGTTATCCTGCTGCCATCTCTGGCGGTTCATGCATGCGGCATCAAATTTTTCAATAATCTGGTTCCCCCTGCAGGGAAGCGTACTCGGCAATGCACTGCAACTTTACATGCATGTCCTGAATAACACCTTCTGGTCCTGATCGGCCTGGACCTGGGTGCTGGCAGCTTTCACTGTGCGACGATCACCTGTTGCTGTCGTCATAAGCCTGTCACACCAAACCCAGCCATACCAGAAGGCATGGGTAAGCGTATCGTGACAGTCGTACTCAGACGCTGCATTAATTGAAACCTGAAGCATGATGCACATGCCTCTCGCAGGTGTTCCGGGGTGTGTGGCGGATACAGGAAGGGTCGCGCGGCGAAGGCAGCAGCCGCCTCTCCTACGCGCTCTTTGTGCGGCCGCAGATCTGGCTGCCGGTGCGCCTGGTGCAGGGGCGGATCGAAAGCGAAATAAAAAACAATCTCGCCGCCGTGCGGGCGCACACGGAGGGGCTCTACTCCCGGAAGAGCGCCAGTCTTCGAACTTGAGTTCAAGTTTTTAGGGTTCCAGGTTTGGGTCAAACCCTTGAACACTTTTAAAGTAATATATCGAGAGCAGGGTTGAAATTGCCCAATTGTTCCCCTGAGATGTTGCCCCGGTCCTCGAATATGCTAGCCAGTCTCAGGGACTACCAAAACGTGAAAGAGCGTTTGATACTGAAATTCTTTAGGTGAACTCAGGGCTGCAATTTGTGTTGTGCCAAAGGAAATACTTCCCAGGCAGGTGTGCCCGTGTCAGCTGAGGTGAGAACTCAGGTGAGCTGAGGGCTTTTATGGCGTGCATGCTTGGTGTAAAATTAAATGGCGCCGTACGAGGCCCTGTGAGTTGTGTTGCTTGACTTAAGAGAGCACACTGGGACAGAGAGAATCATTCGCTAGCAGCCGGGCAATCTTTCACATGCAAATGGGGACCAGGCTGACTGTGCAGCTACCGCCGTATCCGACAGAACATCACCAAATTTCAATCTTTCAATACAGTAGAATTTGAGTGTAAGCATTGGAGGCTCCATGATAAAGGCTGCAAGTGCAGAGATTGTATACCAGAGGCTAATGGACAATGGGGCGCTGGCATTGTTTTTTCTGTATTGCATCCATCTTGATTGGCAGCAGGAGACTCAGTGCATACATTCATGCATACATTCCCTTGCAGTCACACAATCCAGCGCCTACAGTCCCCCTGGATAGATCCTATTGGCGCCTAACATTGCTGAAGATCTTGTTGTCCTCCAGTCAAAACATGGTGAAAACACTCAAACACACCTATTGAGCAAAGTTTCTTAGAGAGCTAATTGTTCTTATCTAGCAAGGCAAAGCAAATAAGTAAAAAAATGAAAGGGAATGCTTTTGGCACGGCACTATATGGCATCAACTTGATAGATTCTATCACCATATCAGATTTGCAAGTCCAGTCAACCTTGAAAGCATGTGGCATAAATCTTCAGGCCAGTGCTAGGCTAACCCTCTGACGGTAGAGGGGACTTAAGCTCCCCCTCTCTACTTCACTGCAAAACATCAAAAGATGCCTTCATACAGACGAGGCTGTATGGCATAACATTTGGTCGAGGCACTGAATATTACAACGAATGGCGCTCAGACTGAATGGGTGCCATAACTCACGAGAGGGCTTGGGCATGCTATGCTGCTGCAAAGGCAATGCTGGAAGGTATGTCTTGAATGCAGCAGTTACAGCCAGCGCTTGCCAAAACTGACAGACAGCAAATCATGATAGATGGGGCCAGTTTGCTGCTGCAGCACTCAAGTTGGTGACATATAGGACGGCAGCTATTGTGAAGATTCTGGCTTGATATTGCCCCTGGAAAGCTGAGAAGCCTTCTTGGGGCTCTTTGACAACTCATGCTGCATGTTGTCTATACGCCTACATCAGTAGCCTGGAAGCCTGTCCTAATTTTCTTGGGCCTCTTCTGCCAATGACGAGGGTCTTGAATGGGCGTGGCTAAATCTTAAATACCTCTCCGCCCCTTTCTACCGGCGTGGGTGGCTGATCTTGTGTATTTACCCCTTGGTGCCTTTCTTACTTACTGTAATAATAACATTTATATTATATTACCCTTTAACCCTATGTAAACCCTAACCTCATTGGCGCCACAGAGCCGGCTGCTCGGGTGGGCGCTGAATGAGTCAGCACCCCCTGACTGCAGCTAATCAAAAAGATCTGCATCGAACTAAGAAGGTGACTGGTTAGGACCTCTGAGCTACTGGGCCCTTGACATGAATAAAATTTAGTCACTCGGCGATGTGGCATTTCTCCAGGCTCCGGCGAGCGATCTCGCTGGCATCCAATGACTCATCGTCTGAGGAGGTACAGTCACCCAAGAGGGATACGTTCTCAAAGTCGCTGCCACTTGCCATCAGTGATGGAGTGTATCCTACAAGCCGGCACAGAACTGTTCTTACAGCACCATCTTTTTGCCGGATGCAACGTGCGCATGCAGATAAGCGAGCATTGTGAAAAAGAGTTAAGGACCTGCCTAGAGCACGTGCAGCACAAAGAGACTGTGCACTTCGACCTATCATCAAAGCCACTGGAAAAGTAGGGCAGACATGCAGACAATGATGAGGATGACACAAGAATGGCATTGCTTTGTCACCTGGGAATTGATCATTTCAGAGCAGGCTAGGTGGAAGACACACTCTCTTGCATTCACGCATGCATCTTACCACATAGATCACTGATGGTCCTGTTTGCCTGTCGTGCGCCTAAGGCATGAACTCTGTCAGAATTGCAAGGTTGGCGAGTGAATGGGGTTTGTTGTTCTCGCACCTGACGTTGTCGTGCATTCGGTTGTGATGCCAAATGAGTAGAACCCCTCCCGGCCCGCGCCAGTCTTGGTCTGCATTTCACAGCGCATTTTGCAGATGAAACGATATCTACGCCACGGTCTCAGGTTCGATCCCCAGGAAAAACACTGGGACTTTTTTCGGATCGATTTTCGGGTACATTCGGCGATGCGGCCGCTCCTGAGACACCCGCATCGTTGCTGTCGAAATCCGTCCCGAAGTTTCGAGCGGTTTGCTAGGGATGGCCCCTCAGCATTCGTGTAAGAAGGGGGTGTAGACCTGTAGGCTGCAAGGGTGCATTTGCGAGTTGACAAGGCTGCAAGCCTGTGCATATCGGCCCCGGGTTCCGGCTGCAGACGGACCTGTGTATGCCCTATGGCCCTCTGGGCTCTGGGTTCGCCACTCATACAGAATATTATATTATTATTATTATATTTCTCAGGCGCCAGCATCGGCAGAGTTGATAAATCTTGCACGGCGGCAAAATCAAAGCAGTCAAGTCTTGTTGCGGTGGGGCCCCTGTGATACTCGGCCCCTGCTTAATCCTGCAATGATAGTTGCGTTGAGGCTGCTGATGGCTACCCTCTTCATGACCTCTGCGCGGTGAGCGCAGGCAAGCTGTGTAACATCACAACACAGGATGAAATTTGGTTGCTCACCCGTTTGGGCAGTCTCGGGTGCAGCAGGTAGGAGGAGAGCGCAAAGTGGCCCTGATGCCATTCCGCCCACTTCAGGACATCGGTCTGGACTGAGTCGGTCTCGCTCCACACTGCACAGCAGCGACACAAGCGCACAGTCAGCATCAGTGTTGGATGCGCCGTAGCACAGGTGCAACACAGTTGCAAGGTCTCTGCAGCATGTGTTGATGTGGCGCATAGGCTTGACAGCGCTACTTAAGCCTATTCAGCATTTCAGGCATGCATATACGGTGAATGTCCCAAACTCCTAAACAAAACTACAGTACCGCCTGCCAACTTGTCTGTGGAATCCAAAGAACGACCCACTGAAACTTGATCGTCAGGAGCTTCTGTGTGAGGTCAAGCACATTGTGCAGATTGTGCTGCTTTGGAGATGCAGTCAGTCTTTGTCTGAGTAATCCAGGGTGCCCCTGAGTCACAGCCATGTAGTTTCGGGGCATTGCCCGGACGCCATTTTGCCACAAGTCAAGATTTCCCGGGGCCGCCCTGAAACTGTGCTCCTAGCCCTGAACAATTTGGCCAATCCCTTAAGGGGCCCTTGGGGGCTGTCGAACCCTGCTGCTGCTTCTTTGTTTGATGGAGGAGGCTGGAACCATGCACCTTGAAAAAGCAAGAAAAAAAAGAAAAAAGAATGTATACAGAGAGGAGAATCGAACGCACGGTAGCTGTAGATTTGGCCAGTGCGGAAGGCCGGGAACGCGGCGCAGACGGCCTCCTCAGTCACCCCGGCCCAGGGCATGCATGCCGGGTCCCTGTTGCAGATTATGCACGAGTCCGTGTACGCCTGCAGCGGCTCCTACGGCAGCGCTCGTGTACTTTGAATGATGAAAAAGTTATCAAGGTGATTTTGCGAGCCAAAAACAAGGGCTCGTGAAGACAGGGTGCGCAACTGATGGCCCAGTACACAACACATCTCCACCTGACTTTCCTCGCAAGGCTTGCAGTCAGCTTTTTGTTCTGAGCTTGCACAAGCAGCAGTCCACAGACTACCCACTCCTTCTGACATGCACCTCGGTGAAGATGCCCTGGATGTGCATCAAACAAAGAAGCAGCAGCAGGCTTCGACAGCCCCCAAGGCCCCCCTAAGGGATTGGCCAAGTTGTGTCAGGGTTAGGGCAAATTATCAGGGCAGCCCCGGGAAATCTTGACTTTTGGCAAAATGGCGTCAGGGCAACGCCCCAAAACCACATGGCTGTGACTCAGGGGCACCCTGGACTATTTAGACAGTTTGAACCACTTAGAGGCCAGATTAAAATGAAAGCCTGCATCTCCCTGTTAGAAATTTTTGGAATGTCAGGGATGCCCCAAACTTTCAGCTACAACTGCGTAAGCGGGCGGGGGCGAAGGCCCTGCCCGCCCTTGCCTTACTCGGGGGCTGGCCTGAGAATTTTCTTGGGCCTCTGTCAAACCCTGGGTTGCAGCAGGGTGGCACAGCTTGACCATTCTCGAGAAGGTCTGCATATTGCCCCAGACAGTGGCAGTGCTCTCTGGTGCAGACTGCCTTGGTGCTCACAGAGCCGCACAGCACTGGCAGGCTTCCCAGTGGATTCATGAACAGCAGGCAGCACTCACCGTGCCGCAAATGTTGACAAGCAGGTGATAGAGGATCAGGAACGGCGGCGGGTGCGCGTCCAAGGTGGCTGCACTCTTCTCGCAGCCTGAGAACAGCGCCTGCAAACCCCCAGTAGCACAGCTTCAAGCTTGGACTGTCAGAAGAGCTGGATCAGAAACTTCTGACAGGTGATACCCCTGAACCTGCCAGTGGCGACATTCTTTATGGGCAGCTTGGAGATTAGCTGTGCTGCAAAACGGTAGAGAATGGGCATGGCAGGAGCGGGAGACTCCTCAGTCCTAGACAAGCCATCAACCTGCTTCTGATGCTGAGTGTGCCTATATGTGGCGCAAAGCCAAAAGCAAACACAGCTGGTAGAAGGGTGTCACCTTGGCCAGTATCTGGGCAGCTCTCTCTGCAGCAAACCAGCGGTTTTGAGCTGAGCCCAGGTGGCGATCCGGGAAGAGGATGCTGGCATACTGGGGCCACCAGATGTTCTCGTTCCTGCTGATATGCATCTGAAACGCCGACAGAAGCGCCATTTTCTGGTCTCCGTCCATGATCCAGGCTTCTGCTGGCCTGCGCGAAGACACAGGGGCCCTCCTATGTTTAGGATCTCCTGGATGATATCTCCCATGCTGGCTCGAACCTGCCGGTCACTGTCTGGCTTGATTCCACATTTGCTCCGTATGCGCGGTAAAAAGATGAAACGATGCAATTGGTGAAGGCTGCCGAGGCTTCCTTGGCGCTGCTGCACTTTTTGTGCGAGAGCCTGCACACTGTTTGGGCGGGGTTTCCCTCCAGGCAAGGCGGTGCTATACGCCTCTCTCAATGAGTGAGGCAGCAACCGCTGAGCAATTGTGCAGCGCTCTCTATGCCGAGAACGAATAATGTGGAAACTTGGCCGCACGCGGCACGCAGCCAAGGTCTTCAGAGGTGAAACGCACCAACTGCTTGGGATCCTAGCCGGGACGCCCTCCAGCGGCATCTGCGCCATCGCGAGCGCGATCTGCAGGTCAAGGACCTCAAACCGCCCCGCGCCTCCATTTGTGGAGCTTTGGACACCTTCATCGGTGAACCTGCAAGAACTGGCTCGGCGGATGTCTCGAGGATTCCCGCTCATGGTGCATCGGCCCAGAACAGGACAAGAGGAGGTGGCCTGAAAAACAGCTAAGTCGATGGCTGACGTGCTAAGCTCTGCTGTATACCTGTGTCCCGCCTGTACCGGCAGCTGGAGAGGCAGCAGCATGGTGCACTAGCCTGAGCCTCAGATGGACGCTAGGTTCGCGCGCGCTCTTTCGCCCTGAGCCGTTAAACAGCGCAGCTGCGATAATAAGCTTCAATGCGCCTCCTGAATCCGCAGAGAGACGGTCAGGCCAGTTTCTGTCTCTAAAGCGTTTGGACACAAGTCTCGCCAGTTTCTTGTTCGCGCCCTGCAGGGTTTCCACGATCTTCGACGGCGTTCTTGGGCCGCCAGGAGGTTGGACAAAATTGAGAGCCTTGGCTACCTAAACCTCAACACTTTCAAAGGTTGAACACACCGCCTGGGCACTCTCGATTGTCTCGGTTGCTACAAGGCAAGGCCTCGATAATCTTTTGATCCTGTGGGGCAACGCTTTTGTGTGCCCAAAGGAGGGGCATTTGCTCACAGTGAGCCGCCATGCCGTTGTATGAGCTGTTCTGCATGGCAAGGCCGGCCCTCGCACGCACCGAAGCCAGCCAACTGATGCGCAATGCGGCCTCGGCGGTGCTCAGCAAGGGTGGCCTCCTGACAGACATCAAATCCTATGGCCAGCGGGAGCTGGCCTACGAGATCCGCCGCCCCGGCATGAAGATAAATGAGGTGAACGCTGTTTATCAATATTGACGGGGGCCGATCGCGCTTCAATTGTTGCGATGCCACACGCTACCCTAAGTGTTATTTGCTTTGCGATGAGCCGCCTGTCATTTTTATGTGCTTCCGCATCAGCGCGCTGTACATCTGCACTTCTTGAGGTTCATTTTTGAAGTTAAGGCTGCGGGGTGTCTTATGGTGACGGTGGCGTTTTGTATCCGTAGTCCTTCATGCCTTGAGGTGTAAGCACCTCCTTCGCTGTGAATCTGCAGAAAGTGCTGCACCACTGCCAATTGACGCCGCTCTGCTGCTGATTTGCAGGCCTTCATGTGGCAGCTCGACTTTGCAGCAGCGCCGCCTGTGCTGAAGGATCTGGAGCATCTGCTCAAGGTGGACGATCGAGTTGTCCGATATGTCATCCTGCGCCGCTCCCCCTTCCAGCCGCTGCCAAACACCTACAAAGTGGCCAACCAGGCCAAGCGCATGCTGCAGGCCACAAGTCCTTGATGGAGGCCTGACAAACAAAGCCATCCATCTGAATAAGCCATACATGCCACACGCTGCACCATCAAGGTGTGCTCTCCTTCCCGCTCAACCCTTGTGTAGGTAAAGGTACTGCTGTGCATCTGATTGCTGAAAGACAGTCAGGGAGTGGTCTTTTAGGGATTAGGGGGGACTTTGGTGGAAGGAGAAATAGCAGCAGTGGCTGCAGGTTGCGGATGATGATCAAAACTCAAGTTATCCCTGTCTGAGGCATCAAGGCCGATGTCCGGTGCGGACAGATATTAGCTCTAGCTGACGCAACTGCAGCTTTCTCTGGCTCTCATCCAGTACATGTTCATTGGTTCTTTCTCTTGAGGCCTGCATCTCAACTCATCTGAATCGGAATGTTTTAGTGGCCTCGGTGAAGCCCCCAGCTTGCCAGGATTGTGTCTGTTAGGCAAATTCGGCTGTTTGGCATGCAGCGATGCAATGATGAGTAGAATAATCAAGCTCAACAGATCAGAGTAGAGCCCACGGGCCCTGTGCTGATAATTTTTTTCTCCGCTGTTCTGAGCATCGCTGTGCATGTAAGCTTAGTATCTTTGCTTGCCTCAACAGGCTGTTTAGGCTGACCTGCAACCCTGGCACAATATAACCATCTACGCTTAGTTAGAGATTGTGCTGAAGCAGTGTATATATTTGGCTGTGCAGGGCCTCTTGGAGGAGGCACCAACTGGAGAGCAGGACTACCTAGTGACGTTAGCTGTTTGTCAGGTTTGATATCTCTCCTTTGAGTGATCAAGTCAGGGCCCATCCTTGTGAATAAATGGATATATAGGAGATGAAGAGTTAGTATGACAAAAAGGCGTATAAAGGTGTGTGGGGGGTAGGATGCAAGGGATTGGCCGATGATGAAATTTCCAAATTAGGGCGTTTCTCAGTACACCATTCGCAGTGCCCGCTCTAGAGCTTTCGCCCTTTCGCCGGGGCTTGAGAGCTGCTGCGGCTCAACTTCCTTGGATGTCTGAGGCCTTCCCTTTTCAGTTCCTGCTCTAGCCCCCACATCTTCACTCTTGTGACTTCCATACTGCTACATTCTCTCCAGTGCTAGTGTCTAATTTTCATGTCATGCCTTGATGCTGGCAAAGCACATCCTCAACTGTACTTCAGCTTATCATGCTGCCCAAGCAAGTGTGCTGCAATTTCAGATCTTTTCTCATGAGATTTGAGAGAGTAGGGTCTAGAAAGTTGTGTGAGTAGGGGAGCGCTGCGTTGCAGTGGAGGAGGTGTGGGTGATGAGTCAAGGTTGCATGTCGGATTCCTTCTGAACTCTCGAGTTGATAACTGCACCGGCTGACACACCCTCTGCACCTGTTCCGGCGATGTGTTTGCCCACCTCTATTTACTTGCCCTAGTACCGATCATGTGGTTTACGGTCATCTAGAACCTGTTGTGTTTGTGTGCAGGCTGAATGGGAGGGAGCGCTGCTGACGTCGACCTGATTGGACCTGTCTATGAGCAGCGTGCAGCGTGCCAGCAGCCACGTGTAGTGGATTGTGTAAGATGCAACTATCAGTGACGTGTATAGAACACTGTATACTTTCAGAGTCCTGTCAATACCCTATACCTTTGTAAGTGGCAGTAAGCCAGATCTGCAGAGCCTTTTCATTCCTTTGATCTGATTTTGCTAATTGGTGTAGATATTAGTGCTTGTACCATGCATATTCAATATGAGATCTGTAACAATGAGAATAGCCGAGAGCAATGAGAAGGCCACCGATGACTTGTACCATCTTACACTTCTATTTATTGCCTTGCGCATGCATGCTCTGTGCGCACTTGCAATTCAATAGGTCTTGCAAGCTTGATGCTGCCTGACCAAGACCACCCACTCATAATTACAATGCTGAACCAGATCAAGAGTCCAGTCATCAATACTGCATCTGCCATACAATCACCACCAATGATTCTCTGAAGCAGTCCTAAACATACAGGGATCACAGATCATGTCCTAACATTCAAATACCCAAAACCGCCTACTCCGGCCGCAAAATCTGGCTTGCGGCCAGGGCCAGAAAGGCTGCTACAAGGACACGTCCTGAAAAGAATGAGCACCAAATGATCGCGCAACTCACGCGTGCAGTGTGACATTTACAGAGAGACAAAGTCCTAAATGCAATCTCCTAGTCTCAAAAACCCCTACACCAAAATTGCCACTGGCGGCTGCTCACTGCGGCAGTACCATATGGAAAAGCATCCTAAAACAACGCAGAGCTACGCAGACTGCTGCGCCCTCACTTGAGCTAGAAGATACACAAAAACTCCTGAAGAGCGGCTGTGCTGCAGGACTGCTGCCAGCGAAAGAGTCCTAATACACAGTCCTAAGCGTTTGGAAGGGAATACATCGTAATTACCGTTGCGAAACACCTGAGCTAGAAGATACAAAAAGTCCTGAAGAGCGGCTGTGCAGCATGACTGCTGCCAGCGGGAGAGACCTAATACACAGTCCTAAGCGTTTGGAAGGGAATAAATCCTATGTACCATTATTTCGCAAAGCCGGCCTGCGTTTCACTGCTCAAAATTGCCGCGCCCTGGGCGCCTTAACTTTTCCTATCCGGTCTTCTTTTACCTATATCACTAGTTGCTCAAACTGCCTGCAGGGGTGCCACCTCCAGTCATATTCTGAGATGCCTTTCTCTTTCCCAGAGCTGCAAAACGCTGCTTCCTTTATCCAAGAGCCGACCGGTCGCCAGTGCATGCTTGGCCGCAGCATAATTCCTCACTGCTGATCGCATGCAGGATCCCAGAAAACCTCAGTGTTTAAATCCCCTCTCAGCAGCAGGGAAGACCCCAGAAGAGGGAAGTCCCTCCATCATAAGAGGGGGAGGGGACACGGCGGCCTAGAACTGGGCGGCCTCGGTGGAGCCGACCAGCGCCAGAGTGGATGAGGCGCCGTTGGAGCAGACGGTGGAGACTGTGTCGAAGTAGCCGGTGCCCACCTCGCGCTGATGCTTGGTCGCCGTGTAGCCGCGCGCCTCGGACGCAATCTCCGCCTGTCGAAGTTCACAAAGTTTTCAGATCACCGCGGTAAGTGCAGAGTTATGAACTATTGTCTTGCATGCCGTGGACACTTTGGCATGCAGCCTTCCGCGTCAGCCCAGCTGACTGTTGTGATCTGCTGTGCGGTATACAGCAGACCGAAATTGACGATAGGTCCACATCAGGCGGAAGGTTGCTTGACCGGGGTCTGGTAATGTGCGCAGCCTCTTCCCCCCTGGAGTTTGCACGCGCCTGCTCTGTCCTTGCAGCCACTTGCAGACTCCAAGAGAGATAGAGGCTGCGCACAAACGCCTTGGGCTACAATGTGCATCACACTCCAACAGCCCCACCCCAGCAAAGGGTACGCTCACAGGTGCAACTGCCCAGGGCTGGACCCATTGCCCCTCACAAGGGCGGCATTGCGCCAGCACACCCTGATGTCAATAGCATTGCATTTGGTGAAGAGAACAAGACGTGAAAACAAACACCACGATCCCACAAGGGAGTACGCAGGCCCTCGCGCAGGGGTGCCAACGCTCAAACGGACACCAAAGACCTGCGGGGGTGATGCCGAGGGTTCGGTGATGTTTCAAGGGGAGTGAGGGGAGGGGAAAAGGAGTCACACCTGCTGCAGTTCGGCGTAGGCGGCCATGCCGCGCTTGGAGTAGCCCTGCGCCAGCTCAAACATGCTGTGGTTGAGGCTGTGGAAGCCGGCCAGCGTCACAAACTGGAACGCGTACCCCAGCTCACCCAGTTCCTGCACACCACATCAATAAATTAGCGTGTCAGCGCATAGGAGAACACAGTGCCTGAGATAGTGCAGGTAGTGCATGTCTTTGCTGTCTGCATACTTCACCCAGGCTGATGAATGCAACAGATGGGCAGTAGCACAGCACAGCGGGAAGCACATCTGCACAATGCGCTGCTTTCTGCACGCATTTGATCCACACTTGAAAGGTACGCAGCCTCGCTGAGCTGTGCAGAACAACCAGGATGTGCGACAAAGAGCATCCACAGAGTCCTTAAAGTACCGTTTTGAAGGAATGTCTTTTGTTTCTGGCAGGTTGCATATCAGATCCATGCAAGCCACTATCATGGAAGGACACCACAGCTTATTCTGTGCAGGACGTCAGGAGTGTACGGCCATACTGGTGAGAAATCTGCGTGTAAAGTCTCACAGCCCCCACAAGCATGTTCGAAAACTTTTGATGTTCCACACGCGGAGTAGTTGAGTGCCTCGCAAGAAGTCAGCCGAGGAGAACGGCAAGACAAGGCGCCCTCACTCGAAGCTCTCCTCTCTAAACTGTGTCGCAAGTAGGTCCCTGTCTCTGATTAGGCTCTGCAGGGTGAAAATGGGTGCATCTTGGTTTGCATATACCTGGCTTGCACATAAAGGAAAAGGATATAAAGAGAAGTGGCTGAAGGTACCTTTTGGAAGCTGGCGATCTGGGCGTCGGACAGCTTGCGCTTCCAGTTGAAGGAGGGGCTGCAGTTGTACGCCAGCAGCTTGCCGGGAAACTTGGTGTGGATGGCATCAGCAAACTCGCGCGCCTCCTCCATGTCTGGGGTGCTAGTCTCCACCCACAGCATGTCCGCAAATGGGGCGTACGCCAGACCGCGGGCGATCGCCGCCTGTGCCAGAGAACGCAAGCGCTCAAATGCTAGAAATCACAGCCTTGCGTGCCACCAACATGCACAAATATGGCTGTCGATGGGTGGAGAGTTAGGTTAAGAATTGGGTAAGTGGAATGCATTGACCTCCAGGGGAACTCCAGGGGCAACCAATTGCCCAAAAATTCCTGATGAGGCACACATCCCTGATGAGATAGCCATGCATGGAGCAGACAATCCCTGTCCAACATGCAGTCGCACAGACCTGGACCACGTTACACGCCACATTCGACCACCGATAAGCTGCCGCCCCACCCGTGAATACACCCCAACTACAAGTATTACACCCCGCACCTTGATGCCGCCGTTGAACTGGTGGAAACCCTCGGGGGTGCGCTCGCCGTGCACAAAGGGCAGGTCGCGCTCGTCCACGTCAGCGGTGAGTAAGTTGGCCGAGTGGGCGTCGGTGCGCGCGATCAGCACTGTTGGCACGCCGCAGACGTCCGCCGCCAGCCGCGCCGCCACCAAGCTGCGGATGAACTGGCCGGTGGGGATCAGAACCTGCGCGCGAGTGCATCATCAGTTTGACTGCACATTTGGATGTTTCCGCTAGCACGCGTATCTCTGGTGGCAGGAATCAAAGAGTAGCAATTTGAGAGCCTTCTTCACCATGACAGAGGAGTTAAAAGGGGCACAGACACCCAGGCATGTGCAGAGAGAAAGCTGCCGCTGTTTAAACTAGAAGGCAATGTATCGCTGCAAAACAAGTGCCCGCTTGCACCAACCCCTCGGGGTCTGCAGGTGCAGCGATAGCTACTACCTGCCAGGTGGCCAAGAATCATTCGACAGGTACCACCACCGGGAGCAACAGCAACACCTTGAGAAGTCAGAGCAAGCCATCGCCTCTTGCTTTTCGACCCAGCACCAGAATGCAACAGAATCCCTGCGACAACCAATTGTTCACATTGACTATAAGTTTGCAAGGCTTGTGTTATTATCGCGCGCACCTTGCCGCCCAGGTGGCCGCACTTCTTCTCGGAGGAGAGCTGGTCCTCCAGGTGCACGCCCCCGGCCCCGGCGCGGATCATCGACTTCATCAGCTCAAACACGTTCAGCGGCCCGCCAAAGCCCGCCTCCGCGTCCGCCACGATCGGCGCGTACCAATCGCGCTGCAGCAAAATGGGGGAAATTCCACGTCAGCGCTCATGTCACCATGCAATCGCCATGTCAACACTTTGCATGAGCCATGCACATGCAAGGTAAGGGAGCTTTATTGCTGACCTGCCACCTGCCAGTGTGCGTAATGCATTGGATGCTGCAGCAAAACAGGAACACTTGCCATATGAGCGCTCATGTCAACATGCAAATGCCATGCCTGCTCAAGACACCATCATGAACATTCTGTCTGGCGCAGCGTAAGGCTGTGAACTGGCGGCATAGTGCCTGCAGAGAGGACCTACACGATAAAAAGATGAGCATCAACAACAGCGGCACTAAGCTTCCTTGCAAGGACGTGGCACCAATTTTGAAGCGTCTTCTGATGGCATGCGTCCTGGATACCCTCTTGGGACTCGGGTCAGGAGCCCTATCAGGAGTGGTGCATGTGCATGTGCAACCAGTCCTGAACCCCACCCCTCCTCACTGATATGATGCTGTACTTTCAAGCACCACAGCAAGCAGGAGAGCGGGTGAGTAAGCGGTGACTCACAGTGACATGGCCCTCGGCGTGCTCGATCTGATCGGCGCGCTGCAGGGCGTTGTTAATGCGCTCGACGAGTGTGGGAACGCTGTTGACCGGGTACAGGCTCTGGTCCGGGTACACCTGGCCCGCCACGTTGGAGTCCCCCGCCACCTGTGCGCGCCACATCAGCACGTCCAGTCAACCTCCTTCTTAAGTTATGCACTCTGTCTACAACGAGAGGCTGCCCTGGCATCTTGTTTGAGCTCGCGATGAGTTCTTGTCTTGCATTCTCCCTTTGCTTTCTTATCAAGTTGTCTGCATCCACCACCTGATTGCAGACGACAGCTGACAGACACTTCCGCAGTTTGGTGCCGCATTTGAACAACCATCCAAGTGGCCTTCAAAGGGAAAACCCAAACGATTGACATTGGTTGACATTGACAGCATAGTGTACACAGAGCATCACTTGATTGGTACAGTCGCTTCAGGAAGAAAGGGAGCAGAGGTCGGACAGCAATCTCTCTGCATGCTCAGTCTCCTCAGGCAACAGACCAATGAAGGGATTTTTTCAGCCACAACTTCGACACAAAAGGCAGCCCCTCACCTGCCAGCCGGAGCAGTAGACGGCCTTGAGCCCGGCGCGGATCTGCTGCATGGCCTGATTGCCGGTCAGTGCGCCCAGAGCCGGCACAAAGGGCTCATCGTGCATCAGCTTCCACAGCTTCTCGGCTCCCACAGTCGCCAGCGTGTACTCAATCATCAGGCTGCCCTGCAGCCGCTGCACGTCCTCCTGCAGTGATGTGGCAGCACAACGTCAGCTTGCATGCATGTCACAAGAGGATCTTCTATATACTTTATATGCAACCCACCCTGATCTTCAACAAGTGTCAATGGGCAGGTCCAGATGTCCTGTTGGCACTAAACGGAACCTTGGTGTGCATGCAGTGCTGAGAAGCCTCAGAACTTGGTGCTTGGAAAGTGTCCTTGGCGTTGGCTCTGGTGCGCCCAAGAAAGGCAAAAAATTGACTTTCTGGCAAGACCTCACTTAAAGCAAGGAAATGATATCTAGGCAAGTTGCTCACTCAGAAATCAGACCAGGAATTTACTCACAAGAGAACATATCAAACACAGCGCCATCACCTGGGAGTAGGGGCGCTCAACGCCCTCCCATCTGTTGGCATGGGCTGACTTGGGGGCGACGGCCGGATGGCCGGTGCCGTTGTACAGGGCGCCGTTGCCGTTGGCGTGGACGCCGTTGCCGTTCGAGGCAGCTCCATTAGCGTTGGGGGACATCCTGGCAGTGTGTTTTCCTTGATGCAGCAGTGACAAAGCACCTGCACAGAGGGCAGCAGGCGAAATTCAACGATCGGTGTGCATGAGCATGTCCAGCCTGCCATGCATTCGTCCCTTGGTGAGAATCCTGTGCGATCACACGTGCTTTTAAGCAAGCTAGCTGCTTGACGGCAACCCCTAGACGGCGGCCTCGAGGCGGTCCATGATGCCCTCAGTCGGACACAACTGTAATGCTGTGCTTAACAGCGACAATGCAGGACAACTTCACACAAACTGGGGCGAGGCTCTGTACTAGCAAACACGGTCCACGAAATCCGATAACCTCCCTGAACTCAGCAGGTATCGGGGACATCAAAACCGCACCAACGCCACCTTGACTCGTGTTGCTTTGTGAAAACCTCTCAAACGCACCAAGAACAACAACAACGCAAGCAAAACGTACAAACACCCCCTAAAACGCAACCTCGTCTGCTTTCCGAGAAGGACCAACCGGGCAGACAACGCTAGGATGCAGTCACGTTGTTCCTGAACGTCCAACAAGGCTGACCAGTATGAGTGCTGGGTTCGCACCTGTTTGACGAAGTCTGAAGGAAGACGGAGGTGCAGGAGAAGTTCAGTGCAGAGCCAACAAATGGTGCGCGAAAATAAATCTGCGCTGGCGGACACGTCGGACCATTGCGAACACGTTGGCGGGCTGACTCGGCACCCCTGCGCCCTCGAGCCTACTCATTGGTTTCCTTCTGTTCCCTCCAACTTCTGCACGCAACTGACTTCAAGGAATTGGATCAGCTGTCAACGCCCACGATGTCGGTGCGCGCCCTGCTGGATCCACGGAGCTGGTCACTTGCCGGTGGCAGACTCGTAATGTTGCTGGGCCTTGTTTAGTACAGTGGGGGCGGCTGTTAGGTGAAGTACTACATTGCCGTGCATTTGTTTCTGTAGCAACTCTCGTGCCTATATATGACTCGCGGGTACTTTTGCACAAAAGATCGGCGTTTCGGAATAATGTGGAGCGCCCTCGGCGGTTTCTAGGCAGCTTTGACTTCTGTGAAGCTGTGTCCCTTTTGGGATGCTCGGTACTAGTTTATACCATGCATCTCACATTTTGATCATTTTAAAAGCGTTCTGAAGATTGTCTTAGATACTTGCCATTGTTCCCATTGCTCCTCCCTCTTTTTGGCTAAGCTCAGGTACAGATGAGCAAGTCGCCAATTTTGCGCCCTGCTACAATATTTTGCTCTCCATGGGTTTCCTTGGATGGCTCGTCACTGCTGTTAGTGCCATATCACTGGTACTTTCTCATTTTATGCGCCATGGCCTGTGCCCAGCACCTTGAGCCACCTTCGGACTGACATACCTGGCACGTCGAGGCAGCGCGCATCATCTGCCGAACTTTACATATTTTTTCGCATCTTGTCTCAGCCATGCTGACAATTTGCATGCATATTTACAGGAGATCCACCAGGTAGCAACTCCCAGGATGGGAGCGCAGCGCGGCGTGGCGATCACAGGAGCGATGCCGCGAGAGTATGAGGGCATCCTGACGCCCGAGGCAATCTCCTTCGTCGCGCACCTTGCGCGCATGTTCACTCCACGCGTCACCGAGCTGCTCGCCCGCAGGTGCTTGGTCTTGAATAATTTCAAAAATTGTAAAGCCTTCCTGCTAATGAATTCTTGAGCCAACGTAGGGGCTGAAGATCCTTCCCTTGCAGATCACTCACGCGGGTCCTTAGCCTGTGATGCCTTCCTGCTTGTGGAAGCTTGATCCGTACCCGTAGGGGCTGGAGAAGAGCTGACATGATTGACAGATCATTTATAGTCGAGATCAGTCAATCACGCCATCTCAAATTCGGCCATTAGGGCAGATCACATGTCTTGCTCTAAACAAAGATTTTTACATTTCTGTGTGCAGGCACGCCACAGAAATGTCGAGCTCTGCTTTCTAGTGCATCCCACAGAGTGAAGATTCCAAGAGCGCTCACAGTGAATGGGCCAGCCTGCTTCTCACAGGGTGGTCATTCTATGACCCATCATGAGCGGTCAGCCGTGAATCACTCAGTGGAAGGTTTTGCAGTGATCTGTTTACTGAAGTGTTTTTTTTGGATTTGCGCGCAGGAAGTCTGTGCAGGCGCGGCTGGACGCCGGGGAGCGGCCGCACTTCCTCGGCGAGACCCGCCGCATCCGCGAATCCGACTGGAAGGTGCGCTGCCGTTTTTGCCCCTCGCAAGAATGTCAGAGGTACACCTAGTTGCCGCTATAATCGCTCATTCTTCGTGAAAGCTTGGCCATGAGCACAATTTGGCACGTCTGTAAACGTGGATGGACATCATGTGCCCTCCATGCCATGCAGAAAGGTATTTTTTTTCTGATTGTGTGATGGAGATCCTGTGGAGGCGCTGGGATTCTGTTGTCATAAACAGCAGCTTTCTAAGACGGTAGATCCTGCAAAGATTAGAAACATTTGCTTTTTGATGTGCACACGCCACACAAGAAGCAAGGATTTGCTCGTAGAAGCCCCATGCATCAACCACTGTGTAGGTTGCAGCCATTTATCCTTGCGACGCAATCATGGCATGGTCACCAGAGTCACGGTGCAGCCGGGTTTGCGCAGCACTCTCAGCAGCTCTGGGAAATAAACCCATGAGTACGGCACACGGATATATGTTGCCATCAACACAACCTGGAATGGGCCACCATTCCTCCACACAATTTTCTCCAAAGCATTTTCTATTCGAAAAGCCTTGCATGTAAGTCCAGGAATGCACCTGCGATCAGATCCACTGGCTTTGGAGGGCCATGCATCGCAGAGATCACTGTCCAAGGATCTGCATGCGGCCCCTCTCCCTGCTAGCGCATTGCCGTGCCTGTAAGTTTTTTTCTGACTCTTCATTGATACAATGTGCAGGTGGCGCCGATCCCGGCGGACATTCAGGACAGGCGGGTGGAGATTACGGGCCCAGTGGACCGTAAAATGGTCATCAACGCGCTCAACTCCGGCGCCAACGTGTTCATGGCCGACTTTGAGGACTCCAACGCGCCCACCTGGTGCGCACCTGCCAGCACATGGAAGAGTGCACAGACAGGAAGAAATTGCAAACATCTAAAAATGAAGGTGCTGGCTAGGCCAGATGAGAGCTTGCCTTGAATAGCTGTGCTCTCACAAGAAGTCCTTGCCAGTTTGGAAGACTGCGACGCACCAGCCTGCTATGGTTGCTGCCAGGACCCTCATCCGCTGCCATATTAAGTGAAGTTGCTGCTGGCAGAGGTGTGCTGAATAATCTAGGCGTGTGGAACTTGTGCAGGCGCAATCAGATCGAGGGTCAGATGAACCTGAAGGACGCGGTGCGTCGCAGCATCACCTACAAGGACCCCAAGTCCGGCAAGACCTACCAGCTCAAACAACAGGCAAGCCTTCCACCCCTTGTGTGAAGTCCGTTCATAGCACATGCTGTGCTGTGCAAGGCTTCTGCAGCAGTTCTGCTGCGTGCACTCAATGCAAGCGGGCCCTCAAAGCACTGGTGCTTCATGAAAGGCTTGGACGCCCCACATGATGGATGATTTGATTCCTTCTGCGCTCCAGTTGAAGTCCGTTAATAATTGCAATCTGGGGCCTCAAGTCTTCTGAAGCTCTTGTGCTTTGTTTGCTCTGCAACCCTGAAACTGAGCTGGGGGCTCATGTAACCCAATCTCAACGCTTTGGCACTCTCTGCCACACTGGCAATGGCCGCGCAGCTGACCTCCTCTGCTTCCTGCCTTTGTGTTAAAGCAGTCCGACCTGATGTTAGATTGCTGCCCTCTGCTTCTGGTTTCTGTACTCTCATCTGCTCGAGAGCTGTACTGCACCGCAGATGACTGTGCTGCTCATTTTACACAATTGTTGGGCAGGCTCTGATTTGTATTTTGCACTGCACCGCAGACGCCGGTGGTTTTTGTGCGGCTGCCCGCTGCTTCAGCTTTTAGCTAAATTTGCTGTGGGAGACCGAACTATAAAACCTGATGAGTTGTGTGTTTCACCTGCGCAGACGGCGGTGCTGTTTGTGCGGCCGCGCGGGTGGCACCTGCAGGAGAAGCACGTGCACGTCGACCGCCTGCCGGTGCCGGCCGCGATCTTTGACTTCGCGCTCTACTTCTTCCACAATGCTGCTGAGCTGCGCAGCCGCGGCTCCGGCCCCTACTTCTACCTGCCCAAGATGCAGTCCCACCTGGAGGCCCGCCTCTGGAACGACGTCTTTGTCGAAGCCCAGGCCGAGCTCGGCATCCCCCGCGGCACCATCCGGGTATGACTGCGTTTCGTCCCTACCTTTATTGTCCAGCAACACTGTTCTACTACCAGCCTAATTGTGTGTCTTATTGTTTTTCTTGCGGCAGGCAACGGTGCTGATAGAGACGCTGCCGGCGGCGTTTGAGATGGATGAGATTCTGTGGGAGCTGCGCGATCACAGCGCGGGGCTCAACTGCGGCCGCTGGGACTACATCTTCTCCTTCATCAAGACACTGCGCGAAGACCCCTCTGCCGTCATGCCTGACAGGTTTGTGACCCTTTCTCTGGCCCCTTTTCACATCTCTGGGACCCTGAATTTGGCAACATTTCAGGTCCCGTAATAAGTTTTCAAGATCCTTGCAGGAGGACCCTGCTGCCCGCATGCCCGATCGGCGCGACCTTGTACTGTTTCTCTTTGCTTTCATAGGAGAAATTATGGGTTGGGCTGCATGCAATAGCCCACAGGCGCTCATACAGTAATGTAGGCGCTATCGGCTCAGTGTCTGCGATATTGGTATGGTGCCCAGGTTGCTAGAAATCCGAGCAGGTCAGAGGTGGACATGTCTGTGAGGATGCAGACAGGCAGATGCAGTGGTTTCACAGCCAGACTTCCAGTCTTGGGTTGTGGTGGTCTAGCTTGGACACCTCAAGCATACTTGAGGACCTCAAATTGAGGTGCTGGGCTGGAGACCACACACCGAACGCTGTCATGTCCGGCTGTGAAAACACACTTAACACTGAAGAAGGTTGCAGTGCTTTCCTGGTTTCCAATCACACCTTGCTTTGAGTAGCATGAGCCAAGATTTTAGAAAGACAAGTGCCTGTTGACTTGTGTCCTTGTTTGGAAACATCTGCAGACTGGTATGAACGCTGCAGATCCGTACAAGTTCATGGGAGGTCATGCTGAGGATGTAGCAAGCTATATGGTGCTGAGCTGGCAGCGTGCTGAGGTGGCGCGTGCATGCATGCGCGCAGGGGAGTTGTGACGATGGAGCAGCCGTGCATGCGGGCGTACAGCCTGCTGCTGATCAAGACCTGCCACCGGCGCGGGGTGCATGCCATGGGCGGCATGGCCGCTCAGATCCCAGTCAAGAACAATCCCCAGGCCAACGAGGCCGCCCTTGCCAAGGTGCCCACCTTTTATGGCCCCTATGGAATCTGCTGCTATACTCCCGGCTGCTTCCAAGGCTGCATGACCCAAGCCTCTGGCTACTATGGGCGCGCTTGAAGGTGCAGAGTTGTGGTGCATGTGGGCAAGCTGTCTCCGTAGAAACACCCAGCTCGCCTACATCCTGTACAACTCTGATACCTCCAAGTTTGGATGCTTGAGAAGCTGCATGCAAGGGATCTGCGCTTGTCATTGTACTCTGTACTCTGTCCTCTGTCCTCTGATTCAAGAGTGACAAGGGCTTGGCGCCCTCTTTGTTTAGCTGCTGTCAAATGCTGATTGCTTGAAGTTTGAGGAGGATGCGACGTCTTCGTGCTTGCATGGGCATGCTGCGGTGTCATGGCGGTGTTTGTTATTATACTTGCTGTTTTACTTTTGGTGATTGCTATTCCACCTGCATCCCTTCACCTGCACCTCTGCTTTTGTACACAAGCAGCCCTGGTAGGCATTATCCCTCAATGTTGTATATCTTTACTCTGCATGCATGCGTGCTGAGGTGGCGCGCCTACGTGGCGCAGGTGACCGCTGACAAGCAGCGGGAGGTGCGAGACGGTCACGACGGCACATGGGTCGCCCACCCGGCACTCGTGCCCATCGCCAAAACCATCTTTGACGCCGGCATGACCACGCCCAACCAGGTGCTGCGCCATCTTGTGTCCTTTAGAACAAGTGTGGATCATGTAGTGACATTCAGGTCCGCTTTTCGAGAGTGCTCCCGTTAGTCCTGGACAGGAAGCATCTGTACCGATCTCTAGCAAATTCTGCCTTCGCTCAGTACAGAGTAAGATATGGCAAGTGCACGCGGGGAGGAAGACTTTCGTTATGCATAAGGAGCATTGGGTGCAAGAAGCACCCTGCTGGATGCGATCATAGCGCTGAGCGTGCATGCCTTCAGCTAGAGTTTCCCCTGTATGCATTCTCAGCGGAGATGGAGCCAGCATGGTGCTTGTACCATGCCATGCCTATTACGGTTTTATTTCTGTTTGTGCTTTTGGCTGAGGCATTTGTTTAGATCAGGCGTATATCTAGTAGGCATCCGTCCTGGTTGACATCAAACATGGCAGAGGTAACTACGAGTGTTCGCAGCTTCGGTGAACTCCAAAGATCATCCGCAGTTTCTTTCGCTCGAGGTCCTTTGCTTTGCCAGGCGTCTTTGCTAGATCAGGCACCTGTTCAGACCAGGCATCACTCCCGGACCTCAATAATGAGGCACCCCTCCTAGATGTGCTATCACACTCACAATACCCCCAAAATGAACCTGAAGTTCACTTAAAGAGCAACTCTAAATCTAGATTCATAACGAAAATGTCCTGAGCGTTGTGCCGCGCAGATCGGCAAGGCGCGCTCGGACGTGAGTGTGAGCGAGCGGGACCTGCTGGCGGTGCCCAAGGGCCCGCGCACGGAGGCGTGTCTGCGCAATAACTGCGTCGTGGGCGTGCAGTACCTGGAGGCCTGGCTCGGCGGGCTCGGCTGCGTGCCCCTCTACAACCTTATGGAAGACGCCGCCACCGCCGAGATTTGCCGCACCCAGGCGCGCGCCGCTGCTTTCTCTCCTTTCTTGTAGTACTCTTAGAGGCCGTGGATGGCGCCAGGCGGCACAACTACTGAGCACCGCGCCCGGGAGTTGATTGGTCTCGTTTTCATCTGTTTCTATTGTGAAGCGTCTATGAGTTTTGTAGTCTCGGCAGTATGGTGAGCGGTATATCTAGTGTAGAGTATCAGATGCTTCTGGGCATGTTGCTGCTGTACTTACATCCGATTGAGGATGCTCAGATCGTCCCTGGCATACTTTGTCATTAGGCACCTTACAGGCCTGCTGGTTGCAAAACTATGCGTGTTTCTGATTCTCGGTGGTGGGTCTATCTCGGGCACAGCGCTCTGCAGGTTCGCAGCATGGTCAAACTCCTAATCGTGGAGCCACCGTGCAGATTGAGAGTCTGTCAACCCTGCGGATCTGATGATAGCCAAGGCTTGTCGCCAAGTTCTCCGTCCTTTGTTCTTTAAACTTACTCGTGCTTTTGTCTGAATTGCGGTCGGCGCATGCGCGCAGGTGTGGCAGTGGCTGCACCACAAGGTGAAGCTGGACGACGGGCAGGTCATAACGCGGGAGCACTTCGGCCGCATGCTCACCGAGGAGATGGACAAGCTGCGCAGGTGGGGCTGCTTGGGGGCTATATCAAGGGTTTAGGTGTAATAATTCAGCATCTAGGGTTACATGGAGGACTGAGGGGGTTCATGACGTCTCTCACTCAGCAATTGCACCTATACCGAATGTGCTGCGGGCGACTGGTGGGCTGTCAACCTCTCAGCCAGCGAGATGCTGTTTGTGACTAATCGCTGACTAATCCACCCCTAACGCGCAGGGAGCTGGGCGAGGCACGCTGGAGCCGCGGCCACTTCCCCGAAGCCATCCGCCTCTTCCACGAATTCTCCACCTCCGCGCAGCTCGCAGACTTCCTGACCATCGCCGCGTACGACGCAGTCGTCTCCCGCGACTCAACCCACGCCTCCAAGCTCTAAGCAGCCGCTCGAATATGAATTCAAAAGAGCGGCAGCCTGGTCAACGGTTTGATTATGGCCGCATGCGATGCTGTCGTGTCACATGACGCATTGCATGCCTCCAAGGTCTGAGCGCAGCTCAACTTTGAATTTGAAATAACGGCGTGGCCGAGGCTTTGAGAAGAGCCGCTTAAGATGCTGTCGCTTGTTGCGTGCTTCATACCATGCACCCAAGCTTTGGACGGCGGGCTGAAATCGAAGCAGCAGCAGCAGGAAGGGAAAGCTGGGAGGACTTGTGGTAGCCAGGTGCCTTCAAGTTCTGGGCGGCGCCTGCCTGAGATGGATTTTGAGTCGGTGCAAACTTGAATCTGACTCTGCAACAGAGGTGCAGGACAACTGCGAAGGAGGATAAGAGCGCCTGGGCCAAGCATTTGCTGCGCAGCAGTAGTAAAGGAAACTCTTGATATTGCGTGTCCACTCATTGTCTGCAGGTTTTGTGGTGTGGCGTTATGTACCAGCAGAAAACAAATTATAGCCGCCCATCTTTTTGGTATTGCCTCAGGTTATTGTGACACATTCAGGGCAGGCAAACAGCATTAGGCGCTGTGTTTAGGTGGGGTTTGCTCCAGTCTGGATAAGAACTAACAGGAACGCTTTGTGTGTATTTGTGAGCCCTGGGTATGGGGCGCCAGTTTTGTCTATTGGATAATTAGAGACCCACTCAGCTCGCTAGCTAGGTTTGCAAATGACGGCTTGGTCTGATGAAATTTGCGGCGTTTTTGGATGTATGCATGTTTCCATGCTGCGCTAAAATTTTGGCATCTGTCTTTAGGAAGGTAGGTAAGAACTTTGCAGCTTAGCTGCTACCAGCGTTTTAGAGTGTTGACTCAAGGTGTGTATCAGGTTAGGATGCTTTGGAGGGCAACACGCACTATCGCAGGAGTGATCAAGCTTGTATATGGTACTTGTAACACACACGTATTATGGCAATATTGGCGTTAAGCTGCCAGTCCTTAACAGGGTAATTCTGCCAGAAATTCTGTGTAAGATCTTGAAGGTGCCACAAAAGTACTGCATGGTATTGCATTCATATGAGTTGGCTGAGGTGAAGGCAGCCCAGCAGGCTTTGGAAAAGATATCCTTATATTTATTACACGGACGCTTCTCCTCTAGGTTCTTGCCAATTGGGAGAACTGTGGAATCCAGGGGAAGAAGCGGTTCACTTCAGGGTTACAAAGAAATGTCCAGCAAGGCAATCTAGCTAGAATGCAAAGTAGTGAAACCACAATACTACACCGAGCAGGAATATGACGCCTTTCTAACCTCAGAAATAACCAGCAGAGCATGCACAGCACCAAGGCAAAGAGTGATATGTATATGGCCACAGCAAAGACATCAGGGGTCTCTATCACATGCACCACTCAGCGAAAGCATATAAGCAAGTGTTTTGCTCATGACACTGCCCAAAGCAAATACAGTGCTATGCTATGCGATATCATATGGTCATCCATCCACATGTCAAGAAACTTTTGGCGCTTTTGCATGGCTGCAGGCGCGATCATCTGCGTCTAAGACCAGGAAGGCACCCCAACACAGTCTGGGCATTGCAGCAAAGAATACCGCCAATCAGAGATCCGTAACAAATTCTTGCAAAAGAGCACCCGTCATGTCCAGGGGAATATGGTTCACATGTTATTGCCCCAGACACAGCACTCCATTCCCCTCCCACCAGGAAGACTTCAAATTTTTCCTAATGCTAATTCCATCATCTTTGATGCCGGCCACAGCGCTCCCCACCAGATCGGCGCTTCAACATTGAATTCAAATTCAGTTCTCCAGCATCTTGCGGCCGGCGGCGCTCATTGACGGGGCTGCAAAGTCACAAGGCAGCAGTCAAAATTATTGCTACAGGAGGCAGATCTTGCCAATTGAAGTCAGCTGTAAAGCCGGCGCTCACACGGCATCTTTAATCAAACAAACTTTCCAATGTATGCTATCCTGCGCATGCAACTAGCAAACATTGCAGCTGGGGGTGCACATGCTGCTGCAATGCTGAAGCAGACTTTGCTCCAAAACATGCAACAAGTTTTGCACTGGGAACGCCAACGTAGGGACACCGCTCTGAGATTAGGAACAAACGAAAGGAAGTGACTCACCCATGGCCATGGCAGCGGGCATGAGCTTGACGTGGCCAAAGTCCGCCTGGGCAGTCTCGCACCTGCGCGCACATGCCGGCACATGTCAGCAACCAAGATTTTCTTGCCTTAAGATACAATATCATTCCTGCTCCTGGTGTCAACACAAAAGCTTTGGCAGCCACAGCGTTATTTAAACAACATGCTGCGGCGGTTAATGCCACAATATAAATTGGCAATTTCACGTCAAGCTCACTCCTCTTGTCCACTCAAATTGACAAAAACACAGCTTCAATACACTGCTTGTAGACAACATGTTCAGCAGTAGAAGGCATGCGTCTGCCTGAATCTCTTTAAGACTATTACAGTGGCAGGCAGAGGAGAGCTCACCATGCAACAATGTAGGTGACGTTGTCCCATGTGGCGCCTTGAGTCAGCAGGGGAACAGTCTGCAGAATACAAACACCAGCTTGATTCAAATCCACACACAAAAATCAGAAACGGCTCACACTGGCAGTGGGATACAGGCATCCCTTTCCGGGTGCTTGCAAAGCTTTCAAGGTCTGGACATTCAAGCTATAATGAGGGCAGCTCTGAGGCCATTGCCAAGACATGGTTAACGAGTGTTGCATGCTATAAGTGGCACCAAAACAGCTCTGCATGCTTGTCATCCGGGCTGCGTACACCAGAAGCAGCGACTATTTGAGAGTTTTTTTGAAGAAGAGAACATGGGAAATGGGCGAGTTCTTACCATCTCAAGACCGTTGACTGGACCGGTGACTGTCATGGGGTTGAGCTCCTGGCCAGCCCTGTAAATAAAACCCAAATTTTTCAGTTGCTTGTCTCAAGCGCCAGTTCATCTGACGTACAAAGACTGCGCGCGCGACACTCACGAATGGCCGATCGTGAGGTCCTGGGCAGCCACAGTTCTGACAGTACTTTTGCAATGGCAGTTCAGATCAAAGCAGTGGCGGAGTATTACTTGAGGTCCTTGACACCGAGGCTCTTCGCGCCCCACCAGTGGACGGCCGGGGCAAGTCCATCATACGAGAAGTTGGTCACCTGCACCCGTGACGCATTCAATATCACACTATGATCTTTCTGGAGTAATTCAATTCTTTGGAGACGTGCTGTTGAAGTGGAGGCATTCCTGCGAGAAGTACGGTTCAGCAGCACTGTTGACATCAAGATCGGAGGTGAATGGCGAATTCACAAAATGTTCTCGTCAACGTGAAAAGCAATTAGTAAAGCACTCACCTTGAAGCTGCAGTCGTCCAGGATGGTGATGGTACCTCCAATCTGCGTAACATGGACAGAAAGATCAGCCGAGCACACACATCATGATCGGTAAGCTTAGGGTTGTCCGGATCGACCACGGCGAAATCATTCCTTTGGAGTTCAATACGATTCTGACCTTTTGACGCAACTTTGCTGAAGAAGGAAACCTTTATCAGCATCGACGCTGGCATATCTATACAACCAGGCACCTCAGAGCAGGATCCTTCGTGGTCAATGGCCATGTCGTTTGGGTTTGGAGCAAGAATGCACACAGTTCTTGGAGGGGGGCTCACCATGTGGTCAACGGTGGTGAGAGGTCCAGTAAACCCGACGTAGGGGCTTGCTGCTGTACAGGCAGCATCGATGGTGACTGCAGCACCGCAGAGGGCGAGCGCGATGGCCAGTACTTGTGCGAAGCTTGCCATGGTAATTGGGGAGCTGTTGAATTTTCGAGGGGCTAAAATTTCTTTGTGTTAAGTTGGCGATGTTTTGTGAGATTAAAGCTGCTTGGTCTCTTTCTGTCTCCTTCTCGCGAGAAAGAATGGACCAGCCTCTCGAGAGGCAGCATGAGCCTATTCAGGCCATACTTTCATGCCGGTGCCGATCTTGGCTCTCACCCATCCATCGCGAGATGCTTCGCGATGAAACATCGCGCGATGCGGATGTTGAGGGAATATAAACCCCTCAGTATAATGAACGGCACATATTTAGTGGAAGCAGATAAGAACTACATCTTGTGCATCAACCGCCATCCCCGCTTGGTGCAGCAAGATATAAGCACTGCTTCTTGCTGACTTGGACAACCCACTGACATCATGATAAAGGTTCCCAGTACTCTTTCGTGGGTGATCATCATATGTATCGTGTGCCGCGCGACCGTCAAAGCCAAGTACGTCCCGAATGTGCCAACAGAAAATCAGTGGGATCGTGCTTTGTGATTGCATTCGGAAGCGTTGCAGACTTCCCGGTCGTTGAGGGCGAGTCTGAAGGCTTTTAGGATTACGAATAGTTGTACTTCGTTGAGTTGCACGCACTGACGTTGGTCTTCGAGCAACCCTAGTGAGCACACACTAAGTCAGTAAACTCAAAGAACGCAATGCAGGTGCCCACATCTCATTAAAGTCGCCGGAGCGCAGAGAGCCCTTCTCCAAGGCAGGTCCCACGCCCTCACTGCCTCCCGCATCCAAGTCCAATACACACATCATTCAAAATCCAATGCGAACCCTGCTTAGCCACCCTTTTTCAAGTTAATCTGCTCTTTAAAGATCTGTTCTAGTATACAGCTCACTCCAAAGCAAGATAGGTCAGATACAGACTCCCTTGAAAAGCATTGTCACGGTGCATGCAGCGGCCGCCCCCGGCCCGGCAGCGGCAGCGGCCGGCGTGCCGATGCGCGGCTGCAACGGGTCCCGGACGCATCCGTATGTGGGGTACCAGGGCGACCTCACCACGATGGACCACGGGGTGCGCTGCTGCATAAATGCTATGTTTAAATTGATGTTATTACACGCTTCTCCTGCCAGAGGCAAGGTGCGGTACTGCCTATGTATGGCAAAAGAGCTCATGCAGCAAGAATTGCATGTGCCCTTGGCTGTTCCGCTGGGGACTTTTCGTTTTGCAGCAGCAGCTTGCAGCACACAGCCAGTCCTGGACATGCAGATAATGGGCGTGGGTTCTACATTTGTGAAATCCCAACCCTCGATGCATACAGGTGCTCTGGAAAGCTGTAGAATCTGCTGAAGCTTCCTTTTTTTGCAAGCAGTTTGCTCCTCATTGCACCTGGCCGACTCAAGGGGGAACTGCCAAAACTGAGCATCGGCCTTTCAATGGGCAATGTAAAGTCTTGCTACATTGGCCTTGTGAATCAACAAGTATCTTGGAAGACATGTGACAATATACCTTGTGCTTGTGGTCAGGTGAGCGGCCACATCAGCATCCTGGATGACTGCACCTTCCGGGTGACAGAATTCAATTATGACGGCAAGGCACCCGCCGCTCACTGGTGGGGAGGGAGCCTCGGCCTCGAGCAGGACCAGCTCAGGTGATTACCAATCGATTCGTGCACACAATTGCAGATCAGTACTGTACCCTCACCTTGAAGGGCCTATTTTGCAGTATAGGGAAGGAGGTTGTGGCATGGTTTGGTTAGACTGGTAGTCAAAGACTGTGCATGCAAAACAGGCTTGTAGCAATTCCTATGCCATTGGGCTCGAGCAAAGAGGCAGGAAAGCAACTCATTGCAAATTTTGCGATTTATGGTGCTGTAGATTGATACTCATTCGATGGGGTGCCTGCCTAGAGATTTAAATCCCTGGGCGCAGGAAGGGTGTGGAGCTGGACCCTATGCGCCTGGAGACGCCCCTGCAGAACGCGGAAATGGTGCGCCTAATTCAACTCCCTTCCTGCCAACTGCTTTATGTTATGTCAGAGTATATCCTGCTTCCAGGTTTGACCAAGGCGTCCATAAGTCAAATGTCCTGGCATGAAGTCAGGCCAAAAAAGAGAGAAAACCGCACCGTTTCTGCATGGATACTTCTGCAAATATACTTAGTAAGCTGTTATATACTTGGTAAGCTATTATATACTTAATAAGCTACTCGGCACTTGTTGCTGCCTGCAGACGGTGCAGCTCCCTGCAGGAGTCACATGGAAGAACATCTCAATCATCTCAGTATGGTGTGTGCTCTGTCTCTCTCTGCATCTGTTTTTAGCTTGTGGGTAGCCCAAATCCTGCCCCTCTGACAATTTGCCATGCACATGCACTAATTGAACAACATTGGAAGGCAAGCAACAATGAACAAACCTCCTGCAGGCTGCTGATTTAAGGTATTGACAACATGCAGCATGAGCTGGGAAAGAGCCTCAAGAAGGCTTCTCAGCTTTCCAGGGGCAATATCAAGCCCGACTCTTCTTTGTGCGCATGACTGGTGCATTGTGTGCAGGTGCGAGGAATTTTTGGCGGACTTTGGGCATGTCATACTGGCTCCAGGTTTGTCATGCAAGCCATTGTCACTCTTAGTCATTCTAAGTCACGTTGATCCCAAGGCGGTCGCCATTTTGATTTCACGCTGATGTGTTCATGCTGAGAGAAAAGAGATGCCATTACAGGCTGTCTTGCACATCAGCTGGCTGTTTGCATGCCTGTTCCAACATTTGACCTTTGTTTGTCACAGGAAACGTGTCATCTTTGGCACCTGCATCGGCGCCGGCAGCGGCGGCTGACGCAGGCAGCTTTGACCACTGCATCGATCTGTCGCCAAACTTTTACCAGATGCAATGGAAGGTGCGCATGGTTTACACAGCCCCTGGCAACTGTGCCTACTGGAAGATCAAAATGCGCATGCCAGACGAGCAGATTCTGATGATGTCATGTGATGTAACATACATCATATGACACCTCAGATTCTGGTTATTTGTACCTGCCACCGGTCACCCTCATGTGTGCTGCAGCAGTTTCCTCAAGGCTCCAGTGGGCATGTGAATGTGAAAGGCCGACTTAAACTGATCACTGCTGTATCGAGACCGATTAAGGAGTGTTGTGCAGCAAGGAAGGACAGTTTCATGTTTGTTTTACAGCTGGACAATCCCGATCCAGTAATGGCAAAGGCGGTGACTGTCTCGTACCGTGCATTCCTGGATGCCAACATGTGGATGGGCTTTGGCTACAGCAGCGACAACGCAACAGAGGTGACATATTCAAACTCAAAAATTCGAAATTCGAAAGTTTCAATCCAAAATGTACCAGCTTCACTAAGCAAATGAGGAAGGGTGCATGTGTCATGTTCAGCCTTTGAGGTCCTTCTGTGCAGCCATTCAAAACCAGGGGAGTCAGGGGCATCAAACTTTGCAGCATCGGCCCTCGGCCCTTGATTTGCAAGTTAATTAAACTTCTAATTTTAGGTCCCGTTGCGTGCAAAGAAGCATGGCAAAATGCCCTTTCATGCGCTTTTAAAAATTCTGGAAGCACAGGGTTATCACAGCCAATATTGAGGCCTGGGAATGATCTGCTAAGTTGCTGTGTAGGTTCAGATGATTGGGAGTGATGTGGTAATTGCTGGCATGGTGGGGGACAAGTGCTTTGCGTACAGCTACTACCTGACTGCCAAGGAACAGTGCAACTACGAAGGAGGCCAGGTGTGGCCCCCATTAAAATGCACATGCACTGCATGGGTATCACACTAGAACAGCGGCTTGGTGACAATCATCTGCACGGTTCTGGTTTGTCCCCAGGCTGCTGTGAAGTCATGAAGGTTGGCGTGTTTTGCTGATTTAAAGGACATATTTGGCTATTCTGATAGGTAGCGGGTGCATGCCTTGCTTCCTCAGCTTCTAGGAAGGTTTATTTTAGGGTTAAGGGTCTGCGCATTGCGCTTTGGTGAATGCAATCACGGGCTTGTCAATGATATCTCTGGTGAAAGCTCTTCCTCCACATGCATTGAGCAGAACCACATTAAATGGGATGTTTCCCTTTTTCTAGTCCATCACTAGCGCGTGTAGGTGTTCTCAACTCATTTGTTGTTTAGCTGCCATTTAGCAAAAAACCAGCAGCATGAACAAGCTGCATTCTGAGAAGCGCTTGAAATTGCTGTTGTGTCGCTTGGGACGCAGAACGCTGGGGTGTGCCCCGTTTCTGGCCTGCTGGGCATGCCGCACACAAACACCGGCAACTCCGCACAGCTCGTCAGCTGCAACCGCGGAGCCGGCAACCTCGTCACTGTCACCTTCGCCCGTCCCCTCAAGGCCTCCAACAAGTGAGAGGCCCAACTGCTGGCTCACTGAGTCAGTCATTCTGAGGGCGTGAGTTACAAATATACGGATTTTACCTTCAAGTTGCTGGATGGTTGCTCGCTCTGGATGGGAGCCAAATTTGGTGGTTGTAGTAGACAGTACACACAGGCACCCCTTGCCCTTGACAACTCGCCTGAGTGAACAGGCACATTTGCACGTACGCGGACGATTTTGTCATGCCTAATTCCAATTAGTCATGCAAAATTTTCACTACCATGTGAATTGACTCGCTGACAAAACAGTGTGAGCCCTAGAGTAATGAGTGCCTGCGCGGTAGGCAAATGGCAGGTGAATGCCTGCCTTGAAACGAGCGCTCATGAACTGCATGCATGTCCTTGTATATTTTATACAGGGACATGCATAAATTGAAATCTACTGCAAATGACCCCTTCTTACTGCAAATTATCGCACAGCATTTATCAGTATTATTCTTCCTATCTTCAGCACACACTTTCCAGTCCTAAGTACCAAAATACGACCCATTTATTTATTTATACCTATCTTCGTGCGTGCAGGTTTGAGCATGACTGGCCGGTGGGAGCACCAAAATATGCAGTCTGGGGAGTTGGGCCGTTGTCTCAGGGGTCTACTGCCGCGGAACCTGTAGTGCTCTTTCACGCCCCAAGCAACAGGGTACGCCTCTTCAAATCTTTTAAAGTCTTGTGTGCAAGAACCTCAACTGTTACTGTATACGAGGGAAAAAAGCAGCCGGCAACTGCTCACTGCCATAGGACTAGTGAAAGCCGCAAGAGTACCTCTGCAAGAGTTGGTCAGAGTAACAGGTAATAGACCAAGGCAGGTATCGCGGCTTGCTTTTCCATGAAGTCTTGACTGTCTCCATAACATGAAGACATGAAGACAGGTATCGTGTCTAGTCCGTAAGGACTAGGAAACGCGTGAGAAAATACAGTATAATTTAGCTTGAGGCCTCTTGAGAGTGACTGTCTTTTTGCAGGGCCCCACATACGCACCGGATGGTTTCAAGCTGAGCCTGGGCGCTCCAAGCCAGTGCAAGGCGCTGCTCTCTCCTCCGATAGCAGGTGACTTTAACATTGACGAATGCGTGACTCCAGTTTCTATTTAGAATAACAGCGCTGATGCCATGCACTTTTTCACCAATGCAGCGGATACCGCTTTTCCTTGGGGAAGATGGTGTATTGACAACTTCTGAAGATATCGAATTTGACTTCGGAATATGTGTTGCCTGATCAGGCGCGACAGCACCCGCGCCGCAGCCGACCATGCAGCCGCCAAAGCTGCTCGATCTCACCAAGACCAACATGATCGAAATCACCACAGGTACAACAAAAACTCTTTCTTTGTGCAGCTTTATCAGATCTCTGCCAACCTGACTTGCCATACAAGGCTCCAATTAGGCAGTCAGTTGTGTACATTCAGTTTCCAAGCCAGTCTTGCATACAAGTTCTGAGCGCACTGGGAAGTACCATACAGCTGTCCTTTATATCATGATGGCTGCAGCTTTCACATGCTATTGCGCAAGCCAAACAGTAATCTCTGCTTGGCACCAGTGACACCAATGACAAATTCACCCCGTTGCTCGCAGGCACCAACAAGAACTACCCAAATCCGCCGGCCTGGGGACTGAGCCTGCATGTGTACGGCCTGGAGACACCGGTGGTCAAAGTGGCGCGCGGCACAACATACACCTTTGTGGTAAGCATACTTTACTGTTTCTTGCGTCTCACCTGAGATGAATCAGCAGCTACGCACACATGCACATATCCTGCAGTGCTGGCTCTTGTTAGACAATAACAAGGTGCATGGTGGGGCACTGTCGGCGTTCCTGCTCGCATGCTTCTCTCTCTTCTGCAACAGCACCACCAGCGGCTGCTTTCCTGTGTAGCCCTGTAAAGCTGCTTCGGCCCTTGCTAGGCCAAATCATTGCACACGGAGCATTGATCCAGTAGCCGCAAGTTTTCCTGCCAACAGCAAAGACTCTCACCTCTCACCTCTCCTCAGTGCACTTGACCAACATGCATGAATGCAGCTGCAGAGCATACCAGCCATAACTCATTGCAGCAGTGGCAAGGGTCTCACCCTTAGAATCAGAATTGAGAGTTCAAAGGTGAAATGGTAGAGCTTGCGTCGCAGATAAAGGCGGGAGAGACGCACCCGATATACATTACGGACAACATCAACGGCGGCGGAGAGGAGACTGACATCATTTACGGCGGCAGCGACTCCGCTGCAGGGACAGTCGCAAATCCGTTCACCTTCACCTGGACCCCCAACATGTGCGCGCCCCTTGGCAAGATATAAATGCATGGGGTAATTTACTATACATTATTCGGGGCTCAGGGCCCTTAACGCAGCATTACAGGTGCCAACCTGTCGGCCTCATGTGATGTTCAGGACTCCTCCGGGAGGTTTTCTCACAAGAGTGGGGTTGCAACAGTGTTTCGTGTGTGTGAAATCAACGTTATGTCAGTCTGGATTGCATGTTGGTTTGACTGTGTATGGTGATTGTGTGGCACAGGACGACGCCCAGCACGGTGTTCTACCAGTGCTTTGCGCACAGGAAGCTGGGCTGGATCATGCAGGTGTGCTTTGATTACCCAACAAGTCTTGTTCACCGTTTCTTCTGAGGCCCATAGTGCGCTGTCACTGCTGCCTGCAGCTGCAGTTTCTGCAGAACTGTCTGCATCTCTCACTGATAAGGTATGTGCATGCATGTTTTGACTAATTATAATCATTCTTCTTGCAGGTTGTCAATGCAGATGGCAGCCCCAACACGGTCCCCAACCCCAACAAGGCTTCTATCGAGGCCATTGCAAAGCTGCCTGTGGCACTGACTAACCCCACCACGCTAGCGGTCAGTGTTCCTGACACACCTGATCCCTCCTTGCACTGGGCAATCTCTTGGCAAGCAGTCATAAGCTGTGGGTTCACATGGTACTGCACTGGTAGTTTCCCTCAGGCCTTCCGCCTAATTCTTTGCGCATATTCTCATCACATTCCAACCCCATGCAAAGCAAGCCATGTTTTCCCACCACTGCCTACGATGCCCCCGCAAGTCATAGTGGATTCGAACTTGTCTTCGAAAAGGACTGCCTATACAGGCATCCATGGGCGGCGCGGCGCCGGCGCCGGCCCCGGCGGCCGGGGAGGGAGGGAACGCGTGCAGAGCAAGGTTCGGCGCTGACGGGGCGGATGAGCTGTACTCGCACTGCGCCAGGCTGTCGCAGGACAGCGCCGATGTGCGCCTGAATTGGCGACTCGACACCCTCGCAGGCAAGAAGCCACTTCCATGTTTGCCATGTCGTCATCTATAGCTTTGCAAGGCTGGAGCTGCCTCGCTTCAATTGCCCTGTCACAACAGCACAGTAGCATTTTGTACAAAGAAGAAATTGCAGGGATCTGAGCAGCTTGACTGCCACTTGCAATTGCATTACACAGGACCCGTGCGTCCTTCTTTGCCCAACCAGGCATGCACAAAATAGACGCAGCATGCGAATTCAAACTGCTGAGGATGAAAAGTCAAAGTGTTCTAGGCGAATGACTCATGAGCGCCAGCAACTGGCCTAGCCACCAAGGGTGCAGGCCAGCAATCAGACAATGAAGAGCGGTCGAGGTATGCTCGTGCACTTTTGCGAGAAGCTTACTTCCACTGAATCGGACACCACCCCCTTTGCAGGCAGGCGAGACATGACGGCGTTGCTGCAGTGCGCGAACGGTGACGGCTGGTGCGCGTGGGGCCTCTCGCAAATGCCGGGACAGATGATCGGGACCAGCGCCATCGTTGTCCGCTCATGCCCCACCTGCCCGACTGGTGAGCGCCCAATCGTTCTTTTTGGAACGATTGCTTTAATACCGTAGTAGTCATTCTAAAACCCGCACCCTCGGCGGCGCAGGAGTGTTTCAAAGCATTTTTTAGGGGTCTTCCTGACTTCAAATATACCAGGGTCATGCTCCATTGGATTGGGCTTGCTGAGAGCTTTTCGAATTTGGTCTCAAAACAAACAAAGAGACCCAGAAAGCTGCGGCCCGGCGTGGACTGGTGCGGATTGCAGGCTGCGGACTTTGCCGCAAGAGTTTCATTTCCTCAAAGCAAGGCAACTGTTCATCAAGTGGTTCTCCAAGCTGCTTCATATCATGCATCTGCTACACCTTGAAGCGAATCAGGAAGGAAAAGGAGCAGTCATGCAAGCTGGCTCGCATAATGCTGTCCGTCATTGCACTGCCGGCTGGCGGGGGGAGGTATACATACTGAGCACCGTGCCCACGGTTGATTGGGTCTTGCTTGGATCTGGCGAGTCCATCAAGGGGTAGGATTTTGGTAGCCTTTACTGCAGCTTGTCTGCAGACGCACCTTGCTTCTGGCAGGAAAAATGTGTAACAGTAATAATAATAATTGCACTGCCGCTTGCTGCGCAGGTGCGACAGCGGAGCAGTATTACCTGGCGTCCAAGTCAGAGTCAGGGGTGCATCCTGACCCCAAGGGAGCCCTGCAAGTGCTCAAATCCGAGGCCACAAAATTGGCAAATGGCACCATTCAGGCGCTGTTCACTCTGCGCTTGCCGGAGGGCGTCAGCGCCAAGAACTACATCGTCGACTGCATGTGAGCTCATACACCCCTCCATCACCCGTGCACTTTATACTAGCCTGCAAAATTTATTCATAGGCTTTGGGATCATATGCATCTGAGATCAAAGCTCTTGCCCAAGTTGTCTGTCGCCCAAGTGTTTTCCTTGTTTTCCAGAGGGCTTGTGTCTGCACCAGTACGCCTGGGCGCATATTTGTTGTCATGCTGTTGTGGAAGTCTGCTGAGGTGGTGTTGACGTGGCGCTTACATAATGCTGATGTGGCGCAGCGGCGCGAGCGGCCCGCTGTCGGCCAACGGCGGATTGGCACGGCACGACACGAGCGCGTCTCTGAGCGCGTTATTGGACCTGGCGGGAGGGAACGCTGCCGTCAGCGCCACCACCTATGACCCCTTCCCAGTGGTGCGTGGCTTATTCTCAACCATGAAAATCTCGTGTATCTGCGAATTGTTCAACCATCCTAATAAGCGTCACTCCTAAACGATTTATAAGGCTGCACTGAACGACTTGCGCAAACGAAAGGACTGTTCACTGCATGAAGAACACAGAGAAATGGTAGCTTTGTGTCCCTAGGCTCCCACTGTTGCACAGGGCAAAGAGAGCGCTCATTGGCGTGCTCTCTACCAAAGCATCGAAGCATGCAAGGGGTATACTGAGGAGTTTGTGACCTCCTCTCTTGATGTTCTTGTCTGCCAGCTTAGAGATTGCATCCGCATGTCAGTGCACCCCAGAAGACCTTGTGGTCATTGCTGCACGACTCTTTGCAGGTGCATGGAGTGTTGATGGTGGTGGCGTGGTGCATGCTGCTGCCGATCAGCGTCATGATCGCGCGCACCTGCAAGCACGACTGGCCGCCAGCGTGGTTCCACGTACACAGAGCGCTCGGGGTAAATCCATCCCTCCTTTCTGTGTCACACCAATTGTCCGACTTCTTCTTTCTGAAGTCCATGGTCGTGGCTGCACGTTGAGACGGTGCTCTGGCAAAGTGGAGCTGTCAAGGTTTCCTTACATAATTGCTTTTCACACTCATACCAGGCAGCAGTGCTGCAGTACAGCATGCCCGTTGACTGCAATCATGACGAACGTAGTCAGCCAGACACCGCCAGACAACCTCATGCAGCCCTTGCTCATGTCTTGATGCTTCTAAGTTGTTTCATTAGATGACTGGCGGGTTGCTGCCAGCTGTACTGACAGGTGCGGCGCTTGAGCGATATTAGTCCTAGTCCTGCAGCCCAAATCAGCCATATGGCCCCGTGGGTGGGTGGTACTGAGCGCCGTGCCCGTGGTGTCTAGCAATTCCAACAGGAGTTAAATTTGTGGCAGCTTCTACCTGCACCTGGTCTGCAGACGCACCTTGCCTCCGGCAGGCATAGCGTGAAATAACGAGAGTAATGTGGGCACAGGTGGTTGCAGTGGCGATGATTGTTGCCGGTCTGGGCCTGGGCATAAAGGCATGGGATGGAGTGGAGGCAACGCCCCTGTTTGTGGTGCACCTGGCACTCGGATTCTTGGCTGTATTTCTGGCAGCGCTTCAAGTCACCGCCCTTGTGTACCGACCGCACCTGGACGCCGATATCAGGCGAGCTTCTGAAAAGTCAAAGTTAAAGTCACAATGAAATTGTCCCTGTCACAAGGCACTGTCTCTAGGCGGCCCTATCAATCTTATCAGCATCACACGCTTTTCCTGCCAAGAGGCAAGGTGCTTCGTGCAGACAAGCTGCAGTTAAAGGCTGGCATAGTCCTACCTTGTGTTGGACTCGCCAGATCCAAGCACAATCGTGGGCATGGTCCTCAGTATTTATATCGCCCCCCGCCACCAGGGCCCTAAGCCTGTCTGTTCCTGCCAGTGGCCAATGGCAGCCACAAGAAGCTGTCGAATAGCGCATGGGCAGCATGAATACCTTGTCGAATAGCCAGGGCGGCTCTACTGCCCGTAGTTGAACTTGCGTTCTTAGCTCAACGAAAGTTTTCCCCGTGTGACTTGTTCCGTCGTAAAGCGCCACATCATTGCTGGTGCAGAAAGGCTGAGCCATGTGTGTGCATGGCTCCTGGAACTTTAGTCGTCGGACCAAAAGACTTACTAAAATGGGGTGTGTCTGCCAGGTGGCTCTGGGCGACCTGCCACAAGTGGACTGGGCGGAAGGCTTTATTAATAACCTTTGCTAATGCCATAATCGGCTTCAACCTGCCGGACGTGCAGCTGCCTGCTTACTACTCCTGGGGCCTGGCCATTATCTGGGTGGCCATCTTTTTGTCAGGGGCTGCAAAGGAAGTGTATGGCAAGCGCTCGCTTAAGAGGAACGCCAAGACCTCGGGAGTGGGCATTTGAAATTGATGGTTTGAAGGGCAACAAGGTGCCAGGTGGCAGTGGCAGCTCCGTGCCGCGAGTTGCTTTTTTCCCTTCTTACTTTTTACTGTTGGACTCGCTAAAACGGCAATGTATGGTGGTGTTCGTGATTGCAATCGTGGAGCAGATATCTGGAAAAGGTCCAGGCTTGAGGTCATACCATGCTTGGCAGCAGATGTTGTTGCCCTTCTGGCGTCCAATTGCGCGGCCCCATGCTTGGTAATGAAATGGAAAGGAAAGATCTTGCTTGGGGACATGCTGCCCAAAAACGGCATACCTTACATGGACACATCGGAGAGAATATATGGTGTGCAATGTGCTCGATTGTGCTGAAGTGCGGTCACAACAGCTCATACTCATGAATACAGCGCGAGTCCCTTTATTTTTTGGTTGTACGGCTATATATATTTAAGCTTTTCTGCTATTGGTCAAGACAGGCTTTACCTAGCCATTCAAGGAAGGCAGGCTGGGCCTAGCAGCCTGGCAGGTTTCCATGCTGGCCGTTGCAAGGGACCCGTACTGGTATTTGAAACGGATCTCACCACCGAGTGACAAGAGCAGAGATATCAGGCATACCTTCATTGCTTGCCAAACCTGTTTGCAGCATGAGATGCTGCTGATGTATGAGCCTCTGAGGCTGTACAGAATCAATCTTGGCAGTTCAGGCCCAGATCATTGTTATGATTTCATCACAGTAACATCAATATTACACACTTTGCCTGCAGGAGGCAGGTCCGAACAGGCTGATGTATTCTGTGCTCCTTATTCGGTGTACAGGTTCATATTCAGCACACTACATGTTCACATGTTCACGTTCAGCATACTACAGTGTTAGACAGCGGTGTTGCCGCTATTGTGACAATGGCCTTAGAGTACTGTGAGCATTAATCAACTTTGTCAAGTGTCACAGTTTTTGCATGACGCCATCAAAGCGACGGTAATTTTGGCCTCTTTGCTGGCCCAGCCTTTGTCAAGTAGCCACCGGGGCAGTGCCAAAGGCAACCTGAGTGTCAAATACAAGTTCTTGTGTAACGAATTCCATGTTGTCATCAAATGATGCCGTGAACCTCAGCTTCGGCGTCTCCTGCGCTTGTGTGAATGCACGAAGATGCGCAAGAGCCACCCTTGGTACACCTGTAACCGAGAAAAATATATGTAAGTCAAACAAATTTGAAGCTCAGAACAGGATTGGAGTGCAGATGAAGCCAAAGAAATCAGAGCAAGCAAGCGATGCAGAAGGGAAAACACCCATTACCTTCGCTGAGGGTCTCGTTTGGTGTGAAACACAAGGTGCTCTTCAGGGGCGGCTGATCGCCGAAGGAGAGCGAGCAGTGGCTAAACTCGATATTCTTTGACCCCGCTTTCAGTATCCACTTGAGCATAGGTTGGGTCTCTGCCGGAAAGATCACATTGCAGATCCCCCTGTCTATCGAGCTCTCCTGCCAACACCTGCGCGCATGCATGGCCTCAGTACCAGCAGCATACCACAATAGTCACAGCTGATTTGATCAAAGTTGTGAGAAAAAAGCGCTCTACCAACAGCTGTGACCACAAAGTGCATTTCGAAGGATAAGACTTTTCTGGTGCCAGTTAGTGCTATTAGAGAGGCTCACTCTGCCCCGGCCCTCAGTTGAAAAAGGCGCTGCTTCCCTTGCGGCTTGCTCTGCTCACTGGTGAGCAGCGGTGTGTCAGTTTGTGCGCTCCCTACCACAGGATTGCTCCCCATCCTGCTGCATAGGTCCCTGATGATCACCTGATTGAACTCCTCATTGCAGTTGCCTTCTGGGCCAATGCATCCGCAGGGTCCAGTCAGCTGTTGTTCCCCATCCGTGCCAAGAGCACCCAGCTCGCAAGGCACAGCACACTTTTCGTCCCCTCTGAGCACGCTCTCCGGAGTATCCTGCCGATTCACATGCTTCAGGTCTGCGCTCCAGTTACCTTTCTGGCAGCAATATTTCAAGATCTTTGACGGGACATTGATCTCAAGGAGTCCTTGTGAAAACAGGTCAGGATCAATAATAGCTGCAATGTGTAGCGGGAAGCACTTACCGGCTGACCGGCGTGATAGAATGTGTCCGCCTTGATGCTGTAAATAAATCTGCGCAGTTAATTGACCGATTTAGGATGCTGTAGATGTCCAGATTTAACTTTCTGGATCGGAGAGAGATTGTATATTGTAGCATGTTACTGCTCGTTGATAATCGCAGACATGAGAAAGGCATGCAATCTCGCATAATAGAATAATATAAAAACTTCACGCACCGATCTGTGTCCGATGCTGCAAAAAGGCAGTCGTGGGCAATGAAGAACGCCAGTAACCTGATAAGGAGGGACATCAGTATGTGCATTCCATACGCCTGAAGCTCCACTATTGATCTGGAAAAAGATTTCCACAGACAAGCGTCCGCCACTATATTGATCGGTGCCGTTGAAAGCCTGGAATGCGAGCTCCATGAAGATGTTCTTTGGACGATGGGTTACTAACCCAACGTAACCCTGAAGAACAAGAGCAGAGGCCCGGCCCAAGCAAAAGTACAAACAAAGCCCGAAGCCAAAGATTGTGACACTACTGAATAGCAAGCTAATAAGATTGCCTTGTTCAAATTGCCTATCAACGAACATAGCTTCAAGACCACTGCATTTCAGAAGTAGTGTCTCTTGACCATGGACCGCATCTCAAGAATGCTACAGAATCCTGGTGGACAGGGAGGCAATATGTCTGGCAACTCAGACGCACCACAAGTGGACACGTCCGAGCAGATATACATTTCTTCTTTAGCGCTGCTGAAGATGCTCAAGCACGGTGCGTCTTGGGAGTCTGTTGCATTTGCTGCACTAACACATGTGCACATGTACAACTTGCGAATATGTTTCTGCTCATTGTCCAAAAACGATGTGCTTGATGAGGTTTGGGCAAGAGTGTTACGACTCGCCTCTATTAGATTACTTTTCATCAGGATACACTTGGAAGACTCTAGACCAGCAATGTCGCATCAAAAGGCAGACGTTGCATGTCTCGAAAGCGTGGCATACAACTGTGATCGTAGAAGCTTCGCTTCACATTTCTAGGCAGTGATCTTGTTGCACAACTGCTTTTGCACGAGTGTAGGGAGGGCAGGAGTGCCCATGGAGGTCATGGGTCTGATGCTGGGGGAGTTTGTGGACGACTACACGGTGAAGGTGGTGGATGTCTTTGCCATGCCCCAGTCTGGCACAGGCGTCAGTGTTGAGGCGGTCGACCCTGTCTTCCAGACAAAGATGCTGGATATGTTGAAGCAGTGTGGAAGGTCCGTCCTTTGCCTGCAATTGTTTGTTGTTGTTGTTGTTGTTATTCTTCCTGGTGTTGTATGTTATGAAAGGAACTCCTATGCTTCATGCTGCACCTCAGCACTGTCACATCGGAGTGTGCCTTGGTGTGGGCATCCTGCTGGATCCCTGTGAGATCACCGCCTAATTCCTGATTGTATCCGCTGCAGGCCAGAGATGGTGGTAGGATGGTACCACAGTCACCCTGGCTTTGGCTGCTGGCTTTCAGGAGTGGACATCAACACCCAGCAGGTCCTGCACACGCATCCCTTCCTTGCCACTTTTCACCCTCCACCTTGTGGCTCTCAAGTCCACAACATCCTCCTGGAATCAGTGAAAACTCTGACCTATGCGTGCACTCTCTGTCATCTGAAAATGTTCTGAGAAGGTAATTGGCTGTGCGCAGAGTTTTGAGGCGCTGAATCAGAGGGCAGTAGCGGTGGTGGTGGACCCCATCCAGTCTGTGAAGGGCAAGGTGGTCATTGATGCTTTCAGGTGAGATGCGGCGATGTTTTCTTAGGAAACATTTGAACGCTAAGGAAAGCTGCTGTAGCCTGGTCCTGCAGAAGCATGCGATAGATCTCTGGGAATGTGCCATATTTGGGCATCAGTGGCACGAACGATCTGACATAGGCGCTGACCTTCCATGAAATTTTCAGAGCTGCTGTCAGGTTTGTGGTAACCACCAGAGCAGAATTACAGGCACATGTCTGGAGGCTCCTGTGTGGACCCCTGGCATTACACCTGTCTCTCCAGGAGTGTAGTTCCTCTGGGAGTTCCATGAGCATTGGGCGCTGGGTGATCAAACTCCTGGCATGTGCCCTACTCTGGCTTTGCTTGCATTTTCACTCTGCTGTCGGTTCTGGTCATCCTCAAGGATACCAGAGCTGATAGTGGGTGTATTGCTGCTGCCTTTGTTGGACTGGCAGCACATGCCTTGAGGGCTCCTATGTGATTCCATCGTGTTCCTTTATGCAGCATCTGAGCGTGTATGGGGGCGCAGGTTGATCACCCTTATGGCATGTGTTTTACTCTGGCTTTGCTTGCACTCGCACTCTGCTGTGGTCAGCTCTGGAGGACATCAGAGCCCATCGCGGATGTGTGGAAGCCAGCATTCCTCAGCAGAACACACGCCTAAGACCAACTCCTGCGAGGTGTCCTGTAACAACATCATCTTTCTTAATTGAATATCTGAGCGGTTGTGGGTGTGCGTAGGTTGATAAACCCGCAGACGATGATGCTTGGGCAGGAGCCGCGGCAGACCACCTCCAACCTGGGCTACCTCAACAAGCCCAGCATCCAGGTCAGCGCCCCCTGGCTGACATGGCCATTCGCTCATCTGACAGTATCAGTCATCAGCACTACCGCTCGCGCCCTGCTCGACACGGCCGCTTGTGGCATGTTTGCGTCGTTGCTCAGACGCACTCTGACAGGGCCTCTTCATTTGTTGCTGCGGCCTGTATCGATGGTGGCCTTGTTCCTGTTACTTTCAGTGGCAGAATGATCATGGCAGCGCTACTTCTTGCACTGTTCTGCAGACTGGGCCATCCCGTTTGCTTCATGGCAAAGCGCTGCTCTGTCCTAATGTTATCTGAAGTATAGATATCTGCACTCTGCCATGTAGCACGTCCAGTTGGCCTGCCAACCGCAAATTTGCAAGCACTACTTCTAACCGGCTTTCTAAGTGATAGGGAATAATAAAGTGAAGTTATCAGTACTAAGGCTGACTAAATGTGTGTGCGGCAGGCGCTAATCCACGGCCTGAACAGGCACTACTACAGCATTGCTATCAGCTACCGCAAGAATGAGCTGGAGGAGCGCATGCTCATGAACCTGCAGAAGAAGGCCTGGACGCACGGCCTCACCCTCAAGTGCGCAACCCCTTCCTTTATAATGTGTCAGCTGCAGCTGTCAATGTGTGGCTTTTCATGCGCAGTGCTAATCGTTCCTTTGCGCACCTGGCTGCATCACCCGCAATTAAACACAGCACGCACATTGTTTGCAAAGAAAAAGCGGTGGCGTAGCGTTGTGTTGACACATTTCATTTAAACTCAATGCCTGCAAAGGGCCAGAAACCGGCACACTTTTTCTTGAGAGGTTTCCATGGTTTGCTGCAGGGACTTTGAGACGGTGACGAAGGACAACGCGCGCGCTGTGAGCGAGATGAAGACGCTGGCAGACAGCTTTGAGCGCGAGGTAAGCAGCCTTGCTGATATGGCCATCCCTGGAAGTTCTGCCACAATTGCTGAGGACATTGTCTAAAGTTTGAACATCGGCAAGCTCCTTCTTGCCCGTTGACTGATGGGCTACCTTGCACCAAAGCATAGTTGCACCATTCGGATTCGGCCATTCGGCATACGGTGTATATTCGGTCGTATATTCGGTCTTTTGAAACTTGGAGCACCGTATGGCCTAACATTCGGTGATGACGTCATTACACGTGCTACCACGTGGACATCTCCATTTTCTGTTTTTTCATCCAATTAGCTACCAGCACACAACATGAACAGCCAAGCAACACCCTCAAATGGGTTGCAGAGGTGTCAGGGATGAATCATCCTCACAATCAGACATGGTGCTACCTGTTGTGAGTGGGATTGACCCACCTAATTGACCCATTGAGTCTGGGAGCCAGATTTGGCAAGAAGGAAAGGTTGCGTGCGATACATTACATAATTTTGGCTTTTGGACCGAATATACGGCCGAAAATGCCGTATAACCGTAGATTCGCCCGAATGTACGGCCTAAAATTTCACCATGACCGAATGGTGCAACTATGAACTAAAGCAAGAGCAAGTGTTCTTGGTGAGCTGTCATACGTTTAAGGGATGCAACGATTCTACCGAGTCTGTAGGCACCACTCTAAGGCAAGCCGGGCCTCACCAGGGACCTTTAGTACTTGACACTGCGCCCCTGAAGAATCGATATGTCAGAATGATATGTGCTTACAGATGCGTTTACTAATGCGCCAGGTGGCGGAGGAGGGTGAGCTGGAGCCGAGCGCGCGCAGCGTGGCACGCGTGGGCAAGATGGACGCAAAGAAGCACCTGGACGCGCGCCTGAACGAGCTCATGTCCGCCAACATCATGCAGTGCATGGCCACCATGCTCGACACCCTTGTCTTCTAAATTATCAGAGGAATAGAACTGCGTGAAGGGCGTTGTGTTGGCGGGCTAGGTGTTATTGCCCATCTCAGAAGCTGCAACTTTTCAGAAACTCATCCAAGCGGAGACGGTGGTCAAGGCAGTCATGCCTGGCAACATCCATGCAGTGCCTGGCAACCATGCTCGAGAGCCTTGTCTTCTGAGCAGCAGCAAGCGTGGAATGAGCTGTTTGGTGGGCTGGGTGTTACTGCATTTGTGCCACAGAAAATGGCTCCAATGTCGGGATTGTGGCCTGACAATGGCATGTATCCATGCTTGACATCCTCGTCTTGTGAGGCAGAGTATGCTGCGCAGAGGACTGTCTTGGGGTGACTATCTCTTCTTGCACTCACCCCTTATGGACAGCTGAGTCTTTGATATTGCACTTAGGAGGAAGATGCAGGTCAGTCGTATCTGGCTACCATGGCCGACAGGGCTCGTCTTATGATGATTGAAATAGTGTCTGCGTGTTGACGCCGGGTCTTCGCTGCAAAGGTTTGCCATGCAGTGTACTTGGCTGGCCATGGCGCAGGCTGAGACATTACCATGAACGTGTTGTAATAATCCAACAACAATGACATTATAAGACAAGATCCAACAGTGTCCAGTCTTGTAGCTTCAGACGTAAGTCTTCAAGCTTGAAGACTGGCAATTATGAGTGTTCAAGTGCCTTCTTGGCATATGGTGTCGTATTCGCTTTACATACACATGCAGGCATGCTTGTCCGCCACTTGATGACACTGACCGTGGTCAACAAGCTCCTCCCTTGTTTTGTATATGTTGTTCACCAGTCTTGGGGAATCCTACACCTACATATGCATTTTGATGCAAACATTCTGGAACACTCCAACACCCAAAACATTTGTGCACAGTCTCAGACTGTCAGTCTGCGATTCCGGACCCTGATTTCAATTGGAATCAATTAGCGCCACTTGGCACAGCTTCGAAGAAATCTGGACCATGCCATGATGGCTCAATGCCACGCTGTATGGGCATAAATTATACGGCCACGAAACAATAAGCAATGAATTTAGATTGGCGGCCGGAAACAGTCTCGCGGACATCACAATATGAAGCAACTAAGACTATTAATCTTTCCGTCCATGCTACTACTTACAAAAGGATTGATGCAACACGGCTGCTGACTACCATTCCAGCCCTGTCCTACCCCATATTTAGGAGCGCCTTTTCACACCCTCGCCGATAGCCCCTTGCAGAATTCAAAGATCTGCTCTTGCCATGGACTTCGCGCATACTTTACATAAAGTACCTTGCATGAAGATATACAGGCGAGGAATTCTCACTGTCCCGACCGCTCTTGTGCAGAAGCCGCCAGCAACGCCACTGCAGACATGCAACAGGGGTTGTCTATCTCTACTTTAGAGGGCAATACATTGTTTATGTTCCCTTGTCCTGCTAAGAGGCAAGCTGCGTCTGCAATCAAGCTGCGGGGAAAGCCTGCCCAAATCCTACCCCAGGCGGCGAACATATATGCAGACATCCGGCACAGCTGCCATGCAACAGCGCATGCTAACCTTGCGCAAAGTGGACTACAGCAGAAGGCAAGGTGAGTAGCTGTCCTCTCCGGGTAGAGAGGTTTCCTATTTTAATAATCTTCTTGTAGCATTGAAAGTACTTAGATGACTCACCGGCAGCGATGAAGAAGCAGTACATGCACCCCAGGCTGATGTACGCTTTCAGCGAAGAGTTGCGATACTCCTGCGCAGACAGAAGGAATTTCACATTAATATAGCGGTGGTTTTAGTTTTCAACATGCCTGTTTGATGCAACATGCAGGCACGGTTCCTGCCACTGACGGAAGTGCGTATCTCACTTTCTCAACTACAGTAATCGCGAAATCCCCTCAACATGCTTCCAGAGTAAAGAAAATGCAACATTTACCTTGAAGAAGAGAATTCCCCAGAAGGTGGCCACCAGAGGATTCGCCTGCACAAGGTCGCTGGCAGCATAGCCTGCATGCATGCACAATCAGTCCTATCCAATATGTAACAGAGTACCAGGAGAGCTCGAAACAAGGGATTGCAGAACTTTTAAGCGTATTGTCAAACTGTGGACAGTTGAGATAGGTGATGTCACCTGCAGCCTGGCCGCCTAGGAATTGGAGCACATTGGCAATGGACACCAGAATGCCAGACAGAAAGCCGATGGCGCTCAGCCAGTTGTGATCCTGCGCACAGAACACTTGCACAATCAGAACTCTCCTACTGCTTCTCAATTGCCGGAATACCTCTCATTTTGAACAAACTTACTGCTCCAGGTCCATACTGTCAACTGCCGAATACCAACATATGCAAGGCTTGACAGGACGAACTTATAGTAAGTTGCTCCTTGTCAATATGATCTCTGTGACACTGCTACATAAACATTAGGTCCTGTCTTCACAGGATGACATGCGAGTAAGGATGTGTCACCTTGACCCAGGCGATCCATGTGGAGCGCTGCTGGCCCAGGGGTGGGTAACGCATCATGAAGTGGGTCACAATAATAGCCAGAACGAAGTAGATTGTGCAGAACCAGAAGTAGCCCGTGTACACCTACACAGCATCCAAACTTTCAGCTCCTGTTTTAAATATATTTGTTGTGCAGGACATCTCAGATGTTTCAAGCTCATGTTCAGTGCCAAAATCACACTCCATCCTGTCAGGTGGCCAAGCACAAGTAAAGGGACCTTTGAGTAACTGAGGAGTAATGGTGATTAAGATCAAAGTGTGTGGTCGAATGGTGAGGCCAGGTGACTCACTGTGAAGGGCTTGACCCCTGGGGCGAGGGTCCCGAAGTTATCATTCGTGGTCACTGCACAAAACAGAGAAGAAGTCAGTCACTGCCAAGGATGTGTCCTCTCAACTTGTCATCCACAGAGATGCCAGGCTCCGGAAGCTGCATCTTAGAGCTCTGTCACTTCTAGTTTAATACAAATCTGACATTTTATGCAGTTAAGAAGGCCCGAATTTTATTGCTCAAGCTGGTCAGGCGCACCATTGAAACCTGGAGAGAAGAGTGCTCCTATGAGACCTGCACAGAAAATTCAAGCACTCAGCGGGAGTCATGCTGGGCAGATCAGCAAGAGTTCCAACCAAAACCAGCCACAAGCATGCATTGGCTTTCTTGCCATGCATGTTGCCAGAGCAAGCTCGAAGCATCATGCTATGCAGCATTCTTTCCACGAATCTGCCGTCTGATACGATTGATTATTCCGTGCTGGCAACCGGGCGTCCCAATGTGACCCCACATTATCACGTGAATTTTCACAAGTGGCAGGGGATTTAAATAGGAAGTCAAACGTCCAAAAGTCCGGGTTGTGGTCTCTGCGTTCACCTCCCACAATGGCAATGGAGATGCCATAGATGACGCGTTGGCGCGAGTCGGTCCGTACAGATCTGTACGGGCTCTCTGCGTCCGCCATATTGACCCTTGCCGCCTTGCCTGCCTCTGCATGCATGCATATACTTGTCAACAGCTGCTGTGATGGCGCATGCCTTCCTGAGCATGTGGATGCAGCAGGAGCAGTCATCCAGAAGATGCTTTCAGGGCGCAGCCATCAGGAAAGGTTTCAGCTGAAGTTCGCGTTCAGTAGGATTGCTTGTCGGTTCAGCAATTGGTTTTCTCGCGTTGCAAACTGATCTCAATGCAATTCTTGCTTCACCAGGCCTGGTCAGACCTCATTCGCCTCGGGTGATCAATGGATGGAACAAGATTGACGGTTGAACATAAGTTGAAGAAAAGCACCGAGAGGCACCTGGCTCATAGCCTGCCTCCTCATCCTTGGCCTTCCTGGGTCCGAGGGCGTTGGCCTTGTGGGCGCTGTCATCCCGCCCCGGCAGCGCCCTGTCACCTGCACAACAATGACTGACCACTTCATTTGCAATAATTGCTGGCCACCATACTTGCAACTGCTGTAAACCAGCACTCATACAGCACAGCACATGCGTTCTTTGTGGCCATCTGCTACTTCAGCAAAAAACGAGCTTGACAAAGCGCGCCAAGAATCTTGAGAAAGCACACTGCCGCTGCTGCAATCTATAGGATACTGAGGCAATCCACAGCAGGATGTCCTGACATCAAATTACAGGTGCCAGCATCACATGGGCATCTACTGAATAGGACATGGTCAGGGGGCGTACCTGCGCCGTGCTCAAAGCCGATGGTGGCGTTCCCTACCGCGTGCCGGTGCACTGAGTCATCGAATCTGCGTTTGCGCTTGTTCAGGTGTTCCTCGTTGAACACATGAGTCAAAGCGCCTGCCACCACTGCCAGCGCAAAACAGGCCACGCCAGGGAACAGAATCGTCGCCTTATTTAGGCCCTTGTCCAGCACATAATTCAGCACCGTGCCTGCATGCATGCATGAGCAGTGAATCGATTGCTTCCTCATCACTTACATGCATGAAACAAACATTGGACTCTGTGTAAGTGTCTGCCTGCCACCAGGAAGGCTGGTTTATAATGAAAACCAAACAAATACGGAAGGTATCTAGAGCTGCAGAGTTCAGAGCTCATATGACACATGCACAGCCAGGGATGAAATGCTCTGGAGGACTGCATTTATCCTCTGGCATGGCCCTGTGAAGTCAAAGGCACGCCCTGATGCAGCAAGCCTTCATCCCTTCACTTCAACAATATTGCACTTCCCCAAATCCTCACTCTGTGGCTTTGACTTTGCTTAGGAAACAAGCAATGGCTCGGCGGGGAGGAGAGCTCCAGAAGCTTGCAACACCGAACACACCTCGTTCCAAGTATAGAGAAGTTCTACAAGGAGGTGGTGTGCTTTGATTTGATCTTGTAAGCTTACCCAGGACGACGATGCAGGAGCTGAACATGGGGACAGCAATGGTCACGCCGGCCAGAGCCAGCGCATACTGCTCCGCCAGATTGCCAAAGAATATGCAGAAGCCCGAGGCCATCGCGAACCCAATCAGCGGCGCTTTCTCCTGTAGAAATACAGCACCAGTGGTTTGGTATGTTAGTCATTTAGTCATTGCATCAGTCTGAGCTGCAATCAGCACTCAGGCATGCTGCATGCGCAAGCTATGACATGCCAGATATCCCAGTTGGGCTAAATAGCTGTAGTTCTGGCTTGCAATACACAAAGATGGACTCCCCAGGATACAGTTCATCAAATGTGCAAACCATCCTGCAGCCTTGAAGATTTCTGGATACCTATTCAGGCAGCCATGCAAGACATCTGAGGCTCAAGGAGTCAGAGCACTTTCATGTACAGACAAGCATGCAGGAAGGAAGGAACATGGGCTCGCACATGTGAGTTGCGCATTTGGTCGAAGAAGTTTTCTCCGTGGATGGTGTCTCCAACTTGACCAAATGTCAGCGCACACACCACCGCCACTAGCACAAAGCCGATGGAGAAGTCCTGCAAATATGCAGGGGCATATATTGCAATCAGAAATGCTTGCACTCATACCATACATGCGCTAGACCCCTTCTGCAAAAGAAGATGTCCACTTCAAGTAGGCCCAGAACAGCAGGGACCACATCCTCCAGTGCTTGACTGCTGCCTAGGGAAGGGGGCTGAATTCTTCGACCTCAGACTATTTGCACAAAGTTTTCTGTTTTTCAGACTGTTTGTTCCACATTATAGTAACGCGATCAATAAATGGATAACAGAGCAACGCACCATGTACGTATGCACTGTGTGGCGCCCACGCCGCTCCGCCAGATTCAGCAAAGGACCTGATCAAGGATATGTTCGCTCAAGATTTCGCTGAAATAGATAAACATGCTTGGGAAGAAGCGACTTTGCGAAGAGATCGGCATGCCGGATGTGGATGGAAGTCGCGCACCCCATGTCCCGAGCAGGATGAGAGCAACTACCAGCAGGGCAATGGCACCACCCTTTGTGTCTACAGATATCATGGCACTCCTGCCTTCGCTCAGACAGGCTCTCTATGGGGTCGCCGCGCACAATCTGTACCGGGATGTGTCCTGTCCGAATATACGGTACAGCCCAGCTAGGCGCCTTGCACCGAATCTCGCACACCTATGATTGCCAGTTTACAACATCCATCAAGTTTGCTCTATGCGCCCCAATGTTCCCATTTCTCATGTATCTTCGTCATGGGCATAAACTTAGGGGGCAGTACGTCACTTGCAGGCTCAGATATTTCTGCACCTGAAGGCTCCTCGTGAGGAACTTGCAACTCGCAAGATTACGAATGTCGGATGCGTAGCTATAGGAGATTGCAGATTACACTTCGCGCAATGATCTCGGATCATCGGTGATCGAGTGGGGCCCCATGGATCCACGTGAAGACTGCCCACGTGCACAGATTTTTTGCTTGTGGCGTCAAAGTCAACTTGGAAAGTCAAGTTGGCTTTTCTTTGCCTACAACCCATAACTCACAACCCAAAACAGTCTTCAAGAAAACCTTGGCATGCTTCAGAAGAGTGCTTGCCCCGCATAGCCGACAGCACACATTGGAAAGCAGTAGGCAAAACTGCGCAGCGCTAGCACAGTGAGTACACATGAGTAAGTGCAACGTGCATATGTGTTCCCAGCCATTGACTCAAACCTGACACCATACTACCGCATCCGGACATCATCAATGACAGTCCAACACCGACACTCTTAAAGTACCCATCACACCAGGGAGCACCGTCGCAGCTGGCAACAGGCGACGGTGGGCACGCTGCATGCTGATAGCACCAGTAATCACATGGAAGACTACGTAGTATATATGTATACATTCATGGTGTCAGTGTAGTTTGCAGACCGTCCAAGATTCTGAACCATGAGATAACCGTCACTCCTTGACAAAACCATCGCAGGAACTGCATATTTGACTTTCAAATCATGCCGCCTCGGCCGGCGAGGCGGCCCCATCTGCTGCAGCGTTCCCTTTCTCACCCTTTGTTTTCAGGTCGGGAGTGTATTTCTCCACGAGGAAGTCAACGCACTCGTCGAAGCCCTTGTCCGCGCCGTCCGGGACGCATTTGAGCATTAGTCGCCACCGCCGGCGAGTCACCGCTGCCGCACGCCCGGGGACGAGCGCCCCCCAGTCAAGCTCCCAGTCGTTCACCGCCCCCGACCGGAACAGGGATTTGAGCAGCCGCCTGTCGTCCCCCACTCCCCAGTCGCCTGTGCAAGCATAAAAATAAATGTGGACGCCCTGACCAAGCCTGGGGCGTGATTACGGAGGCAGAATATACTCAATTGGAGAATATACTTAAGAACCCTGCAAGCTCGTCAGTCAGGGGGTACTAAAGAGTACTAGAGGGGTTAGGTTTTGGAGTGGAGTGGAGTCTTCAGTACCCCCTGCGTCAGTTTTTGTGCGACTTTTGAGTGACCAATACGGTGTCTAGTGCGCAATAGCCCATCCCAGCATGACAAGCCTGACATGCAAAGCGCAGCAGCAAGGTAACATGGGCAATGGAGCTAGAAAACAGTGCCAGGATAAGAGAAGAATGAAATCTGGCGCGCGCCTCGGTCGACCATGGAGGGAGAGAGCTGGCCGGTCCATTTGTTGCGGCACTGGTCCGGGTCGCGGCTGCCGTGCAACCGACTGATGGCATCCCACGGCACATCATCCAGCACAATCCGCCCGCTCACCCTCTCCTCCTGAGCAAGCACATGCACGCGTCAGCCGCTGGACATTCTGGTGAAGTAAACAGCCCTATTACTGTTTTCTCCTGAGTGAATGCATGCATGCGTCAGTCAACGCATGCATGCGGCTGGACATCAATCTTTTTGTTGTCAGTCTTCCCTGTCTCCTTACGGGCAAATGCATGCAAGTGGGGGCCCCGGGCAGGGGGAATGTAGAAAGGAGGGAACGCGCACCGCCGGGCGTTTTGCCAAGTAGGTGCTGACCAGCTCGGTCAACTTCCCTTCTTCCTCGGGGGTCCAGGCGCCCGCTTTACGCGCGTCCCCGAGCTTGAGGGTTCTGAATTTGTCGCGAACAGCTTCCGGCAGCCGCCCCAATGATGCGCCCATCTCCACCCACCTGTCGCCCTTCGCTGCGTGCAGCTCTTTCAGTTTCTCCACATCCTCCGCCGTCCACTTGCCCTGCGGGGAAAGAATCACTTCCATTGATAGCGTTGCCAACATAAGTGTGAAAGTGGGCATCAGGATTCAAGGTGGACGCCGCAGTCTGCGCAGTGCATTCTCCCTGACAGCATTGCACCCTCGCCTGAAGGCATGCCCACAATTGTGTCCAAACATGGCCAGAAACCTGACTTAAACCAGTGACAGTAACAACAAGTCCTGGAAAATGCAGTCATTTGGTCAGGACTCCTTTTCTGCAGCGCAAGCTGACAAGGAAATGGCCCTGCAGCTCAAGCAGCTGCACATGAGAGCAAGCACATCGTACTTGACACTCAACATGGTCCTGCCAACCCGCACAGCACAGCCAGGTAAAGCTGACTTGAGAGCACTTCCATATGGCACACAATGGGTTGTAACAAACACACGTGTGCTGTGCATCAGCGAGCCCATGATGGTGTCACTAGACCCAAACCGGGGCAGCTTGCGCAGGTCTCGAGCAGCTTGGATGAGGCATGCAATGCGGCAGAAACACTCAACCAAGGCCCCTCACCTTGTATTTGGCGAGGTGCAGCATGCAAAGGTCTTAAAGAGCTCGAGCGTGGCATGTAAGAGTACGAAAGCGCCCCTCACCTTGTAATTGCCCAGGTGCAGCATGCGAGTGCCGCAAGACCAGACAGCCTTGGCCTTCCGGTGTGGCAGGGCGGCTGCGATGGACGTCCAGGCGCCTTCGGTCCTCCTGCGGGCCTCTGCGCTGCTCTTGCGCGTGCAGTAGAGCCAGTCCAGATCCGTCTGGCTCAGCTGGTGTGCCTCAGCATACTCCTGCGCATGCACATATCTGATTGACAGGACCTGATTCCAGATTCTTGGCCTTCACACTGGGAATGTACATTTGTTGTGCATGCATGTTGGTGTCTGACAATAAAACGACAAGGTCAAAAATTTGGACATAAAGAAATTGTCAAGGTCAAGCCACTGAAGGCACAGGGCATACAAATCTCGACCTGATCAGCGCGACAGTTAACTTGCTTCCCAGCATGAAACCTGAGCTTGCATTATGACTGCATGGTAATGAAAGCAGCCACAATCAACAAACTAGTGGCACGCTGCATGCGTGCGCTACTGTGACAATGTGCACAGGGAAATTGCAGGAGATAAAGGGAAGAATAAGGAGTACATAAGCTGGGAAATCACAGCGCACCTTCACAGCCTGCCTGATGGCGTCCCTTTCAGCGCTGGAGAACTTCCCATGCTTTACATTCGTGCGTTTGTAATCCTCGCGCCAACTCTTGAGCTCTGGCCCCTCCAAGCTCACCGTCTTGACCCCTCCTGCCGACCCCTTCACAGCTGCGTTCGCCCCTTTTTTCTTTGGTGCTACAACAGCATCGCCTGCAGCTCCCCCGGGTGCTCCTGCCTGTTTCCGCACAGCTGCCCCCTCCTTTCCTGCAGAGGTTGGGATCGCTGGTGCTCCTTTCCCCAGTGCTGTTGGCTCCGATGCGGCTGTCTTGTCCTTCTTTTTCTTCTTGGGGAGTTGATCTGCTGCGGCGGCTGCCGGCTCCTCCTGGCCAGAGGAAGGCTCTGCAGCCTGTTGCAGCTTGGCTTCCATTCTCTTTCGTTTCTTCTGGCTCTTCTCCTCGTTGGCCAGTGCTTGCTGGGCAGCAGCAAGCAGCGGCTGCTCTGTCGCTGTGCCATTCCCATGCTTGGGCTTCTTCTGCTTAGGCTGTTCTGCTGGCTGGCTGCTGGATGGCCCAGCATGCCCGCCCCTGTTGCCTGATCCCACGTGAGTTGCCATGGGAGCAGATCTGCTGGGTTGATCACCAGGCTGTTGCTGCTGGCTACTGCGCTCCGGCAAAGAGATAGAAGTTTCGCTGTATTGTAGGCTTCCAGACTTCCTGCAACGCAGAGGAAATGCGTTAGGGGCGCACAAGAAGCGCTTGCTTGCGCTGCATCTCTGCCTGGGGCAATTACAGAATGCAGTCGGAGGGCGGAAACCTACCTGGCGTGCAGCAAGAAAGCATCTGCAGATTCACTGATTTCGATGTTATCAGGCGCCAGTCCTAGAACTTTTGAAGCCTTTTTCACCAGCCTTTTGCGTGCCTGCGCAGAGATAATATTTCATGTTGATCGAGCGCGCCGTCCTGGACTCGGTATCTGTACTAATGCTGCACACATTACTTATACTTGCAGCTGCAGCATGAGATAGAACAAAAGACGCACCTTCTTTTGTGGAAGAGAATGGTTGTCCGTCTTTCCCAGGATTTTCTCTAGCAGCGGCTGCCAGAAATCATGCCCCTTCTGCATGGCCATGACTGCAATGATATCACTTTACGGCGTAAATTAACAGGCCCTGTACTGCAAACGGGCAGCGGCTCTGGCTCACACTAGAAACGGATTCTTGAGATCCCGAGTCCAAACTTTGCATGCGGGTGTTGTGTGGCGCAAGTACCTTTGAGAAGGGAACATGTACATGCCGCTGGGGGAATGGTGAGGCTGTGGTGCTCTCCTCTCGAAAATATTTGGGTGTTCATCGGCACGTGATTTCAATGAAAGCACGTGCCTTTACGATGCGGAAATTTCGTAATTCTGGGGCTCAATTTCGCGCGGACAGGCTTTGGCTGTCCAAATATCTGACAGTTCACAGCAATTACGCGAGAAAATGGAGCCTTGAAAGTATGTGATGGAAGACCAAAGCTGTGCACGTCTCCCCGACACCGATTAGCTATCAACCAGATGTCTGCACACCACTGGGAACAAACTACGGAGCATTCCCCAGGTAACATGCAGTGTTTTTTTGTTCCATTATTCTATCATGTGATTGGAAACTGGTCACCGGATTATCTGGTCACCAGATGATGGGCATCTCGCCAAGACCTTCAGTCGTACTAGATTGGTGTCCTTTTTCTAACATCAAGCCCTTGGAACATCACGATATATAGATGCAAGGTGCCTTTGCATCCTTCTCAATCGGCGAAGGGCAATGCTTTTGTTGTACTCAGATTTTTCCAAGCCGAGGCACAGCTTCGTGAAACATCCACTCTCTACAAAGGATAGACAGAGGGCGAGGGGGGACTGCAAACTCTCGGCACTCGTCAATTTTCCGTTCTTCGTACATGGGCCAAATGCATGCGCTTAATTTTAGATCCGAATGGCTGTTAACAGGAGCCACATGCCCTGAGCAGAAGTTCTCAGTCTGGGACCCTTGGTGGCTGCCTTAGCCTTTTATCTGCTTCACGCAACCTTTTTCGTGGCTTCAAAATGAAAGCCACCTCGTCAGCCCACCATAACATTTCTTTGCACCTTCACTTGCCCCTGACAGATGGTCGTGCCCCATCCTCAGGTGAGCTGCCCCTGCGCCGCCAACACCATGGGGGTGTGCTAGAGACAGAAGGCCAGGGCCGCAGCTACGCGGCAGCCGCAGGTGAAGCTGTTGCAACCAACGCCTCGCAGCCCTGGAACATCTTTGCCGCCTTCGGGCGGGATGCCATCACATACATTGCCGACCATCTGCCTGGCCGGCACGCGCGGCAGCGTCGGCAAGAAGCTGCAAGAAGAGATGAGGAGCAGGGAATGCCTGGGACCTCAGGTATATCTGTGCTGACCTGCCCCTATCGAGCTTCTGCTGGCAAATCTTCTGCTTGGAAATGTACCGCAGACTCTGTCCCGCCCACTTGCGGCTTCCCAGTGCTGGCTGCATGCATGGTTTTCTGCCGGTGTTCAATGCCTGTCGACGATTGGGCCCTGCTTCTGTCCTACTGGAATCTCGTCTTCTGTGATACAGAATGATACCGTATTGAGAATGATGAAGATCTGGTGTCTGCATGTGTCGCTGCAGGTAGGGGCTTGGTGCACAAGGACTCGACGCAGTGTCGGGCGTGGTGCGCGGAGCAGAAGCGACGGAAGGAGCGCAGAAAGTTAGCAGCGCAAGAGAACGCCTCAGCAGACGGGGATGATCAGCTCAGCGTGCCCAGCGTGCTGAGTCAGCAGCAGGCCGGAGACGCCAGCGCGGCGGCGGCGGTGGATGAGGTGGTGGTGAGTCATCGGGACAGGGGGGACCCGGTGCCAGATCAGGACGAGGAGCGGGGGGGCTCGGTGGATGAGTCATTCGATGACGTCAGCCTCGCCTCGGGCCGCCTCAGCCCCGACAAAGACAAGGTCTGCGAATACAGATCAACTTTTGCTCCAAGCAAGTCATTGTCATCTGACCCTGTCTTGATGTCCTGCCATGCTGTGTGCATGTGCCTTGAGAAAGCAAAGTCCATCCAATGCAGAGAAACAAGCTTGCTGGACCAGTTCATTTCGGTTCCTCCTGTCAGGGTATACTGGCTTTAATGCCCACCTCCGTGCTAGAGACCAACCTGCAATCGATCCTGCATTGTTTGAATCCTCAAGACAACAACTCGCCTTTGCTACTACTTCCGTCCATGTAAGCTGACATGTGGTCACAGGAGGGCTTCGGGCGCAAATCAAGCGGCCTAGACTCGGAGCCCTCATCGGATTCCGGCGCGCCGAATCGAGTGGACATAACAGCCAGCGCGATTCCCAGCGGTCACTATGACCCCAAGAATGACGTCATCCTTCGCGTGGAGGCCATGAGCGCCAAGGAGACCCGGGTGAGACCTCAAAGTGACATGTGAACATAGAGCCGTGACATGTGATGATAAAGCGATCAAAAAGTAAATTGCTGAAATGGTGAGACAATAGAATACCAGGTAGTAAAGGAGGGCAAGCCCGATGCACTGTTCTTTCTGCATGGACTATTTTGCTGGGCGTCATGCAACTTGTGCTGAGACACTATTTTTGTGTTGCTGGGCCAAAGAGAGAACCGAGTATTTATAAGTGACCTGAATGCACCGGGTGCTTACTTTCTCTTTGTCAACAACAGTACACTGCAAAGTTGTAGCTGGCGCAAAATATTGTAGTATTTTGTTCTTACTGTGCTGATGTGTGGCGGCAGATCATAATGGTGATGCTGTACCTGGCAACTGCCATCGCCACAGCTTTCCTCATCGAAGAATTCACTCAGAAGTTCACAGATGTGCGCGCTTACCTATCCACCCGTCAATTCTGTCCCCGATCCCCTGATCCCACAAACATGTAACTCATGTATTTTTCTGCTTTGAACTGGCACGGTTGTGAGGGGATTAAATGCTTTTGTTATCTGTGCCTTGCAACACGGCAGTCTAGCAATCAGGAAGCTGGTGGTCTTTAGCTGAGAATTTTGCAGCAGCACATGCAGAACTCACAAAGTGCCCAAATTGACCAAGTCAGGACTGTCTTCAAGCATTCCTGCCATGCTGTCTGATAATACATCGCCTTGCGTAAAGATGACATACAGCCGTAGAATCTAGGGGAGTGTAAGATGCTAATAAGATTTGATATAGAGTGCCTCTGGCGGCTCACTGCTGCAGGTGTGGCCTGTGTGTGCAAGATGATGGGCGGGATATTTGCAGCATGGAATTGTGTAATAACAATAAAAATATCATGTGCTGTGCAGCCGGACGGCGCGTTCCGGCACAACAAGTATGTGGTGGTGACTAATGTGGTAGTCGGCGGCATCTGCTTCCTGATGCTGACTAAGACTCTCTACTGCGTCATCTGGCGCGTCTGTCGCAGCCGCCGCCTCGGCATGCGCTGGTGCGCCCAATGAAACTTAAATCTAAAACAATTCCTTTGTAACAACTTCAGGGTTTCAATATAACTAGGGTTCAGGGGTTTTGGGTTGTAATATGCATTTGGTGTAACATCCCAGGGTGCACTGCGGAGGAGTGCTCTGGTGTGTCCAGATTCGAGACCCTTGCACATACCCCTGTTATTACAATTGCCCAAACCCTTTTCCAACGAGGTTGAATTCTGCGCACACCACGAAGTCTTGAGGTCTTCAAGCAGACAGCGGTCAATGCCTGAAGAGCAGATCTGTTTGTTACTGATGGCATGCTTTTGATCATCCCAATGGGCAGAATGGTAATCGCCCTGTCATATAGTGGTGGGACTCACAAAGCATCGATGTTTCTTGCAGGACGCCACGCAGAAGAAAGTCTGCCACGCTGGTCTTTGTGGAGCTCGTCACAGTGGTAAGCATTCCCTGCCTTACATAATCCAAATAAAACATACTTATACATAATGCAATCTTGTCACCAGCTTGTCATGTTCAAGTGCTCTTCATGCTGCATGTCTGGGCCACACGACTTTTGTAGTGCATTCCTGCAGCTGTGCACTCGGGTAAATATGTATCTCTGGTGAATTCCTGAGGCAGCGCTTTGTCTGTGTGTGCGCGCAGTACGTTGACATCTTAGCCTACCTGATCCCAAACATATACTTGTTGGCGGCTCGCTGCGACTGGTTTTCTCTGATTGTCCGTACGTTCCTCGGCCTTAGTTCCCATACACTGGCCATCCATGCTGTTCACCGTCTTGTGTTTCAACAGCTTCTATTTATGCACTCGTGGCTCTTTAAAGCTACATCACCCCACATGTGTGAAACCTGCCTTCTCCTAACTGCTCATGCCTGAAGTGAGCCTGCAACAAAACAGAAAATCTGTTTTGAGGCATGCGTTGCCCCGTCACATTGTCAGTGTGACTGGCAAAAGCGGGTGGGAGAGCGGCATCAGTAATAACACTACTAATTTTCTTATTATGTCAGCATCGCCTGACATGCATTCATGTTCTATGTTCAGCGTGGACGTCATTTGTGCGGTTCACGTGCTACAACACAATCTTCCTGCTCTTCTGCATACACGCGCACAACGGCAACCCATGGAACCGTCCAGTCGGTGAGGCTCCCTTTATTGCCTACCCAGTGGGAAAGAAATAGTGGTGTTTTTGATATAGAATTCAGATTGTAGGAGCTCTGACACTGTTCCGGTCTCTGCTTGTGAGTCCTCATATGGGAAAATCCCTGCCGTTGTATGGTCAGGCACATATGCATCGCCTGAAAAGAGGGTGTATTTGCTCCACTGCAGCGGGGTCAATGGAGAGGCGGCGGTTAGGTGACAGCGACAGAGAGGACGCCATAGTCATGGATGCAAGTTTCAGGCACCACTGGCCAAAGTTCATCCTGTGGTGAGACTTGCTGCACCCTGCAATCCAAATCAATGCCAACAGATCCCCTGCTTCCAATCTCTCATCTCAATCTCTCTCTCTCTCTCTCTCTCTCTCTCTCTCTCTAAATCTCAAAATACAGATTACGCAGCAAAATACGTGCCAGCAAGCATAGTAGTAGTGTGGATGAATCTTGAAATGATACCGGAAAGTGAGCAGATGGATTCAGGTTCCTTGTTTTGGTGAGAAACTTTGCACCTGTGGCCTCTGTCAAGTGCACCTATTTCCCTGACTGCATAATTATATTTTGCAGTGCACCAAGTCATGTTGGTCAGAACAACAGTTTTGATCATCTTAGAGATGTGGGGTTGTCCGGAAATAGTCAGCAGATGACCCCACCAACTATCAGAGGAAGGGTTGTATATTTCACATTTCGAGTGTTGCAGACAAATGAGTAATCACAATTTCTAACATTAGGGTTTCATTCCCCTGCAGCACAGGGTGACATGGGGGTTTACATCGCTTTGCAGGGCGGCGTTTGAGGGACAGCTGATTCTGGTGGTGTACTGGTATGTGAGCGGGCGGGGGGATGCATCAAATCCCCCGGTCATTCCCCCTGGTCTAGAGGGCAGCTGTGATTACTGGCAGTATGACTGCCACACCACGGTGCGTTGCCACATAATTTTATATGAACCACCATTTGTTGGATCTGCCCCTTGTCTGCTTGGTTTCTTTAGTGGTTGAACTGGAAAACGATGCCATTTGGATGCCAAAACTCCACCAATATTAGAACGTTGATATTTGATCACGTTGTTCTTTTTTTGTGTCAAACATGTCACTAATCTTCTGTTCTGCTTCCCAGTGTTTCAGCATGCAGCACCACATGCGGTATCCTGATTAGTATTGAACAACCATATGCCATTAGATGTTGCTGATGTTCAAAACATAGGATTGCAAGTGATTGACTGGTCTGCCTTTTGGCATGCACAGGACTTACAGCAGGGCCTGATCGGCATTCTGGTGGTCATTGCGTACGGCTATTTCTTTATGTACCTGTACTACATCGGCCGAGCCTACTACATCCTGCGGGGCCTTCCTTACACCCAATTCAAGTGAGCGACCCCCTCTTGACTTTGTAAGGCTTGCTTACCAGTCTCTCTGTCGAATCTGTCGTGGCAGAGCAATGTTGCCTGCATTCCGGATTGTCAAGAATGGCAAGTGAGCACTGCCTGACTCAGGGCACAGATCAATCGCTTGTAGTCTTTGATGATATCTGTGATACGGTTGATGCACATTCAGCCTCCTACAGACTCTTGCTGCCCTTGCTGCACATCAGCTGGTTAAGAACACTGCACCTCGGTGTCAAAGTTTCATGGATTCAGACGAGGACTATAAAATAGCTTACTGACGGGCCCATTTCTGCAAAGTGTCATCTCTTATTACACGGCACGACATAACGGATATCTTCATTCAATGCAAGTTGCTGCTGGCGCAGGATGGGCAATTTGATGGTGAGGCTGCACCTGCGCCTGCGGCTGACCATAATTCTCTTCTTCGCATTCTCCTTTGTGCTGCTCTGGTTTGTGCACAGCAACACCTGCCGCTCCTACCTCACCACATGGGGCGGAATGCTCCCCCTGCAGGCAAGGCCCAACAGCAGAATCTTTGTTCCTCACAAGTGGTGATCAGCTGATCAAGGACTAGCTGTTTGTATGTGTGTATCGAGAGAGTCACCTGGAGGGTCAAAAATACAGAATCCTGACACAAAGCAGGTCAGATGCAGGTTCAGGACCACGCATGTGTTGCTGCCATAGAATGTGCTGCGAATCCCAAAAGACAGGATGTCTTGCTGCAAAACCTGGGCGCAAGATGCCTGCTTGCAAGAAAGTAGCTCTGAAGTGGGTTTCAATTGCAATGGCATCATCCGTGTTCTCCGTATTACAAGTATGCTAAAGGGTCTTGATCTTGGAATGCTGACTAGCTGTGCACAGGCGGTGATGTCACCATAAGGTGGATTCCTGTTGCAAAGGGATCAGTGGGTACTGTGAAGTGTTTGAAACTTCCGCGCCAGAAAGAAGTCCTCTAGAAATATTTTTGACTGGCTGTGTGAAGGTGGTGACAACAGCAGTGTCAATCGCCTGGTCCTATTTCACAATGCCAATGGACCCGGACGCCAAAACGCCAATCTTGGGGGTGAGGCCAAGCTGACACCTAGCTTCAGTGTGTGCGTTCTGCTTGACGTGATCTAACATTGCTCTTCTGCAGAGCCCTAGAAATCAATGCATCATGCAGGCATCAAAGGAAGATGCTGACGAGACTGGAAGCGCACATTTATGCTTCAGCACTTGGTGCTAAATTTTGTGCAGTTGCCTCACCTGGCGCAAGCATTCGAATGCCTGATCTCATGCACGCTTCCTTGCCTGGTGCTCTCGCTGCTTTGACCTGCCTGATCTGGCAAGTGTACCTTACATAAAAGAGTGCGCACAGATACCAATTTTGGCAACTCAGCAACGTAGCACAGGGATATAAGGAAGCGGCAGACATGACTCATGGCTTTGAAGGCAGTGCATGCAAGGATTCAGATGCAGCGCGGCCTAAATTGGCACCATATCTAAAGCCTGATCTGGCTCGTCTGCCTGAGCACAGGTGTGGCTCCAAGAATTTGCGTGGACTGAGGAGGAGAAATCTGAGCGAGTGTCCATTAGATGTTCTTCTGGCGCTGTCTGTCCCGACGCAAAGAGCAATCTGTCCAAGGAGCCCATGTTCTGCTTTGAGACGGCCATGAACATGCTCTACTGGTCAGCACTCGTCTATGACTACGAGGAGGTGCGCGCTCCAGACCCTGCTGTAACTATGGGGAGATGCAAGCAACTTCCTAATCTCCTTCTTGCTGCTATTCTCTCGCAAAAACTTGCATCGCTCTAGCAGTAAGCGCGGAGCTATTTTATCCTATCTTGGCCCAACAGCATGCGCAGGCAGGAAGCTGCAGGCAGCTACTGCTCCAGTAGAGCTTCACACACCGCTCTTCTGATGGTCTTCAAGAGTTTATACAGCCGAGAGAAAATGAGGGTTTACGTGATTGTTTTTTAGAAGGAAGACATGGAAAAGGGCACTTTTAATACCTAACTGCATGCCATCGTTGCATCACAGGCGTTGGATTCGAAGCTATCACTGGACACGGCAATGAGCCTGTATGGGCTGGAGCACTCGGAGCTGTTTTGGGAGAAAGCGCTGGACACAAAACTGCTCATGGCCTGGAACAAGCACACAATCGTTATGGCCTTCCGCGGCACCGCCTCCTTCGCCAACGCCCTCGCAGACCTGCAGGTGCTTACGAACCCATGCATCTCAATTAGTAAGAATTGTAAACAGATTAGTAAGAATACAATCTCAAGATTTCTTAGCTGTCCCTGTCAGCAGGCCTACGCTGCACGCATGATCAACACTATATGGCCTGAATAGGCGATAGACACTTGGTTGATTCTGCTTCATGAGATGGCAACGTTGCATTTCATGGCATCCTCGCAGACCTGCAGGTGCTGAATCACCCTTTAAAAATTTCACCGGGAATTTTGCCTACACGCTAAGCCATGCATGCAACCAGACAGATAACGGAGTGTGGTGTTTCACTCCCCCAAGAGGGGTCTCAGATAGGTTGTGGTTGCTGATGTGGGGCCAAATGAGGTCCATCAAAGAAGGCTGCTTTGCTCTTAATGGCTTGTCTCGATACAGTGTGTCACTTTCCCCGTGCTGCTTAATCGTCTATCAATCTCGCATGTCACAGTTGTAGTTGTAGATGTAGCAGTTCCAGGCATAGCACACGATGCATCCTAGTCACGTGCATCTCCTTCAGCTTCATTGCTGCCATTTTGGGATACTGAAACCTTTGAAGTTGTGGTCAAAAGTTTCAAAATCAAACTCAAATTCAAACGCAGGCGTGGCAGATCGCGCACCCGCCGGCGCGCGGATTTGTTTTCCGGCACCGGCCGCGCGTTCATCTCGGCTTCTGGAAATCGTGGACCGCCAACGGACTCAACAAACGCGTCTGCCAGCGCATCATGTCGATTCTGCGCTCGCCTGATGTTGACTCCGAGCGCGTCAAAGTCTACATAACCGGTGCGCCTCTTTCTTCACCGTAGCTTTGGATTTCATCAGAGTCATCGTGTTGTGAGCTTGAGCTAGGAGGGAAGCTGATTGTGAGGGGTTGCGAATCATGCACGGAGTATACCCTCATAATGCTGATGCCCCGGCTGGCGGGGGGCGGTATGAATACTGAGCACCGTGCCACCGGTTGATTGGGTCTTGCTTGGAGCTGGCGAGTCCATCAAGGAGTAGGATTTTGGCAGCCTTTACTGCAGCTTGTCTGCAGACGCACCTCGCTTCTGGCAGGAAAAGCGTGTAATAATAATAATATAATAATAATGCCGATTACAGAATAAGTGACTTTTTGTGATATGTCCCTGACGGAAGCCCTGTCAGAGTTCATCTCCCTAGCCAGTCTCAGCTCACATGTGCTGGCGGGTGCTGACCGCTGGTGCATGTGGTTCGACTACTGTGGGTGATGGGTACTGACGAAATTGCTTCTGCCCATCCTCAGTACAACATCTAGTTCCCCTGCAACCTGTCTTGAATGCCTGGAATCCAACATTATTTGGGCTGAGAAGTTCTTCTCAAGGTTTTTGAAGGTGAAGTGAGCCAGCGACTGCTGCCTGGGCAGGGTTCAAGTTACTGCTTTTCGACCTGACTGGGGTGAAGGCTGACAAGAGCAAGAATGAAGTCCTGCATATTTGAAAGTTGAATCAAGAAAGTTGTAACTGAAGTTTGAATTTGAAGCTGAATGTTCAGGGCATTCGCTGGGCGGCGCGCTGGCAACGTTGGCTGCGCACGAGTTACGGGCGACGGCTCGGAGCTACGGTGTCGACCGCGAGCTGGCATGCTACACATTCGGAGCGCCCCGCGTCGGTAACCACGCCTTTGCGCGCGAATTCAACGAGGTGGGTTTTTCCCCCCTCTTTCCCACTTAATTTATAAATGTTCAGAGTCATAGGGCAAACATGCTGGGCGACTGTGGCCGCATTGGCAGGGTGTGCTTTTGGTTATTTTTAATGCAAAGGATGGACAGTTTTGGACATCAGAGGCTATGAGGGAGTCCTGCATGCAGCTTCAAGGGAACGCAGACTGCACTTTCTAACAAATCGACACCTGGGCCAGCTCTCATGATTGAGCAACTAAAACCTGATGCATGCTCTGCAAAGCTAAGGGGCGGCCCTGCTTCACGTCAACCTGAAAGTCCTTGCAGTGCATGCAGAATTTTGAGGCGTGCCACATGGGCTTATATTTGTGACAGACTTTGATGGTCTGCTGAGGCTTGTATGGGTGATTCTGCGCAGGTGGCGCCGGACACGTGGCACATAATCAACGACCAGGACGTTGTGGCCAAGGCGCCAAAATTCCTGATACTTTACAAGCGCGCGGGGCATCGAGTGGTGATTAATAAAATGGGGGACATGATTGTGCGGCCGTCCTTCATCGAGATCACCATGCGCAACGGCAGTGCGTCCCTTTCCATATCCCTTATGCTTCTTCTGCAGGGGACTGAGTAGATTATAGACACATCTATTACGCCCCCCTGCCTACGGTGCATCTTTTGATTGGTATGATTAGAAGTACCAAGCAATCATGGCATGCCCATCATGGCGTTTGACAAGCTGGACTTCAACAAGTTACTTCTATTTTGCTCTGTCCTTGTGTTGATTGGTTTCAAAGCAGGCAAGCATGCCAGCTCACCGTGGACAGCGGGAAATGTGCGAAATGTCCCGCCCTTCCTGAAAATGTGGGGCAGTCCATTCTGCGCACCATGACAGACTCTAGCTTTCTGCTTCAAACACATTTTTAGGGATTTAGGGTTTAGGGTATATTATAAAAATATAAAATACAACTTTGCACATTGCCTGCAGGCAGCAGCGTGGCACACCACATGCTGGGCAGCTACCAGCGCTCGCTGCTGGCGATCCTCTTGGCGCAGTTCACCAAGAAGCGCTTCTCTGGCGGCATGGCAGGCGTCGTGCGCCTGGCAACTTCCTCCGAGCCTGTGCAGGTGCGCGCACATGCCGGCCTGCTGCCTGTGAAGCCTGTGCAGCTGAGCTTGTTGAATTTGCAGGCCCGTACCACTGCGTGCATGCTGTTAGAAAATGCCTGATCTAGCTCCAACAGGAGCACCCCTTGGAACTCTTGAGATGAAGCACAGCGCTGAACTGATCACGGCTGTACATGCCTTGTCAGGCTGCGGATTAGTTGAGGGGGTCATATTTTCTTGTCAGAATCCTATGTATAACCAATCCTTTTCCCAATTGTTGAGTCCGTGATTGCCGACCCCCTTGCCTAGGAGCTTCAGGATTATGCATTACAAAATTTAGGTGATCAGGCGGTGCTCCTGGGGTCAGCTGGGCTGACACAGCTACTTCATCTCAAGTCTCCTGGTTCATCTGTCAATGTCTTTGCCCAAAACCAAATTCAATTATTGCCCGAACAGGAGCTGCTGCTAGAGGAGGCCGGCCTGGACATAGCAGCGCTGCGGCGGCTGAGCAAGTGGGGAGCGCTCGCGCCGCAGATCGGCGCGAAGATCAGCGCCACTCTTCGCCGGCGCACGACCGGATCCCTGCCCACGAGGCGCTCCCCTTCGCTGCCCGGCAGCGGGCATGGCTCTGCCAACGGCCGCAGGCGCGTTTTGACTCTAAAAGAAATACTTGCATTCAGATGATTGTGAAATGCCTGAGGAACTATCATATCGCGCATGAAGAGGGTAGCAATGATACGCTCCCCTTCGCTGCCAGGCAGCGGGCAGGCCTCTACCAACGTACACAGGCTTTTATGTCTTTGCTGCCTGGCTGGGGTTCTAGCTTTAGTTTTTATACTATTATGAGCTTGAGTATAGTGCACAGTGAGCTCCTACATAGAAATGCGTGCCCAGTGAAGGGGAAACACTGGGTCTTAGGATTTGGAGGTCGCTGTCTATGGCGTGAAAGTTTCTGGGAGGATGCTCTGCATGCATATTGCAGAGTCACCTGCAGTGGCTGGACCTTGTCACTTAATCAACCAGAAATGATGCAAGGAAGCTAAAGTTTAGCCCTTCACGGATGTGTGCATCAGACCCGTCCCATCGCTCCAGTCCAATGTGTTCATGTGGTCTTCATGTAGTCCAGAACGCAATCACATTGGGCTCAGGTGCGGGGACTGGTGTTGGGCTCATGTCTGTTCAGCTCAATGGACAGAATTTGGCAGATTGTTTTCGCATGTCCCCAGTCCGAAGGTGGCACGGCAAATGCTTCTGGAGCGCGTGTAGTGACTGCCTTGGTCTGATGATTCTGTGCAGGCTGACAGCCCCGGAGCCGCTGACGCGCATATCGCTGAGCGGGGAGCTGCCATCAGTGGCAGAGCACAGCGCGGAACCAGATCAGAAGAGCTCTCCCATGGACCCAGAACAGGCGACGCACAGGAACGCGCCAGAAAAGGCGCGGCGAGGGGACCGGGGGGACCGCTCGGCGTCAGAGGGGGAACCGATACGGGAAAGGGAGCTGAGCCTGCGGGAGAGGTACGCCGCGGGGCAGACAAGTGGATCGGGCGGAGATGGGTTGATCGAGCGGGGTGCCCTCATGAAGTCAGAAACTGCCGTGCAGCTGCCGGGAGCCGGAAGGTGACACCGCCTTAGACTGGTTGCTCCAGCCGGCAGATCCTGTACCTGTCTTTTAAACTTTGCCAGGCCGTGACAGCAATAAGGGGGTCAATGAAATGAATGGCCCCTGCAGCGCCGAGCTGGCACATAACACCAGGAGAAGTGTCTCTGTTTGGCACACGTTCCTCAGAAAGCTGGGTGAATTTTCTATTGGGCTGCTCTTTTACGCGAGACAGCAAGGGCAAGTGCATAGCCTGGTATGGAAGACAGCGGTCAGAAAGCTAAGGATGCATCTATATTTAAAACATCAGTTGAGAACTGGTCACAAAGGTGACACTGTACAGGATTTTCACAAATTGGCTTGGTACAACGGTAGTGCATACGGATGATATTGCTCTTTCTTTGCCATTCAGTATTCTTTTTTGACATCGGAAGTCAGCCTGGGGGCGGAGGATTTACTCGAAGTAATGTGTTTGTGTTGTGAGCCAAAACGCCAAAGTGCGGCTTTCAGGCCGGGTCTTTTAAATTAGATCTTTCTCAGATTTTTTACCATCGGCAATCGTTCGGCATGTGTCATCTCTGGCTGTTCAGAATAGGCAGAGGATTCCTTTTTGCTCGCGCAGAGAATTTTCATGCATAAAAGTGAATGCAAAGGTGCTGACTTTGTAGGCGCGTTTCAGCTGCAAATGATTGCAAGTGAAGTTGCAGATTCTTGTCTGTGCAAACCTCTCTTTTACAGGGAAACAATGTTTGAACTTTTTGCACCCTGGAATATGTGTAGGCTGAGGTACTTGCATATCTACTGTATTTTAGGTACAGGTTTACAAACCCTTTGTTGTATGGCCACAGTATGGGCATTGCATTCAGACCTGGGCTTGAAATCCTGTAGTGGGAATTATGAATGACAGCCCATTTCTAGTTGGATGCATTGTAGCTCCTCGGCTCTATTGCACATGTCAGGTGTGCATACAAACAATTAGACTTGACTAATGCATCATTGAAAGGTCAAAGTATTCTAGGATTGGGTTTGAAGTTGAAGCTCGTTTTCCCTCTCTGCCACTGGCCAGCACGCAAACCTGGCGGTTACAGTGAGAGGGAAATCTTTTTCATAAAAAGAGTAGGAAGCTAAAAAGCTTTATGCTGTCGGTGACTTACACATGCTTTGGCGCTACAGGTTTGTGAAATAAAACCGCCAATGGTTTGCTCTCTGTGACATGGAATTGGGTGAGGCATACCAGCTAGCCTATCTTCCTGAGTGCACTTTTGTCAGGAAACTGTTCTCCTCCTGAGCCAAGAATTGGGCAATCATGATAAGGGCTCGCACGCAAAACTAATACACCATGCTGCAAATCTGCCGCCATGCAAAACGCAAGTAGCACATCTACCTAGACTAACAATGACAACATTAACAGAGTGCATTCCCCTGTCAATTCCACTCCGGGGCCAGTGCGGCTGAATCAGCGCATGCGAGTGCCCGTTCAGACATCACTCCTGCCATCCATGCTGCCATCCGTACCCATAGAAGACATGCCCAAGCTGATGGCGGTGTCCGATCCGTCACTCTCACTCACGGGCATGCTGCGGCTGCCGACAAACCCCGTGAAATCCTGCACCCACAAAAAATCATTATCTTGGAGAACTTTTCCTCTCATGCGCATACTCACAATGCAAAGCGCAGAAACGGCCAGACCGGTACGCGGCGTGCTTGCAGTTAGGGTTTTAGGAATTAGGGTTCTAGTAAACCTACCCTAGGGTTGCACCTCCGTCAAAAACCCTAGTGTATAATGCCAAAAAGAGTATGCGTAGAGAGAAACGGAAGCAGCAAGCTCCTGACTTGTTGCTGTGCGCCCCTGCCTGCAGTTGTCCTGACTCTGAATCGATCAGGTTGAGCAGGCCATAAGCGCCAGAACCAGAGTAGTTGGATTGCCGGCAACATTAGCTGTGTATATTTTCGTTTTTTTTTGCTTAGTATTTTTATACCGACCCCACCAAGGGATAGAGAAGGAATTGATAGGTGGCCCTTATCTTTCGTTATCGTAAGCTCCACACCCCAAATATCAGGAGCATCGGTAAAAGAGCGCTCTCAAAGAAGATATAGAATACCTCGCGCGTGGGGCCAGCCACCATCCAGACGAGCAGATGCCGCTTCATGCGCTGCCATAAGGATGCAGCTTCCTCCTCCAACCCCGTAGCTGCCTCTGTGTTGGCACTGACGTCCTCAGCCGTGACGCCCTCAGCTGCCTTCGTCGCCGCCTCCTGCGCACAGCAGTTGCTAAAGTTGACTCATCTGATGACTGAGAGCCTCCGGTGAAAGTCACTCGTATTGTTAAGGATGAAGGCTTCTATCGAGGACGCTAGAATGAGCAGCGTGGCAAGTCACTGAAAATTTTGTTTAGCAAGTCACTGAACCGTTTTCATCAGGCGAGTTAAATTTACCGTAGTTTAGTGAAACAGCAATTGCAAAGCTTATTCTAGCCACTGCACAAGATGATGTTGTGCCCGATATCTATAGTTTAGGGTAAGGGTTCATAGGCCAACAAGAACCTGTTGAGGTGCACACACTGACATTGAAGACTTCTGTAAGTCGCTGGCTCTGCTTTCAAAGCCGACTGTGTCTCGACCGCAACCAAACAATGCAAGGCATGCATGAATGGCATGCATCCAGGCTGCATATTTTTGTAGGCCCCGCAGACGTGGCTTTGGTTTTGCCGGCCTGTAATAATAACGACATTAAACCCAAAACACTAAATCATAAACCCTTAAATCCTAAAAATAATGGAGATGGGGGTTTTGTCACACCTTGACCGTCCGCATGCGCTTCCTCCTGCGGGCTTGCATGGCAGCCACCAGTTGAGCAGCGGTCGTGCTGGCGAGTTTTGGGTTGATCACTCGGCCGTGCCATCTGCTGAAGCGGCGCAAGTCTTCCACTGAGATGCCCGCTCCCTCCAACAGCAGCTCCTGCGACAAGCATATATTTCGTAAATATATAAAGATATATTTTTATTTATAATATTCTTTATGTTAGGGTATTAGGGTGAGGTTTAGGGGCATAAACCGTACACCCTACCATCACAATCATGGGTCATTTTGCCACGAGACAAGATGCGTATGCAGACAAGGCGCCGGTAGAACTTGATACCATCCCGGCTCAATCCCGGCTCCTGAGAGATCATCAAGCAGGATAATACGATTCTGAGGCCCAATCATGCTGCAGCTTCTGCTGATACGCCCACATAAACCATGCCATGCACTCTAGAAGCCTGTAAGAGTGCGGAAGTGCTCCCAATGCAAGAGAATCGTTCTGAGGCTCAAGCAACAATATTCTTATGCGCCGTTCTTACCAGGAGGCAACGTGCTTCTGCACACAAGCAGCCGGTTGAATTCGAAGCCTTTCAGCTGGCATGGCTGTAACTCTTGTGGCATCCCATGCGTTCTTCTTGCAATTGGCCGCTCTTTTCAACTGCAGCTTGTCTGCAGGACGCACCTTGCCTCTTGGCAGGAAAAGCGTGTAATGATAGTTGACGCTGGCAGCTTTGTCAGGATATCTGAGAGAAGGGAAGCCTGTGACATGGACCGATGAAGTCCCAACTGGCAGGTAGCAAGCACAAGTGCCCATTACTAAGTAGGACAATGCGGCAGCAGCTGACCTGGATAGTTGCAAAATCTGAGACACTGTTCCCTACAGGAGCTTCTCCAGTGTCATTTGTACACCACCAATCTATGGAAATAAAGCTCCGAGCTGCGCACTTAGTCATACTTGTAATAGCGACTTGCTTTCATATTCCACTCACCTGGATTGGAGGGCTCTTTTCTGCCAGGCGCACGACGCCGTCCATGCCTCCCGGGAAGCCCTTGGCGCTGAACTGAGCTAGCAGAATAGCGAGGAAGCTGCGCAGGTAGCTGCCGAGAAGGTGGTCCCCCACACTGCCACCTGTCAGGAGCACACTCCTCCTGAGCCAATCTGCATCGCCAGTGCTTTCACAGAAAGGAACTGCAATGCAAGCGTCATCCCCCTTAAAGATCTCACCATTACTTTGCCTTTGGAATTGTGCAGCCCAACAGATAATGGTAGCGGGAATTGAACTTGCAGCTGCCCTACTTGAAAGTTTCCTGGACCTCATGACAAGTGAACTCAACAGACTGGCCCCACGAAAGTTGACTAGGAGGTGGGAGTCATATATATTACTCTGAAGGGTTTGAGGGCAGAGGGGTGGTGATTTCTACCAAAGCGCCCTTGCAGAACCGAGTTCTCAATGAATGACGGCCGCACGAGCATGTCCCCATTTTTGTTGATCAGCACTCGCTGCCCGGCGCGCTTGTAGAGACCCAGAAACTTGGGCGCCCGTGCCACTGCATCCTGATCATTGATGACATTCCAGCAATGCGGCACCACCTGCAATCATTGGATCCAAGCTGCTCTCACATGCCTATTTAGACCCTGCTTACTAAATGGTCTCCCGCGCTCATGCCACAGGACACAACGTCCTATATTTGAGCAAAACCAATGCAGCTCTCTGCTTACACCAATGCGTCCCTTCGACCCAGAATATTTCTGGGGGTCATCAAAGGTGCTGTATCAACAGCGCAGGCAAGAAAATAACATAAAGAGAGAAAACGACGAGCTGGCAATGCAGTGATCACCGTGTCGAACTCGCGCACGAATGCACGATTGCCCACTCTGGGCGCCCCGTAGGTAAAACATCCAACTTGTATATCCTTCCCGCTGTCCTGGCATGCGAGCGCTATGTCATGCGCTGCCAGCTGCGCCAGAGCTCCTCCCAACGAATGACCTGGAAGGGTGAATGGGGCTTTTCTTCCAAAGTTGATATATACAGGGTTATAGCCCCCAACCCTAAAAATGGGGGTTTGATCCTAGCATGTATGAAGGCACTGGAAGTCACTCGATCATGACAAAGCAGCTTCACAGCCAGAACCGTGCGTGTCCCAAAAGCGTCTGCGTAGGTACTGAAAAGAAATGCGGTGCAAGGGTGCAATAGCGCTGCACATCTTTTGCCCAAGAGGAGATCTGGCAGATATGCTGTGTCACGCTCTCCTCATGAGAACACTGTCAAGCCATGAGTGTAAAAGATCGGCCCCAATGGCCGGCTTTATGTCCAAAAAGGACCACCGGTGACTGAAATGTATTAGTGTGATCTATATAGTCGTCACATATGTTGGCCCCGGTTGCCGGGGGGGCGGTACAAATACTGAGCACCGTGCCCAAAGTTGATTGGGTCTTGCTTGGATCTGGCGAGTCCACCAAGGGGTAGGATTGTGGCAGCCTTTAACTGCAGCTTGTCTGCAGGACGCACCTTGCCTTCGGCAGGAAAAGCGTGTAATAATAATAATAATAATAATAATAATAATAATAATAATAATAATAATAATAATAATAATAGTAATAATAATAATATGTGACAGTGAGAACTGACATCATGACTCACCTGTGACGGCAACTGTCGCCAATGCTACATTAAAGCCCGGCCGCTGAATGATCTCCTGTATCCTGGAAATGACGCGGATGTCCAGGCCATTAGACGTCCAGCTGCGCAGGAACCCCATGTGCACCAGCGGCCTCCCGCCCCACCGGCCCCTCTTGGGCGGATGCACCGCCCTGCAGGCCTGCCACAGACCAGGCTTTGAGACCCCCCACCAACGGAATGGCACACCAGCACCAGGGCTAGGGGCAAGATGTCAGGGCAACCCCGGAAGAAATACAGATTTGGCCAAATGGCACGAACGCAACGCCGCGAAACCACGTGGCTGTGACTCGGGGGCTCCCCAGACTTTTCAGGCAATATGAACCACTTGGAGGCCAGATTCAAGGGAAAACCTGCTTCTCCCTGTTGGAACTCTTGGGAATTTCAGGGGTGCCCCCTAAGTTTCAGCTCCTCTCACGGCAGTAGGCCTGGGCAAAGCCCCCGCCCGGCCCTTGCCCTACTGAGGGGCTGGCCTGACATTTTCTAGGACCCCTATCAAACCCTGCCACGGACTCCCTAAGTATAAGCCCAATAAGCCCAGTGCGCTTTAAACCAAAAATTGGCGTCGAAACATGTTGTAGAGAAGGGTTGCAAGATACAACACTGACGTTTGTCCAACGCCCTGTCTAAGACAGGTGTCACGCCTTGCTGCAGTCCAAGGCTCTGGTTCGTTCTAATTGGCTGCGACTCCGTGGGCAAATTTTGTAGCCCATTATGCAAGAAAACCTGCCAGAATCTGGCAGTGTCCCATGGTAGATTGGGTCTTGCTTGGATCCTGCGAGTCCATCAAGGGGTGGGAGGTCTGGCAGACGCACCTTGCCTCTGGCAGGAAAATCGCGTGATATTAGTAATAATTAAAAGTGGTACTCCTTACAGGGATAGGAAAGCTCTAAGAGGCTGTGAACTACTACTACCAACCTGCACGTCTGAGAGGACGTTGGAGAGTGATGCGGTGCCTCGGAAGGCCAGCACAATCCGGTTGTCGCTCCAGCCCATGAGCAGTTTGGTGTCGCGGGCTTTGTCCCAGAACAGCTCTGAATGCTCCAGCCCGTACAGACCCATTGCCCTCTCTAGAGACAGAAAACCCAAATCCCTCTGCGCAGCAAATCAACACCACTACTTGTTGCACTTCTGCCGCTATCTCAGCAGCTGTCTCCCTGATTATAGAGTTTAGGACCATACTGGGGGTACTATGTAATTTGAAAATACTAACGTACAGTCAGCATGCAGTGGAAGACATGCTGTCCCGCTTCGGATGCAATGACCACAGCAACCCAATGCAGCAAGAAGTTGTCTTGTGGCAGCAGTTGTGTCAAACCCTCTATACATGCATAAGGGGCACACAATGGAAGAAAGGTACAATGCGAACTCAAATCCGTGGCCACAGCAAGCAGAAATATGGGCTGCAGCTTCGCCTCAGTCAAACTCAATTCTACTGTGACTGACCTCTTCTGTGTCGTAGACGAGGGAAGACCAGTAGAGCAAGTTGATGGCTTGCTCGAAGCAGAACATGGGCTCCTTTGCCAGCTGGCGCCCCTGAGGCCCGTCCCTGTTTCTGCGCTCAATCTTGGCCTCTCTCTCAAGCTCAGTCCAGGCAAACTCTTGGAGCCACACCTGTTCAAGTCGTGTACTCTTTTCTTATCGTTTGCCCACATCATTTCCGCCGTGCCAAACAAGCTCTGGCCAGCACCTGTCTTGCACCCGTACTCATAATCAGCCATCATGGTATAGCTGCATTATTTCCCCCCTTGGTAGCACCTCTATATCTAGGGTTTTTCTAAAATCCTACATACCCTCAACCCTAATTACAGCCTCTGCAGCCCACAATTATACTGATGATTGGACATGTGTGTGTGTGTGCCGTAGGGGGGCTATTATTTGTTGTGTGCTTTTAGGGTTGGGTTCATATAGACCCTAAAACCCCTGACAGTAATAAGAGTAATAGTATGCATTTTGTGCACCTGCAGGGCTGGTGCATCCTCATCCAGGTGGGTGGCTGGCATGGTGAAGAAGGACCATGTGATCGTCGCAGCAGTCTCAACTACCTGCACAGAAATCGAAACAATACCCTGCATCTGAGGAATTGGGTGAATCAGTTTGCAGGACCTCACCAGCCCTTGACATTGTTGTTGTTGTTGTTGTTGTTGTTGTTGTTGCACTTTAGAGACCTTTTGGGAGCCACCTGAGGCTCATTGGTCTTGTGGGTTGCCACTGCCCATCTACATATCACAACCTTCTTAAGTGTGTTCAGGGCTGCAGGGAATTTACCTAGGGTTTCCCTTTATTTATGTAAGAATCATCAAGCCTGACCCCTGGAATATAACATAGTGTGAGTTGCCTGCAGGGGGATCAACCACCGTACTGACAGAAATTGCAGCCCTGAGGACTGGGGGGGGGCCCATCATAATTTCAAACGTCCAAGTTGAAAACAATAAAGTGTGGCTCACCTGCAGTGGCAGCGCGCCAAACCAGGTGTAGAGATAGGACCGGCAGCCGTGCACCCGCACGTACCAGAGCATACCCATGCCCAGTGTGTAGTGCGCCACTACCAGCAGCCGCACACGCAGCTGCACACAACACACGCCAAATCTCAGCGTGTTCAGCAGTGTTACATATAAAGCTTTGGGCAAAAGGCAATGTGGCTACAAGCTTTTTGAAGCCTCAAAATTGGCTCAATGCTGGAATTTTCAGAAACCTTTTTGTGGAACTTCTCCAGGTGAATTTGGGTGCATTTCTGCTGAAAAGGGATCATATGTGGCTTCCTCCGCTGGTGAATAAATTTTTAGAAGCCAGTCAGTGGCTTCAAAAAAGGACACCCTCAGGTAGTTTATGCGCCACAGAAATGCCCGGTTTACTTAATTATGAGCCACACTCAACACTGAAAGAAACCCTGTATATAGGAGACACTGTCCAGAGTGCATGTGCTTGGTCTGATACAAAGGCTTGACTTCAACTTCAAAATTCCGGGGGTATAAAAAGGGGCCGGCTGGCGGGGGGCGGTATAAACACTGTGCCCACGGTTGATTGGGTCTTGCTTGCACATGGCGAGTACATCAAGGGGTAGGATTTTGGCAGCCTTTACTGCAGCTTGTCTGCAGACGCACCTTGCTTCTGGCAGGAAAAGCATGTAATAACAATAATAAAAAAGGGGGCGCGCATGCCTGCAGGTTGACCGTGAGGTGTGCCAGCTTGTGCTCCTGCCGGGGCAGCCTCTGCAGCGTGTAGACAGCCCGGCTGATGTAGAAGAAATACATCGCAAAGTAGACGAAGGCCCAGACCATCCAAAGCACGGTCATGCCCAGTTGGAGGCTGCCAGTCGGGCACCGGATGCGCTCCCTGTGGAATCGGCAGTCCTCCAGAAATTCGCCATAGTCTGGAATGTCTCGAACGCCCTCTGCACCCAGTGAGACACGAAACTTGTCTCGCGCCTTACCCTGACTCATCTGTGTCCTTCTCATCAGGCCGACCCAGCGATGCAATTTGTTTGTAGTGTCCTGACCTGTGGCAGGATTGCCTGATCGTGGTCGGAATAGGCACTCCCCAACATTATGTTTAAAAGACATCAACCATACATGACTGATCGTTCAACTTGGATCACACATGCATGTACTCAGCCGGCAGCAAGAAGTTCAAGATTTCAACCCCTAATCCCTAGATAGGGGGGATGCAAATCGTTGAGTTCATACTCACTGCCAGTCAAATGTGTAACAAATGTAATAATTGATAAATAAATTTTCTGTAATACATCCGGAAGTGAGAGTACCTTTTAGGGCCAATGCACCACTGGCTATGATTGAGCCCTCCATTAGGCACCTGCAAGTGACATGCCAAATATCAGTGTGTGACCGAGTCATCAGTAGCTCAAAACTGCCTCTGAGCATGGTCTGCAGGCTTCCTAGATGCATACTCATGTGATATAGGGAAATTTGCTTAGCGTTTATGGTTGTACATAAAATGTGTATTCAAGGTAACCCCCAAACCCTAACCATGATCCTAACCCCTACAAATACAGGCATCATGCCGACATCATCCTAGTGATTCCCAAACCAATTGCGGACTTGGAACATTCTCGGCTGGCGGGCGGCGGTGTTAAAATTGAGCACCGTGCCCACAGTGGATTGTGTCTTGCATGGATCTGGCGGATCCATCAAGGGGTAGGATTCTGGCAGCCTTCAACAGCAGCTTGTCTGCAGACGCACCTTGCTCTGGCAGGAAAAGCGTGTAATGATAATGATAATTGCGGACTCTACATGGAGATGTCTTTGAGGCATAACACACCGGGCAAGCTCAGGCATGACTCACCAGATAATGAGCTTGGGGCCATGCATGACCCAAGGAGCATCAATCAGCGCCCCCTCATAATGCCCTGGCAGCTTCTCTCCAGCCTCTAGACCTTCACTCAAATCCCCTTCCCTCTCAGGGCCCTTCCTCCAGAGCATGGCTATCTTTGGCAGAATCCCTACCCTGTCCTTGGAGGGCGTTCCCTCTGCACCTGATGCACCCCGCAAATTATTATAATAATTGTTTATATTACACGGCCTTGTTGCCTAGAGGCAAAGTGCGTCCTGCGGAGAAGCTGCAGTTAAAGGCTGCCAAACACTACCCCTCGATGGACGCGCCAGAACCAAGCAAGACCCAATCAACCGTGGGCACGGTGCTCAGTATTTATACCGCCCCCTGCCAGCTGGGGCCATAAACTCTCACCAACTTCCTTGATCAAACAGAATTGCATGCTATGGAAGGCAGGGCACTCTTCACAAGTGCATGGCAGACATGGACCGTATGTAAACAGAAGCAAGCTCCGCCCGTAAATGTGCATTGGTGAACTCACAGACTTGGCACTGCAACTCAAAAGTGTTCTCACGGCGGGTGTACTAGCAGCGCTTTGTTTATATCATGATTTTTTTCCGCGCACAGTCAAGCATGTTTGATAAGAGACAAATATAGGCGCTGACCTCCTTTCCAGTAGGGCTTGCTGTTGTGGGCCTGGATGATGGTTATGAGGAAGATTGAGTTCCAGCAAGTCCAGCGAATCATCGCGCAGTAGGCTGCATGCACACACATGGCTCATGCGACAAACCAAACATAGCAAGCACATAATATAGATGTAGACAGCTTCCTGACCAACACATTAGTGACCATATTTCAAGGCAGCGCTGTTGGGCTTGTAATAAAGCAGAGCCAAGGAGTGATACACAAGAAGCAGTAGGCTGCATGTAGATTTGGGCTACTGGCAGAAGCATGCATCTTGTTTAAAAAACAAGACAGTGCAAGCTCACCATGCACTACACTGCGTGTGGAACCTCTAGAAATCAAGAATCAACAATTTTCTTAATTTTTCTTATAATTCCTAAACTCGATAATCAGGTGAGCATCTCAGAAAACATGTATTAAAATGGGCGCACGGATAAGGTTATGGAACAGGTCGCATGGCTGCGCCAGCAGGTACACGTTGGGTATGAGGAAGAATGTGACGTTGATCCACTGAGCGACCAACTCTGTGAAGAGCAGAATGGCCAATTTCTTCCTCCTCAGCCTCCTTAGATGCATGCACACTTTCTTATTAGTCATCCTTGACTAAGCCTGCTGATGTGGCGCGCCATGTTGGCAGATGATATGTAAACCCTATACCCAATATATCGGTCCTGCTAAATGCAGGCATGCGAATGCTACAGCCAGGGCGCACTGTGTTCATGCTGATGAAACAATGATCATAGCCATACACTTACCCCTAAACCCTGCACCATACACCCTGAACCGTAAACTTAAGGACAAAGCTGGCAAGGCATCAATTGTGCGAAGTATATTCTTCAAATACTGAGCACCGTGCCCATGGTTGATTGCGTCTTGCTTGGATCTGGCAAGTCCAACAAGGGGTGGGACACATGGCAGCCTTTCACTGCAGCATGTCTGCAGGAAACACCTTGCTTCTTGCAGGAAAAGCGTGCAATAAAAACACTGGTAAAATAACAATAAACCGAAACCACGCACCCCAAAACCTAAATCTAGAGAAGTAAAAAAGCCAACAAGGCATCAATAGTGCGAAGTATTTTCTTCAAGGGCAGAAAGCTGCGCACCATCGCTTGCCCTGTCTTCTGGCTGTGCGGCAGCGCATGAGATAGACAGCAATGCAGGTTGTGAGAGCGATCCAGGACAGCGAAGCAAACACCGTGTTGATGGCCGGGGTTGAGACAATCTCAAGTGCCCCATCTGGCTGCTGGACAATGACACTCCGATATGTTAGCATGCCTCCTGGCTAGACACAAACAAACCCGATCCCACACAGTTAAATTGCAGTCGCAAACAATTTAGCTGCCTTTCCTTAATATGTGGATCCGGTGCGTTGCAGCAGCATTTCCACGGCATGTTTTCTTCCAATTTTCACTGTTTATGGCTAAACAGCCATATAGCATACAGAGTGTGCTTCTTACGAAAACGCCTGGGTGTTTCTGAGTGCCTCTTTTCGGCAGTAGAGATGTACTACGGTAGTTGAGAACTGAGGCATTGCTGGCATATAAAACCCTAAATAAATCCTCAACCCTTAGAACACTAAATAAATATAAAATAAGTATGTAAATATAATGGGCACAGAAGTGGGAACGCGCACGTCTTTGAGCTTCAGGACGAATTGCTGCGCGATTATGGCGATCCCAACAGCCTCTACAATCCACAGGAATGTCAGCACGGCCTGCAAAAGCAACCAGTGTTTCTTATAAGGAATCTTGCTAGTGCCCGATTTGGCTTCCAACTTATTTTCGGAAATTTTGGCTGAAGGCACGAAAGGGGCGAAAACCAGGCCTTTAAAGATGTTGCCCAGGAAAAGCGAGGATTTTGGGGGGTTTAAAGCTAAAAAAGGGGGAAATGCGGTTTCCTGCACCTCTTGACTTTTGACCTTTCCAGAATCCAATATGCGGCCTCAAAGTCTCCATCAGAAAGTGGCCAGAACGCCAAAAATATCGCTTGTTTATTAGTTAAGAGCCACATTGGCTTCAGAACGCCCACTAAAAGAAACCCTGAAAGCAACAAAGGCTCTTTGTCTCTCTCTCTCCATTTTGCCGGTTGCATCCCAGACAATCCAGTCAGCATGCCTGTGTTAAAAGACCCCACAGCTGGATTTAACACCCCCCAAGGGACTGGGCAAATTGGTTCAGGGCTAGCAGCAAGGTGCCAGGGCAGCCCCGGGAAAAATTGAGACTTGGCAAAATGGCGTCAGGGCAATGCCCAGAAGCCACATGGTGGTGACTCAGGGGCACCCTGGATTTTTCAGGGAATTTAAACCAACTAGAGGCCAGATTCAAAGTGAAGCTGCATCTCCCTTGTGACAATCCTTGAGAAACCCAGGGATGCCCCGAGGTTTCACTACTACCGCGGCAGCTACTACCATTGCCTTACTAAGGGGCTGGCATGAGAATTTCTATGACCCCTGTCAAACGACCAAAGGGATATTCTGCTGCATGCCGAACTCCACACGCAACAGCCGCAAACCCCTCTTCGGGTTTCAGCAAGATATATCTTTTCATTGACATGCTTTCTCCTTTATATCACCCCTGAATATACGAATCCTAAAAAGATAGGAGATGGGGTGCTTGCCTTTGTTTGCGCGGCCGAGATGTATTCCAGTCGAAGAATCACGTCCTTGCTGAGTCGATAGTGCTTAAAGTCGTGGTTGCCGCTGCTTGAAATATCCACTCCATCCGACTGCATCAGGATACAGAAACTCGTGTTGGCCCATAATTAGGAGAATGTCAGTCAGAGCTATTTGGTTCTGCGCCACCTTGTTTGCAGGCATTTTCGGGCCAGAAAAGTATCAGGATTGCCAAATTTTTGACGGAATGCAAATACATGAGAGGTTTGTGATGTGAAGATGGGGCAGTGACAGACTGCCTAAAAGACCAATGTGCTCAGGTGGCTCTTAAATGGTCTATGAAATGTAATCATATTAATAATGATCGGCATACAAGGATGCCACAGAAGCAGTGCATCCTAGCACAGCAGCTTCCGCTAAACTTGCTTCGATGTTCTCTTCTCACTTGCAGGCAACGGAACATGGTTCACTGTGGCCATCTTGCTCTCTTTGAGGCAAGACTGGTCCTTTCCAAAGCAGATTCAACGAAGTGGTACGCACATGGGTCTTGTAGCCCGTTGAAAATGTTCTAACATTACAAACTTCATCGCTATCCACTACGTGAGTTTACTGGTGCTTCAAATTGCTCAGCATCAGTTTCACAGTTTGATTTGAATTTGGGCAGGCTACAAATCGTGGATGCACATTGGCGAGCACCTCTGTAGCATTGGGCGTACTACATGGAGAAAGGTTGCTTTGCTTACCGAAGAGCTGCTCACAGACAGTGTTTCCAAGAACTCCGCAGGGGTGGCTTGACTCTCCTCCTCTGCTGTTCTGCTGAAGGACTCATGTATTGTCCGCTGCCCTGCAGCTTGGCTGCAAGTGGCTTCTGCTTCTGTAGCTGCACCTGTTTCTGATGCTTTATTCTGAGAACTCGACTCAGGACATCCAAGCTCCTTAGCTGCCCAGGTCCTCTGCTCTGAGCTGGCTCCAGCCAAGCTGCAGCCGCTCTGTTGGTCCATGTTGCTGATTGCTTGGTCCACTTCAATCCCTGCATTCAGCACATGGCTCAGTCAATGCGAGCAAATGCTAATTATAATTGCCAAGGACTCTGAAGTAACGTTCTTTTGCGAAAGACCTGGTTTCGACCAAGCAAACCTGCAGAATGGCCCTCTCGACTGAGGCTCCTCATTTCTGCGCTGTCCTGAGGGCAAAGTTGACTTGGATCATATATTTGGGAGAGCCCTGTGTCCTGGCTGTTAAGTTGTCCATTTGGTGCGCCACTTCGTCCGTAAGAGCAGCTGCGGCTCTAAAGGGCAGCTGCGCTGCACTGGCTAGAGCCTCCCGTATAGCCTTCGACTGTCCCTGCGCAGACGGAGCAGTCGGGTGCTAATTTGTTCATGGCCTGCGTCATTTTACGGTAGCGTCTCCCTTCCTTGTCGATTTGGCACAGGGAGGAACCTGGATACCTATTCCGAAATATTTTGGGAGTGGGAATACCGACTTTTCTCCGAGCTGGTGCGGCGTCTGCCGCACGATCTTGCTCGAGGGAAACCGTGGATCGATACTTGGAACGAAACTTCACATGTATGCTCCTGTACAAGGACTTGGGGGCATCCTGTCTTCTTTTCCGTGAAAAGGAAGCAGGCCGCAACACGTTCGGGCTTGTATCGTGATCATCGTAAGGGTCAACCTCGGACAAAAGTTTCAACCTTGGACCTGGCCCAATTTCAATTGTGGCAGCCTGATCAGGCTCTCATTTTAAATTCAAGTAGACGAAAAGCTTGTAATGGACAGACAAGAAAGACCTCGCAAGACTGGCAGTTAAGTGGCAGACACTATGGTGGTCCTAGGTTCTTTTGCAGAGATTGCACGAATAAAGGCATGCTTATGAGAAAAAAAGCCCAGCTGCTGCTGCCTGTCACATGGCCATGCTGCTGCTTAGCCTGGGGAGCAGGCCGGCTGCTGATGATGGCCTTGGCATACTCGACGTGTGCAATGTCCGCGCCCAAGATGCGCCGGTGTGGCTCCGCGCGATACTGCAGGAGCTGTTGCCACCCCCTGTCACAACCTGATTGCTGCGCTCCAGGGTGGGCCCCTGGGCAGCGCCTGTAACTGCATGCATGCATTTCAGATCTCAGCTTGCACATCAGCCACGCTCTTATTCCTCTTATTCTTGGACCCCATAGCGCATGAACAGAAGAACAGAAGTTGCGCATGAGGGATTGCTTAGCAGAGGGGGCGAAAAAATGCCACAAACTCAGCAGTGACATGGCATGCCAGCGTCTGTTGTGGCATCTCCTGCCTTGGCTCAACTGCATCGGCTGTCTCAGGTGTAGGCGCAGGCTCCCCTGTACACGGCTGGAGTCCCCAATATGTCCGGCAGCCCTGGGACAATTCCAAAAAGAAAATTCAAAGTAGTAGATTGGGAAACGCTCAGAACTTCTGCAGAAGGCACTCTACTTGGTGTAGGTGACATTTCATATCTGTGATTCCCCACAAATCGTGCAGCTGACCCTTCAGACACATATACATGCAGTGATGCCGTTGTAACTCTTGAAAGCGTGTCATGCAATGCGAAGAGGATGAGACAGGCTCAAGAAGCCTCGCCCATAACTGCTTGAAAAATAACATCAAGTCCATGTGGCTGTCTCCAAGAGCCTCCTGCACTGAGGATCTCAAACTCATGGTGTCACATGACATGGAGACATCGCTGACGCTGACCTGGAAGCAGGAGGTGCCTTGGGCATTGGATGGTCTTGGCCGCTGATGCCTTGCATGCCAGGGTCCTCTTCATTGGCAACGGTCCTGTCCACCAGACAATGAGGTGAGGACAAGAGCGCAAACATGCCAAGCTCTGACTGCTGCAAATGGCAATGCCCTTGATGCTGCAACTTGCTGCTGACAAGAGCCTATCAAGCCAAGGGAGCCGTTGTGAATGGTGCACTGGCAAGAGGAGCAGCACATTGCATCACCCCTGTCCAAAATCTCAATTGTTACTTGGAATTTTCAATACGCAAGAGTACCTACCCCAGATTCTCCTTCTCGCTGCTCGCCACGTCCGTGTCTCCTTCCATCTGCTCCTCAACATCTGAGGAGGACAAGTAACTGAAGTCAGGATTTTTGCACGAAAGCAGGATTTGATAGTCCAACCTTCCAACCTCAATGGTACTGTCCGCAAGATCGGGTACACGGGACTTTCGGACAGGCAGACTGTTGTCGAGGCAGTCCAATCTCAGTGGGCATTGCTGCATATCAGCACTGAGTTTGATGCCCAAGGAGGTCCCTCAGCCTGTTTATCCGAGGCCACTTGTCTTTAAAACTGCGTGCAACTCACCATTCATCTACGGAGGAGCAGCATAGCCGATCTGTCCATCTTCGGGCGGGGGTCCTGGTGCGATTGTCCTGCAGCGAGTGCAAATGGAACAGATCATCACTGCTATCAGTCAGATAGGAAGGTACTGGATAAGAGATTGTTATTTATGATTGTTCCTGAATCGTCACAGGAATTCTCGTCCGTCACGGCAAAGTCTTTGCGCGCCAGTGCTGTAGACATCTTGTCCTCAGTGCAAGCCAATCGCAAATGATATAGTGACGCTTGGTCATTGAAGTTGTTCAGTTGTTCCCAATAAAGCAAATTTTATGGTTGTACAGCATGATCAAGCTCCTGCCGCTCCTGGTCCTTCCATCGCTTTGACATCGCCATCGCGGCCACTTCTATGCGGTTGCGTGCCAGCGTAGATCGTAGTGTATTGAAGATACCAACAGATGTAACGAACGTGAGAAATGGACTTGAACACTGCAGGACTGTCTGGGAAGGCATCGGAAAGTCCTCCTTAACGCAAGCTTGACGAGCTGGTGGCACAGTGCCTAAGCAGGCGATCGCTCGATCCGATGCAAATTCAGTCCGAGGTTGATCTAAGGACTTTAAACGTTCCTCAAGCGAACACATCTGTGTCTTGTGATTTGAGGCCTGCAGTCGCTTTCCTCTCCACTCATTGTTCTAGAACCAGGCCCTGTGGGCTTCGGATCACGTCCGCTACCGAGAAGGGTTTGTCTTTCGCTGAAGCTTCGTAAGCGTAGCAAGAATACATAAAAGAGTTCTCCTTCTAGGACCTTACAGATAATTTCTCTCCTCAATGCACGGTGCGGCAGGATGTTGATTGACCAGAAAGCCAGGTCCAAAAGTGCCTTACGCATTACACTCTTTCACTCCGTCGCCCAACGTGTACTTTGCAGATGCCCTTTTTTGTACAGGGCAACAGGTTGGCGCGTTGAATGGTGCCCTTTTTACAGGATAAGGTGGTCGCCATGAGGGAAGCTCTGTCCCATGCAGCTCATTTGCCCTTCCAGATGGCAGCTGCCCTCACCGATGAAGTTGCCCACCAAGTGGAGGAATTAGGGGCAAACCACAGGGTTGAGCCTGAGCGAATTTCCTCCCAACTGTATCACGAAGATAGCACGCAGATGAGGCAGCAAGAAAAGTCCGATCAGCACACTGCAGCAGCAGGCTTGGGTGCAGAAACACCACCTCAAGCACACAGCAATGGTGTGCCCCGAGCAGGCAAAGTACACTCTGGCAGCGAAATCGGCCCCCATCCGGATGCCAGCAGGCACATCCTGCAAGAGCAGAACACTGACACTGTGCAAGATGGAGCCAGCACATCCCCAGGCAATAACTCAAGCCCGCGGCCGGACAGATGCGTCAGGTTCGTGAATGAGGACAGGGGCTCGCAGGTAGAAAGCCTTGCAGCCGAAGCTGCAGGCAACCAGCCGGCAGTGCAGCAGCCCACAGTGGCAAGTGTGGTAAGTCAGCCCGAGCCGTTCAGGGGCAAGGATGGAGAGGAAGAGGCCGCTCAGCCTGGGTCTCCTGTGTCACAGTCAGACAGCGCCCAAGGAACTTCTTTGAGCTCCTCGGTGAGTTAATCTCAAAGGGCTTTGTTCCTATTAAAAAGCACTTTCATGACCGAAACCTTCAACCACTCAGAACCTTACCCATATCTTTTTATTGTCAGCACCCTTTGCAGTTGCAAGGCAACCTTTGGACGCGCCAGAACCCAAACCTATTTCTCAACCTTTTGAAGTGTTTTTCTAACACTGTAAATTAGACTTGACTTTCAGGGACGCTAGGGTCATGCATGGCAGGATGGCTGCACAGGCAAGAGGCCGATGAGTCAAGATGCATACAAAATAAGAGTGGATTTGAATTTTTATTTGAGACTAGGAACGATTACTGAGGCGGTGATGTGTGCTGCGGCAGTCGGATGGGCTGGACATTTCAGGCAGCGGCGTCCACGACTACAAGCACTACAGGATGGGCAAGGACGTGATCACTCGAGTGGAGTATATTTCCTCCACACAGACCAAGGCAAGCCATCCATCTTGAGTTGCATACAGCATCCCAGGAAGTAGAATATTCCACTGCTGCATTCACTAAACTGCGGCCCGGTGAATTTTATTTTGATAAGATGTCAAAGTTCTCTATATCCCAGTGCGCCAGATGATGCCAATATCGTGAAATAACAAATAGCCAGACTAAATCAAGGGAGTGAACAATTGTTCCTGGATTGGGGGTTTCACTCTGCAATCCAGGCATGCATGCCCTGATTCCCATGCATGCTCAGGTCTGAATAGTGCAGCTTGTATCATGTCTGTGCTGAGGCAAACTAACGCTGCCTGCAGGCGGTGTTGACTTTCCTGTGGATCATCGAGATTGTCGGCCTCGCCATGCTGACCCAGGAGTTCACACTGAAGCTGACAGATGTGCGCACCCCCACCGATGGCATCCTTTTCTCGTCTCATGAAATTAACTTTGTCACAAGAATCATCCCCGCATGGAGATTGAGCTCACTACAATGACCATGGCTTCATGCATGGCATGTCATGCCCTGTTGCACATCTGTTGACTGAGATGAGCTTCTGCCATGCATGCATCTTGCCTCAGCTTGTCTTGAAGCTGAACGTTGAGCTTGAGGGATATCCCCGAAGGTCTAAATTGACAGTGCCTCCCATACACGGCATGTGACACATCAAGCCGTCACCGGGCAATTGACTAAATGCACTTCTCGAATGCATGCTTGACACAGACGCTATTATTTCATCCCGTCATGCATTGCATGTGATGCGCTGCCATCGAGCTGTTGACTGATGTAACTCTCTGCTTTGGCCTGCAGCCGGATGGAGCGTTCAAGAACCAGTCCATTCCAGTGGTCAACGTGGTGTTTGGGTCGCTGTGCTGGTGTGCGCTGACTGCCTGCATAGTCATCTACCTCATGCGCTACCACACTGCCCGGAGACAGGGAAGGCGCTGGTGCGAACCCAGCCATGCACACTTTTGTTTGGGGGCTGCTTTTGATCACCAGCAGCTGCACAAACCAGTTTTTGTTCAACTTGCATGTGTCTCTCTTCTCCATCACACCTGGCACGAGCAATGTGCCGCTAAAGATTGCATGGTGGATTACTGCCTTGTGCACATTGCTTATTGGCAAGTAGGCAGCCCACATCCTTGAGCTGGAAATTGCAGCAACACCGGTATATGCTTGCATCTCTTGTACTTCTGCTTGGGAAGCGCCACCACTATTGCTGTCTGGCGTTGTCCGAAGTGCTTGTAATCTGAAAAAGTCTGAAAAGAGGAACGCATGTTTGTTCTGCAGGAAGCCTAGGAGGAAGAAACTGGCCACGCTGCTGTTCACAGAGCTGGTGGCCCAGTGGGTCAATGTGACATTCTTCCTCGTACCCAACATTCAGCTCCTGGCCAACCCCTGCGGCATGTTCAGCGTGCTCGTCCGTGAGTTCCTCTCCCATTTTACTTTGCCATGCACCCTGTTCTCGTCAATCTAGCTTGTTGGGAGCACTGTCCTCCAGAAATCGAGCTCGTCTTCCACAGGGCGTGCCCTTAGCTGGCATGAAAGCATCACACCATTGCCTGAGTATGGCCTGAAGACACATGTTGCCCCATGTACTGAGGTTTAACAAATTTCGCACGTCCCGGCTGGCAGGAGCCTTTGCCTTTTTGTGGTAAGGAAGGATGATGTGCACCCGCTATCTTTGCTGCCTTTCTTTGGTTTGGATCCGTAGCTTTGGATCCGTAGCTGTGCTCACAAGCTTAACAGTGCTTCCATGCCTTGGTTTGTATTTGGTCGGCGGAGCCCTATTCTCATGCTCAGAGCATTCTCAAGGAAGTGCGTTTTCCTCTGCAGCCTACTGTGCGATTGTGCGCTGGACTTGCTGGAACACCATCTTCCTCATCACCGTCATCCAGGCCCACAACAGCAAGCCCTACTGGAAGGGAGGTCAGCTCTTCAGCCATGCACATTCTTTTGTTTCCTGGGATGGCACAATTTTATACATGAAGCTGCTCATGTGCGCTCAAGGCAGCACCTCTGCTGCTGCTCCTTTCAGCAGGACAAGTGCCAGTTTGCCGGAGATAGTAGATAAAACCTCAGTTGCTCAGGAACCGTTTGGGCTGTTCAGCATGGCTCAGCCTGGTTCAGAATATAGTAAGTAGCCAGCCCTGCTTCCTGTTTCAGCAGGTTGTGTGGCAGAGAGCTAAAGGTAGCAGGTGTAATTGATTCTTTTGTGATGGTGATGCAAGCTGTATTCTTGCCCCGGCTGGCAGGTAGTCATTTAAATACTGAGCGCCCTGCCAAGAATGGTCTTATTGGGACCTCGCAAGTTCATCAAAGCGAAAGAGTTATGTTAGCCTTTACATGGTGCTTGTCTGCAGACGCACCTTGCCTCTGGCAGCGGAATTTTGTCATGAGAAGAATGCTTCTTCTGCGCTGCAGAGAGGAGTATGTGGGAAAACTGGATAAGGTCACCATCGGGGAGAACACCCGGGTGGATCAAGGGCATCACGCGCAGGAAAAATCTGACTGAATTGCCAAAGGGGGAGAATGCGAAGCGAGGGAAATACGAGGGATCAGTCATGGATGCCCCTTGGATCATTCATGCCCCAAAGCTCATTGTCTGGTGAGTCTCACAGCCTCAGAAAATTCCACCATGCATGACTACGAGCCTTCGAGCTTAGAGGATCTGAACCTAATACCAGATCAAGTTTCAGATGTGCACAGGATACCTGAAAGGTTCAAAGCGTCCGAGAGACACTGACTACAATGTTAACTGCAGGTGTTTGTTCGAAGCAACCCTCCTTACAGATGCCATCTACTACCTCAAAGGTACGCCATCCATTCAATCTGCAGCTATCTCCTCGTCCAAGAAACTCAATCATGCATGTATGCATGCATGCATGCAGTCAAGGCACTCTCTCAGGAACAGGCGCTTTTCCTGAGCAAGACGAGCACATGTGGCATTCCTTTTCAGTGACAGTGTGATATTTAGATGATTTGGCATCAGAAGCAAGCATTTAGAGCGTAGCATCTTCCAGTCCTGCCCCGGCTAGCGGGTGGCAGTATAAGTACCGAGCGCCATGCCTGATTGACTGGTCTTGCTTGGATCTGGCAAGTCCAACAAGGGGTAGAATTGTGGCAAGTCAGCACGACCTGCGTTGCCTTTTGGCAGGGAAAGCGTGTTATAATGGTAATGCTCTTCCAGTCCTCTACTGTACAATGTGATCTGCGCATTGCATCTCATGAACATGTTTGCTGCAGTGGGCAGGCGCTCCACTTCAGCCTACCAGTTTGCCATGCTGGCAGAGGACTGCATGGTGCACAGAAATCTCATCCAGTGCAGGATCAACAACGTTCAGGTCAGTGTTACCTCTGCAGGCTTTCAAAAGCTGCCTTTGCATCATAATGTGAGGCAAAATGTATCACATTTTGATGGCTCTGGGTGTCCGCTCAGAAGCCACAAGTTGCCTTTAATACATCATTACTAATCGCAATTTGCCCTTTTTGAGCTGATACGCCCCAAGGCCACCAATAGAAGCCCACATGTCTTCAAATTGCTTTCCTCAGCCGCTTTCAAGGCTTCAACCAGTTCATTCAAAGACACCCTCAAGGCCACATTGGCTTCTTTGCCCAGTGCTCTTGATTGGGTGATTCGGTTTTACTTGGACCTGGCGCGTCCATCAATGGCTTGAATATGTGGTATGCTTCATATTCAGCATACCGTTACGACCAGCTTATGAGGCTAGGATGGAAGGGTTATCTTACTCTCTCTTTGGCCTGGGTAATTCTGCTTTCTGGGAAATTGGTAGGCTTTGATTGGTTGTCGTAATCAATCCCCCTGCAGACCCACTTTGCCTCCGGCAGGAATAGAGACTAATATTATTATATTATTAGTAATCCATGGAAAAACACTGGTTCAGGTGGCTCTCACGGTGCTGAACATGTCATGGGCCTACGTCTACTTTGCCCTCTACTTCCTGTACCTGATGCAGTCGGTCTACAAGCTGCGCACGCTGCCGAGGCAGGACCACAAAATGTCCAATCTCATGGTCCGACTGCAGGCACGCTCTTAACCTCCTTGCTTGTTATAACTAGCCATCCATTGTGGAGAAGGGGTGCTTGTAGCGCAGTGGACTCAGTTAAGGCTAGTCTAGGCTAGATAATGAGGCAACAAATGCAGGGTCGGGGGTTCAAATCCCTCCTGGCCCATTTGTCTGCATGAACTCACGCATGCCTTGCCGGAGCAGATATCAAAATTTGTCTTCTGAGGTCATGCTGTTCTCCTCATGATTGCCTGCAGAACGCTCTCAAGCTCCTTCAAGCTCAATGCGCTTTTATGCATGTCATGCATGCATGGAGCTGACAGCAAAAGTCCTTCCTCAGTTGATGCAGCTGCGCATCTTATCCGACCATTGATTTTGCTGCAAGAGATTCTGCATGCAATTGTGCATCTGCGTCTCGGAACTCACAGCAAAGCTTCTAACCTAATACAAGAGTTACCCGCGCATGCTGATTGCTTTGATATTTGACATCTGGCATGTATTGTGTGCAGCTGCGCGTGCGGCTGCTGGTGGTGGCGTTCTACACGCTGGGCATCGCGCTGCTTTGGTACGTGAAGATTCACAGCTGCAGGTCCTACATGTACACCTGGTACGGCCTCCTTCCCCTGCAGGTGAGTCATGCCTCTTCATGCCAGGCTGCACATGAATGCGTGCACATGTAAGCATGCACCATGGACGCATGCATGCATGCATGCAAACACCATCGGCACGCCAAAGGTCCCTGCAGCTTCTTATTCTCAGTGGTAGCTTCCAAGCGTGAAAAAAAGTTTTTTGGAATGGTCATATGCAGAGTCGACTGGCGCTGCACGGGCACTGGCCTGTCTCTCATTGCATTGGCGCACATTGAGCGGTCCTGAGCTCTTGCCAGTTCTGAATGGAATGACGTTGGAAAGCATTTGTCATAATGTGCAGGTGGTGGAAACTGGGGCAGCGGTGACATGGTCTTTCTTTGCTATGCCAGCCACTCACCTGGACGAAGACATGCCAGCACTCCAGGTGAGCAGCACCGGCAGGACCTATCTTGATATCATGGAATTATTTAAAAGATGTATACACTGTCTTCCTGAAGCCTGGTCATGCCCCCTGTTAAGACTGTCGCTTGACAGAAATGTAATACTGCACTGTTCTCACCTCGGCGAGCAAGCTACACTATCGGCCTGACCTTGGCTTGATTTTGGAATCTACACAGACGCATCTTCACAATTGTGCTTCTTCAAGAATCCTTGAATTTGTTAGAAATATTTGGATTCTTGCCATGGCATGCATTCCTGTGTGTTGCAGGTGTGGCTCCAGGAGTTTGCCTGGACAGAGGATGAGAGAGCAGCCAAGGTGGAGAGAAGGAACAAGGACGAGCCTCAGGGGCGCCAGCTGGCAAAGGAGCCCATGTTCTGCTTCGAGTTCGCCATGAACATGCTCTACTGGTCTGCCCTTGTCTACGACTATGGAGAGGCCTGTTCCTTGCCCCTTCTACCGTACTCATTTTGTGAAATATGCCCTGATGCTTGCCTCTTGACGAATGCAAAAATGCACCCCTGAACATTATCGGCATGCCAAGGTGCACCTCCACCCTGAATCTCCTTTGCAAGCTGAGCTGCGCATGCTCCTTGACCATGCAAGTAGTGATGCTGACACGATAACTTCCAGTCGTGGACCATATTGAGCTGACCTGGCCATTTGATCACCATGCACTGGCCACTTCTGAGAGGATGCAACTGTGAGATCCTGTTTCACAGAAGAGTGATTGCATGCCTCAAGCATGTGGTTGCATGCCTCGAGCATGTGCGGCAGAGGGGGATCCGCAGAAACCCGCTGTGCGTGCCAGCAAAGCCTGTTAAACAAACATACAATCAACAATTAATACTACTACTAATAAATTCAAGTCCCAGCCATCTAGGATGAAGGCATGTCCAGCAATACGCGGTCATGGCAGTTCCTCCACCAATGCGATGGCAATTTAATGGACTCCATCCTCTCCCTTATGTAATCCTTTCAACTCTTCAAAGGCCTCAAAGGAAAATGCAGATGACAAACAGATTAAGTTTTGTCATGCAGCGGGAGAGGGGTCTGTCACTGGAGACAGCCATGGGCTTGTATGGGCTGGAGCACTCGGAGCTGTTCTGGGAGAAGGCACGGGACACCAAGTTGCTCATGGCCTGGAATGACAGCCGAATAGTCATCGCATTTCGGGGGACCGCCTCCATGTCCAATGCCCTCTCAGACGTGCAGGTGACTCCTTGTTATTGCTGCCCGATCTGAATTCAAACCATGCATGCTGGGTCCCTTGGCGCCTGATCAGGATCATGAACAGGTTTGATAATGCACATGTCAATTGATTGCTCGCAGCAACAGCTGTGAGTCGCTGCACTGAATCGATTACAAAATTTTTGACTATTTCTTTGATCTGAGTGCCATGTGTGTCACCCTTTCCTGGCACACCCTGTATGCCACCTTGCCAACGAACCTTCCAGGGGACTTGTATCATCTTGAAGGCTCCCCTGGCTCTTATCCTCAAAGGAAACGGGTACCCTGCATGACCTGGCAAGCTGAGCTAGGACTGTGGCAGGCATGGCGGCCAGTGCATGTGCCCAGGAAAGAGCATTGCAATACAACATACTATATGTAATGCAGAATCCCTTAGGCATCATTGTATTGAATCAAGTTTTTAGCGGTTCCTCCTGTGGTCTGTGCCAGGCGTGGCGGGCAGTGCATCCACCCAAGAGGGGCCGGTGGGGAATGCGGCCGCTGGTGCACGTGGGCTTCCTGAAGAGCTGGACTCGCGGTGGACTGGACATCCGCGTGACCTCTAGAATCAGGGAGATAATCCAGGGGCCCGACTTCGACCCTACCAAGGCCGCGATCTGCGTCACAGGTGGGACTAATTTAAATGAAACAGTCCCCTGTCCCCTAAACTATGCTCCCCATGAACCTAGTGCACTGCAAAGCGGCTGCGAGCCGGGCAGCATGCCTCGGGATGTTGCTTGGATAGAAGAAATCTCATCCCGTTGAACCGCAATGTGCATCGCGAGTCCCACAGGCTTCACAAAAAGTTGCCGCCAGATATTGTTGCACGCAACTGCGCAGCACAGCATGCTCAGCATGGGTGTAGCTGGAACACCCCAGCATGTAGGTAGCTCTTAGCCATCAGTGTTTCTTTCAGTGGCGTCTTAAACCCAATGTGGCCTTAAACAATTAAACAGGGCAGATTTCTGGCTTTTGACAGGCTTCTGGATGTCGGCTTGGAAGCCATATAATGGCTTTGAAGAAATAATTCACACCCGCGCAAAAGCCACACTTTGCCCCTTTAGACATGAAAAAGCCCTAAAACCACCAGTTTGAGCCAAAAATTTTCTTCGAAATCCTATATTCAGCCACTTTTGGGGCTTTGGCCAACTCATTCAAAGACATGTTCTGAGCCACATTGGCTTTCAGCCTAAATCCTTGGAAGAAACACTGTGCGCCATTCTAGTCTTAGGGCCCTCTGCAGCACCAGTCATTCCTGCAGGGCATCCAGCAGAGCTCTCATTTCAGTGCCACACAACTAATTTAATGTAAACATCCTTTCCAGGGCACTCACTGGGAGGAGCTCTGGCGCAGCTGGCAGCGCATGACATAGCGCTCGCATGCCAGGACAGCGGGAAGGATATACGAGTTGGATGCTACACCTACGGCAGCCCACGAGTGGGCAACCACGCCTTTGCGCGCGAGTTTGACAAGGTGTGCCCACCTGACTGCTCGCAGCTTGCAGCATGCAACATTTACCGTGCATTGCCAGAGTAGGCAGGATGCTCATACGCACGATCAAGGGGAGTAAAATTGTCCACATTGTACTCGCATTGATACGATATGCATGCACGCTGACTCATCTTGACTTGCTGGCGCGTGCTGCTCAGGACACATGTATACTTTGCACCATTCCAGACGGCGCCAGTTTTATTTAGAGATTGCTGCGACACACCAGCTCTTGTGGGCTGGGACACTCTGCAATAGTTTCCGAAATCTGCCAGAAATTAGTGGGTGCTGAGCCTCGAGGTTTTCAACCATTAACCTGACAAATTAGAGGGTCAATGACTAAGGTTTTGCTGAGCTGGCTGCAGGTGGTGCCCCACTGCTGGCACATCATAAACAATCAGGATGCAGTGGCGCGCTCGCCGAAATTTCTGGTGCTCTACAAGCGCGCCGGGCAGCGAGTGCTGATCAACAACAATGGGGACATGCTCGTGCGGCCCTCCTTCATCGAGAACTCCATCCTGCAGATGCCTGGAGGTTTGCAGCTCCCTCTGACCAAGAAAATATCCCTGCTGAGCAATGTGTGCAATATACAGGGCCGACAAATGTGTCCCCCCAGCTTTTCGACAGAGAGTGAACCATGCGAAGGCTCAGATATACCGTAGAGTAAATTCAGTTGAAAACAGAAGATTGCAGGATCAAGAGAATGTACAGGTGTTGCATTGCGCCTTGAACAATGTCTTCTGAACAGCTTTAGTCTCTCAAAGCAATTTCTACTTGTTCAGTAAAGCGTCTGCAAATGTTGACTGGACAGGTGGCAGCGTGGGGGACCATCTTCTGGGCAGCTACCTGCGCTCTCTGCTGGCGATCCTGCTCGCGCAGTTCAGCTTCAAGGCCTTCCCTGGCGGCATGGAGGGAGTCGTGCGCCTGTGTGAAAAAAGTCCGCCGATTCAGGCACGCTGCTCTTGTTTCAAGCTCTGCTGTATTTTCTCACCACATTATTAGGCCTGCTCTCACATGATCAAGGATTTTGCAAATTTCTAAAATACAGATTCTATCGCGTAGTGCACTACTGCACTCTCTTCACACCCACAAAGCCTTCAGCAGGAGCACAGTATTGTCATATACTGGTGTGAGTTTTCCAACGTTTCATCTGGTTGCCCTTGCATGCAAAAGCACCTCTGCAATACTGAGCATCACCAGCATCTATAGGCTACTGTTCAATTTGGTAGCTTCCTGACGTCCTATCTGCCACTGTCTCTACAGGGGCTTCTGTTGGACGGGGCAGGGATCACCATCGATGACCTGCGGCGAGTCAGCAGATGGCATGGCCACGTGGTTAACCCCAAACTCGCCAGCACGACTGCTGCAGAGCTCGTGGCCGCCATGCAGGCCCGCAGGAAGAAAGCAGCCAAGCGCATTCAAGAAGCCAAGGTGCTGCACAACCTCATACTTTCGCACTCTTTGCTTACCAGTGTTCCTGACAGGATCTGGGCCTTTGCTAAGGGACCACAGAGCAAACACAGGCTCAAGGACAGCTGTATCAGTGTGATGAGAAGATGTCAAGTGGCCATTACAGAGAACTGAGAGAGTCCCATCTACTTCTGGGTTCCAGGCCCGTTATTGTACTATGATGGCCTGTCAAACATGGGAGTTGAGTGGGCTGTTTTGCAGGCAACTGAATCAGCTGGGTTGTCCGCTTGTTTAGGCGGCGAAGAAGGGGGATGAAGGCAAGGCAGAGGAGCCGGAAGCTGTGGAGAAGCCGGCGGAAGCTGAGGAGGAGCCGGTAGAAGCTGAGCGGAGGGAATGTCGGTCTTTATGGCAGCGCATCCGGCGGCGGCTGCTTGTGTGGCTGGTGGTTGGCCCCACGCGAGAGGTGAGGCTCCTTTTGTATTTGACATTCATCATTGCTGAAGCATCCTCAGGCTGTGCACAAGTAGTTCTGAGCTACTGCAATTGCTATTTGCTGGACGCAAAGGTACTTAAGCAGAGTGAATTTGCTTCCTAGCCTGCAAATTAAGGCCCTTTTCTAAGTTTTCCCGCTACGCATTGAGCTGCCTGATGCTTCTTGAGTCATGCTATGTATCCCTGACCGCCGCTTTTTTTATACATTATTTCTCACAGCAATGCAAAATCTGCGCGCAGGCTTGCAGGGGGAATGTGGGCAGCCGCAGCATGCCGGCAGGTGACAGCGATGCCACGTCAGACGCCAGCACGCACTTGGACAGAGTCTCAGTGGCTACTATTACCAGCACAGAGGAAGGCAGTGGGGATGTAGATCTAGAGAGCCAACGGCCCTGGCCTTGAATGTGTTGAAAAAGGCTCGTCTAAAGCTACCTGAGGTTGACTAAGGCATCAACTAAGGTGAAAACTGAGTGAGATTGGTTATGGCGTTGGCAGGGCCACACTGGCGCTGCAACGTGACTATGCGCCTTTGAAAGAGATGCAGTGGCTGTGCATTAGACTCAAGTAGCTGAGAAGTGTGTTGAACTTGAAGGCCGATAGATGATTCTGGGCCCTGCACGCATGGAAGTTATGGTGTGGAATGCTGGCACTTGTGTTGCATGTGATCACAATATTGATAAGCACTGCTCAGAGCAGGGTGACAGTGTACTTGCTATAGTGACTGTGTTTTTTGCTATGGAGGTGTGAGGATTTGGTTTCGGATGTCTGGGTGGTGCTTGATCACTTGAGCTTGCGGGTCTTTCTTGTTACCGGGATGTGACCTTGACATTCTGCTATTTCACGAAAGAGCTGGATTCCCATCATGGGACCATAAAGTGAACTGACATCTAGGGCAAGCTGCCAGGAATGATTGTAATTCAATTTAGGAGCCTGATCAGGCTACTCCTGTTCCAAATTGGAACTTCCAATGCTTATCAGGTCCAAGGTAAAATTTATATCCGAGGAGACCTTAACGCCACGATGACCCCACTCCTGAAACTAGAGGATGAGGACATAGAGTCAAAGTCTTGCGCCCTGTATCATCTCCACGCAAACGAGACGACACAAACATCTCGAAAAAGTTTGGGAATAGCGCAATAAAAGGTCTCTTCTTGGCGTACACGAGCATAGAGGTTAATATCCTTTCCGGATGTTGATTGATCGCTGCTTCCAAGCAGTTCTTGCAGCAGGCGCCACACGTGCTCAGAAGCAAGCTCAGAAATAGGTGCCCAGCTCGCACGACCAAAAACCCAACAGCAAAGAGAACATTCTTTTATTGTGACCAGCATATGCTCCGTTCAGACTCTGAGAACTCAACTCTGTGCAGGAAGACGAGATGGTTATGAGGGACGCTCTAGCCAGTGCAGCCCAGCTTCCTTTTCAGGTGGCAGCCGCTCTTACAGACGAAGTAGCACACCACTTGGAGAGCTTAAACGCAGGCCACAGCCCTCAGCCAAGGAATGAACCTGGCCAGCTTTACCACGAGGACAGTACAGAGATGCAAAGGCACTGCCAGGAGGTTCGTCCTGCAGGTTTGTCCAGTCCAAGAGCAGCAGAACTCTGCACCTGCGTTCAATTTTCTTACAACGCTTTCCATGTAGAAGCTTTCGTGAAAGAGAGCCATGTGCTGAATACAGGAATGGGTATGGATCGGCAAACTAGCAGTACAGAGCAACAGAATAGCTACAGCTCAGTTGGAGACAGCTCAGAGCTGGGGACCAGTGCAGCTCAGGAGTTTGGCTGCCCTGAGTTGAATTCTATGGGTGACAAATCAGATGCATGGACTGGTACAGAAGAAGCAGCCCGCAGCCATTCTGAGCGACAGCACACAACACACAGAGACCCCAGCGGACAACAGGTTGAGGAGAGTCATGTCACCCAGTTGGGATCTTCAGCTACGCTGTCTGTGGATGACTCGCATGGCACATCCATGAGCTCATCGGTAAGCACAGCCATACGCAAAATCCGGCTGATGCATGAATATGCCTGAACTGCATTCCTCACACCTGTCAACAAGCAGGAAACCCTCAGCAAGCGATCTGCTTTTGCCATATGCTATCGGCACGAGGTCCTGAAGATAGTCCTAAGGGCGCCCCTGCAAAGATGCCTCAATGGCACCCATTTGAATGCCTGAAAAGTGCTCGAGCCTGCTTAAAAATTAGATTTTTCTCGAGCTACCTAGTTCTTTACCCCAGGCACGTTCTTCGCCCTGCCGCCATCTGTTAAGACTAGTGAGTGTTCCTGGAGTTTGCGCAGCAACAAAACGGTGTGCTTTGATGCAGTCGGATGGCGTGGACATCCAGGGCAGCGGCAACCATGACTACAAGCACTATCGACTCAGCAAGGACGTGGTGCTTCGACTGGAGTACATTTCGGCCACACAAACGAAGGCAAGCCTTCCCTATCTCCTGCTTACGCATTTAGTCATGCAGAGCATTGCTAGCCATCGCCTGTGTACTGATGCTGCTTATCTGACATGCGATTGGCTCACAGTATAATTCCCTTAGGTCTAAGGGTGACGGTAGGTCCTGCAACGCAGACACTGATAGTAAAGGCAGTCAAGTTTTTTTGCCTGCAGGCCGTGCTGACGTTTCTGTGGATCGTCGAAGCGATTGGCCTCGCCATGATAACCCAGGAGTTCACACTCAAGATCACAGACGTACGCGATCCCACACAAACAAATAATTTTAGCCCCTGATTCACTGCCTGCGATGGCTATGACTGGCGCCTAGGACCATGGCCAATTAGGCTTCTAAACGCTAATAAACCCCTACATGCTACTCCTGGATCTGGCAAGTCCAGCAAGTGGTAGGATTGTGGCAGCCTTTATCTGCAGCTTGTCTGCAGGACGTACCTTGCCTTTTGGCAGGAAAAGCGTGTGATCATAATAATAATGAACCCCTACAACTTCTTATGCTTGTGCACGGCTCCTGACCTGTTAAGGTGATCTTGACACTTGCTTGAGCCCAATTGTGATTCTTGGGCTTGCCCTGCAGCCGAATGGAGCGTTCAAGAATGTGTCCGTACCAGTCATCAACACAGTCTTTGCTTCGCTGTGCTGGGGCGCTCTGACAGCCTGCATAGCAGTCTACCTCATGCGCTACCGCACAGCCCGCGCACAGGGAAAACGCTGGTGTGCAGCTTGCTTCCCTCAAATATTCCCTCAAATGTTTGGCAGCTTCTCTTGCATGCCAGATGCAGGTGTAGAGGCATCTGCCTAAAAGAACTTTGGCCGTTTTCTGACCCGTTACAACCTTGGTCTTCACCTGTGCGTTCCCTTTTTGCTCCGCCTGAGCAAGCGTGGCCTGCATTCATAATCCTATCCGGTGCCGAATTTGCAAGCTTCATCCAGGTCAGCTGCCACATGTCCAGTAGTCACCTGTCTCCTGTAGCCACCTGTCAGCCATGTCAGAAGGCTGAGTCAGCGGTGAGTACTCTATTTGGGTGCATGTGCTGCAGGAAGCCGAGGAGAAGGAGGCTGGCGATTCTGCTCTTCACAGAGCTGGTCGCCCAGTGGATCAACGTCACATTCTTCCTCATACCCAACGTCAATCTGCTCGCTCGGCCCTGCGACATGTTCACAAGCCTTGTCCGTACGCGCACCCTACTGACCACAATACTTCATTAACAGCAGCTTTGCAAAAAGTTATGGGTATATATGCCTTGGGTCCAGTGGCTGATTCCCATAAGACTCTCTGGCAATTTCCTGCTAAGACACAAGTATCATTCAACAGCACTCTGTACTGGACTAGATGTGATGTGGACTAGATGTTCGCTTCTTGCTGCAATTTAATGATGCTGCCAAGTGCCCTGTGCTGAACTATAAGCAATATAATAGTCTACAATTTGTGCTAAGACCTACCATGCCAGGTTTTATCGAATGCATCCTTTTGTGTCACGCCCCGGCTGGCGGGGTGCGGTATGAATATTGAGCACCGTGCCTGTGTGGTTGATTGGGCCTTAATTGGGTCTGGCGAGTCCATCACATGAAGGTTGTCTGCAGGTGCTCCGTGCTTCTGGCAGGAAATAGTGTGTAATGGTGATAATATTGATTCGTTTGTGTGCAGCGTACTGTGGCCTTATTTGCTGGACGTGCTGGAACACGATATTCCTGATCACTGTGATTCAGGCACACAACGTGAATCCCTACTGGAAAGGGAATCTGCGCCTCTTCCTTCGACAAACAAAATGCTGACTAATGCACTACTTCCCAAAGGAATAAGGGGTTGTCAGGACCTTTGAAACTGCGTCTTGCCAAAGTAGTGCTCCCTCTATACTGTATTATTATTATTTGGGTTTATTTGGCCCCTGTTACTAGTGCTGCACGTCAGTCATGCTCTTATGAAGATTTTTGTCAAAGCATAGCCTGCCGTTCAAGCTTCGCCAACAAGTGCTGAGATCTGTCTGATCATGGGTATCTGTGGGGTTGCATGTGGTGCTTGGGGGAAGTCCTTCAAGGAAAGGGTGAGGTGTCAGCCAAACACGGCTATGCTGTGGAGGAAGAAGGAGCCTGTGAGGAAAGGGGCTCCAAGAGAGGGTCAGGGGAGTGAAGCAAAGATGCGAGGGAATTATGAAGGAGCGCTCATCGACGCACCTTGGGCCATCCATGCCCCTAAGCTTATCATTTGGTGAGTCATGCTCATTAATCCTCAGTGTGTATTTGTGTCACACAGTCCCATATAGCATTCACATTTGATCCAGGAAAATCCCTTCTCTCTGGTTTTTGTGAACGTGCAAATATATAAAGCATACACACCATGCTCAAGAGCTCTATGAGGATTGTGTGCAACAGATTCTTCAGACACAGAAAATCAGGTGTTTGACATGTCATGTGACTGACAGGTGTCTGATGGAGGGCTTCATCATTACCAACGTGACATTGGCCCTGAGAGGTGTGTCCCTCCCTGCAATGTCTGCTGATAAAGGGCATACACTCAACTGCTTTCCTCTCCTAAAACTTCTTGCTGCTAGGTGTAAGCTTTTAGAAGTACACTGGTGCTATTATTACATGCCTTTCCTGCCAAAGGCAAGGTGCGTCCTGCAGACAAGCTGCAGCTAGTGGCTGCCACAATCTACCCTTTGTTGGACTCGCCAGATTTTTAGCAAGACCCCGCGGGCATGGCGCTCAGTATATATACCAACCCCCGACAGCCAGGGCCAGATTTTCTGGTATGACTACTGTTGTCTCACTGTGTGCAGAGGGTGGAGACAACACCCCAGACTACAGCGTATTTTTGGAGGATTGCCGAATCCACAAAGAGCTCATCTCATGCGCGACTAATCGTCTCCATCTGGCGCTGACTGTGCTCGTCATGGTTTGGGCATTTGTCTACTTTGCGCTGTATTTCTTCTACATCATGCGGGCAGTCTACAAGCTGCGGAGCCTGCCCAGACAGGATCACAAACTGGCCAACCTCATGGTGAACTTGCAGGCACGCTCACCTTTACCTATGCAGGGGGATCGATATCCAATTACATATAGATCCCCTGCCCTATGCGTTGTCAGGGTGATGGATATATATATATATATCTAGCCAATGAATTCCCAGGGCAGTCATTGCTTCTGTTCATGACACTGCACCTGATGGCGGCAGTTGGTGTGTTTGACAGCTTGCACTGGCTGACTACCGAAAGCCTCGCAGACCATGAGTCTGAGCACTTCACTGTGAAGAGCAGCTCTTATTGTTTCCGCAAATGAGCTTCAAATGATACCTCTGGCACAAGATGAACGTCTCCGTGTATGGGTTACTCAATTGTGCTCATTTGAGAGTTACTGACATCTGGCATGTGTTGTGTGCAGCTGCGCGTGCGGCTGCTGGTGGTGGCGTTTTACACGCTCGGCATTGCGCTGTTATGGTATGTTCGCCCAAACAGCTGCAGGTCTTATGTGTACACCTGGTACGGCGTGCTGCCGTTGCAGGCGAGTCATACCCTCTTACTTGCCAGGCTCTGTTTGCATTGGAAGATCCCATGTCCTGGACTCACTGTTATGAGTTGCATGCCCTGAGCTAACTGTTTTAAGTTGCGTGCGTGGTCAATGTGATCTTGTAGCTTTGGCCTTCACATGGCTGTATCTCAACTGCAAACCAATGCAGGGAGGCTCTCTTGATGTGTTGTGTAAAATTGTGAAGAAGTGATGTCTCCTTTGACATCACCACTCATCCTTCACAAGAGCAGGGGACTCCGTGATGTTTAGAATGTACTAAGATTCCCCGGACAAGGGATTTGAAAAGGGGTGTTTTCTCATGCGCGTGTGAACTGCGCAGGTAGTTGAGACAGCTGCAGCGGTCACATGGGCTTTCTTTACGATGCCAGCCATCCATTTAGACGAGGACACGCCAGACCTGCAGGTGCGCTGCCAGTTCAGAATCTCCGTTCAGCCTTGCTGGCTCATCTTGTCTTTGAGACCGGCTGCTAGGGCACTGTAGTTCCTTGGCCTTTAATGTTCTCACAAGTTTGAAGTACCAGAGAGTCGGGTGGTATGACGAGGAAACTGAGGATTTTCAACAAAAAGTATTATCTTGCTGGCCCTTGCATTTCCATCTGACTCGTGCATAGGATCTTCACTGATGCCCTTTTGTCTTTAATGCCCCCTGGCATAGAGTTTCCCCACATGCCTGATAAGATGCATGTCTTGAGACAGGTGTGGCTCCAAGAATTCGCATGGACCGAGGAGGAGAAGATGCAGAAGGCAGCGCATAGGATCAGGGATGGGCTGAAGGGGCGCCAGCTGGCAAAAGAGCCCATGTTCTGCTTTGAGTACGGAATGAAGATGCTGTACTGGTCTTCCCTGGTGTATGAGTACGGAGAGGCAAGCATGCAGGCTCCTCTCAATCTCCACTCCAGAAAACTATTAAATGTCTGAGTCTTGACTTCAAATTTTGACTTTTGGATTTTGGATTTTGGATTTGTTTATTGGTTGATTACATATATAAAGGGTGCTTGCCTTCCTCTGCTCGCGGAGAGAGCAGGTACGTTGTGTTCATGTAGAATGCAGCATTAAAATGAAGGTGCTTGTGTTTTGCGCAGACGGATTCGGGCTTCTTGTCACTGGACAAGGCCATGAACATGTTCGGTCTGGAGCATTCGGAGTTGTTCTGGGAGAAGGCTCGGGATACCAAACTGCTCATGGCCTGGAGTAATGAACGGATTGTGCTGGCATTCCGTGGCACTGCCTCGCTCTCCAATGTCCTCTCAGACGTGCAGGTGAGGGCCTCCAGGGTTGTGCCATGCTTGCAAAAATCTCCGAGCACCAGTAAATCTTGATGCTTTGGGGCGCATGCCTAGCCAAGGGCCGTTCAAAGACCATTCCCAGCACTTCTGATTTCCTGGGAAGCTTCCATCGAAGATGGCTTGCCCCAACGGGCGGATTATGCTTTTTTTGACACATGCTAGAGAAAAACTGTATCTTCTAAAAATATGTCACATCTATATTTGTAGATTTCTGCTGCAATACCTGCCTCACCTCAATGTTGAGGCGCGCTGCTTTGATCTGTGTTTTCCCGATGGTACTGCCGCTTCAGGGACCAAGAAGGGTACATTTTTTATGTAATTAAGATCCCTTGAATGAGGGGTGCATACCCTGAGCGCCTGGAAAGCTGAGTCATGCCTGCGGCAGGCGTGGCGGGCGGTGCATCCTCCCATGAGGGGCCGGTGGGGAAGGAGGCCGCTGGTGCACGTGGGCTTTTTGAAGAGCTGGACTTCTAACGGCCTTGACACTCGCGTCGTTGCTAGGATACGGGAGATCATATATGCGCCGGGCTTCAATGCCAAACTTGCGAAGATTGAAGTCACTGGTGAGTCCCAACTTGAAATGGGCATAAGTCTCACTGCAAGGCATGTGAATTCCACTAATAGCACCTCTGCCGTATTTCTTCACGCACATGGCATGAAGAAACGTCGTTCGGCTTTGCCAGACACCGCGGCATTCAGCAGATCAAAGGTGCTCAGAATATCAGTGGTTCTGCTTGCGAAGCTGCATCCTGCAGTGAGTCACTAGTGCACGAATGCCTGGAGACTGTCTACAAGGCAGTAGGCTCCTCCACTCACCGGGAGGAGCAATGCATGCCTGTCATACACCCAGCAGATCCACTTTTTATTGGCACATCATCGGCTCTGATTTTAAAGCTAAACGGGTCCAGCGGAGTTATAATTATTACCTGCATGCCCGATAAGATCAAACATCATTTGCAGGGCATTCACTGGGAGGGGCTCTTGCGCAGCTGGCAGCGCATGACATAGCACTCGCATGCCAGGACAGCGGGAAGCATGTCTCGGTCGGCTGCTACACCTACGGGGCACCCAGAGTGGGCAACCACGCATTTGCACGCGAATTTGACAAGGTCTAAACCGTCTCTTTCTAATTGCGTGTCCAACATGCTACTGGTTTGTGCACCTGTACTGTCCATAGATATCCTGTTTGGGGATTCATTTCATTACCAGCAAAATTACCCTTGCCTTTTATGGTGCCCCAGAACACGAGAGCCCGGATGCGAGCAGTGATACTTGATAAGTGCTTGACCGGAGCACTTGCATTGCTCCAGCGAGAGAGGTTGAGATAAATTCGTCGTATGAATGTCAGCATACATTTGATAAGCAGAGCTTCAACAATTTCAAGGTGCTGTGTTGAAACGAGTTCAGGTTGTGCCCCACTGCTGGCACATTATCAACCAGCAGGATGCAGTCGCCCGCTCGCCCAAGTTTCTGGGTCTCTACAAGCGCGCCGGGCAGAGGGTGCTGATCAACAAGAATGGGGACATGCTCGTGCGGCCATCCTTCATAGAGAACTCGGTGCTGCAGATGCCCTGCGGTAAGAAGCCTTTAAACCAAGGCTTTGTGTTCCTTTGCCACATCTCACCCCTGCAAAGACTTGTCTGTCTGGCAAGCTTCATAAGCATGCACACAGTCACCTATACAAGCAGCCCTTGTTCAAACCATCCTGGGAGCATCTGGGTTTTCCCTGATCAAGATGGTCTTGTGAAAATAGTCCTGCGCATAAAAATCTCAGAATATTATGAGTGCAAAATGGACCTGTTCCTTTCGGGAAAACACTCAGGAACTTTTTAGCCCTTATATCTCATCGAAATTTTCCGAGAAACAGTCCCCATGGTTTGCCTGCAGCTACTGCGACTATGCCAAAATGGCAAACTGTATTTGCTGAGCAGAAGTCTTGTTTTATGCGGACAGGTGCCAGCGTGGGAGACCACCTTCTGGGAAGCTACCTGCGAAGCTTCCTTGCCATTCTGCTGACGCAATTCAGCGCCAAGGGCTTCCCGGGAGGCATGGACGGCGTTGTGCGCTTGGCTGAAAAGAGCCCTTTCATCCAGGTGAGCTAGTGTGCCCATTTGTTCTCTCCCTTTATCAAAAAGGAGACTTTGGCTGCACCAGAAGAACCGGTGTCAGAGCCTTCTGCTAAGAGCCATGCTTGCTCAAGTAATTCAGCTTCGTGGCAGCTGCCTCTTACCAATAACAATTCAGGCTTGTTCCAGCCCTTAGGGCTAGGTACATTCTAGCAACGTCTCAATGAATCCTCTCCAGCCTTCTCTGTCTTGGCACTTTCTCCACCAATGTATGTCAATCCAATGGATTCCAGGTCATCCCTAACACAATCATCCAGGATTTGACGGGCCTACCCCTTCTCCCTCACCCTTCTATAGCTGCCTCTTATACACCCTAATACTATTACTATGCTAGTAGCCTGCATATGAAGGCACGGGTACCAGAATATGGCATTTGGACGGACTTTATCTCTAGCATTAGGTTGCTTCCCTATGCACCTTCCCTCCAGGTTAGAACAGCATGCGATATTTCTGTTAGTAATGCTACCATTGTTAGTAACGCCAAGTAACTCATTTGACACACCATATTTAATTGTTATTTTCTGGCGTTGCTTCTTTCAGGGGCTGCTCTTGGGGGGGGCGGGCATCTCTTTGGAGGACTTGCGGCGAGTCAGCCGGTGGCAGGGGCGAGTGGTTAACCCAAAGCTCGCCAGCACAACGGCTGCGGAGCTCGTGGCGGCCATACACACCCGCAGGAGAAAGGCAGCCAAGCGCATGCATGCAGCCAAGGCACGACACAACTTCCACCCCATGCAGCGTATTTCTTACCCCGTCATACCGTTTTAGCATTTTGGAATATGTTCAAGGGACGGTGGCTGGCCAGGGATGATTCAGTGCATCCCATCCGACAGTATTTGGTCCTGTCAGGAGCAAAATCCAATGTAGCCAGTAGCGTACAGAAAAGCTGCATTATTTTCTGCACTGCAGATCTGCAGATCCCGAACTGCAGTGAACTCTTCTGCGCTATCAGGTGATGTGAGATGACTAATTTTGATGAGTCCTCAAGGTTGATTTCTTTGTGCAGGAGGCAGCGAGGAAGGCAGAGGGTGGCGGGGCACCCGAGGGCGAGAGTGCCAGTAAGGCGGCAGGAGAGGGGAAGGAGCAGGAAGCTGCCTCCACGTGGCAGCGAATAAAGCGACAACTACTCGTATGGATGATTGCCGGTCCTACCCGCGAGGTGATTCACAGCTGTTCTGCAGCCGACTGTCTAAACTCTGACAGAATCTCACTGACATTTTGGCTTGAAGCACAGCTGCAGAAGTCTGCAGTGCTATAAAAAATGGCATTTGTGCACATCATGGCAAGCAGTACCCTGCAAGAAATCTTTCAGGCGCTCACTGCTTGTTGTCTGTGTCTGCTTTGAACAGCGCACACTGCTCTGGATTTGGCTGCCCTTGGCACTGCAGACATGCAAGCAGAAAGTGAACTCTGAAAGTGTCGGTTCTGGGCGCAGGCTTGCCATGGGGACGTCGGCAGCCGCAGCGTGCCAGTGAGTGACAGCAGCGACAGCATTTCAGACACCATGGGCAGGGCTTCAGCAGGCTCTGTCGACAGCTTGACCAGTCGAAGAACGCGGCGTTTAGATTGAGGCTCAGCAAAACTTTCCCTGAAGTGGGATCCTGCTCCACAGCAGTGGGGTGACAGCATTATTTTAGGTGGGCATACCATTAGAGCTCTGAGAGCCCTCTGCGCGCTCTCAACGGTGGTGCAGAAGCAAGTAGCAAATTGCAATTGAGAGCAAAGACTCGCTCTGAAAGAGCGCATCCAGCAGGATATGAACTTGCTCTCGGGAGTTGAGATTGCACTGGCTGCGTGCAAATGTGCACTGACGCCCGGCAATGTAGGCCCTTTCAAGCAGATATCAGAGCACAGAAACACCATGTCCTGAGTGCTGGTGTGTCTTGTAGTGCTTGAAACAGCTCATTCCTGGATGATACCGGTACTAAGGTACCTTTGTTTTAATGTTTGAGCTCATGCAGAGCTTGCATGTAATGAACCCATGAAGAGTTACTGGTTCTTTGCTTACTGCCTATCTTATATGCGCACTCGGTGACGTTTAACATAGTATCCACTTACTGTGGAGTCAGACGCATGATCAAGCCCACAGCAATGCCACTGGAGAGAGACTGGAAGCTGCTGGAAAGTGGTTTGGGAAAGTTATCCGGGAAGAGGCGTTCCTGCGTCTCCACCAGCGGCACTCCAAAACATTGAGGCCAGCGGTGTTCACATCACTTGAGAAGCAGAATCCTGTTCAAAATAACCAGTTCATCTACCTTTCAAGTGCAGTGTTTTCAGACGGGATAGAGCCGCATTCTCCCGAAGCAGCCGTCCTGTAGATTGCCCCGCCCAGCACAGAGGTGACCCTCAGAATAATAAATAAAGGAGATCGGAAGCGTCATCAGTTCACATTTGAAGGTCACAAGAGTCTATCGAGGGCGAAGAGGTGGTCATCTGAGCAGCACTTCGGTTGACGGAGGTGAGGCATTCTCACCGCAAGTCCTCTTTGGCGGAATGGTTGCAGAGCTTTCGGGCGGCGAGGATGAATCTCAGATGCTCATTGGTCAGAGAAACGGTCGAAGCCTTACTTTCAAAGCTCTAATGCCGCCGAGTATGGTGTTTTACTCAGCTGCGCTTGCTTGCACTTTGGGTAGAAAGAAGGTATTTTCGCAAGCAAACAGGGTAACGTTCCGGATTAATGGAATGGTTTGAAGCATCTGAGGTCTTTCATATTCCAGCTGCTCCGTATCCGGACTCAAAAAGTTCTTCTCCTTCTCCTGTGAGCTTGCCATCCCACCAGTCGTGTTTCAGACTTTCGCCGTGTCAGTTGTGCTCACATTGCTTTGGACAATGATAGGATGTCACAATACAAATTGGAGTTGTGTTTACATGCCTTCCACTGGACAATGGCCCACCCAGGAAATCCCCCGTGTAGCGCGATGACACCCACTTGATGCCTCCGTTCTTCTTTGGCCTCGGGTGCATCGGTGCAGCTCGCCGATCCGTTGCAGCGGCCGACGCCCGGGTAGGGGTCACTCTCATGAGCTGACGACAAGGACGCCCGTTTCGTCGATCGCTCCCGCCAGCCGCCGCCGCTGTACCCGAGGCTGACGAAGAACGGAAACATCAGGTGGCTGTCGTCGCGCTATAAGGGGGTTTCCTGGCACAAGGAGTTTTTGGCCTGGCGTGCCATGCTGTCCTACGCGCGCGACGGAGAGGGTACGTGCCTCCACATTTCTGGACAGATTTGCTTGCACCAAATGCCTGGGTTGGCTTTCTAGTGTTTGCTCACCTCTGATCCACTCTGCGGCTAAGCACTGAGGCCTTCCTATTCGGATTTTGTGCTCTGCCAGCTCCACGCATGGCCTTGCAGGTGTGCATGCCGAGCTCGCGGTCACATGATCCTGTCTTGATTGGGCGCGCCATTTGAAGCCATAGAATAAACGATAAGACATAACACACAGAGGGCCTAGTATCCTGGTGGATTCTTGTGGGCCACAACTTGTGGCTGTCTGTACCTATTCTGGCTTCAGAGGATGATTAGCAAGCAATGACTGATTAATATCACTGCCTTGTGTAATCATGCCGTCCTTAGGCGTCCAGGACGTGAAGACGTCCTGACGGCGCCTAGGACGCGTCCCCAAATTTTTTTTAGACATACTGTGCAATCCTGGTGCTGATATGGAATTCAAGTGAAAGTATTCGACAGACGTACGGCCTATGATAGTAGTACTCCTATTGTAATACCTTTGCCTTTTGATGGTGTTGACATCATGATGACAGAAGCCTGATCAGGCTGTCACACCCGCTGCCGACTAGGCAGCCCGACAAGCTTTTCCGGCCCTTCACTCTCAGACGCACACCTGCTTGCTGGGTTCATGATGCATGCTGAGTGACGCCGCGCACACTAAGGCAGCGCGCGCATTCAATTATTCGTCAGGAGCTGAGCAAGTTTTTGAGATATGGGGGATGAGCCTTTGCCCTGGAGCCCTGAAGTCAAAGGCATTTACATGGTTTCATTTCTGACCAAACAATGCATGGCGAGGTGCAGAGTACACTGAGAACAAGTGGCACTTGACCAGGTGATCCGTGACACCTTCATGGTCACTTTCCCCACTGAGTGCCATCGGCTGATTACATCGAATGTGAAGTGGGAGCACAGTCTGAAATGTACCGGCTGCCAATGGTCTGCAGACGCACTGATTGCAACTTTATTGCTGTAGAGGCTTCCGGGGCTAGAGCCTACTTTCATAGCGCCCCACCTAAATTTATATGGCCGTTCATGCGAACCTCTCGTCACTGGGAGGATGTGCTGGTTGAAGATATCTGCAAAGGACTGCTGTTCGTTTGAATTTTTAGCAACATCATCCCTAATCCCTGATGAATACACTGGCATGGCAGAAGGTCAACCATCTACAAAGTAGCTTTGAACCCACTGGCAGTGTGTGCATAAGCTTAATTGCCTTACCACCGCAATCCTCGTTGCCAAACTAAACAGGATGGCTGATGTTTCACTCCCTGAAATCTCACAGCCATATTCGCAAAAACAATTAAGCGCATACGCTTAATTGGGCTGTGCGGCTGTGATTATGCTGCCCTGCAACTATCTCAGTTGTTCAAGCTGCAACACTAATCCTGGTGACCGATGCTGCAAGGCTGTCTCTGAGTAATGCTGGTCGCCCATATCAGAGCTCCAAAGGTGCCCCTTGGGTTGGCAGCAGCTGGAATCTCTTCTTGCACTCCACTCGCTCCCTTGAAAACTTATCGTCTGGAGAGAACCTCGCTGGGTGGGCGCTTTGTGTGGGAGACCCGTCTGGTGCAGTTTTCTGCGCGACACACTCGATTCTCATACAGGTGGTCAACTCCAGGTTATTCCTCATCTCCTATGCTGTTTTAGTAATGAAACCCACAGCTCTGCATATGACTTGGGCATTGGTCACTGTCAGCACTTTTATAAGTCAAGGTAAGACGTTGCAGCCCTACAATTCATGTGAGATCAAAGTCCTGCAATGTGCAGCTCACAGATCGCTCTCGCAAGGATGTTCACACCTGCAGGGTGTATATACGCTTGCCCGCATCATCCAAGTAGTACATGAGGTACATGATGTTTCCTCCTTGTAGTAAGGCACAAGAAATGACTTCGCGGAAAGTGGCCAAAATCAAAATCCGAGCTTCAAGTCACACTGGCTAAACCCAGACGTTTACGATTTAGAAGATGAGATCTGGTGCAGCACGATAATATATAATCGAGCAACTTTACTATGAGATCACTGTGTAGCCAAGTGCAGCTTTGATGGTCGAAATGGGCAGACTCTCGAGCAAAGACGGCACCAGCGTAGGGTTCCAGGGAATTTATAAGTCAATTTATCTCCAACAACATCTTTGCCCTCACCAAACCCTCTATGAGAAAGGTTCAGAAAGTGTACCCAGCATTGCATTTCTACATGTTGCAGGACATCTTTCATTCGATCCAATAGATAAGTTTCGTCCCGAAGTGCTATACATCTCTTGGCTGATCTGAGTCAGGTCGCAATGTCGCGGCCGTGCACTGCTTCGGGGCCTGACGCCGCCCTGGCTGCAGGCACAGCGCGTCCTGCCACGATGTCGTTGCGGTGTCACAATCGTTTGCAGCAGGTAAATAACTATTGCCAAGAAAGCGCCTGCATGCAGCCTCCACGCCCCCGTTTGTTCCCAAACAATCTCACGTGACGTGTGCATGTGGACTGGTTTCGGACCAAAGGAAGCTGGCATGAAAGGAGACCAGCACCTTTCAATCACTTTATGTGTCTATGGTTTGTGTATATGTTAGCGGACTCATGTTGCGAGCATCAAATATTGTCGATAGGTTGGCAAGTCTGGCTAAGCAGGAAAGGGGAATGCCTAACTTTTGCCTCTGCGTTCATAGGCAGCCTCGACGTCATCTCGCAACCTGCTGGAGAGACAGAGAAGCTGCAGCCTTGCTGGAACATCCAGGTGTGCACCAAGAGCAAGGCTTTCTGTCTGTTCGATCTTTTGCACCTCAACGTGTTCTCTCAATTTTTATGCTCCAGTGGATGATCGGGCATTTCACGATGCTGCAGGGCAAGGCCTGGAATCGTGTGCGCAGCACCATCAAAAGACAAGTCCAGGGGGAGGAATGCCCCAGTGGAGAAGGCATCCACTGAAGAGGTAAGCACAACTTCACTCTTGCAAGTGGTGCTGTCTCTGCAACCACAATGAAGCGGAGATAATGTTGCAGTGCTGCACATGTGAGCGGCGCTTGTAGCTGTGGTGCACTCCTTCGCTGCACTTTCAGACTTTTCTTGGTGAATATTTCTGCACTTTATGCTCTACTCTGATAGTGTGAATCTTTTGTCGTGCAGCTGGCGGCAGCGCGGAAAGCAGCGACCGCTTCTCTGCAATCCACTGGTGCGCACCTCTTTGCAGAAAGCGGCCCAACGCCTGAACACTATTTGAAAATTCCAAGCATCTCTGCAGTGCGCATACGTTCACTTCAATGACATCATGCACTGATCTAGTAGGGTCAATGCAGCGGCTGCATTCCCGTCCTGCTGTGATGCCAAATAGGGGATTAACTGCCAGCAAACCAGTCACATCATCTGCACACTCTTCCCATGCAGCCGCATATTCCCAACTGCTTCACTTCTCGCCCGCTGCACCGCTGCTCAACAGTGATGAGTAATGGACTGTGTGGGTCTCACTCAGCGCTGATGAAGTGTGTCATGTGCGCGCAGGTGCGGCAGAGTGGGTGGACCGGTACGGCTCGGAGCCGCGGAAGGGTGCGGACATTTTAGTGCAGGCATTGGAGCGGGAGGGCGTGGGGCGCGTGTTTGCGTACCCCGGTGGTGCCTCAATGGAGATCCACCAAGCGCTGACGCGAAGCCCCACCGTGCGCAACATCCTGTGCCGGCATGAGCAGGCGCGGCTCTTTGCTTGTCCTTGTTGTTTCGGTGGCTGCCCACAGTTAGGTGCAATCACATGGGATGTGTGGATTAGGTTGGTGATGCTGTCGATACCGGCTGTTCCTGGCTCCCTGTTTAGAAGATATGCAATGTTTGGTTGGTGGCCCTCTGTGTTTCCTGCCAACATGCCAGGTGCCGCGTATCTGTACCAGGTGGTCTTTGGAGCTGTGAGGCTGTGTAGCTCATGTGCACAATCTTCACAGATTGAATGTCATCTGGCACAGATACATGTGCAGAATTTCCCTTATCGCCAATTTTCCTACATCTCAGATGATGGAGAGAGTCTGAATTTGGTAATTTATCGGCGTGCAGGGCGAGATATTTGCGGCGGAGGGCTATGGCAAGGTGACGGGAGAGGTGGGTGTGTGCATTGCCACATCAGGCCCCGGCGCGACTAATCTGGTGACTGGACTGGCCGACGCCCTGCTGGACTCCGTGCCCATGGTGGCCATCACCGGGCAGGTGGGCAGGCCCAGCCTGATTTGGATCACTTGTCTGATTGTGCATGGAAAGCACTGAATGACTGATGGCTACGTGGCAGCGGTAGCAGAAGACACCCGATACATTCCATTGCCTGGGTGTCTGCACGACCTTGCATGTGAAAAAGTTAGGGCAGCGCCATGTCTCCCATCTTTCTCGTACCTGCTTGTGTTTTCGCTCTAGGGATCAAAACAGACACCGAGTCCTTGAAGGTGGTTTTAGAGATGCCAGGGCAGCCATGCAAGCTCCCAGGAAGTCCGTGAGAATGGAGTGACTCATCTGCTGACATGGCATGCTCGCAGGTGCCGCGGCGCATGATCGGCACGGACGCGTTCCAGGAGACGCCGATCGTGGAGGTGACTCGTCAGATCACCAAGCACAACTACCTGGTCATGGACATCCGCGACCTGCCACGCGTTGTGAAGGAGGTGCGCCGCGCATTTTTTATCCCCTTGCCTTTTTGTGGCCTCTCATCTTCACCTCTGCAAGGAATCATTTCGTACAGAATCTCAGCCAATGATAAAGCCTCCTCAATTTGTGCTTATACTTTGTCCTGAGTGTGTGGCACAAGGTACCTGCGCAAGTCAAGATAGCGTGGTCAGAGTGCTCGGCCAATGATGGACTCTTACCACACACTCACCTTGCGTGTGCACATTGCGCTAGCGCAGGGCTGGGCCTGACAGCACGTGTGTTCTATTGCCACGTACATTGAAAAGGATTGTATGCAATGCAGGCGTTCTATCTGGCGCGCACTGGGCGGCCGGGGCCGGTGCTGATAGATGTACCCAAGGACGTGCAGCAGCAGCTGGCGGTGCCCGACTGGGACGTCCCCATGGCTATCTCTGGCTACATGGCGCGCCTGCCGCAGCTGCCCTCCCCACTGGTGCGTTGCCCTTCTCCAGTGATGTGCATCAGCATGCTGAATTTGTTAGGTTCTGGCTGTTCCGTGCGTATCTAACATTTATTTGTGAAGCGCACCTGTTGTCACTGTGGTGCTGATTTGCCAAGCTGTTTGTTTCAGTGCATGATTTTGACCAAGTTGCCGTGCCGAGACATGTCGGCAAGGCACGTGTCACCGATGCTGACTGCCCGTGCGCTTTGCAGTTTGCTTACTGAGGCTTGCACTTTTTTACCCCTCACAGCCTTGATCCCACATGATCTGGCACCGAAAGCATTCCTTTCCGACCCCTGCTTGCAGCCGATTTTACATGCACATCCTGTGGCAACAGACACCAACAGCACACACTGGACTCATCTTGATGGCTGTGGGTTGCTGTGCAGGACATCAAGCCCATAGTGGATGCAATTCACGGCGCGCAGCGGCCGGTGCTGTATGTGGGCGGCGGCTGCCTAGACGCCAGCCAGGAGCTGCGCGAGTTTGTGGAGGCCACCGGCATCCCTGTTGCGCAGACGCTCATGGGCCTCGGCACCTTCCCTGAGACCCATCCGCTCGCCCTGCAGGTGCACTGGCTGTGGGTGTTGCTCAGCTGTAGGAAGGACCTTGTATCAGCAGGACACATATAAATAGCTGCACCTTGAGCCTTGTGGAGACCGTGGCAGTTGTGGGCAGCGCTCATGACATGCTCAGATGTGTAGGAGGGTGCTTCTAAGGCAGCATGCCTCTCTGCAGAAAGCATAGCTCTCGATTGCTGGTCCCTCAGCATTTTTTTCCAAGATTCACGAAGCTTTTTTTTGGGGTCTGCGCAGCTTCCTGACCTGATCCTGGGTCTAGCTTGCCTGCATGTTGTCTTGTGCTGACCTGATCAGGACACCCCGTGCTTGTCACCACATCGAAATGAGCAATCGTGTCTCCCAGCGTCGGGCATGCACAGCCTTGCGCAGTCTCTTCCATTTTATCTTCCGCAGCACCTGCTTCTCTTTGTCTGTTGATTTGAGGTCGCACCTGCCGCGCAGATGCTGGGAATGCACGGAACGGTGGCGGCCAACTTTGCAGTGGACCGCGCCGATCTGCTGCTGGCGATCGGAGTGCGCTTTGACGACCGCGTGACCGGCAAGCTGGAGTCTTTCGCTGCCCGCGCGCGCATTGTCCACGTGGACATCGACCCCGCGGAGATCAACAAGAACAAAGCTTCGCATGTGACCGTCTGCGCCGACGCCAAGCCCTCTCTCAAGGTAGGGATTTTGGCCTTACAGTGGTTGAAACGCGTCGTGCTGGAAATACCTGGCTTGTTGCCTCCCCGAGAGCAATTTCTGATAGGCAGACTGCGTCATCCTGTGCGTCTGCCGAACATGGGAGAGGCATAGGAGCACCCGGTCCACCCATCTTAAGACCTGCTCACCGAGGGAAAGCAAGTTACTTGTTTCAGTATTTACATCAGCAGCATCACCAATGTGCACTCTTTAGATGTTTTTGGCGGAGTCTTCTTGCATTTGCGTATGTGATGGCGTGTACAAAGGGTGTATTCGTGCATGTGCGCAGGAGCTGAACGAGCAGCTCAAGGCGCGGCCGGTGGCGGAGGAGCAGTTTGCAGAGTGGAGGCGCGAGGTAGGCGAGACCAACGCGGCGTTCCCTCTCGCCTACCCCAAGCGCACCGATGTCATCATGCCCCAGTGGGCCATCCAGGTGTGCACTCTCTCCTGGTCCCTGATGTATTGTACTTGTTAATCGCGGTTTTGTCTGGCTGCCAGAGAGAGTGTACTTCTTTTCCTTGTCTGGCACGCACGCGTTGTTCAGGGCAGCACGCCTGGCGCCCCGACAGATCATACTTGTTTTCCTGTCTGGCAGTTGCACGCTGCTCCGGGCAGGATGTAGGGCGTGCTGGGCAGAGTGCCTGGCAGCAGTGTCTGGCAGCCTTCGTGCACCTTTTAAGCATGAGCGCGACGGTGCTGCGTTGTGTTCTTCAGCACCATCTGCTTTCAGCGCTGTCTCCCTTTTTGTCTGGATGTGCAGGAGATATGCTTGTCCATATCCTGACTTCTCATTGCATCGCTAGAGTCTCTTCAGGTTACCTGGCGGCACTGACACTAGGAGCAGTGCACATGTCGGCTGCATGCACATCGTGGAGGCTTTTGTTCACAACCCATCCCCATACCCATGCGCCATTCTTTGCCAGGTGGCATGTATCCAACCTGAGACGTTCCCTGCTGGCTTCCTTGCAGGTGCTCCACGAGGAGACCAAGGGCGACGCAGTCATCACCACCGGTGTGGGCCAGCACCAGATGTGGGCGGCTCAATACTACAAGTTCGACCGCCCACGCCAGTGGGCCACCTCGGGCGGCCTCGGCTCCATGGGCTTTGGTCTTCCATCGGCGCTCGGAGCCGCCATCGCGTTTGACGGCACCGACGGCGGCCGCCCCAAAAAGGTGCGCAGCATTGCAGGCAGGCTGGTGTTGGACCCGATCTGAGCTTTGCCCAGGCCAAGGTGATGATAGGCGATGATATGGGGTGTTGAAGAAGGGTTACCTGGTTGGGTTGCGCAGAGCCAGCTCAGCATGTAAATAATCCTTACTGGTTCTCTGTGAACCAGCTGACCCAGTGCCATCTGTGCTGTGAAGTCCTTTCAAAGGCCTGTCCACACGTCTATAATCACTTTGGCCTGTTGCACACCATCTGTGGACTGGGGCGTCCTAATGCTTACTGCATATTGGATCATTTATCGCAGCAGTTGGTAGGGACGTCTGCATGGCTGGGGAGTGCCAACAAACTTTCCGATTGGCACTTCCCAGCCCTGCATCTGACATAACATCTAAGTTATAGCTGCAGACTCCTGTCGTGTCGGTGTGGGTGCAGCAGCAACTCTGCTGTCGCTCTGCACTTCCTGCCCTCCTGTTCTCTGTCCAACCTGGTTGTCTATGTTGACAGATGCACAGGTCGGTAGGAAGTGTGAAGTGACGGACAAGTAATCAATGTCCTCTCTGATCAGCTTGCATGCAAGAATGGAAGACATTTTTCTTAGAGCGCCGTGCACTGAGTCCAGCAGAACTTCCTTCAGGGCTCGCACTTGCCGATCAAGAGCCCAACATGTAGGTAGGGGCTTCATTCGTCGCAGATGATTGACCATTTGGATGAGCCTGCTGCAAGAGAGATCTGGCCTGGGGTCATTCTGACGCAGTTCAGTGTGACTTGCACTGGAATTTGTAATAGTAATATTATCAATCTTCATGAAGGCGCACCTAGAGCCCAGAGGTCCAGAAAGCAAAAATGGTACGCAATACTGGTATGTATTGAGTAGTGTGTCTGCTGTTTGTGCAGGTGGTGGTGGACATTGATGGGGACGGCAGCTTCTTGATGAATTGCCAGGAGATGGCGACGGCTGCCATCGAGAAGCTGGAAATCAAGATGTTCATCCTCAACAACCAGCACCTGGGCATGGTCGTCCAGTGGGAGGACCGCTTCTACAAGGTGGGGGAAAAAGCTTCCATTTCTATTAAAGATTTACACCGTGTTACAGAGAATTGTTGGTCAGCAGCGCTGAAGGGATGAAAGTGGGGCATGTGGGAGTATGTACAGTTAGCTGACAGAATCAGTCTCACTTTCTTTTTTGGAATCAGAAGGGAAGAAGCCAGAAGGACAGAACACACTTGGTAGCCGGTCTGCAGCACCCTGTTCTAGGAGCTGTGCCAGAGGGTGGTTGAAGCGAGGAGCACTTAAGCCTGGATTGCGAGTCTTTCAATTCTAGCATGCAGGTGCACAGTGTTGATTGTGCCCTTAGACAACGCGGCATGACTTGGACCTGCTGTGTCAAAGTGCCCCTGGCAAGCCTCCATGCAGCCTTATGACATTTCTCTTGGTCCCTATTACCCCAAACAGACAGCATAGATTGTAGCCCCAGTTCTGAGGTCACTCACTGTTCGTCTTCTTTCTCTTGCTTGCAGGCAAACCGGGCGCACACCTACTTGGGCCTGCGCGAGTCGGAGTACCACGCGACCGGCGACCTGAAGGACATCTACCCGGACTTTGTCATGATGGCAAACTCCTTCGGCGTGCCGGCCAAGCGCGTCATCAACCCCGAGGACCTAAGGGGCGCGATCCAAGAAGCCCTCGCGACCCCCGGACCCTACCTGCTAGATGTCATGGTCCCCCACATCCAGCATGTGCTGCCCATGATTCCCGGCGGGGGGTCCTTCAAGGAAGTGATCACCACCGGAGACGGCCTCGATGTGTACTGATCGCTCCCCTTGGATTTTCTAGGGTCAGGGGTATAAATGCAAACCCCAAGCCTGGAAGAAGCAGGGTCCGGTCAGAACTACCCCCTGAGAGAAGAGCTAGGAGTGTTCTTCGCAGTCCTGTCTGGATGACATGCTGCAGATCTGGATGCCAGGATCTAGAGATGCTGCATGGGTGCACTGTGCCGATTTAGGGCTGTATGCTGTGCCCTGCTGTGCGAAACTTCCTGCCGTTGATATCTTACTGCTGTTCTGGACAGTGGCAGCAGCACTTGCTCCAAGTTCAGGAGAACAAAGTCTCTGACACAATGAAATGCTGCTGCGCTGCCTTCATGCCTGTTTTGGGGACGCTTTGTTGCCTACTGCAAATGCAGCACCAGCGTTTTGTGACCTGCAGCAGATCTCTTGTGTGCAGTAGTAGCTGACATGATAAAATGGATTTTTGCTGGGGACGAGGATTGCAAATTGGGCCTGCATAGTTGTGCCTGGTGCCTCTTGGGCATATCAATGCGATTGCAGTGCAAGAAGAATTGGACTACTGGGTCTAATGTGCCAATGGGTGCCAAATGAAGACACTGTTGTGCGCACCTGCCATTGCTTGCACCAATGGGCACACCTAGAGTTGCATTGTGCGGTATTTGTACGTACAGTGCATGTACGGTGGCTAGTCAAAGCTCTCTGCCGCATTAAAGAGAGCTGACAGTGATCTCCTCCCTTCGCGAGGATGCACGGAACGCCGTCTGGGACGCACCCATGCAAACTTTCCCGATGCAATATTTGCCTGTGTTCCCATTTCAGGGACTTTGGTGCATGGACTTATCTGAAAATGTAATCTCACAGCATGTTTGCTTGCACTGCACAATGAGATGCAGCATGATCTTGACTGCGCAGTTGCGCATGCGGATATCCGATTAATCTCGGAATCGGAAATCAGAATTTAAGGTTATATATTTCCTCACACACCGGTAATTACTACAACGCTGGCACCTGTGCATAGTTTTTACCGCGCACGCATGATCAAGCATGCTGCTGCTGTATTGAAAGTTAAGTCACACAGTACCGCCAAGCTGTTACACCACAGCCATCGTCCTTGCACCACTGCTTGAAATAAAATTTTGCGCCTAGCTGTAAGAAAAGAGAATACTTCAGTCCAAGCCAAACCTGTGCAGACCAACGAAAGTCCGGAGCAATTGCAAGTTGGCTGGCTTGTTAGATTGTCCAAATCTACCTGGCTGGCTTTATCTCTGAGTTGCAGCCAAGGCCTATGTACCTTTGTACCATGAAACACCATCAAATTAAAGAACCTCCCTGAATAAAATCGCAGTATTCTTTCCAACTTGTCAACTCTGTCGCTCATCTCCATGTCTGTTCTGTTGTGTTGTGCCCGGTAAGTCCCTAGTGTACCATGGCTCAGAGCCCAACATCCCTTCCAAACGCTTGCAACTAATCCCCTGATGTCGATATCACAGGGATCGCCCGGCAGTTGTGACTAATCCTTTGAGTTCCCAGAACAACTCTCTCACATCACAGGTAACCTGCCGCGCATGCGACTAACCTATGAGTCACAAGGATCGTATGACTGATCCTCTAACATCACGGTGATCAAGTGGCGGCCACGATCAATCTGCTGATGTCACACAGATCATGACTACTCCTGTGACATCACCGGAATCATATGGCCGCCCATGGCGCCAGTGCTGGCAAAGTAGTTGGGGTCACTGCGAGCGCTGCCCGTACTGCTCTCCACGCGAGTGGTGCTGTTGGACGGCGGCCCGTACAGGTCCGCCTGGTCCGTAAACAGCACTGCACCACACAGCAATCACCATTAGCAGATGCAGCAAATGATCAAGCAACACACAAGTCAGGAGAATGGCTGCACACACATGGTGCCGGTGTCAGCGATATTTCACTCAATTTGCTGTGCAAAGCCGAGGAACACTCTCCATTCTCAGGAGCACAATGTGCGCTGCTGGACTCAGCAGGTCGTTTGGAACGTCGTCAAACGCACGCTCCAAATTAGAGGAGCACCCAAGTGACAGGCACCAGCTGAGGCAGTAATTCTCACTGGGGCAAAGTGCATCACAGGGATTGCTGTGCCTGCTAGAGATGGTGCAGGCCAGACATTCACATGAAAAGCAACACGATTCAGAACCAGAAAAATGGTGCAGCGGTGCCGGACATCCAACAGGGGCCGCTGGCTGATCCTTGGATCCTCCCGGCTGCAAGAAAGGTGCTCGCTGCAAGCCTGCAATATTTCAGGGACATTTCAAGGGAGCTGAACGAGTAGACGGCGCACCCTTGGCAGCGGGGTCGGCCTTCATCTTGTTGCCAACCTCCAGCAGAATGATCTCGTTGTTGCATGCTTTCAGCAGCGGTCCAGGCACGTAGAGGGTGTTCTGAGGGCCCAGCTCCGGCCAGTAGTATCCCTGTGCGCGGTCAGTCACGGTGAGTCAGCGCCAGGTCATCCACTACCTAAGCGAGCGACTTCTGGTTTGGCAGTAGATATTCTTTTAATGCTCTGTTGTAGTATTATTATTATTATCACACGCCTATCCAAGCCACAGTTGGCTTAGGTGCGTCGCAGCTGCGTTCCTATGACAGCCTTCCAGCTCGGCCTATCTTGGCACCTTTTCCACCATGTCAGGGCCAGCCCAAGACTCTGTTGTATAGTGCAGCACTTGCACAGCTCTACAAGTTGTGCAAACAATGCAGCTTGCCAAATGCAGCCCTCAAGCGCGACTGTGCATGCTGTGTTATTGATCCTACAGAGCTTCAAGCCGAGACTGTGCAGCATATGAGCAAGCTGGACAGCTTGCCGGCACCATCGCAGGGGACTCTACTTCAGCTAAAATCTTCAAAATTATTTGGGGCTCCCTGTGAGCTGTGGCAGTAGAAAAAAGACGTCATGGAGCTGCCACAATAGGTGTCTGTCCTGAGAAGCTGGCGGACACACGAAGACTCACCAAGTTGAAGCCATTGATGAAGGCCACGCCCTTGGCCCAGTTGAACTTGCCCACATTCAGGTATGTGTCGGGGAAGACACCGTCGGCGGTGGCCAGGCTGCCATTGACGCTGAAGTAGCCCCTGCATGCATGGCCAGCACATCTCAGTAAGATAGCTGGCAGATGACTTCTATGGTCAGAGTGCATTTCTGGCTCTGCTCGCACCAGAAGGCTTTCCCTTGCCAGCACTGACTTGACAAGACCGCAGCACATTTGCATGCAATGTGGGGCACCCAGACTTGCTGCAGAGCAAGGCCACATCAACAGAACAATCGGTGCGGCGGGTTCGAGCTGTAAGTACACTACAGAGGCAGAGTCAATGGAAAGGTATGCCGGGATGTCTGCTGAACACGATGGCATGTCACTGTATCAGGCAGCAGCGCATCCTAGCCTTGAGTTTTGAGGAATTTGCATAATGTCTCCTGTAAGATCAACCCCAGATAGATCTTTGGTTTCCCGGTGGAAATGACTACCATAAGGCCCCTTCTCTACACTCCCTGAAACCCTCCTCAAAATTTATAAAAGAAACTTTGAACTCTGCGCACTGTCTTTGTCTCCAAGCAGCGGCCTTACTGCCTGCCTCTCATAACATCGCCTGCTCCATCTCAGCTCCACAGGGGTGCCTAACAGATTGTGTGATTCTGATGCAGCACTTCTTGAAAAATGTAATGTAGGCAGTAGCGCACTTGTAGAATGTGGGGCCGTCGGCTGCTGGGCTGGGAGCGGCTGCTGCGGTGCTGTTGGCCTTTGGCGCGGCCGGGCATGCCTCGCCGCCGTCGGCAGCCAATACAGCGGAGATGGCAGGGAAGTTAGCCGAACGCGCGGCAATCTCCAATTCCTGCGCACACAACCCAACGCCTCTCTTCTCAGACCCGTCTTGTCAGACCTCTCTTGTCCCCTCTCCAAATTTCCTTTCTTGTCATCTCAGCAAGACGCCCAGCAAGGGAATTCAGCACCAGACCTGGTAAGGTCCCTTCCCATCTTCCTCTGCCTTGACAGAAAGCCTCCAGGTAGAAGAGCTGCAAAACGACATCGCCCAGAAAAGAGCCGTGTAAGACGCAGCGGACAGTTGGAGGAAGGGAAGGGTACCAAAAATGTGACAAAATGGAGGAGGGAGGGAACGCTGTGTACCTTGGCGAGAGCGGCCTGGTTAGGCGCGACGGCCACGAAGCTGGCGGCGGCTGCGGCGGCCGACGGCGCGGGGCCGGGGGCGGCGGTGACGTCCGGAAGCGCGAGGCCGTCCAGGGATGTCAGCGGCAGGGGGAACGCTCTCCAGCCCTTCAGCGGCTTCCCTGCAGCCAGGCGAGCACAGGATTCTATGTCAAAGTGTTCTATCCCTGCACCGGCTTCAGCGCCATCCAGTGATACCCAGCCAGATGCAGGCAGCAGGCAAGGTGCGAAACACAGCATGCACGGCAATGTGCATGCAGAGCTAACGTGCACCAAACTGCAAAAATAAGCCTGCAGAATTATATCTAAGCCGAAGCTTTCTCCCTACTACCAGGCCGCAGAGCAGCACCAGCAGGTGCAGCTTTGCGCCGGCCTTGCCAAGCTGCAGCAGGGAAGTTGGACAAGTGAATTAAAATTACTGAGCGTTCTTAGGAAAGTGAGAGCTCCTCTGGGCAGCAGCTCTGACTTGTTGCTGCGGGAGAGAGCGATCGCAATGGTACGTGCCAGTGGTGGGCAATGCAGTGCATCGCAGGTCTGAAGAAAGAGTCTCAAAAGAGTCTGGTTTGCAGGAGGTGCAGGAAAGGAAAGCAACATTGGATGCTGCACTGCATTGCTACCATCAACACCCTACAACAACTTCAAACTCAGTTTTGAAGTGCTGGCATCATGAGTCGAGGGGCAGAGGCAGGCGCGCACTGTTGATAAGCACAATGCCAGAAACGAGGCCCTTGAGGTCATACGAATTGCCGAAGTTGGAGCGCCCAATTTGCATTACGAGTATGTCCAGTTCCACGTCCTTGCCGTCGTTCGCACGCGCGACTTTGTCCGCGTTGTCGTTCAAAACCACGGCCAGATCTCCGTCACGTTCAAGGCTGCCCACGTAGCTGCCGCCCGCCAGGATCTGCGCATGCATGCATGCGACAAAGTCAGCACTTCGCTGATGTCAGCGCTTGTTCCCTTGTGCTGGCCTTGGGGCACGATCGCGGGTGACAGATACACGTGACAATTTGCACAAGTCAGAAGTACTTTTCATTTCACGAGTTCAGGTGCCTACAATAGTGCTGATCGCGTCCCTGTGCTAACATTGCTTTTCTCTATCTCTACAGGACCTGAAACTGGGCAGAGAGCAATAGCGCGTCTGTGAGTTCAACTAAGACTGAGTAGCTTGCCGGGTCTACGTCCTGCCTAAGCCAGTGAATAGATGCAGGGCTCCTAGTGCAAGGAGCTGGTGTGTGCACCCTTGCCTATTGTCACGCACGTTGTGTGACTTTGAGCAGGGATGAAGCGCACCACTGCTGAGTCACGGACTTTGCTGCCCACGTACAACGTAGCTCCAGACCGCAGCTCAATGGCAGGCACTGTGGTGCGGTACAGGATCATTCCGTTCCTGCAGTTACAGCACGCAAGAGCTCATTGCCCACAGCATGAAGTGCAGTGGAAAGTGCTAATCAAGGTGATCTTTCCTGGCGCTGGCAGCACAGGGGTGTGCTTACTTGGGGCAGCAGGTTTGCTGGTGTGCAGGCAGTGCGCATTTCCAAAAAGAGCTTATGAATACCGGGCATCCTCACAGGGCCCTCATCTCATATCGCCAGCAAAGCTGACTTCAGCACAAAAGCCATGGAAGGGCGTATCAATAAGGGTGAGGAAGGGATGACTCACCACTGATTGTACTCCTCCATGGGGAGAGGGGTCTCGGAGTAGAGACCGATGCCGGTCACAAGGTTGCCGAGCTGACTCAGCAAGGTGCCCTGCTGACTAAGGGTCACCTCACCGTACGCCGCGATGCGCGGCGGCGGCGGCGCCTCCGGCAGGTCGTAGCCGATGTGCTTCTCAATTAGTTCGCGGATGGCCTGCGGGGGGGATTGCAGAAGGGTCGGCAAAATCCTAGCCATGTTTTCTGGTCAGCACTGACACAGCAGTCCTTTCTGCATGCCTTGCGGAGCCCTGTTTTGCTGTTACTTATCTTGCCTGTCCTTGGTAAGATCCTCTGTAAATCTATCTTTGGCTTCACCCTGTGTCGCAGAACATTACAGAGAAATGAAGCAACCTGCCATTCGCCTAATAATCAGCTCTGTCAAGAATATACTGCTGGCCGGCTTAGACCTTCACAGAGCACAAAGTCAAGCTGACATGCGCGGCAGGTGCAGTAGCTTATTATTACCCCTGCAAAACCCTAGCAAGGGGTATGTGCGTGCCTGGAACTTGTTGGCGGGGGCGCCGTCGGGCGGGGGTCCGATGCCGGGCTGATTGTAGTCACCGGCCTCGCTGATGGGCGAGTCGTAGTCATATGACGTGATTACGGGCTTGTAATCCAGATACGGCTCCAGCTTGCCCTTGAACCAGTCGACGTCACTGACGTCCTTGCCGTCCGCGTCCTTCAGCCGGTCCTCCTGGCCGCCTGCGCGCAACGATGCAATTCCCCTTAAGTGAGGGGTTTTAAGGATTTCATAACTAGGGTGCATTCACCACTGGGTGACTGAGGGCAATTTCCCTTTTCTACAGGAATTGATGCGTCTCCACCACCAAGTTAACCACAACAGGAAGCTGCGTTTGTACGTTAAAGTGGCGGTGAAAGGTACGGAGATGCCCAGTTTGCCGACAGGTCCATACTGACAGGCCTCCTGAAGGTGGCAGGAGCAAAAGGCTAACAAAGCATGCATGGGCAGATCAACATAAATACTTTTGTCTAGCATTGCTTATATTGTGCACTACTGTACATGCATGAAAGACTCAAACATGATCATTTTCCTGTGCTGAAGGCTCTGCGCAGCACCCTTGCAGTGTCTCAAATGGCAACTGGTTAGAAAAGATACCCCTGGACAAGGGGAATAAGAGGGTATTGGGAGGGATTTCGCACCGGCAGTCCAGCCGAAGTTGGTGCCGCCGTGCGCCATGTAGAGGTTGACTGATCCGGTGTTGTCGTTGTACTGCAGGATGTTGAGCAGCTCTTGCAGGAACTTGTTGAAGTCTGTGTTGGCCATCTTTTCTCCCCAGCGCGTCAACCAACCCGTGCTGCAAAAGACACACAGCAACTTGCGTCAGGCTTTGTATCAGACAGCCATGCTGTGTTGCCCAGGCACAGCATGGGCATCTCACTGCATGCAATCTTCAATGCTTGCTTGCTCATGTCACAGTCATGGGCGCCACAACACGGGAGCTACTTGCTTGTTTGAAACACAAACATGCTGGCAGTTGAATTGGAATGTGGCAGCTGCCCAAACAGGCTTGAGTCACAAGGTTGGGAATTGCGCAATACTCATTGCTTGCTCTCGATGCCTTTTCTGCATGCAATTCCGTCAGCGAGCTGTGGCATTTGGCCTCATGTCGTGTGCTTCTTAAACAACGCCAAGAGATTGAAAGGTGACATGCATTGGCATGAAAAGGGAAAGTTGGCAGGTGCACGCAGCAGACGAAGGGAGGGGCAGGAGTGCGCACTAGAACTCGCTGCAGAAGGGTGGGGACTGCCCAGCGGCGTTGAGGCTCTTCTGAACGTCGAACGCCGATTTGGGCGACCACCAACCCGCGCCAAAGTCCACCGCCCTGCATGCCACCAGCGCATCAGCCATACATAAACTCCTTGGGTGCAGGTGATTGTCTTCTCGCCCATGTCCTGTCTCTCAAAGCTCAAAGTGTCTGAGTGCCCCTTTGCTCGAGCCAGGCCTGCCTTTCACACATCCCTGCTATGCATGCTGGAAGAGGGTGCCCCATCTAGAGGTCATCTTATTACTAACGACCAGAAGAAAACAAACGCCCCGCCATTATCTTCCACCCACCTATTCCCCTCTGCTGTTCAGAACGTGTGCATCCCACATCTATCTGTGGCGTACATACTACAGGAGGCTTTTGCACGCTCCGACCACAACATGCACTTGCCAGCTCATTTACGTTGCTAGGGCCACGCCTGTCCTTGCACGTCTGCCTTACTAACACAGAGGTTGAGGTTGGCAAGCCTTGCCTTTCATGTAAAGCATGTCAGTGGTATTCAGAGTCCAGCGGACTGAACACGTCAGTCAGGGGAGGTACAAGGGAGGACGCACGTGTATAGTTCACTGCCCTTGAGGGTTCCGCGCGCCGCCTTGTCGGGGGGATCCGTAGTAAAGAGGATGACGTCATCCCTGAGCGCGTTCTTCGCGGTCTTAGTAATGTGCCGTATGTACGTCTCGTCTGGTCCAATGAACCCAAATTCATTCTCCACCTGCGCATTGACAATCAACTTGGCTTTATTCTGTGCTCAAATAATTCTTATGACTTTTTGGGCTGCCTGCCTTGCTTATTTTTACAGGTACTGACAGTGAGCTGCACGCAGAGGGTCAGCTTGTAATACTCTTGGCTGTTCCAGTTCCTATGCCTGGGCACTCAATCTCTGTCATGCTAAGACGGAAAACATACGCAAGGCACGGCGGAAAACATGTGCAGGGTAAGAAGGGAAATATTTTGCAAGGCAGGACAGACAAAGTTCAGGTGGCAGAAAATCCTCACTTGAACCATCACGATGGGGCCACCATTGGAGTACAGCAGGGGCGTCATGCGAGGAAGCAGTTCGTTCCAGAATCGGTCGACGTGCGCCAAGTACAGTGGGTCACTGCTACGGAGCTTCATAGTACCGCCGCCAGACACCTGCACGCATCAACCCGGCACATGCTGTCACATGCACAGCCTGCAAAGTGGTGACCATTCAGGGTAGTTGATAACAACCAGATCCTGTGAATGGCAAGTGATGACTAAAGGCTACCCTCAGGAAAGGCATCCAAAGTTCTGTGCAGCTCTTGAGGAATGACAGAATTCCACACATTGCATCCAAGCCTAGCACTTCAATGGTGAAGCAGACTGGCCTTGCATTGCCTTGTAGTATTGGCACTGAGCTCAAAAGAACACCAGTTAGACTGCCGAAGCAGACGAGTACGAATGATTTAGCGGGGTATTGCAATGCGCACAGAAGCGGGCGTTAAGATCTCACCGATGAGGAGCCCAGCCAGGCAGGGAGACCGCCGAAATCCCACTCGGCGCAGATGTAAGGTCCAGGCCGCAGCGCAACCAGCAAATCGTGCTTTTGAGCAAGTTTGATAAATCTTTCCACGTCTTGCGGCCCGTCCCACTTATACTCCCCAGGATTCAGCTCGTGGTAATTCCATGCAATGTACAACTGCGCGCACACAAAGGAGTGTCAAAAAAAGATCTGCAGTTCGTTTTCAGGCACCAGTACATGGGTAGGGCGAATATAGCATGCATACAGCTCGCTCAAACTGAAGTTCCTGCCTGTTGTACCACATGGAAGGCAGGACATTCAGGGTGTGCATGCATCTGCCCAATGCTCTTAAGCTGACTTTGTTAAAGTGCCACAGAGAACCAATTGCGCACCTCTACAGTGTTCATGCCCATTGCCTTGATCCGCATTAGCCTGTCTTCCCAATGATAGGGATGGATACGAAAGTAGTGCAAGCTGCACCCAACAACACACAATCAGGACAGTGACTGCGTGCAAAGCAGGCCTTTGCAGTCAATAAGCAAGGACAACCCATGCACAGGTCAGCGACAATGCGCAGCAACCAAACTTGCCTGCCAGATATGAGCTGCACGGCCTTGCCATCCCTGATGAACTTGTCATTCTCAATCCAGAACCCCTTGCCCCCTTCCGAAAGAACAGCTGCCGCAGATAGGACAGCGGCAGCCAAGATCACAAGCACCCTGCAAGCACCGTTTATTATGAGGAGTAAATTTGGCATTGCAGACGTTCTCTGACAACACAACAGATTAACTTGTCAGCCAGAGGAGATATCATGCTTATAGAAGCCAGGCAGCCATCCCCTCAGTGCCTAGTTGAGCTCGCGAAGGCGCTTTAAGAACAATAAACTGGCAACCATGAGTGCAGATGCAATCCATACTTGCTATGGGGTGCCACTGGTAGTGCAAGGGACTGGATCTTCCTTAGTCAGGAGAGTAAGGCTGCAGCAACCGCACCTGCTGCGTCCAGCCATGCTCTGTATACCTTAAGCTCCTCGAATTATGGTACTGGTGTCTCTGATGCCTCGTCGCACGCAGCCCAGGTGGGGATGACAAACCAGAGATATTGTATATCACAAGATTGTGGTTCGGCAGGGGCCTCTTAGGCCGCTACCCTTATGCTGATAGAAGTTGCTTGTGCCAAAGATCCATGCTGCTTTTATAGCTGAAGTGGTTTCGGGGCAGAGACCTGTAAAGACAAAGGGCCAGCCGTAAGGGGACCATACATGCCCGTGCCAATAGCGCCGAGGACGATAGATTTAATAAGGCCTTGGCTAAAAATGTATATACTCTGACTTTCTAAGATACAAGCATGGGCAATGTGTTCGTGGAGACCATCCAGTCCGCGACGTGGGCCACCGGAAGCTTGCGAAATGAAGTGATTCCTTCTCACCTTCAAGAAAGATGCCCTCTTCAGGGCTGGGCTTCCTTCGCTGTACCCAAAACCTCGAAAGTATGCGTCAATTCACCGCAATAAGAACATTTGTCACCGGCCTTGGTTGAGCTTTCACCGAGAACTCAAAGCAGTGCCACTGGGGCGCCCTCCCATTGGTCCCCAGCGATGACGCATCCTTTTGGCGCCACATCGAAGCCACATCAGCAACACGAACGGGTGCCTGCACAAATAACAGCGCCTGCACACAATTTCTGTACGAACGTTATCCTACAGCAAGCAAAAAAGTTCCTGAAAGACTTTGTTATATTAAACAAAATTCACAAGTCACCACAGGAGAGGAGGGTTCAAATGCTTCCTGGAGCGATGACCGTGCGGGATGAATAGGTGAGCGGCTCTTCTGTGTCCGCCGAATTTGAGGCCCACGCTGCTCTGTGTTGATAAATTTTCGGTATGGTATGAACAAGGGACGTGTTCAGGATGTACAAGCCGATTTGGTAGCTGTGACACTGTGGCTGGTCATGACGCCCCAGTTGTGATTGCACCAACGTTGACGTTGGTCTTCTCCTGTAACTTTTGATTTTCCGGAGAAGCACACTCCTGCATTTGCAGGGGCTAGCGACAATGCAATGCATTGCTTTCAGAAGGTAATACATCCCGCCGGTGTAAAGGGTTCTTGTTCCCTCAGGTGACTGGAGATTTAGGACGTTGAACAAGCTCCCAACTGTTGACGGTGACCAATCCACGAGGTCTCATGGCTCACTGCTTCAGGTATGTCCCTGCTGTGTACCTTCTGTGAGCAGAAACTTCGACGATGAGCCGCCAGCACTTTCGGGTCAATGGCTTGTACGGCCCACATCTCCTGTCAGTATCAAACTTGCCTGTCTGCATCTTTTCACGAGGTTACTGACCATTGGATTGAATTTGTGTTGGCTGGTCAGCCTGGCGGCCAGGTTCGTGCTCGGGGTGTTATTGTTGACAGCCACATCAACCGCTGACACGGAGGCAGGTCGAAAATTTGAGATACAGAACGACCGCTTCGTCAAGAATGGCGAGCCTATCCAGATTATCTCGGGCGGGTGAGCTTTGTTGTCGCTGTTCAATCAATAAGCTTCTTTAAGTCCCTGTGAGGCAGCGGGTTTGACTCCAATTATTGTGCACAGGATTCATTACTTCCGCACGCTTCCATACTACTGGGAGAATCGCATCCTGAAAATAAAGGCGATGGGCATGAACGCCTTGGAAGTGAGTTCTTGAAAAGCAATTAAGAACCTTTGGTGCACGTGATTCCCAGTTTGATTTGCGATCTCTTGTGGTGGCATCCAGTGTTGTGTGAGTTTGAAAATTTGGTGTGGCATCTATGCAGACTTATGTGCCTTGGAATTATCACGAACTGAGTCCTGGGAGTTTCAAGTGGGATGGGCAGCAAGATTTGGAGGCCTTCATCAGACTTGCCGCAAAGCATGACATGCTTGTCATCCTCCGCCCCGGACCTTATATTTGTGCAGAGTACAACTTTGGAGGTCTTCCGGCTTGGTTGGGGTCATCTGTGGTGAGTGCAATTGAAAGCTATTGTGTATGAGCAACTTGGCAAATTTGCCTTAGCTTGTTCCATGGACTCCATTGCACAGTGTGACATGCTTCCAAGTCAGTGGCTGAGTTGGTATCATGTGAAGACATGTGCCAGGGTGATGCGCCCAGGTGTCTGGTGGCGGTACTATGAAGCTCCGAAGCAGTGACCCGCTCTACCTGGCGCACGTCGATCGATACTGGAACGAACTGCTTCCCCGCATGACGCCCCTGCTGTACTCCAATGGTGGCCCCATCGTGATGGTTCAAGTGAGCGCCTTCTGCCACCTGACCTCGAGGGCTCTACCCGCTTAGCTAGCACTATGCCTTGGGCAACTTTCCTGTTGGGTGATGAGCGTCTTATTGCCTATGGATTTAGCACTGGAGCTAGCACAGCCCAGACCATGGTGCTGGCCTGTTGCGTGCCCCACACTAGTGGCATGACATATGTTGTCATTTCAAAGGAAAGAGCCCATCTTCGTAGCCTTTAAGGTTCAACACCAGCAAAATGTCATCAGGCAAATTTCACAAACAATTGGCGGGTGTGCGCAGGTTGAAAATGAGTTCGGCTTCATTGGAATTGAGGAAGGGCAGGACGACACATACATCCGCCATTTAGTCAAACTCGCCAAGAATGCCCTGCGTGATGATGTGCTCCTGTTCACAACTGATCCATGGAACAAGGCCTGGGCAGGGTCCCTCCCGACCAACAATGAAGTTTACACGTGCGCTACCAAAGCTCCAGACATTACCAATTGTTCAACGCTTTGCAGCAAGGCGTCCTCACGTTGAGGTCAGTTCATTTTCTGGCTTTGCTCTTCCATGCCACTCGTCATTGCTGAGATGAGAACTGCACTGCAGGGCTGTGGACTTTGGGGCTGGCTGGCCTTCGTCTGTTGACAGCGCGTTCAAGGACCAGGCTGCAATGAACGACGATGGGAAATCCCCTCCGTTCTGCAGTGAATTTTAGTACGCTTCTACGCTGTCCTCCTCTATGCATTGCCCTTACTAGGGAAGGAAGTTTGTCAAAGGCTAGGCTTAAGTTTTGTTCGTTGCTGTGTGAGCTGTGCAAGTATCGCAATAGGCCCTGCAATGTAGAAATGCCGCTTGCAAGTGCTGAGGCGGCTCTAAGGTAACATGATATTAAGGGTGTGCTGGTGCTTGATGTGCAGCCCTGGATGGTTCATGCGCATGGGTGAGAATGCATCCAACCCAGATTTGACGTATTTCTCCGCTGGATGAAGACGATCTTGGAGTACCAGAATAACACAGGCTCGCTTAACTTATATATGGCCCATGGTGGCACAAACTTTGGCTGGTCAATGGGTGAGTCACCTTTCCTGTTTCTTGTGCTCTCTACTTTGCTATATAGACTATGCACTTCTGGCTGGCATCTGTACATCAGGCGCACTCTGTGAAGCAAAAGAAGTTTCTCTTGGAGTAGTCTCCGTGTGTTTGGAGAGTGGCATTATGTGATGTCACAGCCCCATTCGACCACATTGAGGTGAATGTCATAGCGTTCCTCTGTGCTCAAGGTGATTCTCAGTTCATGTCCATTGAACAGGCGGCCAGGAAAACCGCTTGAAGGATGCTTGGGGCCACGACATTACTATCCCTACAGTGGAGTACAATGATGGCAAACTAGAGCCCTACCTACATTGGCAACCCATCATCCAGTCATATGACTATGACGCGCCAATCAGCGAAGCAGGCGACTACGGGCAGCCAGGCATCGGACCTCCTCCTACGGGCCCTCCCAACAAATTCCTTGTAAGCCCCCTCCATTCTTGGTACTTGCATGCCCTGTAAGTCGAGACCCGTATTCCCTCAAAATACAATAGTTACGTTTCTGTGCTTGCCAAGCCTGCAAAGATATGCTTTTCCGGCAGCCGAAATGTATTCCAATATTGTCAATGCATAGGCCCTAGCGAGATGTACTGCCTAACATTGCCGCTCCTGGCATCAAGAGTTCAATATATTTTCCATGGCGACTGATGCATGCTCCCATGCAGGCTATCCGTGACATGATTCAGAAACACACCGGGGTTGAGCTGCCGGCTGTGCCGCCGCGGCCCCAGTTTGTTGCATATGGCCAAGTGGCGCTGACTCAGCAGGGCACGCTGCTGAGTCAGCTGGGTAACCTAGTGACTGGACCGGGAATCTACTCAGCTGTGCCCAAGCCCATGGAGGAGTATGGGCAGTGGTGAGCAGCACCTGCCACCCTCGCATAAATACCCTTTGAAACTTCTCTGTCAGAGAATGCCAGAGCTCAACCCTTTTGCATTCAGCCTTTTTGGAAGCTCGCGCGCTGATCAGTCACTCTTTTGCTCTGCAAGGAGGCTGCATGCACATAGAGGTGTGTTGTTCAATCTCTGTACTTGCTTGCTTTGATGGAATTCTTGTGCAGCGGCGCATAATGTCATTTTGGTCTTCCTAGGATATTTGGTGCCTTAGATGAGAAAATCTGAAGCAAGTTGTGTGCACTCTTGCAACAGGGACGGCTTGATTCTCTACAGGACCAGCGTTGCTGCATCAGAGCTCAACGGCACTTCGGTACTCTTTGCCGGCAGCAAAGTCCGCGACTCGGCTGTGGTGCGCTGCTGCTCTCTCCTGCGCTTCTCTGGTGTTGAGCTGCTTTATCAAGTCAATTCTGCCAGGATGGCTACTGCGTATGCTCCATTTCCTCCATGCCTCCCAGACAGAACCGGATAGGAATAAGACCGCGTGGGATGTCAAGTTGAAATTTTCAATCAGGCTGCAGCTGCAGTCAGTGACTCTCAGGTCCCATGTGCAGGACTGTTTGTTTGCCGCCTGCATGTCTGCAGCCTGCATGTGCTGACATCATCAAATTGATGACATCACCCCGTGTGCACGTGCGCAGATCCTCGCCGACGGCGCCTATGTGGGCAGCCTCGAGCGGGATGGAAAACTGGCCGTGGTGCTCAATAGCGCGGCCGGCAAGGTGGCACGCGCGAACGAGGGCAACAACGTGACCCTGGACATTTTGGTCATGCAAATAGGCCGCAGTAACTTTGGCCGCCAGTATGACCTCAAGGGCCTCGTCTCAGGCCTCGTCACCATCAACAGTGCGGAGCCGCTCCTTGATCAAGAATTTGCTATGCTTGCCTCTTGCAGACCATATATGTTGTGCGTTTTGCTGTGCCGAAACCCAATATAAGTGGGCCAGCAGCTTCAGTTCTCTTTTGTTCTGGGATGCACTGTGCGCAATCTTTAGAATGCTGATCAGCGCTCAGAGTCCTCTTGCGCTTGGGCCACAGCTCGAAGAAATCTTCAGAAGCTGTGGCCCAAGCTGTGCAGACTGTGGCATGCTGCGCAGCCAGTGATGCCCTGTCAGCTGAACTTCAAATCCGCAAGAAATTTTTGAAAGAGTTTGGGTTGTGATTTCTGCAGAGAAGCCGCTGAAGGGCTGGCGCGTGTTCAACCTGCCGCTGGAATCCCTGGACGCCCTCAAGCTCCCGGTCGTCTCGGCAGCAGCCGCCCCTGCGAACACTTCTGCCGCCGCATCCGCGGCCGTCAGGGCGGCGGCCGGGCCGGCCGCCCGCGCGCGCGCGCAGCCGCAGCCGGCGCGCCCCGTCAGCCTGGCGGCTGTGGACCCCGTCAGGGCACACATTGCAGAGGTGCGCAGTTTCTTCTTTCTAGTATTCTTTAATATCAACCCTACCCCCAAATCCTAAGATATGGGCATTAAAGGTGTTTGGCTTCCGGCGCGCATACAGCTGTGGGTCGCAGGGACCTGTGTAGGGGATGATGCGAAGCAATGCGTGGCAGTGCCGCTTTGTACTTGTTGGAGGTTTTCACATGCTGTTAGGGCTGTGCTGAGTCAGGGTCCAAGTACCGTGTCCTGCGAAATGCTTGGTATCTGGTGTGCAATGCGAAAAGGCGCACTTTCAATTCGCTGGCAGGGAGCTATGTAGAGTCTGAACACTTGTTCATCGGCTCTTGCTTATTCTGGTGAGAGTCAAGGAGTTAGTGATAGATTTGGTAGCCCCAGGTTGCAGTTCCGTACAAATGCCTTGGCTCCTGGCAAGAACCAAGTGTGTCAAAAATGAAGCTCAATAAAAAATTAGAGTTGGCAGGACTCACTCTCTGCAGCTTGGATAAAATGAGTGTTGGTGGCTTTAGGAGCTAGAGGAAGCCGCGCGTACCGGGGCGTTCCCTGCCATTGCAGCAGTGGTGGCCAGCGACGGCGGTGAGTCCTGCCCGGCCGCGCCAGCCGGCAACGGCAGCGCCGCAGCCGCCCCCAGCCCGGCGGCTGACGGCCCCACCTTCTACCGGTGCGTGCGCCGACCTGGCAGTCGAGCTGGCGGCAAGAGCTGGCAGTGCTCCTATACACTATACTTTCTCCTTGCCAGACTGTTTGTGATTGCAGTACTGGGGTCCTTGCTTTCCAGCGCATGCATGTGTGTTTGTTGGACGAGTGGAAAGCGTTGCCGAGGGTGCACGGGCTGGTTGCACATTCTGCAGCTGTTTCTTTTGCTTCACACAAAGCTGCCAGCAGCAAAGGGCTATCAGAGACAAGGGCTGCTCGCATGCTCTGCATGTGTTACTCTAGACTCAAAGAAGCCGCAAAGCTGCCTGTCAAGGACTCTCAGCTGAGATTTGAGAGCTGTCGCAGGGGATACTTCAGCGTCAACGGCAGCCTTGCAAACGCCGATGGCGTGCTCCCGGACACCTACCTGGACATTGGCAACTTTGACTGGGCCAAGGGCCTCACCTTCATCAATGGCTTCAATCTGGTGCGCGCGTCCAGCATACTACTTAACAAGCTTAGTAATTGCGCAAATGGTGATAAGTGACCGAGCATAGTAATCTGGGCTTCGTAATTCTACACATGAATAGTCACAAGCAGACGTTAGTCCTGAGTGCTGATATATGCACAAGGCTTGCACACTTTTGGCTCGCAACCTCCAAGCACATGAGAGGGCGATTGGAAGCTTGGGCTGATCTGTCCAGTATGAAAGGATTAATGGGCTGAGTCATTAATGCAAATGTATGCAGGGGTATTACTGGCCTCAGATTGGCCCCCAGTACACCATGTACGTGCCTGGGGTGTTGCTGAAGGCGTGCAACAACGAGCTGACTCTGCTCGAGCTGGGCACCACCATGAAGGCCAACGCTGCTGCAAAGGGTGCGTTCACATGTTTAGAAAAAAAAAATCAATTTCATCGAGACTGTCACAGACATGAGTTGAATGGGTATCCGCAGCTGCAATTAGAAAAGCAGCTCTGAGAGCGCAATTGTTTTTGTTTTCATGCTCTTCCGTTTCTGCGCACTGCCATTAGGTTGCTACTATGAAAGTTTTGAAAGACAAGTTACAATGTTGGGTATTACAATGTTGCTGTGGAGCTCAGCAGCTCTTCACTCGACTCAAAAGCCAGCAGAAACAACTACTGACCCATCCTGGAGGATGTTAGAACTCCCATCACAGACCTTAGACCCACGGGGAGAGTCTCACGGCTGTGTACTATTGTAGTACTATTGAAATGAAACACCCTTGACTGATATCTCGCTATTGTAGTACTAATGAAATGAGACACCCTTGAGTAATAGTCAGTGTGTGGGCTGTGCAGTGGCGTTCACAGACAAGCCGGACTTGTACTACAGGCCCAAGCCCGCAAGCGCTTCCACGCTGGCCTGAGTTAGTTCGAATCTGCGCTGCTCCTGCAGAAGCGGACATGAGCTTATTCTGGTGCACTGGCACTAGTGGCGGACGCGCATATGATGCCCATCTGAACCGATTGCATGGCCTGACCTGGCCTCAGCCGAGCATATTCCTGACTAGTCTTCTGCATGCAGTCTAATCAATGTTGCCTCTGCGCAAAGGCATAGTGCAGGGCAATTGGTTTTATAATAGAGCTGGCTGGATGGCCCTGCTCTTTAGACTCTCTTAGCATAATGATTACTTAGCATACAGGGCATTTGAAACTGAGAGCCTTGCCTTGCGAGTTGAAGCTCATAATCGCACATGCGCCAGAAGTTTGAAGTGCTGCAATATGCACTGTGAGTTCTTGCAGGCAGATCTGTGGTGATGGGGTTCAAAATATTGTAAATTGTTCCATGAGTAAAATCTAGTTTTCTTACATGGAGTATAGTGCAGGACAAGTAGACATAGCGCTAATCCCTAGAGAATTTGAGAATGCATGTCTCACACCGCTGATGGCCTGATCGCATGCCGCCCAATATTGCGGCTTGGACCTATTGTACATTTCCAAAGAAGCATCTAGATACCAGCTGCGCACATGAATTCCAATGATACCTCCATAATATGGAGTCGTATCGCACAGAACAGGGCAGAGCTCCTCATAACGACAGCACGGACGAAGTGCAGATCCATAAAAACGAGAACATCAAAGAATGTGCGCATACTGTGAAACGAGCGCTCCACGACCATGCATCAGCACAGATCCCCTGGGCTTTCCCACGAAAGTCTCCAGAATGCAGGAGCTCTCTCTTTAGAGGGCTGCAAGGGGCTTCTGGCCCGATTTTACATCTAGCTAGCCCTACTGACTCCAGCTGACATCATCCCAGGGCGCATGTGACCGTCAGCCAATGCTGTCTCGGCATCCACAGCTGATGTCACCCCAGGGCGCTGCGCATGACATCATCAAACGGTGTCATCCTCGAACTCCCAGCGCGTCTGCTTAGGTGAGCGGCCACATGTGCGCGCGCAGTACTCCTGATCTCCAGGTGGCCGTTTCTGCACATGCATGCATGACGTTTTGAAAGCAGCCCATGGCATCTGAAACTCAACAAATCAGCTGCGGGGTACTAGACACACATTTCTGCATCTAGTGACAACGTTGAAACAGTCAAGGGCTGCCCCATAAAGCCTGGCTGGCCCTGCAGAAATGCACTGGTGTACGAGCTTGGCAGCAGGCGCTCTATTGCAACCTGTACGCCTACCGGTGCCTCTTCCATCATGCTACCGGCAGCTCGTATATTCTGTGACATTTATATTGTTGCTGATGTTTGTATCTTGAGCTGAAGATCATCTACCTGACCATTCCTTAAACCAGGACCAGCAGGGGCCTCAAAGAACACAAGGTCAGTTGCATGGCAACCCCTGGCACAACAAACAAGGAGTAGTGCGAAGCATATAAGTATTCAGTACACCTGGCAGCAAGGAGCAACAGCGCACCCGCTCAGAGTTGGAGGCAAGCATGGAGCGCAGAGAGATGGCCACCTTGCCCAGTGTGAGGGCAGGGGACCAGCCGCCATTGTCACCATCGTATAAGATATCCTGCAGACATAAAAAAAATGCAGACATCAAAAAGAGCGAGCGCCAGGAGATGGGAGAAGGGACTGCCTCGCAAGCTTGGTTTTACTATTAATATTTTCAGTATGTTGGGGTTATTTAGGGTTTGTAATCCCCCCAAACTCTAAATGGCCCCGGCTGGCGGGGGGCGGTATAAATACTGAGCACCGTGCCCACGGTTGATTGGGTCTTGCTTGGATCTGGCGAGTCCATCAAGGGGTAGGTTTTTGGCAGCCTTTACTGCAGCTTGTCTGCAGACACACCTTGCTTCTGGCAGGAAAAGCGTGTAATAATAATTATGATAAAAAAACTCTAAATAAAATTATAGGACATACACTTAAGCACATGTCATGCGACAACAAACAGCCACCTCTTCAAATTTTGGCAATCAGAGTCTGGTGGGGCAGCGGAGCCATACCAGGCAGATGTGACCGTTGCTGTAAATGTGCGGGTGCACCGGCGAGGGGGGGATGAAGAACACCTGTGCATGTCAGCCAGGAATCTTCTCTTAAAACACTACCTCCACGGGAGATAATTCTTCAATCCATGCTGGCAATTAATAGGCTGCGCAGAGTATGACAGCCTTTGCTCCTTATGCATGATTAAACCAGGCATGGTGATATGCTGAACTGCTTTGGTATCTGAAGATGCACAGCTGGACCCATCTATTCGCAGCATGCACTGCAACTTGATATGAGCATGAAAGGAATTTATCCCAGTCTGCCGAGTTTGCAGATCCCATAAGCAGGAGCAATCAAGCACGAGCGGGATCATGGAGCCAGCTGTTATGCAGGATCCATGGCAGCACCGCATGACTCCTAACGCCATGGAGGAGCTCATGCACGATTTGTCCTGGGATGCATTCAGCTGACCTCCTTAAAAGTGCTGCAGGAGAGAAATGTACACTTAGTTCTTAAAGGTGGGACAATGGCTCACCTCAGGAGGGTCCAGTGGGTACCGATCCGAGAAGTTGACTCGTAGCCTGGAGATGCAGGGAACACAGGAAACCTTAAGATTGCAGAATCATAGAGCTCACCCTGAGTGGTATTTCGTGTGATTGCGATTGATGGCTTTGCTCCACAGGAAGAGAAAGGCTTTGACATGACATGTCAAAGGCAAGGGAACGCAGGTTCAATTCTCCCTGGAAGACAGGGTCTGTTTATTCAGAGTTTTGTCTCACCTGAATCGCTCTCCAGCGTAGAGATTTGGCATGCCGGGTGCAACATCTGGACCATCTATGACAACTATCCATGACAAAAGCGGCTCGAAGCTCTCCAGATGACACCCCTCTGGCCTCCTTTCATCCAGTAGCCAATCTGAGAGCTCGCTCTGAGCAGAACAGCCAGAAAGTGTTGGAGGTCAATGCATTCACTCTGTGGTTCCGTTTTTATATTGATTAGGATATGTAGAACAACGAAAACGGGGAAGCTGTCCATCGCATGGACCTGAACAGGGCAGGTTGACCGAGAACCTAGGTGCACACCTGTATCCTCCGCATGGCTATTTGTGAGGGCGATCGCGTCGTCATTTGTTCTAAAGCTGCACAACAAATTATTTTCAGCTGGTGTACATGGCATCAACGTGCTTCCGGTCGTGTGTCATATCAGAAAGTGATCGACAGAGTACAAGGTGAAAGGGCGTACTAGAATCTTCAAAGGGCTGCAGAGTCCGATCCACTCTTATTTTATCCTTGGCAGAGAATACAAAGAATCCTTTGCTAGTTGTATACGTCAAGAGACCTGCACTCACAACCCCGGTCGGACCAGAACAACTGCTAATGATAGCTTTGGCTCTAAGGGTGTTCAATGTCAGCTGCACAGGATTTCTCCAGATTGCTAACCAGGGGCACTGCGTCTTCCAGGCATGTCAGGCATGATGAACTTCAACAAGGCAAAGCAGGAGTTAGAGCTCCAAAGCCACGTGGGACTGACATGAGTCAGCAATTCCCAATGCAAATGCAACGCAACGTTCCTTTTGATTGGCTCACTACGTATAATTGTGTTCTCTTGAAGGATAGAGCTTGCAAAGTCGGTAGAAGGCGCAAGCTTTCGCGGCCAATGAAGAACAAAAAATATGAGCGATGTATGCAGCTTTGATGGCACTCACCAAAGACATTCTTCCTCAATTGATTTAGCTTAATGAGACGTGATCTCTCCTGTTGACATCACAAGTTCAAATGCTATCGATCGGCATTGGTACGGCCCCGATCGCACCTGAAACACTGAAGCCAGTGGGGACGACCAATCCTCCCAGCGTTTTGTTGAAAGAGAGGAACTCACTCACGTATGCAGTGATTGTGATGTTAAAGTAATTATCGGAATTTAATAATGTTTCATGGCAGCTTGTCTAAGGTGCACTTGTGTTGGATTAGCAGGACCGGTGATCGAAGCACAAACAAAGGATTAGAACTGATTTTGGCCGTTGTGCTGATGCAGCTTGTGGATGCAGCACCTATACAATTTCATAGCGTCCGCATCATAGAAATTGCAAAGAGCTGTACAAGACAGCTGTTGAGCGCAGCAGGAGAAGGTTGCAGCACCCATGCAGGGCGCCTCTGGAGGACAGGATCCCTTTGGAGGCGACCCCTTCACGTGGACACCTCCTGCAAAAGCTACCAGCAGCAGTACTAGCACACATACAGCGCAGGAACAACCTCCAAGCGGAGCTTCTGTCGATGCAGACATCTTCGACCTGTTTGGGCCTTCGCCTGGAGTCCCACAGCAGAGCCAGGATGGACACCTGAGAAATGGCAACACCGATGCATCCCTCTCCATGCTGGACCCCTTTGCCAGTGCTCTTCAACATGGACAGGGTAAGGCCAGTCATGCCAGAGACCTCTTGCAAATGATGGAATGCCAATGTAAACTGCATGACATGACTAGGGGCACCAAGAAAATTGCTAGACCTTTGGTGTTGATATTTGCAAAATTTCTTTGTTGAGGTGGGCAATTTGGGCTCAACAGAGGATGCCATTGGTACTTCAGATATCTAACAGAGCAGATTTCTACCATGCACAGGTGCAAGGACACCCGCACTGGCAGTAGCAGCGAGGCCCACTCCAGAGCAGCGCATCCCCGGCAGCAGCGAGTCATCGCTGAGTCAACCGTATGAGGACGCGCGCAGCCGCATATACACCCCCGAGACGGCCACGTCCCTCCTAGATTTTGACAGCCCCTCCAATTCCCCTGCCTCCCCGGCTCACGCTACCTGGCAGCCTGTGCTGTCACCGCTCGCGGATGACAGCATGCATGGCGGAGGCAACGCCTCAGGGCAGGTGCAGGACGGGGACAGTGGGGGATCAGTCCCAGAGCGGTGGGCTTCCATGGAACCCGATATCGGCGAGCGACTGAACGGAGCCTTGGGTGCGCTCCCCTACTCTGAACATGCCCTGGGTGCTCACGGTCAATTTGCTGTTTTGCTAACTAAACGCTGCCGTGACTCATCTGAGGCCTTTCTTGCGCATATGTCTGTTAATCTGGCAGCACTGGCCATCATGGAAGCAAAATCCCTGATATGCCTATTTCCTGCCAGTTTGCGGCAAGTTGAGCTCTCCACGTCATAGCACTGAGAAAAACTTGCAATGCATGCAGAGCCTCCAGACCAGTGGCCGGCAAGTGCCAGCGGTTCAGCGGAGAGACATAGGTCAGAAGAGCTCAGCTTCAACGACAGCGACGTGTCCGCCTCCGTGCTCAGCTCGCTCGATGATCTGGACCCGCTGGACGCTGAGATGGCCGATGAGGTCGCGCATGATGTCACCATTGGTGATGGGCAGAAAGCCTCTTTAGGCGTCGTACCCAAGGAGGAGGTTCATCCTCAGCCACAGAGAGATGCTAAAGCTGCAGGCAGCGTGCTGCCTCATCTGGCCGCATTGGCTGCCGAGCCAGTACTGGCAGCCGGGCGAGAATCGGCAAGTGGCGCCAGCTCAGAAATGGCGGAGTCAGATTTGAGCATCAGTGACGTGGAGGATGTCCTGGAATTGGCGCCTGATCTGGACGTGCCCGTTGTGGTGGTCCCAGCACATAAGCACAGCATGCCGGCAGCAGCAGAGCCTCCCCCTTCAGGCAGAGATAGGACTTGGACTGACTCTGCTTCCAAACCAGAGCCAGTATCCAAAAATCCTGACCTGCCACAGCAGCAGCAGGGAGTCTCAGAGGCGCCAGCATCCCCATATGCCCCATCAATACAGCCTCCAGAGAGAAAGGCCCAGCATTCACTGCCAGCTATCACCAGCCAACAGCAGCAGGAAGACGAGCTCGTGCAGCATAGCGCATCTGAAGCAGATTCCAGCAGCAGGGACATAGCGCAGCTGCAAGAAGAGAATGAGGGGCCAGATGCAGCGCAAGTTGAGAGCGCGCGTACACCGCAGGCTGCGCTTGAGGCAGACACTACGCCCAGGGGAATTTCACCCTTTGCAGCACATGCCACCAGAACAGACGACGGTGCAGCCTCCCTGGGTGCATCACCCACAGCCGCTGTGGCAGCAGAGAGTCAGCACTGGCAGAAGGCCGCGTATGAGAATATTGCCGCTCCGGAGGGGAATGCACCAATGGGTGCACAGAGTGCCAGGACAGGCGCAAGTGCGATCGCGCCGACGGCCGTGTCGGCGGCCGCGCCAGCTGCCGCGGCCGGTGCGCTGGCGGGCACTGATGTAAGCGAGGCCGGCAGCCTTTGGGCAACACAGGTGGGACAGTGATAAAGGCAAAGCTTGCTATTGAGATCAAATGCATCTTCTCATGCATCATGTATCCTTGTATCATGCAACGCTTGCTGTTGAGATCAAATGCATAGCATCACGCATCATGCATCCTTGCATTCTGAGACATGACCGCAGAGGAAGCCCTGCACAGCACCTGCCAGAAAATCTCAAGGATTTTTTGCCGCTGCTGCAGGAGGCGGGCAGTGTGAGAAGCGCAGCTGCGTCAGAGGAGAGCTTTGTCGGAGACGCGCTCGCGCAAGCAGAGGCGCTGGAACGAGACCTGGTGACAGGTGAGCAACCTGTCATGTTCACGCTGCACACATCATAGAGCACAAGCATCACTGCTTGCTTACTTTGCAATGTCTGTGCGTGAAATTGTGCTTTTCAAAGATTTTTGCAAGGTCCACAGAGCACATATTAATGCGTTGGCTGCCCCCTTCCTTTGAGATGCTCCATTGATAGCCAGCTAGAGGGCGCTTTGGAAGGATACCTAAACATGCGAAGATCAAGCCTCATGGCAAAAGTGCTTATCGTTTTGCAGGTGCCGGAGCGTCGGGCCAGGAAGAACCTCTGGGAGCGCCATTGCTGAACCTCAGGTACGGACAATACACAATGCATGGTCAGCCAGATGGAACGTTTGCTGCATGCTCGCTGCACCCCGGTGCTTACATTAAAGCTCTCCCAGAATGCCTGTGCGGGAAACTTTGTTTCTTTGTTCTTTGTTTTCAGCCATCCCCAGCATGCAGTGGACGGAGTGTTTCTAAGCAAAATGTAAAGCAAAAGAGAACACATCATATGCGCAGGCGGCGGCTGGCGCGCTCGGGGAACGACTGGCCGGCGGCCGGCGCGGCCGGCCCACGCGGCAGCACCGTTGGCGGCTCGCTGTGTGCGCGCATAGACGCACTCCCGGCCCTGACGCAGGCGCGCGCCTCTCCATTGCTCCCTTCCTGAAGGCGGATGAATTATGCGATGTTAACCCCGCAGCAGTAGCCAGGCTCTTCCTACCACAGGTTCAATCGTGTGTGGTATAATCAAAACGCGCATATGCAGATTATACACAGCCCTTGAATGGCTTCGTGAGGCAAGCTTGTTCCTGTCTCGGAACATGCTTATAATTGTGTTGCCCATTACATGGACTGGTTCAGGAATGACCTCAGATCGCTGCAAGGGCTGGGCAAATGGCACACAGCAACCCGCAATTTTGCACCTCACCTGTGAGTTGATACAGTACGGGGTGCATGTGGCAGGCAGCGACGAACTACCGGATGTTTGGCGCGCCGCGCGCAATCGGTTGCTTCCACGGCGTGGTGGCCCTGGGCATGTCCAGCGGTGAGGTTCATTCCTGTTCAATTTGGGCTTTGTATCTGTTAAGGTATCTGGTATGTCATAGGGACTGCAGGCAGCCCTTTCTAGCTAGCACTTGCACTGCCTTGTATGTCTGGCATTCTCTCTCCTGTTGAAATTGTGCGTGGTAAACTAAACTAGACTGACGGGTACTTTTGAATGTTCTTGCCTGTGCAGGTGTCACCTTTGTGCTTCTGCCGCGCGGCCTGTCTACCGACGCCGGCACTGATGCCGGGCCCAAGGTGCGCTCTGCTGCGACCAATGCAGTGACCCTCGAAGAGCAAATCAGTGCATCATTTTCCCAGCTCAGAGTTGCCAGAGTTGCCGCCAAGTCTCCATGGCCTGGCTGCAGTAGTATGGTGCATTCCGGCACCGCTTGCCCTGCTTCTAATAGAACTGAGAGAGCCTTTCTTCATCTCCCTCATTGCTTATGGCTATTCGCTCTGTGCTATTTGATGCAGCACAAGGTAAGCACCATCATTATTCGCTCTGTGCTATTTGATGCAGCACAAGGTAAGCACCATCATGCATGCTCACGTAGAAGCTGACCTGCACAGCAACTGAGCTGCTTTTCTCAGGTGATGAAGCTGGGCGAGCCGCGGCCGGGGGATGGAGCGGAGGTCAGCGCGCTCGGCTTCAGCCCCGCTGGAAATCTGCTGGGAGTGGGCCATGCCAACGGCGATGTGGCCTTCTGGGAGCTCAGGCGCAGCGGCTGGGAGTGCGTCAAGACCGTCAAGGGTGTGACTTTCTGGTTTTTTATGTAGAACAATCAAGCTTGCGCAGAGACGAGTAAAAGCATATGAGAGATGTGCTATTAATACCGCAATGTGCAGCACATGCATATGACAACATGCACATGCACATGCCCACCCACTACAGATCTGCAGATTTTATCATGCTCAGGGCCGTGTGAGTATAATAGCATGGAAGCAGCACGAGATGTATTGGCAGCCATTATCTCACCAATGGCTTCAATGCTACTACATTTATAGACATTAAACACCTGGGCCGGTTGTTTTTCTTATATTAGGCTCATCGCTGTGATGCATGTGCAGAGGCGCACGTGACGGCAGTTGTGGGGTGCGCGTTCCTGGAGGGAGGGAACGCGGCAGAACGCGCGGTGGCGCTCACCTCCGACAGCCGTGGCCGCCTCGTGCACCACAACGTGTCAGCCTACGCATCCATCACCAACTTCCTCGCAGGTGCGTGCCCTCTCCCATACTCGGCAGACTGGCTTCATGATTCTCCTGCACCAGCTCACTTGGTTGCCATGCAAATTCTCTGTAGAGTTGGGCAATTCAGGAAGACTTGATAAACCCCGGAGAGAACAACGAATTAGCTGGCAGGTAGAGCGACAGCATGCATGAGTTTTTCTGGGTTCTTTGGTGGCAACGCACGTCAAGAGGGGAGTGTCATCAACTTGCAGGGCAATACCATGAATCATTTATTTTTATTATTATTATTACACGCTTTTCCTGCCGAAGGCAAGGTGCGTCTGCAGACAAGCTGCATGTGAAGGCTGCTTGATTAACCCTTGTTGGACATGCCAGAGTCAAGCAAGACCCAATCAACCGTGGGCATGGTGCTCAGTATTTGTACCGCCCCCCGCCAGCCGGGGCCAACTACATAAAATCGGCATGCTATAAATCTGGTATCTACCAAAGGTTAAGTAAGATCATATCAATCCGCAGGACGCCTGTCTAAGGGTACGCAACCGACGTTGGTGCTGGACGGGCGGCAGCTGGGGCCCATCTGCCGCATCTCCGCTCTGCCGCTGCCGCGCGCACCGCCACACCGGCTGGCCAGCCCCGACGACGCCGCACGTTCCCTCTTCTTCCAGGTCATTGTCTCCATTCTCCCTTCCTTACACGATCACTGTGGGTGCCAAGTTCATATGATTATATCCCGTTGCAAGGGGTGTATGTTGCCGCCAAATCGGGTACCAGGCGCTTGCATGTCCGATGAGGCTCGGCCCACTTATCCACCAGGTCCTGAGGGACTCATTTTGGCTCACAAATCCTTCCTAAATAAAGGCTATAGGGATTCACTTTGGCTCAATCGGCCCTTCTTGGTCGAGGCCGTCAAGATTGTCGGCCCTGTGCACCCAGGCTCATCATGACAGGGCTCTCTGGTAAATTCAGGCTGGCTCTTGTGCTGGATTGTAAGAGGTGTTCTCGATGTTTGCAGGATGGTGCAAGTCCGTTGGATGGTATGGTGCTGCTGTGCACTGCGCGGGCAGCCTACGTGGCGCGCATGCTGCCGGACGCCCGCCTCAACATCCTGCACAATATCCCCCGGCCCCCCAACGCCCCACAGGCAAGCTGCTTTTGTATGATCTCCCCTTATCACTCTCAGCCTGCCGGCATGTGTGCCAGCTTGTCGATGCACAGACAGAAGCTGCATGGTTACATACTGTGAAGACGCCAGGCGTGAAGGCTGAAACCCCTGCTGTCAGTCCAGATGTGTGCACAATTTTTTGAGCCTCCTGTCAATCCCTGTGCATGGTACTGGACTTGCTTCACTGAAATGAGGTGCTGCATTTGCCCTTGGAGTGCATCATTGTATGAGAACTTGCTGCGCTGTCTCTGCAGGGCTGCTTGCCGCACGCTGCCTGGCGGGTGAGCACTGCGCCGCTGGCCGGCCGGGCTATTGGCGCTGTGCTGGCGGCTGCATGGGGCTCGCGAGTGCTGCTGCTGGATGTTCCTCTTGCCAGACAGCCAGCTGATGGCACAACACCAGGTCTACCTTCCGAATCGTTCAGCCTTGAAAACTACCAACACAAGATGTTTCTGGTCACTTTCAGCTGCAGTCTTGTCTAGCATGCACTGCTGCGTGTGATAGATGCAGTCATCGCGTGCTCAGGTGCAGGTTTTCAACCGTCAAGGAATCCCATGCCACAGCTTGCATCATTGAGGACTTAGCAGCAGTGCATGCGTAGGGATGAATCCTTGTAGCACAGTCGTACAGCTAGATACCTGACTTCTGCCATGATCAATTTTTTCATAGGTTCCAATGAGATGCAAGCAGTCTTTGAGTGCTACTTTCAGCATTAATGCTTTGAGTGTGCTCATTATCATTATTATTACTATTATTATTATTATTATCACAACACGCTCTTCCTGCCGGAGGCTGAGGTGCGTCTGCAGAGTGCGTCGTGCTCAGTTAAAAAAATTGCAAAGCAGCAGTGCTAAAATGTTTCCCCCTCGTCCCACAGGGGGTCAGGGTGAGACCGAGGAACCGGCAGCGCCGCTGCCAGTGAGCATGAGTCAGAGCTGGGAGGCGGAGCATCCAGTCATCGGCCTGGCCTGGCTGGAGGGGCCTGTTCTGGCGCTGCTGCTGGAGCATGGGTTGCGCACGCTGCTGCACCTGTACAACCAGCAGGGTGGGGGCAGCGTTCATACTGTGCTTCCAACTTGCATGCATGCATCGTCTATCTGCTTCACTGGGTTTTCCCCTCCTTTCTGTTCATTTCACTCATTTTTTTGTTCCTGCATTACCTGCTTGTCTGTAGTCTGCTCAATTCTTGGTCATTTTGCCCTGTCCATTGCTGGTCATGCCCCTGGACCCCTTAGCAACTTTGGGAGGAAATAAAAGTTGAAAGATGTGTCCTTCCACCGGAAGGACCGACAGGTTAGCTGGACACAGTCGTGCTGTTTGCAAACTTTGTCAGGCATGCTGCGATTGCAGCAGCAATGCAAAATGATTCCAGCCTCTTTCCCTGAACAACCTTTTCAGCCTCACATCGATCATGGTTGGGGCATGCAGGGACGCAGATATTGGAGCGGTTGGACCTGGATGACTCGCTAATTGGTCACCAGCACATGGCAGCCAACCCAGACGCCCCCGACACAGCATTCCACTCCGCGCTGGCTGCCTCTCCCGAGCGAATGGTCCTGCTCACCACGCAAGGTAACCCGGCCTCTTTGTAAGTTTTCAGATTCACTCCCTCGCACCTAGGAGTGTGTGTGCTTAACAAGCCCCGATGCACCTGCGCCTTTGTGGTCAGCAGCAACTGCCAAGCAACAGCCTTGGCTTGGCAGTTGCTGCTGACCACAAAGGCGCCACGGGCACTCGGTTGAGAAGTTTTCTTTGCACCCTTGCCCTGAAACATTTCATTGGTATATTTGGGCCCTGTTTGACCTCATGTGCTTGGAGACTGCGCCCTTATAGGACACACTGTAGCTTTTTGGTATATTGGTGAGTGAGTGTGAGTCAAATGTTGAGGTTGGTGGGCATGACCGAGGTCAAAATAGTTCCGTGTCCAAAGTTGCCTCTGTTCCAAGAGAGCAGGGCTCTTGCTTGAGGATCAATGCTGTCACATGAGTTTTGAATGTTGCATGCGCGCTGCTAAGTGTGCGTGGTCTCCGGTTGAGTCAGACCTGCTTCCCGAGGTTTGTGTGGAATTGCCGGAGCAACAATGTGGTGTTGTCACTGTTGCCGATAAGCCGTTGAGGTAGTGGCAACATTATACCCTGTGCCCATCCATGGAAAGGGTCAATGTTGACTTGACAGTCAACCGCCCAACTGCAGCAGTGTCCATCTTTTGCACTGCTGGTTGACCATCTGAAGGCAGCTCAAGTTCCCACATCACAATAATGTGCAGAGTTGCACGAGTAGCTTCTTCAAAAGAGCAAAAGCAGGGTCTGCTATTTCGAGCTCACCACACATGCAGTCCTTTAGGCAGACATTGCCATCCTTTGGAGCAGAACAATTCTCTTGAACATCGTGGCTGCGGTAATGATTTTGGCCATGCACCGCAGCAAGGCTGCATGCCGCAATGTGCACGGAGGCGGTGCATGATGCCGGCATGTGCGCGCAGGTGCCAGGGGTGCGCGAGTCATGGGGTGGCAGGAGCGGCTGGCAGTGCTGAGGGACATGGGCCGCTGGGAGCAGGCCCTGCTGCTGGCACTCACCCTGCTGGAAACCGCACAGGTGGGGCTTTTTGTCGTATATTCGGTGGTCATAGTATTACGGTTTGGGGTTTAAGGTGCACCCCACAATGTAGAAGTCAATTCTTTAAAAAATTGGGGCAAGAAAAAGAACATTTTAGAGTGCAGAGTGAGAGTATGTGAGCCGAATGAAGGACGGGCAGCAGCTTGCAAACTGAGACCCTTGGAGTTGTCTTGGGGCAATCCGCTGGCAGTCAGGAGGTTGCTGCTTCATTCCCTAGCAGCACATGAAGCAGCAGCTTTGACGGCCAGCGTATTTTCTTCTGAAGACTCCTGGGCTCTCAGGTTCCAAAGACAACCTCCACACTACTGATTTTAAGGTGCAGCCATGCCTTACCTTAGAAGATCATTGCCGATGTGGGGTGTGATTTGCATGCAGGGCACTGCGGCCAGAACAGGCGACGCCAAAACAGGACGCGGGGATGTTTTGCTGCGAGGCTCCGGCCGGGGAGCCGACCCCAACGCCGTCAAAGAGGCGCTCTGGGTACTCCTGCTGTCCTACCTGGACGCCTGCCTGCCAGGTCAGCAACCCTACCATTCAGTGCTCCCTGTCTGTCCCTCACAACCCTACCCCTACCATGCAAGGCATGTAATAAGGGGCTTGGAACAGATGCATCTAGCGAGCCGAGCAGCTTTCAGTGATTGTGTGCTTATTTCTGGGTCCTGGGGGCTGTCCTGTTCTTGGCGTCAAGGTTTCTATTAGCTGCAGTGCTAAGTTCCCGCCTGGATTGGGACTTGCACTGTACCTTGTCGCTCTTGTACCTCTTGCTGCGCAAACAGTCCGAACAGTCTCAAACCCGCAACAAAGAAACATTGCTGCACCTGCGCCCCTCCTCAGCTATGTGATTGTGGCACCTTGGCATCTCTGCAAATATTCTCAAGCAAGAAGAGGCAACGCAGCTGAACATACGCTTGGTAGGCGGCAGCAAATTCTCAGCAATGCCATGCGTACAGGGCCGATATTGGAGTCCTGACACACCTCAATCGTCCCAATCGTCGCAATTAGTAAATACGTTTGCAAGATGCAAGAGGGTAATGTCACCGCGCGTGCGTTTGCGCAGGCGGCAGCGAAGCCGGTGTCGGCCGAGCGGCGGAGACGGCGATCGATGTTTGCCTGGGGCTGGAAAGGGAACGCCTGCTCTGGAGCGACGTGGTCCCCCGATTTGCCCAGCAAGGCGGGGCGCGCGGGCAGCTTCTGGAGCGGCTTCTGCCCAGGATCATGGCCGGGCAGCTGCACGCGCTCGCGCCAGAGGTCATGCAGGTCAGTGAATGACTCACCTGTTTATCACTACTCGTCTGCCCAATACTGAGGAGGTCCTTGCCAATGTCAGGGCGACAGGATGGTGCTTGCCCAAATTGACATTGTGAAATAGGAATAAGCATTGGGAGGTGATGTTGAGTCCTTGTATGAACGTTAGCATAGATTAAGAGAAGTGTTCAACTGCCAGTGCCCGCATGCAGGCCATTTCTAGATTGACTTGTAATTTTCTTGCATGTATACAATACGCCACAGATTCTCCATGTGAGGGCCATACCTGTGATGTTTTTAATGGCGTGATCCTGGCCTTTCTGCATCTGTATGCAGCTGTGCGTCTGTATCAAAGAAAGTTTCCGCATGAAAATCAGCTTCACAAAAGGCTGTCACCAATTTGGCACTGGCGAACGGGAAGGTCTATTTGTCCACGACCGGGAGTTCCTGCACTTTGCCACATCGATCTGGTGCCCGCCGGGGCTGAACTGATCATCATATCTCCACTTAAAGATTTGCCCTGGGAGATGAGACAAAAAGCCATCAGCTTAGTCAACAATTGTGATTGATTCTTTGGGGCTTGGCTGTTCAGGCGCTGGTGGAGCAGTGTGCGGCTGGCGGCAAGGCATCGGCCGTGGAGCGCTGCGTCCTGCGACTGGACTTGGCCTCCCTGGACTTTAACCAGGCACGCTGTCTATCTTCACTAATTATCAGGACCCGTCTTTTACTTGAAAAATCAAAATGTTGCCCAGTGGTAGATGCAGAGATTCCCAGTTGCGTTGACCTTCTATCTGTGCGCACATTGAGCCGCCATGCGTCCCCAAATGCAAGTTTGCATGTGCAATTAGAGTGGGCAACCAGGTTGTGCTGCAGGCTACTCTTTCAATTGCACATCTATTTGATATACCCTTCGAAAATGCGTTGGAAGGCCGCCATGCTGCACAACTTGGCTCTAGCCGAAAGTGGCACTCGTCAATGAAACTCACAATGCTTCCTTAGATCCTGCTTGTCAACGCCGCGTGACACCACAGGGTCCGCCTTGCCACAGATGAATCCCTGTGTCCTCAAGATCACCTCCGATTGTCATGACCTCATGCACACATCCCGCCCTTTAGGCATTGCTCAATATCTTGACCCTGTCAACAATTTTGCCATACCCGATGACGCAGGTGACGCGGCTTTGCCGCGCGCACCGGCTGCATTCGGCGCTGGCGTTCCTTTTCAACCGCGCGCTGGCCGACTACACAGCGCCGGCGGCCGAGCTGCTGCTGGCGCACGTGCACGCGCGGCGCGAGTCATCCGATGACTCCCCCGCTGACTCACCCGCCGCCGGCTGGAGCGCCTGCCGCGCCAACGGCTACAAGCTGCTCGTATACCTGCACTGCTGCCTCGCCGGCCGCGCGTTTCCTCCCGGTGAGGCATCCTTTGCGTTTGTCCCCTGCCCGCAGGGATTTCTATCTCCTAAAGAACAGCTAGATCTTGTTGACTAGTAAGCAGTGTGTTCACCCTGGAACACATGGCTTCTCATCTTGCTGCAAGGAATATTGATATTGATCACAACTGACTGTAGAGGCGTGAACGCATGCGTTCCCTGTCTCGGTATATGCTTGTCATGTCAAAGATCTTTCAAGCTTGTTAAATTGCCATGAAGCTTGTGGTTCCGATTCAATTTTGTGAGTCCGACTCGGTGCTGCGCCCTAGAGTACCTACATTTCTGCTATTATTAGCTGATCATTCCATTCTCACCATGCAGGCATGGGAGATATACCGGCCGAGATGCGCGCAAGTGTGAAGGAGCAGCTCCTGGCGTTTCTGCTGTATTCCACGCTGGGTTCGCTGCAGCAGCTGGCGGCCGCGTTCGGAGGCGATGCTGAGGATGATTACGGCGCCGAGGAACCCGCCGAGCAGCTGCTGCCGGGGCCGCACGCCGCGCTGCGCTGCCTGTTCTGGCTCGATGCAGGTATGAAAGATATGCTGGGAATTCTAGGCTTTACAGCACCATCCTGTTACACTATGAAGAAGAGGGTGTCGTGAACATGACCTGCATGTAGGACACAAGATTACAACACTCATGAACTCATGAGCCGCTGAGGCAGAGACAGGCGAAAGGAAGCTCTGAGACAGGATGGGCGCTGGAGAGGCCTGAATAGGCCTTTTTACGTCGCAGTTTGCTCCAACCTACTAAGTGAAGGGCATATCTGTTGCCATGAAAGGACCGCGGTCGCTGAGTATTTCTTCTGGTGCCGCAGGAGCGGTGCTGAGGATACTGCGGCGGGCGCTGGAGGGATGGGACGCTCTGGAGACAGACCTGGCAGAGGCGGCCGGCACCGGCATGGCGCTGCCGGCAAACGCGCGGTCCGGCAGCCGCTCGGCCACGCAGGCCATCGTGGACGCCCTCGTAGACATCGTCGGCGCCAGATCAGGCGACGGCGCCAAAACAGGCGACGGCGCCAAATCAAGGCAGGATCATGACTCCACACAGATGGATGAAGGTGAGCTGTGTCACTGCTATTGGCCACCACGCGCATGTGAGAAATTTTCCTGTTATTAGATTTTTGCTGGAGGGTTTTGTCGCCAAAGGTCAGGGCAGCGTTTTCATGGACTTTGTTCTACCTTCCCAGGATAGCTTTCAGAGGGTGTCATTTGACAAAGATTGACGTACTTTGTGAAAATGAGACAGTGTAATCCTGTAATTGATGACTTCAATCACACAATGAATGGGCTCAAGATGTCATTTGTGCATGCAGGCACGTCCCTGGCGCTGGACTTTGTCGCGGAGTTTGTTGTGGCCGGCCGCGCCGCAATCGATCCGGAGGTCGCAGTGCGAGTGCTGCAGCATCTGGCGACGCCAGATCAGGCCGCTGAGATCACTGGGCCCCCCGGGTCCCCCATGCCGGAGGGGAGGGGACCCCCCAGCGGTGGCGGCGAGCGGGAGGACCGCTTCGTAGCGGTGCTGATGAATAGCGGGCTGGCGACGGGGGCCGCCGTGCCAGACTGGGTGACTCGGGACATCCTGCAGCTCGCCAAGCGCGCTGGATTCCTGCAGGCCGAGGCGCAGGTATGCACGTAAATTAAATCACAGTATGTGGATGCCTGTGTGTATTCTCAATATTTGGTATGTGCTGCTGCTGGCCTACATCCAGGTGGGGTAAGAGCGGCAGCCAAAGGCACTTTTAGTGCTCTGGGTGTACGCTTGCTGGCAGCGTGTATCCGAACGATTCCTCATAGTGCCACATCTGCGTGGAAGTGTCCTCTCAGAAGGGCAATGTTCCCCGTCCTGCTGGAAGCTTTCCTGTGTAAAGTTCCCAGCAGGACTGTGGGTCACTGGCCTTCTGAGAACACGTTTCAATGATCGCTCGCCTGTTGCAGACATATATCCACTCCTTGCCTAAAAGTGTGCAGGGAAACTGGACCTCACTTGCGTTCTGAACACCACTTCCACCGGTGCTCCCTTTGCGCAGATAAGCAAAAGACAACAACAAGGCATTCTGAAGTATCACGTTGACCCGCAGGTGCACCATTTGGCGGGTGACTATGGCGCGGCCCTGGGTTGCCTGCTGCAGCCGGGGCGCGGCGGCGGCGCAGCCGCCGCCGCCTTCGCCTACGTGACGGCGGCGCTCGGCGGGGGGCGCGCGGCGGCGCGGGTCCCCCCAGCGAGGGTACCGGCGTTACGGGCCGCCGCGCTGACCGCCATGCCGCGATTCGTCGAGGCCGACAGCGGCGCGGCGGCGCGGCTGGTGCTGAAGGAGTTTCCGGGGGACCATGGTGCGGTGGTGGAGAGCTTGGGGGCGTCGCCGGCGTTGCAGTACCGGTACCTGAAGGGCGCCATGGAGGTGTGGGCGGTTCTAGTGTCTTCGATGATGCGCAATAATCCATTCGAATATGCGTCGCTGTTGTCATAGTTGCATGCTTGTGCTTCCTATGTTCTGCAGCACAGCTTGAGGATCCCAGCAATGCCTGTCAAAGTTGGGGCATATGTCGGGTGCCGTGCCAGTTGTGCAGCACGCAAGGGGATCACATGCGCGAAGACCACGATACCTGCGGGGCATGGATCAGGGCACTGCCTCTAAATCCATAGGAATTTCAGGGATTCTAGACGGCATTGATGATATAAGCTCTCAGTGACACTTCAGTACATATGGACGGCACTCCTTGCTTTGATCATTGACAGGCCTCCAGAGCTCATCTTGAAGGCAGGCCTGTAATGCGGCCGATCCGCCGTGACACAATGAGCAATGACCCTTCAGATGACTTTTGCCGCCTCCGCAGGCGACGGCTGAGCAGTTTGCGGCGACCTTTGACAGCCCGACGCGTGCAACAGCCGAGGTGGCAGCCGCAACGGCGCAGGAGGCATTACTGGTGCAGGTGATCTGGTTTTCTTTCCTGTGTCTGGCGACACTTGGTAATAGCTGCATGTTACAAGTCATCGAGTGCAGTATGGAGGGCAGGTCTTGTACACAGATCACAGTCACACAATTCCGTCAAAGATCAAGCCCAGTGCATATGCAAGCATAACCCGACACGAGACGCAAAGCGACAAATGAATGAACACGAGACTGTTCTCAAGCACCCCTGCTTTGTATGTCATGTATGAGAGTGATTCCCCACTCAAGAGAGTTGTCTGGGGGCTAAGAGTCCACAAATGGCGATATGCCTTGCTGAGTGAAATTCTGGTGCAGGCTGGGGCCGGGGAGCTGTATGCGCGGCTGCTGTGCGAGTTCGAGCCGGCGGCCACTCTGTCCTTTCTGCAAGCACACGACTCGTATCGCGTTGAGGAAGTCCTGCCGCACACGCAGCGGTTCGGGGTGGAGGATGCGCAGGTGCGCGCTTCTTTTTATTCCCCCGCTGGGAATGTATTTGGGGACTGTGGCTAGGGTTTTACGGGCAGTGACTACCTCGTTTTTTTGCAACGGAGATTCTTGGCAAGTGATTTGACGGGCTGGTTTGCCAGGCTGGTATCTCAATGTTTCATGGCTTTGATGAGGGGTTTACATGGGTGTGGGAAGCTGGTGCTTGTTGTGGTTCTGGCAATTGATAGTGTAGGAGCGGCCACTAGGTCCCCGTGCCCAAACTCCTTGGGCACTTATACTGTCAACTGCCAGGAGAGCAACAAATTCCATCTTATTTCCCTGCTATGTCGGAGTGTTTTTGGTCAAGTTGCTGATATAAATACTTCCTTTCACCTGAGCTCAAGGCTATAATCTGCTAGATATCAATTGGCCAAACGCTGGTGCTCCTGTGCAACACTACAATATCTACCTGCAGATAATCTGCATGTCGTGTGCGCCTAGATGGGCTCTTGCCTATTGCTGTCCGTGAACCCAAGAAGCAGATTCAAGAGGATCTCAAATTCAAATCTGAGGCGCATGCTTTTCCCGGTCTGCACAGGCGTACCTGCTGGAGCGCCTGGGTGACATGCAGGCGGCGCTGGGAATCTTTTGCGCCGCAGCCGAGCGCACCAACACGGCTTTAGTCGCGCGCATCCTTGACGGTTCCGTGCCGGCCGGTGCTTTGCCCGCGCCCGCGCAGGGCCGCCTCAACCGCGCAGGTGATATCCTTTACGGACGCCCCTCCCATTTGATTCGCACACTGAGGCAATGGCAGACAGTAGTGGTCAGCCAGCTGCATCAGAAAAATACTCCTTCTCTGGTCAATTGTATGCTCAGCGGCTCGGTGCCATCCGGTGCTTTGCCCGCGCGCGCGCAGGTACGGTGCCTGACGGACGCCCTGCTTCTAAAACCAGTCTGACCTCTGTCTCTATGTGTGTGAGAAGGAATGTCGTTGGGTAACACGACCTGCCAAAATAGCTGCCAAAGAGTCATCACGGCAGTGTTGTTGGGTATCTAGGTACCCTGCCTGACATGCAGAAACAGGGTGCGGCTTACCGCACAATGGCAATGATGGGCATGCTAATGGGAAGAACAGAAAAACCAGCAGTGCATTCAGATCTCTCTTGTATGCCCAAGCGCAGCATATGTTCTATGGCATTGCCGTATTACGCAGGCTCTGACATCCAATCCTGTGCCGCATCTTTTATCGAAGAATGCACCCCGCTTGAGTTTTCTGTATGTTTGCCTGTGAGCAGCATCTGGAGGGCACGCCGTAGCGCAGGAGACCACTCCACTGGCGCGGCTATTTGCGCATGGGACCGCCGAGAACCGCGCGCACAAGCGCGAGCCGGCCGGCGAATCGAGCGTGCCGGAGCTGGCGGCTGCACAGGTGACTGCACCCGTATGTGTTACTGCCAGAACATTCCTCTCAAGGGGCAGTCCACTTCAGAGAATGGGCTACAATATCAGAAATGATGACACAACTGCTCAGAATGCTTGAGCCTCAGAACTACTTTGTTTGTTCGGCCGAGGGCGGAAAGTCTACTATCTTTTGTGGGTTGGTTTCAGTGCATCTCACCGCCAACTCAACCCAGGGCTTGTAGGTTTGGTGTATGCATGTTCTGACTCAATCAATGATCTGACGTTGCTGAGTGGGATGCCCTCTTCTTGTCATTTCTGTCTTCCTGACAGACATGTGCAATCTTGTGTGGCACAACATGCGGCCCCCTGCAGGGCATTTTACACAGGCTGCTTGCCTACTGGAATACATATCCTTCCCTAATGGAGGATGTGAAGTGCAGCCTCTTAGTACGCCTTAGTGCGGTGTTAGGCCGCGCTGAAGCGCGCGGTGGTTCTGCACACTCAAAAATGCATGCTGCACAGATCTGTCCTTGATCCTGAGGGACCCTCATGTCACGAAAACATTTGGTTGAGAGGGACGGAGGCTGTATTGCATCGCAGGCTGCTCTGAAGGGTACAGTGAAGCTTGGTTGCAGACTTTCCCGGCCTCCTGTGAGAAGGGTCATGCCAATTTCAAATCACTTATTCGTTTTCTCATTTTCATTCAATTCAATTATACTATTACATTTATATTCGTGGCCCCGGCTGGCGGGTGGCGGTACAAATACTGAGCACCGCGCCCACGGTTGATTGTGTCTTGCTTGGATCTGGCGGGTCCAACAAGGGGTAGGAAATTAGCAGCCTTTACATGCAGCTTGTCTGCAGACGCACCTTGCCTTCGGCAGGAAAGGCGTCTAATAATAATAATAATAATTTATATTCATGCAGTCTGCATGCATCGCAGGCTGCGCTGAAGGGCGCTGTGGCGCTTTGCAAGAGGCACTCGCGGGATGCGGCTCCTCAAGTCGCGGAGGAGCTGTGGTTCGGAGTGCTGCAGAGTTATGTCACCCAGCTGCGCGATGTGCGCCGGAGGCAACGCGCCGCAGACGCGCCGCCAGCCGCCGATGTGGGGGACCTGCACAGGGAACGCCTGCTACTGGCGCAGGTGGGTTGCATCAGAAGATACTCAGGGGGATAGCTTTGGTGTCGTTGCCAGCAGAGTAGAGCTGTGTTTTGATAAGCGGGCTGTAAGATGTTTTGTGCACTCTTGCTCTGTTCTGCTGGCAACTAGTCGTGCTCCAGATGGTGCATGCATATCTAGGCATGGCTGATCTGCCAAGGACCTCCTTTCTATTCACCATTGAATTGTGCAATCAGTTTTCAAGCAAATTTGTAGGTGTTGAATGGGCAGATCGCAGTCAACAGATCCAGTGTGGTACTTTCCACTCAAATGCCTCTGAACCTGATGCCTGTCGAACCACTCTCATGTCTGAGCATTCCTACACTAACTGCTGCTTGCGCAGAGGGCGCCGTCAATAGAAAAGATATCACACTGACGTGCGAGCCTGACACATGCTGGGCATAATATCTTAACATACTAGTGATGCTGTTCTTGGGAACCCTGCGCAATCAATCCTTGAGGAAATGAGGCAAACCTGTATATGCTGGGCTTTGCCACGGGGCAGGTTGCACAACTCACCAGTGTGCTGCATATCTCTTGAGGCATGCAGTAGCTTTCTCAAAGGAGGTGCACCTGACAGTATTGGGCAGACAGTATTGTGCAGCGAGGATGTAATAGCGTCATGTCTCAAAGTATCATGTGAAATGCTACAGTCACCCGAAGCGCAGGGTCGCCTTCGGGTGACTGTATCTGGGGGTATGATGTCTGTTGTCCTCAGTACAGCAGGGTCTAAGGACTCTGCTTAGCATGATTACCTATGCATCAAGCTGAAGTTGGGGTTGTTTTGGTGCAGGAGACGGTGACTGCGCTGATGGAGGATGTGATAGCGCACATGGCGGGCTACGTGCCTCTCAAGGCCATCGCCGAACGCATCCTGGCCGCCTACGCGCGCGACCCCTTCGGCGACTTCAAGGTGCCCACCCTTCTTCGAGTGCCAAACTCTTTTCCAACAAGTTTAAATTCTGCGCACACCACGAAGTCTTGAGGTGTTCAAGCGGACAGCGGTCAATTACTTCCAGTTCTGCAAAGTACTGCAGACTTGCCACACGCATTCACAGATGCCCGCAGGCAATTTGTTGAGGCGGCCCTAGAAAGACCCATGAAGGTATCTTTGATATGTGCAAGGGCCGGCGCTTTCTCGGAGCTGAGCTTGCATGAGTGCATGCAAATTGTCCCACGTGCAAACTGTATGTCTGCACCGCATGTGCAGGAGGCAGGCAGGTCTAGGCAAGCCCTTAAATGTGAGGGGCGCAGGGATATCAGGGTGCAGCGTTGCATTCAAGAATGCATCCGGGGCTTGCTGCCTGCATGTGGTACCTGGGTCGCTTTTTAGGTTGTGCGCCAGGATTTTTGGCTGTTCCATCCCTTGGCGATGGAGTTTGTATACAGTACGTTAAATCCGCCCGGAGGCCACTTACCCGGTAACATAGCTCAAGACAAGCTTCCATGTGGATTCAATGTGTGCACACTCTGGCGCCAACAAGATGCCACCCACACGCTCGTATTCGTGCTGAAAGCCTCCTTTATTTCGAAAGCTTCCTTCTTCACATCTTATGAGCATCCTTGTGATGTGGGCGATGCTGGGCACGCATCTGGGCCTCTTCATTCCTGCTTTGTTTACAGAGGGTAAACCATCGGTCATGTAGACCATGGAAAGACAACCTTGACCGCTGCCATTACAATGGCATTAGCCTCGCAAGGTGGTGGGAAGGGGCGGAAGTACGATGACATTGACTGCTCAGTGCATAATTGTGAAGGGGCTGTGTGGGTGCATGCAGGGCACGCTGGTGGGCCTGCTGGCGGCGTTCAGCTACGAGCTGAGCATCCTGCACGCGGCCGCTCGGCTGACGCACGCCGACGCCTTCAGGACACTCCACGCCCTCTACCGCGAACGCACCCACCCCCTCCCCGCGCCAACCGCTGTACCCTCAACCTCTGCAGACGGTGCGCTCGGCTGCAATCTTCAACATTGGACTTCATGGATGTAAATATTATTTTTTGAGATGTTTTAGGGTTTAGAACTCTAGGGTCACTGTTAGGGTATATTAAGGGTTAGGGGATATGTATGGTATTGGGGGTTGTTTGGGAGGCTGATGGGGCAGGCGCAATCATTAGCTCCTCCGCGCCAGTCACCAGGCCATCCTCTGCTGGTGATGGTGCGCTGTGCTTTGGATTGGGTTCGCAGGTGTTCAGGGTCTCGTGTGTGATCAGGCCATCAGCGGTGTGAGACACGCGTTCTCATATTATCTAGGGATTAGCGCTATGTCTGCTTTGCTGCTGGATACCTAGCAAGTTTGAAGTTGATCCCCGATGATTCCCGCTCAATAAGTGCGGGGTTCATAAGCTGCCTGTCGATGCCGGGCTTGAGAAGTGCCATTGAGAAGTGCCAGTGTCCGCTGAGGAAGCAGTGGCCGCGCTGCATTTTACCTACAAACACCACAAGTTTCCTTGGTCTATGGACAATCAGTAAACGCCCTTCAATTGCCGTTCTGTCAGAATCTGCAGCTCCTAGGAGTGTCCAGATTTGTTTCTGAATCGATTTCTCACCTGTGCAGGTGTAGAGGAGGCAGCTTCATCATCGTCATCCGCGGCGGCGTCTCCGGCGAAGCTTCTCAAGTCGCCGCGGCTGTCCCTGTCTGCAGGGGCGTCCCTGGGCGCCCCACCCCAGACCCCCCGCATGCAGGTGCGGTGGCTCTCCCTGGTGTTTTTATCAGGGCCTTGCTTTGTTAAACCCTGCAACAGACTGCCAACAGCAGAACCTTACTTGCTGAGAGAGGGCCTGCTCTGCGTAACAAGTCACTTGCGTCTGGACACCAGGCTCACCATATGCTTGGGCTAACAAACTCAGCCTCCACAATTCGCAAGCGGTCAAAGCATCTTCCTTTTTTGGCAGAACACTTTGGCAAGGATGTTTGCTCTTACAATATTGAGGGCTTCATTCCCAGATCCAATCATATCCAAGATCCTGATGCAAGGCATTTTTTTGATGCTGCCCAGGTTCTGAGCAATATCAATTCGGGCACATTTGCGGTAACTGGCAAGTCGATCGGCCTCATGCTGTCACCGGCTGCCGACAAAGTGCGCTCGCCTCCGCCGCCAATGCTGGCTGGCGCTGCCAATTCGAATTCGAAATCGGGAACGTCGCCAAATCAGGCGCAGGCCCGGGCAGGCCCAGAGCAGCGGCTGCGCGCGCTGCAGTCGCCCAACGGCCGCAGCGGATTTGCCGCAGCTTCGAGAAGGTGATGCCTTAAAAGAGGATATCTTTTAGAACTGGGAAGCACTTTCCTTTACATGCTTTCTTCATGCAAGGATGCCTGGACATGGTTTGTAGATATGCTTGTAAACAGGCATTTTTGAAACGAGGTGCGGGTTTGGTAAATAACTTGTCATGTCAGCCAAGCGCCTCACAACAGTGAGATGCCTTTGCTGGCGGGTCAGAAGGAGTTCACCAAGCCGCCCCTAATCAGGCAGCTGCACGTCAGTTCAAACAAAATCATGTGTATGTAGGACAGCAATGCTTCCAACACAACTCCTAGGAGATGCATGGCAAACTTTGGAAGGCAGACAGACTACCAGCGAGTGTAAGGGGAATTGAGGTTCTGTGAATCTGATTAGTAATGTGCGGGGATGCAGGCTGGCTGGCAGCAGTGGGGGCCCTCAGAATCTGGCAGAGCCGCCCAGTCCAGCCCACAGGGGCGGCGTCGACATTAATTACCTTCGAATGCACGACGTCCGACTGGGCTGAGACAGGAATTGTGATATTCGTGTATTTTGAATCACTTGTAGGGCATGTAGCAGCATGTGATGACACGGCCTTCTAGAACTATGCTTCATGCCGGAAGAGAGACGAATGGGAGGCTTGTCTTTGAGTGATGTGTCCTTTCTACCTGGATGAGATGTTGTCTCTTGAACTTACTTGAACATAGGTGGAACACGAAGGAACCAGGGAGCTGCTTCAGGAACTGAATAAGTAAATGACTGGTGGACATGACATGCGTGCTGTATTGTGAAGTGTACTGCCCAATTTGCGTGGGATGTGAATGTCTTTCTGGTACCCTCAAGTAAGTGTGATTGATTGTATGCAGCAATGGCAAATAAAATTTTCGAACATTGCAATCGTTTAAAGATCATGTCGTGTTCTCTTGCATTTATATCATGATCCCTCGCTGAAGCACCTGATGGTTTTCTGACATCAATCGACCTATGCTTAATGAACTCGCACCTGCAAGTTGTTGTTCATTGACATACTTCAGACATGCCAATAAAATTTAACCCACACTCGTCAGCCTGGGAGGAATTTTGGGCAGGGAGTTCCCATAGATCACTTCTGTAGTCCTCTTACTGTAGTCACAATAATATGCTTCAATGCCACGAGGGCACACGCTTTATATGTATCCAATATTAGGCGCTGCCCGCAGCAGATTGCGCCATCAGCGGGAGCGCATTGGCAAGGCTGCTCTTGACGGTGCAATTCCCCTGGAAGTCAAGGGTGTATACGCTGGTGGTCTGGCCGTTCTGGGGCATCCCTGTTCCGTTGTAGGTCGCCTTCTGGGTCCCTGCAGCCGCCACAACACACCCTTCTTATATCCCTTGCCACTCTGACAGCACCTAACCACCCATTTCTCCACTTCTCATCGCTGCAGCACATGTGTACAGAGCACTTGTGTACAGAGCACTGGTGCATGCATGCATAGATAATCATCTAACAATAAATCAACATTGAGCAGACTGCATCTCTAGTTCGTGCAGTCTGGGACTGGCACAACATGCAACTTACATCCCAGGTATTTTGGCAATTACTCTTGATCTCTGCAACCTTTCAGGTGACGATCTACCGTACTTCCCGTATAGGTAAGTACACCCAGCCTTGCCTCTTGGCCAGGAAGGGTGCAATGCATAACAAGGAGAAGAAAAAAATGTCACTTACCTGCAATGGGCTCGCAACCGGTGCAAGTGGGCGGCGGGGGCGGCGGCGTGGGTCTCAGCAGCGCCTCAATCGCCTCTCCCACTGCCAGCAGCAGGTTGTCGCTGCCTGCGCGCACCATGCACCGCTCAACATCAAGTTTCTAGTCAACTCCACAGTGACACCCTTTCTACCAATACAGTATGAGCAGACTCGCCCTTCTCAAAGAAAAGTTCTGCCAAAGAGCTGCCAAAGGCACTCAATGTTTCGCCGGCAAGGAAAGGAGACAACTACAGACTTGCATGCCAAAAATGTCAGCATTCTATCCAGGGGGGAGATGGCTGAAAACCTGCAAGACTGACTCCATTAAAATCACAAACTTCCGTTCTTTACACTGGAAGAATTGGCATAGAGGCCTTCCTCTCTGCACGATCCTCATGACAGTCACATATTCTGTGGGGTTCTGAGACGAGATTTGAACAGTAGTGAAGTTCTGCGCACCGGGGCGCGACTGGATCTGGATTCCCACGGGCATCGAGTTATCGGCGAGGCCCATGGGAATGCTCAGCCCTGGGGCGCCCACCGTCGCCTCAATGATCGCCGTGCGCCGAATTGCCACGCGGTTGGAAACGTACCTGCACCGTTGTGCTATCTCAGCCTCTTCACGATAGCGCTGCACAGAAGACTTAAATGGGGCGGAGCCAGAGGCCCTGAGAGACTTGCACCAAGAGCTGACGGCACTCAAAGCTGTGCTGTAATGTCTAAGTAGATGCATGATATCTGTACAGATCTCTACAGAGATCCATGTTAAGAAAAGCTTCGTGGGACACTAATGCTCTAAGGCAGTAGCAGCCACAGCGAGCATCCCCAATTTTAAGCTGAAATCCGTTCTTGTAAGCACACTCCATCCACAGTGCCCGCCCAGTGACCTTCCCGGTTCTGTGCATTCTTGCCGAGACACAAAAGGTTCAGAACCTCATTTACATTCTTCCATGTGTTTTCCATTCTTATTGGCTTTTCTGTCTGATTTCTTTTTCTTTCCTTTGGCTGCTTTGTCTAAGCTCGCTCAAATTCTAAATTTGAATTCGAGGCGTACTTTCCATTGTAGAGCATGTAGGGCTCCACGGAGTAGATCGGCGGTGCTGTGCTGGGCGTGGTCGGCATGATCATGATGTCGACAGTGTTGTTGTTGTACAGGTCCAGGTACTGCTGCTGCAGCGCCGGCTTATCTGTGAACACACATACAACACTGCTCAGCCTCTGGTTCACGGAACACCTCCTGGCATGATCAGCAGGTCAGACCTCTGGTGAGCTTCGAACAAGCATGTATGAGCAAGCATTCTGTCCTGAGCGGTAAGACCAACATGTCTGCATTACAAATTGTATATCTAGGCTTTGTCTACCCCGGTGCCTAACAACTTGCCCAGAGTACTCAGCACGCACCACCTGCCTGAATTACTGATTCAGGCAGGCTCGAGACTTTTGGGGAGACAGATTCCGCCACTGAAATCACATCAGCTAAGAGTTGGAATGCAAGAGAGAGAACCCCAATCACGAGCAGGAAGCAGGCAAGAGGGTGTCAGGTCCGCACAGGTTGTCAGGATTTTGAAGTAGTCGTCAATGGTGGGGAAGGCGGTTGCGTTCTTGGCAATGATGGTGGACAAGACGGTTGCCTGGGTGGCGGGGGACGCCATCTGCTGAGCCAGCTGGTAGAAGCTGGTGTTGTAGCCGTGCCGCCACATGTACCTGCCCCGTCAACACCACGTCACAATAATATTGCCACATTCCACCCCTGACATGCAGAGACCTAGACATTATCACAATCGTGTCCTTCTCCTTCAGATGCTGATACAGAGCCAAGGAATGTCAGGGTTACTTGACAGTGCTAGGACAACATGCTTGCATGGGTGAAGCGCCACTTTCCCCGAGCGAGTGGTATGCATACAACCAGCATTCTCTTTCAGCCTGGAGGTTTCTCGGGGAGCTCGACAAAAAAACCAAAAGACACGCCTCCAAGCCTGGGCATTCCCCCTTGCTATCAACAACTGGTGAGAGGCGCATAACTTTGATTCAAGTAAGAGAATGCTCTTGGAAGATGTGCTCACCGGGAAAGCTCGCGGCCGAGCTCCATGGTGTAGAAGGTGGAGTCCCCAATGTACTTGTCATGGTACTGCACTATGGAAGATGCGTTGAAGGGCACAAGAGTGACGCCAGCCGACTTGATGGCCTCCAGCGTCCGATTGTAAACGCCCACCGTCTGCATAGATTAAGCCAGGCAACTGTTGACAGAGATCAGCCGCGGTGCAGGAAAATACACATTTTTCAGAGTAAAAAACAGCCCTTTCGAGACCTTTTGAGACCGTCCCTGACTGCATGCCGGACCACTGCTCATCAAATGCGCTCTTCACAACGAATTTTGTGTGCGTGAAGTCTGCTGCCTAAGCATGCAGGGCAGTCAAGACGCCACACACTGATGACCAGTACTAATTAGGGCTGCAAAGGCAACCCTAGGATGGCCAACTTCTCGATAGAGCGTGGATAGGTTAAAAGAGTTTGATAAAAATTAGCAGAGATGGATGGTGATGTAATGTGAGTATTCTTGTTATATAATAGACTGAAGCTCACCTCGGTGCTGAGGTCGGCCCACCAGTTGACCGGGTAGCCGATGCGCATGCCGGACAGAGATACGTTCACAGCCGTCGTGTTGCAGGAGGAGAAAATGCTGTTGAACAGGGTAATGTCCGCCGTCGTGCGCGCCATCACCCCTGCGCAGTCAGCGGTGAGTCAGCGGTGACGAAGCGCCTGCCTGATTATTATAAGCAAGCTTTCCAGGCATGCTCTGTCACCAAAAAAATGCAGGGGACAGTCCGAGTGTAGCGGATTGCTGGATCTGCTGCTGGCCAGGCGTGGCAGGACTTAAATGCCAAACTCGAAATATCACACTGCCTGCCATGCTCTTTTTAGGCAATTTGGCTCTTGGCAGAGTGAGCAAGTCAAGGCTACAAGCCTGTGCCGGGTGGCAACGTGTGGCCAGCAGCTTCAAAAGGGGAAGCCTTAGTCCTAGGACCCCCAAAACAGACACCCTATAGAATTTCCTTGTCCAGGGGGATCTCACCAGGGGTATCGCGAGTGGAGGACAGGGGAACGATTAGGTCGTCGTTCGCGTAGCAACCCTTGGTGGGCCGCAGCCCCGCCACGCCGTTGAAGCTGGCCGGCACCCGACAAGAACCGCCCGTGTCTGCACAAAAGATAGATGTTTTGAATAAGTACTTGGATGTGACCGCCTGGCCCTGATTGCTTGGTACTGCTCTGAGATCTGCTCTGGGAACAGGCGCAAGCGGTGGAGGTTTCTGTGGCTGTCAATGTATTGTAGGTACAAAGGTTGCCAGTGAGACAGGAGGAATGCCGGGTTGCTTGCTTGGTGGGAATGGTTGGGATGCAAAAATGTGGGCAGCAAGGAAGAGCGGGCGGCTGACCGGTGCAGAAGCCGCCGGCCACAAATCGAGCTGCCAGGGCCACACCCGTGCCGCCGCTGCTGCCTGCACACAATCAAACCCACCTCAAAAACCAGAAATCAGCTGTGTCCTTCTTGAGGTTTACACGCATGACCGTTTGGCTTGCAGCCAAGACGCAATGTAGACTGTTCATCATGATGCAGAAGACCTCATGCTGGTGGCGAGTGGCTTGGAGCAGTGAAGAAATAAGTAAATATTGTGCTTGTGTACAATGCTAAACAATGCATGCAGCTGCATCAGGACAAGGGTCATCCCTTTGCTACCAATGATCAAATGCCAGTGCCATCTGGAAATCCACCAATGATCAAATGCCAGGGGCGCCACACCGCCGGGGATTTTGGTGACGTCGTAGGGGTTTAAGACGGGGCCAAAGACAGGGTTGATGGAGGTGACTCCATAGGCCAGCTCGTGCATGCGCGTCTTGCCCATGACTACGCCGTGCGCGCTTAGTAACCGCTGCACCAACGCCGTGTTGTTCTCCTGCGGGGGCGTCCCTGCATTGCACCTTTACGCGTATTAGACCCTGCTGCTTGAAGAAGGGGAGATTCAAGGTTATGGCAGGCTTAGAGCAGCAACAATGCCGTGCGGCCCTGGGTATAGAACAATGAGCTGCTGGCATTTCTGTTTTCTGATTTCAGTAGATGAAGATCGAGGGCATGCGAGTGGGTCTGCAATAAGAGGCTTTCTGGGTTTGCCTGTGGCTAATTTTCTCCCTGTGCCCCATTTAGCTGAGCACTGAATGGAAAAGAACGGACTCCTTTGGTGCGCATGAAAACTGTGCAGGTGTGCAGCAGCCAATCCCGGTGTGTTTCCTTGGGGTGAAGAGGCATTGTGCACCGGCTAGGGCGGGAGTGCCGGCCACAGTGGTGTAGCCTGCCACATCGAACAGGTCCTTCACAGCAAAGGTGAGGCCGCACAGTGGCCGAATGTCTGTGCCATTGTCATACATCATGTCCACTTGATGCGCATCCATCAGCACCTGCGAGCAAGTAATCGTAAGGGAAGATCGGAGCATGCTGCAGCTTGTGAGTCATTAGCGTTCCGGTACTACAGATGCTGGGATGTCCGTAGCATCACGCGGTATGAGTAAGAACGCAAGGGCATTCGAGGACTATCTGCACCTTTGCTGGATCGATCTCAGCCCAGGCATTGATGCACTCCCACTCTTGGGCCTTGGCCAGAAGCGCAGATGCGTACTGGACGGCTGTGATGTCCCGAGCGCAGAGCATCTCGACAGCTTGGGCGGCAGAAAGATCCGTCAGGCTCATATTCACGGCTGTCTCCGAGAACATAGGAACATTCAGGTTTACAGGCTGAACCTGCGACCCTGCAGGGACATCCGATCTGGGAGTCAGATCAACTGAAGAGCGACAAAGGCATCACGATCCGGTGATCAGATCACCGGAATTTTTAATCAAGGTGAACGCATGAGTAGGTAAACATGAGTTTCGACAGCAACTTCAATGTTTCATAGGCCCTTTTGACGAGACTAAGCGTCTCGCGAGTGGGTGACCTATACGTGAACGGTTGAGAGGGTAATATGACTCGTATATTTAGAGAGCATTGGGATTTATCTATGCGGATCCAAACCTCCTATCGAGTCAGATTAATATCTAGGAATGAGAAATAAAATGCAACAGAGCCCTGCGAAGGGCGTCGAAAAGACTTACGCGAAACATGCAGCATTGCCAACAATAGCGTTATTGCGAAGCACTGCATGGCTCTAGCTGTTCTCATCCCCATAGCGTCGAAATTCTACTACTACAGGATCCCCTGCAGCACTTCAATTGACCTGTAGAGTGGATGTCCGTCTCGGTGTTTTCACATGGGTACACATGATCGGTTACTTGACTTCCTTGGAGCTTCTTTTCAAATATTTGGGTGGACACTGCGTGATTAACCCGAATTTTGCAATATTTGAATAGGAATTGAACAGGGGCAGTCCTCAGGTGAATTGAATGCTAACTATCCGCATCATCTGTAAGTTGCAAATGTAATCCTCGGCTGCATCGGTAACAACTGAAAGTATAAATGGTGAAACACATTCATTGGCTCACTCAGCCATCGGCAGCAGCAGTAATCAGACTCATGCTGTCAACCAAATTACTTGAAGGAACGAAAGCATTACCACAAAATTATCGGGACATCAGGACACTCTGTGGAAGACTAAACAGACAGAGGGTCAAAGAAGTCACAAAGCGGCTGCATCAGCGCTGCGATAGAACCCATTGTAATCAAGCCGAACCGCCAGCCGCTCGAGCGACGCAAATCCCCCGGAGTGCAGGGATCGCGCATTCAAGAGCTTCATCAGGTATCGATGCCTGTCCCGCCACTCCCTGCCAATCTCACCAACCTCCCCTGCTTCGGCTGCTCCGCCCTGCACCAGCCAAGTAGTGCATTAGCTCCTTTTGTTGACTGTCACTCCAGATATGGCAGAACTTCTTTTCTGAAAGAATCCTGGAGATGCTGATGCTGCAAACGAGGGAGCAAGAAGGATGCAAGACAGGCATGCATCTGATCCAGTGTAAGCCCGCTCAGATGACACACCAAAAAACGCAAATAAGCTTCCTAACACAAGATTTGCAAAATTCCCCAGCGCAGGCATACCCTGGATCAATCAGGATCGATATAGCTGACATTTATAAAGCTGAGTGTGGTTTGAATTTGTGCGTGAGCACACACCTTTGCCAGGTCAGCGAATCTAAGCGCCAAATCGAGCAGCTTAGTCACCGCCTTGAGGACCAGCAGGCTCGTGTGGTCATTGGCGACCACGGCCGCGCGCATGGCAGCTTCCAGGAAGGCGTCATGCGCTGCCGCCACATCATCCAGCGTCCGCGCAGCTTCCAGCGCCTGATCAGGCAGAACCAGGTTGATACCTCATTTCGAAAACACTTTGCGATACGCTTGCAATTTGCTCGTGCACTTCAGCCCCTGTGCCTGGATCCTGCACCCAATCTGCTTAAATCTATCTCTGAGAAGCTCTGATGCACAAAGTGTTGTGCATATACAGTAGCCACCAGGAATCGAGGTTGTCAGAAGGTGGGTGGGGTTGTCCTCAGTCCCGAAAGATGATTGTCATATTCATCATTTATAGGTACCGACCAAAGTCCCGTCAGTGTTTGTTGTGACTTCATTTGGTCATCACCGGGCACCAACCACACCCTGGTAATGCTGACAGTTTCATGTATGAATCTATCAGCATAAGCGCTGGCCAGGGCAGCACAGCTCTGCAGACGTTTAGCGCTCGAGTGTAAACACCCAGCCGCATGAAGAGAATAGAAGGGGCGATAGTGGGTGTCGCCATTACCAGCAGCAGATTAGGATGCTGATGGGGTCTTGCTTGGATCTGGCTTGTTGGACTACGAGTCCAACAAGGGGTAGGATTTTGGCAGCCTTTAGCTGCAGCTTGTCTGCAGGACGTACATGCCTTCTGGCAGGAAGAACGTGTAATAGTTACGACAATATTTGGGATGTTAATGAGAGTACTGCAACACCTGGGACAGCTGGGGGACGGCTAAATGCAAGAGGCAGTCCATGACGAAGCAGTGCAGGTGCGTGGCAAAGTGAGTCATCTGCCAGCACAGGCCGTCCGATGCATCAACTCCCCTGGCCGCAGGGCTCCTGATGTCGCGCAACCCCTGCAGCGCTGCCCTCACCCAGCTCACCTGCAGCCACACAGAAACTTGGTCAGTGAGGTTTATCCATGCTGCGGCGGTCACTTTGCGTTCCGCTTGGGAATTAGGCAGCCCTGTGTGCCTAAGTGCAAGACACACAGGTGGGCCTTTGGAGTCCCTCAATTCTGCGCATGTCGGCATCAAGCCTTCCAGTGCATCACAAGGCAGGACAGGGCAAGAATGTTCAGGACCTCCCAGCTCTCCAGCTGCTCTGCGACAACGCTGTATATACAGACTGCATATAATGCATTTGCTTTTCTGATGGACTGTAGTGGGGTGTGCTAGAACAGCTGGAGTGCTGGGACAAAATCACACTCTCGCGGTCACAAGCACCAGTTAAGTGATGGAGCACATGGCATAGCTTGGGTAGGCTTATTTGGTGATTTGTTTCACAACATCTGTTTCATACTCCTCCTTTAGGTGAGCGCCACCTGCAGGAGGAGGGTGGTGACGTCGTTGTACTGCTCCATGTGGCACTCCTGCACTACGAGCGACAGCGGCCAAGGCAGCCGCAGGCGCAGCCGCAGCTGGCGCAGGGCGGCAACGGCGTTCCCTTTGCTGGAGCCGACAGCCGGCCCCTCCCCTGAAACCACCTCCACTGCACAGCACCAGCAAACTGTATCAAGCCTCTCTCTTCACATCAGGTGTCACCCAGTCCCATGCCCAGACATCAGATTCAATGGGCTGAAAATTGTGTCAACGCGGGTAAAGCGCTGTTGCCCATGCATACAAGCAACCCAGATCCAGTGGAGGTTCATGAAAGGAGCATTTGGAAATGCACGCCGAGTCATGCGCACATGTGACAGCAGGCAGCGGCAGAGTGCAAAGAGCCAAATAACACGAACACGCGACAGCGCCCGGCAGCAGAGTACAACGACCCAATTACAAAAGAAATGTCAAGAAGCGCGCACATATGACGGCATGTGCCGGCAGCAGGGCCCCGCCGCGCTCGTCAGCCAGGCACTGCTCCAGACTCCCCTGCAGCTCAAACAGCTGCGGCCCGGCAGCCTCCCACGGCTTGTCCCCTTTTTGGGCGAGCAGGGCAAAGAGGCTTTCTGTGAACGGCTGCATTGCTGGGGAAACTAACAGGTACACGTTCTGCAGCGCTGTCAGCTGCTGCCGCAGTCCCCACTCGGCCATCAGGCTTCCCAAGAGCTGGCCTCCTGTGTACTCCACCTGTTCACGGCACAGTCATCGATGAGTCACCCGGTATCCCATTCCGCAGGCACAATTGTAAGCACTGTGTAAAGTTTGTGCCGTTATTGTTGCTTGTCAGAAAAATTTTGTTCTTTCGCATTATTTGCATGCAATTTTCACTTTCAGATGGGAACAAGATGCAAGGTGGTTAGCAGCTAGACAGAAGAGTTGGTTGAACTTGCAATTCGGCCTTCCCTCGTTCTTCGAAAAGGCTTGTCCATGTGAGGTCCTGGGCTCCATGCCAGGAGTGACAACACAGCAGCACCCGGCTTTATGTCTGCGAGTCAGCGGTCACTGGATACCGTTATAGGGAGTGAGCACACCCGCTCATGAATGGGCGCCAAGAAGCACTCCTGGATGGCAATTTTCACCGGCGGCAGGTCAGGATCTCGCAAGTCCGACAGCCATTTCTCGCCAGGTTCATCGCCAGCTTCATGCTGCTTCCATTTGGCGCCCCACATCTGCTGCACCGCCTTGCCTGCGCAGTCCCGATGACAGATTCTTCAGGGTTTTTAAATTTTCGGGCACATATTAGAATTAAACCCTAAAACCCTTCAAACCTCCACGCCCGCCTGACAGGAAATCTCAAGTCTGCAGTGTCAAGTATGCCTGTTTGTGGAAGTGCATTGGCAATGGACAACTTCCAAATAAGCCCTTGTGAGAGGACGAACGTGATTGTAGTGCAATATATTCAGAGGGGATTGGATGATATGCAGTAGGTCCGCAGGCTGCAAGACAGTGCTGTTCTTGATAACAGCAACAACGCTCTGAGCAGCTCAGTCAAAAGTTCAAATTGTGTCGCTCTGACAGGCAAATCAAGGCGAACAGCTGTTTTCTGTTCATATGCGTCAGATCCACATGAGACTGATCAGAACGCAGACCTGAGAAGGGATTGATGAGGGTGGCCTGGACGGATGCAGGCACAAAGCCATCCTCCCTGGTCCTGCCAGATGGCCCACTGGCGGTGCAGCGCTCAGGATCCAGCAAGCCTGTGGGGTCGCACATGGCTCCCAACATCCTGCAGTGGCATTACCAAAACTCTCAGAATGCCCAGGCTCCCAATGACTGACTGACAATGACAGTGTCCTGCTTCGCGAGATGGTGACCAAATAATGCATAATTATGAAGGCATGTTGTTGCGTGAGCGGGCGTGACAGAAATGAATGCTTTCTGAGACAGGCCATTTGGCAGCCAAGGCACTGGTGCACACCTTGTGTACCAGTCTTTGAGCCCCGGATCTGTCCCACTGAGGGCTGACGGGTCAGCTGACAAAGGTGCAGACTTGGCAGAATCTGGAATTTTACTGTCGTCTGTACATCTAGCCTGTGTTGTTGCGCCAGCTGTGCTGTCCAGCTTGGGCTGCTTGATCGGGATAGTCCGCCTGGCGCCAAGGGTGAGATTGCTGACATCACCAAGCACGCCACTGACATCACAGCGGCCGCCTAGTCTGGCACCCTCTCCCGACACCTGGCTCAGGCTGCTCTGAGCCCACTGCTCGCCCCTGGCAATCCCCCTTCCGCCCAAGCCGTCCTCTGCCTTTGTCCAAGTCTGCTCCACACCAGCCCCTGCTATGGAGCCATCTTCTGACCAGTAAATCCTAGCTGCTGGTCCGGTTGTCTGTGCAGGAGAAGCTGCGGGCAGCCCGTTCTTGCTGGGTGTGGGCAGCCCGGATGGCGAGCTTGCAGAGTACGCATAGCCACTGCTGCTGCCACTGGCATCGAAGTCTGCTGTCAGGTGGCTGGAGAGGCCCCAGCCACGCTCTCCAGGCAGGCGCAGCGGCCGGGCGATGACATCAGCGTGACCTGGCACCCCGACATAAATAGTTGTCGTTTTAGAGTCTCAAAAGAAAACTCTGAAACAGAATTTGAGGTTGAGACTAGTGGGAACGCGTATGTCACGAATGTGTTCAAAACAAATCTGAAGTGAGCAACAATCCACGAAATCCTCTGACTCTATAGGCGCAGCTTGTCCTGCAAAAATGACAGCACCTGCCAGGAAGGGAGGGATGCAGAAACAGGCTTGATGCTCTACGGTATAGAAGTGCACGAAATGAAATGATTATCACCTGGTGGCTGCTGCATCGCCGCGGCCTGGCCGGAAGCTGCCGAGAAGACGTCGGCCGCACGTTCGGCGGCGCGCGTGCCAGCTTCCAGGCGGCTGCAGGATGTGGCCAGGTGATATCCACTGGTGGCCGCCATTCTGTCCGCCAAATTCTGGGCCGGGCCGAAACTTGTCATGCTCTCTTCTTCCTCAAAGGACACCTGCAGGCGGGTGATATTAGCACCAGACCTTCTCTTAAACGCATATCACACCCGCCTTGAGAGTCACTGGGAGAGTTCATGGCGGGAAAAGCGGAAGGGGTGATAGAGAGGTGCGCCAGGAACTCCAGGCATGTGATTGGCAGGTGCTCGGCTCACCAGATCCCTTAGCCTCTGCAGGATATCCTGGTGCAGTGGCGGCCGGCCTGAATCCCCCGCCTCAGCATTAGGTGACACATGCACTGACCTGCCGCATACACACTCGCTTCATTCTGATGCCCGATGATTGTTTACGAGGATAATCCCCGCGACAGGATGCAAATTCAATGCCAAGGGTCAGACGCTAGATATGGGTAGACATGTGGGAGCTGACACTGCCACTGGCCTACCTGTTGTTCTGCGGCTGCTTCATGCGGAGCAGCAGCACCGACTTTCCGGCCGACAGAATGCCGCCCACCAATGGATCCAGAAAGCGCGGGCAGATGACAGACTCGTCTGCGCCTCTGCGCAGCCGAAATGCGCCGCCGTGCCAGAAATCGGCGTCCTCTACTGACACTTCAGGGGCTGCATATGCAGAAACAAACAAGGTTATATGAGCTGCACGGATGCCAAATTGCACGGGCGGAAGGGTCTGCAAGAAGGGTGTGTGCACTCTGCACACAGGCCTCACAAAGGCAGGTCTCACAGCAATATCAAATTCTTTGAGTGTTGCTCTTACGTGAGAGGGATGTACCAGAGCAGATGAAGAACTCTGGGCCGTCTGTGAGGAGGCCATGCTGCAGCCAGGTGTCCAGGGCATCCAGCAGGGGGCGCGCGCTGCGCAGCAGCAACCGCAGCAGAACCGCCACCTCCGCTCGGCCTGTGCCAATAAAAACGACTTCTGTCAAGACATACCTTACCGTCACAATCCTCTCATATCTCTCCCAGTTCCTTGGATCATGGAGGACGAGCGGTCCCTCAACATGGAGCACTTTGTGACAAGTAAATGCAGACAAAATCTGATCGAGATCGATGCCGAGTAACATGCAGAGAAGGTAGCAACTGGGCAGAGGTGTGGGCCACACTGTCAGCGGCCTGAGCCCAAGACAGCCTCTCTCTGACTTTGTGGCACGGCTGACTCACCCTGGGGAGTTGCGTCGCCTGCAAGGGAGTGAAGCAGGGCGTGCAGGCCGTCAAGCAAGGCCGCTGCCTGGCCGGCCGCGCTCGCGGCCCCTTGCTCGCCAAGATCCAGGGCAGACATGACAGCTTCCAGCAGCCTCAGCCGCCGCATGGCTGCCTGCGCATATGAGACCCCTCACATTGTCAGTGCCGCCCCGCTGTTGAGTAACACACGTTTGCATTGCCGGTTTGCTCTTCAGCTGCAAGGACTTAAATGCGATGCGATAGAACTACCGGTCCATGCTCCGTTGCTGTTGCAAGACATGGAAGGATAACAGATCACCGCCAGGCCTTAAAGACCAAGAGGTACCTTTGAAATCTGTACTTGTGGTTGACAGGGCATGAATTAACGCTTTGTAGGTAGTGAGTGCTCCAAGAAGGGAAGTCAGTGAAGGGAGATGTTCTTGGATCCACAGGTAAGAGCCTTTTGTACTAGGGTTCTAATAGGGGGGATTGATAAAGCTGCGACTCTAGGCAGGGTCATGCCTGGACAGCCGCTTCGAGTGCGATGAGGCCGACGTCTGCGCCGCTGTTCCCTCCCTGCCGCACCAGCGCGGCAAAGTCCTCCTGCACCCCGATCAGCGCTGACTGGACCGCCGCCAGCTCATCCGCCAGCGCGGCGGCGAACGCGGCCAAAGTAGGCGCAGCCGCCAGCGCGCGCGTCTGCGACGGCGTGGTCGCCGCGGCTCTCACCGCGCGCACAAACATTTGCAGCCTGCATGCATGCATGCAAATCATTTAATCGCGCTGTAGCTAGCGCCATGCCGGCAGAAGATGCACATCAGCAAGCAGACCCTCAATGGACTGCACAGAAATTCTTTGTAGACAAATGTGCACAGGCACACTACAGTATAATGCACAACACTGCGCCTCATGAGGCCATCCCTGCCTCAGGCAGTCAAGACTGGCAGCCGTGCACAGATATCCTTTGGGACATTTCTTCCTGCTTTTGTACCTAAGCATTTGACATCATTGAACCACCTGTAGGAGATGGTGCCGCTGCGCGTGAAGCGGCCGAGCATGTTTTGCAGGCAGCCTGGAGACAGGTGGGCCACGTGGGCCCCAGCCGTTACACTATACTCGTCCAGATCAGGCTTCAGGGTGAGGGCACGCCCCGGACTGGGCGACCCCCGCAGCATGTGCAGCACCTGCACAGAGCATAAAACGGGTGGTCACATGACCTGCACAGAGACATTGGACGCTCATAATTACAGTGCATTGACGCATGCTTCGTAATGGCTCTCGAGCAGGGTCAGCAGGGACCAGCCACAAGCTGAACCAGGCACTGCATATATAAGTAGACCAATATCAGGACGCAGACAGCGGACGGTATGGCTCGAAGCCCCTCATGCAACCAGCTGGTTGCACCGAGTCGACACAACCAGGCAATGCATGACAAGAAGCAAAGGAGAATCAGTATTGCTTGCCTGGAACACGAGATCCTGCTCGGTGAAAAAGAGCCGGGCAGAGGGAGCAATAAAGGGAACGCCCCTGCCCCGCGTGGCAGCCAGCGTGCGCAGAAGGCTGCCGTCCCCATAGGCCGGGCTGTCCGCGGGCTGCGGCGGCTGCAGCTTCACCTTGGCTGCCCTGCCAGCTTCCCAGCTGTCCGACAGCCGCTGCCAAGATGGCTTTGGAGGCGACCCTGCTTGTAAAAACACATGCCTCTTGTCATGACTTCGAATCACACGGACAAAGTAGTTCCTCTTCAAGAAGGTGCATAGGAAGATAGGAAGAAATTGTTCTGGCAGAAAATATCTGTGATTGAACGATGCGAGGCACATAAAAGCGCCCTGAAAGAGGAGCCTACTGTTTGCTGCAACAGCACAAGCTGCATCAGTCTGCTGAGCAAGGGGTCCAGCAGGAATGCGGTCGGCGCCGTCATCGCTCCAGTCAGACAGCTCATCGGAGCCTGCCGCCTCGTCCTCCCATGCTGACAGCTCGCTGAGGTCACTGCCTGCATCCTCATCTTCCCCTGGAATACAAAATTACCTTGACATGTAAAGTGACGATACTATTTGGGAGCAGGCATGCATTGCTCTCGCCTTTGTCACGATCAAGAAACACTAAATACATCGCATGCATGCAAATTGAATTCATGAAGTGCATGCATGATTTCACCGGCACGTGAGCACTGCTGGGGTTGGAATTTGACGGGGAAGAGCGATGCTCTACCGGCATGCAGGGAGTTGCCAGGATGTGGCCTGCTCAGGAAGGATGGTGCAGTGTAATGGTATTGCAGGGGCCGTCTGGACAGCGCCAGAAGCGCTGCCAAGACTCTGTGGTGCACATCTAACGTGTCTTTGCTGAGGTCATGCTGCATGAGAAGAGTGCGCAGCTGCTGCAGCGCCCTCTGCTTGCCAAACTGGGCATTGACGCCCATCCTTGCCTGCAGGCTGAGGCAGACAACAGATGACAATTAGATGGTGCACACCCATAGCATCAGCCTACACCCAAGCTGACACTAGGAGCGCTCCTGGCGACACTTTTGCAGAGCTGGTGGGATGAAGCAGCTAGACATCCTTTAAACTTAGAGCAATCTTGAGAAACCTGCCTGTCATATTCCTCGTCCACAGCCTTGGGGCTGACGTCTGCAAATCTGTGAAATTCGACGTTGTGAAGACAGAACTCCAATGCCAGCTCATGGTTATCGTCACCAGGCTGAACGCACACAATGAGAAGTCTGATCATACCCGAAAATAGCCATCGCCATCGCCACGCCCGTGAATATGCGTCAACTGCCTTTTGGATATGTATATGGTGTTCATCACATATGGTACACGTTGAAGTGGCCAGAAATTTACCTGGACGTTCAGAACCCTGCATACTAGCTTGGAAAGCAGCTGTTGTTTATTGGATCGCTTGGTGTACCCAAAGTCTGAGAGTCCAGCCATGTCTTCTCACATCATCTTGTTTATATTTTCCAGCGCATCGTCACATCCTGCTGTAGTCCTGCTTCACTCGTAATGCTTTCAATAGTCGGAAGTTATTGGATGATACATGCCCATTTAGCTTCGCGATCGTTCAAGTAATCTTCAGATGTACCTTGCATTCCTGTGAATCACAGGCTTCTCCATCATGTTCTTCGAGGTAATCTCGACACTTGGCATTCAGACCGACCCAAATCTGCATAGATGCACCCAGGATATATTACTCTACAATTCGCTGGTGCACGGCACACAAGCTATTCTGAGTTCTTGCCTTGCTACTTGATTGGCAAGCTACTTGGGCAGCACGAGAACTCTCAAGAACTTAGAAGGGAGGGCTTGACCTTCCCCAATCATGGTATATAGAGGAATAAGAAAGATTGTAGACTGGAACGACGCAAATGATTCCCTGCTGGTGCCAGAACGAATAAGGCCGAGACTAGGTCCCATAAGCAATGCTAGGCCTAGCTAGGGTCTCTTCCGGAACTGCGTTTTTTGGCAATTTTAGGTTCTTTCTTTGTACACAGAGAAAGAATGACAACCCACCGATAAGAGAATAAAAGTTCATAAAATAGTTTCGTTAAATTTGCAGAAGTCACTAAATTCCTGACTCGCTTTGGCCTTGCTGTGTTAACACACCGTTGCCTAAGATCTGGATGACATGTCACAAAAGCAATCCACAAAACTTAGGCGCTCAAGGATAGCAAGACCATCGTCTAACTTGATGGTCAGCTATACATACCCCACCCTTGCGCATGCAAACATTACTGGACCATTTTGGGATTCCCTGCAGCTGCGCATGCATGCGGCCCGCCCTGCCTGCCCCGCCCGGGGCCGCCGGTATGGGTCCTGTTTTAGGGACTATGGCCTAAGATGAAGGGGTAAATTTGTCTCTATCAAAGGAGAGGATAGAAAGGGAGGACTCGATCTCTACTTACGGTCCACGTCGATGTCCTTGTAATCGTTTCCCTCTTCCGTTTATCATTACATGTGCATATGTGCATGCATATACTGTACAGTGCTGATCATGATGCCTTCATTTTGTGCAGGAAGTGTGCACAATATGCATGCGTGTCAACATCACATTAGCTAGCATGTACACATGATACAGGCATACAGGGATGTGCTTGAGCATCTGTGGATTCTCATTGCTTGTCTGGAGTCAGTCCTGAGGACTTCGCTGTGCGTCTTGCTCCAGCTGGGCTATTGCATAGCTACCAGATCCAAGAATGCCATCGCCCTGCATAGATCAAAGAAGACATGTCAGCAAGTTGAGCCTGTGTCAGCACTCACAGACCTTGCTCTCTGCTTCGCGTTTCCAACCCCTGGCACAGATGCATACATGCATTCAGCGCGCATATAGTGGCGCTCGTCATGCTGGGAACTCACCTGGATTGTAGACCCGCTCCACAGCTGCGGGGTTGCAGCCAATTCAGGAGCCGATTGCGCTGCCAGGCGCTGGGCTCCTCCAAAAACACGGTGCTGACTTGTGGGAGGCCATCAGGCTGCGGCCCCGGACCAGAAAGGGGAAATATACCCGTCTCGTCGCTCCTGACTGGGTACAGCTGAATCTGCAGACCTTTCATGACTCAGTCTTGGTCCTCTTCCTCTATATCAAAGACACCCCCAGTACCCAATACGATATAGACAGGTGCAAAGTGTACCGGTCGAGACCTCACATGCAGCTTTGCGAGCATTGGGATATCAACTCAGGTTTTGTCACGGTGTACCTGCTGCAGTGCTGGAAGCACGGCCTTCTCCACCAGCTGGCCCACAGAATTGCACACACCGTGCACGCCCTGTTCGTTTGCGAGGGGGGAGCCCAGGTCGATGGCTGCCCACACAGGGTCAGCATTTGTGAGGGAATATAGGCCCAGCTGCTCAAGGCATGGAAGCTGCGTGCCTTCTACCAACCACGCCTGCTCCAGCGCCCATATAATCTGCAGAGCAGCAAAACCATGAACATCCTCCACTGGTAAGATCAGGAGCTTTACTGTCAGCAATGCCACGGCAGGGCAGCAGGAATGCACATCTCTAGGATGAGGCATTGCTGTCCTTTTACAGGGCAGGATTCTAGCACAAGCTCCTCCGCACGGAGTCAGCTGAATGCACGTTGAAGATTTTGCCAGGCCTTGTTCAGCAGATGTGCTCCCCGTGCTGGTGTGCCACCACTGTCTGGCATGCTGTGCATGGCAGAGGTCCTCACCTGGCGATCTGTCAGTTGTTGTTCCATATCAAGGAAGTAGATATTCAGGCTGCGCAGGCTCTTAGCTGTGTTAAGAGCCCTCCACAGACGCTCCATCAGCCCATGATCGGGGTCTCGGCGGTCTAATAATACCGCCACCTGCAGCATTTTCAATAGGCGAGGCCAATGAGAGCTCCGCATGTGGGTGCTCTGCAGCTCTCTGTGATGACTTCCTGGTCAGCTCCTCCTCACTTTTTTTTCAACGGGTGTAAGCACAAGTTGCTGAACACCTTTCAAATTGATAGCTTGAAGGCTGCATGCTCACCTGGAGGCTTTCAAGATTTGGCGCTGCTTGAAACAGACGCTGCAGAAGAAGGAAATTCTTGTGAGATTTGTACAGGAAACAGTCCTGGAAGAAATAGTCTTTCAGCTTGGGACACCTGCAGATGCACATGCAAAAGACACTGAGCTGCACATTATGTCGAGACTTGGATCGTATAATCGAGAGTTCCAAGTTCCCCTTACGTGAAGGATCCCGACGCGCGATGCACCTTGACTACCGATGCGTGTGAGATGGCTTGGTGTGCGGGTCTATAAGTATGATGGCAAGCGTCACATGAGGAGATGCACAAGCAAACAAGCATGCAAGGTATTGTAGAGTGAGTCAGTCTGGCTGACCAGGGGGACCGTATATTCAAAGGCGTTCCTGTGAGGATTGATCCTACCTCAAGTCCATGGGGATATGTTTTGCACCGCCGCGTTGGTTGCCGCAAGTCACCGAAAGCACCTCCAACTCTGGCATACCCACAAGCCTAGGCATGCTATCATTATCAACCTGCAGTAGCAGCAATCCTCTCACTCGAAAAGAAAATCACCATAATTTGCCAAACAGAAACTATGCTAAAGACACATGCTCTCGTGGTGTGGCACGACTTCTTTGACAAAATCACTGTTGACAACTTCCCATGTGCTTTGATCATCGCTCTTGACTGCAGTCTGGCTGCAGAACATGGAGGCTTATGTGATCTAATCACACTGTGCGCAGCTTGGCTGCAACTTGTTCAATTTTGCTGACCAAGCAACGGTTGTCAGCAACAGCGCACCGAGGAGTCTTTGAAATGGAAGAAAGCAGCGCGCAGCGAACCAGTGTGACCAAGCATCGCACTCCCGTCTGGAGATTCAAAATCCTCTGCCTTGAAGCCGGCAAGATACAGCTCTTCCAGCTTTGGCAAATCCCCGATCAAAAGCTGGCAAGGCCACCCATGGAGTTTGACGGACCTGAATATGTAAGAACAGAGGTGAGCCTGCAACATGTCTCATGCCAAAGAACAAGACACCAGATACTAACACGATGGATGTCATCGCAAGGAGCATCGAGAATAATCTGGGGATTCCTCTTCCAAGGCAAACCTTGCCTGTTGTTGAGGAACAGGTAGCGCAGTGAAGGTGGGAGCCTAAAACAGCCCTTGAGGCCTAAATGGTCACACTCCAACAGCTGGAGGCCCTTTTCATTGGCTGCACAAACCTGTGCAATCACGTCCCTGCTGAATATGCAGTCCGGCTCCCACTGCCACTGAGTTTGGTACTTCTCATTCCAAGCAGAGACACCAAATTGTATCGCCTCTTTACTCTGCAGGTGCAAGCACTAGACACGTCATTCCAGTTCACAGCAACACATTGTGCTGGTCTGCTGCATCAAGACAATGCCATGCAGCAGGTCAAACACATGTACGGCAAATTAGTGCTGACAAGCAATGCCATCTATGCAGTGCTGGATACTTTTTCGCTAACACAGATCTACCCTTGATCTGCCTGGTGGACCAAGTGCTATGGTTGAGCGATGGGCTTTACGCATAGATGTGCGGATGTGTCACCTCTTTTAATTGAAGCGCCCTCAGCTCTGGCAGGCATTCCAGCAATGGTTGCAGCACATCTCCCTCATGCACACTTGGCCGCTTGCGCAGCTTTTGCCAGAGTGAGAGAGACCTTAGCTGCTTGCATGAGCATACAGCAGCCTGCAGCGTGCAAAAGCGCAGATGGTCAGAATCAGCAAATGTCATGCCACGGCTTGCAAAAGGGTAGCAAGGGAATGCAAGCTTTAAAGGATTGCGATGTTGTAGAATTATCACTCAAATCATGGTGCTACTCCTGTTTGACCGGGGGCCATCACCCTCAAGGCGTGTTTTGGCTCGAAGTGTGCCATCCAAAAGTTGGACAGGACGAGGTGCTGAACCGTTCCAGCACAGAGTGCAATGATTTCAGCTACCTTCACAGCATTTTCGTGCCCAGTCGGAGGTACTGGGTGCTCGATCGACAGAGTTGTCACCTGGACAAGGTTCATAAGTCAGTGCCATGTCCAGATGCCAGGACAGGGAATAATAGGATCGGTTCCTTGGGCTTTCATGCAATCAAACACATCACCTGCATTCCTTTCGATACACGCCTCTCAATAAAATTGTAAAAGCTGTCCAGGCGTTTTGACACGTACGCTTTGTCTGTCTTACACAGCTGAAGGTACACAGTGGACATCTGGTAAGTCAATTCCAGAAACATCCTGCCGGACATGGCAACATTGCAGACATCCGTCATGGACAAGTGCTCGAAGATGTTCTGCACAACATCTGCAGGCAGAATTGGTAAGGAAGCCTCAAAAAGCGCTAAGCGGGACATCATGTCCCGCTGTTTCAGCACGCCAGCGAAGCCTAAGTTCAATATACACGTCTATGTTGGTGCATTTGGCGTTCACCCGACTGTAAGGTTCTCGCCGAGATCAGGGTCTTGATGGAAGCTTCCCTCTTGGAGGAAGCTGCCGACTGCCAAGAGATCTAGATTGGGGATCTAGATTGGGGTTGCTCGGAAATCTTGTAGGATTCCAGATGGCATGCTTAAGCTGTCAATTGTAGTTCTATCATATGATCATGTCATTTCACCTGCTTGCTTCTGGCGTGAGCACCCACAGATTGTCCCACTTGAGTTTGCAACCTAAGATTTGCATGCTTCAATTCATCAGCCATGCAAGGTTGACTAAGAAGTACGGCTATCAGCTTCATGAAGGCCCCATTTGTGCATGGCGTTGATATTGGCAGGACGGCAATCAGCATGATTGTCACAAGCTTGTTAACAGTGTTGCCCCACGAGTCAGTATATCTCCACACTGCAATGCTTGTTCTGAAGCAATCAATTGAAGACAGCCGCTGGCGGCCAGGAACGCATTGAAATGCAGTGTCTGCACCCAGTACCCGCAAGTAAAAGCCTAAATGCACGGGCACGGGCATTTGCTGTCACTGACAGTCAGCACGGCGGCCAGACAGGCAGAGATTCTGAACAAGCAATGAACATCGACCGTGCTGTTCATCTATTTTGGAAAGATCCCTGCTGGACATTCCTTCATATATCTGTGGCATGTCTGTTGCAACCTGCAGGCTGTGACTCCACGCTGCTAGCTTACTGTGCAGCCGTAATGCCACTCGTCTTTTCCGATCTTCTCCAAATGATCATAAAAAGTGAACTCCAGATCCTTTTCATCCTCTTTATGGTGCCACAGCAACAATTCTGATGTCCCCTCAGGCACGTGCTTGGCTGTGGCGGGAAACGCTGGTTGTATGAGTGCAGCCCTGCCTACTGGCCTGCCCACGCGTTCTGGTAAGCGATCTGGCCAGTGATAAATGTCGGTTTTGGCGCCCCAGTTGTGGTCTCTGCGGAGGTGTGCTAGTGTGGCTCGCAACCTGCAATGCATCATTGCTGCTGCAGAGGTTTTCTCTGCGCACAACTCTACATATCACTGCTAAACGGCAGCTGCACTGGCAGGGTGCTGCATGCCAAGCCACACAATGACAGGCAAGTGCGGGCATTGAAGCCTCTTGAAACGGACGGCAGATACAAGCTTGGAGCAATGCTTTGAGCCCCACAGCATACCGGAAGGGACAGGCCGTTGCCCCGTTTTGGCTTTACATGCTGCTCTAGTGCAGCATGACTCTGCAACAATTCCAGCGCAGGTGGCAATACCACCTCGAAAGATTCCACAGGTTCCTCGCCATGACCTGTGCACTTACCTGGATTGTATGCCCTGATCGCAGCAGGCGGGAGCCAGCCAGTCTACACCAGTGTCCCAGCCTTCAGGCTGCTGCAGGAAGGTGACACGCAGATTGTCACATTGCTGTGGCGCTGGTGCAAGGGAGCTGTCAACATGATTTGTGCTTGACCGTGGGTACAATTCAACCTGCATCCACAACCGGGTCTTCACTTGGCACAAGCAGATGATATGCGCTGCTGAGTGAAGCAAGCGATCACTGGCATGATGCCAGCGCAGGCATAAGAATTCGTTTGTCCCAATCAAATAAACTTTCAGCTTGCAGCTGGTCATCGTCAGCAGGTCTGCATGCAAGTAAGGGGCATCCAAATGACTTTTCCTCAGCATATCTTTGCACCTGGTCCAATGCCGGGAGCACGCCTGCTGTGCGCAAGGTTGCAACTGCAGCACAGATTTCGATGCCACCATGCTTAAACGCCGCCGTTGGTGTGCCCATCTGGACGTTTGGATCATCATCGTGGATTGCCGGTAAGGCATGGTACGCGCCCAGCCTGTCGAGGGCTGGCAGGCACAAGCCCTCCACCTGTAGAGCATCCTCGAATCGCATCCTCACCTGCAAGGCATTTATCGCATGACACATGCCTCCATCGCACTGGTAGGGCTATGGCTGGACCAAATAATCACCACAAATATTGGATGCTACCACAGCACAGTCAAAGATTACTTTTTATAAAAAGAAATTGTGGTCGACTACGGCATGTTCACAAAAGAGCATCACATACACATTATTTTATGTTATGTATTTTATGTTATGTATTTTATGAAAGCTTCGTCATATGCACAGTTAGTCATCGCATCACATTCGAGCGAAAATTGCTGACCAGCTGGCTGAAGGAACACGAGCTCTCTTCGTACTTCAATCTAGTCCGTATCAAATCATCTCACAGGATCCAAATGGTGTCATACAAGTGCGGCTGGCGCCACCTGTAGGACACATCCTGGGCCTGCGTTACACGGGTGTCGCAGCTTCTGGGGGTCGCAGCCAGGGCCTTTTGTAGCAGGCAATCCGTGCAGCAATCATGTGATGCGAGCGCACCACCTTCGTTATTTCAGCTCAGAGTGGCCCACCTGCAAAGCAAGCGTTCCTGCAGTCAATTATTGACTCCGGAACCACGTTCCTGTTCAGGCCAGGCCTCGGCAGGTCCCGTGATGATGACTGTGCATTCGTCCAAATATATTGCGGCTTTGAGCATCTTGCTTGAGTTTTAACGGACTGAGTTGTTGTCAGGGTCCCTGTTCTGACCAGCTACTGGTCCAATACTGGTACAGCATTCGTGTACTGGGGTCTCCTCAGCTGAAGACGACCTGTTATTTGATCCGAACCTTTGTGCCTTGTAAGTTGTCATGATCCACGTTCTCATTGTTTGTTATGAGCGTTGGAATGGTAGAATGGTTATGCCAATGGAGGTTTCGGAGAAAAGCCTGTCCATCTCGCACCGTTCACCTTCACAGATCGTGAAATATGCCTTTCTGAGAATGGGACTCATGGTGGCCTTAACGATAAGAACCATCCTGTGGAACTCCTTTTAGGACTTAAATTGTCTGCAAGCTTGTCATGGTCCAGATAGTAAGTAGCTAACGGTCGATATCTTTCAGGAAGCTTGGCTGCGATGGGGAGGGAAGATCAAGAAGTGAAGGAGCCTCTCATTGCTCATGAGGATCACAATCCTGCAGAATGCATAGACCAATCGGATGCAGTCGGCCAACCAGCAGGTAGGAGGCTGCAGTATTGCTTGCAGTTGTTCCCCCATTGTCTTGGCACTTTCCAGTACTTATCAGAGGAAAACCTGAGAATTCGAACACTTTCTGTGTTCCACAGGGCTAGGCGATGAGGAAGCGCCACGTGAAAACAAGGGGACAGCGGTGGGGGTCACTGTGTTGATGACCACTTTCATCATGCTAGGTGAGATCTCTGGGGACCCTGAAAACTGTTACTGCATCCCACACCGCGCCCTTTATGCCTTCCTTACCACATGCGGCATCCTCAATCTGCACCAATACTGTGCGACCATGCAAGCAAGGAAAAGACCAGACACTCGCACGCCCCAGAAGACCAGTTCAAAAGATAATGACCTTTGCTCAGAAGCCCCCAGACAGGGACAGGGCAGCATCCTGTCAATTGACATCTAAAGCACAGAAGGGCATGCGTAACCATGCATTCCTAGATGCAATAAAACAAAAATACAGAACCAAGAAAGCATACAAATTGTTTTTTCTTTCCGACAGGTGACATGCTTGGGCTCGGATCGCTGACACTGCCATCAGTGTTTGCGCGGCTGGGGTGGGTGCCAGCGCTGGCCATCATAGCCATCTGCGCGCTCGGCACAATCTACAGTGGCCGACTTTTCACTCTGCTCGTCGAGAAGGCAAGCTGCCCTGCCCCTTGTTCCTCGTGAGATCATAGCACTGTTGCTCTGTCAAATCCATGATTGCACCTGGGTTCTCTGTGTTCTCACATGCCTTCCCGACCAAGTGAAAGTTAATTGTAGGACGGAGAATTTGAAACTGTAGAGGAGATGTGGGGCGATCAACCGTGCAAATCTCACATGCTCACCTCCTGTGGGAATCTGGCCGCTGACGTGGCAAACGCTGGCTGCTATGTGTCTCTGTGGCTAGTGAAAGCGTGACCATTTAAGAGGTCCAGTATCCCTAAGAAGAAAATTGGCCGCAGGTGCCGGGTCCATCTCTTCAGGAGGAGAAATTCTATCGGATCATGCCTTATATTTCTATTTAATTGGCCGCAGGTGCCGAACGCGCATGTGTTTGATGATTTGGGCGGCGCGGCGATGGGGGTGTGGGGCCGGCGGCTGGTATACTGCACAGTCTACCTCACCATCATGGGCGAGCCCATCATCTTCCATCTGACCTCCATGGAGGCCCTGCAGCAGATCTTCTACCGCTCCCGGCTCAGCCAGGGCCTTGCTGCCGCCATCGTGGCCGCAATCATGCTGCCCCTGGGACAGGTCAGCTGCTCGCTTTTGTCATCTTACTTTCCCTCATAGAGTCTGCTGGCAGCATCCTTCAGTCAAACTTATTGTCCAAGAAGGGGTGCAATGCCTCACGCATGTTGGTGACTGTCTGGGCGGCGGCTCAGAAATGTCACTGTGTATCCCTTGCATTGCCGTGTGATCAACAGCTGGCAGGGATGCAGCTGTTGCCACATGCATGCAGGGCAGGGGATGTGCTAGCTTCTACCCTATTCAGAGTGTCCCACTTTGGACAACCAGCAGTCGAAGCCTTTACGGATTTTTGGTCCTGTAAAGGATCACTTCTGCTCTTGCGGCAAGGCCATTGCTTTTGCATGATGTGGCCATGTCTCTTGTTCGCCATGAAAGGTGATATCTTGGATTTCTGTGCGCGCAGATCCGGGGGATTGAGGAGGTGAGCGCGGTGTCCGTGGTGGGCACGCTGGGTATGTTGGTTGCGCTCGCAATTGCCGCCATCAAGATCTGCGTCACCCCACACGTACACAGCTACAGGCATGTTTGTTGCCCACACAGATATTCGGTCCGCATCGCAACAGAAGTCCCGCCCGTAGTCTCCTATATTTGCCATGCCAAGGGGCTGCCCGGCCGTGAACATGCAAGTTGCTATGGCTTTCTGAGCTCCAGCTACTGGTGCTTAGACAAAGTACGAGATCCTCCTTTTCAAGTGTGTCCACCTCTTTTCACTTTCATCTCCACCAGCGAAGGAGCATCGTTGGTTGCATGCAGGCCACCGGAGATCATTCACAGGCCGGAGGATGTGTCAACGCCGTTTGTGGCCATCTTTGATGCTGTCTTCACCTTTGGTGGGCAGGTCAACTGGATGAGGTGCGTGCCATTCACACCAGACCCTTCCAACTTCCGAGACATTTCCAATTAATACAAGCCACAGTATTTCTCCCTGCAATCCCTTTGCGGGCATTGGGTCAATAGCCCAACTATTAACCTTTGACAACTTAAGTATTCGTGCTGGTACACAAAGGTTTGCTGAAAGATTCAATTACAGATTTGCTGAAAGAATTTGCCCCAATTTGCCCTGGTAATAGTCCTTCTGTTGGTACACTGTTGCCTTGTCTGTCATTGTGACAGTTGCCTGAACAGATGTCCGGAAGAGGTGGTGCCTGAAGCGGCATCCTCACAAAAAGCATGATGCACATTGCCTGATACTGATCAGGCGCCATGCCTCACCTTGCCTAAACAGGCGCCATGATTTTTGTGCAGGTACCTGATAGCGATGAAGGAGCGCCGGAAGTTTCCGCGCGCCGTGGCGGCGGTGACGTCAGTGATGACCGTCGTCTACCTGGCGGTGGGCTCAGTGGGTTACTACCGCTTGGGCAGTCACTTTGACCTCACCAAGCCGCTCACCTCTATCCTGCCCCAGGATGCCTGGCTCATGGCTGCCAATGTGGGCCTGCTAGCCCATTGCATTGTTGCCTACATGGTGCGCATCAGGTCCTGATTGGTCCTCCTGTGATTTTAACAAGTCACGTTGACAGATGCATTGATGCCACTGGAATAAGGAATTAAAGGATGCCAGGCATGCACATTTGCAAGATGCATGTTGGAAAAGTGCTTGCATGGTCGCTGTGCGTGGTGTTAACCCATGCGTGTGCAATTCTATCCTCCATCATAGCCGCATGACCTCCGTGTCAATTACATCAATGCCAGTGGTCTGACAAGATTGAGGGTCCCAGAAATTACAAAGCCCTTCAATTGTAATGGCTGTTGCAGTTGTTGCTCTCAGTGTCAGGCTCAGGGTGTACAAGTCTGATGCAGTACTGATTAGAGTGGCTGCTGTGTGGTGCAGATCAATTTGAACATATGGACGCACCTGCTCCTGCACCTCTTTGTGCCCTCCTTAAATGGGTGCGCAGCCCCCCCAATGTTCCTCTGCCTCTCTCTTACTCTCTTTGAAGTTCCGTCGATGCTAATAAGTTGGGAAGGTTTTTATCAAATCTGCTGAGAGGAGCTTGGCTGTACTTGAGAGGCGGGTTCATGCATCCACAGCAGGGCCTAGGTCTCCAGGGCTCGCTACCTGCATTGCCTGGCACCATTTACTGGCATGCAGCACTGCACGACAGCCACTCAACCCTTCTTCAAGATGATCAACATAATCTTCTATCATTTACAAGTCTGTGTGTTGCAGGGTGGAGGAGAGTTCGAGCCTTAAGGGCCGCGGTGCATGGGCGGCGGTGAGCACAGCGGGCATAGCGCTGAGCTGGCTGGTCTCCATAACGTTCCCCTACTTCTCCACAGTCATGGCCATCATCGCCGCTCTGGGCGACCTCGCCGGCGCTTATGCCCTGCCCGCCCTCTTCGTCCTGGTGCGCGCACCCTTTCCTCCCCTCTTTTTATTGAGGGTTTTACGCTGCTATGACATCATTGCCCTGGCGTGCTCACCCTTTTTCGCCCCTATGATTCTTCCCCTTTGCTTCTTCATGGTTTTTGGCCAAGAGTGCTTCAGAGCATGATTACGCAAACCACCACGATCAGGAAACGTACAAGAGGACAAGAAATTGTACAGATCCCCCCTTTATCCTTTCATGCATCCCCTTAGGATAGCTGCTTCTTTGTGCCATCCGATGATGTCTATAACATTCTCAGTTTCGCAATTGGGACATCTCTGTGTGGAGGAGGCAGCATGCAGCTCGGCAAATGGACAGTCCTGCCGCTGCTGTGTACTGACGATAATGTGCAATAATGACAGTCTTACTGATTGGTTGCTGATGATGATAGTGTTTGTGCAGTACTTGATGGCGCACAGGCTGCCTCGGTGGGAGAGGATGTTCTGCTACGTGCTCATCCCAGTCTCCCTGGCGCTGTCAGCCGTGGGCATCGTTTCCTCTATCAGGGAGCTCATCAGCGAATTCAGAGGGCACCAAGGATAAACTTTTGCAGTTTGACCACGAGACACACACAAATGTTTGATCCCACCAGTTTCAGGAGGTTGTCCTGCAGTAAATTGGTCTCATGAGCTCACCAATGTCGCTCTGTTCTGCACAGTATTGCAGTCCTTCAATGAGGCTGTTAAAAGCCTTGCTTGAGGCTGCTGCCTGCAATTTCCACAGGAGAGGGCAGCCGTGAGAGCGCCAATGTCTTTGGCGCTGTATTCAGTTGAGACAGTGAGAGTCATAAGCATGAACACATGACGACTCTGGCAACGTTGCCACCTGGGACAAGGCGTCCAATTCGGTTAAAGCGTGACCCTCTGAATGGAGCAATGTTTGGAAGTGAGTATTCAATTTCATTCCATTCATGTCCGGCTGATTTGTTCAGCGTGACATTCAGAGTAGTTGACTTCAACAATGCGCCTAAAAGGGGCTCAGTGCTCTGCTGGTGCAATTGTTTGTTGGCATTACCACTAGCAATTGCAATCCTGTTTGTGCTGTGATCTTGTCAATTTTTTTAGGTAAATAAATTTGCTTACGGACTGGCTGCTTTGTGCTGCACCTTTTTACACCCACAACCTGGATCCAGTCAAAACAAGATTGAGCAGATCTGTAAGAAAGCAATGGACAAGTTAAAGCTCAGCTCTGTTGTGCAGCCATGTGGCTCAGCAATATAATGACAAGAAATACATGCATGGCAATACAATATCACTTGTCGGCACAAACTACATGCCCATCCATACATGTTGCACAATGTGTGCACACTTTGTTCATGGTCTACAACCAATGCTGCCGAGAAAAGGATTGGGATTCCGACATGTACAACATGTCTCAGCAGCATTGGGTCTCAACCTGGTCTACAACATAAACTCTCACACTCAATAATCGTGGCAAATATACTGCATGTATATATTGCATGCGTCGCCACTTCATAGGGCGCCGGCTTTAGCAGCTACCATCCGCAACCTCTGCACAACACCACTGTGTTTATACTAGACAAATCATTTTGAAGTCAAGCAGGACACAGCAGCTCCCAACATCCTGACCCCTGGGTCCTCTGAAGTCATCAGATCTTGGCATGACTGCAAACACACATCACTCACATTGTCCAATATTTTTAGTGGCGGTAAGAACAGAGGATTTGAAGTGTCAAACTAGCTGCCAGACTGTCATCTCGGTCAAGCTCAAAATTTTCGGTGTCTTTGTTCTCAACAGAAGAAGGGTGGCGGTGAGCAGGGCATTTACCGGGACGTTGATGATCCGCTCCATGGCTGTTATGATGGGGCCCGGAGTCTCTAGGCAGATGCCGGCATGCGCGCCATCTGCGACACACAGGTAAGATCACTGCCTGACTTTGACTTCTCATCTGCTTGCCTCCGCCAGCTTTGTCAACATAGCTTTGCCCAATATGCTCCTTTGCACACCTCGGAGCTTCCACCAGCTAGCCCAGGGGCTTTGACATCAAGGGGAATCCCGGGAAATTCAAACGGAGCGTATTGGGCAGGCATGGCCGCGTTTCGACCGGTAGACTGCTGTCTCTTCAGCGTCAAGTTCCCTGCTTCCGCATGCATTGTGTTGCTCAACAATCCTGTATGCAGATTGTAGCATGTCTCCCAAGTAGCCAAAAAAAGGCTGCCTCACCTGTGAGGATAAGCGGGCAGCGCAGCTGCTTTGCCAGCTTCTTGACCCAGCACAGGCCGGCCACCACATCAGATTTTCCGTTAATCAGCTGCATGGGCACGCCTGCTTTACGCATTGCCCAGATCTCACCCCTTGACATCCTGCACGCACACACAGAACCGCTCTTGCCGACGTTGAATTCATGCTCGCTGCAAACAAGTACCATCCTGTGCAGCGTGGCGAGTGGCAATGGCCCATGTGAGAATTGAGTAGTGATTATTGAGCAGCTGCAGCCTTTCGAGCATTCGGTCTCCGTGCCCTTTCAATCTTCCACAGATACATGGATTGCAGGGAAGCTTGCAAAGGGGGTAAGCTTGAACTTGGAAGCACATGCAGAGCAGCAGAACAGTGGCCTCTGTCACGGGGAGTCATGCTACTGCCGGTCAGTGAACTGCGCACCGCGCAGACAACATTCTTACAGTATTTTCTCCATTATAGTTTCCACCCTTCATTGACCCAAAACCCTAAAACCATTTAGCATCCCCATGAATTATCCATATTTCCAAAGACCTAACCTGAAGTGTTGTACTAAGATTCACGGGGCGCACCGGTGTGTGACGGCTGCTAGGACATGGCCGTTACGGCCCATTTCTGGCTGCCCCTCAGCCAGAAATTTTTCAGTGATGCCCAGCCGGATTGCCTCCCACGTGCTGTCTGTCAGCACCTGTACCCACACCCACACAGCGGCAGTCATCGCACCTGATTCTCTTTAATTTGACTCTGAACCCCAGCCAGGGGTCTCTTCAACTATCTTACGCTCTGCATGATGGGTCATTAGGTACGTATTAGAGGTCATCTGAGTCTTGGGCTCCAGAGGGATGCAATGAATCGCAAGGTGCAGAGCAGACTTTAAAGACTTCAAGAAGAACACCCCAAGAAGGCCAGAACAGGAACTCGCACTTTCAATGCCTCTCTGGAGTCCTGCAAGTGTCAGATACCTGCAGGACCACTGACAGGCACTGCATGTGCCAGATTCCTGCACCAGCCACGGATTGCTGGCAAGACACGTCCTTACCATATATCACCCTACACAGATATCTAAAATGTGCCATACGTGATGAGCTGACTGGCGAGGGTGAAAATGCGGCACTGCAGCCGCCAACACGGGTGACTGCCCTGCTACAAACGACGATTACCAAGTGTTAAAAACACTGTTGCCAGTGGATGCCCAGCTGGAGGAGGTGCAGCCGCTACCAGGTGACGGCCCACTAATAAGCAATTAGCATCAACTTCTAATCAGGACTATTGGATGAGTAAGCACTGCATGTGCGCACCTCTCCTCGCGTGCGGCCGCCGTCGACCTTGTGCGACAGGTACTGGCGGCTGAAGTTGGCGCGCAGGTTGGCCGGAATGCGCGACTCCAACGGCCCAGCACCTGCCTGCGCACGGCCAGGGAACTCTCAAAAAAGATTATGCTGACAAGAATGAGGAGTTGCATTTGCACTCACTTGTCAAAGTCCACAAAGGTGCACATTGAATTGACGATTCTGGGGCTTTTAGAAGATGAATTGCTGAGCCGGCCAGGCCCTTTGGAGCACCGAGCAATGCCAGACTAGCTAGATGTCCTAGCGGGTAGACTTGTGAGGCAGAATGAAGCCATTCTGTGCAAAACAATAAAGTCTGCGCGCCAGTCCTTCCAAGGTATGCATCCGCCCAACTTACAAAAGATCACCGTTTTCATGCAAAGGGGCAGTGTTTGGAAGGTCCGTGAGAAGCATACATTGCCACAAGCACAGGATAGTGCATGGCAGACATTGCTGCACATGCTGGGGCACCGGCAGGAGTGCGAATTTGGACGGCTGGAAAAGGTGCATGCAAGACACACCGATAGCAACCTATCTGACATCATCTGTCTTTCATGTGGAATGAGAATGTCTGGTCGACCTCCATGAGCATTTCTTGCCTGCATGCTCTTAAGTACCAGAAAGCAGTCCTGGGTCAGAGCTGATGCAGCGTGGGGCATGCACCTGCAAATTGACCCAGCGGCGGCTCACCCTGGTGCCGGCCAACGTTGGGGTAACTCCCTTTTCAAGGGCATATCTTGCCACATGCTCAGGAAGTGAAGATATCAGAGCCAGAGCTGATGCAAAAAGTGGCGCGCACCCGAAGGGTGATCCAGGGGCGGCTCATCATGGTACCAGCCATCTGCAGTCCAGTGGCGGTGGTTGACAACATAGTCAGGCTGGCTATCCTCCTGGGGGCATGCGCCAGCATCTTGCACCCGATCATGCCTGCAGCCGCAGCAGCACAGAGGGATTTGCTCTTCTGACAGTAGCAATGGGAGTGTGGATAAAGCCCAGATTGTTTCTTCCCTGATTGAAGCTGAGGTCAGCACAGTACATGTTCGCATTTGTTATCCCGCTTGGGAGTAAGTATAAAGCCCAAATTGTTTCTTCCCTGATTGAAACTGCACAGCACAGTATATGATTGCATTTGTTATCCCGCTCAAGACATTTCAGGTCTCTCCTCCCAAGGCACATCAAGGGCTTTCAAAGTGGAGAAAAGTCCTTGATGTTCGGTGCATCTTCAGATACCTAGAGAAAGCTGCTGACTATTACCAAGCACACTGTAGCCATACAAGAGAGTTGCCCCTGCAAGAATATATAACGGCCTAAAGTAATATGTAAAACAGTACACAAACACCCCAGACCCACTTCTGGTCTGGGATGCATTTGATTCTGGCCGGATACACTTAGTTAATTCCCCTGCTAAATCCTAGGGTCGCACCCCCGAGAGACATGCCCATGACGTGCGCGCGTGCCCATCCCAGGTGGTCCATCAGCGCCAGCGCATCGGCGGCCATCAGGTGTGTCCGGTACGCGGCGTACCTATACACATTGAATTTATCATTATTTTAATATTTATATTATTAGACGCGTCCCCTGCCAAGAGGCAATGTGCGTCCTGCAGACAAGCTGCAGGTAAAGGCTGCCACAATCCTACACCTTGTTAGATTCGCCAGATCCACGCAAGACCCGATCAACCGTAGGCACGGTGCTCAGTACTTCTTCCGGCCCCCGCCAGCCGGGGTCAACATATATATAATCCAGGTGGTAGAGGTTTTTTAAACCTGTCCGGGATGCTGCTGTTGCCGATCCCCCGGTTGTCAAACGTGCAGCACCTGCGCCCATAATTGCAATTGGAATTGAGAGGACTGAAACTCTTTCAGACACTGTCCATGACACGTTGCAATTTGATTCATGTGGATGGCCACCAAGCATGCTGGCCTGCAGGGTCTCACTATGCCTGCACGGCATGCAACCTACCAACAGGAATGACACACGCAGTTGTGCTCTTAACTCATTGGTGCTGTCACACGCCGTGCGGGACAGCAAGGCGCTGCCCAAATTGCTTTCCTTGAATTGCAAGTGCCAAGCCTAAGAGTTCCCTTGCCTTGTGGCACAACAGTAATGATGGTATTCTGGGACCACTGAAGAGCTGGAAGACCATGTGAGAGACAGCCCAGACGCTGTTGGACACGCCTTTCAGTGGCGGAGTGAGTGCATGAAAGGCAAAACCCGGCAACCTGGCAACCAACACTGTAACTTATGTGTCGCTTGACGTACCTAGTCCTCAGGACTAGAAAACGTGTTATTGAGATCATTCCTATTCAGAGCAGAGGACTCACGTGAGCAGCGGCGAGCCCGGCTGCGGAGGGGCGGCGGTGAGCGAGGTCAGGTGGCTGACTATGGGGTGGAAGAATTCGGTGCGACCGCGCGCAGACATGCCGCAGATGAACAGCACATTCGCGCACACGCTCGGATCCACCGCCTCAACGCCCCTGGCAATCAAGCATCAATTTCGCTTCGTAGATTACTCTCAGGTATACTAGCACGCTGCTCCTGGAAGAGGCAAGGTGCGTCGTTAGACAGGCAGGTGTTGGCTTTCTTGGAAACAGCAGTGAACTCAAGTAGGCAGATTTCTACCAGCTTTAATGATCCAGGATGCATGCCAGAGCTTGAGTGGTGGCACATGTACACTCCAGAAGCCTAGTGCAGGCTAGCAAGCAGTGGAGATTAAGCTGATGGTGCACTTGATGCATTTGCAGGCGGCAACAGAGCTCATGCAGAGATCATGGATGCTCCTGCTTTTTAAAAAATGATGTGGGCACGGCACACATGCAGCGTTTCTTAGTCAATTGCGGCTGTGATTGGCCTACCGACTGGATGCATGGGCGGGGTCTTCGTGTGGCATCTCAATCACATGCTCCCCCTCCCTGAGACCATTTGGAGTCGTTACTGCCTCTTCTGGCCCGGCTTTGGAATTTTCAAACCCTCCCTTTCTGCCAGCTGCTCCCTGATCCACCGCATGCTTAGCACCGTCGGTCAAGCCTGCTGCTGGCTCACTCACCCCATTTTCGTATGGCCTTGCCTTTCCTGACATGTCTGTCATCTCAATGTTGCCCCGCTGCGGCTGTAAGGTTTTTGACCCATTTGTTCTGCCTGGTTGGCTGGCCAGCATCTGCTTTCCTGTGTCTGCCTTCCTGTCAGCGGCAGCTGCCGAGTCAATGGCATCTTTGACTCGACCGAGCTCGTGATCGGTGCCAGCGGCGCTGCTGAGGCTACTGGATTGCCTCTCGTAGGTTTTGCGTCCGTTCTTTGCTTCTGAATAGCTGTAGTCGTCCCTGTTGGTAGTCACTCTGCCTTGCAGCTCATAGTAGATGTCAACCGGTCCGTCAGCGCTGACTAGCTTTGCGATTGGCATCTTCGACTAATTAAAACTATCACCGGGTTATACTCGGCAGCAGGACTCCGCATGAATCCCCATACCCGTTTCGAGCTCAGTCAATCTAGCTCGGCTGTCCTTGGACGGAGCATATTCCAGTTGCCAAAGTCAATATCAGGGATCACATCATTGCGTTTCAGAATATTTCTGCTGTTTTTAAGTACCGATCATTCATGTTCATTGTCCAGAGTAAATTACATCAGGGCCAGAGGTTTTGTCATGCCTTTGTGGTCATGTGCCCAGAAGTACACTGTACAAACCTCCCAACACCCCTTCCTGGGACCCATTCGTGTTGCACAGCCTATTTTTGTGATCAATGAATTGATAGGAACAGCAGAAATGCTTTCTGAGGAAGGCAATGCTGCCTATTCATCACTCGAACGCCCACGTAACCTTATGAAATTGTTGCCCAAATTTCCGAGACCTTGGGATGGCTGGATTCCAAACCAAAGTATGCATGTAGAACACTTTGCCTTACTTGATCCTTGTCTTTCAAAATTTACACCATTGCTTCAGGGAAGATCGCTGACCTTTTGAGTTTGAGATCAGACATTCTTCAGGATCCCATCTCTTATGTTGCAAAGATCCTGTCGTGCGTTGCGGCCCCAAGCTCTTGATAACCTCCTCAATAATCCGCTTGGATTGTTGCTAGGACTTCAAACCGCTCAGAAAATCTGCTGTTTCGATAGGTAAGTTCATTCTCAGGGAACAGCCCTTTCAGCATCAGAACTGAGTACCATCGTTTGACTTGTTTGGCCACAAAACTCTCAATTTTCATTTTGCAGCAGGCAGAGTAGTGGCAGATGTGCCAGTACCTGCACATCATCCCAGGCATCAGGGCAAGACGCATCTGCTGACAAACTTGCACAGCAGGAGCTCCAAAATGGCCTTCCAGAAGTGACAACAGTGCGATCCATGCCCCTTTTTCTCCTTATCCTGACTCTCCTTGCATGCATATAACATTGCTCGCCACCTGCTGTTTGTACCTCTCATGGCAATTCTCTTTGAGCAGGAATTCGAGGAGGGCAGCACTTTCCGCTCCATCACAGAAGATGAGATGCGGCAGCGCAAGAACAAGGCCGTGAAGGCTTGGCTGGTGAGCCATTCCTGCTTTGATATTCAGGCGGGATTTTCATAGCATGGCCCATGCTTTGGCGGGCGCTGTGAACAAATGTTCGCAACCGGGAGAGGCAACGACGGTGTAGAACAGAACACATGCAGTGGTGTGGGGCGGAGGAAGCAGTGCTGATGTGTGAGGTCAGAAGCAGCAAGCACAGGATTGTGTGCATTGTGCAGGAGCATCAAGTGGGGGGGGAGAAGTTGGATGTAGTGCAGATATTGCAGTCTCACCATGTCATTGTCAGGGGCGGGCCTGAGGAGGGTACAAGGCTCATAGATGCCCTGCTGGTGCTGCCCTGCTGTGACATGAAGCATGCTGCAGATCACTTTGCGCTGCTGTGACGTAAAGCCTGCATGCAATGCATATGAGCCATGGTCTTTGCTTGAAGATCTCCTTGAAAACCTGTGTTCTGACTGTCCGCAGGAGTGGAAGCAGAAGGGCATTGAAGAATGATGAAGGTACAAATGCACCTGTAGACGACTACAGAAAGAAATTGGGTTTGTCTTGAGAATCCCCTTTGCCAGAACAGACAGGGGACCATATGTATGCGGTCATACTGAATGATTAGGAGCTGCTTCAGCAATGCTTGCTGGTCAGTTGATCATGTAATTCGTCATTCAGACAGTAGGAAAGCATGACAGCCTTGACCAGGGTCACCGCATGCGGGAATGCGAATAGTGCGGGATATAATAGAATGCGTGTATTTTACTGCATTTTTATTTTTGGGGCATAGAATGCAGATAAAATGCGAGGTCCACAAATACGCCTTTCTTCCCCTTTGGGAGACCAGTGAGGATGGGTCCCACCCAGCAAGGCTATGATTCCCTGCAAACATCTTGAGAATACCCAAACAGGGGCTATTCCTGGAATTGCCTGGTTAAACCAGCATTTTGCCTGGCTGTACCCCAGTTTTGCCTGACAAAACCAAGGCAAAACTATTTCAAACGCATTTTACCGCATTTTACCCGCATTTTATTTTTTCCAATAATGCATGCATTTTACCGCATTTTATTTGTGGTATCACCGCATGCGGTGACTCTGGCCTTGACAGTAGATTGAGAAAGTCGTAAATTTTAGTCATTATGCTTGGAGTTTGAGGTAGGCATATCCAAGTGCCTAGTAAATTCTGATTCACTGGATGCTGGCACTGGCAAATTTCTCAAGCACTCAACTCAACTCACTCAACACAAAATCCTCGAGCACTCCATGCAACTCAACTCAAAAAAATCCCAACCGTCCATCAGACCTTTGTAGAATTGTCTGGACGTTCCACTCTACTACACGTATTGGTTGCCTAATGTCTTGCAGATTGTGGCAAAGTTGGAGGCCCTAGCATACATCGAGGACATCCGGAAGAGAGCAGACCTCCAGGAAAATAATGTTATCAAGATGCGCTAGCAGTTTGGAAAGGTTTCTTCATCCAAGCAAGTGGTGTTGACTCGAAAACGATGCAAAGCGCTGCAAACACACAGGACAGAAGAACAAGGCACCCTAGGGACAAGACAATCCACATTGCATGATTAGCACCAGCACTATAGAAAAACAATATAAAGTGAGCAGCAATGAACGCAGCAAAGGCGCTGACTGTCGAGATTGCCAAGAAAATACTTGATACAAACACAACGTGCACTATTTGTTGCGAACGAGTGCAGAACAGGGGCAGCACAGCACACAGCATGACTGTGGCTAGTGCTGAGAACAGGGCAGCTGCATTGAAGACGACATAAACATTCCCCCATTTGCTGAGGGATGTAGAAGTATCTAATGCCAGGACTTCAAAGGAGTACCAATCTTGGAACCAGTGGTTCCTGCACTGAGTGCTTTCCTCCCGAGAGCCTTGATGGTCTGCACATGCGCGTACCCCATCCTGGCTGTAGTTGCAAGTCTGCCCTAATTGCTGCGCCATAACAATCTGGTACAGGCTTTCGGGGCACAGAGATGAGCAGCCTGAGTCATACTCCTTTGGCGGGGTCAGCACACCGGTATATGAGAGCGTGGCCAGCAAGACAGCCACAATTGCAAAGTTTGCAAGCACTTTCTCGCAGGCAACGGTATCCCAGGCCATCAGCAATTGCTTGAGGTGCACAGATGCGGTTTCCTGTGCCTAGCAGCGTGGATCTGCAACACAAGCACACATAGGATTTACTGGTCAATAAGTGAGGCATGCCTTAACTTGGATGCAATTCCAGACTTGGAACTCAGTAAAATCTGCTGAGAAATGATGATTTCGAGATCCTCAGGACATCATTTTTCTTGGAAGATACGCTATTCATGATGACATTGCTCCGGTAAAGCTCACCAACGAGGCAGTGGTGCAAGGGGCCCCGGTGCAGGCGCAGGACCTGATGACACATGTACCGGTGAATTGCCTTTCCAGAAGGGCGCATCGCCAGGAGGATAAAGGCCAGCACTCTTGTAAAACACACTTACACCGCCAGCTCGAGAACTGTTCTCTAAGGGTGCCTCATGTCTATTTGCGCAAGCCCGACAGAGCCACTCTGCTTTGGGGCAGCGAGGGGGCTGCGTGGCATTAAACCCCTCATAGCTCCAATGAGATAAGAATTGCCAGGTGCCGTTTGGGTATCCTGTACCAGATACAGCGTTGCCTGTGAGAAATTCTTTGCCCTCGACTGGTGGAATGCAGCACTCAAACCTGCAGTCCCCTCCTATGATATATTTATCGTATGTAAACGAAGCAAAATGAGATGCGCTTGGCCAAAGGCTTGAATTCACACTTGGACTTAAACTCGAACAAGGGCTGCAGGTCCAGTTGCCCTTGAGGAGGGCAACACCCCAACTGACTTTTTCGAATGAAAGCTGCGAGGAATACTGAAGGCTTCTTTCGGCTGTGGTGCAGCATTCGGATTCAGCAGAACGGCAAAATGGATAGCTCAAGTAGTACTCCTCGCATCCAACTGGATGCAAAAGCACTCCACACGTGACAACCAACAGGACGATCCCACTCGAGAAAAGCATTGCTTGTAGAGGTGGTTCCCTGTGCAAGCGGGCACACCACTTACGTTCAAAGAACACTCACGTCATTGTAATGTTATTATTTGTGACAGCTATGTTTCCAGCTGGGATCTAGACCATGCCTCACGATCAGTTCTTCGTGCCACCCTAATGTCGACACTTGACGATCTGGGAAGCGAAGGCGAGCACTTTATTGTTGGCACGCTCGCAAATGTTGAGTCTCCTCTTCTGGCAGAAATAAGAGGGTTTTTCTCTGACGTGCGGATCATGACTTCCTAAAATTTTATCGCATATCTAGCTAACCCGAGTTCACACAGCACCCTACCCTCGAGGAGCTGCCAGCGGATCGTAAAATGAACCATCACAGAGCGTATTTATATGATATGGACTTGGAAAGGGAATGTCAAGCACAAGTAAGACAGGAAGCCTGGCAGAATCAAGCCTTAGCCATTCCGACAGCCACCTATTTATTTCAGCGCGGGTGCACAACCAGAAGGCCTACCTTTGTATGCGGTCCTAACAGCAGTCTGTGAAGTCACGCTCCCGTTGCCGGTCGGACGCATCCCAAAATGTCGGGCATCTCTCCAATACTTCCAAAGTGCAGACGAGTTGCCTGATCAGACTGGCAGCCAGCTCTGTATTATGACCTGCCCATGATAAGCTTGATGGTTGTTCATCGCAAGAAAATGGACACAGTCCCATCGCGATATCATTTGCTTTTCAAAGCCTTGCTATCGTTTGTGTAGTAATGGGTGACTTCAATCCAAGCCCGTACCGGGGGGAGGCTTCGATCCCACACGTCAGTGAGGACTTCTTCAAAGTCTACTTCCTGGGAGCGCAGGTAATGCATTCTTGATTCAATTGTTATCTAATTTGCTATTGTAGCTTGCGCTTTCAGGTCCATGCCTTGCTCGACCACGGATAGATGTGTGCCTGAGAAAGTCAATGTGAATGCCTAAGTCCCATAATCATATCTACATGGCAATGTACTAAATTTCTGTAAGAGATTTACACAGTTCTTGAACAACTTTCCAAGCTTGCTCCGCGGGCGATCGTTGAATCGACCAATGCGTGTGGTTTGCAGCTAGCACTGGGCTTCTTGCTGCTGCCTGGAAGGATACTTGGAAGCGAGATCAGGCCGCGCAAGTACAAGTGAGTCACATGTTTTCTACTCATACTAACCAGCGAGCAGAGCGGAGTAATCCAAATGTTACGATGGCAGTACTGACCAGCTTCAGACATCAACTCTCAGACCTGAGGGGGTCTGTGTGTTGCAGCCGGGACCTCATCATTGCACAATGTGACGAGGCAGCCAGGAAAAGGGAGGCCAGGCGAGGGAAGCCGCCAAGGCAGTTCACAGTGCGCACTGATCTAATGCACATCATTCCCATAATGCGTCTCTCTTTTTGAATGTTGTCCAGCAGTGTGCAGGCACGAAAACTTTTGCAGAATAGGATGCGAATTGGATCTGTGTCTGTGCTACAGAGGGCCCCTCACAAGGTCACAGACAGCTGGCCGCACATGTGGGACAGGCAGCTGCATTGGAGGAGGTGTGTGGCCTGCCTGCAGCGTCTTATGTCCATGACTGAATTTTCAAAGACGGTGTATGTGTCACAAGGTCAAGTAGTGTGCTGCTCTGTGGCTGACTGTAGTCGAGCGATGGTTGATGCCCCTGCTTATGGCCAGCAAAGAATCTTGGCATGTGCAGTGTGATATTTGAGTAGCAGTCTTGCTTGTGCGCGACATGCTTCTTCATCGCTCAGTTGAATCCCGCCATAGCATCATCAGGATGTCATCATGTGATTCACATGACCAGCAAGAGTTTGGTTCTGCTACAGGTGGACTCAGGATCGCATGGGTGGAGGCAGCCTGAAGCCGCTTTAAAAGCCCAAACGCACTTCAACCAGGGAATTTTGGTAAATATATTGTCATCGTGTTGTCATGCGCAGCTTCAGCTCAAGGCTGCAGCTGGTCCTATACATATGTTCACACGCAGTTTTGAAGATGCAAGCTTAGAGTGCGCAGTTTGCATGCACTTGCAGTTTTGTCTTCAAATTTAAATGGCATCATTATCTCAGAACACATTGATGACTACAATGAACAATATTGTAGGCCCTGGCCTATGATGTCTAGGACTTGAATCACTCTTATTTCTCCTTGTTCCCTCAAAGCCAGCAACTAAATTCGTCAGTTTCCCATGTGTCAGCTTGTCTTGCTGTGCATCGCAGCTGACTGTAAGAATAATTGTCTTCTTGATATCAGGTCTTGGGGTTCCCATACATGCATGTTCACATGTTTTTTTTAATCACCAAAGGACGTGAACAGTCGTGCATGCTCTATGTTACTTGCCCTTTAAGGGTGTCTGGCGCCAGCCAGCTCAAGCATGGCAGCCTAGGAACTACAGTTCACTCCACTGCTCCTCTGTTGTAGTACGTGCTGGTCCTAGTTTCAGTGATCAGTTCTCTCTGTCTACAAACCACGTGCGACGGACGCTACCCATGCGCGACCTGTCTATCAGAAGAATGAGCGCCACAATTGCGCTTGAAAAGCTGCCTACAGTCATGATGAAATGACCTTTTCGGTTTGCCATGTGAGCTTCCTTGAATGAAGTGGCTGCCGGGCACGTGCTGCCTGGAATCACTAAGAAATTATGCATGCAAGCTGTCAACTGCGCAAGTACTGGTAAAGCATTCAGCTCAGGATAAAATCTTCTTGTGGCGGTCTCTGGACAGTGCTGAAAGAATCGCATTGCTTGTGCGGCAGTTTCCGCGATCGCACTGCGTAAGAACAGCTGTAAAGCAACAGGCCCTTGCAGCCCCATAATTTGAGCAGCATGCCGTGCTCTGCATCGAGCCGCATGCTGTGCCAATTGCAATCTCTGGCCGATCCGACGCACAGCCTCAACAACAGCAGCCCAAAGGGAACCCCCAGCTCCCTTTATCGGGAGCTCGGGAGCCTCGAGACAGCCGACCAACTCTCCTTTCCCTCTTTTGTATCTACTGGTAGGAGAATTGGCGTTTCCAGACGTGGGTGCGCCGCTTGCGCCACATCTTGGGCCGCAGCAGCCGGTCCTCTGCCTCCCGCTCGCTTGGCCTGCAGCACAGCATTAAGGCCATTAAAAAGGCTTGCGCAGGTTGCAGCTACGCAGGGGATCAATCAATTTCGCAAGTCCTCATGATCGCTGCCTTCCTCTCCTCCCTTTCACAAGTCAGCAACCACTCTAGCAACTGGCACGATGCTTCACAATGAACTTCAATGATCCTTGAAGCAGAGTAATAAGTGCCTGCAACGTGCAAGGCACCAGAAAGAAGTATCTTGTGATCAGTACTACTGCAGGCAAAGATTGAATGCATCCGCGCACCTCTTGAGCTGTGCCTTCCAGAATTCGAACAGCGAGAAGAAGACAGCGCTCATGACGGCAGTCTGTGTGACGCGCGGGCCCATGCCAGTGAAGAGGCCGCCCACTCCCTTCTCCTTGACAGTTTGCTGGAACACCTGCCACACATAGAGGCCAACATTTATGTGGCAGGGTTTGCATTGTATGCCATCTGCAGTTACTCGCTTCCCAGCTCTAACCTAGAACAGCAGGTCATGTTCTAACGCAGCACTGCGTATTCTCAGCTACATGCTGTGGCCCTTTTCACAGCACACAAGGGCACTCTACACTGTGTAACACAGCAACTGCGTCTAGTACCTTTTTGAGTCACCACCACTGCTGTGTCGTGGGTCAAACACATGGAGATGAGATGGGATGATCTTTTTGTAGGCTCAGGATAGGCGGAATCGGTTGTTACACAGCGTGCAGTCTGTAAGAAGAGTCCATAGCCAGTGGAGCACCACCAGGGAGATGTAGACAGCAAAAGATTGATGAGGTTGGTGGCCAATTGGTAGCCATAGGTCAAATGCATGCTGGCAAGGTTCATCGCTCAGCGCCTGCTGACACTCAAAGAATGCTTCAGCCAGGTCTGTGCTCACCTGGTGGATGGGGAGCTTGCTGCCGCACTGCAGCACAGTCTTTGTGAAGTCCAGCGGCATCGTTATGCTCGCAGCCGTCGCACCTGCGCATAATTTGCACACCTGTCACACGCTGCTCATCGACAGGGAACACGTTTTACTTCCAAAATAGACCACTACCTGTCTTAACACCCATGCAATCACGCAGATGAGATCCTGGCGCCACTGCCTTCGAGAAAGCAAACAAGGAAAGAATGCTGGGCCGCTGTGAATGCATTGGCCAGGACAGCCGCTCTGATGCTTGAAGGCATGTGCTCGGACGACCCCAGCTGGCAGGGAACACAAAAGTGTCTCTTGAATGGGTCTGCAATTGGAAGAGGGATACACCAAAAGTAGATGCTGTGCCACTGGCAGTGTCCAACAAGCCTGTGCTATCGAGGGGCAGGTGAAGCTGTTTCTGCTATCCTTTATTCTGTATCAAAGTTGATAGAAGTGCCCACCAGAGAAGCCGCCGAGGATGAGGTGCTCCCAGGTTCGCAGCTTGGACACCTGTCTCCGTCTCTCAAGCACTTTGCGCAGCCGCTCGTACAGCGCAAATTGGATGGCGATGTCTGGGACGTCCCTCAGTAGCGTCGGCAGCAACCCCTGGTACAGGCCCGCCACTCCCTCCGCCGCCACTATGCTGCGCGCCCCCTGCGCAGGGTGTATAATATCTGAATTCAAGGTGGGTATAAAGCGGAAGTCGTTGTCAGGAGCAGCATTGGACGCATGCATTGGACCGCCAGAAAATTATGGAAGTGAAGTGGCATCGTTTTCTGCGAGCCACCAGTTGCAAGCAGCTTGTCACAGTTCCTTGTCACAGTTCCGATTGCAAGATTTATTTCACTGTCCTGCAGCCTATCATTGCTCACATCACTGCTGTGCCTAGTATCTAGTGAAGGTAGGGGATGACATTTATAAACTCTCACATCCAAGGTAGCCCCTTCGTTAGCTGGGGGTGGAAGAAAGAGCCTGGAAATCTCTTTGTAGATTGTGGGTAACCTGTGCCACTAGTCTTTGAGGGCAGGAGGCTGACTCACCCTCCAAATGTCTGGGAGGAGGTACGCCTGCACGCGGTGCTTGAGCGTGTCTGTGGGAACCCGGATGAACGCGCTCACGATGGCCCCAGCGCTCGCTGACGCCAGGTGAGTCACCGCCTGCAGCATTACCAGATGCCATAAGGCACTGACAACACCAGAAGCTCCCAGGGAAGAGCGCATGAGCATGTCTTGATTGCACACAGCATTTTATGCACACAGCGCAATTTGCTGAGGACGGCTCTGTCAGGCTTGACTTCTTTTGGGGCAAACAAATATCAGGAAGCAGCAAATTAGCGTCTGCCTCTTGCCCCATGGCCTTGGCATATAAGGATGCCTCTGCTACTGCAACAGCAGCAACGTAAAGCACTTGAATGCTTGCAGGAAACTTCATTGAGCAGGGCTAAAGCAGCAAAGAGAGGGCATGCCTGAGGCTGGCCCTGCGCTGTGAGCTTCTCCTTGCACCACTCGTATGTGGAGAAGTACAGAAACGCTGTTGGGATTGTCCCCAAGATTGCTCCTGAGATGCCCAGGTAGATGTCTTTTGGGCCCTGCATTGCAGGGCACAGAGACTCTAGAAACTTCACATCCATCTGTGGTACAAAGATCTTCTGAGAAGACACTGCATACATGAGGTCTTGTGCGCATGCTCGTCTCTGGCAAGCACCTCTTCCGTATCACCTTCTTCTTATCTCAGGCCGCCTGAAAGCGCAAGGCAACACTACGAACAATTATGTTATCTTTGGATCAACGGCCCACCTCTTGAAACGGCCTGTGTGAGCATTATGCAGAGCTTCTCAAGCATGCACTCACCTTGACAAGCCAGTTGCGCATGTGCACGACCCGCCTGTTGTTCACATAGACGTCCACTGGGTGTGCCTTGCTGTTGGTACGCCAAGCTTTCAACAGCTCCGGCGCTGTCTTTTTGTTCACCTGGTGGGTACATCTCAGACCTCAAAAGAGTTAGGTACAGACCAAACAAGACCAATATTGCGTACGGTAGTAGGCAAGTCCAGAGTATACTGCAGGTGAAGGTATTCCCCAGTGTAGATCCTTCTGCGCATTTCTGAGGATTGATTGAATTACTCCTGTGATCACTGGACCGTAAGGCACCACGTTAACCTGGAAGTGCTGCCTTCAAAGCCTTGCAAGCACAATTGTGGCATTTGGAGTGCAATTGGCGATAGTGGGAGTGAGGATGCTACCTGTAGCCGCGTCTTCACAGTGTCTATGGGGTGGATGAAGGCCTGCGCCATGGTACGCGCTGCTGTGCCGGCAATTATATGTCGCACCTGCAGCACAACAATTTTCTTGGGTATATAGTAGCTTGTTTGCAGGGCTTTCAAGCACCCAAATGGAAACAGTGATGGGTCCTTGACATTTTGTACCTTGACAGTCTGTCCTAGAAAATGCCTTGTGAAGCAACGAGCGTTGTTCTACACACATGCCATGAGTTTTTCCTCTTTGTGTCGCTTACCGTGTCAGAAAGCAGAATCCAAGGCTGCAAGACGCTCTCTCTTGAGGCAAACATGCCGTGAGCTCCAGGAATGCTAGCCAGCACGAGCCTGGCTTCTCTTCTGCGATGCCTGCATGATTCTGGTCTTCTTCGCTGCCGTTTTCTGGTTGTCCCGCCATTTGCATTGAAGTCATTCCCCCTTCCTACCCTAGGCAGAACTGAGGAGCAGGATGCAATCATGACGTCGCCTGCTGAGTTCTCGCGATCCATGCTTCACGATTTGCACCGCAATGCAGATCTAGTGGCAATATCTTGAATAAAGACCAAGGTCCGTCATCAACTGTGCCAGAGTCAACTGCCCAGCTGTCTTCTTGGAGCTCGAAACGATCACCTTCAGCCGAGTACCTTCAACAACTGGGGTTGCTTGACGGCAAACAAATTCTTCGGGATTTTTGGGTCGCATTTGAGAGCCAGTAGGAGCTTGACATCAGTCCGTTAGTCAAAGTGGGAAGCCCCTTTATGCTTCTCGGCTGGATATTCCTCCGATTCTTTCCCGCATGGAAAACCCTGCAGCATGGAGATGTCCCCTTCGTATAGAGACATCGACCCTGAAACCCTACAATACGATGCTCCAAAAATTTGCAAATGTGATCATTGCGAGGCCATCTTGGACTAGAATTTGCCTCCTTCGTGATGCGAAATGTACCATACTATGTTTGGACGCTAACAGAACCAGCGGTCAGATTTATCAGCGCGAGCAAATCAGGATGTCACTATGACCAACACCGAACAGCAGAAAAGAATGTTCGTAATGTGCAGGGATGAGAACAGATAGGATCATTGAGTTCTTGTAAATCGTTGCATTCTAGTGCTTGACAATGTGAGCAACAGCTTGCCCGGCTAAAATAAACTGAAACAAAGATTATCATGGCCAGGAACAGATCCTCTCTTAGCGTTCCTCTCGTTTCGCTCCCTAGTGCCGATCATCCCGGAGGTATGCCTCATCTGATGTATGCGCATAGTTGTTATACAAGTGCTTTTACGTCTGCATGCATCAGTATAAGTTGCTTAGAGAGCTGTGAGATGTTGCAGGGTGCTCCTGCACACTTCATCGTTGAAAATCACAGTGTTGATTTCCTGCAGGAGATGATCTCGAGGCGACTGGATCACATGGGGAGTCTTTTGGCTTCCCAGTGAGGCCTTCTGCAGTATCTGAAACGTCCACAAGTTACCTGGATGATGAAGTGGATACAGTGCCGGTGCGGAGGCACATGGGGAGCGTCTTCTGGGGCCTCTTTCAGAGAGGCAACGATCTGGAAGGAGCGGTGAGCATGCCACCTGCTCTTTTCCAACGCTCCTGGGGCATGCTCTTCATCACAAATTGGCCCTGGAAGCGGACACTGTATTACACAATGCACTCTTTGAGCTCAGTACCCTGCCATATTATTATGAGCAAAGATTATTCCATGCATGTGCAATCATGTCTGAGGGCATGGGCTTCTGTCAGGGGGTGAATCATTACTACACAAGGGAGGAGCGGGCACGGCTGGCAGATGTGGAGAGCATAGATTACCTGCCGCCCAACAGCGAAGTGTACAGGCGATGGCTTGCAGGCCAACCGCACAGGCATGCTCTCTGCTCTTTCTTCTCTGCTCATTCTTCTCTGGATCGTGTCTTCAACAATGCTATGTACTGGCTTTGCTGAGGTGTTGAGGAAACATTGTTGAAGTGCCTTGCTTTGCTGAGTGGGCGAGTTTTGCACAGCTGCTTCTTTTCCTTGACTTTGAAGAGTCATAAATTTGTCCTCAAGCAAGTTCGTTTCAAGAAGAGTGAGCTTCAGCTGCTGACTGGGCTGGGGTTGTCCTCATCAGGCGGCAGTGGGACAGATGGTTCATGATGGGCAGCATCGGTGTTACTGTCGGCCTCATCGGCTATTTTCTCTTCTTCTTCATCGAGCTCCTCTCAGACACAAAGTACCGCACAGTCAGGTGCGTGCACCACCCCTTACCTACGCAGGCTCTGCTCTGAAGACACTGTCAGTGCTTGCCTTTCCAGTATCTTCATTGCAATGTATTGCTGCAGTCAAAATTACCCAGAGTCTTTCTCTTGCTGGGGTGGCATCTGGCTGGAATTGCCTTGGCCGGTCTCAGTCGATCATGCTTTCTTCAAGGGAGCACTTCTGGAACCTCAATACAATGCCATCTTGAGATATTCCAAGGGCGTTGTTTTTTTTTGTTTCGAATTAGAGACCTGTTGAGATCCATCTGAGGCTCATTGGACATCATTATCACCAAAGTATCTCTCTACCCAAAGCGGTCAGAAGGCTCAGCACTGCTTCCATGCAGGTTTCTGGTGGGCCACACGAACATCGGCGTGGCCTGGCTGTTCAACATGGCGTACAGCATCGCGCTGGTGTTCGGGTCAACCTGGATGGTGGTCAACTGGGCGCCCCAGGCAGCCGGCGCAGGCGTGGCCGAGGTCATGGCCTACCTCAACGGCTGCATGCTGCCGCACGTACGCCCCGCTTTTTAAAAACTCAAAAGACAACAATGCACTCTGATTCATGTTTTCCAACACACCTCCTGTTGTCACTTCCGGTGATCAGAGGGGAAACGTTTCGTTGGGTTGCCTGCCCGTGGCAGAGAGCATCGTTGAGCTGTCGTGTGTATCAGTGTTTGTAAGGTGGAAGGGTGTTGCATGGTATGGATGGTTGACTAGGCTCCTTCTTGGCAAGTAAAGGCTGTGCTGATGGAAGAGTGGTTTGCTTTTCAGTCCCTTGCACAGTTGCAGGAGCATCTGTGGCAACACCGGTGCTTATAAATCCGTGCCAGCAGGCTTGAAGCTGACCACTGTTTCATCAGCCCAGTCTTTCATAAGCTTTACAAAAAAGACCATAGCCTGCACAGGCACTCGTGCTGCCTAAAAAATTCTAGTAAAGAAATTATTAAGCACATGCCTGCGCACATGCACGCGCAGGTGCCCAATGTGCAGACGCTGATAGTCATGTTGTCCGTGGTAGTGATGCATGCCAAAGATTTGCACATGCCATGTCTACCAGATCAACGAGTGTGCTTTTTTCGCTGTATCTGCGCAGGTGTTCAACGTGCAGACGCTGATAGTGAAGTTCTGCTCGTGCGTGCTGGCGGTGGGCAGCGGGCTCCCTGTGGGACCGGAGGGCCCCATGGTGCACATCGGGGCCATGATCGGCGCCGCGCTGAGCCAGGGTCACTCCACCACGCTGGGATTCACCACCGGCCTCTTCAGGCGCTTCCAGAACCCGAAGGACAAGCGCGACTTCGTCACCGCCGGTGCGCGCTGCTTTTCATTTATTTGCATATATTTTAATGGTGATTCTTGGGTCTCTAATTTAGGGTGTTCAAGTCTCCCCACGGTCCATGATCATTGTCTAAATATAATATTCATGCATGATTCTGACATGGGTCTGTCGCTCTTCAAGCATGATCCTCAGCTTACACGCATCAGTGTGGCCTGGCGCGCCTTTGGATATGTGAAGTCTCTTGCGGTCTACTTTGGCAGTCTCTCTTCTGCCTTCTGCCAAAGCATGCTTTTGGGATCCAGGTTTATTGCCTACCTGCACAATTGCCAGATATCATCAAAGTTGAAAATTTTTGGCTTCGGTGCACTCGGACACCTGTACAATTTGGCACAGGGCACTGTCAGCAGTGGATTCACAGTATCACAGTTGTGAAGAGCATACACTTGCTGCCTCAACACAGCGGCTGATAGTGATAGTGTTAGTGTCCACAAAATTTCAGCTCTACCTAGATTTCTACACACACTCCACAGAATTAGTACCAGAGCAACGTTGCAGGATGAAAAACTATCTGCCCTTGGGAAGAGTCCGAAGCTCTGGGATGCTCCCATGCAGGCACGGCCGTGGGGATAGCGACGGCGTTTGGGGCGCCGATTGGGGGGCTGCTGTTCGCGTTTGAGGAGCTGGCGAACAGCTTCAGCCAGGCCCTGGGGTGGCAGATATTCTTCGCATGCATGCTGGCTGTGCTGACGCTGGACACCTTCAAGTCCGCGCAGCACGCGCTCAACAAGGGGCACTTCGGGCTGTTCGACGGCGATGCCTCCACCGTCTTCTTTGAGGTGTGTGCACAGCCTGTCGCCTACAAGAATAGCATATCCTGCTGATGGCTGTCTGGGCAGCAGAATCTTGCCAGTGGCAGAGGTTTATCTGGACGAAAAGTGGGTATCTAAGGTTTTGAAGAGGCATGTTGCATTGCTGAAACCCACAAACGTCCACGGGTAGTGAACCTATGCGCATTGTAGTCACCCTCGCTGCAAATGTGGGGATTACAAATATTAAGACCAGCTGTAACCCTCACACACCCTTCATAGCACATGTCTTGGCTCACCTAATGAGTCAATGCTGAGATCAGCGCATGCGCGCAGGTGCTGACTCCGCTGACTAATCATGTGGCGGCGGTGGCGCCGGCGGCGGTGATTGGGGTGGCCTGTGGGCTGCTGGCAATCTTTTTCACGGTCATAAACCTCAAAGTTGCCCGCCTCCGCATCGCCCTCCTACAGGTGCGCTCTTCTTGTACTTGTTTTCAAATGTCTCTCAATAACCATATGTCGCGGATTAAGTTGATCTCATGAAATGTCATGGACATCCGCTGCACTTGACAGGCTCATTAGATCAGCCCCATCCTTGACATGCGGCTGTTTCATTGCACTTTAATTGCAAATGAGGTTTCCAAGAGATCCAATTTTGACACACTATGAGCCTCAATGTGACCAAGCGCTACGTCAGTCACGAAGAGCAGTGTCCAAAGCTGCTCTAAAAGGAATCCACAAATATGTATAATAAGTCTTGCTGTGTCTCCACCAGGGGCGCAAGGGGTGGCGAATGGCGGAGCCATGCATTCTGATGGGCCTGTTTGTGACGGCGGGCATGCTGCTGCCGCTTGCATTCCCATGCAGAGCATCCCAGTGTGTCATTGAGCAGGGCGCCACCAAACCCATCTGCCCACCGGGCACCGCGCAGCATGTGCAGTGAGCCCCGATCCCTTTTGCTAGACCTTATGCACAGCTGAAGGCTGAGTCTTACCTTGGGTACGCCCGCTTGTCGAGGGGCAGCTGACTGACTTCATTTGTGCAGAACCCGTAGTGAGCCGCTGCACAAGGGCCGGTCCTTGTGCTTGAAGCCTTGTAGTGGGGTGGCCTGGGTGCAATGGCCGTGTTACTGGCTCTTTGCAAGCGAAAGCTGTTGATTGCCTGTTGTCCAGCCCGCCAGGAAGTCACTGAGGCCAGAATGATCCCTTGCTTAACAGAGGTTTTCATGCAAGCAGAGAGCCGCTCTTTAGCGGGGCCTCTGCGGTGTACGGGTGCCTGCTCCTAATTCCTGTACACGCACCCTGCCTCTTAGCAGATACAGATTCAATATTATGCCAATGGCATGATATCAAATCAATTGTGTTAATTGAATGCACGTTCTTGTCTAGAAGCATGCACGTGCGCTGGCAGGCGGATAGTGGAGCAGAGCCTGGAGCTGTACACGTGCAGCGCCGCTTCGGCCGACAGTGAGATGCCAGCCCCACGCCGCAATGCCACTCTGCCCACCACCTACAACGAGCTCGCCACCCTCATGTCCGTCACAGGTGTGTTCTTTCCCTATATTCGACAAGACTCCTGAATGGCTCAAAATATACAGTCTTATCCCCAGCTTGAATGCCTAGGAAAGGGTGCCCCACGTAGAGGTCATCTGAGGCTTCAGGGCCCAGAGGAACGCATACTTCTGCTCAGTAAATTATTATCCCTCGTCTTCCTGGCCACGGTTTATCTGTACTCCATGCAGCTTGCTCCTCTGCGAGTGTCCAGAGCCATTTTCCTCCCTCCCTGCTAATGCTATCTTGCATCAGCAGATTCTGTGAGGGGTGCTGCTATCTTGGCTGTCAAGAACAGTTGTCTTCAGGTCGCAACAGACCGGGAGTGTATTTAACCACATCAAAGCTTGCAAGCAAATCGCTTATTTGCAGGCGAGGACGCGATCAAGCATCTGCTGTCGCGCGGAACGCATCGGGAGTTTGGCTATGCGGCGCTGATAGTGATGCTGGCGGTCTATTTTGCCGGCGCGGTGTGGGCGGCCGGGTCGGCCATTTCCAGCGGCCTCTTTGTGCCCATGCTGCTCATTGGCTCCTGCATCGGTCGCATCGTGGGCCTCATTGCTGTCGACTTTGCAGCCGCCGGCGGCCACGGCTCCGCCAAGTGAGCCTGCGCATGTCTCTGCTCTTGTTGCTATCATGAGTACTTGCGCAGAGTGCCAAATTTGGCTGTTCAAGTGGCCGTCACCAACGGGAGTATTAATGCGAAACATTAATACTCCCCTTGCCGTCACTGAGTGAGGCTGTGCCGGCACATTACCCTTAAGCAAAATCCGTGCCGCGGACAAAGCCTTGTTTCCGTTACCTGCATGTCACAGGTGTGTGCCTGTCTTGGTGATCTTGATGATGTGTCTTTGGATGTGGCATGTGGCCTGTCTAGACACTTCTGGGAAGCCGACCACTTTGACAGTTCAGACAACCTCCCTGTGTAGCTGAGGCAGCAAGACACCAAGGACATGTCGTTACGTGCGCCTCGACTGTCAAAGTTATCAGCAGAAAGGGGGGCTAGCGCTGTGTAGGGAATCTGAGATTTCTTCCCTGGTGCAATGTAGCGCGCCTCTTGGCGTGTTCCTGCCCCCGAGCCCCTGGTCCTGGGTGGACCCGGGGGCCTTTGCGCTGATCGGCGCGGGCGCGTTCATGGGTGGAGTCACTCGGCTCACCATCTCCCTCGCAGTCATCATGATGGAGGTCAGATGACTTTCCCTCTCTTGAGATCAAGGGACCCTTGTGCAGATGGGCTCTCCAGGCTGGCCATCAAGGTTGCAGCGTATGAGAGAAAGATTGCCAATATATAATGGGTTTTGCATGCAAGACTGAATTGAATGCCTAAAGGGAGTCATCTGAAGCATATGCTGTGGGTTGTGCAGGTGAGCAATGACGTGCGGATGCTGCTGCCGCTGCTGGTGGGGATCCTTGCGGCCAAGTGGGTGGCCGATGCAGCCACGCACTCCCTCTACCACGGACTGCTCGAGGTCTGCCCCTGCTCCAAGATACCATTAATCCTGTGATCATTGCCATGCTCATGCTGCAAGTTGATCACTCGCCGACTGCCATGAAACGAAAAAGTAGCTTGTGGTGTTCAAGGTATGCCAGCGATGCGGTCCCAAGGTAGATTGAAGCGCTCGTGCGCCAGCTTTGAGAGCACGTGCAGTGGGCTTTAGTGCATTTGGAGTAATTTTTGCTCCTAGTCAAGTGGATGCTCTTTCAGGGGTGCACAGTGCGCCTGGGGCTGCAGAGCATGCAGTGTGTGCCCTGGCACCTTTGCAGCCTTGCTCATCTGCGCAGACTGTGTACACTGCTGTCGCCGCAATTCGAACAGCTTCATCATGGGTGCTGTCTGGCCGGTCTTTTAGGTGGAGTGCATGTCACTGCTGGCGAAAGTGCATGGCTCTTCAGCAAACCATTCGGCCACCCGGCATCTACTCTATAGAAAGAAATGCCATTCTGCGTGCATGCCCGCTGCAGGTGAAGTGCGTGCCGTGGCTGCCGAGCATGCCGTGGGCCAAGCGCTCGCTGGACCTTGTCCCCGTGCGCGCAGCCATGGCCGCCCCGGCAGTGACTCTGCGCGAGCACATGCGGCTGGAGGACGTGCGGCAGGTCCTGCGCGACTCGCGCCACAACGGCTTCCCCGTCGTGCGCGATTCCCCCGCCGGCCAGGTGCGTGCATTCGTGTGTGTCTGCGACTTTCCTTACACTCAGCCTCTTCTTGGTGTTTTCTTACAATTCCTTCCAACAGAACTTTCAATTCAGATCTGAATGGGTACATCATCCGTTTTCGCGCAGGTGCTGGTGGGGCTGGTGAACCGGGAGCACCTGATGGTGGTGATGCGGCGGGCGCTGGCGGCGGGGGGCGCGCGGGGGGCCCAGGGGGGGGACCTGCCGGAGGTCCCCTATGAGGAGCTGAACCGCAATTACGTGTCGGCCGCCGCGCGCTCGCTCATCTCCGAGCAGCAGCTCGCCGTCCTGCAGGTGACGCGCAATGCGCAAACATCACACCACAGGATCAGAAATGCAGTTCTGTGCGTGTGGTGTTACGTATTGAGGATGAAGCTTGTGCCGACTGTTTAGAGTCCGTTCATGCCTGTTTAAAAAGACCAGGCCTGCTGTGTCAGCATCCGCATGTGTGCGCGGTGCACCTCGGTTCCAAAGAGCGTGCCGCAGTGCTTTGTTCGCCGTGCTTTCCTCTAGTGCTACAGCCGCCATTCTCTGGGCTGGGAAAGGTGCCAAGGCCTTTGCTCAAGTCTGCTGGTAGCCTACACCGAGGACCTGCTTGTGATACCAGACTCGTCAATGTAACTCCCTGCCTGGCTTCTGTATTGCAGAGTTAGCAGGCCGATAGGATGCAAATGATGCCAGACTCAGACCAACTTCACTCTCTCTTATTCCCTATTTGATTTCAAATTCAAATTGTGCGCAGGGCCACGGTGTTGACGGGCTGCACGTGGACGGCACAGCATTTGAGCGGGTGCTGGACCTGACGCCGTATGTGAACACGAGCGCGCCGGCCGTGGCGGAGTGCTTCTCCCTGGAGCGCGCCTACATGATGTTCCGCCAGCTGGGCCTGCGCCACTTAGTCATCGTCGACCAACACAACCATGTCAAGGGCATCCTCACGCGCAAGGTGCGGCCTTCTCGCTGCTCCATGTCCAAGTTGCAGGCACGCATGAGTACCAAAGTCTGCATTTGCATGGCTATGGCTGAGGCTGCAACCCGCCTCAATTTGTGACTGGGAGCGCCATAGCTGTCAGCAAAGAAATGTTCAATGTGGAATGGGCTGCTCAGTAATAAAAGAATGGCCGGATTCTGGAGTGTGCTCCTGAAGCGTGAAGAGTTGATGGCCAGCTGACGGGAACTTGATCGAGATTGCAGGCTCCTTGCATAGCCAGCTCGCTTACTGGTTGTGCCCTGTATGTGGGTTGCTGTTCGTGACTCATCTGTTGGCTTATTCACCACCAATATGGAGCTTAAGATATGCGCTTCTTCGCAGGATCTGCTGGGCTACCGATTGGATGATGCGGTGGACCGCGCAAGAGCCAGCAAGGGCTTCATTTCCCCTTCAGCCTCAACTGGCCGGCTGCGGCCGCGCGGCGCCAGCACAGCATCCTCCGTGGACGGAGCCTTCCTGTGACTGTCTTCTTTTCCCTGGAGAAGTTTGATTGTGTCTCCAGCTGGACGTTTGCTGTGTTGTTGTTTTCAGGAAGGGCAGAGGTGAAATAGGCTGCTCAGCAAAATTCTGCTGGCACAGCAACGACGTTTGCATACGGATGAGGTGTACAAGATTTGGGACGCAAAATGGTGTTTTGGCTCCCACAATGCATGCTTTGATTATTCTGTTTGATGATGATGGTGCACTATGTTGCAGTTTCGATCCTCCAGAGGTTGTCGTTTACACAGTGGTGCTGGTGTTCAGTACACGGCTATATGGCACCTCCTGCATCCACAAATACTACCCTGGATGAAAGTTCAATGTTTTTGAGTCGCTTTGCGCCAGCACAGATTCTTGTAAACGCGGTCATGACAGTCTGATCAGTCAGAAGCTGGATACTGGCCTCTCAGAGCCCAAAGCTGGGTGAAAGAGGGTGTGCCGTAGTTTTCCACATCCAAGTGGCAAAGTCATCGATGTGCTGTGTGCCACTCCATGATGCATTACTGCATATCCCTAATTATGAATGGCAGACTGTCAGTGACCTTCGAAGCTCTCCCGGCGAACCGATGGTATGTTGCATCTACTCACTCTCACGCTCATAACAATACCCTCTGGGGGCTTGCCAAGTCAGCACAGTACCGATTCTCTTATAATGCTAGCTCCCCTGCATTAGAGACTGCTCTCCTTGCCCCTTTGTCCATAGGGCCTGATTCTTATCACACTGTTGCGCGTGCAGCGCAGAATGATGGGACTGACTGGGAATGATGAGACTCCGTATGTGGCAGGATGACTGTTGTCGTGTACTGTCATCTCTGCAGATTGCAACTGACTATCTCTCTCCCCGCTGCTCCGGTGTGAGTCCCTTCCCTCCGCACTCTGGACAAGATATCAGCCCGAATCCCTGGCAGTCATAGCACCTGCAGAGAAGGTAGCTTGAGCCACGGAACGCATTACCACAAAGATAGACACTAGCAGATGACACTAAAATGTTTGAGCAGCGTGAACAAAGCTGCAACACTCACTTCCATCGTTCAAAGACGTTCCCATTCTTCTTGTTCTTTCCTGTGCCCTGTGCAGGAACAAGGTTGTCTCAGAGGATTGCACACCATCATCATGATCTTTCAAAGCCAAGGTCAGTTCCACTGAGCACGGTCACTTACATTGACCCATGTCTGCGCACATATATGCAATGCCTACCTTGCAGCTAGGACACGTGAGGCTGCCCTTTGATTTGCATTTCTTGCAAGGCTTTGCCTGCACAACAGTACTTCTTCGTCAAGCAGTCCCAATAGATACCAAGCATTGCAGGAAACAAAGCGCTATCTTGTAGCACGATGTCGCACCTCTGAAACCTGAGGAGCCTTCTTACCGAAGAAGGAGCTCACTTTTACAGAGCTCCTGGTCGTAATTTTACGTGAGAATTGGCGCGTAAGATTCGCAGATGTGCAAGATTGCAGATGAAGACTCCGAAATGGATGGCAGATGAGCATAACCATGAGGACTTCCTTCCAGTTAGTTTCAACACATCAAATCGAAATCTTGCGCTTTTGAGTTAAACCACAACAATCATCTGAACCGCAATAACTCGACAGGGTACTCCAGGCCAGATACAAATGATCGCCAATCAAAGTCCTCCTTCGGATAGCTGCTTCGGCATGAGCTAAAATAGGCTAGCGAGTGTGGTTTCAAATTTGAATGCAACAGACATGTCAGCCATGGATGCAGAACAGCAGTGGCAACCCAATCCGAACCAGTCACTTTGCTCAAAGGCACCAAGATGCGGCCTGCTACATTCATATATTAACACATTACGAGCAGCAGATGACATGAGAGTTTCGGCCATAGTGCCATTTTGCAGATTAGTCAAGAGGCCTCAGGCTAGAGTCTAGCCGCTAGACTCAGCGCAATTTCGACTGCAGCTCTCCGGTGTTGATAACAACACCATCATTGGGAAAATTTGCTAGATTAAATCCACGTGATGACTGTTTGCAAAGAGCATTGGCCCCAGAATCCGGGATTCCGAATCTGTCCCTGTACATGAACAAGTTCCAAATACTCATTGCTTACAAAGAGGTAGCAATCTCACCATGCCACGCACATGCAGCTGCCTAATAAGGGACCTCTGGATACTATAGCTTCTACCTAGCATTCCTAATTAGTTATAACAGAGGCCCAATTAATCTAGCAGAGGCAACTATGCTTCTCATTACCTCAGTCCATGAGGTCTTTGTCCACGGGACAACATTTCCAGCAGGCACCACAACAACAGTCATCCAATTTAAATCTATTGTCGATACTGTGCAGCTGGTTTGTTGTAGACCAGCGCCTTGTGGATGTGGACATATTACGGCTGCCCCTGTCGTCTTGCTTCATTTCAACGTGCACTCCCTTGTTCCCCAAAAGAGCAACCAGAGCCTCGGTGTCCGGGCAAATAAGGCGGCGGTATGTGAACGAAATTTCTGGGCATTTCTCTGCAAATGCGCCCACATCTGCAAAGCGCAGAGTTAGCACTAAGCTGCTGGAGATGTTCAAGACCTGCCAGTTAATGGGCCCTGCATCAACCACAATACTGACATTCTGTTCAGCAAGGAGGCTGAGCCGCCTTAGGCGCAGCCATGGCCCTTGCAATACCACAGGGTTCCGACTGCAGTCTTGAGAGGGAACGCACACCGTCGTCGCCCTAAAGCTCCGACAGTGAAAGAAGACTGACTCCAGATTATTGGCCACCAGCAAAAAGCGTGGAATGCTTTGCGCTGGAACATCAAGGCCAGAGGCGCGGAGGGTGAAAGAGCGCATCGCCCCACTGGCAGTGAGACTGCTCCACATCTCAGAAAGAGCCGTTTCACGGTCGCTGCATCCAACATGCAGGGCTGTACCCTTGGCAAGGGTCAACGAGGCAGATATTACGTCATCCAACTGGATGCTTTGCAGCTGAGTGAGACTCTGAAGCCTTAGCTTCGTCCTATCACTTCGAGGCTGCCACCCATCAGATTTTAGGCACAATGTGCGCAGGCCTTGCAGCTTTGGCAGCAAGGGCTCCAACTGGGACAGGGTGCCTCCAGTGCTGTCAATCTGCAGATGCTGCAGTGTGCTTTGCAGGTGAGTTATTTCTGGGATCCAGAACGTGCACTGTAGCCGCAGGCTCAAGAACTTCAAGCCATGAGTACGGGCCAAGAGGCACGGCAGAAGTGCCACTGCGCACGTGCCTTTGTAATTCAGGGAATCAAGACCCAGAGTCAAGAGACTGCTGAATAGCTCAGGAGCTTGCATGATGTGAGATGCCATCGCGTGCAGCTTGGCATCCTTGGCTGGGAGGATCAGGTGGCATCTCTGGAGATGGTGTGTCCTCTTCATGAGCCAAAGGATGCCTGCAACAGGGAGGACTCTGTTGACACACTAAACATTGGAAGCGACGCACCTAGCCCTGAGGGCTGGAAGCGTGTAATGGTAATCATATCATTGGCAGCAAGCACAATTGTGGATCTGCAGAAGCGATTCTCAGGCTACGGTTGCGCTGCATAGCAGGAAGGCATGCTATTTGACCGTAAAATATGAAGGCTTTGACTAAGAATGTCACCTGCAGCACCAAACTTCTGGCAGTCCGTGATGTTGACGTTGGATAGATGCAGCGTCCAGGATGCTTTGCAAACTCCTGAAACTTGCGCCCACTCTTCCGTGCTCAGATGACGAGCGATTTTCTGCCACACCTCTTGGGGTACGTGCATGTTTGAACATGCCTGCACTCAATAAACCGAAGGTAGAGCTTGGCCTCTCGATTCCAAGACGCAGAGCACAGCAGGAAGTAAAAAAAAATCGGCGACTGACGATTTATAATCTCAGTAGCTTGTGACGTGTAGCAGTTTGTACTGCATTCCTTTTCTCACCTGAAGCTCCAGCTGTGCCATGGCACAGTCTTGCAGGATACTCTCAGCTCACACCCGAAGAAAAATGAAAAAGCCGGTCTCAAGTCGTTACGCTGTATGAGCCTCTAAGGTGCCAATAAGATTTGGTCTTCTGGGCAGTTTTCTAGAATCAGACGACGAACGATAAGTATGATCAGCTGTCCAGTGCACTGCACGTGGTGCTGGTGCCGGCTAGGGGTAATTAATATGTTGTATATTAGTTACCCCTATACCGGCACGGAGGAATTATAACATGATTACCTCTGTGCCAGCACCCAGCAAGGAGTGCGATGCATTACTTTTTGGATGCATCTTGTTGAACAGGCATATCTTATTATCGATAACAGGGTCCACCACGTTGACCTTTCTTTACCACGATCCTACGCCGGTGGAGGGGTGTAGCTCACACAGCCGTAATGACTGTTTCAATATTTTTGCTGGACCAGGTAAAATTCAAGCCCCTATCTCTTCAGAGTCTCTGGCTTTCTGGACACTCGAAGCACAGCACCTTGTAAAAGAACCCAGCAGCTCATGATATTGCTGGTTGACTCTTGCCGTTTAGTGGTTGAGGCATGCCACATTGCGCAAGCTCACATTGCAACTAACTAATTACCGAAGGACACTGGCTACATGCGTACGATGGTGGCAACTGAACACCAGTTTGAGCTCTAAAACTTAGAATCTGGGGCAGCCCTGTAGCCTAGTAATGTAACTGGTGGGGGTTCAGTCCACTCAGAAGGCTCCACCGTGACACTTAGAGCTATACTTCAGGCAACCATCAATCTAGGAGGCCTTCATCTGATGGGCGACAGGTCCAGCAAGCTCCACAATCCACCATGCGGCACGCATCAGCCAGTGGACAATCAAGGCAGACCCTCTCCTTCTCCTCACCAGACCACCGAGAAAAGGAATTTTAATCACCCGCACAGCGGCTTTTCGGAATTGCATCCGCACGTTTGCCGCACCAAGCAACCGCAATCACACTATATGAATTGTCTTAATTTTGTTCGGCCCAAGCAAGAAACCCCGCTGCGTATATCTTACAAGCGCAGTCGGCAATTCCTTCCATCCACAGCTCAGCATCAATTACAGATCCTAATACCTACTTTTGCACTTGGCAAACAAGCCATTGTCACTGTGCATGCCTATGCAAACCGCACTGACCTCAGCTGCAAAACGAGCAGGGGTACTTGTTGCAAGGGCACAGTGGTCCCAGGCGGAAGTTATCCAGGCGGCAGCAGTCGCTGCATGCAAAGCACCTGCAGTTGCTGTAGATAGGGCATTCATCATGCAATCGCAGGTGCCATAGGCTGCAATGAGAGCTGTAGACTGCACTGTACACCTCGCACAGCTGTTCGATCTCCACATGCATGCCCCGTTGCTGCATCACCTGCACTAGTGACAGCAGGCCGGTGCCCTGAAGAACACCATATAGGAAGGAAAACAGCCGCACTGTCTCCGCAAAGAAACCCACACTCTGGAAGCCCACAAACAGCTCGCCATCAGAGTGAAAATTGACCCAGCTCCATGCTTGCTCCTGTGGCACCTCCACATAGAGGCCCTCTTTGCACTCCAGGCACAGGCGGTCGACATGTGCCAATGCGCCCTGCAACTTTATGTGCTCCCCACACCCTTTACCAAAGCTTTTCAGCGACAACACGAGCGTGTCAATCCTCACTATCCGCAGCATCCAATTTGGCAGCTGCGCCTCATCATCAATACTCTCGTCCCTTGCTTCCAGGGTGAACGACCTAAGGATCCAGCGATCAGCCAGGTCACTCCACATCTCCCTCCTTGCATCCTTCAGGGAGTAAACGATCACATGAAGCTGACCACGGTGGGGCAATTCTATCAAGGTGGGCACTAACCCATCTAATTTTAAGCTCATGCGGAAGGTCAGCTTTTCAAGATTTAGTTCAAAGTCAGGGTGCGCCACCCCACACCAGCCGCCTCTGTACACAAGGCAGAGTGTCTGTAGGGTGACCATATTCGAAAGCACTGGCACAGTATTGAGAAGGTTGCTGCTGTCAAGGTGCAACTGCAGGTGCTCGATATGTGTCAGTCTTGGCAGAGTGGGCAGGCCAAAAACATCCAGGCTCAGGAACTGGATTCCATGGGCCTGCCCAAACAGCCAGGCCACTGCCTCATGAATGCGCGCCATGTGGCCTGGACCATACTCCTCCGAGCCTGAGGAAGAGTTCACGGACAGTGCTATAAGGCTGCGGAAGCCGCCGGGAGCCTCCATTACCGCACTGATTATGTCCGGCACTCTGTCGCTTGCCGCAAGCTGCAGATCCAGCTCCTGGGCGCTTTGGGCCCTCTCCATCAGCCATGCCATTCCTGCACTTCCCAATGATAAGCATATGAGTTTTCTAGATTAGCCTGCTGCACTGGATTGGACCCTCTTAGTAGCATTACAGATGGTTTGGAGAATGCGCACGAGATGAGACAGGCACGAGGAATAGGCCTGTTGTGCACAAGATGGAATGTGGATATTTTGCTGCACAGCAGTGAAGGTCAAATGCAACGCAAGCTTTTTTGCAAAGCTGCTACTGTACAGGAGGGGCACCCTTGTTGCCCAGCTTCTCCTCCTTGCACCACAGCTTGATACGGACAGAGTCCAGCTGAAGCCTCCAGGTGCTCCGGGACATGCCTGCCACTCTGGCCCATTCTGTTGGGCCCAGGTATCGCGCAATGAGCTGCCAGACTTCAGGCAAGAGATTTCGAGGGGTTTGGTGTTGAATTTTTGTCCTGCAAGGGCGTTTGCTGCATTTTGTTAAGTGGGCAGCAAGCTGGAAACACATCTGCGAGTACGCACGCTGCAAATTGATAGGCTAAATGTATGTACAGGTGGCAAATGCTTGTTGCATCTGTGCCAGAAGTGTCCTCACATGCTAGAACATGTGGCTCTGTCACACATTCTGTTGCGTTCTCCAGAGGGATGCAATGGATCAAGTCATCAACGGTCTGTAGCCACAATTGGAAGGAAATCAGCTCGTGAATTTGACATCGCCTTTGACATCGCCATCGCAATAGACTTCTCTGGATACAACGTGCAAGTGTCTCTTAGGGCTTGGAAGATTCATAAACTTACTTGCACGAGAAATGTGAGATTCTTGCTGACAGCGGTAAGAATTCGCTCAACTTCGTAACCCAATCCTTGCGAAAGCAGGTACGATGTCAGTTGCACTTTTCAGTGTGATGAATACTGGCAACAGCGTGGTCAAAGATAGGCAGCTGTACAATGTCACCATGTCAAGCGAATGATATCAGAAGATAGGCAGCTGTACAATGTCCTTCTGATATCATTCGCACTGAAGCTGTAAAAGACCTGAAATTCAGGTCTTGAATGAATGAAAGGGATTCATGATGAAGCCCGCCAGCTTGCCGCCAAAAATTTGAATGGGGAGTCAAATCAGGCAACCTGAGACTCAGACAGATGCAAGGCAGGTGGAAAGCTACAGGACAGGTACACAGGCTGCAATGCATCTTTTGGTATCCAAGCAAGCAACATGTAAAGGGGTCTAGACAATGACATCCATCCAACGCCCGCGATCTTCTCCAAACGCCGTTTCGGCGTTATCGGCGATTGGTCCAAAAGCATCATATATATGCATGCATGCGAGAGCATTTATATTACAATTACTAATAAAGTCAATCGCCTTTCACAAACACCACCAATCATTGCAGGGGACACGTGGCCCTTGAAAATTGTCCGGACGGCAGCATCTATGGCATGCCCCACATCTACACAGGCTGTGGCAGTCAACATGCAAGTCCAAGTGCAATATGTTGCGACAGGGGCTGTGAAAGGCACTAGTATACTCTGTATCTCCTATCTCCTCCTCCTCAAAATCTCTGCCATATTGCCATATACAGCGTGCCAGCGAGAACAGATGCACGCCCTGCAGATTGTCACACCGGAAGGAATATGCCGTGCATGACAACGCAAATTTTGCGACGCTCTGAAATTCCACATTCAGCTCGCCATCACAGTGGAAGTTGACCAGTTTCCAGTTATGCTCTCTAGGCACCTCCACATACAGCGCACATTTGCAGTCAATGCACAGACGCTCTGAGCGTGCTAGAGCGCCTTTCAGCAGGATTGTCTCACAAAATTTTGGCCCGTGACCAAATTGTTTTAGTGACAATACCAATGTCACAAGCTTAGCTGACCCCAGCAGCCACTCTGGAATATCACCCTCTGCTTCAATCACAGCACTAGGTGCCTCCAATGTGAAAGATTCGAGAACCCCACTTGCGCTGGTTATTTCCCATAGGCTATTCTTAGCGTCTGCTACTGAATACACCGTTGCATGCAGCGCAGTGCCGCTAGCAAGTGTCAGCGATCCAGGCACCAATCTCTCCAAATTCAAGCTCTGCAGCTGGCTTACGCCCTGCAGATTCAGGTGACCTGGGAAGGAATTGTCAGGCGATGACAGACATAGCGTTTGCAAGGTCACCAGTGATGCAAGCGCGGGCATCAGGTCGACAAGATTCTCTGTACAGATGTGTAATTGCAGATGCTGAATGTGCGCCAGGCTGGGCAGACAAGGCAAGGCGCCCACATCAAGGTACAAGAACTTCAATCCGCTGGACTGCCCAAGGAGCCAGGCAACAGCCATGTGAATGCAGGCCCCGTCTTTTGATGTGTCCTTTCGTGAAGACTTGGCAGTAGTCACAGACAACGCTGTGAGCCTGGGGAACCCGCCAGGAACCTGCATGAGCGCTCTGACAATGGCCTGCACCCTCTTATTTGCTTCAAAGTGCAGATCCAGCTCCTGTGCACACTGCGCCCGCTCCATCAGCCATGCAAGCCCTGCAACCAGAAACGACAGCAGATTGCAACATGATACTCCTTCTGGCAAATATGCCAATCAAGGCAGCCAAACACTAATGCCAGGACTATCTCCTGTCTCCCAATTCTCAAGTGTCCGTAGAGCCTCTTTGCCCAGTCCTGGCCTGTCTTTTACGCATTCCTGCTCTGCATACTGTGATGGGGAGCCCTAAAAGGAGGTCATCTGGTTACAAAGACCAGAGGCATATCATATAGATCAAAACCATATGAGCCCAGATATGCCAAGGACGAGTTGTACAAGGCCCCTGCTTACTCCCAATTCTCCCACTCGCAGAAAGCTCTCTTCTCATCTGCAGGTACAGCATTCGCACCTTTGTCGCACAGTTTCTTGTTGTTGTACCATGGTTTCATGCGAACTGAGTCCAGCTGAAGTCGCCATGTGCTCCGGCACATGCCTGCCACTTTGGCCCATTCTATTGGCCCCAGATACCGTGCTATGCGCTGCCAGATTTCAGGTGGGAGGTTTCGGCTTGAGTGGTGCTGCTTCCCCTGCCTGCAAGAGCAACCATTGCAGCAGTGAGCAATCATTGCAGCAGTGAAGTAACAGGCTACTTGATGAGGGCAGTGAAGTAGCAATTCTTGTGGGTGAAAGCAGGGTAGGTTCACCATGTGTCTTTCAGGATACGTACTTGTCGGGGTGTATGCCTTCCACGAACATCTGGTGTTGAGTGCCAGCTCCAAAAGAATAGTCACCAACTAGCATCAACTGCCTTCAGACAAACCAAAAGACTTGTCAGCTTCAAATTGGCAAGATTAATCTCAGCAAAATGTGCATTGCACTTTCAATCATTGCTGCTGATCACCTGCAGGCGTGAGACACGTTCTTTCTGGTGATACAAACAACGTCACAGGGACTGAGCTCCAAATTCTGCACCAGCGTTTGCGTCGTTGACAGCGCTTCCTAATAATTCTCAGGAATTTAGCATAATCGATTATTCCCTGGCCAGGTGCTGATCCTTCGGATGCATTTCATTCCATCACAGCTTTGATGGCAATTTTTGAACGGAAGCCAATAAAGGCTGATCCCAAATTCAAACTTTCCTTCCCATGGTGGGAATCTATCCAGATCCAGTGCATTTGCCCTTCAACGATTCATTCTCGTCGCGCGCAGTGCTGCCTTTTCAGGTTCAATAATACCTGCGAGCCAAGGCAGCCTGTTGCACCCGCCATAGAAGCATCTTGCCCTTGAGTCCACGATGAGCATGGTGGCTTGCACAGAGAAAGCAGGAGAGTGGCCCCCTCTTCTGACCCTCATGTCAAATAATAGCAGCGTTGAGCATTTGCAAAGTGACATCGCTGACTGGTTCCGTGAGCATCAGCCGGACGCTTATGATTTGGCTGAACCACCAAGTGCAAGCAAGTTGGGCTGTGAGAGCGGCGTCCTCAGTGCAAGGGATGGCAACACACCTGGTGAGCTTCAGAACAGCTCAAGGCAATCATGCCACAGAATCTGCTTTTGCACCAGTAGGAGGCTTCCCCTGTGTCATGGACAGCAATGGCTGTTGTGAAGCTGTGTCTGGCTTACTTTGATCACCTAGATCTATTATGACGTTTTTCCGCGTGAAATGAAATAATTCCTGCGATCAGAGCTTGAAAAGCCCATCTACATGTCAGAAACCCAAAATTGGCAATTACATGCACCATTATTGTGTGAAAGTTTTTAGCCATGGGGTTCATTTTCAACGCGTATCGTCATATAGAGTGAGTTAATACACCGAATAGGTCTGAGCTCCTTCCTAAGACAGATGGTCGCACAGGACCTGAAGGCGGCAGCATTGCCATCTTGTTATATACTTTTTTGAAGCAGCTGCTGGTTTGGCACAGGGAGATCGATCGGGAAGAGATACAGGCGACCCACAGCCCGGACACCTCCCCAACCCAAAAGCAGCATGAGCGCAGAAGGCCAAGACAGGGGGAGGGTGCCTGTCAACATGGCCACTGATCCACCCAGGGAACACCTGCATAAAGGCTACACAGTGGAGGTGAGGGCAGCCAGTTTCGAAGAAATTCAACATTTGAACACTGTCTCATTCGAGTTGCCACCCACAAGCAAAGATCCTGCAGCAGCTCAACAGAGCAGCTTGAGCAACCTGCCTCCAATTCAGTACATCAGCGAGATTGATGAAGAAAAGGGTGTTTCGGCTCGATAAACACAGGCTCACACCAGAGGTCCATCTGCAGGATTTTGAACTTTGAAATTGTGCTCATCTGGTGCAGAGGGGTCCAGATGGGAGGTCTCTGTGGCTGCCGGATAGCAGTGCCAGCTGCAGTGACAGGGAACGCCCCCTGGATGAGGACACGGCTCCATTCTGCACATTCATGAACGTCTGGAGCATGCAGCAGGAGCAGGACAGGGACGCCACATCTGGCCAGGCTTCTGGTGTTGAGGTCAGCTCCTGGAATGCTCCCAGATCATGCAACACACTGGCTGCGGCAATATAGACTTGCAACACCCTGCAGATTATGGAACCAGCAGAACCCCTGCTCTGTCAAGCATCCAAGTGTTCAGGAAAGAGCCAACGGTGACAGCTGCTGAGAACTGCAATTTGTGCACAATTTTGTCAGAAGCAATAACAGAATCTGAATTGGATGTGTCTCTCTTGGGGCAGGTATTGCAGCGGTTGCCGCACAGCATGTTTGAGGCGGCTGCCAGGAAACTGTGCAAGCGCAGCGCTGCGCTGTCTGTGGAGGAGTGCCACCAATACAAGGTGTGGTCCTTCACTGCTCTGAAGCTCCCAATGGACCTTCAATGGACCCCTAGGAGTGCCAGCACCAATTGAGACAAGAGAGCGGAGCCCTCAATGACTGGTTGCATTAGTGGTTGTATGTCTGAGCATTGCCACACGCACGCTGTCATAAACAGCAAACCAGGACGAGCGTGGCTTCCTCTACGCATGCCATCTGCCACAGGGGAGTAACCTTACAGAAAGGGTGGCTGTCAAATCTGGCTGTGCCCGATTTGGTGTGTTTCCTGCGCGCAGAGGGCGGCGACCCTGAGCGTGATGACGCCGCCAGCGCTGCGCGCTGATGTGGTGCGGCTGCGGGCAGGTGCCGGCACCTGCGGCAGCCTCACCGATCTGCTGCCCACGCCCACATCCGTCCTGGACGGCCCTGCAGCGTTCCCTCCATCTCCCCCTCAGGTGACTAATGATTAGTCTAGACCCCGGCATCGAGATGAGCCCTACATCTGCAGCGTTTCATCGACACAGGGCTGCGAAAGACAAGTCTGGCTCTGCACTGGGAAGAGCGGCAGCGTGTGAGTGTTGCAAGATACGTGGGCGAGCGAGTTTGGAAGAAAGTCCAGTACCTGCAATCCCCACAGAAGAGCTCAAGACCAGTCCATTCAGGGCATGTGATTACTTCTTTTTCCTCTACATTTGGCGCTCGGCGCTGATGCTGACAAGGACAGTCCTGCATTCCTTCGGCCTATTTGGCATTGCAAAGCGGGAAAAGGAGGCTTGCAGTGGCCTTGTGCAATGCAGCTTTCTGGCCAAATCCAACGCACAACGCAAGGAAGGCATGACAGTGCTTGGTATGGATGCACGCTGCAGACATGGGTCATGAAAGGAACTCATGCCAAGGTTGTCCCATAAGCAGCATTGCAGCGACTTGACCACATCTGGTGTATGCAGGAGGAATCAGTGGACTTCCTTGTGGCGAGCAGCCCGGGGTCTCAGAGCTGCGTGGGGGAGTCTAACACTGACAAGCGCCGCAGCCCTCTGAGCACCTGACGCTCGTGATGCGCAGTGGAATTGTTGAGCTCTCTTGGCTCCTTCAGCACGGAGAGGGAAGGCAATTGGGCTTTGGAGTATATTCAGCTGATGACTGCTTCGGCAAACAGAGGGAGATTAGCTGCACTTGGCCATCATGACAAGGCAGACATGGCAGTGGGATCAAATTAAGGGGCGGTTGAAACTTGGTTAGAACTTTGTTGAATATACGAAATTGAGGGTTGCAGGGTTGAAAGCTGTTGAACAAGCAAGGGCCGTTCATTGGAAGTGCATGCAGACGGGCAATTTGTTGTTGTTTTATTGAATATTGGGCTGCATGTTGGGAGTGCTGGCGAGACACCTGCAGAGCTGGTGTGTTGTCTGCCAAGGGTGTGCACAGCGCCAATTCAGGGATTTGCCCCATGAAATAAGATTAACTTGCCTTTCTAATTCATCTCAGCTGACTGCTGCAGAAGACTTTCAATCTGAATGCCAGGGCATGTCCTGTACTTAAGCTTGGGTGAATGCAATACTTGTTGACATCAGGTGACATTGGAACCTTAGATACTATAAAGATATATCTAAGGCAGCGGAAATCATCCATTTGGAAGTGTCATAACAAAGCGTTTATGGAACTGTTGGAATGGTGCAGAAATAGATTGACACGATGCTTGCTTGAAGCAAATCCAGGCCTGAGGGCCTCAGGCTGAGGCTTTATAATGAGGGCCCAAAGCCGGGGCAGCTTCCTGCAGCTGCTGTAATTTAACAATCATGCTGTGTATGTTGCCCGGTGTGAGCTAATACACTGAAAGAAGGTTATACAAGATCGTGCTTAGTATCGAAAATATCATAGTTGTGTACATCATAGCGGGTGCAGCTGCATCAGGGTTCGACCCTGACCTAATTATTCGCAACTTGCATGCAGATGGTCAGTCATTTGGACTCACTTAAAATGGCAGGTCCTAATCTATGAGCATTACGCTTGGCAACGAGTATCAAAGCCAACGAGATTACAGCAATTGTTGACCCGTGTAGTTTCCAGACTCTATTCTTGCAAATTCGTTTGTCACACTTGTGGATGTAGAGTACTCCGAGTGTGCCAGCAACAGCTGAGCTGATGGCGGGTTCAACATCCCCCCTTGCTGACCTTGGCGACATCTACAACTCCCTTCCATTTGAGTACCTTCTAATTGGACACTGTCTCATCGTCGCATCATGGTTTCCCAAGCTCAAGGACAGATACCTGCTCAGCTACTGGGTAAGTGATTGTCAAGTGATCTGAACAAGTGTTTCTAGGTTTCCACCTTAACACATCCCTTTCTATGATCCAAACCCCTTCAATAGTCCTGGCGAATCAAGATGCAGAGAATGACGTTCGAATCCTGGCGAGATTGGAAATTTCTACCTATGCATAGTGTGTGATGGGCTCGATGCAAGTCCATTTGAGATACCTACGCAACGTGGTGTCACGGATCCAGCATTTACAGAGAACTTCCTTTTGTAATTGACTGAGTCATGCTTGTGCTGGGCAGATTGGGGCGCTGGCGGCATTTGGTGGTGGAATCCTGACTGCCCTGCTGATCCAGGACCCGAAGAGGGCCCCCATCCCTCTTCTGAGCTCCAACACAGTGGGCGTCATTTGGACCGTCTGCTGGTGGCTCGTCAATTACTTCCCAGGAAATTATGTAGCCAAAATTCTTTCCCTGGCACCCTTCAGGACCAGCGCCAAGGTGGGAGCACATGCACCCATTCTGCTTCCCTTCCTTCCAGAAATTGCGGAATGCAACTGCATGCACCTGCAGGCTGCTCTTCCTCTTTTGCTCCTTCACATAGCTGTAATCTTTCCTGTGCATCTTCATTCCTTCAACCAATACTTGCCCCTGCATACAATAGTGGCTTACATCTGTCTGTCGCAAGGTAGGCATCAGCTGGTAAAAAGCCACTGAAATGGCATCTCCCACTAAAGGTGTTCCACACTCGACCATCAGACCTTGCCAAGACAAGTCAATCTCTCTGTGTCTGCACAGGTGTGCCTGAACATGCTCCGGGCAGGGCTGATCGCTTCGCGCATTGACCTGACTACACAGCTGTATCCGGGAGTGCTGGCAGCACCGCTCATCATCGGCAGCATTGCCGGCAGCGGCGGCCGCTTCTCCATTGACCCCATCCTAAGTGGCTTTGGCGCCCTTGAAGGTGCTTCCCTATTTCTGCCAGCCATTCTTTGGCCCTGCAGGCTATAACCCTGTGCCGTTCAAGCATTCATTCGCCTGTTTTCAATCTTGGCTTTCCGTCTACACCGTGGGATGTTATTCAGCACACTGACGTGCATGTTTCCTGAGCCCCCCGAGCATTGGTGTATATTTAGCAGAGATCTCCATTGGACTCCCTGCAACAATAGTTAGCGGGACCGGCTTGCCATCACATGAGCAAGCACCAAACAGCAGCTCATAGGAACATCCAGGCCATGGCTATCAGTGCATACTGAAGAGCCGCCAATGCAGATGCACCTTGAGCTGCAAAACAAGGAACTTGTGGAAAAATATACAGCCCAGGCTGGCAGGGGGCGGTAATCTACTGAGCACCATGCCCACGGTTGATGGGGTCTTCCGTCGAAGGGAAAATTCGTGGGTGCATTTATCTGCAGCTTGTCTGCAGGTGCACCTTGCCTTCGGCAGTGTGAGCGTGTAATAATGACGTGCCTGTTCGCATGCATGCAGGGCCGGCCGAGATTGCAGAGCCGGCATTCGCGGCGAGGTCGGGTTTTGTGGGGAGTCTATTGTACTGGGTGATCGTGCATGTGTATGGCACGCTCAACCCGCTGGAGGGCAAAGCCCTAATAACCACCCTTTTCATCGCCCACGGGGTCCTCGTGGACCTCTTTGGCTGGCACTTCGATTTCACATTCCCCCCGGCCTACCTGGCGCATGCGGTTACTAATGTGCCCATGCCTGGCCGGCCTAAGAAGGCGCCTGAGCTTAAACCGGCTCCGAGCACCGCTGCATCCTCAAAGCACAATGGAGACTCCAGGAAACCGGAGTCCAAGAAAGGGAAGTAGCCTGGAGCATGTGGAGAATGTGCAGCTGTGATTTGAAAGCCAATAAAACAAAAATCATCTGAGTATTTGCATCTGGCACAGCGTGCAATCTTCTGTATAACAGGATGTTCTCTGGCCGTGTAGCTGTCACTGGAAGCTGCTTGCCAGCATTGCAGACTCATGTCTGCTGCCACTATATGCTTGGTATGGAGAAGAGCTGGCGGCTAAGTGAGGGCCGTCCATAATGCTTTCTGCTGTCCAATTGTGACCCATTCGCAAACTGACTCAGTTCGACTCAATTGACTAGTGCATTGAAAAATATTCAGAACTGTACATTAACAGTGGTGCCACTGGTGCTTCAAGCTTCAGGGAAAGTTTCAGGGAAACGGTTACACAATCATTACTGCTCCGAGCAGAGTCTAGAGTCTACAGATCTGGCATATGCAAAGTCTACCTTCATGGCAGGCTGCTGCATTATGGGCACTGATGTGGCTTCCATTTGTCAGGCGCACTTCGTTGTGATTATTCGTGCATGTCAATTGATTTTTGCAAGCCTACCACTGCACAAACATGTTTGCATGCATGTTTTAATCCATGCACGGGCGGAACTCATGATCATAAATGCAACTCAATGTACAGCTCTGCACCCGAGGGCCAATACACTCATCGCACAGATGCTTTTTGCGAGCATTATGCGCAGCTCGCTCTATATCTTGACCAGTAAAATCAATATTTCTGTATGGAATGAGGTTTGCATGCAAATTGTCCGCCTAATCTGGCATCAGGGGATCGAGGGTACCCACGTGATCCAAGATTTCCGACTCGTGGCCTGTACCCAAGAAATCGCGCTCAGGACAGGTGTTCTTTCAGAGGTGTCTGGTTTACATATACTTAGAGCCGACAATCTATGATCTAGATTAGAAATCGCATCAATTCAGAAGGCAGACGCTACTTTCCAGAAGGGGGTTCTTAGAGGCATCCAGCTCCGACGGCTCCGTCGCCGCTGGCGGATGATGCCCAGCAACACTCACAGAGTTCAGACGATCGTTTCCTTATGATCTGTCCACTTGACTGATTCTCAGATCCTTGAGTGTGTGCCCCGAAAAATGCAAAATATCAGATGTCGATTGTGTCGGGCGTCGATCCTGGCGAGAAGCTGCCTCCTGGCAGCTCTTCTGGGCATCATTGCCTCTATGCCATTTGCAAACGCTGCAGGTATATTCGGCTCCTCAAGATTAGATCACAGAATGCATGACCTTGATACCGCTTTTGCGAAGGCCATGAGCACAACTGATGGGTCCTTTCTGGGGAGCCTTTCTGAAATTGCTGATTGTGTCATTGTGGTTTTGCAAGTATAAACAGGGCTGAAAATTTCATGAATGTTTGCAGAGACGGTCAGCTGCGATTTTGGAACCCAGCCGGGTCTCTGGGTGGAACAACAAGAGCTTGAAACAACATCAGGCAGTGTAGCGGAACTTCTTACAGAAAATCTGCCCGTCTGGCAAGTTCTCGACTCGCAATGCCAACTGGAGCCATTGCTCAATCAGCGCGTACAGGCACGTTGAACTCAACCTCCTCGCAGCATTTTAAACGTGACTTTCCTTGAGCTGCTCTCACATCTGCAGCTCTGCTGCAGGCAGCGGGAGGATCAAAGGACAGGTCAGAAGGGGCGCAGCGGCATATTGGGGTCCTCCTCTTTGGGGATTCCATAGACTATAGGATTGCACGCAGCTTCTGTAATGCTGCGCTAGGCCATGGACTGGAGCATATGAGCGACGATGGGATCGCGATACACCACAATCTCACAGGTGGCTCACATTCCATCACTTCACACCCTGATCTCAGCCTGATCAGGGGATCCCAACCCTTTGACTTAAGCAAGACTCAGAAACTGTGCGTGCATCAAGAATGCACATGTGCAATGCCCTGGCTGCAATGCAGACTTGCACTGGCTCTGCGCACTTGATTTAGGGGGCTGTCAGTCAAATCTGATGTCATTGGGGCTTGAAGGATTGAGCTCAGCATGTGTCGCTTGAATGTAGATATCTGTCAGACCCCGGGTCTTACTTCACCAAGCAGCTGAGCAAGCTTATTTTGGCATGCAGGCATATGCCAGACGGCCAGTCTGACAGTGGCGAAGCAGCACATTTCTTCAGCCTCGCTGGATGGGCCTTACTGGTGGGACATGGTGTTCCCTCCCATTCCCAGTATCACCAAGGTGTGCTCCCTTGATGACCCTATGTTGGCTTTTCGATTGGTGGTCAAGTGCAGCTTGGGGTCATTAGCCCTGATCTGCTGGATACCAAGGCAGCTGAGATGCACGTTGAGAAATGAGGCGGTTGCAAGAGAGCAGCACCATTGACGAGCTACTGTCCAGCTCGATCTCCATATACAATCGCATGAGGTCTCTTGTAGATTTTTGCTAAAAATGGGGCGGCTGTTGCCTTCAAAGGCATGTTGGCAGTTGCGTACAATCATCACCCCAGGTAATTCTGCCCAATTTGGAGGAGTACCAGAAGAAGGTGGGACAGTTGTGTTATGGCCTGCCCCAATGTACCGAGCTGCAAAAACAGGGTTGGGGAGCTCGAAACAACACCAAGTTCACAGATAACTCAGAATATAGACTTGGAGTTTGTTATGCAAGCGCCTACGTGCGGACCACTCTAGTTCTTCCAACAGGCTTTGACAGCTTCCAAGGGCCCCCAAGGGATGTGCCAACCTGCTTCAAAGCTAGGGGCAACGTTGCAGGCAACAAGTAGAGTGTTGCTCTCTCCAGAAGTTGCTACTATGTTGTTTGACAAGGCGGCTGATTATTGGAAAGAAGTCATCCGGTTGGCATTTTGAGGATCAAGTGCCAAGAATTTGCAGTATCTTGTTCTTTTAGATACTGCAGCTTGCGGCAGACAAAGACACCACCTGGGCCCGATTGCTGCAGCTGCCTGCTGTAGCTCAGGTTTTTGGTGCAGCATAGAAGCTGCTTGTGCACATACCGTAATGGCACATGGGTGATGAGAGCTGCACATGCACTTTCTGAGCGGTGCTGACAAGATCTATGTATGTGAGCAAGTTTGTGTGGGATTCAGGGGATTGAGGCGTTTACAGCAGCAGAAGATGCGCCGCCAGATGCGGTCATGATAGCGTCAAACTTCTGGGACATTGCAGGCCTGTGCGTCTCCATTTCTTCCTTGTTATTGATTGTGCTTTTGAGGGGAAAGCTACACCTGATCAGCACCAAATAGGGATTACTCTTCAAATCAAAAGTGGCCTCATACAAACGGGACAAGCGGTGCCTGCAGTTGGCATACAGCCTGGTGAATACGCCGCCGCTATTATAGTTTATTTATTGCCGTGTCACACTGGTGCAGGTATTTCCACGGCGGCAAGAAGTTTGAGGGGACGCCCCTGGAGCACAGGATGTTTCCACAGGACTTCATGGCCTTCTGGACGCAGAACTTCACCACCATACTCATACACCTGCGGGTAAGGTCCTCTGAGATGTGTTGCTCTTTCTCCCTATCCACACTCAGTGCAACAGAACACCACAATCTTTCATCTAGGAAGGCTTGGAGGGAAACTTCTTAACATTGTCGTTTTATTTTGCACAACGTGCCTGCTCTGTCGCATCTGTACGTGGGTCTTGGCCCTTTTGCAAATCCGAATCGGATTGGCACAAAGTAAGGCCTCCTGCTGTTTAAACCTGCCAATACAAGGCTGCATTGCGTTGACATGTGCTCTTTTGCTGGGGCCAGGAGAGTGTGCCAGAGGGGACATTGCTGGTGTACCATACGGAGCATATCCCAGTCCAGACCAAAGACCCGCAGAAGTGGGAGACCGACGCATTTCTGTACCAGCACGTTGCACAGCTCAACGCAGCTGGCAGGTGAGGGTGCATCCTGCTCCCATCAATGTTTGTGATATTTCGAACAGGGTAATACCTCCTGCCAAATGTGACCACGGAGTCCACTGCAGAATCTCAATCATTTGCTGGCAGTGCACTATTACTGACCCCTGAAAATGACACTCTCTCTGTGGGTTTGCCAAGAAAGTTCTGCACTCTTGTTGAAGGCCGGATATTTTGGTGGGCAGAGGGGCCAGCAAAAACTACCAGGTCCTTTGGTCCCAGAATATTGAAAATACAACATCATGAATTGCAGTGGATTGAGGAGGAAGCTTCCCTTGTGCAGGCACGTGGCTGAAAGCCTGGGATTCCAGGTGATAGACTTTGAGGCGATGGCGGCGCAGCTGCCAAAGGATGACATGCTGGATGACATCACCCATCCCAAACCTGACTTCCTTCTGCAGGTGCGCTTGCATCAGCCTCACTGACACTTGTCAAGCAGACCGGCTTTGCAGGAACATTGCAGGTTATATTGTTTGCGAGATGCAAAGAGCCGAAAGCAGCTGCTCACTCAATCATACAGCAAGGCTGGCGGTGAAGCCTTCAAGACAGTTGCTTCCATAGTATAGAGTCTATTCCGGATGCATCCAGCCCACAGCTCTTTTACTGCGTGCTTTTCAGAAATGCTGCATGTCTTTCTGGATGTCTTTAAAGGGCTACAAAGTATTGTCGACCCTGCGGACGCCTCGGGTGTCTGCTTTATGGCATGTGGCCACGGTTTGGCTGACCATGTGATACTAGCCATGTGTGCTGTGTCCAGGTGCTGAACATGCTGCTCAACATGGAGCACGAGCACAGGAGGCAGCTGCACAGGCAGAGCAGCCAGCAGCACCAGCAGACTCGCATGACCGGCAGGGTGAGGTGGCTGCAAAATCACCACGTCTAACCCCCAGCATTTACCCCCAGGATTAATCGCCTCTCCAGTGGGGCTTTGACATTCAAACGGAGAGAACATTTCCAAGGCACAGAGGCATCTGAGAGGAAGGAGACAAATTTAGGAGCGCACTCGGCTTGTGCAGATAATCCTGCACCTTAGTTCTATGGCAGATCACATGCGCTTTTGATGCCGTCACCCTCGGAAAGAGGTGGCTTTGGGGTGAGTGCGCACAGCATTCTGCCAAAACATCTCCCCTTCCTGCTGGTGTTGTAAAGAGCACCCAATGCAAAGAGGGAGTTGAAGATCAGCAACACAGCCGCAGTGACCCCTCTATTTCTGCCGGATTCAGTTGGGCAGCTTTTTGGCTATTGATCACCCCAAAGATTGATTGGGGCCTTGGCAGTACGTAGTAAATCTGTGCAGCTCGCCACGTGTGCTGGATGCGACCTAAGCGTGCTTTTGCTCTGCAAGCTACATGGATGCATCAACCGGTGGCACTGAGCAGGATGGGAAATCTCTCGGCGTTGCGAGATATATACCACATGCGCCAGCAGACTTCCCTTAACGATCAGCCAGCGTTGCAAGGGCCGAAAGGTCTGGGCCAGGATTTTTGCAGGTTGCTTTCCGCTCTACAATCTCATATATATATTCTTTGCAAGGGAGACAGGCTTCATTAACTCAGAGGTTGGAGCATTCAAGATCTGTTCATGGTTTTTCTGTGTGCTTTGTGTTCGCATGTCTGCATTGGCTGTGACGAGAAGGCCACAGATGGCCTTGATCGAAACGATAAAATGTGGGATGAGATTTTTTGGATGATCACTATTTGTGGGATGTCCTGCCATGTGACTTCATCAGTTTGTTCCACTGTATGAAGATTCGCACGTGTGTTCTGTCAAAGCAAGTCTTGGGTGTTGTGATATCTTTGGATGTTGATCAGCTCAGTCTGTTGCATGCATGTATTTTCAATGTGTCAGGCTTTGGTATTAATGTTCTTCCCACCTGATATGAGTATTGTGTGCAAAGAGGGGGTGAGACGCTGGCAATTCCCATTGTATATTGTTTCTTTGCCCCACTGCCCTACAGTCTGCACACATCGTATTCATGCCTACTGGAACCAGTTGTACAATCACAGACATCACGTGGAAAGAAAGGAACGCGGCGGCAGCGACTCAAACTCGCGTCCTCACCTTGCACAGCACTGGCACCTAACGCTACAAAAATAAAGCTGAAACCAACGCATATGTGTGGTGAGCCAACCCAGTGGTATAGGGCTCAAACCAAAAAGTGTTTGGCATCCAAATTTTCATGTGCATGTATATCCCGTAGTCCATAATTTAAGAGTTCGTCACCCCCGGAAATTTGTCATCCTGTCTTCTTGCCCTGTGTTCTATGTGCTGTTTCGTACCAATTTTAATCTCAGAAGACGTCTTGAAGCGATCTTGATGTCAGAAGGATTCCCTTTGCAACCTTGAGGCGAAGCACCTTTCCAGCAATTTCAGATCAAAGCAAGACCCACTAGCATTGAAAAACTTGTGGAATTCAGGTATGGCTTGATTCAAGTAAGAACAAGCGAAATCACACACCTACATCAATCGAGACAGCAATACATCAGCGGCATCGCCATGGCTGTCCTGAAACTTGATCTGAATGAGGCTCCCAACGCAGCACATCAGCAGTTTCTGGTCGTGATAAAGTACGCCGAAGGATCTCAGGTGATTGCTTTGCTGCAAATTGGCATTTTTAAAATGTGACATGTTGTGCTGCTAGTTCACGTTGGCTTGATGGATCCTACCGAGTGCTCCAATTCCAAACCTAGCCTGAGCGTACACATTTCAATTCGAGGTGCCATGAAAGTATTATATATTACCCCTGAATGTTTATAAGAAACAGTTATGTTCCAACATGCGTGCAGGTGGAGCACCTGACTGTGCAGTATCCTGCCACGAGCATGCCAAATGCCTGTGAGGGCGGGCACCCTTTCCTGGCACGCCTGGTGGAGCTGATCAGGGTCTGTGCACCCAGCCTGCGCACCCTGAAGCTCCGGGGAATCCCTATGGACGACTATTTTACTGCCAGAACAGTGAATATGGCACGAGGGGACCCGAGTGTCTTCCAGCCTTTGCTGGTGCGGAGCCCTCTCCTGACCTCTGTCTATGTCGTGGTTGATGGACTGAGGGAACAGTGACAATGCTCTTTGCTGCATGCATGGACGGGAAGAACGTGTTTATGTAATGCTGAGTCCATGCTGGCATGTATGCATGCATTCAAGGAAAACACTGCCATGTTACCTTGCACTCTACCGTTGCAAGGGGCCTGCTGGGATGCTGCTCCCTGGCGTGATCCTGAAAAGTGTCCAATTTCAAACTTGGTAGTCCCAAATCGGGCTCAATAAGTAAAATTTGCACCCCTGTGCAGGGGGCGCTGTGCGCATGCACGCAGCTCCGGACCCTGTATCTGAGTAGAAGGGAGCGTGTACACACTACAGATCACAGCCGCCTGGTCATGGCCGTGGCTGAGGCACTGCCAAATTTGAGGACGCTGCACTGGCGCTGCCTGAAGAAGAGTGGGGCTGAGAGGCCCACCCCGTTCTCCGCAGCGTTCCTGACCGCCCTGGCTGAGACTGTCAAGCCCGGCCTGCGCCTTCTGCAGATCGACGAGTGCGCATTTCAGCCATACGGCGACCGCGGACAGGTGATGCTGCAGCTCCTTGGTATTCAATCTGCTTTGTAGAAGTGTGATGACATGAACCGAAGATGTTACTCAAATAACACACATCCTCAAGCAAATCTATCGCATGTCATTGCTTACGGCCCGCCATCATCTTTGTCTGAAATACCCAAGCGTGGACATCTGGAAGATTCTATTTTAGTAGCAAAGAACGGACCTGATGCACCTGCCTCTGGCTAGCTTTTGCTGCATGCCTGGCTTTTGGCAGCCGGTGTCTGCAGGGCGGGTATGTATTGCCGGCTTCTCTGCGAGTGCTGGCGCTCTACAACAAGGATACGCACTTTGGCGGCCGATTGGACAGTCTCATGCGGCAGTGCCGCTCCATAGAGGAAGTCTACCTGAGCCATTTCCACACGGAGTCTGTAAACCCCCCCAAGTTTGCGCGATTGTGGCCTGCCCTGCAGAAGCTGCGCGTGCTCGTGCTGGACGTTGTCAACAACAGTTGTGACTTCATTGACTGGGTGAGTAGTCATCCTTATTCAGTCAGCCTTGCATGCATGACCCATACAGATATGATCGAGTCCGGAGGCCGCTTTTTAATCAGGCCTGTGCCTGGAAAGACAATTATTGCAAGCCAAAAGCAAATTTCACACCCTTCACAGCAACGAAAGCAATACCCATCAGATCATTTCATCAAGTGACTTGTGCACCATGTACATCAAGTTTGTCACATGTAGGAGATCCATGGGAGATCCATGCCAGGCTGCATTGCCCAATCTTTCAGTGGCACAGTTGACAGTCTGGAATGAGCAGAGGTGAAGGATTTTCTAATGCTCAACACTCTTCTATATGTCTCCGCAGCTGCAGAAGACGAGCGAGCCTGAAGCCCAGCTGCCACTTCTCAAGACGCTGGTCATCCAGAACCTAAACTGCGTCATGCCCAACTTCAGAGCCAGGTGCGCATCCCTCAAGCATCCCAATTTGTTCCTGGCCTTACAAATGGGGCAGCGCATCGCGCCTCCTAAGCTTCCCCCTTCCTGCCCAAGCCAAGCATGCCACTGCAGTGAAATACGTGCACAAAACTGCTCTAGAGCAGCGATCTGCTGGGCTGGTTACTTGATGCCTCGCACACGGACACCTGTCTTCCTCTGCGCCCTGAGGCCTCAGATGGCCTGTAAGTGGGGCACCCCATAACGTGACATGCAGAGCAAGACGCTCAAAGAATGTCCTCGCTCGGTCTATAGGCACATTCGCAGAGAGATCAGCCTCAAGGCCGAGACCTGGAAACTGGTGGCGCCTGCACAGGTGCCCGGAGCTGACACATCTGGCCTTGGGCTTCCTGCAGCCTGTGCACATCCCCTGGCTAAGGAAATTCCTGGCACACAGCGGCAGCAAGCTGCAGACGCTGCAGCTGCAGTTGAGCATGCGTGACAATGACCCTCCCAGCGATTTCCATTCCGAGGAGGAATATGAGTCAGAAGAAGAGGATGACTATAGCGATGATGAGGACGACTACTATGGTAGTAACCCCTGCCGGCCGCCGCCCCGGCCCCGCAGCCCGAAGCTGGAAGGGGTGTTTGATGCGCTCAGGGGCGCGCAATATCTGGAGCACCTGCAGCTGGTCCTCAGGGAGGTGGACCATGACAATGTGAGGCTCCATGAGCTTCGCATATCACTTCACCAAAAAATATTCATACTCTTCACCTCATTATTCAAGTAGGCATAGTGCAGCTCATGGAATGCGCATTCTGGAAACAAGCATCCTTGGTGCTTTTACCTCCATTTTCAAGGTTCATCAAGTGCAATTCGTTGTGCCTTGTCATCCTTAGTAAGCTCTGCGGATGGTGATGTCACTCTGCTGTCCTGTTTCGATCTTCTTGACCGCTGTTTTCACGATCCTATTTTCAACCATGCAGGCGGCAACCTTGGTGGAGAATGTGAGCAGCTTTGAGTCACTGCCGCACTTGACCACAATCAGCATCTTCATGGTGAGCATCTGTGCCTGGGGTGTCAGTAATGCCAGTAAAACCAGATTGCAACATGGCATATGAGTTCTGCCTTGTGTAATCTCAACCATCATCTCAATTATGCAGCTACTGGTAGTCTACAGCCTGTTGTCAAGTGTAGCTCCCCCTTTGAATTTGAACTTGTAAGGTAAAGGTTGATGGCAGTACAATTAGTGCCTTACATGTGCATGTGCATCTTGACAGGACCACGATGAGGGCTGCGGCCCTGACCTGTACTATGGGCCCTCTACCGAGCTGGGGACTGTCAAATACTTCTGCAAAGCCTTTGGCCGCCTGCAGACATTAGGCTGCCTGCCAGCCTTGCGCAAGGTGAGGCATTCCATGTACCGCGCTTGCCCAGCACACATCACTGCAAGCTCTGCGCTGTTGCTCAAGGGCACAGCACCAGGGCCCACAGCAACATCACCAGGCTTGCAAGTCATACTGCTGGTAGCTTTGAGGATGAACTGCCAATTTGGTGGTCGTTTATAAACCTGATCCTGATCCTGACCCGCAACAGACCTCGCGCCGTGGGCGAAGCACTGTAGCCCGCGTGCAGGTGCAATGGCTAATGTAGTGCATTGCAGATGTTTCCTTTTGCAAAGGTCTGAACAGAAGCTGCACATGTCTCACGTGCTGCTGGCTGATCTGCGCAGGTGTACTTCAACCCAGTGCAGCGGGCCTCGCGGGAGTTCTATGGGGATGTCAAGCCCATGACCGGCACAGAAGGCTTCAGGGCAGTGGTCCTGGCCGACCCAGGGCGCGCAATGGGCAAGTCCTGGCTGCGCGCAGCTCCTGGGGCGCAGTCTGCTGTCGGTCTGTCACGCGCCGTCGCCGCACTCAACTTTGAGCGGGGCCTGCGAGGCGCGTTCCCTCTCCGGCATGCTTCAGTGATTAGGGGAATCTGTGTAAACCGGTTGTTTACTTAGGAATCCCTGCACTGGTGTCACAACGGAAAATACATCATACGACACAGAAGGATGTCGGCCTGTCGAGCGATGTTGCCTCTCGAGACTTGAAACGCGGCCTTCGCAGTTGCATTTCCTGCCCAGAGAGCTTTGTTGGCTGCGTCTTGTATGCTCAGAATACTTTGCCTTGGGGAACTGTGCCATTTTGTGTGTGCAGCGTGCATTTTGCCACAAGTGTTTTTGTCCCGGCCACTGGGCTATAGATGCAATTCTTGCATGCTTGTGTACACATGAAGATCCTTCTGCATAACAAAGACAGCATGTAATTTGTATAAGTTCTGCAGGAGGCCTCCTGTGCTGCAGCAATGAATGAAGAGGAATAATTTTTATTCCGGCGTGCAGGGCGCAAAGGTTCGACAACTTCTACAGCGAGCACTCAATGGAGTCATCCGATGACGAGGGCTTTGGGCAGAGTGCTGAGCTGGAAGATGGCAAGCTCGCAGCGCCCGGCTGGCGCCGCCTGTACACAAAGTGTATCTCCGACGGCTGGTCCAGCTGTGACGATGACTACGAGGATGACATCAGCGGCGATGAGCCGGACGAGCCTGCAGCCCATGCATCACATGTGGAGACTGAAGATGAAAGTGAGAGGGAAGGTGGTGTCGGGGATGGCGATTGATGCCATGCAGTGATTGTCACTTTAGCTGTCCTTTCTGAATTACTTTGTTGCTGATAGGTGATCTTGGCACCATTTCGGGCACCACCTGTCACCTTGTAATTTGGAAATTGAACTTGGTCATGACTGGCAATGGCATGGTCGACCACAATTCTTGCGCTGCAATCATCGTCCCATGGCCTATGTTGACATCAATCAGAAACGAAGAGATCGAAAGGAAAAGACAAATTCTGTGAGATCACTTTCAACTTGGCTTTCACTTTGCAAATTGGTGATCAGGACTTACGAACTCACTGCCACAGCAAAATGGCGTGACTATGCAGTGATGGATCCATTCTTTACGCAATGGAAAACTTCTTCTGACCCTTTTGTAGCTCTGACCTTGACAGTTTGCTTCGGCAAGGGCGATGGCTGGTCTAGACATCGAAGTGAACGATGGCGACACAGGACGCCAGCATTTGGTCAGCCTAATAGACAAAGTCAGCAACCAGCAAGATTCTGATCCCAAGGTGCGATCGATGCAAGTTAGTGGCCGATTGTGTGGGCCTTTCGCTTTCGGAAAGTGCTGCAATCAGGAAGGCAAGTCCCTGATTGGAGCCGAAGGACTCTGTATATTAACAATTTTGCCAAATCTGTAGGTGGAGCACCTGACACTATCTTTCTTGAGCCCTGACGAGAAGCACATTGCTGAGCGGGGAGGCAACCACCCTGTCCTAGTGCTCCTGGTGGGCTTGATCAAGCTGTGTGCCGGGAACCTGCGCACCCTGACGCTGAAGGGGATCCCTATGGGCGACTACTTTGATCTTAGGAAGTCCAATGGATCATCAGGGGACCCAAAAATGTACCAGCCTCTGCTGGTGTGCGCTCTCATCCCACAAAGAACCCTTTTTCCGCATTCCACTGCTCACGGGCTGAATGCATGGATGCATGTCTATACTACATGAATTTGTCACAGCGACTGTTGTAACTCAGAGACTTAGGGCGTGGGTGCATGGCGCAGGGCGCTCTGTGTGCATGCACGCAGCTCAAGTCACTGTATGTAAGCCGGAGAGACGGTGATACCTCAGGAGACCACAGCCGCCTGGTCATGGCTGTGGCTGAGTCACTGCCAAGTCTGAGGACGCTGCAGTGGCGTTGCCTCAAGAAGAATGGGGCAGAGCGGCCAACCCCGTTCTCCTCAGCGTTCTTGGCCGCCCTGGCTGAGACTCCCAAGCCCGGCCTGCGCCTGCTGCAGATCGATGACTGCGCATTTGACGCCTACAACAAGTGCCCCAAGGTGCCATGCTGACCACCACTTCACTTCTGACGCCCTGCCCTGTCCCCTTGCCAATGATAAAGCTGCCCCCGCATGCAAATGACGTCCACCGCATGCAAATCACCTGCACCAGATTCCCACTTTTGCTGGATGCACCTGTTGGCGGTCAGGATGCCTCTAGGTTGCAGATCCAGGCATGGCTGAGGTGCATCCGTGAGCTGACAGGCTTGTGTGTCCACAGGGCGGGTATATTCTGCCGGCTTCCCTGCAAGTACTGGCTCTGTACAACCAGGAGCAGTACTTCCACGGCCGTCTTAAGGGTCTCTTACACAACTGCTGCAATCTGGAGGAGCTGTACCTGTGCCATTTCCACACCAATGCCACAGCACCCCCAAATTTTGATGCGCTGTGGTCTGTACTCCAGAACTTGCGAGTCCTTGTGCTCGATGTTGTCAACTGCCGCTGTGACTCATCAGGCTGGGTAAGCTCACAGCACATACCAGACAGCCCTGCATTCTGTTTTTGCGGCCCATTTCCTTCAAGATGATAAGGGTTGATAAATCTCTTGTGCTGCTTAGATGATCACTCCAATTTGCCGAGCTTTCTTTTGCTCATCCCATCTGTAGAATTCCCTGTGAGGCGTTGCCGTCTCATTTTTCTTATTTCCCTGCTGCAGGTGGATGAGTTTGGACCGTCAATCAGGAAGCCTGAAGCCGAGCTACCACAGCTTGAGACACTTGTCATCCAAAATCAATTGTATCATGCCCGGTTTCAGTATAAGGTAAGGGCATCCTGCCAGAAGCTTTGACTTGCAACACCGCTGTTGCACAGCATGCATTTGCAGCCAGTGAACGGCGTTTGCTTCTGCCAATGGCAGCCGCAACCCTTGCAGTTCTGTTTAAGATGTTTAGTGTGACAGCATGACCAGCCCAAAAAATGCTGTAGGAAGTGCTTTCAAATGCATTTAGGAGGCTGTGCACGCTGTGCCCAGGTGCCCGATGTTAAAGAACCTGGCAGTGGGATTCTTGGAGCCCGAGCACATGCCATGGTTTCGAGCATTTCTTGCTTTCGGCGGAGAGAAGCTGCAGCGGCTACAGCTGCAGCTGTCCATAATAAGTTTTGACCCTGAGGACGATTTTGAATCCGAAGACGAAGAAGACCGTGACCCTGATCGCTGCCCCACAGAGGATGAGTCAGAGTGGGAGTCTTCTGAGGGTGATTTTGATGAAGAAAATCAAAGTGACCCCGATGCTTACCCTTACTGGGGGCAGCGTATCAAGCGGCAGCCATTTGACCGGCCGCCGCCGCGGCCGAGGCAGAAATTTGAGCGTGTGCTGGGATCCCTGGAATGGACTTCGGCTCTGGAGCACCTGCAGCTGGTCTTCCACAGTGCCTGGGAAGAACATGTGAGATTATCTTCTCGCATGACTGGTCCATATGTCTATGGGCTCCTTGGGATCGGCTTTGTTTCCATGCATCAACTGTACAATCAGTCATATTTATTTTACACAGATCCCCATGCAGTCGTTGAATTACTAAGCGGCTGGGAGAGTAAGACTGTAGTACTTTTACAGTCAATCGGCAGAATATGCTGGGCATGCATGGTCGTAAAGCTGCACTGAGAGTTTGCTTCCTCTGCGCTGCAGACTGCAACCCTGGTAGATAGGGTCTGGAGCCTTGACTACTTGCCGCAGCTGGCCACGATTGGCATCTTTGTGGTGACGGAACCTTCCTCAGAATGTGCAGCAATAGTGGTCTCTTTATTTGCATGCTTGGCAAACAGCTCGGTGTTTTACACAATGATCTGATGAATTTAATCTGCCTAGCTAAGGGAAAGAATACCATGGGCTGTCTCAAGACATGGGGTGTGTTCAAACAGGACCACAATGAAGGCCTGGGCACCGATCTCAAGTATGGACCCTCCACCAAAATGGGCACCCTGCGGTACTTCAGCAAGGCGTTTGGGCGCATGCAGGATGAAGAGAGCCTGCCAGCATTGCGCAAGGTGAACACAGGAAGCCGCTCTGCATGTAACCAGCAACACTCTGTCAATCGTCTTCTTGCCAGATTCACCAAGAAGACTCATGCACACTCTTCTATGCCATGTGCCTTTTGCGACCTCAGACCATGGTCATGATTTACCCGGATCCCCAAAGCAGCTCAGCTTGAGGCCGTCTCTGCTTGCTTGGCTGATAGCAAAAGCTGAAAGAGCATAAGAAACCTCCATGCAGCTTTAGAGGCGCTTGAGCGGTGCAATTAGCTGCGCATTACCACTTGTTCCTATCTTTAGCTTGTGCATACGCGCAGATTTACTTCCACCCAGTGCAGCGAGCCTACCGCCGGTTCCAGGGAGAGGCAAAGCCGCCGAGGGGTGCGGAGGAATTCAAATTCAAATCCGTAGCTCTGGAGGACCCAGGTCGCACCATGGGCAAGGCCTGGCTTCGCGCGCCGCCCGGGGCACAGGCGGCCGAGGGCCTCTCTCGCGCGTTTGCATCGCTGAACTTTGAAAGGGGCCTTCGCGGGTGTGTTGCAGTCCTCCCAGCTGTTCTGTCTGACCTTTGATGCTGTTGTCCTTGAAAATTTCAAATAACACCAAAGCCAGGACTGTCTTCAAGCATCGCTACTCTGCATGCGATGTATCACATTGCTTCACTTACGGGTCATGCGCAGCCTCGAATACCTCTGGACTCTAAAAGCCAAAAGCAGCTCTTGCGATACTTCACGCGACCTCCGGACAAGGGTCAGCAGGAAGGCCTGGGGACCGAAGAAGATGATTGCAAAGGGCATGATCCCAGCGAAGAAATTTCAGATATGAGCCATGCATTGTGACTTGCACCCCATGACGCAGGGGTGCCAGAAGGCTTGGGTACCTCTATGATGAGTACGAGCCCGAGTCATCCGATGACGAGGGCTTTGGGCAGAACGCTGAGCTGGACGATGGCGAGCTGACGGCGCCAGGCTGGCGCCACCTGTATGTAGAGTGTATCTCTGAGGGCTGGCCGAGCGACGAGGATGACTACGGGGATGATGTCAGCAGCGATGACGGAGATGATGCAAGCGCTGATGAGGACGATGAGGTGGACAGTCAGGTGGAGGACACAGAGCGTGAGGGTGAGGAAGCTGACAGTGAGGAAGAAATGCAATGAGATTAAAAGAGGAGCAGGTGATGGTGTGGGCTGGGTTTGCGCTGTTTGTGAAGTGCTGTGGAAAAGTTGGCAAGCGCAGGTCAAGTCCAGCTTCGGGAAGCAGGCGTAAAAATTGGCATGCCTGCCAGATGACCGGTCATTCGTTGAGGAATGAGAGACCTTCACTTGAACAATCTTGTCTTTAGCTCAAGCATTAGAATAATGGGACTGATCATTACTGGCATGCCAGTGCGCACACTGGAGCAGACACAGTGCAGGCTTGATCAATCCACTCTGGCACATACATTGAGATAAAGTAATGGCATTGCTGAACTAGAAGGCAGGAGGGGATCCTACAGCTGCACCTCACACAGTGCAGATCAGCAAATGCACCAGTGCATCAGATGACATCTTCTCAAGATGGCTAGCTGTGGGTCTGTTGGATGAGAGATGCATATGCATGCCAGCATGGGTGGTGCTAAGGTGGATGAGATTTTTAAGAACCGGCGTTGACATCTTCAGGGCCTCCAATCATGATCAAACTTGGGCCAATATCTTGCAACAGCTATTGCACCGATCGGCTGTCTGCATGCAGGCACTGGAATTGCCATACAAAGTCCACCGTGCGAGTGTACAAGACTAATGGAATCACTTTTTTGTGGCATTCACGATGAGAAGGTGGCCTGCCTCTCGAACATCTACGATCTATCTAGGCAAGGAATCTTTTCGGACATTCTTGCACCGGAAATCTGAACCGGTGGAGGTTTCACTTTGCCTGTCGAGACTAAACTCGTGCTACAACAGGTGCTACAATGAAGCGCTACTCCTCGAGCCTGGTGCTTCGCGTGCTCTTTCTGTGTGCGGAAACCCTTTGTGCAACAGCTGCAGTCGGTTGTAGAAACGCAAGAGGCGAATTGGTGGACTGGTAAGGAATTCTTGCTGCTAGATGAAACGATTTTCGGCCTTTCATGATTTCTTGAATGGCATCAGGCAGATCGCGTCCTGTCGTACAGTCGGCCATGATGTCTTTTTCAAGCGATCTATGTTGCTTGTCAGGCTCTCGAACATAGAGATCGACTTTTCTTATGTTCAGGTGGGCTGCCTTGAAGCCACCAAGTGGAGCTCTGTATGTCTACGTTGACTCAACGCAACCCAGTTACAAGTGCGGATCAACCCCGATGCGAGTGCTGCTCTGTCATGCGAAGCAAATTGTTGCCAAACGCAGTATCTGAAGGTGAACCCTTGAACAAGCAAATACTAGCCTTTATCAATTTGCTGAGTACGACTTATTTACTTAAAACAAACAGGTTCACATACGATCCCGATGGTGACCTGAGTACCACCAGCGGCAACCCGCTGGCGGAGACCGTCCTGCAGATCTTTGCTCAAGACGTTGGCAACGTCATCTGGAATGACCAGCCGGGCTCAAGGGCACCGGATACCCCTATCGTCGAAGACTTCCACGCACATGCCAAAGGTGAACCGTTGAGCCTCTTTCTTGAATGCACCCCTTCATCTTCTTGTGTAAAAGGATTTCAAGGATTCTGTCATATGTCCCCCTCAAAACAAAGTTTCCAATCCTCTGCAGGTGTGATTGGCTTTGATGAGTCTGGAGGCTTCTACCTGATGCACAGCACACCCAATTTCCCAGACAATCCCGCAGACAGCGAGTACCAAGGCAAGCGCCCCATCCAACACCATGCCATTATCGCCTCTTAACTGTATTGCCTGTCCACAGTCGGCAGAAGCTCAGTCCATTCCAGGCAGTCAATGCTCGCTGTGTCATGTAATCTCACTCATCTACAGATATGCAGATCTGCACATCAAGTCACTCCCATGGGACGCGCCTTGTTGCATCGTCATTTAAGTCAACTAGAGATGGCCCGCAAGTTGGCGTTGCTTTATCAGATATCCCACTTTCCCAAACCCATACCTGAGTTGCTGTTGTATCGAGCTCACTGGCTTTCTTCTGGTTTTCAATTTCGACTTGGGCAGGCCATATCATGTTGCCCGCTAATTGTCGCCATCACATGGTACTGGGCGGACCAATTGAGGCTGCCTCTTCTGCGATACAGGGATCAGCAACTGCATACTGGACGGCAGCAGATGCGCGAAGAACCTCGGCCAGTTCAAGAATGGGCAGTCCTACCTCTGCATGACCTTGGATGGGTCAAATCTGGACGCGGTAGCTGCAGTGCTCCGCGGAGAGTACCTGGTGCAGTATGGCGGCAACAAGGCCGGCCTCACCGATGACCTCCCCAATGTGGCAGCGCTCATCGACCAAAACACCCAAGGTGCGTCTGAGCTTACCAGCGAGTCGCCAGGGGCAACAGATTTTCTGCTCTACACTCTGGCTGCAGTGTTGAATCGAGAAATCCTCACTTATTAGTTTAGAGAACTAGAGTCCAGTAAAATGTGTTGCAAAGTTGAGGATCTAGTCTGCAGGGGTCCACAGCCACATGAAACTGCAGACCAAGATTGGCCTGCTCAAGGTCCAAGCTAAAGTACAAGTACTCAACTTGGAGGACAAGAAGGGATTGTCCTTCAGTCCAACGGTCTGAATGCACGCTTCTTTGTGCCTGCAACCTCCCAGTACTGCACCTGTTGTGCATGATCTGAATTAAGGACATTGCTGTGGTGTGCTGCGCAGACACAGAAGCCAAGGTGTTTGGCAAGCCCTTCAGTACAAAGGGTGGCCAGAAGTTTCTGCTGTTTGGCATGTCCCCCAGTGATGAAGAGCACCCGGTCTACCTCTACGAAGAGCTCATTGAGCCCACCCTCAAAGCAGGTACATACTGCTTTCATCCCACTGCGACATGCTGTAACGGTCACAGTGCTGACTGGACTGCACCTTTGTCAGTGACTAAACGGCAGGAGTAAGTCAAGTCCGGAGCCCAATCGTTGTAATTCTAACACCATCATAACCCTGGAAACCATTTACTTTACACATGCAAAGGAATTGCAAGTCTGCCGTGTTGGCGTGTATGCAGGAACTTGACAAACCTAGCATTGGGATAGGCTTGTTCGGCTCTCGATACACTAGAGCTGTCTTGATTAGTTGATATTTCAATTTGTCCCGCAGGTCCCCTAGTTTGTTCAGTGAAGCTCGGTCACCCAGTGCTGTTGGCAGTAGGACGGGTACCACTGGGACTATGAAAGCCCTCAGTACAGAAAGATACTGGCAAAAAAGAAAGTAGGGCAGTAATGTCTTATTCAATTTTATATTTGTTGTGCAGGCTTGAAGGTGAACACATGGACACAGGCAAAGCGCTTCCCCACCTACTGCCCAAGTGGCTGCCAGCCAGGGGGACCGACGCACGACGTTTTCAAGGAGACCATAAATGTGCAGTATGTCAAGATACCCAACACAGACCTCGAGTGGCGCGCTGCCAGCTTTGGCCCCGGCCGGGTGCGCTCCATGACTAATTACGCTTACGCTTACGCTTACGCTTACGCTTACCCTTACGCTTACGCTTACGCTTGGCATGGTGCTTCTGCAGACAAGCTAGATATGATTGTAGAGGCTGCCACAAATCCAATCTCTCATTGGACTCGTCAGATCCAAGCAAGACCCACTCCACCGTGGCCACGGTCAAAATTTATACCGCTATCCTCATGACTCATCTTTCACTCACCATTATCTCATCGTTTACATAATCTGCATGTCAGACACTTTGAGTTTCCACCAGAAATCGGCGACTTGCTACTGCCACCTCAGTAAAGAATACTTGCCATCATCATATGCTTCACTAAGTGACGCGCAAATGAGAACCCGCTCTGCAGGCCTCTTTAGAATCAGCAATGTGTTCTCATGCTTCGTATAACTGGATTACTTCTGGACACAATCTTATTGGGAGACCCTGCGCACGCTACTCGAACAGGCGCCAAGATTGCAGTTCACTCCTCTGATGCATGCATGCATGACTCCATGCATTCAGCCACATGGTAAATTGAATCTGAAGCTACTGCTGGCAATGCTGGATCTAATATTAATAGCACTAAGCAGTTGCAGTACTGAAAGGAGTGTCACTGTGCTTGCAGGGCAACCAGGACCACAGTAAATGGGCAATCACCATCCCAGCCACCAGCCCCTCAAGGAATCGCAAGGTCAGCTTCCTTGCCTCATCAGAGTATTTCCTGCCATGAAAGCTCCGTCAAGGACTGAGATCCAGGAGTCACATTCTCCCATGTGCTTTTCCTCTCCGGGCTGGTGGCGTGAGCATGACACATATTCCTCATGTGAGTCTTGCTTGGGATCTGGCAAGCCCATCAACGGGTACACTGCTGGCAGCCTTCACCTGCAGCTTGTTTGCAAATTGCACTATGCCTCTAGCAGAAACAGTGAGTAATAGGAAAAATCATAATATGTCCCACTGCGTGGATGTGTTCTATAGAAGTGCTGCTGAAACGCACCAAGCCCTGGTAGGCCAGAAACCCATGCAACAGTACCGTGTTATTGTCTGCCCTTTAGTGACCAGATGACCTCTAGGTGGGGTGACCTATCACAGGATGCATAGCAGGTACGTGCAAAAGGCAAGCCTGGCTCGGTCAAAGGAGCACCGCATTCATTTGAGTAGTGAAAGAGAGGACATGGGCAGTAACATGAATGCCTGCTTGGCTTGTCATGTGCAGGTTCTGTGCTTCGCGGACATAAACAGAGCCGGGTCTCAGCTGATCCGCGGAGGGGGCGCCGCATGCTTTGTGGACAACCCTGGCATGTGGAAGCTCTTCAACAGTATCATTGACCAGGAGGAAGACTGCCAGGCCACATGCCCACCTCCCAGGGGGGCTGAGAATAATACCACTGAAATCTCAAGCTCCTGATCAACAAGGGGCTCGGTCTCCTGTTCAAGCAGATGGTGACAATGACAACAGGGACTTGGGATTCTCGGACTGCTGATCAGTAATGGGTTCGATCTTTCTGTAGGAAAAACAACGCAATTTTCTGCTCCTAGGAGATTCTTTCTACTAGACTGGCAGTACCATCAGTGCTAACGGCATAATGGAAAGCATGGTTTGCAAAAGATCCCTATAGGAAGCTCGTGATCAGTCAAATTATTTTGTTGTGATTTTCGAAAATGCATGTGTCACCCTGTTGTGAAGACTGATCATTTCGTGCATTTGTTCTGTTCTGTGGTGTTGTTCCGTCCAAAAGTGTGCTCTTTGATTGCGACCCTGGTCAGCTTGCTAGTTCCAGATTGTTTATGCAATTCGTTTCTTTTTGTGTGTTGCCTGCGCATATTTGCAATTCAGAGTAGTGATGTGGGGTTTCGCCCAACGTGCACCATGCCTGCTGATGTCATTGTCAGCTTTGGGGAATCTGTCCTTCAAGGAAGTTCACTGTGCAGCATGCTGTAAACATATTGACCCCTCTGATCTGTGATAGTCCATCTGGGCATTGTTGGGAAGCTCTTTGCTGGCTTCTTGCCTTCTCATATAGTCCTTCTCAGGAAGAATGGTGGAACCTGCCCTTGGCGTCCTTCCTGAAATGCCAGTGACTCAGTGGGGAGTAATCGGTTGGCGTTTCATGACATGACTAGGTTGCGCGTCACGTTCCCTGATCACCCACTCAAGCTGGTCCTCAGCACCATCACATAAATTTGCAGATTTCCACGAGTTCTGGCAGGAGTTTAACCGGTGCACTAATCCAGTGAGCTTGAAGTTTCACAGTTGGACGCAGTGACGCTTACACAGCAACCGAAAAACTAAAGGCCGCTTCAGGTCTGCTCACGTCCGAGGCTTTCAATGATGCAACTAATGATGAAACGCATATGATATCTACAGAACTATATTTCCAGACATTGCTGACAACGCACGTTTGTGACCGCAGGATGGTTGTCGACAGACGCGCTGCAGTCATCTGCGGCCTCCTCCTCGTCCTTTCAGGGATCGCGACTGCTTCTGAATCCACTGGTGCCCCTAAATCCGGGACTTTTGCCGGGGAGCCCCCAAAAGACGTGGGTCGGTAAGGACTCATCTTCACACATGTACAGGCCTACTTCCTCAACTTTTGAAGAGAAAGAGAAACGCCTGATCGACGTCGTTACACTTACAGTGCTCAAGCAATGAGATACGCCTCAGCAACGCGATCATTCCCTCTGTTCCAGCGTTACAACTTTTGAAGAGAAAGAGAAACGCCTGATCGACGTCGTTACACTCACAGTGCTCAAGCAATGGGACACGCCTCAGCAACGCGATCATTCCTTCTGTTCCAGCGTTACACTTGCCAGTCGACTGAGTAAATTGTTGCCGCTGCACAGGCGCCTGTTGGGTAGCTGCTCCGCGGACGAGGCTCTCTTCGTAAACAACTGCGGCAACACCTACGGCCACTGCCTCAAGGACGACGACTGTTGCTGCAGTGGAGAGTACTACATCGCTGCAGGCGGCTGCAACTTCTGCTGCAGCCCCGGTTACATCGGCTGCGACGTCCCCACATACGACGACTACTACGAGAAAACGCTGGACTACGGCTGCTACTATCTGGGTAAACCACCAAAATTTCCACATCTTTGCTGTCAGGGGAACTCATCATAGTGTGAAGAATCAACTGATCATAACACGCCACTGTTGTCCGAGGGTGTCGGCTCCAGCCGCTTGGCTGTTTGTGCATTGGAAAATTTCACGTATTCATGCTCCATGCCCCGGCTGGCTGGGGGCGGTATAGGCACTGAGCACCGTGCCCACGTGGGTTTTGCTTGGATCTGGCGAGTCTATCAAGGAGTAGGCCACGTGACAGCCTTCACCTGCAGCCTGCTCTGCAGATGGAAAGATCGGGCAGGAAGAGCGTAAAACAATATTGCTGACCCATCGGATGCCCTCGCATTGCATCAGATTTCTTAAGCTGAGCCTGCTTGTTGCAGCGTGCCCGGATGGTTCCACTCAGCCCCAGACCACCACTTCTTCCAGCAACAACCGTAACAGTGGCAGCTCTTCAGGCAGCAGCTCTTCTGGTGGCAGCTCTTCTGGCGGCAGCTCTTCTGGCGGCAGCAGCAGCTCTTCTTCTGACAGCTCCTGGGTGGATGCTGGCAACGGCATGTATGTGAATGCCCAGACCGGGTCTGTCGTTGGGGGCAACAACCCAATTCCTGACTGGGGCAAATGAGCAATCCCCCCTTGGGACTCCCCAATTTTGCAGAAGTCTAAGCGCCGCTTAGTAAGCGCACCAGCAAGTACGTAATGAGCACATAACAAGTATCAGAAGTGCACTTCACTGCCTGGCTCAAACTTGGCACATCCAGGGGAAGATGACTGAAATTCAAAGAAGTTCTTGAAAAGTTGCCTTTTGGCAATCAATAATTCAAACATTCTGTTGAAAGGGAACCTGAAAAAAGGGGCCCAAAGCCCAGTGCTAGAACAGCGCAATGAATGTAGACAGTGCAGATTTGATTGTAAAAGTATGGCACGTTGTACAGCTACTGACAGCAAGGGCAGTACACATTACACTCCCCTTGCTGACAGGCCACAATGCAACAGATGTTCCTGATCAGGTCATGACCTTGGACCAGATTTATCATGCATTAGGCAGTCACTCAATTTCTATGAGTTTTGTGGAAGTACCGCCCTGATTGCCATCATATGAATTGAGAACCACTCCCACTATCGCTGCCTCTCTGTAGCCTTGTTCTCTTAGTCTCTGTACGCAGTCGGCCGCTGCTTCTTTGGGCACCCTGCACGCATGGCAATGACATTAGTCACCTCGTGGAAGCTACTGATAGCAGTGCAACTTTCAGAATCAGGACACCGTACTGTGTAATGATCTCCATTAAAACACCACATGGACAGTACACCTTGGCATGTAACAACTGCATTGCACTGCTGATCCGCCTCTGTCAACAAAATAACCACTCAATATATTTGATGATTTATAACGATGTACTTAAAATGCTTACAGACAAGCAGCATTAAAGATTGGCAGGCACCAGAGCAAAATACAGTGCTCATATGGCAAAGTATCATGAACATAAGCATACTGCCTCAGGCATGCACTCACCCGGCGAGCAGCCCTCCGGCGGTCTGGGGGTCGAATAGGAGGGGCCAGATCGACGACTCAGCAGCCGCATCGCCATCAGAGACGAGCGCAGCCGCGGCCAGATTCTGCGGCAGCAGTGAGCTGGCGATGCCTCCCCTGGCGCAGTCCTGCGCCCCCTCTAATAGCCGCACTTCGGCAGCTCTCAAGCTTACACGTACCTATGGCATGGCAAGGACAAACATCTCGCGATTGTCATCTCATTATTCAAGACTTTAATTCCACTCAATCTCCACACCATGTCATCTTGAGGTGAACAGTGCCTCTTGAGGTACCGCCAGCACTTTTGGACCCGCCAAAGAGAGGTCCTCATTGACACATCTGCATGACCACGACAGCCAAAACAGGCAGTTTGTGCCCTGCATTTGACGCATTCTATAAGGCAAGCATGCAGCTCCATGACATGCGATGGTCCGTTCTACAGTGTGCCATAGCCTCGCACCCACTGAGCAGAGAAGAAGTCTGAGCGGGCACTATGTGTGATTTGATGAGGCTGCGCACCCGTGATGCGCGTGCCATTTCTGCCAGGTGGCCGATGAGGCCAAAGCCAGTGACATCGGTGCACGCCGTGGCGCCAGCTGTCGCCAAGGTGGCGGCTGCCGCCTCGCTGGACTGCTGCATCATCTCCAGCGCACCTGCACATGCAAGAAAGAAGAGTGACCATCTTCAAAATCGAATGCAGCCAGCTTGTGGGGTCCAGAATAGACAAGATAGCATGCGTGGGACTGGGAGACCTAGGAAGAGTATTGCAGATGTGCAAGAGAAGTTTGCACTACTCCCACTTCCAAAGACCCTTTGTGAGCTGAAAGGCTTGGTGCAGCAGGACTCGTTGTCCTGCCTGGACTGTCACTATAACAAAATCCAAAATAACCACATGGGCAGTGACAAGACGGACTGCTGTATCTATGAGGAGGCAAGGGCGCTCAACAAAGTCAGACAAGGGAATTGATGCGCGCACCGGCGATCCAGCGCCCCTTGGCTCGGCCGCGCATGTCCGCCGCAAAAAGGACGCCGGTGCCGAGCGGCTTGGTGAGTATGAGGGCGTTCCCTGGCTGCAGGCCCCCCTTGCGCAGCAGCCGCCCCTCCTCACAGCTCCCATTCACCGAGAAGCCTGCAAAATTTAGCGCCTCCACTTCAGCTGACTAGCTGGCAGACATCAGAAATAAAGCAACCGCAAGTGCTGAAAGGCACATGCGCTCGTTCAGAGCTTTCACACGGGCTCCCTTTGTCAACATCGGAAGGCTTGAAGATCTATGATCTATCCTGAGGGGACAGCCCTCCGGCTGCCGCGTGACCTGGTGTGTTGGAAAGATGATATTGTTTTGTGGAGGCATTGATCATCTGGCAGCAATCCATATAGCAGAGAGTAAGGCTTGGGGTTTGAGAGGATATATGGCTGGGACCAGGATTGGAGTCTGCCGGGAAATGCAGCAAAGTACAGGAGCTTCTGCAGTAAATGTACTTTCCGCATGCAGGGATGGAAACAAAGGGGGACGCACCGAGAGAGAGGTCGGCGCCCTCGCAGGTGTGCCCGCCGATGAGATCGCAGCCTGCCGCACGCAGCGTGCCCAGCGCACCGGCCAGCATCTGGTGCAGCGTTCCCTCCACCTTGCTCTCCAGGCCGTAGGGCACTACGGCTATCGCCAGCGCTGACGTGGCCTTGGCTCCCATTGCGTGGCAGTCCTGCACGTGTACAGTCAGCACCTTCAGTCAAATTACCTCATCCTATGTTTTCTTCATTTGACTAGCAAGGAAGATAATTTCACAGCCTGCGGCATTCAATGCACTTGCAGGAGCTGTCGCCAAAATAGGCGTAGCCCGGTCAGGCACGCCTGTTTGTGAGTATTGAAGTGTTGAGGAAATATTCTAGTATTGGAGTGTTGAGGGAATATTCTGCCTGCCTTCAGGCGCCCGCATTCGTTGAGCAGCTGACAGTACACAGTGATCCAATACCAGGTGCCACCAACGATTGCATTGTCACATTATTGCCATGTGCATCGTCCACCAGTTTAGTGTAGGTTAAAGATTCAAAGTAAATAAAAGGCAGTGCGCACCCCGAGCGCATGGTTTGCTGTGATGGCCCCAAAGACGTAGGGGTCGTCGATGAATGAACGGAAGAAGTCCACGGTGTGCACGCTGACGTGGCCGGGGGACGGCGGCCGAACGACCGCCGCGTCATCGGGATCATTTAACCCGACGACTACCCCATGACTACCACTTTCCTCCTGCTGCAGCTTGCTCAGCACTCGACTGAGCACAGTTGAGCCCACCTACATTGCAGCATGACCCCCTGCGGTCTCAATGAGTATTCTTGATCAGTCAGGAGCACTGGTGGATCTTCATTTGTAGGATTGCGTTACACTGTGCAACCGGAGATTCACTGTTGAAGTGAAGGCACTCTCAGAGTAAAAAATTGTATTTGTGTACTTTTAATGTAACGTCACCTTTGCTCCGCAGCCGCCGCAGCGCATTTTCGCGGCAGTCAGGGCTTGCATCGCCTCGGGGCCGGCTGCAGCTGCCACTGCGTCCTCTTTTGGCGTGCTCCTCCCAGGTGAGTCACCCATGCCAAAGTCCAGGTCATTTCCGTACTTGGCCATCCACGCCCTGTCTATCCGATCCTTCCATGTCCACAGCCACGCAGCCTGCACAGTCATGTGCTACTCAGAAGACCATTACTCAGAAAGCACTCATGAAGGGGTAAATGTGTATCTAATCGCCAGTGCAAGACACCATATCGGTCTTATCGCATGCCATTATGAAAACTTGTATCCTGTGACAATACGTCTATGTCAATGGTCTATGTCAAACTGGAATCCGCTCAACAGGCCTGATATGAGCTGTGGTTGTTGATCATGCACAAGAACACACCTTATCATATCTGATCCACATCACAAAGTTCCACACAGGCCTGGCAGGAGCTTCCCACTTGAAACCGGGCAGCAGTTGATGTTACAGGGGGGAGAAGGGCTTGCCTCGAAGCAAAACCAGCCCTTGGTGGCGACCGCGTACTTGTCCCCTGTGGTGATGAGGCCCAGGTGGGTGCTCTGGGGCACAAACGGCCGCAGCCTCTCGCCGGTCAGCAGCCTGCGCAACGACACCAAAGCACTATTATAAGTCGCAAAGTGTGCAAGCAGGGAAGTGAAACAGTACACACTGTTCATGCATTATCAAGCCTCACCACAGTCCACAGTGGCTGCACATACTAGAACATGATTAAGAGCAGGAGCCCTTCACACCATCACCAACTTGAAAGGGAATGTCATGATTGCCGGCCAGGCATGTCCTCTGCACATGCCTACCATGCATGCTATATAATAAGGGGCCCTTCGTAGAGGTCATCAGCTTACTAATTAGGCCAAAGAAATACATGATCGCAACTGGAGGGAGGAAACGCGCCTGCGGAGGTTGTCGGCCAGCGGGGGCCCCTGCCGCACGGCGTACACCCCGGCCTTGGGCCGAGGGTGACTAATCGAAGTTGCCACGTCACCCACCGCAAACACATTCTCCAGCCCATCCGCTTGCAGGCACTCGTCTATGCTGATGAAGCCTGCCCTGTCTGCACCCATGCACACACTTCTGTCAGGCCAGAATATTACTGCAGACCACTCTGCTTTCTTCAGCACTTGCTTGGAGCTGTCTCTCCGCTCTGCCGTGGCTTGAATGTGACTTTAGGGTACATGGCCCCATCAGTGGGCACAATCAGTGTGCTATGCAAAGGTAATTAGAGGACCTGGCATGTCACTAAGCAGACCCTGTGCTGCATGCTGGAAGCCATTCTAATGCTTCTAGAATGGGCATTTAGTCCAGGACAAGTAGAGCCCAGCATATATCCAAACAAAGATCACCTTGTGCGGCGAAGGTATTTCCATGGAAAGGCAGATCCGCGACAAGTCAGTTCAAGTAGCGCTTTGAAGGCCACATGAAGAGCCGTAAGATAAGATAAAGATTTCACCTAGAGGCAGGCCGGTGTCCGCCAGCCAGGTAGGGGCGGCGGCTTGCGTGCACCAAAGCGCCTCATCAAAGGTTTCTTTGCTGCCATCATCTAACACCAGCTGTCCTGCCTCCACTGCTGCAACGCCCCTGCCCTCAAACAATCGCACGCCCCTCTCCTGTAGCGCCACGTGGCAAATCTAATTAAATGCGCCAGTGCAGACAACTGCATGCTGTAGCACAGCTCACATCTCCTTTTACTTGCGATGAGTTTCTAATCTGCTAGGTGGCTCCAGATCCTGTGACGCGCAATGATGCTGCTTGGGCCCCGAGAATAAAGCCCACTGATGTGGCAGCGCAGAGAGCCGCACCTTCAGAACGCGCAGGAATATGTTCCTCGCATACTGAGTGTGCTGCTGCAGTAGCTGACCCTTGCAGATGAGTCTGCACTGGCACATGACAGCGCAATCATGCAGCAGACACAACTGTACGCACATCGCCATGCAAAATGGGCCACTTTCTAGGCATATTTGATCCAGGCATGCATGCTAGTGTGCAAGGAGGCCGGTATGACAAATCAAAAGGGCAAAAACTAGTGAACTAGTGACCTACTTGACAGTGTGCAAGGAACCTTCAATGGCACATCGAAGGAGATAACACTTGACTTGCTTGACAATGTGCAATGAAGCCTGCATGGCTCATCAGAGGGCAGCAGAACGCACTCACTTAACAATGACCTTGCGATCAGAAGGCACGCCATGATCCTGCAGCTCAGAATGTAATCTGTGCTGCACTGCCAGTGCCAGCTCGACTCCCCCAGCTCCCCCACCCACCACTGCCACCTGTGTAACACCCCAGATTGCATTTGAATTCAAATCCAAACTTTTGCAGGCATGTGGACCACCACGATCCCTGAAATCCATGAACGAGCATGAGCAGGTGAGTGCCACAGGAGGGGCAAAAAGCAGCTTGACGAAAATTTGGCTGAGTTGTGTAGGCTGTAGTGTGCTGAAGAGAGGGAGACATGTGGCATCCATGTTGGCGAAAGTCAGGTCGGTGCAAGTAGCAAGGCAGGAGGGAGCGGCCCGCACCGAGAGATCCTCGTCTTGCGACTTTAGCCGCTCTATGAGTCTCCCAAAACGGTCCACAAAGCTGCAGCCACCACAGCAGAGAGACCTGAGCGCTGATGCCAGGAGCATGTTACAATTATGCTGAGCAGCTGACTGGGCCATCTGCTCATGTTCTGCATTGCATGAGAAGCTTCTCTGCGTGGGGTTGTCCAAAACTGCTGAAGGGAGCAGTTGCGCCCCTCAAAATAGATGGCTTCTCCGAAAATAAGGGACAAAGCCAATCTTTGCAGCAGGCAACTTGTAATCTGGAAATGCATTGACTGGATGAGAAAGTAAGAGTAGATGGGGTGAGAAGAACACCTGGACACAGGCTTGACAGGAGTGGCGTGCTCCAACGCCCCAGGCACCCCCTGAGCCGAGGGTGTTATGCCGGTGTCCAGGGACAGCGCATCATACGCAATGGGCGGCCGGCTGCTCCCCAGCTTCACTAGCTGCTTCTGTGGATGCACATGAAAATCCTTGAATTGCATATTTATCTAGACATGCATGCATGCATGTACAAATGCATGCATGCTGCAGGCAATGGGAAGGGTCAAGGAAGTCATGGACAGCCTGATGTCAAGAAGACACTTTCAGCAGGCATGTCAGCAGATCAGAATGAAGAGCATGTATGTTACCAGATCCTTTGCCAATAAGAACAAGGTTGAGCAATGGGAACCTACCTGCAGATCAAGCCCAACTGCCGACTCCAGAATCAATGCAGCGCCGGCATAGCGCGCCAGTCTGTTCAGATCCACGTGGCACTCGTCATGAGTATAGAAACCGCTGACATAACCAGGCAGCATCCCACTGCAGCACACACATGCATCACTACATCTGCGAGTAACACTGTCTCTGTCCTTGCTGTAGCACAGCTTTCAGAAGAGTAAGCCTGTACAATGCAGCTGCATTGCTGTGAAAAACAACACTGCGCATCACGCAGCTCTCCACTTCGAGATACCATCTCCTGAGAAGTTCAGGGCCATCAGGTGCTCAAGTAGGTACTTATGCAGCTGCGCATGAGGCACTAGGCTTTGTTCTGTATCCTAAGAGCTGCAAAGCACCTGTAGGCAGTATGGGCATCCTTTGTGATGAGCGTCAGCCGCACGCCTGGCAGAGGCTTCATGCCAAAGCTGCGCAGGACTTCCACGTGGCTGTGGCCACCGCCCACCAGCACAAGGTCCTGCAGCAGATCCATCTTTGCTGACTGCATCAACGAGCCGAGCATGCAGCAGTACTGATCACGAAGAAGCCAGGCATTGTGAATGCCTGCATGTCAGGTGAAGAGAGGGCACCTTCAGTACAATACCGGGGGCGCTGCTGTTCATGGTGAATGGATGTAGCGCCACAGGAGCCCGAGGCTTGATCTGGCTGTTATGGATCCGCCTGGGATTCAACGTGAGGCTTCAGACAATACGCTTGTGACTGAGATCCTTGCTGTTCAGGCAAGCCATGCATCGAGACGAGGGCTGGTTCGCACCATCTCAGAAGTGGTTTGTGAAGTGCTTTGTCAGAGAACAGGTGGAAAGTGCTTGTATCGAGACTCAGAGACGTGTATGAGCGCATCTACACATCATGAAACTGCCCTTCGTCACATTCTCCGTGAAAAGTACGATGCCTGGAGTCCGATATGGAGTACGGTATCTCACTGATGATCCTCAAATACTGACGGAAGTTTCTCACGAAGCGAATGAGTTCAGACTACTGGCCATCGGCATGTGAATTTCAGGCGACTTGACGGTGAGGCTCCAATACACCCAAAACGGTAGAACCAGATAAACATCAGAGATCTTACTCACAAAGAAGAGATTTTGGCTCTTCTCCTTATCGGAATATGTGACCGATCGCTGCATGCAACCCTATCAAGCAAACTATTACTAAACAATGGAACCCTAGGCGGATGGATGCCAACGAAGAAAACGCTGTTTACTGCGTCCAAATCCTGAAGCAAGGCGGCCTGTACTTGGCCGGAGCCTGCGAATGGCAGCTCGAATGGGTCATTGAAGACGTTGATAGCCGCGATGGAACAGGTGCAGCAGCACACTTAGGTCCCCTCCTTATAGAGCCGCATCTGGTTTGGACGTGTCCCCATGTGACCCCACCCCAGCCCTGTGGAATGCTGCCTTATGGCTAAGAAAAGCATCATTCTCTTGAATCCCTTGCTGCATGCAGCGCATGTCTGGGTACCCGGTATATTCAGAGGTGGCAGTTGGTTCTGACACCCTTTCTTGCTCTGGGTGCAGGTGAGGAGGTCTCCGCAAATGAGGCGAGGTGCGATGCTGGAATCTTTCTAGCAGCTGTTTTGCTAGCGAAATGAGATCATCGAGCCTGATATTAAGATGGGGCATGTACATTTGCAGGTGCAGACTTCTTTATCCTAGTGATACTTATTGTCCTTGGTGGAGCCTTCCTGGACTGGGGCAGTTTCCGGGGACTAAGTGCTTCAGCCCTTCAGGTTTATCCTCCTTTTTGCCCCGAAACTGCGAGCACAACAGTGTCTGGTCGTTTTTTTGTTTTTTTGCAAATCCCATCCTAACTGCAAACATCGTCATTAAGAGCTTGCATGCTGCCTGCGAATACCAGCGTGAACCCCAAATTATCCAAATCTCCCAGAAGCCCTCGAATCGGCCTGAAAGATTTGATCTGCTCGTGAAGCCTCAAAGGGGCTGCACTTGTGATGTCAAGCTCCATCGCCTTCCCAGCGCGAGCAGGAGCCCCTAAACGTGGGAATGGGACTGCACAGGCTGACAGCTTGAGGCCACTGGACGTTCTGGGGCTTGACGGAGCTGCTAGCCTCTGCTCAGGCCTGCGGACGGGGCACTCAGGATTGTTGAAGCAGCGGATGGCTGCTCTGTTGAGAGGACGGATATGGTCCAAACCAGTGGAGGAGATGCAGGAAGGCTGCGAAAGTTCCAGCCTGCTTGTGACCATGGCGAAGTGTAGCATCTGGTTTTTGGCATTCATTGGGGCGCTAACAGGCGTGCTGGCATCGCTATATTGGCCGGGGCGGCGGCATGTGCAGATTGCGCAATGGGTGCGTCGTGTCCCTCTCATCTTCCCGGAACAACCTCATGCCCTGTGCAGACATGGAATCTGTGTGCAGCAGGAGCATGACTGATCACAACAGTTACTCTTGCGCCTGGTTATGCAAAGAATTGGTGGAGCGGGATCCTTGTGCTCTTGTTTTGCCGTGCGAAATGCATCACAGGCAGGAAAGACACAATCTGTGTTTTCCTCGTTGAAATTGGTTGAGGACCTTATAAGAGGCCACCAAGGCCTTCGCCTACAATTGCATCATTCTGGCTGGTCTGATGTCATGTTGTCGACGCTGTCAGAGAGCATTTATGTGAGCTTGCACGCTGAATGGATGCATGGTCTATGGGTGATCATTATTAGTTTCAATTCGGCTGCTGATTGTCACGTTGAAAAGACGGCTTTTGATGGTGCAGCCGCCTTTGAAGTGGGTGGATTGGCTGAGGGCGACTTTGCAGAGCGCATGGATCAAGCGGAGGTCGGAGCGGCGGAAGCAGAATGCCGCCCTTGCTTTGCGAGTGGCCCTGAGATCAGGTGCGGCAGTGTCTTGGGCTGCATACTGTACTTTAGTCGAAAGCACCAAGGGCTCGACTAACACTCTAGCTGGGCAGCAGCTGCGCCTAAGTGCATGATAGTTTGGCCGGTGTCCACGGCCCAGAGGGGTTGGCTGTGGCAAGAGGCAAATAGAATGACTGTCGATCTTCACCTATAGAGCCACTTGAACTCGATCTCCTTGTCTCTTGCCACAGCCCCAAAAGCAATTTTAGTGCTGCAAAAGACACACCAGATCAGGAATTTGACTACATGCTGGGTCCTCGGCACAGGAGACAAGGAGCTGCTGAGTGCGGCGTTGGAGGAGGCAGAGAGCGCCAAGGTGGACACACCACTGATGCGGAGGGCGACAGTGGCGCTGAGAGAGCTACGGCGCAAGGCGGCCAAGATCTCCAAGAAGGGAAGGTCCGGGCGGGGGGACCCCGCCCACCGCCGATCGGCGTCCCCCACCCGGCAGCGGCGGTCCTCCCGCTCGGCCTCCCCTGGCCGTGCCTCCGACGGCGCGCACCGCTCCGGGGATCTCGACAGCGTTGGCCAGTTCTGGCAGGGGTCCAGCGAGAGCAGTGGCGACTTCAGCATACCTGCCGGCAAGGCCGGGGCCGCGGTTCATCATCCAAAGGATGCAGCGGGAGGATCCCCAAAGGCAGGGCCAGTTACCCGAGAGGCCGACCGGGGCTCGCCGCCGCTGAGCAGCCAGCCATCGATGTCCCTCTCACAACAGTCTTCTTTGAGCGAGCACAGCAGCGTCACCGTGCCGGCCCCGGCGCAGCCGCCGCCGCAGCCGGAGCGGCAAAACTCCGAGCGGCATGCGGCGGCGGCTGCCGGGAAGCCACACTTGGTCAGGGACTCCGTTGGGGAGCTGGCGGCAGCTGCCGCTATGCGGGTGGAAGCTTTTGAGAAGGAGCGGGAGCGGCAGAGGGAGGAGAAGAAGCAGGCGCGCAGCCGCGAGGCGGCCGAGAGGGCCGCGGCGGCCGCGCAGGAAAAGGCGGCGGCGGCCGATGCGACGGAGAAAACCACAGTCAAAGCCGATAAGGCGGCGGACGCGGGCACGCCCAAGGCGTTGGGCCGCGGCGGGTCATTTTTTGGGCGGAAGGCTGCGCCAGTGACCACGGTGTCTCCGGCCGGCTCCGGTGCCGGCGGCGATCGGGAGTGGAGGTATGCCTCCGCAGACTCTGCTTTCCTCGGAAGAATGGGAAGCAAAATTAATGCTATGAGATGGGACTGCCGGCATACCCTATGAACAATGCTTCTATTGACATTGCAATGACAGACCATGACTGAGAAGTGCTCAAATCTGCACGTCTTGCACGCTGTTCTGGATCTCTATCAAGCTATGGTGTACGACAAGGGTCTGCTGATGTGTTACGTGCATGGCAGCGCGGTATGATTGGGGCAAGCATGAATGGGATATTGTGTGCAGGTGGGCGGGTGGTAAAAAGGAGAAGCCGGTGGCGGTGCCCATAGAGCCGGTGACGCCGCGCCCAGGGCGCAGAGGGGCCGTCGTTCTGACAGTGCCGCGGCCGCAGGCAAACGGCGGCAACCGCGGTGCCACCACTGTGAAGGTGTGAGCTTGCCTTCAAAGCGGGTGGTATTTGTGAAGGTTTACATGCATGCTCTGCTGTGCTTGTGTTGCCACCTGTCATTGATTATTTTTAGCGGGCCGTTGTAGCTGGAACATTCATTTACAGCCCCTGCAGTAGTTCTCCTGTACATACAATCAACATGTGCCGCCCAGCATTTGCCAGACTAGTGCATTGGTATATGACAGCACTCAGGTCCCCGTTCTGGTACACTGTCCAGGGGCCAGCTGACCTGAAGCCATGCAGTGTATGACAAGTTGTCTTTGCATCCTGCCTCTCCTACCAGGTGTTTTCATGTTCAGCGGGTCAAGCTAGCACCCCCCATTTAGTACAAATCGTTGCTAAGGATTTCTCTGTGCGCAGGGGGATGCCGGGAAGAAGCAGACAGGGACGCCCGTGTCGCCGGCGGCCGCGGCCGCAGCCGCGCCCGGGTGGACAAAAAAGTTTTCGCGCCACACCTCGTCAGCGCCCACGACGCCAAATGGCAAGTACGGACCGCTCGACGGCGTTGCCTCCATGCTGCCCATCGGCCAGGGCCTTGCCGCCGCTTCGCTGCTGGGCCAACCCCCCGAGCCGCCTCCGCCGCCGCCCCCGCAGCTGCCGCGGCTGTATGCGCAGGTGGGCAGCAAATCCTTTCTTCCTAAGCGGACAAGCAGTTTCATCCGATCTCTTGTGATTTGTGATGTTCTGGAGTTGAAGGCAGATGTGCTGAACTACTAAAGGGCATGACATCAGGACTCAGCACGACAGCACAGATCTTTATTTAAATGGAAAGCTGCATCATGACCAAGATGACCTGCGTGGCTTCTGTGCGCTTTGCATTCACTGGCCTCACCATATTCAAAAAGACCTTGCAGTGCAGAGTGAAAAGTTCTCACATGTTTTTCCATTTTGGACATTTCATGCATGCCCCAACATATTGGGCCCCGCAGACGTGGCTGCAGACGCCCTGCGTGTACGCCCTATGGCCTTTGGCTTTGCTTTGCTGACCTTTAACAACAATAATAATAACATATGCCGTGCGCGCAGGTGGCGCGCGACGGGTCTGGAGGTCAGCAGGAACGCCCCTCCACGGCGCCGCCGAGCGGCAAGCGCACGCCGCCGCCGCCGGCCCCGGCCTCCCCGCACGCCCCGCAACAGAACGGCGCTCTTTTTCCCCCGGCATTCCCCTCTCCCAACCCCACGCACACCCAGGCCTCCTCGCTCTTCCTGGGCCTGGGCGGCTTTGGAGGCTTCATGGGCGGCTCTCAGGCGCCGCAGTCCGGCGCTGCCGAGGCGCTCAGCCCTTTCCCGGGGATGTCCCTGCACCGCCGCGTCCCCCCGGCCGTGCGAACCCCTGCCGTCCAGGCGCGCTCCCTCCAGTTTGCCAAGTGTCTCACTCAAGAGGTCCCAAATACTTGAGCGCTTGACTGAACAACAAATGCACCAGGATCACCTGGTGAATATGAAGGCACCTGACAGAAATGGCAGACATGCAAAGACTGGCATGGTTCAGATTCAGGGGGTCCAGCAATTGCACTGCGCAAGGTTCAGATGTGCTCTTGTTGAATTGTTATGCAGTATATATTTGTGTGGTAGATGATGTGCGTCTGGTGAGCGGCCAAGTCTGTGCCTGGGGGCCAAATCTGTGAGGATAGACGTGGCTTCGACAACCGAATGCACGTCATCTAAACCTTCTGAAAGGCTCGACAGCTTGAAGACAAAATTGGTCTGCGCTTTGTGCCAGAGCAGGTCTAACTGCAATGACTTGACGCCCGCAGGATTTGGGGCCTCCAGTGCGTCTATCTAGCTACAGTGCCATGCCCATGGCGCCCCAGCCTGCTCCCTACCACAGTTTTGACAGCATCTGGAGCTCCAACGCTGCCGGAGAGCCCCTGCCCATTGGTGAGCGCACCCTTCCCATAATCGACCTGTGCTTGACACTAGATCTATAATAAGCTCCAACATACTCGACCCACCCGTGACCCTTGAAGAGCCTGCCTTCATGTCGGAATGTTGGGGATGAAATGCATCTTATGCAGTTGCTTTCATCATCCCACTACTTTCACGATGCAGATGTCATAGCAAACGTGCAGTCCTTGTAGCTTCTGAGTGATCAGGGACATCTCTTCTCGCACTGTGCCACGTGCATTGCATTATGTACTGCTCTGCAGCTGTTTGAAGAGGTTATTGTTCTATTTTCCCAGGCACATCGCCTCCGGGGTGGAACCCTATGGGGATGCGCTGCCGCACGTCTGCCGCGCCGGACTGGAAGTCCGCGCCTGGGCCGGGGTTATCTCCCCTGCACTTTGCATCGGAGCCCCTTCCGCCCCTCGAGAGCACCCTCGCCGAGACCGGCCCGGCCGCCGCCGCGGCTGCCACCGCGCCCGTAGCTACGGGCCCGCTGAGCGAGGGGTCCGTATCCGGCCCTAGCGTGTCCCACTTCAGCAGCGTCAGCACTAGCAGCTCCCTGGAAGGCTGGTGAAGCTGCAGGAAGGGGGGGGAAGCTGCTGTGCATTCCTGATCAGGCGCCGGCCTGAAAGTGGCTCCTGGGTGGATGTCTGCCCCTGCCTGCCTTCTTGCAGGCCTGGCACGGCTTTCAAAAATATCATTTGCGGTTGCAATTAGGAGGAAAGGGTATTTAGACAATGGGCTGCCTTTGTTGCTGGTTTGGTTTATTCCTGGCTCAGAGGACATTGCTCCTGAGTTCCGATACCAACCCTTGGGGTCTTTCCCCGCTTGAGAGGGGGGATATAATGGGGTCTGCGATCATCGCAGTGCGATGGGATGCGCGGTTTGCAGGGTTATTTTCAAGGAACCTGCAACATGCATGCATGGAGAGAAGCACCACACGGTCTGATGGCTTGAGAATCCCTTTTGACCAGGTTTGTGCATTGCATTTGCTTCCCTAAGATCTGCTGCTGCTTTCTGACAGGCCGAGTGCACATGCGTGTGAGACAGTTGCTAATTCGTGGGACGGTGCATTTTGTCGCACCTGACCTTCTGAGTTGTGTACCAACAAGTTTGCCGGCGACTGCGCTAATGTTTGATTCCTAGGTCCAAAATTATCATGACTAGCAAGTACATGCGGCGTGCATAAGGCTCTTGCTGTATGCTTTAGCTGTAAGCAAATGCATCCTTTGGTGAAGTTTTCATTGAGCTCATGAGACCAACTCTCTGGTGGCAGCACAAGCATATTCCGAGATTGCATGCTGTCCACTCAACCAACTTCAACAAAACTTGACGTCATGTACGCCGCTATCAATCTTCAGTCACTTACACTGTACTTTTACAGTCAACAGGAAGTGCACTCCTCATATCCAAGTATATCTCTTCTATCCTTAATCGTAGAAATTGTGCCAGTGCAACGAAATGTTCAAAGGAGTATCTCTGCAGCAACGCCCTTGTCAAACTTGAGCTGACCTTTTTTGAACATTAAGCATGGCCGTTTAGTCAAAATCAGAGTCTTCATCGTCCGAGTCATGCCGGGAGCCGTACACAGTCCGCCTGATGTGCTCTGCTGGCGTGAATGACTCATCCTCTGAGTCATCCTCAGATCGCGTGGGAGGAAGTATCACGCCGCTGCGCAGCAGTCGCCGCTCCACTGACTCTGCAGTGCCAATGGCAGGGATCATTATACATTCTTTTTTAAATCACAAGCATCCTGACAAAGGCACGGTGCATACGCAGACAACCTGCATGGGAAATGCTGCAGTCCCACCCCTTAGTTGGACTTGCCAAATGCAAGCAAGACCAAATAAACCACGGGCACGGTGCTCAGGCAGAATATCTCCCTCAGCCATCCAGGTTATGAAGTAATGCCAAGAGAATGTCTAACTTCAGCCCTAATTGAACATGTAGCCCAGCAGAGTATAAATCGGTCTATGCACTCATGCTCAGGCAATTGTTGCGGTAAATTTATGCGCATGCAAGTATAAGCTTCTTCCCTCTATCCCAAGCACCTCAGGAGCAGCCTGGAAGTGTCAGGGCTAGTCTCCAGCCACCAGTACAAAGTATGCTATTAGGAACAGCTGGGTTCTTCGCGTGATAGTCTTCAGGGCAGGAATTCCTTGTAGGATGCTGACAGAGGGAGGCACCTGTTGAGAAGTCGTCCTTGGCGCCAAACTCCTCAAAGCCAACGGTGCGGTCGACGGCAACGCCGTTGGAGAACAGCACTATGCACGGCAGCACCTTCACGTTCAGCTTCACCGTGAAGAACGGCGCATCCTGTGTGCACGCATAAATCGCTTAATTGTGTGTTGTGGCTATATGACTTTGGCCAAGCCCGGTGCGTTGAAACCCTGTGCATGCAGCGTCAACGAAATACCATGCTGGGCGGACCTATGACAATCAGAGCCAGGCATTGGATCAGCCTCAAATTAGCAGGACGCAATATACTGTTTGTGACTCAGCGAGTCATGCATGGCGTTGCAGGCAGTAGATTGAAGAGACATGATGGTGGACCCAGATCATTGATGCCATGAGTTCATCGCATGCCACAACCATCCGAGAGGGTCCATGGGGTGGGCCTATGATTCATTGAAGACTGATCAGGTGCAGAAGGATTTGGAAAGGGAGTCAGCGCACCGGCGCAGAGAGTTTGATGAAGCGGGTCTCGAAGTATTTGCGCGACAGCACAGTGAGGTGCTTGTCGATGATCTTGCAGCGCTCAAACTCGCGGTGGAAGAAGTGGCACACCACGCGTGGCGCCGATGTGACCACCTCCAAAAAGTCCCCTTCCTGCACCTGTGCATGCAGATAACAGGCTGAGGGGGATACAGGTGCACCCAAGAATGGAACTGCATTCACTGACACTGCTCATCTCATTCTGACATGATGCATCCTCAAAGCTCGCGTCTGACAAATCTAGATGGTCCTTACCCATACAAGGTTGGCAACAGATGCAGGACAGCCTCTGCAGGTCTGCGCTTCAGAGACTCCATTTTCAGAGACTTCGTGCTCATAGTAGGCTTTAATCACAGTGAGAAAGCGAGGGGAAGGGAGCATGCAATTGCATGGGGTGCACCTCTTGAAGCTCCCCATGCCCTTTCCGCTGCAGCACCATTCGCTTCTCTGCTTCCTTCTGCATCACAGCCAGCCGCTCTGCATGCAGCCTCTCCAGCTCTGGGTCATCAAGAAGGTCATCCACATCCACTTCCCTGAAACTCGAATCTGGTCCAGCTCTGGCGCTTACCAGCATTTCCTGTGCCCCACATGTGCCACAGAGCGTCAGGCCACGATACCCTGCGGCTTGCATCCCTGTAGTACAGACTGTGATGCTGGAAGCTATGTTGGAGTTCTGTGTGCAACGTCATCCGCGCGCGAGAACCTCCTCCACGATTGCATATACGATGTATAGCAGGTATCATGTGCAACGAACTTGGAAGAAATCCTTTCTTGAGCTGGAAATCAAAGGTCAACACACAGGATGTGCCATTTTTAGCACTAGGCTGACGTCGCTGGATCTGTTCATTGAGATGGCCACACCTTTTGGTAATCTCTGGCTGCTGCTGCCATCGCTTGGCCGTACGCCAAGCTGTGCATCCTGCTCTTGAACTTTTCTGGGTTCTGCACCAACAAAATCACATGTAAGGCACGATCATTTTGCGGGCTATTCCTGTCCAAGAGAGAGAAATACGTTTTCTAGTGCCTTACCATGCCCTCCATATTAGGATTGCCCTGCATTGGACCCAACGTGTAACTGCCCTGATATGAGACGCTGATCCGCTCGTGTCAGCTCCTTGATCGCGCTGTTCCGAGCTTCACATTCAGTTTCTTAATCGTTCAGGAGCCTCAGACTCCGAAGAAGATGCCAGAGATCACTGGGATGATCAGAGTAGTGTTCATTGATCCCTCCCGCCAGATGAATGACCGTGAGGCAGATCACAATCATAATCTCGAGCTGGTTGCCCTGCGGCGGTGCCTTCCAAATCACACTCTTATGCATCCAAATTCATCCGAGCAAGCTGTGCAACTGAAAAATCCTTCGTAAAGTCCTTGTTTGTAGATTGAAGTGATCCTTCCTGCACGGAGTACGAGTCGTACGACAGGACAACACGATCAGGGAAGAGGGTGTGCTTGAGCTGGGAGTATGGCAACAGTCACAAATCCTTCAGTGGATGAACTCGAAAAGAGGGAAGAGGAGCTCTTCAGAACGGGACCTTTGTCAGTGCTGACCACCAGCGTGAAGAGCAACTCTCAGGTGGGTTGCTTGTGAAACTACGTTTCCCAAAGTCGCAATTATAATCACATTAGTCTTAACGTGGATTTTTACTGAGGTATAAAGCATCTCAAAGAGACAGAAATGTTTGTCCTCATAAGGCTCGTCATAAAATGACTGGTGCTCAGATCATTGTCCTGGAAAAAGATATGTCTTGAAAGCTCGAAACGAGTATTAAATTTTGGCATTTGGATTAGCGTATTTCCTTGTTCTCGAGACATGCTCTGACGGTGTCCATCGGGTGCCTATAGGTGCTCATCAACTGCAGAAACAACCGCAAGCTGCTTGGCAGAGTAAAGGCTTTTGACAGGCACTGCAACATGATCCTTGAAAACGTCAAAGAAATGTGGACAGAGGTGTGTCTCGATCTCATCAAGTATCTATTCTCACTTTGGGGCCCTGCGCAGTAATGAGCTTTGTATTTGCTTTGCTTGTTCTTATGCCTTGTCTGGAAGCCATGTTGACCGCTCTAGCTGTCCTGTGCAGATTCCAAAGACAGGGAAGGGAAAGAAGGGGTCAACCCCAGTCAACAAGGACCGCTTCATTCCCAAGCTGTTCATCAGAGGAGATTCAGTGATCCTTGTGCTCAGAAACCCCAAGTAGATCATCCTCAGAAGCCCCCCAGGGATGTATTGGTGACAAAGCAGATGAGGCGACAGCATTGCAGTATGCGAGAATCCAGTAAAGGGCATTTGACTTCTTGTGCATTACAGCGGCGTGCTTAATCTACTGCTGATGGCTGTCATTGAGGCCCGGGCGGTTGTATCACTTCTACGGTCACAAATTTGCAAGATGCCTGCAGAGACACCCTTGCTGATTCTCATGTGGTCAATGCTTACTGTGGCTCTTACGGCCTGCCACCTCAGCCATTGTAGGGTTATGGAGGCACTGACAAGTCAATGTTTCTAGAAATGAGCTCTCACCGTTGTACCTGTGTGACAAATTAAAGAAAAGTGCATGCAGAAAACAAACATACTGCCACTATGTGCTGCCCAAATGTAATATAAATGACACTGCAACAGTGAAGAGTCGGTCTTATACAGCAGAGGTTTGCAAGTCAGTATCTTAATCCAGCCATACTGCAAATTCATACTGCAAGTCATGCTGAATCAATGTCCATTTCAGGAAGCATTTGCGGCCTGAAATGCTGCCTGTATTCTTGTTTCCAACTCCTTCAGGTACTCAGCCTGCACCCGCTGCGCGTATGACCCTGATGGCAATGACAGCACTAGCAGCTCCATCTTTTTCCTCAAGGCCGCCAGCATGGCCTCCTCCCCAACCTGCAGCAGCCATGCCCTGAATTGTGCAGAGAATGGCATTGTTCACAAAGACAAAGAGCCGCTGGTCGGAAATGCAGCAATCTAAGGGTACATAAAAAAGAAACCCAAGGCAGTCTGCAGTACCTCACTTCTTCACTGTCCAAATCCCGACCTCAAAATTTTTAAGCAACTAAGCAGGGCACAGGAAACATAGGGCTGCAGGTCAGCCTGCATCATGATCTTGGGCTGTTCATTCCCCATCAATGAGATCCCAACATTGTGCGTTCCATTCAGCTTTGATCCTGCAGTCAACTTGAAGTGGTGGTGTGATGACAGTCTTGAGACATTTTTTAGCATGACTAGTAGGGCATCAAGTCAGGGGCGTGCCTGCTGCGCCGCCTCTTGCCGGAGCAGCGAATCCCACTGCTCCTCCTCAGCCGCGATGAGGCGCCGCAACGCTGACTCAGCGGCGTCTCCGTCCTGGGGCGTTCCCGCGGCCGACAGCACCTTGCCCGCATACAGCTGCAGCACCTTCTGCAGCAGCGCAACCATCCCATCCAAGCTGTCCTCTGAGGCCTTTCGCATCCACGCGAACGCATTTGACAGCAGCGCCTGCGCAGTAGGGTGCTCTCTATGGTAACGTCGACAGGAAATGGACCCTCTGGTACAAGTTTTGGAGGTGAGGAAGATGGGAGATAGGTTGGCAAGCGGCGCCGAACGCATTCAGCTGCACGCAAGCCTGCCTCCAGCAGGCCAAGCGTGCACGCACTCTACCAGTAGCACATGTACTCATCCAGACTGCTTGATGCACATGCGGAAGGTTTCACTGCCGCTCTTCATACGCAGTCCCTGCGCCTTGGTATGTCATTTTAAGTCCTGTCTAGCACGACCCCAAATACGGTATGCCATGTTCAGCTGTTTAAGGGGGAATCTAGTAACACAGCATGCTGCTGACATAGGCTGACCACCGAAGACACCAGAACGGTCTCATTGGCTGACATGGCACACCTCATTCAGATGCTCTGCGCGAGCATCGAGCGCAGCGCGCATGGCGGCCACGCGGTCGGCCGGCAGGGGGAGTTCCCACTCGCCGCGCTCATTTGCGCCGGCCGCCAAAATCTCCTGCAGCATGCGCCCCGAGTCTGCCAGCTCGTTGTTGGTCTTCTTCACTATTGCGTCCACGATCTTCATCACCGTCTGCGCATGCACGAGTGAGGTTGAGTCAGGCAGTCAAGCGGCGCATGTAGAGTGTGCTTTCTGCTTACTAAGTACCCAACAATTATCTGCAAGTGTGGTGCGTGAATACGGCACAGCGTTATACATGAGAGGCCAATACACACAGCTATATTGGTGAAAGCATGCCGCTGTTCCGGTGTGTGTGTATTGGATGCGGAGGTAATCATTGCATGATGCATGCATTGCTGATTGCATGCTCAGCGCTTGCTGAGCTGGTTTCATCAGCTACGAGCAGCACTTGTGCTGGTTACCGCAATCTCGAGAGTGCTGAATTAATCGCACTAGGACTAATTCGTGCAATCAAGTAATCATGCATTCCATGGGAGAAAGGGAGGGTGGCATCTCACGTTTGCAAGGTTGGTGAGATTCTCCTTCTCCGCGGTGCTCTGCGCTGTATCGGAACGGCTAGCTAGCCGGATCCAGAACTTCTGGTCGAAGGCGAGCAGGTTCTCAGCCACCAGCTGTGTGAGCTGCTGGTGCCCATTCGCCCCTCTCAGCAAGTCTATGAGCTTGTCTAAGGCGGCCACTTCGCTCAAGGAGCTGGTGGTGACATCGGCATCGCTGGAAGATGCTCGTACTGACATGTTCCCGTGGCATCTTTGCCTTTCCAGTTGCCAAATGCCTGCATTTTTCCTGAGATGTGCGGGTGATCTCAATACTGTTGTGCGTGATCTGGCGATGGACAGACCACTGATGCATCTTGTCTGAAGGCTATCTTGCAATTGTTGCGTGAGGAGACCACAATTGCATGCCACCCTCATCCCGTACTATACTGGAGAGTAAATAACTAGTGTCCTTCCAGCAAAGAAAGACCTTTTACTTCCTCACTATACAAGTGCAAAGCGTCTCGATCAAAAAGTTTCGCAATGCAGGTACAAAACAAGTTGTCTGAGCTCTACCCTCACTGCTCCAAGGAGGAGGGCAGCTGTCTTTTCACGATATTTATCGACCCTATCTAAATTTGGGGGTCGAACCTGCAGGCTGCTTGAAAAGGGTTTAGCCGTTTGTAAGAACTTCTCTCACTTCTCAATGCAGTTTCTTCTCCCCAGTCTGATCGGAGACTTGACGTGCATTGTATACTTAACTGGGTTTATGTGTTTGTATTCTGCATTCAGAAGAGGCGGTTTTGACTTTAGGCAAGCGTTGATCTGTGATTATTCTCATATCTTGTAGAAAGTAATTTAAGATGTTACATTGAGCTAGGCGGTGTCTTTGCGGTTCTTTTCAAGGGCCGAGTGATACTGACGCAATGGCTTCAGCAGAATCATTGAGAATTCTGAGAGAGCTTCAGAGCAGACCAGAAAACAAGGTAAGCAGAGACCGCTTTTTCACAGAAACTTATCGAGCCTGATATCCAGCCTAGCCCAGCCCAGCTACTCTTTCAACAGTGCATTTTGCAAATGGAGAGCGTACTTGGAGCAATGCATCTTTATCTCTTCTGTGTGCCTGAGAATGGGCGTTCTTTAATGTGCCACAGACATGCGTGGACTGCAATACCAAGAACCCACAATGGGCCTCGGTATCGTATGGTATCTTCATGTGCCTGGAGTGCAGTGGAAAGCACAGGGGCCTTGGCGTGCACCTCAGCTTTGTCAGGTACAGCAGGCCAACAAGTCCCCAGCAGAAGTGAAGCAACATATGCCTCTATGTAAGCAGAATGCTTGTATTAATCTTTTTCAATGCTGCGTGGTGAGATTTTGCCAGGCAAGGCAAGCGTTCAGCAATGCTTTTTTGGTGGACAGTTTGGTGCATCCCTTTATCACTGGGCCTGTCTGCTGGTTCTGTTTAATTACTCCCTTCATATCAAGTCGAGGTTAATTGCATGCTTCACTTTTAGCTTCTTTTCCTGCCCGTATTGAAATGGGTGTCAAAGGTGGAAAATCTTAGTGGACCACTAAGCCCTGCCTTTGACCCCTCTTCATGCGTTCAGGTCTGTCACGATGGACGCTTGGTCGGGTGATCAGTTGAGGAAGATGCAACTTGGAGGGAACGACGCATTGAATTCTTTCCTGAAGAAGTACTCTGTGGACAAATTCACAGACATAAAGGAGAAGTACAGTAGTCAGGCAGCTGAGGTGCGCGTTTTCTCGTTGGTGCACGTGTTAAGCATCATGTATTGCTTTCAACGGCATGGGATACACAAAAACAATCAAGGGGGCGTTTGTTCGTCGTGGTAAACTTTGAAATTCCGGTGCGTCTTGGGATGGATCGAACGGACGCCTGTCCTTGCAGTACTATCGGGAGAAGATCAAGGCCGAGGCCGAGGGTCGATCCTACGTTGCACCACCACCTTCGAAGACCGTCAGTGCGAAACCTGGAGGCATGACGAGGAACGCTCGCAGCTTCGGCAACAGTGGCTGGGATGATTGGGGCGACGAGGGCAGCAGGCCCACAAAGGTCAGCCTCCTTTGAAGGGCTAGCTTGTATGATGCGTGCTTCTCTTAGCCGATTGGATCAATTTTGAAAAGAATTGGATTTTCCACACCCTGAGATTGCCAATGTTCAAGACCTTGGATGTTGGACATTTGTTTCTTCTCATGTGAGGGGTGTTGGCTGATGTCGCAGTCCTCCAGTTCTGTCACCTCCATCTCGAGTGATGGGGGCTTCAAAGGGAGCAGCGAGTACACCCGATCCCAGCTGGAGGCCTCTGCTGCCCAGAAAGACAGCTTCTTCAGCCGCAAAATCCAGGTACGACATTTCAACCGTTTCAAGGTTCTAATGCAAATTTCATGCCTCATACAAACTGTCCAGTCCTCTCACCTGAAGCTCTATGAGATTGGAAATAGAAAGGTTATCCCGAAAAGGCCTAGCTCATAATGAGCTGCAGACATCATTATATCAAGATGTGTTCTAAACGAAATAGGACGGGGACAGATCAGAACGGATTTGCTTGTGAAGTGCAGTCTTAAAGAAGCGACCTCCTACAGCGTGAAGCAATGTGGGGTGTAGACACTGAGCACATGTTCACGTGCAGGAGAATGCATCAAAGCCAGAGGGGCTGCCGCCTAATCAGGGCGGCAAATACGTGGGCTTTGGGTCTGGCGGATCAGCGCTGCCTCCCAGAAGAGGCCACGGCGGGGGCGGCCTGGATGATGTCAGCGTGGCACTGTCTAAGGGCTTCAGCCACCTCAGCACCGCCGCAGGTGAGCCAGCGCTTCCCCACAGGAACATGCACCATCACCTGCATGTCCTGCTTCTTTAGAGCACCAGTTATTGATTCTGCGGCTTGGCAATCTCTCACAAGACTGGTTCAGGCCTTTGTCCAGTGAACCTAGCTAACACAATTCCGCCCTCCTAGCAGTTCATGTGATTGTCGCTTTGTGACTCCGGTGGCGTAGGCAGGCCGTAACAGTTTGGTGGAATATTGCCTGCTTATGCTGCTGGCGAGCTTCAATATGTGCATGGAATCTGGGCATTCCAGCAGACTGTGCTGTCCTCTGTCATAACTGATCAGTCATCACCTCCAAAAGTTTGTTTGAATAAATGCCTGGGATTTGGGCATTCCAGCTGCTGCAATCCAGCATGCAGGCAATCACGTCACTGATGAGTCGTTCGCCTTCCAATACAGGCGCGGCGACGAGCGTGGCTGCGAGCGGGCTGAAGGATGCGCGCGTGGGCGAGACGGCAGCAGTGGTGGCTGAGAAGGGCAAGGAGTACGGAGCCAAGGGCTGGAACTTCCTCAAGGGCGTCTACGGGACGGTGGCCAACCAGGTGGAGCACGTCGCGCGCGACAACGGCTACAGGCTCGAACTGGGTGCGCCCCCAGCACAGTAGTAGCTGCCAGCGATTAGCTTTACTTAAAATGGCATGATTTCTTATTATGGTTGTTCCCGTTGGCGAGCCCTCTCCCCGTGTGCCAGGGCGATTATAAGGCATGCTGCGAGTCACCGCCCCCTTTCGCAATGTGGCTGCGTCAGTCATCAGGCATGATGCGATTGATCACCTTTGAATAGGACATGCAGCCTTGCTACCTCGTGGTGCCTGAAGAGCAGCTCTCCAAGGCACACCATTGTTCCTGCCCAAAGGTGGCTCTCTACTTCTCTCAAACTGTTCTGCTGCATTGTGCAGGCGGGCAGCAGCAGAGCCGTGCCTACTCCCATGTGGGCTCCTCCTACCGCTCGGAGTCTCCTGGGTCGGACCGCGCGAACGCCAATGGCTACGACAGCGACGGCATGTTCAACGGCACCCCCGCAACGGCCGCCGCGCACCACAGCAGCCCGCGCAACAACAAGGGCGGGGGGCCCCGCGCCCCCCGCCCGGGGGCCTATGGGGGCATCCCCCCCGCCCCTGAGGCCTCCACTGGTGCCTTCTCCGGCTTTGGAGACGGTGAGTACTCCTCAGCAATGTCTCGCTATGCCTGCTTTTCAATAGAGGAAGCTGAAGATAGAATCGAGGTGATGATCTGCCTGGTTTTGCCATTGGCTGAGCAGCAATATGTGCACTTACATGTGGCAGAGCAATCCTCTTTGCAAGGTTAGGCATTGCTAGATCGAGGCCTTTAAATCCCTCAGATTCGATGTGCTTGGGCAGAGGACCCCAACATGGTTCTGGACACGGGGTCTGATGGGCTTGATCAGATGAGCATTGCTGAAGAAACGCGGGCCCTTGTTACTGTACGTCTGAAGTCAGTTGACAAAAAAAATTGGCTTGCCCTCGGTCAGACTCAAGCTGACACGCCAGTGTCGCTAGATCCCAAGTCTAGGGCGTCTACCAGTTCCGCCACATGGGCTTCTAAATACTTTATTTGGTGGGGGGTGTTAATGATTTGTCTGGCGCTCGTGTGTAGGCGAGGCCTGGGAGAATGGCCCCAACAATTGTTTGCTGTCGCAAGAATATAGCTAGCAAGTACAATGTCAAGGAAGATTCAAATAGACACTTGAAGTGACTTCTGATGTACTGGACACTGGATTTGTTAAGCTTGAGCAGATGAGCATTGCTGAAGAATTGCAGGCTGTTGGTGGCGGCTAATTTGGCGCTGGTGCACAGCTTGCCAAGCTTGAGCAGACGAGCATTGCTAAAGAGATGCGGGTTGTTGGCGGCAGCTGTTGATGTTTTGTTTTGCGCTGATGCACAGACGAGGAGAATGGCGACAGCTGGGGCTCTGCCGGGGCGAGGAAGTCTCCGCCGAACAAGGCCGCGCCGCCGCGGCTGCCGTCTGCCTCCCGTGGCTCCATGCCACGCACCGGCTCAGCCTCCTCTACAAAGTCTCTGGTGCGCCAATGCTGAATCACTTCTAGCAGAAAGGCCACTTGAGAATTACACATTGGCGGCATATGCCAGCACCCACTGGAGAGCATTGCAATTGGCAGTCAAGGACATGTTGACCGACCTAGAAGGGCAATTTTCAAATGCGCGTTGGGAGTCTTTGCCAGCACTCAGTCAAGAGCGTTGCGAGTGGCGGTCGAGGGTACATGGACCTACCTTGAGAATGTCGGCGCATTTGAGCATGCGATCTTACTTATGTGGACTCTATTCCACCCATATTTGTGTGGAACACTCTGAAGTTGTATGGAACAGAGGAAAATGCTCAGGCCTGACATAACGTGCCCCCGCAGGGCGCAAAGGGCGGAGATGAATGGGCCGGATGGGACGCTGCTGAGCCAGAGGAGAAGAGCGCCAAGGTCCAGGATGACTGGGGCAAATGGTGATTGGACCACAGGCATCAGAGCAGAGGGGCTTTCCCCGCTTTGTCAGGATCATCCTCGTTTGGTTCTTTCTCCGCGAGGTTTCTTGGGTCTGGGGTGCAGGTGTCAAACCTACTCAGCATCTCAGCAGTGGGGTTGGCTGACCCTGCTGAATAGGTGGCAGACACTCAGAGTGCCCTGCAGAGAGCACAATGGGCAGAGCTGCTGTCTGGATATTTGGCCCCTTGATGGGGAAGTCAGCTGTCTGGCCACTTGCAGCAAGGCCAGCTGAGCATTGGGGGAGGCAGCGATGCCAAGGTTGTTCACGCAGCTGGCGTTGCTAGTAATGCAATAAGCTGTGCATAGGTCCAGCTATGATTGCAGTCCATGACGGTACATGCTGGAATTGGAGGGTGCTGCAGTCATAGAAAATATCAGCATGGCCGCCTATCAAGGTGCACTGTTGGGACATGTTTACCCTCCCCACAGATTGAGGGTAGTTGGCGGGACTCATGGGATCCAGGTCCCACAGGAGGGTGCATAGCACTGCAACTGCTATGCACCAAGCCTCCATGAGAGGCTGTTGCCTGGAGGCGCTCTAGACTGTTGCTGATTGGCCATAGGGCGGTGTGCTGCAATAACATGTACATCAAGGGTCAGAGCGGGTATGTTTCGCACGTTGTACTGGTCTGATTGTCAGCACTGATCAAGCCGCAAGACACGGGAGCATGCTATGGTGCTCAGAAGTGATAAGATCACCGGCGGTTGGCGTCCAAAACTGCACAATAGTATTTCTGAGGATGAGCTGGAGGTGGCAGTTAGGTTGAGCTTGCTTGGATAGGTTGTTGCTTGATTTTTGATAGGAGTTGGTGTAAGAGCATCTGAGATCTTTTTCATCAGCAGGTGCCACCAGTGGTAACAATCCTTCCCATGGTGATCATTGATCAATTGATCATAAAGCCCGGGCTTGCAATGTATTGAGAGTACATGGACGCTGCATGCACACGGCATGCACATGCCACCAGGCTTCCTTTCTGCTGGGTTCATCATTTCTACATGGCACTTCTGACGTTATGCTCGTCAATCCAGATTGATTATACTGTCTTGCAGTTGAATTGAACTTTCGGTGCCAGAGAAAGTATATCCTGACTGAAATTGCAATCGGGCGAGAGTGGATGGCCAGCTTCCGTTAAGCTTCACTTTCCGACGCTTTCATGAAGTGGGACAAGTTGGATCAGGCAGGGCAAGTACCCCTATCGAGAAGTAGTCATACCATAACTTTCATCAAAAAGGTTACAGGAAAGGCTTATGTATTCGGAGGTGAACACGAACCCAGGTGAGGACGATCTGATCTGCTGTTCATGTTCAACACCAGTGCATGGCTACAGGATCAGTGTCATTTTGCGAGTTTCATAATTTCTTTTGGCTAAGTCACATGTTTTCTGTTGCAAGGACCCCCATCGATAGCCAGATCCATGCGTTTGACCTGGACTCCAGAACTTGGGACCCTGTCCAGTGTTCAGGCGATGCGCCCTGTCCCAGGGTGGCCCACTCGGCTGCACCTGTTGGTCATACCATCTACATCTTTGGTGGGCGTCCAGGTGAGCGTAAATGTCAGGGCTCTCTTCCCCTATATCCCCAATGATCTCATGCACACATTATAGTCAAGTGGACAGTTGTCTGATACCGCCCCCAGACTCTTGTCAATTTAATCATGCTGACAACATTGTGCAACGGCTCAGTGGGTCATAGATGCCTGGTGCGCAGGTATTGAGATGGGCGAGGGCTCCATGAATGACCTGTACGGCTTTGACACCAAACTGCGAAAGTGGTCAAAGGTGGAAGCAGAGGGGCCACCCCCAGAGGCTCGCTCTTTCCATGCGATGGTGGCCGTGGGCTCCAAGTGTTCGTGTTTGGTGGCTGCGGCAAGAGTGGGCGGCTCAATGACCTGCACATCTTCGACACTGAGTCCCAGAAATGGCTGCAGATGCCCAGCAGCCCAGACATAAAGGTAAGCCGATGTCTCTGCTGAGAAAAAGACCATATGCCATGTTCAAGCCCTTTGTCACCTCTTTCATCATTGCGTGAGTCAGAGGGTATGTAATAGAATCGCCTTATCTATCCTCTGGCATGCAGCATAAGGTACTCATTTTTTTTTGAGGCCGTGAGGCGGAGAGACCTGTGATTGCATGTGGTGCCTTTTACGCGGAAGCTGCATGGTGACAGTACATACCAGGGCAGTGCAGCACCTACATCGCATGCATTATGACATCTGACGAGAAAAAATGTTACCATGCATGTGTCCAGAAAGCATGCATGCACTGTGTATAGGGAAGGGGTGGTGCCGGGCTGGTGGCGTCAGCGGATGGAGGCTCGCTGTTCGTAGTTGGGGGCTTTGCTGGCCACGAACTGAATGATGTGCACCGCTTTGACCTGGGGTCGCGCACATGGGACTGCCCGGCCTGCTGCTCTGGCGAGGGCGCAGCTGATCGCTCACTGCTGCCAGCTCGCAGCGTCTTTGGTGTCTCTGCACATTCTTGCGCCACCTGTTCCCATGGAGGCCACCTGGTGCGAATTCCTTTGGCCCACATGTTGAGCATTGTTGGCTGTACCATATATTGTTTGAGCAGAGTGTGATGCTGACATCACATGGTCTTCTAGATTGCTGCATATCACTGCATGCCCTTCATGCAGTGATCTGTGGGTTAGGTGATAAGGCTACTTGAATGAAAGGGTGTCATGTTCAGCATGCTGGCACATGACGATGACAATGGGTCATGCATGCCTGTCATGTCAGCACCATCTTGATGGGTGCTTCCTGCCAGTGATGTGCTTGTGCCCAGGTACTATTTGGTGGAGAGGTGGACCCATCTGACAAGGGGCATGCAGGGGCTGGCCAATTCTCCAGCGACAAATTCTGTTTGGACACGGTGCAGCCCCCTACCACATGCATGCTCACTTTTCATATGACTAATTGAGAAGAAGTTTGGTACTGCACTGGGTTTCCTTTTGCCACTCGTAAGCAGAGTGACATGTGGCGGCCACATCTTGGTTGATGCACTGCAAAAGGTTCCCTACTGCTGACATCACATCTGCAACCATGGACACTTTGGCATGTGCTAGCACATATTCTGCTGTGCATGAGATTCGTATGATGCACATGTGCGGTGCAAATGGAGGTGCCTTCATCTGAGGCTGTCATGTGAGGCAACTCACTAGGCTGCAGCATGCATGAGGCCCAGCTGCTCATAGCATCACATACAACCAATAGGAGACTGTCATGTGGAAGCATCTCAAACCCGTGCATAAGTTCCATGCAAAGCAGGCCTCCCTACGTACATTCCTTCCTTTTGTCATGGGTCGTGGAGAGCTGTCATGTGAGGGAAAATGACTGTGATGCAGGCCAAGGGAGGCGCTGGATGGCACATGCTGGCAGCTGCAGGAAGTCCGCCCACACCTCGCGGCTGGTTTGCAGCCACTGCTGTGCCAGGAGGCATGCTGGTGCATGGAGGGAACTCCCCCTCCAACGAGCGCCTGCAGGACATGTACATCCTGGACCTGCACAGCGAAGGGTGACTGGGAAGAGGGAGCAGGAGCGGTCAGATGGGATTCAGCGTGAGCGGGGACATCAGAAAGGAAGGGTCAGGAATACATGTTGGTGCTGGTATTGCAGCATGGACATCAGAAAGGAGGGGCCCAGGGGTTCATGTCGGTGCTGGCATTGCAGCAGGAAGGCAGGGAGAGAGAGTGGCGGTCAATTCATTCAGCTTGTCTAGAGATTGTGATGGAGAAGGAACTGCAGCTGCAGCTTGGAGGTGCTTAGCGCATTTTTGTCCAGAAGACTCTCCATTATATATTTTCCAAGCATGATCAGCATTGCTGCCAATACCAGCTCATGTCTGATGCTATCCCTGCTGATTGATCCGATGCACATGCATATGCATTGTGCAGCTGTGATGCAGGCGGCCGCTGGCACCCAGAGATGCAAGACCTGCCAGTGTGCCCTGTGCTGCAGCTGCCCAGCTGGCAGACGGACAGTATACACTTAAATGAAATGAAGGTCCTGTAGTCTTACATGGATCCAGGCTCTGGATGTGGCAGTGCTCACTGGCATCTTTGCCTCAGATGAAGATGCCATGCATGTGTCAGGAACGCCAGCAGACCAGGCCCAAGGGCAGGGTCCAATCTCAGCAGCGATGCCGCTCAAAAAGAGCAGCGCTGGTGCCAGCAAACAACTCATCGCCTTCCCATCTTCTTCGCGACTCGACATTCCCAACTCCCAGCCCTCCGCCTCTCCGGCTTCGCTCATCGCTCCAAGCAAGGTGCGGTGCAGCTCGTCCTCTGCCTGACGTCGCTGTTGCTCTCATCGCGTCGGGAAGCACAGCGCTCACCGGTGTCACTTGTTGTACTTGAAGCTTCACGATTGAATCAGTGACCTTGTTCCTGAGCCACCGCATCGCTCATCGCTTTGGCGAGCGCGCGGGCGCTGCCTTGATCACCATCTTGCTGTTTGCCGGGAGCCCTTGGACTGCTCCTGCGCCTTCCGTGCTGCTTTACGCCACGCTTTGCGGCGCACAAAATATTACAGTAGCTCATACCGATGTTCCTGCGCAGCCATCAGGTCTGAAAGCTTCAGTAATGTAATTTGGCTTCTCAGCGCATTTGCTACTTGGTGACAACGCAGGTATCTTCTCAATGGCTCGCTCGACCACCGTGATCTGCCTCGCTGCAGCGCTGACTGTGCTCTTCCTGATGTACCCTGGCACCGAAGGTGTGCTCTACTGCTCCTGCTTGCTGGGAGCAGCCACACTCGATCTGAAGCAGTGGCTTGATGGCTCGAGCTCCTCACTTTTTCCAAGATGTACATAGCCTCGTGCAGACTATTCTGCAGAATGGCTTATAGATGAAAGATGCTGCTGAAAAGTCAAGATTCATGAACTCTCCCTCATCATGGCTCACTGCATCCTTGTGCTGTGCAGGATGCCCCCAGTACCCTCCAGGTGACTACTCAAGGACAATATCCCTTCCCCTCGCAAGCAGTCTGGTTTCCTTCTCTTCTTGCAAAGGAGTGTGCTGCGCATGCATGAGATGATTTGCTTTCTGTGTGCATGTGCAGGCCAGCGCTGCACTGTGGGCCGCTTTCTTGGACCCCAGGCAAGGCTCATCATGAAGCTGCATGCTGCCATGTCTTGCAGCCTGTGCATCAATTGAATTTTATGCTCTATAGTTGCAGAGCAGCGCTTAATAATTTCTGCACTGGCACGTGTCTTGCAGTGGGTGTGGACAGGCGAGGACATCACCGCAGTCACACTGCAGAATGACGGCCAGATTAACAAGTGGGGCCCACCTGCCTGCTGCGCCATCTGCCAGGTACATTGCTGCCTGGTCCTGACATGACTGCATGCCTCTGCAGATTTCTTGTGTCGCATGCAACACTGCTGCAGTCACCACCATGTACATGATGTCAACGCTGAACAGAAAATGCTGACTTGTGCTGATGCGCTGCAGAAATACATTGCTGACAATGGAGCCAAGTCCTGCATCGGCTTCACCCTGGTAAGCATGCTTTAGCCCCCTCAATCTGACACCTGCAAACAGACAGCACAGAGCTTGCATGTCAATCGTGCTGCTGATCACAGGTCCTGGCAATCACCGCAATTGTAGCCTGCAGCAGTCTGCAGTGTGGCTGATATTTTTGCTGGCGTGCATGACTGCAGGCGATCAACCAGGCAGACAACTCCAACTCCACCTGCACCCTGAAGCACACGGCGATGGCCACTGGCGCGAAGTGCCCGGCCCAGCATAGCTGCATCTCCGGGTTGCTGTGAAGTGCCTTTGAAATGGCTGCACATCCCAGGATGTGGCCTGATGGCATGAGTGCAGCAGACATTTGTCTCAGAGATCATGCAGAGATGATTGGTGGTTCATCTCTGGCACTTTCAGCGGTTCTATTTCATCAGCTCTTGCGACCATTTGTTGAATGCGGATTCCTGCCGTGATGTTCTGGCCACAGTAGTGGGCTGTCAATTTTGGGAGCGTCTGCATGTGGTCCTAGAAGGCTGGATGTGCAGATCTGTGTCCTGCCCTCGAGGGAGCTCCTTGCCTGTAATCATTGGATATATTATTTTGAAACGAAGGATACCACTGTGCGTTGTCATTCACCAACACGTGTAATAGACAATGAGAAAGTATGGCATGGCGTGCTTCATCCACATCTTTGGAGAAAGGCATAACCAGCCCAAGACAGGCATGCGCACAGGACGCTACTGCATGCTGCGCAGCTGACCAAAGCACAGCGCGGTCATCTTTGTCTTTCATGCATCACACCATACAGCCATTTGAGATATACGCTGTCACCACAATCACCATTGAGAAATTTGCACTCACAGCATACATTTCCTCTGAAGCTGCTGTCCATGACAATTCCTTGGCATCTTACTATCCTCCTTGAGATGACATGTCACAGGTCACCCATTGCAAGTCAAGTCGAACAATGTACTGCATTGAGCCAACAAAAGGGTATCCTCAACCACTCTTCAACGCGTGGTCAGCATGCAATTGTACTTGCAGACTGAGTTGCCTCGACACCATTATTTTCCAGCTCAGCTGAGATGTGCCTGTATTGAGGACACATCCCTGGGCCGGCATCTTACTCACAGAACATTTAAAGAGTGGACACATGTCACATGCACTGTGAAGACATGGTCAACTCAAGGCCTACGAGTGTGAGAAAACTACTGTACACTTACTTATTTCTAAGTTTGGACAATACGAACCTGGAGCACTGCTTCAATAAGTCAGGAGATCACACTGTGTGCAGTGTCGGCTAGAAGACATACTGCATGCTACTTCAACCAGCATCCAATAAGCAACTTTGAGAAACTAAACTGGCCTTGCTTTATTTCAGACACCCTCTTGTGCGCTGCTCTCACAACAGAGCGTCCAAGCCTCCCTTGGTGCATTATCCCTCATGCCTTATATCCAGTCAGGCTGCCCTGTTTTGCCATTCCGGCACAACCAATGTTTGTCCAATTATTGTTTCCAGCAACAGACAGCGCAGTGTCTGGCGTGTGCTCTCTATCAGCCCTGCACCTTGGGTGCAGGAGCAGAAAGGTAAAAAAACCCTGCATCCAATGTGCGGCTCTCCTTAACCAGGAAAGAAAAAGGAACCTTACATTGGAGAAAGAGTGGGTGCGAAATGTCGAGGGACCTCTGTATCTGACAGACACAGAGCCCCCTGAAAATGCACTCAGGGGGTACAACTTACTACCTGCTGCTGCAGTATATAAAGGGGGTCATGGGTAGTAGTACAGCCCCCACAGGCTGACACCCCGCAGGCCTGCAGTGGTGATGGTGATCCCAGTCACTGCCTGCCAGGTGTCGTCCATCAGCAGAGTCAGCACTTGAGGATAAGGGGGGAGGATTGCTGTTCTGGGTGTAGGCGCTACTCCATTGGCCATGGTGCCAGTTACTGTGGCACTACCTTCAACTGAATAGCTGGAGAGAGCCAGCCCACAGAACCTCACGCCGCCTGCATGCGCAGAGAAGAGTCAATATCTCCCATCAATGATCCCCCTCCTCTTTAGGAAAGGCCCTCTGTTTGGACACTGCTTTGGGGAGAGATGGTGCAGTGCCGATGCCCAGCTTTAACAGCAACTGTGGCTTCAAATGTTTGCTAGACTGGACATACGAGCAAATAAGCAGACTTTGATTACCTGAAGATCAGGGAGGAGTGCATGCCTAATGGTGAACTGTGACAGCCAGTGAGTCATGGCAGGGGTACAGGACTGGTAAATATCATTTGGAATTCAAATGGAAGTAGCGCGCCTGCTGGCGCCACACCGATGACCACAGAATCCAGGCTGCGGTAGATGGCTCGGGGGAATTGGTTCTGCGCCAGCATGCCACATCAGGAGATCTCCCACACATGACACAAAACATGGCACATAGGCAACTTTGCTGCTGGCAATGCTGGCACTGCAGCGTCTTTGTATAAAACAGATGATACCCAATTCCTAAGTCTCCAATCCAAGGAAGGCAAGGTTTTACATGGACCATAGCAAAGAGACTGAGAAGGTTCAAGGAGATTTAAAGAGCGTGCCATGGTATCTGCGCTCACCCCGGTGCTGGGGGAATTGATGTCGTACAACCAGCCCGGGAATGCAAATGGTCCGACGGGGATAACCGGACCAGTGTTGGCGCCTGCCGCTGAGGCAAACAAGGCCAGGCTGCAAGGCTTTGCTGCAGCAACAGAGCATCTGTCAGGACGCCGTTTTCAGTGAGCGGGCCAGATTAATGCATTGCCATGATCTAGGTCAGTGATAATGTCAGGGCGGAGATCGGTGTTCCTTCGCCTGGCTCCCAGTCCTTACACGAGTGTATCTATTCCCTGGTGAGCTTGAGGAATGAATCGTGTGGAAAGGGCCACATGTGCAGATGGTTCATGCACATGATCTATTGCTCTAGAAAAAGCCTGCACAATTTGCCTCTAAGCACCAAAATCTCCCTACCAGCAGGGGCGGTTGTTGTGACAGCAGGCGTGCTCAAAGGCACTCTCGGTGTTGAAGCAACAGGTGGTCTGCTAGAAGTTGTTACTGGTCGACTAGAGGTCACGCCTGGTGTGCTTGACATCAGAGCAGGTGTGCCTGTGTGCATGCACCAGGACGTGACAAGCTGTAGTGACCCTGTCACGGGCCTGCAGCTGTTCTCTACGGTCATGATAATAGAGTGCTTATGAGGGGCTTACCAACGGGTGGCGGTGGTGGCGGTGGGGACGTTGGTGGCGGCGGTGGCGGAGGCGAGGGCGGCCGGGGGACCGGCGGTGGTGGAGGTGGCGGTGGGAGGGGGACCGGAGGCGGCGGCGGTGGCGGACGGGGCGGTGGCGGTGGTGGGGGTCGGGGAGGCGGTGGTGGTGGTGGCCGGGGGGACCTGCACAAGCACAGCACGCCAGGCCAATAACGGTCAACCTCCCTGTATCGACTGGCATTGTGCTAGAAGCTAGAAAAAGCGTATCATCTGTACTTAACACTCATATGGGCGCAGGTTCTTGCCAGAAATCAGCATAGAGGAAGGTCTGGTAGTAGAACTCTAGATCATCTCGAGCTGCATTCCAGGCATGCCTGTCTCCCAGAAGAGAAAAAGAGCATGGCATATGGGTCTGTTCCAGCAAGAAGCAGGCTGCACCAATGAGAGATGATACAACTGTAGGAGCTGTGACAAACCTTTGAGGAGGGGGCGGGGGCGGCTTCTTTTTCTTGGGGGGCGGGGGCGGCGGTGATTTTGGCTTTTTAGGCGGCGGGGGCGCAGGCTTTGCTGGCTTCTTGGTCTTCTTTGGAGGCTTTGTGGTCTTCTTTGGACGCTTTGTTGTCTTCTTTCTCTTTGCGTCTCCTCCTGATTGAGCAGGCAATCACATCGGTCTTGAGAGCCCCTGAAAAGTTGACGCACTCGGGAACATCTGCCTCTTCTTTCCTACTGACATGTGTATGCTTGCAAACAAATTTTATGCGGGCAAGGGGTAGCCCCATTGAATATCCGTACCTTCGCTTGGAGGTGGCTGTATCTGATTTGGTGGGGCAGTTGTCTCAATCCCTGCATGAGAACATGGCAAGAGGTTATATCATTCAAAAGGCTCTTGCCTTGCGGCAGACAGCATAGCTTGCATGATGCAGGAAGGGTTGCTAGAGCTTGTTGCGAGCATAGCATCAGCAGACCTGGCACAAGAATTGTAGGCAGGCTGATGGTTTGCAGTGCTGCCTGACCACCCTGGTGCAGGGTGTCATCAATGTGCGCTTTGACAGCATCTCCCTCCTCATTCAGAGCACCCTGTGTGCAACAATCTTCTCAATCCCGGGAAAGGTCTGCCAGATCTAGGATTGAACATTAATGCAAGTTCTGCGAGAGATGCCATTGGAGTTTTCAGTGGAGGGGCAGGAGCCCACCTCCAGATACTCCTGGTTATAGAAAGCCAACAGGTGGACATCGGCATCTATAAAAGTGTAGTCTTCCGCCTCTAGGATGACTCCCCCTGTAGATGAATCCATCAGTCTCCTGGACCTCTGAGAAGGGCAGTGACAGTGTGGGCCATGTTGTGAGTTGACCTACCTGGCACTGGGCTGGGTGCCTCGTCAGGGCTTAGGTACGGCCATTCGTATGCCAATGCCGTACAAATAAAGATTTGTAATAGTAAACCTGCGCAACGGGTAACGGTCAGTCAGTGTCCCATGGAAGCTGGCAATAGTCTGAGACTCTGCATTCTAGTAGTTGCGTCTTGGGCGCACCTATTCTCGCCGAATGCATTGTAAGCCATGTTATTCCATAGAGCACTTCTGTGTATGCCCACCACCTTTTTTTATATAAGATGCTGGCCAGAGATGTCTAGAAGTTTACAGATATTCGTGACATTGAGGAAAGGCCCCATTTGGCCAACAAATTCTTATGAAACTGCCGTTTATGAGCTTATTTTTGCAACTGTTGAGGCTCAAATTCTTATTGCTCGAATTCGCTAGCACATGAAATAGGTTAGAAAGTTGGCAGTGTCTGTTACAGTGACGTGCACTTGGATGCAATCTCTGCCTTCTATAAGTTATTGCGTCCAATGAAAAGAAATAAAGGAAAGTTACCCTGAAGTTCAGGGCCTGAACTCAGACGAATTACTCCTCCTCAGGCGGAAGAGCTGTTGTTGAGGATTCGAAAGATCCATGCATGGTTACCTCATCACACCATGAATTACTCATCCCTTGGAACCTGAATCTGATATGTGCGCAAAGCTTTGATCGAGGCTCACCAATTATTGTAATAAGGGATCTCGCCAGGATGGCTCTCAAGCTGACAGCCTCGAGAAGCATTGGACGCGTCTGCGGTGTTGCTCCATGGAGCATGGGCACGAGCAGATCGATGGCCACACAGGCCACTGTGCAGCTTCCTGAGCTCCCCTACTCGTACAGGTGATATGAGTTCGGCATTTGGTGGTACAGTTTTCGGTACTGTACGTCTGGCAGAGCACGGTGTCATGAAGGTGGATAGCAGTAAGACACAGGTCCATCGCCCTTGGAACGCTGTTTTGCTTTACATAAGCTTCGAAAATTGTTCTTTGGCTAGGTAGAAGCAGAAGTACGACTTGATATAAAGGGCCTCAATGTTTAAGGTGTAAAAAGTAATGTAAAATAGTCATTCCGCAGTGCTTTGGAGCCAATCATCAGCGGTGAGATCATGGAGCTGCACCACAGCAAACATCATCAGGCCTACGTGAATGGCTACAACACAGCCTACAAGCAATTCAAGGAGGTGCAGACTGTGGGCATGCTTTCTATTCCTGTCTGCGGCAATACCTTGTGCGCAAGAAAGCACAGTATTGCTGTATCCTTCAAGCTCTAGGTGAGGTCATGCCGGTCCTTATCACCCAAAATGACGAGGATATGCTGATTGCTTGCAGGCTGAGGAGAAGAAGGACGTTGAGAAGATTGTTCAGCTGCAGAGCGCCATCAAGTTCAACGGTGGAGGTATGATGTCGTCTTGACATGCTGCATGATTTCATGCGTGCATACTTAATCTTGCCCACGAGAGAGCACTTCCGCTTATCATCAGTCAAGAAATTTCTTTTATATGTTGCCGCACAGGTCATGTCAACCACACCATTTTCTGGAAGAATCTGACTCCTCCCGAGGTAAGAGGATAGTCCACCCTCAAGCCTTGAATGCCTACAGCTTCCAGTCACTCTGAAGGTCTTATTTTGCCAATAGTTTTCACCGTAGAATTCATGGATTGCTGGTTTTCTGACAGCAAGACTGGCGATGCTGCAGGACTTTGAGCCTCCAAGCGGCGAGATCGCAAAACAGATTGAGGCCGACTTTGGGTCCCTCGACAAGCTCATCCCCATGTTCAATGCAAAGACTGCTGCCATTCAGGTAAGCCTGCGTGCCCTGTCTACAGCAGGCACTGTGTCATGAGACACCTGTGTCTTTCTCTGCATGGCAAGCCCATGAGAGCAGATTGAGGCCTGTGTTCTGTTGTGCTTCATGAAGCTCTAGTATTGGTGACACCGTCTTAGTCATGAAGCAAGCAGTACACGAGTACACTTTTAAGTATCTGTGTCCCATGAAGCTTTGATGGTCTCGTTGGTGACACCACCTTAGTCATGAAGCGAGCAGTGCAGGAGTACAGCATTAACTAGCTGTTTCCCATGAGGCTTTCATGATGGTGGCAGTATCTTAGTCATGAAGCGATCAGTGCAGGAGTAAGAGTGTGAACATTGAACATTGGTAAATTGCATGGCTGACATGCATGCATGTGGGGCAGGGGTCTGGCTGGGGCTGGCTGGGTTACAGCAAGGAGCATGACAAGCTGGTGTATGCCAGCACACCAAACCAGGACCCCCTTGTCACCCAGGTTTGCACCGACACAGCCCTCTCCATGCAATTTTGCTTCTTTGTGCAGATATCGTTTCCCCTGCAATCAGTCATCAGAATCTCCTTGCAGACATACTTGTGCTCCTGGGATCAGTCATCGCCAACACATGCCCTTAATTCATCCCATACGCCAAAAGGCACTGCTGCTGCTGTCTGCCAACCACCGAAGAAGAACAAAAAATGGCTCCCTTTGGTCTTAAATGGCAGAGATGGGTGCTTGAGCAGGCTGAGATGGATATGCTAGCCACAAAACAGGCAGACACAGACGCTCTCTGTAGTGTTCATGGTAGAGATGGCCTTTAGGCTCCGGCCCGCCGGGGGCGGTATTGTGCTGAGCCCCATGCCCACGTTTGCTTCGGTCTAGCTTGGATCTGGCGAGCGCGACAAGGGGTAGGATTGTAGCAGCCTTCAACTGCAGGACGCACCAAACCTCTTGGCAGGAAAACAAGCGTGTGATAATGGTAGAGACAGGTACTTGAGAAGGGATGTGATGGATTTACTAACTCTCTCCAGTATCCATGGCAGAGCAGGCTGTGATTGGTTTGCAGGGGCTGGTGCCAGTGCTGGGGGTGGATGTGTGGGAGCATGCCTACTACAAGCAGTACAACAACCTGCGCCCAGAGTACCTGAAGAACATCTGGAAGATCATCAACTGGAAGGACGTGGACGAGCGCCTGCGAGCAGCCAAGGCCTGAGCATCCTCCCTGTCAGATTCCTCTCACCTTGGACCAGGGCTGACTTGCTCGGATGGCTGCTATTCAAACCTTGCAGCTGGCCTGCACGGCTGTCAGCTGATAGGGGCCATGTGAGAAGAAAGCTGGTGAAGCAGCACTTATGTGTATGAGGAGTCCTCCTGTGTTTTTGAGTCAGGCTGTGGCTTCTGGTGCAAACGTGATGGCGAATTCGTGGATTGGGCACTGTTGATGAGCTGTTGTGAATTGTGTTTAAAGATTATGCAGCAAAGCTACAGGAAGGATATGAGGTCATTGAAGGCGTCACTGTCTCATGAAAGATTTGTGTGTGTGGTTGTGTGTTTGTATGTGTGTGAAAGGACCTCTCATAATGCATGTGAGCTGTTTGCATTGATCTCTATCCCTGATCAGTACCCCTGTCGCAGAAGGTGCAGTTCTTGGTTTCTGGTGCTTCTGAGACATGAGATCATGACCATTGAAGCACATTGGTTGGGCGTTTGGCCAAATTCTAGAGTGGGACTCTTGCTAGGATGTCTGCTGGATATGCTAGCAGCGCTGTATACCATGTTTGCAGCAGTTGTTTTCAGTTCGACGGTGTGCGAGTGCATGGCAAATGGCGCCTTTCCCTTCCTCAATGAGCTTTTTGGCAATGATGAAATCATTTGAGCGTGTTTGCCAAGATCCTGACTCTAGAGATCTGTCCGAACTGTGTCCAGAGCATTGTCGTCTAAGCAGGGTTCACAGACCTCTGGGCTCTCGCCATTATGGCACACATGATTGCATGGTTTTGTACAGTTGTTGATGCGGTCAGTGACCGCCGGTCACCATCAAGATCTGTTTAGCCATCATAGCCAACTCCCCTTACATAGTGTTAACTCGCAAATTCAATAGACCCTTCTCCATGTGCACAATCTCCGCACGCTTGCCAACGCCTCGATGCAGCCCATGATGCAATGCAAAAAAGAAAGGAACGGCATCTGCACGCAAGAAAAAGATCTAGAGGTATCAATGGCATGAAAGCAAGCAGCAGGATCAAGCAAGCAATAGAAAGACCTCATCCACAAGACAGCAAGTGGTCTCCAACAAAATCACGATGCACATGATCAAAACTCCTACACAACAATTGGTACACACCTAGCACTGATACAGCAACTAGAAATACACACCCCAATCCAATGGAATACAATGCGATGCAACCTGAGTCGTCACCCCAACTTCACAGGTCTGGGAAAGTAAGTCCCTCAACCAGAGATGGACAGCAGGGCCCTGTCTGAGCCCCAAAAACTCCCCATTTCTGTGACCCTTTATGTGCGGTTGTGCGCATGGACGCAGGCAAAGGATCCCTCGGCAGGTTCAAACATCATGCCGTTAAGATCAGCAACAACCAGACTACCGGTAGGTGTCCTGCCTCCTCCCAATTGATGGGATGGGCACAGACATTCTCAAGCATCACTGCTGCATACTCCTACCCTCTACACAGTTCTTCTGCGAAGCATGCGTGCCATCTCTTTCTGTCTGGCATCCAGCCGCTTCTTCCCTCCCACGAAATGGCCTTGCCACGAAATGCTGGATTGTTGCAGCGTGAACGTTGAGATGGCTGGCTTGACTACAGTAAGCTCAAGATCTCTCTCCTAGAGCTCTCTCAGCTTCTCTTAGGAGGCCAACCTGCTGTTGCAGCACGCCATTTTGCATTGCATGGCACGACCCACACTGCACCCCGCAGGGGGCACAGCTCACTGACACTGACCCCCCCCTCAGACCGCGTGGCGGCCGGACAAATGCCACACAGAACTAGAGAGTCCCTGCAAAATCCGGAGAAGTCATCACCTTCAAAATTTGAGGCCCCGCAGCAAACGATGCCTGGCCGCGACCCTTCTGCAACTCGCATGGAAGAGAAAAACATCAACCGAGTCATTTCCCTGGAGATCAACTGACAGGTAAAGCCTGTCACGTCTGATCGACAACTCCGTGCAGGCACTTGAAGGCTTGCGCAAAGCTGTCAAAAAGAGTCTGCCCAAATCCGCCAGCCTGCCCAGCTGCAATTCTGTGGTGCCCAGCCACAGTGCAGCATTGACAGGCATGGGATGTCTTGCCGCCATATGTTGACGGTGTGGCCTCAGGAAAATCAAAGTGAAAGAACCAACATCTGCGCCTTCTGAAGATCATCTACAGCCTTGCCAGCAACTACTTGAAGCCCAACTCGATAGGACCCCTCTCAGCGGAAGAATGCCTTGCGAAACCACACGTTTTGAATGGACATCTTCTCCGGTGCGGCCTGGAGGGTACCTCACGCTGAGAGCTCCCTCGTATCCTTCATTCAGGCCTTTCAGGGCAAGTCCTACAGGCATGCGCTTGCTGGTCTGTATGTAGGCCACTTGCTATTGCCTCTCCGACATAATGCGTGTCCATTTAAGGCTGACCCGGCACACAGTCTCGCTCTCTGGAATGCGCTCGCCACAAGTTTCTGAATGCTGACACAGCCCAAAGCTTGGCAGGGACGTCCGCGCAGAAGCAGAGCTCCAGACGTGCCGCGTATCTTTGTGCGCGCGATTTTCCGCAGCTCTCGGTGCGCTTCATGCTCCCTGGCTGTTTTGGGTGCAGTCCTTGTGCGATGCCCCATGCGAGGTGATAGCTTGGCACGATATTGAGACCAGCCCACTCGCACGACTCTGGAGAAGAACCAACCCAGCTTCACAACTTCCGAGGAAAATCATTCTACCTTCCGCCACTGGATCCTGCTGCTTTTCCGGTGTGAGGACACCGTCGTGGAGACTAGATGCGCAGACTAGTCTGGAGATGAAAGTGCTCTTATACATTGCCCAGTTGATTCTCATCCTTCCCGGCTGTGCTGACAGCGAATTCCCTAGTGGGACAGCCCAGCCCACCCAGGCGGCTCAAGCTTGTGATACCCTCCTCTCAATCCTCTCCAAACGTTATGGCCCCCTCTTCCCCGCCACCCTGCCTTCAGGGAAACCTAGCGCATGTCCCCCGTACACCCCTGCCGCAGGGGTGAGGAACGAACGGCACAGGGCCTCCCGGCAGGGTTTATAATCAGGAGGAGGCGTGCTCACTCCTCGGCAAGGGAGGATGCGCGATTGGAGGGGCCCACGCGAATGGAGCGGCCGCCGAATGCGCCGTAGAGAGTCATGCCGTTCATGTAGGACTGCGCGTTGGTGGCCGCCTGCGGATGCGCGAACGTGACGAACGCAAACCCGCGCGACTGCGCAGAGTTCTTGTCGCGGATCACCTGCGCGCACCGGAGAATACCCACATAAGGAAGTATTTCCAACGCCTGAGGCCTTCCTGCAGCCCCACCCTGAGCAATTGCTGGTTCTGCTGTAGCAGCAGACATTGACGTTCTTGTATGCCTGGTGACCCGTGTGAATGCGGCATTAAGGTAGCAAATACCGGCAACAAGCTATCGGTCATTTTGTCGGGAGGGCGCTGAGGACGAGAACACATGCAGGGGAAGCTGGCTCGGTACTGGTGATTTTCCGTTGGTGTGGAACATTGCCACTGGCGCAGGGACAACTTTGAATGGGACAACATTTTGCAACAAGCTCAAGACCTGGGTAGAGTCTCATCCTTCGTGGCATGAGGACTCTCCACTATGTACGTTGAAGCCGTCGCCCAAGAAATGGTGCCAACCATTGAAGTTGTCCCAGTGCCAGTGGCATTCCATGCCAAAGATGACAACCCGCACGCCCTCTTCCTCCTTAAGCGCCGCAGCTGCCAGAGACATACTCGTACCAGCAACTTATTCCCCACGCTCTGGGAAGCAAGACATTCCCAGGAGACTAAAAATCGAAAGAGGAATAAGTGGCGCACCTGGATGTTGGTGATCTGGCCGAAAAACTGGAAGCTGGTCATGAGCGTGTACTCGTCCACTGCGGATGGCAGGTTGCCCACGTACAGCGTGGTCACTGGGTGCGGCGCCTCTCCTCCCAGGCCGTCACTCATCAGCAGGCCGCCCTGCCCCATGCAGCACGTGCGTCAGCATGAAATTATGCTGGCAGGCATTGTGCCTCAGCACAGCAAGAACTGCACACAAATCCGAGGCGAGACTCTATTACTTATAATAAAGGTCTGCCAATGATTACATTTGCCATGACGATGCATGCCACCTGCCAATCCAACGGATATAAGCAATGCGAGCCTCATCGCGGCAAATATTGCCATCGTCTGCAGGGAATGAGGGCCGAGCTTGCCCAAGGGAAAGGACAAGGGTTCGCACCGCGGAGAAGATGGGTTTGGCAAAGCCGTTCGCGAAGGAGGGGGAGGCGCAGCTGAAGGAGCTCCTGGTCGGGGTGGGGGGCGCCTTGTCGCCGCTTGCAGAGCAGTTGTCGCCCGTGGAGCCGGCATCGCTCACCGAGTTGGAGCCGCCGCCCTCACCCTTGCCCACGTGGCTCGCTGCAACAGTTGCCACATCAGCGTCAAGGTATATTGGCTAATATGGGAGTCCTGGCTGAGGGTGCAGAGCAATGCATGTCAATTACCCTTGCAGGCCTAAGCAAGCCACTGGTCACCTGGTAACCGCAAAGATAATTTCACGGGCAGTCTCGTTGGATATTTTGAAGAGCCCTACAACAAACGTGCATGTCGTAGCCGGCGAAAGCCAGAGTGAATGCCATAATGGGCACAATCTGGCAAGAGCACAGGAGCGCGGCAGCCACACAAAACAAGCCACACCACTTTGGATATGCTACGGCCATGTCCAGGATGCGGAAGCAATCTGCGCACGGAAGAGATCAGGCAAGTGCACAGAGCGCTTCTCACCATCTTGAGAATAGCAGCAGGCAGGGTGCAAATTACTACGCGAGGCCAGCGCTGACCTGGGGAGGTGTTGTTGGGCGGCGGGTTGGGGCGGGGAACGCCGTTGAACACGCGCGCGGAGGGCTGCTTGGAGTAGTAACCGCCGCCGCGCATCAGCTGGTCGCGCGAGAGGTTAGCCGGCGCCGAGCGGTAGCCGGCCGCCCAGCGCACCTGCGGATTTGCGCTGATGCCCACTGCGATGGAAGACACAATGGCAAACTCCTCAGCACTCAATTGCATGCAAGATACGTGGTAAATGAAGTAATGGGCGAAACCTAGCAGAATGACCGGGGAACAGCGCTGATATCTACTGGCAAGAGAGTATACCATGCAGTGGCCTCAAAGCTCAATCCAAAGATGAAGGCAGTAGCTGCTGTGGCGGGTAAGTATACTAGATGGATAGTCAGAATTGGCTTCCTAGCAGACGGATGCAAATGCTGAGATCTTGAGACCAGAAACACATGCTGGCGAGCTGGAGCTTCAACATCGCAAAATACCTTATACGCAAAAACTAGTTCCCAAAAAAAAAATCCCCCATCCGATGCATCTTGACCAGCGTCTGTATGCATATGCTTCTGCCAGTGGCACAATACCTCGCCAGATGATCATGCCACAGTTATCACGCATATCAACAGTAGTGAAAACGTTGATGTGAAGAAGCTCGGCAAAGAGGCATGAATCCCGGGAGAAGTATCACGCCACACCAAGTAGGGTTTATCATGTACGGCGCTTTCCTAAATGTGGTTGACGTGCACTTCTTGTATGCACAAATGCCGCACCTGAGTCGTCGTTGAAGGGGGTGGCGAATGGCGGCATCTGATCGAAGGTGTCCTCGCCCATCTCCTGCGGCGGCGCCATCTGCGGCGGCGCCATCTGCGGCGCGGGGTGCATGAAGGGTGGCTGCCCATACATGCCCATCCAGCCGGGAGGGGGGACCATCACCGGAGCCCAGCCCTGTGAACACATGCACAGCAATGTTCAGAGCATGCTTCATATTCCAATTCCCAGTGAAAGGCATGATTGTGGCGCACAACCTGTTCTCGTCACTGTCACGTTCTCTCCACAAGTGGAATATGCACAACATCTGTCATGCCAATCCAACTTGAGGGGGCGTGATAGTAGCCAGAACTCTGCGATGATAGTCCCTACAAACCCCTCAAGAGGAAATGCACTGGTTTGACAAAATACTATGTTACCATTGCTCATGTCCAAATCCAGGGTGCCGAAGTCCCGGCCCAAAGTCCCGGCCCAACAGAGGACATGCCAACTGGACAGAATTGGACCACCCTGGATACTGTGATTCTTTGCGCAAGACACTGCCAACAGACCATACAAGCACTCACACTGCCCCCCTGCAGCAGGCAACAACCGCGAGTACACTAATGCGCTGCAGCGCGCACCTGCGGGGGCTGCGCGCCAGCCGGCACGAACATCATTGGCCCGGCCGGCACAGGGCGGGGGGCGCCAAAGTCGGAGGGAACGCCTGCGCGCATGGGGCTCTGCGGCGGCGGCACCGGCGGCGGCGCCGGCCCGCGCACGCGCCCGCTCGGCGTCCCTGCACATTTGTCCCAGTGCAAACATTTTCAGCCTGATGCCTCATCTGCAGGGCAGTATGCTGCCTCAACACGGGCTGGGGGCTTGCAGATTGTTCCAAACTTGAACAGACCCATAATCCTCAGGCTGGTGATAAAGGTTTTGTGAACTCCTCAGCTGGTTCATTTTTTATGCACACCCCATGACAACAGCAAGCTAACCCTCAGGCTTCCTTGCAGGCGGGCAATTAAGAGTGGGAATCTATTCTTACCTAGGATGGCGGAAATGTTTGCCCTTGACATGCTCTGCCTTGAAGAAGCAAGATACCACTAGGGTAGCAGAACAAAGCGCGAGCGGACACACAGCATACAAGGAAGCATGCGCACCTGGCTGGCTGGGAGAGGAGGGTCCCCCCGGGGGTGGCGCGGTGTGGATCATCGGCTGGGGGCCCATGAAGGGGTAGTATCCGTAGGAGGGCGGCCCATGCGCGGGCACAAACACCGGCGCCATCTGGCCGCCGCCCATCTGCTGCCCAAACGGCATCATGTACTGCGCAAAGGGAACATCACATGACATCAGTGGCCACGATCGACTCCAACTGAGTTTTATGGGGATAAAGGGTCAAAATGGGAACTCACATGGCAGCTGGCAAGCGCAATCAGGGCAGACACAATTTCTCATCAATTATCTGTCTACCCCACAACCCTTTGTCGCACTTCTGCTGATCCTCACAGGTGGATGGATCCGCAATTATCGCAAAGCAGCGTGTGCAGCACAATCAAAAGGCGCAACACGCCACGAGAGAGGGATGCACGGGGTATGTTGCAGACCTGCACTTGGTGGTTGGGGGCAGAGGCGGGCATGGGGGAGAGCGGCCCGGGCCCCCAGCCGGCGAGGTCTGAGCGGTGGGAGTGCTGCAGCGGCTGCGGGTTGTCCTTGACTGCCTGGATGTGCTGCAGCAGCCCCGGCGACAGCGCGCTCGTGCGCGGCGGCGCATCCCCCTGGCTCCCTGCACCACATGCATGCACCTGCTCAGATCTGGCACACTTCCTTTTCTACCTTGGAGACTTTTAAAACAGCTCAGGATTTTTCTGAAGCAAACCAAGTCACCAGCTGGTTCCTGCATGTAGCGTGACTGCACATTCTGCCTTTCTGGATATGCGATTACAGGGCCTACAGGAATGTCAAATGACTGCACTGGAATTGGAATGCTCTTGTCCTAACAGAAGGCAAAAGAAGATCTGTTAATGTTGCCCTCTATAGTTGCAGGAGTGACTTGTGACCAAACAGAACTGCTTGGTGTGCGAGAGGACACGTGTGCATATGATGATGCGCAACTACTTCACATACAGCAGCTATGCTGGGACCCATGTGCAGGCATGCCAGGTAAAGAGAAAGATCAAGCAGCCCAGATACATATTGACTGTAGATCAGAATGCCAGAAGTAAATGCATCCGGGGTGTGGCGCACCAGAGCGGGGTGGGACCTTGCTGATACTGCTGGAGCGGTCATGGTGCTGCAACCCGCCACTGCCCTGACGCTGGGCAGGCTCCATCCAGGACTGGCTCCTCCCATACGCCGGATAGCTGCATCGCATCAAGAACAATGATAATTTAGGCATCATAGTCACCTGCATTGGGGGGAGCAGAGAACACGTTTTCTTGCTTACCTTGACTGAAATCACTATCTGGCAAGCTTGAGCCTGTGTGAAGCAAAATGTGCCATGAGTGATCCAAGTATGATGCCTGATCACCATAGTCACCTTCACATCTGGCAAGCCTGTGTGGTGCGAAATCTGCCATGAATGATCTAAGTAGGATGCCTTATGGGATCCAGAACCAACACAATGAACTCAGCACAATCACATATGCGACCATGTTCAGTACCTGGATTAAAGCAGATCCTCTCTGCATTGAGTGGGAGCTGCACACTGTACAAACGAGTCTGCAGCATAATAAGGCAGTGATGAATTGGATGTCGAGACAGATGTTCAAGGGGAGTAAAGAAGATTTGGATGCAGCAGACCTGTCCTGTGAGTAGGTGCGGCGGGGTCCGGCATAGCCGCCGTTCTCGGATGTCCTGTTGTAGGAGGTCTTGGGCGACTGCTGGTTGGCAAAGGTCTCCACACGCAGCTTCGGCTGAAGCGCACATGAGGATCAACAAAAATCCCTAGGATAAGGCTCCGCAAACTGGTCAGAAATGTCATGCATGGCAAGTAACCTCTTGAGAAAGCTTTGTGTCCATTCACTTGTGTCTAAATATCAGAAGTGCATTCATCCAAGGCATACACTGTCTGGCCCCTGTATTTTCGACACCCCAAATCTGCCCGAGGTTGTCGGGCTTCTGCGCTGCATGCAGACGCACATGGCAGAAGCCAAAATACCTTCCGCAGACTCGCGGGTACAGGCCTTGTGCTTTCAGTGAAAGGGTTTCAAGCTGAACCTGGCATGTGCAAGACAGTGGTAGGTGTAGAGCACGCACCGGGCGGTTGGCGGCTGTTGCCTGGGCGGTGGGGACTGGCGAGCTTGCAGTGCGCAGCTGAGTCAGCTCAGCAGGCGGCTTGGGTGCACTCGAGGCGGACTCGACCTCCACTGACCCCTGCTGCAGCGCGGGGTGCAGAAGGATTAGGGCCTCAACAAGGTGGCTGCGACTGCGGCATGCATAAAGTCCGTGCAGCATGCAGATGACAATTTCCCTCTGCATTTGAAGCTGCTCTGCCTCCAGAGAACCATTTTTATACGTCAGCTGAGACCAGCTATGTTTGAAAACACCCTTCTTTGGACGCCTCATGTCCGACAGGCAATGTTGTACACATGTCATCTCAAAAGAACCAGGCCACAAGGAAGCTGCAACATGCTTTATTCGAAGGCCCAGGGCACACACCTGGGGAGACAGGGAAGACAGGCTGTCGTACAGGGCGAGGCCGGTGTCTGATGTCACGCTCCCGGTGTCCTTGCTATCCTTGGTGCCAGGGAAGCGGTTGGCGTTCGGAGTGAACCTGTGCAGAGCCGTCGGAATATCTGATGCACATGCTGCATTCCTTGTGACGGTGACCCATCGTTCAATAAGCAGTGTCTGGGACCCACAAGCTTCTCATTACATACATACTTTGATATCATGACAGCAATATTTGAAAGCGCACCGACCTTGCACGATGGTTGCACAATCTTTCATGCACAATGACAGGCAGCACCTTCCATTCTGCAGCCCGATGGACTATTGAAATCAAGTAGGTAAGAAGCACACTTGGGCGTGAGGGGAGAGAGGTTGCAGCTCTTGGTGCGCTCGTCACCATGCAGGCCCTCTGTAGCCTCCAGCACCGGTGTCCCCTCTGAATCAGTCTTGATCTCCAGCTTGGGTCCGTTGAGCACTGCTTTGCCTGCTGCCTTTCCCTGCATAGAAGAGGGCTACCTTCAAACACATGCATGCAGGAAATGCCGACCTTCTCTGTTCAGTCTTGCTTTTGTGTTGCTGAAGGGGATTGCAATGGCAACAAGAAGGAATGGTCTAAAGGGAAGCTGTGCATTGACAGAACTCTCTTGCCAAAATGCAATGATATGATTGGTAAAGAGAAGTGTCAATCTTGCCATTACATCCTGACATGAGAATCACGTTCCAGCAAAATGCCACATGGAAGCAGTGACTGGTCCCACCTGGCCAGTGGTATCCTCCACATCTTCATCCAGCAGCACAGGGCCTGGCAGGGGCCTCTTCTTGGCAGCCTGGGGCGTTCCCTCCAGGTGAAGCAGAGCAGCCTGAGTGGGAGTGGTGGGCGGCAGGGGAGGCGGAGTGGACACTGAAGAAGGGACTCCAATCGGGGGCGGCGTCTGATCCCTTTCAGATTCAGTGTCGGACGCGCTCAGCTGCAGTGCTGTGATGACTCCATCTGACGTCGCCGCCAGAATCTTACCTCCTGCGCATGCGAAAGAGTGTGATGCCATGTGTAGTGCTCATTGGTTCTCAAAATCGCCAGGGTCCTTGACAAGAGCCCAAGTTTTGTTCATATGTGTGCTCGTGCGTAATTGTCTTCAATGACAAAGAGTCCACGGAGCATGCATGCATGCATCACTCCCACGAATGATGACATGCCAAGGGAGTCCAAAATCACCTCTAGGGCATGGACACCGGCTCTATAGGATGCCCAATCATGAAGGGGTGGGTGGACCAATCCGACAAATCATGGTCAGATCTTGAGTGGTCACACCCTCAGTCTCATCTCATTGAGGTCCTATCCACATCAGGTCTCATGAAACCAAAAAAATAGGGCAGATCAGAACCCTCTCTGATTGCCTGGCACCTGACATTTTGCTCAGGGCCTCACTTGACCAGACACCCTCACAATATGCAGTGCCACCTCTCCTTCACTTCATTTGAGACACAAACACCAAGCATTGCTCACCTGACAGCCACTCAAGGCCCACGATGGCTGACCCTGGCGATGAGATCTGCTGTGCAGCGGCGGGACTGATTACTCCCCCGGCGCCGCCCATAAACAGCGACGAGTCGAACAGCAGCACGCGCCCATCGCTGCCCACAGTCGCCTGCCACCAGCACAACCTCAGAAATTCCTTCATCTCCCCAGATTATGCTATGTGATGATTTGGACATGAAAGCTTATCTCATCTGTCAAGAGGTCATCGTCTGAGAGCAGAAAACTCCCAAGTGTCCGGGGCAAGTTCAACTTCCCAGCTTTATATGACGGGAGGTACTCAATCCAAACCGCAAGAAGCTCTATTCCTTGGGGTAGGGAAACATGTCACGGGTACTCTGGCTCTCTTACCACAAAGCAAGAACCACGTATTTATCTCACAGCATGTTCACATTTTAATAGAGTAGGGCTGGCAAGGACAAAAAACAATTGCCAGGGACTGAGCACAGGGGCCACACCAGGAAGGAGCCGTCGGGCTGGAATGCCATGTGCTCGATCCTGGACTTGGGGCTGTGCCCACAGCACACCACGCTCATCACGCTGTGCCCCTCCTGAGCCTCAGCAATGTCCCTGCACATGCATGCCCACATCTTTTGTCCTTTGTCATGCGCATGCAAGTGACCCTTTCAGCCCCTTTCAGCCCTCCACTAACCCCCCATACATTGTGGGCCCATGAAGTCACTATGAGGTCCTAGCAAACTTACAGATCAACTGAGAATTTGGAGCAGAATGCAACCTCAAAAGGTGCACCACAAATTCCCTCTGTAGTCATGCGATGCAGACGCGTTCGGCAAATTTCTAAGCAGCTCATCAATCTTTATAACAGAACTATTACAGAAAGCTCGAGTCATCATCTTGCTGGCATGTGCCTGCAGGGGGCAAGGACTGACCAGATGGTGGCCTCAGCGCCATCACTAGTTGCAATGTATCGTTCCCTCTCATCCCATGCCATGCATGTCACCTGCACATGCCCCATTCCCTTCGCACGGGACGCTCCAGTATACAACAACATAACCCATGCGCAGCAGTCACAAGGCACCGGTATTTGTGACAGACTTTTACACATGGGAGGAGAGCATGCATGTGGGAGGACATGCAGCACACCTCAGACTCGTAGTCATTGAGGGTGATGACACCCTTCATGATGGTGCTGCTAGTGCTGCTGCCCTCCTCGCACTGGCTCTCGGTGTCTGATTTGCTCGCCAGCTTCCACACATGCACCTGGTCACATGCATGCACCCATTTATTTCACAGGCCTGTACTAAAGGAGCCCTGACATTGCTGCCAGGTGCAGGATGAAGCAACCATATACGTACAGATACCATAATCGAAGCGGTGTTTCAGGAAACCGAGGCCCAGTATATATACTGCATGTTGAACACAGAGACTGTCATGCGTGTGTAACTCGACTCCAAGTTGAAATATTTAATGAGCAACTGAAGCACAGAGGGCCTGCAGATCACCTGGAACCCAGAGGCGGAAGATGCCACCCCCAGCGCCAGGAAGGATGCCTTGGTGGACACAAGCAGTGCTGTGCTGGGCTCTGCGTGCAGTTCGAGCAGGGGCTGGCTTTCGTCGCAGGAGGTCGTCAGCAGCCTCGTCGCGAGGTCGATGTACAAATGATCAAGGGGTCCCCACTCCAGTCCACTGATGGCAGACTCAAACGGGCCGAACTTGCAGGTCACTTTGCCGTCCAAGTCCAGCACGAGGAGATTCCTGCAGCACGCAATCTGGTGAGATGCGGTATGCAATTTGGTGTTCGCTGCGCACCCGATGCAGCGCGGCTTATCTGTAGACCTACTTTTACACAAAAGGTACCAGGTGACAGTGCACTTTCGTGGAAGGGGGCAGCTAAGAAGCCCCGCCAGCACGCGGCTGGCACTGCATCGGCACGAGCAATCAATATACACAAGGCGCGCCGTCCTCTACATCAACTTTGAAGCGTGCTTCTGTACGACGGGGGCATCAGGGTTCTTGTGAATCACTGCCAAATGGATGGGGCTGTTTGGGAAATGACCTGTCAATACCAACGGCAAATCGGTCTTCGCTGCAGTGCCTGCTGACTGTGACGAGAACACTTTGCTGCGCTGTATCGTCGCCTGGCTCACGAGGCTGGGTCAGGTCACCGTCCAAAACAGTCTGAGCCGTCTGCTCCCCAGAAACCACGCTCCAGAGGCCCAGCACAGCAGAACTCACGGATAACAATGTCTCCGAATCATGGCTGAAGCACAAGGCTGTGCACGATCCTGAATTGGGCTTGAGGCGGCGCGTGGGTATGCCGAGGGTGTCGCACGAATGTATCGAGATGAACTGGCTGGTGGCCACGGCGAGCCAGGCCCTCGAGGGGCTGGATGCGACGCACAGCACGGGATCAGCTTCATCTGCACTGGATGTCCAGGCCTTGGACAGCGTCGAATGGTGTTGCATGGAAGCCTTCTGCATCGGGTGGCGACTGGGCTAGTAAAGTTCGCTGGGGCACATAACTGAATCGGTTTCAGCGGCACATCGCTGCAGATCGGGGAACAATGCGCAAGGATCAGTTCACGTGTGTTACGGCGATGGGCCCATCAGGGATTGAAGTTTGCTCTGTTTCGTAGATCTCCAATAGAGATCCTGTTGCCAAATAGAGATCTTTACTTAAGTAATTGCTTCATAATCAGGATGAATATTGATTCCCCTGATCCCAATGACGCCCCATGCTTTTGGCGGGATAATATTGCAGACCAGGATATCTACATGAGGATCTCCAGGTTATTGGGGATGAGCGCCACCTTGTGTTTGAGTGCCCTGCCTTGCAATCTGTTCGGGACAGATATCCTGGGCTGTTTGGTGCAGCCATTGTGCCGATGCAGCAATTCATGTGGCAGTTGGACATTGTTGGTGTTGCACATTTTGTGATGGATTGTTTTGATTATTTGGATGCTGCCAGTTCATCCAATCAGCCCTAGGCGGCTGGAGTGATGTAATCTTCCTTCCTTCCTTCCTTCTCCTAAATCTGCAGACTTCCAACTTAGCACGAAACTGCCGTGGTGAAGAAGCAGGCACACACTGTACATGCAATACCTCATGTTTGTGCTCGCATGCATGCAGGGCACCTTAACCTTCTCGGTTTGAAACCGCCACTAAGTGGCGGCCACTGGCGCAGAGCGGCACAAATGTCAGTTACATGCTCAGCAATTACCAATTCCCGCATTACTTCAATATAATCCGCATGGCTGAATCCAGCCAAAATTGCGATGCAACCATACAATGCTGCCAGCCAAAGCTCAGGGTTCAAGCAATATTCTTGTTCCTCGCTTACACTCTTCCCACAGTCCTCTTTATTATCTACTCGTCATTCCAACGGAAATATCCTTGCACTGGCCACAAAAGAAGGAAAGACGCAGAGCGACTCATACATAGCACAATTTGCAAATACAGCGCCAATCATTGGCACCTCGCAGACAAGGGCTCTACGCCCAGTGCCAACAGCTGGCTGATCTGAGAGGACAGCAGCTGCCCATCTTGCCACCTGGCACGCAGCTGCTGCAGCCAGGCTGCCAAGTCCGGCGCATGCTCCCATTTTCTTGTCACCTGCGCCCCATAGAATTGAACAGTAAGCCTCACTCTTCTCAAGCACACTATATTATACGCTTCAAACCCTCACTGCTCGTGTCACTCATCAACACAGTCTGCTGAAGATTTGACCATTGGGGCGCTTTGGGCACTGCAAGGTCCACGGAAAGCACAGGCGAAAAGATGCAGTTATAATCACAGACTCTCCTAACTTGGCCCTCCCACTCCTCGCTCTCTTGCACTCTCTCTTTTAGTTCAGGTGTCAGCAATAGGGAAGCTTCCCTCGCACCTGCAGGTGGTGGTGCTGGCGGCGGAAGGCCAGAAGCTGAGTCAGCCGCTCGTCCCACTCGCGCTCGGCCGCGCCCCGGTCCGGCCGCCAGTCAACTCCCAGCGCTGTCAGCTCGCGTTCCCTCTCAAGCGACAGCCAGTCTACAACAAATAACATCACAAGTTATAATTACATAATGGTAGTCATACTTCATTACATACAGTCATGTACGAACCCCAATTTCCTGGCCAGAATCAAGTCCAATTCTGCTGGCCGAGCAGGGCATGAGTCGATGCCATATGCCGAATTCAAGAGAGACCAAACTTGTTGTGGGCACCGAGCAACCCCGACCTTCTGCAACAGGCGCAGAGACGCTGGGTGCCATAACCAGTGGTAGACAGTGTTGTTGACCGGCAAAATTTTACAGCAGAAATTGCAGTCACTTGATGTTTCATGGTGCCCACGGTCAGACGGGATCTCACTTGGGTTCGGCCATCCAGGAAGAAGTGCGTCATGTGGCAGCCTCTACACGCAGTCACCCTGCAGACGCACAGTGCACTGCAGCAGGAACAACGTTTGTTGGACGCACCTATCGCCAGCAGGGCTTTCTGGTGCTCAAGCCAGTCGTGGAGGGACTCGGAGTGGGTGTGCGCATTTACAGCGGCCTCACGGGTGCGCTGCTTGAGCGCTGCCAGCTGCTCCAGGCGCGCCTCCCATGCCGCCTTGCGCATGTGCACAGCCTCGTCGCTCAGGATCCAAGTGATGCCTGCACAGCAACATCCAAAGCTGAAATCACAAGTTTTCCAGTCCCTAGGAATCTAGGATATAATTATGCAGCAGCAGGCATGCACCAATTTGTGCTGGACAGATCTTTCATGTTGACCACTAACCTAGCCTGCTGACATGACATCCTCCTTTACAGCCAGAGGTGTGCAGCATCCCCCGCCTAGGGGCCAGGAGACAAGATACAAGGGATGAGGACTATCCAGTATTACGTTTGCACAGGATGTCGTATAAAATTGCAGGAAGTGCGGCCCTGGTCAAGGGAGGCCAGGACGAAGAAACCCATTGCATGCACTACCTTGGAAGCACCAAGCTGATTCAGCGTGCAGCCCCTAAGACAACCAGGGCAGAGCTCATCTGCCCAGAAGAGCTGAAGGGGGCTCAGAAAAGGACACTGTGAAAAAAAATAGCTACTCAGGGGAGCAATCAGCAGGTAGCAATCACGCACCAAGCAGAGCCATGTAGCGCAGCTGCGACTGCGACAGGCGCTGCTCCGCCCAGAGCTGCCGCTGCGTCTCCAGCCAGCGCACCACCGCCAGCCGCCGGCCGGGCGGCCGCCCCGGCGCCGCGCGGCCGCGAACCCGGGCCCGGGCGCGCACATGCAGTGGCAAGCCTCCCGACTGCTTTCAAACAAATTCTTATGAGAAGGTGCGCACATGCAATCGTAGGCCTCCTGACTGCTTTCAAACAAACACTTATGAGCTGACAGTAGGCAGAGGATACAAGGTAGAGGATGGAAATGACTGTCCAGAGGTCAGGCACATCAATCTACCCGACTGCTGACATGCCCTCCAAGCATGTGCTCTTGCGACACTCAGCAAAACCATAGTCTTTGCAGAGCTTGATTAATTTGTAGTGTCATACTCCCGTTCCTTCAAGGTACTCAACCAGGAAAAAGGCATTTCAGCACAGTATGATGGACAGAAATAGCGGCAAATATTTGCCAAGAAAGTGTGCACGGATGGTCCATGGAATTTTTCATACAACGGCCCTAAATGCCTGTGCTATGCGTCTCCTGTACACTCACACTGTTGCTTGGCACGGGAGGTCACCTGGACAAAGTCTTCCCACCACGGTCCATAGGCCTCCTCAAGCGCCTCAGCATCCATTGATGCGTCCCCAGAGTCGAACATGTCCGGTCCCTCATCCGACCTCGGCAGCACTGCGGTTGCCGCTGCGGCGCGGCCGGCCTGCGGTGACTCGTCTGAGTCAGCCCCCAGCGAGCGCTGTCCTGCATGCGCCTGCCGCAGCTGCGCGGCCGCGTTCGGGAGTATGGTAGCAGCGGCATGGCGGCCAGAGGAAATGTCTCTCTGCTTCTCTGTTGGTGCAGGGATGTGCTCGTCCAAGCCATCCAGTGACTGCATGCGCAGCAGGCAAAACACATTGAGACGGAGGAACACATAAAAATGCGTTCTTACTTCGCCAGACCCTGGCAGGATTACTGGTGCTCCTTTGCAATAGGATAAACACAGCGACCATCTGTCATTACAAGATCGCGCACAGCGCCAGAAAATAAAGCGGAATGCACCGGGCGTATGCCAGAGCCCGTGAGGTAAGCAGCGGCCTCATGCGCGGCGAAGCGCCAGTGCTCCGGGGTATAGAGATCCAGGTCAGCGCCGCACAGCGTCAGCAGCAGCGTCTGCAACAGCATCCAGCTCTCAGCGAATGACAGTCGCCTTCTCTAATATATCTCTGCACAACGTGTTTCCCTGCGCATACACCATTAGAGACCAAGCTAGGTCAATTTGTATGTCGTCAGCTTAATTGCTCGCATGTATGCTTGACAGATTCCAGTCCTACTGACGGCAGGTTCACTGGTGATCCACCCTTGCTGCAGATGGCATGCTATCACTACTTTGTACAAGGTGCATTATCAGATCCCCTCGTGAGCCCAGCTAACTGAAACACCAATGGCGTGCCCAATCAGGTGCATGACGGCAGCCCTTTTACCTGTTGCAAATCCCTTTACAAATTTTGTACATTGTCAGGTGGAAAGTAAAGAATGTGGACATCGAACCTGCTCGTGAGTCAGGCGGCCCTGCCGCCAGTCGCGCTGCTGCCGCGCCATCCAGCAGCGCAGGCCCGGCTCCGGCTTGGTCACCGCATACGCCGCTCGCCTCAACTCCACCTCCTGGCCATATCAAATGAAGAAGTTGAGAGCCACGTCAGGCCTGCACACAATGTATATGAATAGCCCCAGCTTGCATGCTACAGAACCTGCCCAAGCTTGTGAGAAAAAATGAATGCAGCAAACCCTTCTCTTCCAATCTGGAATTGAGCTGGGCCCTGATGCATTAACTAAGCAACCTTCTCACTGGTACTTTTAAGTTAGACTTCCCCTTGGATGAGGAAAAGGTACCTGCTGCAGCCAGCGCTGGGCGGCGACCCCTGCAGGAGCGAGGCCGGCGGTGCGGCGCCAGGAGCTGAGGCCCTCAAACAGGTCGGCTGCTGCCGGCTGCTGCCGAACGCGCGTCGGCTGACTGGACAGCTGACCGGACCGCTCACTGGGCGGCAGCGAGGGCTGCTGCGCCATCGCGCGCCGCTTCTCCTGGTCCTGCTGCGCTCGCCGCGCCTGCACGAGCTTCTTGGAACGCTCTATGAGATACACAATGCGCGCGAAGCGCGACATCCACCGGTGCTGCCAATCCAGCCCGCCCTGCAAGCAATGAGGTGTTGGGCGGTTAATGATGGCCAAGAGATGTCCTTCAAATGACAGGCGGGAGAAAACAGCTCAGCCCACTGCGGATGTGCACCACGCATGAAACTTCTGATAATGACCACAAAGCTGGCCCACAGATGCATGCGCCACTGGGACTTCAAAATCATATTCTAAGCCAAGAAGACAGGGATAGATGTCCAAGCCTTTCAGGAACACAAAGCACAAACCCCTTCTTAACAAACATAAGGGCACATGTAGATCGGGAGCACATGAGAGGGAGTCCGTTCCCTCTATAGAAAAGGGGACTTGCTAGGATTTGCAGGGTGGCGGACCTTGGGCGCCCACTCAAAGCCGATCGCTGTCAGGCGGCGCACGGCACTGGCAGCAGAACCTGTAGATCTTGATTGATGCAGGAAATGTTCGAGGGTATACAGGGGGGCGCACACCTTGGGTTCCCACTCGAAGCCGATGGCGGTGAGGCGGCGCACGGCGTCGGCGGAGAGCAGGTTGCGGCGGCGGAACTCGCGCTGCAGCTGCACCCACAGCGCCACCTCGCGCGCGGCCGGTCCCCCAAAGGCCCCCCAGTCCATGCCCACCCAGTCCAGGAGCGATCGCGCACTCAGCTCCATCGCTGACACCTTCGTCTCCTGCAGCACACAGCACAGCTCTCAGGCAAAGAAGTGAGCACACGAGCTTGTCTGATTGCCATGCGCTCTGTAATTGTTCTGCAGCTCGAAGTGCATGGCATGCTGCATGTAACTGCAAAGACCAGACACGTTTGTCTCCCGCAGCACAGCCAAGCTCTCAGTGCTTGTCAGGCGAGAAAGCAAGCAGAAAAGGTGACCTCAAGTTCCCATGCGGTCTACAACTCAATCACCAGCTGTGAGAAAACTGCCTCACCAGGCACGAAAAGATCCCCAAGTTCTTGGTGGCATCGCGTCAGATCAGGCACAGGTTCTCAAGGCCATGTGAAGGTGAGCCCACTCACAAGGGCAGCAGATAAATCTCAGAAGAGGGCGCACCCGCATGAGCAGCAGTTCCACGAGGGAGTCGAAGCGCCACTCCCACTCCTCGGTCATCTGCGCCTCCTCCCCAAATTCGAACCCCATGTCCACCAGGATGTCCAGCCGCTCCTGTGTCAGCCCCGCCTGCTGCCGCGCCACCCGCTGCCGCTTCACCCAGTTTCCCAACTCCGGCATCTCCTCACACTCCTTTGCAGCCATGCAGCGCCCACACTCAGTAGCCATTCAGGATACTGTCATTTAAATTGCACGCTTTCCCTGCCAGAAGGTAAGGTGCGTCTGCAGACAAGCTGCAGGTAAAGGCTGCCACATATCCTACCCCTTGATGGACTTCCCAGATCCAAGCAAGAGCCAACATAACCATGGCCTCGGTGCTCAGCTCCCATATCGGTGGGTGCAGACTCTTAGCAAGGTATTTGAGGACAAGTGTATGCTGGTATGGTGATCAGCTAGGCGGGAGGACACAGCAGAAATGTCAAGAGTATCCAAGCATCTGCAAGACTGCGACAGGATCTCACAAGAGTCACCCAAACTCACAAGTGTCACCCAAAAGTGCCATGCAGTCCATGGACAGCAGTATGCATCTGCAATAATTGTTGGTGGGTACTCTAGAGCACGTCGTCTCACCTCGGGGACGTTGCAGTGGCCGTGGCGGTACATGTAGGCTGCCAGCTCCACAACGCGCCTGTCCCACCGATCGTTCACCGACGGCTTGCAGCGCATTATAGCTGGTGCCAGCTGAAATACAATGCCCACCCCGTCCTTGCCTGCAGACAGAACACTAGGCGCACTTAGAATCTCGCTGAGCCAGTGCAAGGTTGGTACGACGGCCCAGACTGATGCTTCACAAGTGGTATTCAGTAAGAGACACAGCATTGCGAAAGGCACGAAGGAGAGTGCACAACCGTATTGCAAGCATCCCAACAGCACTCGCACAGGTGGATCATGGGCAATCTTAAGGCTGGCCACCATCACAGAAAGTGAGCTCCCCTTTCTTGCAGAACAATCCCACAATTTCAGTCAATGGTAGCTGCCTTAAGGATGCTCATGCTTGCCAGGGATGCAACATTGCACATGCCACACTTTTAGAGCTTGAGCGATTTCAGTCAATGAGAAAGGTGCCGGAGGAGGCTGTGGCCTCGGGCCACATCCCAATGCTACAAGACCCAGCAAGGACATGGAGCGGGTGGAAATGCTGTAGGCAATGCCTCACACCCTGTAAATAATACTGGGGAGTGCCCACAATGAGGCAATCCTGTTTCGGGTAAGGTCGTCTGCAAACAAAGCGTCTCACTGTGAAGCAAAGGGGTTTTTTTATATGGCAGGTGTAATGGGAACGCCGCGCACCGGGGGGCACGCCGCACTTGTCGATGAGGTAACGTTCGACGACGCGGATGTTGCGCTCCACACGCGAGCGCCGCCGCCGGTCGATCAGCGGCCGGCCGGCCGCGGTGACGCGCCAGGCAACGGCCGCAGACATAACGGCGTCGACCTGCGCCTCGGGAATTCCGCAGACGTTGGCCAGGTAGCGCTCCGCGCTCCCCTCCTGCGCGGGCAGCAGCAGGTGGGGCGCCCCGTCAGCGGCTGAGTCAGCGCCGGGAGGGGAGCGCGGGGGCGCGTCGAGCTGCCGCGGCCGGCCCGTGGCCACGCGGGCCCGGGCCGGCCGGCCGCGCGCAGCCGGGCGCAGCAACGCCTGCCCACAGGGCAACCAGGCTGCCTCAGCGCCTCCCGGCACACGCCGCAAGGCCGGCGGCAACACCTTACTGAAATGACCCTTTCTATCACACACCGAACCATCCAAGATGGGCTGAATTTGGGGTACTAGATGACAGGCAAGCACTCTTGACCACCACGCATGCCCGCGCTAGGTTTGACGGCTTCCCTTGGGCTGAAAAGTGGTCTGACAGGTGAAGGCACCAGGAGAAGGCAGAGCAGAGGGTACAATAGCGCAAGGTGCAGAAAATGCAGTGTACTGCAAAGGTACAAAAATGTGCAGCGCACTGCAGGCCTCTCAAGCTCTCCACTTTGTACTGCAGCACAACAAGACTGGGCCCTCACCGTCCAGGGGTCTGGCAGGGAGGAGCGGTTGCGGATTCGCTGCTTTTTCTCTATGGGCCGCTGCACGAGGCTGGCGCGGGGAAAGATCTCTTCTCCCCAGCCGCTGCCGTACTTGACCAGCTGCAGAATCAGCTCCGTGGGCTGATCGCTGATGACTGGATCCTGATTGGACGCTCCCCGGTCCCTGCTGCTGCTGGTGGATGCGCTGCCATTGAGGCTGCGCCACCTTCTATCTAACTGTGCTGCTGCGTCCTCCTCTGTCTCGCAGAAGAGATTGTCGTACTGCTTGCTGCCAGTGAGAAAGAGCACTGAGTCTGTGTCTATCTCGCTCACGCTGTCCGTTTGAATGGAGAGAGGGTCTTCCTCAAACCACTCCTCAGACTGCCTGCTGCTGCGGGTGGCGCTGCAGCTTCCAGCAACTCTGCTGGCTCTCAATCGCGGGCCAGGATCACACGGCGAATAGCCCAGCGGAGGGTCTCCTAGCAGAGAGCAGGTCCTGCTGTCGTGCAAGATATCTGTACCACCTCGATGCCTGGGTGAGGCACCGATGCTGCCGTTATAAGCATGGCAACTGCACGTTGGACGTGGAGCCCTGTCCAGAGAAATACACACTACTTCAGCCTACTTCCATTCAACGACAAGCCGCTATTGTGATGAGCAATTCAACCCATACTTATTATGATGCTTTCAATAAAATAAATGAAATAAAAGAACGAGGGAGACAGGAAGTGCAACGAGGGCTCACCAAGACTGCAAGATCTGCAAGGAAGTTCCTGGGGGTCTCCCTGGACATCCGGTAAGACACGGATGTTGCATTCTTGGATGTTGAAGCTTCACACATGGCTACATCGACTGCATAGCTCAGCGAAAATTATCTGATGACAGTGAAAACCGATTTATGCAGACCTGCGCCCAAATCGCACGCTATACTTCGAAGCACCTCGTACCTTTCCCATGGCGACAGGAAGATGAGAAGCGGTTTACTGATCGCAAAACTCTGTGGTTTCAACAACATGGATAGAGTTCTCTGTATGCCAAAACTGGCAACTGGGCTCAGACGTCGCTACACGGTCGCCACCTGGGCCCTACAAGGTCACTTTGGGAAACGATTGACATTTTACTCGATTAAAATTGATGAAGTCATTTTTTAGTGAGCACGACGATTGCTCCGTGAATTTGGTGTTGGCCCTTTCTCTATTGGATTATTTCAATTTGTGGTGTCGTTCCGAAACGGTGATCTGTTGCAATGGGTCAATTCTTGGAGGCCTTCAAGGGGGCCAAGGTATGATATGCTCACATCGAGTAGTATCACAAATATCTACTTTTAGTCCGACTTTAATCAGTCACTGGCCCAAGATCATGGGCCACAAAATCTTCACCCATCAAAACTTGAACGGCATGCCCAGCCTGAATTGATGAAGATCTGCGCTGTTCCGCTCAGGTTCAGTTGCAAGAATGTCCTGGGAACAAAGAACGGATCGTTACATTACTGAGGATCACAAGGTTGCTTGCAACTGAAGCCTTGGGAGCCTTCACCATGGTGCCCTTTGGTGAGAGCGTGCATGTCAGACGTGTCCACCTGCGTTCCTTACGTCTTCATCTATGATAACAACTCATGAGGCTCCACTGAGCAGGAAGTGTGTTGTACTAGGCGTGCGTGCGCTGCGAGCACACAGAGCCCTGGAGCTCTATCCAGGAGAGCGAAGCAATCGCGAGTCTGTCAGCATAGCGCGGGATATCCGGTACAGCATCCGTCCTGCCCTGTACACGACCAATTACAAATCGGCAAGTGACTCTTACAACCCTGAGAGCATGCCAGTCTGGCAAAGCCCATCTGAAATGCCCTTGGCGGCCTACGCTGTGCAGGTATGGGCCCATGCCGCGAAATATCATGGACATTTATGTACCGCCCAGTGAGCCTGCTGGTTCTGACAACAGTGAGCCATTAGGCAATGATGATGAAGTTCTGAGCAGCAGTTCGGGACGACCTGTTGCCGTCTTCTGCCACGGAGGAGTGTGGGCATCAGGTGCGGACTCCCGCACTGTTTGATCAAGTTGTGCGCCTGCATTTTCCAAAAGGCATGCATGCTGCAAAATGGCTGTTGCATGTGCCTGCCAGCTCATATGGTTGACAGAGTTTCTGGCCACAGCGGGTTCAAGGCTCCTGAGATTAGAGATGACCCAAGAGCACCACCCACGTGCCAGCCTGCTCTTGTGTCAGATAATATGTTGGCGACAGCGGGTCCTGGGCTCCTGGGGTTGGAAGATGACTCAAGAGCAGCATCGCTGTGGCTGCTGCAGGTGCAAAGTGGCATTATGCCCCCATGGCAACGAGACTTGCCCAGCAAGGAATTCTCACATGCGTCGTGGAGTACAGTTTGTTCCCAGAGGTCAGGGCTCCAAAGATGGTGGCTGAGTTGTCCTCCGCCCTTAGCTGGACCCTGGACAACATCTCGCAGTATGGCGGCAGCCCGGCCAAGGTGATTACAGCTTTGTTTGACTAGCATCTGTAAGTTCACTCATAGTGCCGCAGTCAAGTTCAGTATTGAAGGCTCAATGTGAACCTGAACAACTGGTACATCAATCTTTGCAGCAATTCACGACAATCCAAGAATCTTACAAAGGATGGGGTCATGACATGTGCAGATCAGCTCAGTGATGGAAGTTACATTTTGAAGTGCTCTTTGACCTCTTCACATGGAGATGTTGACTGTAAATGCAGGTGACTGCCTTGGGCCACTCAGCAGGGGCGCAGCTCTGGGCGATGGTGCTTCTTCACAGAGCCATGACAGCGAGTGAACAGCGCCTGCGTAAAGAAAGCAGGACGGAAATCGATCAGGGAGCTGCCACCGTTGACTGCCGCATGCCTGCACAATTTATTGGTGCGCGTCAACTGCTCACGCTGCCAACAACCCTTTCAGCACACTAGCTCTTGAGTACACTAGCGCTGCTGATCGGCAATCGGTTTCCTGTCACTCAGCAGGGCCGCCAGAGACTGCAAGCCAGGTCCTCTCATAATTTCAAGTCAAGCATGCTGGGATGAGAACGTGAGTTGTTTCTATATCAATATGAGTTGTGCCCTCCTAACATTCTTTGCTGGCAGTTCACGCAGTGTCTTCTTTCAAGTACATATACCCTGGCCACGACAGACTAAGCCTTAGCCTGAACCACATCCCTGCAAGAATGCGCATCTCAGCAGCACACTTGATCTGTTCAGGCATGGCGGGTGTGTATGACATCGGGAAGCACTACCAGTACGAGGCGGCGCGAGGCGTTCACTTTCTGTCGACAATGGCCCGCGCAATTGGCGGCGCCGCGCGCTTCGCTTCACAATCACCGGCCGCCATTCTGGCGAGGGCAGCTGCGCGCAGCTCCGGCCCGAAGGAGTCAGAACCTGCTGCCCAGTGAGTGTCCCATCTCAGCCTGTGAACGTTTGAGCCATGCTGGGGTAATGTGGAGACACTACTGCCCCAGGCTGAAGAACCCGCAGGCCCATATGTGTTTGACATGCTTGTTAACAACTTGAAAGGCATTTGGCTGGTTGATGACTGCACCTTGGACAAGATCCCCTGTGAGATATCCCTTCGGCGCATTCTAGAATGCTGCTCAGTAACTCTTTTGAACTCTGAAAGGCCATGCATTCTCTCTGGGCCGTGGCCAACCTTTATATTATGCCACACAATGGCTGTATTGATTTGGACCATGAGAAGTCATGCTGTGCAGGTTGGGGCGTCTGCATGGAGAGGCCATTGCAGAGCGCATTGGCTTCCAGAGAGGCGGATATGCTTTGGGTCCATCTACAGCTCACGCAAAGGTACAGCATCATTCTCCCAGGTGCCCATTACATCTGCCAATTTGTGGTGAGGCTTAAAGACCTTGATATGAGCAATTCAGGTGGAATTTTCCATGGAAGGAACCTAGAAAGTTCTCCTTTGACCTCAATGGCTTGAAGAACTCCGGCAACAAACTGGACTTGTTCGCAAATAGGTGTCGCTGGGAGCATCCTGTACAGAAGCAGAAGGCAGGCAGCAGAGTGCAGTGTCTGGCTCCAGAGAGCCAGAGGAAAATTTTGAGTTCAGCATGGCAGCTGCCAGGCAGCTGCCGCCATGCCTGCTAATGAGCAGCCTTCCTGATCTGACGGTCCCCTGGTGCGTCTGTCTTTACACAAACTCTGCTGAGTTGACCAAAGAATCCAGCATGGCTGACCGTCCTTGAAGATTGTCCACAGGCACAGCATGGCGACAGCAACTTGCCACACCATACGCAGCATTCTCATAGCTCATGAGGACAATAGAGAGCAAGAACAAAATTACTCTCTGATTTATGGAAAAATCAGAGAGCTGCAATTTTATCATGAAGAATGATGGGCTGTGCAGGTATGAGAGTGCAGAGATGTTCTGGCGTCTGCACGACTGTGGCGTGCCCACGAAGCACCTTCTCTATCCTGGGCTCAACCATGCAGATTTTGTGACTGCTTGGAGGCCGCTGCAGCAAAGGCGGCACACAAGGCAGAGCAGTCTGGAAATCAGTTCTCTCAGAGGGACAGTGAAAAGAGGCGTGCCTAGGAATGCAAGCAGCCAGACAGAATTTGAGGATGATCTTACGGCTGTCTTGAGCGAGGTTGCAGCTGTGCGATATGAAAGGAGGTAGCGGGGTGATTAGTCATACCGCTGCTCTCTGGTCAACATCACTGCTAGTAGAATAGGACTACGGCGCCTTGGCGTATCCTCACATGGCCATGGCATGCACAGCTGGGGGGGAATCCTCTCAAGAGCTTGGGACACACACTGCTCCGTACTGATTGCTTCATGCCTGCATTTTTGTTAGCAAGTAGCAATTGATGCATTGCTGCTTTTCTGCTGCATCACGTTGCAGCTGCCGGGGCTGCCCTGTGATACATGCACCGCTGTTTGAAGGATTCAACAACTCATCTGTCAAAGGGTTTCCGCTCCAGATGCAGTGTGTTGCTGTCATGCTTTTGCTTGGATTGCAAATTGCGCACTTCACGATTGGCGCCTGTGTCAATGTTGTGTGGGAGGTACATATAGCTATGTATTGTGCGGTGCCGAGCTGCGGCAATGCAATCCCAAGCGTGCAATCATAATGCGGCACATACTGGGAACATTTTATTGCGTGCAAGTTCTGCTGAACGTCTTATTACAAGGAAAATCTGGCTTGTTCCACTGTTCTGGTGGTCTGCTCATTGACTTAAGCAGACATCAAGGCTTACTGTTATGGCAAGAACCTGGGAGCTTCTGGGAAGCTTCCAAGCAGTTGCGATCACGCCCCTGCACTCCGTGCATTGGTGCTTCCTATCACCATGCAGCTTCTGCATGACTGCACCACATGAAAATACACATCTCCAAACCTCATGGCAACAGACAGTGAGTGCGTTGACTGGTGCTATAGAAATGATGCTGAGAAAAAATCGGTTAAGGTGTCACAAGCTCAATTGTCATGGCTTTCCGTTCACAAAATGATCGAAACAGGTCACAAGGGCATGGACAGGGCATGTGAGAACCTGTGAGATGCCTCACAGAAGAACAATTGGACTGAATCGGGCATTTGGCATCGTGCTAAGTTGACAAACAAAAGTCCACAGGCAAAATGTACAGGCAGTCATAGAAATGCAGAATAATTTAGCTCTTGATGATCGCTCACGGGAATTGCACCTCTGTAGCAGGGAGCATCACAACTGGCGCAATCTCTTGCGCTCTGCTCTTACTGGCATCAACCCATCACGTATGCCATCTTGCCACACTCAGCGGCCAGCACCAGGAGTCCCCGTAGGACCTGCGGCGGAGGCTGCTGTCCACCTGCTCACGCAAATCATGAACCTCCTCCAAGGACTGCCACCAGAGCTCATGTCCGGATGCCTGGACATTTTAGCTGGTTGGACGGCTGAGTGCCGTGCGGTACGGTCTTTACCGCCATTCCCGGTGAGTGGAGGCGCATGTAATTCGCTGTCGAATTCTGTCCCAGCAACTTCATTGCGTTCCGTTGATCTATGCATGCATGCACTCATGCATGCATGCCCCCTCTCATACACCGTGATCACAGAGCACACATGCCAAGGGAGTCACAATGGGGAGGTGCGCACCTTCACAAGCGGGCATGACCCTTCAATGGAGCTCAAGACAATTGAAGCATACAGTTGAAACATGCAAATTGCCTGTCCAAAGCATGCTTGCGGTACAAGAACAGGGTCAAGCTGTTGCGTGTCCCTGGATTGGTCGAAATGCTCTTAACGTTAATCTCAGCTGGGCTTCAAGGTCTGTCCTGTAAATACATTGACAATGCTGGGAGCAGACTTGAGTGTGTAAATACATTGACAAGCTTACTTTCTCACTGTCTACTCTGGATTTTCTGCCTATTTCATGCATGGACTGCATGTCTTACTAACGGGGTCTCGGTGTCCCTGGCTGACATGCCGATGCGCTGCTGCAAGCGCCTCGACAGATTTCGACTGTGTAACTTCACCGTGTTCAAATGCCCCCACGCCCAAGCCTGGTAGGCGACTGGAGAGAAGTTTTGCTGAGAAGAGGGGTACAAGGAAAGTCTGTCATTCCGTGGCCTCAGCCCCTGAATGTAGCTCGGCGTGCTTGCGAGTGTGCTCGAATTTTCGCAGTAAGGCCCAAGGATCTAAACGCACGTTTCATAGAGCTACACATTCAGTCCCGCATAGGCCCGACCAACTGGGAGCACTCGGAAAAAGTGAACAAGCAGCTCAGGACTCCAGCGTAAGTTCGATGACTCCTCCTGCACCTAAATCCAGCATCAGTATCTCTTGCCGAAAGCTTCCTGTAACCTCTTTCGAAATATCGTAGATCTTTCTAGCATCCCTATGATTGTGCCGTCTGAGAGCTGCAGGGCACAAGACGCATATGGCGGGTGGGGTGACTACTCAGTCTCCCATAAATTCGGCCCATTCTGTGTTGTGAACATGCCTGACGGAGCAAGGCTTGTGATTGGATATGAGCATGGTAAGTCTTCGAATCTTTCGTGTTTGATCGAATTCTTCCGAATCGTCACCCCGACTGTTCTGCCAGACAGCTGCTTGCTGCAGGTGGTCTTAACGACGCATATTTCACCATTATCGAAGAGTACTCTCCTGCAGAGCACAAAACAGCCTACCTGGCCTGGCTCATTGGTACTGAGCGGAAGTGGATCTCGTGGGTTCGCGCAAACGCTGCAGGTCGACCCCTTCTGCACCAAGTTTTCGATTCCAGTTTGCAGGCTCCACATGTCCATCATGATGATGCTCAAGGACATCTTGTGTCACTTCTCATGCCTGGATTTTACTCGAGTCCTTCAATGTCCAGAGGGGGCAGCCTCACCAGAGCATTAGTTTTCCTGACATGCATTGTGTGCACCAGCCGGCTGGTGGGAGGTGCCTCGCCCCAGGCATGTCCACATCCCAGTACATGGCATCGAAGACTGAGGTATCACCGCCATTTGTGGTGCCGCCCTGGGCGTCGACTGCGAGGGCAGCCTTTCACACTGCAACTCACGCTATGAAGAGCTGGCTGCATGGGCCTGACCTGCGTTGCAGCCTGAATTCTCCCGGCAACCTGGACAGTGAGGTGAGCCCACGAGAACTTCTTCTCTGTTATCACAGTGTTGTGAAGACATCTGCATGCCTTCGTGCCACGGCTGGCAATGGCAGAAACAATACTTGCATGCTGGGCGCTGGAACCCGTAGAGGCTCTTCAAGGCTGTGGCTTGCAAGCTCAGGCATAGTAGAGATCTCGTTGCCAATAGCCGTCTGCCTGAGGTTGTCACTGCTGTGTGAAGGGCGACAAGCGTGAACTACAGGTGTATCTCCTGCTGAGGGGCATCGAGTGGCGCCCCACGGGTGACAACATCGATGACATACCCCTCTGCGCTCAGAAATGGACGATGAGCACATGCATTGCCAGGTGCGACCTCAGCCAAGGCTGCCCTTTGCTTGCTATTATGTGTTCCTTCTGAAGGGCCATCTAGTAGACTAAGATGTTGATAGGGAGGTCAGTGCAATTCCTGGGTGGGTGTGATGAGCCTCATGATGAGCCAGAGATTGAGAATCGGGCATTGCAGGGGCAGCAGCTTGCATCTGTTGGTCCATTCCTGCAGGCTGACACCCTGCTGCTGGTCAGGGATGCGCATGGCGGCAGTGCGCGCAGCGACAGTGCCGAGGTAGCAGGCGACATGTGGCTGCTGCGCAGCGCTCTGTGCGCGCCGGCCGCTGGAGAATGGCCGTGCGAGGAGCTCAGCGGCAAGGCGCGAGGGGAGCTGCCGCTGCTGGGCGAGGGCATGCCGTGCGACTGGCACAGCAGGGTGGAGATCGATGCAAGTGGCATCTGCCCACACGTGTGCGCACCTGCACCGCTCCCCATCAACTCTCAATGACTTGCATGCGCCTCAGTGAAGTCCTGGCAGCGGTGACCTACTGCAGCAAACCTTGTTGGAACACAGCCAGAACAGCACAGACTTGTTTCAGCCACCAACTTTTGACTCAATTTTTGATTTGGGCTGAATGGCATCTCTGCGATAGAGTAGCATGTTGCTCTGCTGGAGACCTGCTGTCAGAGGATGGCGTCATGAGCCATCCATCAGAATGCTGGACATGACTTGAAGTCGATGACTAATCACACAGCGCATGCATGCAAGCAGGTGGGGGCAGGCGACCTGGGCGGTGACAGAGATGGAGGAGATGGGCGCGGAGCAGCTGCGCATTCCCTCTGATGTGCTGCTCTGGAAGGAAGTCCAGGAGTGGCCTTGGGTGCCATCGGCTGCATTTGTTTGCATGCAATACAATCAAGAAGCAGGGGACATGTACTGAGTACCCGCTGCAGCTGAGCCCCCACAGCCGGCAGGTTAGCATCTGATCAGCAGCTTTTTTTTGTGGGATGCTGTTGAAATCCTGTGCGGCCATATTCACAATTGAATTGTTTGGAGAGAAGGGCTGAGAAAGGGATTGCCCGTGCAGGCATGCGCTGGCTGATGATGGATGATGGAAGTGTCGCTGCTGGAGCTTGAGCAGGCGCTGTGGGCGGAGCAGCCTTGCATGTGCACATGTGCATGTGCGTTTGCAGAGCACTACTGTCATCGACAGCCTGGCTGCCGTGCTAATGGCTGGCTGACAATAACCCTGACGTCGCCGCCTCTCATTATCTAGCATGTGCCGTGGGGGAGATATGTTTAGACGTGCACTTTCAATCTGTTTCTCCATGCATGTGTGCATGCTTGCTTCACTTATGTGCACCGCTTGTATCTATGCAAAAGTAGCAGCTCAGATGCGTGGCTCAGATGCGACGGACACATTTTTTATCTTGGAATTTAATCTGCTTACTATAGGAGTTACATGCAAAATTGCTTTATGCTGGAGTCAGGATCACACCATGTAATCACAGAATATTCAAGGCAATCGCGACAGAGCTCCATAACGGATCCGACATGTGCACACTAAGAAAACTACAATTTTCTATATATTATATATATAGCCTGGATCAATCAGACATATCATACATCGAGACGATCCTATACATGAAAACCAAACACATACTGGCACCTGGGAGTGATGTCCCAGCGCACAGAATGACACCGTGACATCGAATGATTCCAAAGTTTCGCCATCAGCTGCTCACACTGACTTTATTGTGCAGGACTTCAGCAATAGCAAGATGCCAATCAAGCAGCACGGGGGATATGGCATTCAGGGATGACTGCAAATACTCTGTTTACGCCTGCCTCTGAGTGCATCTTTGGGCTTCATAACGGCCAAGGCTTCAGTCCTTGCCGTGCCCCGAAGTCAGCATAGGAGTGCAGCAGTGCTTCAGCCGCGCATCTACCAGTAGGCAATGTTCCGTGTCAGGATGTATCGCTCCCAGGTGCAGCCCTCGGCATTCAGAGCCGCCAGGATATCCTCATCCAGGTCACAAACGGGCACTGGCATGCCCTTCATGCTCGAGTAGAAATCCTGTGCACATGTCATGCTGTGAAGCTCAGAACAAGTACTGCATCTTGACAAATCTGTAGGGTGCAGTGGCATGCACAAGGCCTCAAGCTTGGCCGGGACGTAATGTCTATCATGTAATTGTAAATCACTGAGAGCATAAGCCATATTAATTGCAAAATTGGGTCAACATGCACATTGGTGACATTGGGCAGCAGGAAGTCCACCTCGTACTCGTCTGCAGGCATGGAGTGACGCCACAGCGGGTCAAAGTCGCCATCTTCAAACACTCGATCGTCCATCTGATCACACAGAAAGCTTAGCACAGTGCTCACACTTTGAGCATGCTCTTAAGTGCCCTTCTGCCCAGCTGCAGCAGCTGCAGGGAGGAAACTCCACAGCAACGCATAGCGCATGACAGGCATGCAAGCAAGCAATTCTTTGGAATTGGACATCAGGTCAAGAACCATACAAATTCCTGCGCTGCCATCTCCGCCTCCACCTCCCTCCTATGTCGGGCGATTATTTCGTCATCAGATAGTCCTCGATCCTGCAACACCCATATGCAGATTTGACTATACCTACGGAGCGCAGATGATGGCTCCCTGCAATGAGATCTGAAGACACAAACATAGACCCTCGTTTACTCATTGCTGACTGCAAGGGGAAGTACCTGGGCTGAGCTGCCAGTAATCTCTTCCGCTGTGTCGTAAGGCCCCTCAAGAAACCTCCTGTGCACAGACAGAATATTTTGCATGCCATTTAAGTGCAACACTACTTATTAGACATACTATGCAAGGTGAGCAGGGAAGGGCAGAATCACAAGAAGCACTGGGACAGCAATTGGAGGTGCCAACAGGTAGCGTGCAGCAGAGGTGCACTGCAGCTTGCCTGAATTCTTCCTCCCCGTGCAGGACCTTGACAATACCATGCTTGCTTCTGACCTCATCTAGATCTCTGGCTGCCTTCTTGGCACTCTTAGTGTCCCTCTGCCTGCATAAAACATGACCAGCCTGTAAGCTGCAACTAGTGTGAGCAAGGCACTGCAAAAGTTTCTCTTCTTTTAGCTGAACACACCCGCCATTGAAGTGAAGGTGGAGTTGGTAATGCTCCAACACTTTTTTCTTGTTTTGGCCCTCAGTTTTGTTCTTGTGGCGCCTGCAGGTACTCAACGTGTCAATATTGCGACTATTAAGTTGAGGAAAAAGCTACTCTTAATCTCATGACCTTTGTGTTAAAGTTTCTGCAAGTGCCCGAAGTCTGCACGGAGCCTGGCAAAAGAACGGGAGGGCGTGATCGTACCGAGGCATCTTGGTACACTGCTCAAGCCAGCCCTGCAAATAAGATCGAGATCATGTTGGATAAATATTATCTGAATGGCCTGCTACAGCAGATGCTCAGACACGGTATGATCAGTCACTGTGCTTTTGCACAGCGCTGATCTACGAAAGGTCATACACGAGAGACGTTCAAGAGTTTCTGCTCTCAGATACCAACAGGTACGATCCCGAACTGGTGACAGGACGCATGGCAGGTTCCCTGAAGAGACTAGTGGGTTGGGTTGAAAGTTGGAAGCAACTACCTGGCGAGTGGCTCAATCCCACAGTAGCCTGCAGAGTTGCCGGATATCTGGATTACAAAAAATAGTGCTTCAATTGAAAAAGCGAGCAGCGAGGTCGCAAAGAACCTTTCAAACTTTGCCGACAAGTGAAAAGGTCCTCGCGTTGGAATGAAAACTTGGAGGAACGCCGTCGTTCATGCATTGACCAGTCACAATGTGACTCATCTCTTCACACTGCTCCTGGATCTGGAGAGGTGCAGGCAATGCGGCAATGTGGCGATTTGGCATCGTGACTATCAACTGACATTCAACGAGTGGCAGTGATGAATTTTTTCAAGCCCACGGCTGGTTCGTTATTACTGATGAGTTAAATGCTGCCAAGAAATCATGAACATAGGGGATGCTGTGCTAGATAGTGAGTGCCGGTCCATAAATTCCAGCAAAGACCGTATAAAAAGAATCTCTGAGAGACTCTTCGGGAAAGAAGACCGCAAGTCAAGTGGCCTGCTGTGTGAGATCACCGAGTTACAGGTGAGCTCAGCCCCCATGTCCTCTGCCCTGCTTTTGTGATCCTATTCCCTTAAAGTATACAGATGTGCCAGCTTGAAACTTTCCAAGCGTCACTGATTCAATTTGGCACACGGAAGTTCCTTGCCGTCTGGCTTGTGCAGGAGAAGAAGAATCAATATTTTGCCAAAGTGCGGGAAGGAACAGAGAAGCTCGGCACCTTGGATGTCGCTTTCAGAAACACACAGCGTGGGCACCCCCAGTACGCAGCCCGGCAAAGGCGGCTGAGGGAAGTGGAGCACGCGAAGCAATCAAACTACATCGAGTTCAAGAGGTGCCAGAAAGAGGTCGTGGATTTGCTCAACGAAAAGGTAGGGGAAGCAATGTAAGGAAATTGGCAAAAGGAGCACCTGCGTTTCTCTGCGAGAAAATGTCGCTCTTATATTGTGCTAAAAGTTGTGTGTCTCTGTTGTTGACAATACCTGCTGTTGACAGGACCAGCTTGAGATCGAGAAAACACAATGCAGGTGTGCCCTCTTAATCCACCCCAGCCAAACATCTATGCCGGCATCAAATTTAGAACAGATGCATAAAGGAATTTGCAGGCATGGCAGCTCTAGACTGGGCATTGTTTGGATTGCCCACAGTTTGTCCATCAGACAAGGGTGTTCTATGCAAGCTGTAGCCATATTGTATTAGACGCCTTTCTTTCGCCTGCAATCCATCTGAGCAAATGATTTCCGGGAAAATCCTCAAGCACACAATAAAAGTTCTCCTTTGGTGTGGATGTGGCAGGAGGAACATCATCAAAAGTTATGATATCATGGTCACGTACAAGCTGGATGATCCTTCGCAGTAAGACCATGATGTCAGCACCAAATCAGAAGCTTCCTACAGCCTCCAAGCAACCTTCCTTTGAACCCACCATGTCAGCAGTGGACAAGACGCTTCCTGCAGATCCCAAGTAGTTGCGGCCTATATAGTCTTGAGGAAGCATGCCTGGAGTCATGTTCACTAGTTCAAGCGATGCTGCAGGTTTACAGAGCCCAGCAATTGCGGCAGAGCCGGTGCACTTACTCTTTAGTGGCAGCTGGACAAGAATTTTTGTCGCATGCAAAGAATTGGGGTTTGTATGAGTTGCTGAAGGTCTCACGTTACTGGAAAATGTGTTATATGCAGCACTCTTGCTCCAGTGAGACATGCTGGGCATTTAGAGATCTCAAGGTGCGTGTAGGAAGATTTACCTGCGAAGTAACCAGTACTTCATACAGAATGTATCGGTCAATCAAAGTGTAAATGTCATGTGTCTGAACAGTGCATTCGTGAGGAGTGCGATTCCCACATGTCTATTTACTGAGTAATGTAAAGTCCCTCTCTATCCAAAGAGGAATTTTTTCTTCAGCACCCAATATTCAGAGGTTCTTTGCCTATTAAGTACACCTCCATGTTGGCTACACAAAGACTGCATAAAGAAGCTTCTTGTCTTGACGGTGTACTGTACCAACAAACGGCTTGCAAATTCAAGCCAGATCAGCAAAGGCTGTGCCCTGCAGCTGTACAAGCTCCGCCACAAAGCGTCTGTGTCACTGGGAGCATCGTGGGTCAAATAGCTGTCTGGCCGATCTTCTTCTTTGGTATGAATGGGTCCTTGTGCGCGCTGACAGCTGGTCAGAGCTGCTATCGCGCAGAGCGATGGGGCCTCCTTCTCTACTCTCACCATCGCCCGTTTCCCTCTGCATGCCACAAGAAATGCTGTGACTCGTCCTGTATGTCAGCACTTACTATTCCTTGGTAAGGCACCAGCTTGACCTCTGCAGAGCATAGCACCTGACACAACAGAAGGGATGCCTTAATAAGCTGCCTAGAGGGCACTCAAAATTTGAGATTCTGACAGTATAATTCTACCCAGTACAGAGCAGTAGTTGGCGGCTGTTCCAACGCAAGCAGACTCGCTTCTCTATTCCAGCAGCTGAATACTTTGTCTAACGAGGGTCTGTTTCCACACACACATACCGCTTTATCTCTGTGGAAAGCGATCAACAGGGAAGGCAGAAGCATTGTTGCAATCAAAGACTCTGATCGGATCTAGCAGGGATAAGCAGTGACTCTGCAGTCTCAAAACGTACGAACACACAGCAACCAGGGCATTTCAAGTGGCAAGGGAGACAACACGCACACCTGCAAGGCATCAAGGAGAGGCACAAGAAGCTGTCGGTACCCGACACCAGGAACTAAGCTCAAGCGACGTTCAGCGGCCCCCCCTGTTAGACATGACTGTCTTCGCCAGCTGCGCGCATGCGGGTCTATTTCAAACCTGAGGGACCAGTCACGTAGCTGCTGTCAGCATGCGCATAAGAGAGCCAGTCAATAGAGCATGTCAGTAAGCCCGCTCCTGAGAGCCCTCATTCGGTCGATAAGATATTTTGATGCCCTCATCAAGTCCAAGATGCACGCACCACTGCACGACTCACGATGCTGCTCTGGCTTCAATGTTGTTTCATGCAAGAAAGCCCATTGAACAGATTACCGTGTGAATTGTCCTGATCACCGACGATCTGTTCGTTCGACTGCGCGTGGTCTGGCTGTCCTTTTGGTATCAATTCCACTTCCAACTCTGGAAAGTGCCTCCCCCTTCCTCAATACCTTCAGCAACTGTACCAACTGACGGACATTGCGCTGCCAGATCGCGGCAGGCTCAAGTAGATGTCGGTGTTGCAATGAAGTGGTACCTCCTGCTGAGATATAGGATTCGAATGATATTATTATTATTATTACAGTGTCGGCAAACCCAAAGCCCGAAGGCCATAGGGCATACACAGAGAGTGTCTGCAGCCACATCTGTGGGGCCTGAAGGTCTGGTCTGCAGCCCAATGATATACCTCAACTATTCGTTGCGAACTTGTTCAACTCAACTCAAAAGACTATTGAATTGAGTTTTTTCGAAGTGTGGTCTGCAAGTGAACTACAAATATGGCCTGAATGCGTGCTTTGCATGTGTCTTAGTGTGCCTAGTTGGCGCACTATGAACAGAGACGGGAGGGAAGAAGGGACTAGCGCGTGCGCAGCTAATTCCCACCCGTAATAAAAAATGGGTGCCTGATTCGAGCCTTATGCTCGCCGGTGTAAATAAGAGTACCTGTTTTCTTTTTTCCCCCTTCTAATATCAAGGTGGGAAGTGTCCTTTTTAGAGCAATGAGACAATGGCATTGCCGCCATCATGGCAGGCAAATTGCTGCCATGGCCATAGAAGACCGCATGTTGAGAAAACGTGCGCATGCAGTGCATCAGAGCAGCGCTAGCGCGTATTTTGCATTGCTGCAGCTACGCCATAGTGAGTGTCATACTCACCATGCCTTGAGACATTGCTGCATGGACCAGAGAGCAGAGAACAGACAAAAACAGGAAGGGTGCACAAGGAAATAGTTAAGTTCATGGGCAGGTGAGCATAATTTGTCTCCTCACAATTTAACGAAGAGAGCCCTCAATGGCAATCCTATGTGCTCAGAGCATCATCCGTCATAATCGTGTGCTGCTACTTACTAATCCGCCTCCATGCTATATTGCTGAATCTGCAATCTCTGTTTCCTTGCTGTCCAATCACAAGGAAGGCCTGCAGGCTCAAGACACTGTCACCAGAGGCTTTGCTGTACAGCAAAACGAATTTGTACATGCGGTACCCAGACTTTCTTTCAGCCGCTAGCATTGAAAACATGCTGGCTCAACCAGTGTTCCCTAGCCGCCAACGGTTTCTGTCTGGTCTGCATTCTCACACCGTGTGCATCAAACGCCAGCTCTATCTTTCAGGCCTGAGACCTCTGGATACCGTGGTTGCCAAACAACATGTTCACCAATCCTTTGGAGCTCTCAGCTGAAGAGCTCTTGGGAGCCTCCATATATATCTCCTGCAAAAAGAGAAGACAAGCACACTCAGCTCCTGTACACACAGCTCTGCATCTGTGTTGACAAACCGCTACTCTGATGAGCATGATTAATTTCAAGCAAATCGCTTTCTATGACAGATGCAACCCCCTGCTCGCGGTGTCCCGCTAAGATTGCATGGTGGGCCCAGGTGACTGATGCCCCCGATGACAGGAGGATGATGGTGTTTGAAACTGGCGGGACAGCAGCCCGAGCACGGGCTTGCTCTGATGCGGAAGCGGTCTGGCATACCTTCTTGATAATGGGGCATGCCGGCCGTGCGATGGGTGTATACTGTTGCCTCGCCATGCTGACCTGCACATCATGGTACAGGTCCAGAACCTGCCACACAGCAAAAGAAATTTTATTCAGCTCAATAGCTACCTCACTTACACAATACCTGGTCATGTCTGCCTTGTGACTTTGCCATGCTTGCAAAGAGGTTCGGGCAGGGCAGAGCTAGCCAGCACCAAGAATTTTTCAAGCACGCCCTCAAAATTCTGCAAATGGTGAGTCTGAGAGCCTAGCGTTATTCCAGTTGTTTGACAGGACTTTCTGGGAGACATGGAAGGGAGCATCAGGCTACAGGCAAAGGTCTGCTCAAGAGACGCAGCTTCATGGCAAGTTTTGTCTTTTTTCTATTAGTCAATGGGGAATTTCCGCTGGCGGAAGGCTGTTTCAAAGTACTGATCCGAGCATTACTGAGCAACTTGCCCAGCGGAGTTGCATCGACTCTGTCGCGGTGCTGGTCGCTGCTGCGGCAAGCCAATCCGTTTGAGGAGGGGAGGCCTTGCATGGATTTGGCTAGTCAGTGAAGGGGTGGGATTTGAGGTGGCCTTCTGCTGTTTGCCTGCAGACACACCTTGCCTCTGGCGGGAAAAGTGTGCAATAATAACAAAAAAAATGCTAAAGGGACGATCTGCAGACCTGGTCAAAGATTGCTTCGGCGGCGGAGATGGCCAGTTCTGGCACGGCGGAGGGAACGCGCACGGCGAAGGCCGAGCGGTGCACGGCGAAGCTGAGGTGGCGCGCTGAGTCAGCGGCTTGCGCCACCCGGCCACCGTCGGGGCCGCGGAATCGCTCGTCAAACCACGGCACGTCCTTCCGCAGCATTAACATGACCGGCTCGTACCCCTGCGAGCGCACAGCAGCCGCCAAGTAAACAGCTAGGGCATTGATCAACTCCGCAATGAGGGGAGTCAATTCACCTCATACAAGAATGAGTCAGGCCTGCAACAGTATTTTTGCTTATGATGCACAGTGTGGAAAGGGTCTTTCTTTAGTTCCCTGCAAGATGCCTCAGGTGTGCCTCTGAGACGCGGTGCGCATGGTCTGGCAGCTCGTGCTGTCAAACACAACTTGGTTTGAGATGCATAGTGGCAAATCTTCTTGCATTGAATTCATGCCAGGAAGTAGACGATGACAGACAGTATGACTGACTGACAAGGGGTGAAGCCTTCTCAAGGTTTTGATATTACAGCACCTCCTCGAAGTCGATGTCTGTCTCCACATCTGTCTCTGCCCAAGCGCTGTAGTTGGTCGCCCGCACTGACAGCTGGCCGGGGCTGCCGTCGTGTGGGATCATGGCCTGCCCCTCCCGCAGCGCCTTTACCGCCGCTTTCTTCCCCTCTGCATGCCATAATAGATACCATAAGTCTGCCCTGTACGTCATCACTTATTTTAGTGCACTTTTGGTACAAAAGTACGAGTTGCACAACAATGTGCAAAAATACCAGCTTGACCTCTTACACATGAAGACGCCTGAACAGGAAGGCACAGCCGCAGAGACAGGGCGGCTTGGACATTCTGAAGTTTTGGGCAGACAAGGGGCAGTTAATCACCTGAGGATCTGCCAGTCCAATGGTTCAGATGCTGGATTGTCTTGATTGATAATGGGTCACCCGTGCTACCGTGGAGTCAAAGCAGCAAAAGGGGGGTCAATCAAGAGGCTTCTGGGTTCACCTGAGACGAGGCGTTTGGCAACGGCAAGGCCCTCTTCTTCGGAGGCGGGTGCCACGTCCAGCAGCGGCAGCACTAGCGCGAAGCCGCCCTGAAGCCGCTCCTGCAGCTGCTCGCGCTTCTTGGGCCGGAGCAGGTCCATCGAGAATTCTAATGATGGCAGCACGTCCACGTCCGCCATTAGCACCACCTGCGAGAAGATGGCAAGACTCCACTGTAACTCTGGTCCGCAAGGATTGGCCTGCATGGGAAGATGCTGTCAGGTGCTGCATTGTCCAGCCTGGCAAGAGGACACTGACGGCGGGCATTACACAAGGTTTGAAAGAAAGTTGACTGACTTGTCAAAGGACCGCCAACAAGTACCAGTATTATAGCCTCATGGCTATGCAAAATACAGTATATGTGTAGAGTACGGGCCATGCTCAGATCAAGCCTTCATGGGAGGACTGTGATACTGCAGAGCAGGACATGCCTGCTCCAAGCAGTCTTTTGTGGGAATAGTCGACTGAGAATGTAGCTTCCCCTCAAATTCTGCTGGTTCTCATGTGTGTATAGAGTGAAAGAAGCATCGGGAACCGGAGTGGACCAGCACGGGACCAGCAAAGAGATGAGTAGCAGAGCTTGCAAGCTGATCTGCAGGAAAGCAAAGTTTACCTCCGTTTTTGCGAGCTCCAGTGCCATGTTGCGCAGGGCGTTGGTGGGCGGCAGCGCTGCCCAGAAGGGGGAGGCCACCTGCTCCGACACCAGCTGCAGCTCCAGCTCGCATGAGCCTGCAGTGCCAGCATGTGCCTCAGTGGGCACAGCACATGCTCCGCACTTGCCTTAGGGGTGGAGAAAATAATCAACACTTTAATCAATTACCCCTAGTTGCCTGCGCGCAGGGGTTACTGAAGACTTCTAGATAGGTAGTTAGGTAGTCTTTAGTACCCCCTGCTGTGCGTCAGTGAGTGGGGTAGGGGCAACTATCTGCATGTCCACATGCTGTCCTAACGCCATACCTTGTACCTGCCCGCTCCTCAAAATTACAGAAAAGCAGTTGGCAGTGCAATATCATGGCGTGTGTATAGAAAAGAAAGCACCCATGCAACAGAGTAGCTAAAATGCTTTGAGACAGACACAAATGATTAGGTGATGAGAGGGGTTCGAGGTGCGCACTCATCGGGTCCAGGTCATCATAGAAGCGCGAGACAAGCTTGAATACGTCGCGCATGGTCTGCCCGTGCACTCGCTCGTCCCAGGACACAACGGATCCTCCCATTAGCGGCACATACATCACAGCCGCTAGCCGGCCCGTCCACGCGCGGCACTGCAGGTATAAGAGGTCCAGCCTGCATGCAACGCATGCATCACATTGGAGAACGGCAATTCGAAGCGCCATTGAGACACACCCGTTGAGGGCCATCAAAATGATGTTTGCCTGCAGGGTGAGAACCCTGGATACACCAATCGTGACATGCTTTTGCAAGGCTCAGCGGTGTGCTGAGCAGTTGGTCAAATCCTGGCCAGACATCAAGCCCCAAATGTGCCTAGGACACTTGAAGGAAGTCATTCGGGAGTGCATCAGGCTGTTGACATTTGCATGTCCCAACAATCTGCCACAGTACCCTAAAATAGTCATTCACTGGAGAGTCCAATGATGGTACAGTATCTTTGTATTGTATTGCTCTCAAGGTCCTGCTTTCAAGCCTTGGCAAGGGGGCTGCGCACCTCTCAATGGGCAGCTGCAGCACGAGTGATACTTCGTGGGTGATGTCATGCATGAACCGGCCGGGCTTCCAGCTCTGCTCCAGCTTCAGCTGAGGCAGCACATCTGCGCTCATGTTGCCGCACTCCTCGCCCAGCAGGAGCTCCGTCCTCACCAGAATGCCCTTTGGGGGCTGCGGCGGCAGCTGAGCTGGCGGCGGCTGCTGTGCGCCTGATTACAACACAGACATCCTCTCATAAGCGCATTTCTGCCTGCCTGGACAGCTGGACTGCAAGAACGTGTGATAGCAGAAGCCATCTGACTGCCAGACCAGCATTGGAGGCTTGCATGGAGCGCTTGCAATTTGGACAGTAAGTCCACATGCATGCTTACAAATGGTATTGAGCCAGCTCCGTCTCAGCATGATTGGCTGCCGCTGTGATGAGATGCGGCAGCCAAGAAGAAGGCAATTCCGAGAATGCCTGTATTATGCCAGAAGTTTAGAAGTCTAGAAGAGGCATGGCGGTGTGGGAAATTTATGCCATGGGAGTGCAAGGTGGGGCATATGCGTGCGCACCTTGGCGCAAAGGCTTGCCCTGTTTCCTGAGTTTTGTTGCAGCGCTTGTTGCAAGCTCTGCCACTCGGCGGTCCTGCACCTCCTTCGACAGCGCCCCCTGCAAAGAGAGGTGCTGTCTCATCAACTTGGCCGATATGCTTCACCATGCTTCAAGGTCAGTCATCTCAATGGAAACTATTGTGAAACGGCTCGGGATCCTGAATTGCTTGCCAGTCAGCAGCCGCTTAGATGCATGCTCCCCCTGACATGCATTGCCATAGATCATGAGAGGGGCATGTGTCATTACAGGGAGGAGCACACCTCGCTGTGCGCCCCTTTGCCCTTCGCCACATGCATGTGCATCCTTGTGCCAGCTGCAGCTTCATCAAAGCTGCCTGCATCTCCAGGGTGAACATCTGGTCGCTGCATGTCTGGCAGGAATGACTGGTGGCGGGACACATTATACATGTTTGCCTGCATGACAGGTAATCACATGAGTGTCTGAATGCCATAGGCTTGAATTCAATATTGCAGCACATCTCAGTCTTTATATTTTTGTCCTGATCATTGCACTGATGCAGATGCATTTGCTCCTGCCCCTATATTTTGGACCAGGTAAGGAATTAAAAGTCTCTACCGCTGCCAGTATAATGACAGTGAAGATGGCAGCGCTAGCGATCTTCTTGGTAGTGCAGATTCTTTGTCTGGGGGTGCTGCTGGTCCTTGAGGAGCCATTGGAGGTGCAGTCTTCTGAAGTACCTTGCCTCCTCATCCAGTGCGTTGCCTCAACTCAGCTAGCCTACCCATGAAAGGCCCAGCGCATGTTGATAGATCTGAATCTGTATAATGTGTGTCGATCGCTAATGGGTATAGGCTGGGTTTCGGCTCAAGGTACTGCAACTATAGGGCACATCACCGTGCAAGCATGACTGCGACTTTTCTGGAGCCATCACCCGGACGTGTAATTTTCCGGGCATAGAATCTACCCATGCGAAGTATCTCAAAATCTTATCATGTCTTAGTATAAAATTGACTGAGTAATTCACAAGCCATCTTGCATCATACTTTCTTCTAAGCAATCAAAAAGAAGTGGAACCTCGCAGCGGGTGAAGTCTTTGCAGAACCTGTGCTTCACTTAGAATGATAGGAATTTCAGCTTCTTTCATTCCGTGATCAGCGGTGTGATGAAGGCCTGACTCAGAGAGAAGCAAAACCCTCCTTGAACCCTACAGGCCTGTTGTGGCATGGCTCGACGATCTTTCCTGTACTTAATTCTAGCCAAGCCGAATACTTAATATGATGTTCTTGAAATACAGTTTTCCTTGATTTTGGTACAGTTCTAACCTCTAGCCGATCTCACATTTCTTTTGTTAGGCGATGGCTAGCCTCTTTGGAGCACTTCGCTCCACACTAGGAACCAAGCTTTTCATCAGTGGTGCAGCAGGTGCAGCAACATTGACAGCACTCCAGTCAGGGTGGCTCAAGGTAAAGAAGTCATGTTCTCACACATCAGGATTGCGTTATTAACTTGATGCTCACATCACATCAGATCCCGAGTCAGACGAGTCGTTGCTCAGCAATCTCCAATTTAAAAAAAGAGAATCACTATCGTAATTTTCTTGCATGGGCTACCTTACTATTTCGAAGCGGCCTGTGCTTGGTATCACAGGATGCCAGAGCTGAGCAGGCCCCACCTGCAGGAGCCTTGGATCCCAACGAGTGGAGGTCATTCAAGGTTGTCTCAAAGGATGTGATCACCCACAACACCTCTCGACTAAGGTATGAACCTCCCTGCTTGTCGAATTGCTCTCACAAATTTCTCAGTGAAGTAAAGGCCACTTTACGCTTTTGCTTTCACAGGTTTGCCACCCCGGACCCCAACCAGACAAGCGGCCTCTTTGTGGCTTCCTGCCTGCTTACACGCGCGCCGATCGGCGCCAAGAAGGAGGATGGAAATCAGAAGTTTGTCATCAGACCGTACACACCAACTTCTGCGCCCGATCAGAAGGGTCATTTTGATCTGGTGGGCAGTCCCATTCCCCTGCCTGTCATCCACTGCAGTCTGCAGGCCATTCTATATCCCAGCATCAAACTCTCACTGAGGCCTATGTCCTGATGAATTGAGGTGCATACTGCTGAAACAGGCTTTGCGCACGGGGCACTACCCTTGCATTTGCATGACATCTATTCAAGTTGCTGATGGCTGCAGAGCCCCAATTTTTGAAACGGTTCAATGCAGGTCGTCAAGGGGTATCCGGACGGCAAAATGTCAAAGCACATAGTCAACCTCAACGTGGGGGACAGCTTGGAGTGCAAAGGGCCCATCTCCAAGCTGCGCTATAAACCCAACATGAAGAAGAAGATTGGCATGGTGCGCTCATACTCAGCAACAGCATCAGGGGATTGTGGGATGCGAGTCTGCTTGACCCCACAGTGCACCCCGCATCTCGAAACGATATTGCTGCATCAGCATGGTGTCCAATCCTGATGTGTAAATTAAATTGGTCACCAGTGAGCACTCCGCCCAACTTAGAGGAGTACCTGAGAAAATGGGGCCAAAGAGATACAACCTGCCCAAATCCATATTGAGCTGCACAAAGACAAGATGGGGAGCTTGAAACAACAGCAAAGTTACTGATAGATGAAGAGTAGAGACTACTTGTCCTTTAATCAAGTACCTATGTGCCCTATGTGCTCAAGGACTCTAGTTATGTCACCGCTGACAGATCCCTGGATGCAGATTGCTGGGGGCACGGGGATCACGCCTATGCTGCAGGTGGCCAGCGAGGTTCTGCGCAACCCAGATGACAAGACAGAGGTGTCTCTGGTATTTGGCAATGTGAGTATTCCGCTCCTGCTCGTCCTGCCGCTCACCGTCTCTTGTGGCTGTCATGGGAAGAATGGTCTCACGCAACTGATTTGTGAGTGTCTTGCACAATGCTCTGGTGGCAAGATCCAACCTTGAAGATTGTCGCCTATACAGTCTTGCATGCTGTGCAGGTTTCTGAGGACGACATTTTGCTGAGGAAGGAGATCGATGAGATGGCGAAGAAGCACAGCAACTTCAAGGTGCGGTGCTGGCTTCCCATGTTAATATCAGCAGTCCCGTGATGCTCTGCTGCAGCTGGTGTGTCCCAAAGCATTTTGGGTGAGATGCGCAGGTATACTATGTAGTGGACAAGCCAACGAGCTTCTTTTGGAGAGGGGGCAAGGGTTACATCACTGAGGACACAGTGAAGAAGCACCTTCCCCCTCCATCAGATGTGAGTCTGATCCTGGTGAGGCATCATTTGCAAAATTGATTTGGCATGCGACACAGATTCTGGGGGCTTCCTATTGAGCAGATATGCCGGATCTATACTGGAGTAATCCTGTTAGATACAAATCAAGCGCCCTGCCTGGCATAAGAGAATCGTTTGCATTGCCAGGTGTGCGGACCACCTCCACTTATGAAGGCAATTTCTGGAGATAAAGCAGAGGACAAAAGCCAGGGAGAGTTGACCGGCACCTTGAAGTCAATTGGGTACACCTCCGACCAGGTGTACAAGTTTTAGCCACCCAATAAATGACTGCTGACTGGGAACAGCCCCTCCAGTGCAGACGAACTGCCGATATCACCATGGCTTCATTTATTTCAATTGGCAAGTCCAGATCATAAGAAACAGAGTGAAGCAAAGGAAGGATCAAGATTGGGTGTAACACGATATGGGGTTCTTGAGACGCCCCCACCTTTTGAAACGATGAACTGAGAACCCAGAGCATTAGGTTGCAGCAACATTCGACGGAATGATCGGCCTTAATATCTCATGCTGACATCGCCTTGGAAACGACATGTGAACTGGATATTACTCTGCCATCACCTGAGAATCATGATCCGAAAGGTGGGTGCATCGCTCCTGTATCAGTTAGCCACACGCACGCAAGCTCGCAGCGAGCGCCTACTTCTTTGTGAACCACGAGCAAATTATTAATAGCCATGGCACAGCTGTCACTGCGCAGAATCGCCGTCGGGCGATATCGATGATTGGGGTGGGTCCAGCAGTCAAGTTTTGGCTACTTTCTCAAATCCACTTCTGGTGGCAATGGACGCCTTGGCATCGTGCTAAGCACTGCCAATCAGTTGTCTGCCAGGCACTCGTTAAAAGGTCGCCGCCATGGTTGAGGCGGAGGCGCCACCAGCTGCTGAGGGTCCTGTTGATGAGGCACCTGTTGATGAGGCACCTGCTGGCACCATCGAAGAGACGTCTGAAGTGCCAGTCAGGCCTCCCAAGAGGATCCCGAAGCCCATCAGGGAGAACATGGTGGCACAGACGGATGCTTTGGCCGCAGAAATCAACACGCGCAAGGCCCGAATCGCGAAACTCAACGAGATAATCAAGCTCAAGAGGAGTGGTGGTCAGAGCCCACAGGAGGAAGGCAACAGGAAAGAGTTTTCTGATCTCAGGAACCAATTCAAAATTATTCTGGTGAGTTGCAAATCTCCTTTGCAATCGATCCACTTTTGATGGTTGCTCATCAGCCTTGATTTTTCACCAAGATTGCGCCAACCCGGATACGGCTCATTCAAAGACGGATGTTTTCTCCTTCGTTTGCTTACTCATCAATTGTCCTTGCCATTTCATCTGCAGGAAGAGAAGAAAAGGCACCAGGCGGAGCTGACCCATGTGGCCGAGAGGCGCAGCAAAATGAGGGAAGAGACGCGGCAGATGAAGAAGAATGCTGGCATTGGAGATGGGGGCAAGATTGACGATCAGGTGATGACGCTCGAAGCTCCCTTTTGCATACCGTAGCGTGGCTTTGCATCGCCTGATTGATGATGAAGTTCGAACGCACCCTGACTGCTTGTTACACGTGCATGTATGTCCTTTTATAGGTCCAGGAATTGGAGAACAGGATTGCCCATTCTTCCATGCCGCTGGCGGAGGAAAAGAAGGTGCTGGCGGAGATCGCAAGACTGAAGGCGTCCCGGACGACGTTGGCAGCTTTCGAGGAGCGGCAGAAGGCGTTGGAGGCGCTGGACAAGGAAGGTGACGCGTGCAAGAAGAAGGCACAGCAGTGCAGCGATAAGCTCACCGCCATCCAGCAACGCCAGGTAAACGTCGTTTTGTGCTTAGATCATGATTGAGAGCCTGAAGGGAACATGCAGTCTGTATCTATGTCTGTTTCTGACAGGTCGCCTCTCTGCTCTGTAGGACGTGCTGAAGAAGGAGCTTGACGAGATCAAGGCCAAGGCGGCGGAGAAGACTGCTGACGTCCCCACTCTGCTGGCTGAGAGGGACAACCTCCGGTACGTCTTGTTCTCCAAGTTGAATCCAAAAGTTATGATCACTTTCCACACTCAGGCTGAGTTCCCAGCAATCCTTGATAGTCAAACCCTCATGCTGAGGACAGAAGCAGGACCACACCTCCTAGGCTCTCACTCGTTTGAATGCACAAGTTGGCACAATTTGACACCGCCAGCAAGCTGCTTGCAGGGTCGGGTCATTGGCAAATTCTGGCTGGCATGCAATCTACGCAGGCTCATATTATCTCAGAAATATCCCCCTTGCTGGAGAGGATTTGTCTGCAAGGCAATAATGGTTTGGCATGTTGTATGCAGGGACATCGTCACCCAGGTGTACGCCAAGATCGTGGAGCTGCGGGCTGACTTCAAGGCCGAGAACGAGAGGTATTGGGACCTGGAGCACGCCTGGAGGCTCTGGAACAAGGCGGACAGAACCCGCAAGTATGCCCCTCTGCCCTGCTTCATCAGAATGCAATGTAGCAAACCAGGATCCCCCAGGCAACTAGGCAACTGCACCCTCGTAGTGCCTAGTCTGTATTAAGGCAAAACAACTATGTATTTGCCACGGGCTGGGCCTGTGCATGTGCCGCAGGTTTGGCCTCCGCTTCTGCAGCAGCCAAGCCCTGAAATGTCCACACCTTCATTCCCAGCAACCCGTAAATGGTGCTTGCAGATTGACAGCTGTAATTCACGTGGCATGCATGTGTCATGTTGTTCCGATGGCCTGTTGTTTTGTTCTCTGGGGAGCACTGTCTTTCCCCTTCATGAAGAGGGTCTGACCCGCCAGACCTGCAATGGTCATTTATTCTGTCTGCAGAATGCCATGTTTGGTGAATTGCAGAGCTCCGCAGAATTTAGACTTCCGTCATCTGTGTGAGGCCAGCTCCTGCAGGTTCATGTAGGTGCAGGCAGTGAGCCTGTCCGAGGCCCTGCCCACACCTCTTGAGTGTTAAATTATCTAATCACCAGTTTCTCTAAACGCCATCAGCGTGCTGCTCACTGAGCGTTGCGCCTCGTTCCCAGATTGAATGTGAGAGGTCTCTAAAAGGGCAGACCCCCACATACTGCTGCTTTGCCGATACACCGAGAAGCTCTTGGGGCCATTATCCAAAACAGCAAGCAGGCTTCTGCGCTGCAAGTGTGTATCTACCCTCATGGGAGCCCGTTCTCAGTAGCTGTGTTAAACTAAGGAAAAATGGCGTTCTTGCGCGCCCTGCTGTGTGTTCAATTCTCTCACACATGTGCTGTGCTGTTGCAGGCAGGAGGCCTATCTGAAGGAGAAAGAGGAGGCTGACAAGGAGCGTGCGAAGGAGGACGCCTTCGTGACCGGCGACTTCTTCCATGAGGAGGTGCGCAGCTGCAGGCACTTGCAAGCTGTCAAAGTCAATTCCTTCCCAACACTGCGCCACACGCTCCAAAGGTTTTGGCCATCTAGTCTTTTCTGACAAGCCGCATAGGATGTTGCTGATCGATGTCGACCTAATTGATGAGTGGGTCGACATGGTTGGTGATGAGGGGATTGACAATGATGGGTGATTGCAAAGAGCTCATCCTCTCGGCATGTAGAGGAATAACGGATGCAAATGATCAGCTCGTTTGTGTGAGCAGCACATTTGCATTGCTGATGACAAGAGGATGGTCCGCGTCAGCAGCCGCTGAAATCCAGTTGCTGTGCTGCAGATTGCCTGCTGCGACCAGCTGACGGCGTACCTCTCCAAGTTCCTGATCGTCGACGCTGAGACGGCTCCCGCCGATGCCGCGGCCACCGTGGAGGCTGCCAGCATCGACGGCTACAAGGTGGGACCACGTCATTCTGCCTCGATAGTCCGTCCGATGTAGAGGAGCGCCCTGAGTGGGCCCCACATTCTTCTGGCCAAATCTGAATTGAGCTGCAAAGACAGGTGCTGGGGATGACGAGATAACAGCAGATATTTGGATACTCGAATGAGTAGAGACTAGGATTTCTTCAAGCAAGTGCCTGTGTGGGGGCCTGTGGTTTCACGCTCTTCACTTACAGCGCCACCATCTCTGCTTTTCTGCCCAGTGGCATCAAGGACCCTCGGTGCATTTCAAATGCCCAAATGGATGTTCTGCTTTAGCAAGCTACAGGATGGTTAGGGGTACAAATGGGCAATATTATGGTGGCACTGAGCACTTAAGGTACAGTGCTGCAGGAGAATCACACAATCCATGAATCATCTCTGTGTAAAGTAGGCAAGGCAGACGAGGCATACTGCAGAATATGGGCAGTCTTGAGCATGCAACTGTGTGGGGACACTTTTGCTGCGGTAAACAAATCTGTCAGAATGCTCAGGCACCTATCTTTATTCAGGAGAGATCACCAGGCTGGAGCGCAAAGGATAAACTCTTGTATGTGAGCAGGTGTATAAAAGGAAGGACGAGGACGCTGACAGCGTGTGGGGCCTGAGCGCTGGCAAGAAGGGCGGCAAGAAGGGCAAGAAGGCTGCCAAGTCCAGCGAGCCGGTGCGCCCCCAGATGCCATGGTGCAGATTGCTAATGCCTTGCATAACTGGCGTTGCTGGGTCTTGAAACCCCATTTGCTAGGCTTCTGGTCCATTTAGATGTCCCACAGCGGATAGGCAAAAAAACAATAGACCATGTTTGCACTGCAAATACAGATGAGTGATTGTCTGGCAAGAGCACATGTTCAAAGGAAGCCTCCTGTCAGTGCCACAGACAACCTGTCAGGCAGACATGCAAACAACAGGGCAGATGTCAAATCAAACACTGAAAGTGCGTGTCTTCCTTCTGCGTCGATTGCGAACCTGTGCAGATTTGTTGAGCAATTGCGTGACTGCAGTACGGAAGATGTAGTTGAATATCAGGGCTATTTGGGGTATCCTGATCTAGTGGGCAGTCCAGCTCATCTCCTGATCCGATCGTGTTTGTAGCCACGGCATTTATGCCATGGAGCTTTGTCTTTTGGCATTCTGCCTAAAAGACGTGGATAAATAATGCTACTGGTGATACTAGCAAACTTAATAACCATAATCACTACCATTGCTGTTGGGTGTTGGTGTTTGGCGCTCGCGCTGCCGTGCATGTCTTGCATTCTCTGTTATCTAATTCTGCCTCTGCTGGTGCTTGCAGGCGGAGCAGAAGCTGACTCACTCCCTGGACAACATCCAGGCCTTCACCAAGCTGAATGTGAAGATCCCCATGACCAGCTCCGAGGTGCCAGCCGCGCTCGAAGTCATCACCGCCCGCAAGGACCACTACCTCAAGAAGCGGGCCGAGGTGCGCCGCACGCCCCATCACACTCACAGATTGCCATTCGTATCAATTCATGCTTGTGCGTTGCAGGCATCTCTTGATAGCTTCCCTGCAGCCTTCCCTGTCATGGCACTTTCTCCACTAATGGCATGTCAATTCCCATGGAATCCGAGTTTACAGATTATAGACTCATCAATGACGGGCTTCGGTCAAGGCTTCATATGTATCGCGTGTTCTACAGTAGGAGGGATAGGCTGTTGCCTTTTGAACTGGTGGGGCATGCACACATGCTGAGGCACAATGTTGTGGGCCCCTGTCAATAGGAGGGTGCTTGGACAGGACTGGTGGGTAGCAGACATTCCATGCAGGACCTTTACATAAAGACAGACAAGTGTGCTTCAATGTGATTTAGGAGACATGCTAGACTTTGTGAGCATCCAGAAGGGGTGCTGCGCAATGTCATCTACTGTTTATCTCGAAAGAATTGTGCATCAAATATAGCAGTTAGTTCAGAATCAATCCTGACAGAAATTACAAATGCCAAAGAAGGGTACCTGAGTATTGGTCCCCTGTCGTGCCTGCGCAGAAGGTGGAGAGCGGCGCCGTGTACAAGAGGAAGCACGAGGCCCACGAGAACGGCAGCGCAGCCAACGGCCACACCGAGACCAGTGCGCTCCCTCCCTAAAGCCCCCTTGACAGCGTCACATTTCCCCGCTGCAGTCCAGGGTCTTGAAGTGTGGCGCGTCACCGAAAGCCTCAACCTCAGTGAGACCATTTGGCAATGAGCGCGGACATGTCTCCACTTTTGGTCCTCCCGGGGCATCTAGGCTGGGAGAGGTTTATAGTGAAATACGTGTGACTCTTGTGATCGTTGACCGAGCGATTGTCCCTCAGAGCATATATGCCAAAGATCCCGCTGATCACCTTGGTTGGAGTCTCCCATTAACTTATTCACTGGCAAGAAATACATTATCCGACTCCTTCTCACAATTGTTGACTTCCCAAGATTTCTTCTCCGATGCAAACATCCCCAGATTATGCTCTTTTTGACTAATCGCTGGCGCACAGGCGGCAAGGATGCGGCTGTCGCAAATGGCGAGGCGAGCGGCGACGCATCTGAGGAGAAGGTGAAAATGAAGACCACCGTCGGCAAGGACCAGTCTGTGGAAGTGGGCCTCTCCATTGCTGGAGACCTTGAGGTGAGATCTGCCTTCAGGTCCAGTGCGAGTCATGTGCCTGTCTGCTTCCTCAATGCCCATTCTTGAATTTTGCTGGAAGTTGAACAAAAAAGACAAAGCGGTGCTTGTACTGTTGATGAAGTCTGCTACACATGCCACCTTCCTCCCATTATCGGCGCTCGCTGTGTCTTCATATCTGCGTTCTCTCTTGGCTTAATATAAAACGGAGAGACGTCTGCTTACATGTCTCCTGATCACGCGTGGCATCTGGCGGAGAGGGTTTGCAGGGGTGATGATCATGCGCAATGACACAAGCGGAAGGAGACAAGCATGGGGACTTCCTATGTGTATCACAATCATGCAGTCCTGTTCCAATTTAGGGCAGCTGCAGAACATGCAAGGACACAACAAACAACGGTGGATTGACAGATGAACAATAACACGTGGCTCGACGTTCAGAGAAACGCAGAGTTCCTCACCCCTGGTTCTCTTGTGTGCGCAGGATGACCTGATGTTTCCCAAGCTGGGCGCCAAGCTGGGCGCCAAGTAGCGAAGGCCAGCGCTACAGGGGAATCCGCGCGCCGCAACACCAAGTGATTCCCCTCACCGGCCCAAGTTGCAGGGTGGATCCTGCAGATGACAGCCGCCCAGCAGCAGCTGCCCAGGGGGCTTTGGCTGTGGCTCCTAGCGACGCCGCAGCGATGCTTTCAGTTGGGGAGGAACTGTTTTGCACTGTGTGCACCTCCTGCTAGTTCAGGGGACTCGTTGCTCTGGCAAGACATGCTGCTCGGCTATGTTGGTGTCAGGAATACACAAGACGCTGCTAGCATGCAAAGCGTACTCTGTTGGGTGTGAGACTTGCACGTGCACTGGGGCACTGCATATAATGCGTGTGAGAATTGTCGGCGTCAAGAGTTGGCACTGGTTGCATGTTGGGTTGGCGCTCAAAACAATCAGCACAGCGTTTCAGGTCAGGTGCACGCTCGTGCGGCTGGCAGTTTTGAGGGCTGCCTGCGACATTGAACAAGTGCTGCTGGGGAGCCCACATCATCATTCAGGTCTGTGGTTGTGCTGAGAGGGTGTAAGAGAGGTGGCGCATAGAATCAGCTTGTTAATGTGTTTGTCTCTGCAGGGCATAAAAAAAATTGACTTTCCAAGCACACCTTTCCGGCCCCACAATGCATACCCTCCATGTGGCTTGGGATTTGCTTCAACATGCTCACATGCCACACCAGAGAGGCTGGCCAGCCATACACTAAAGTATGATGGTATCAAGGCCAAGTACTTGTACGTTTTACACTGATCGGTACTTGCGCAAAAGGGCAAAGAATATCGGTGTGAAACCATAAAAAATGGGGTCAACGGCTGTCTTGTCATCATGACCACCAAAAGAAATGGGGAACAGCTTGGAGCACGCAACAAGCCAGTGCGCTGTTTTTCTCGCTTGACCAAGAAACCAGAGGTTTCCACCCCAATCACTGCTGTGGCTTGGGTGCTGTTGCAGCGCTGCCGGTGCCGCTTCCGCTGCTGCGGAGGATTCCATGCTGCACTTGCCATTCGAGGCTTTTGGGGCAGCGCCAATGGGTAGGCACCATTCCTCCCGTGGGTCACTGCTGCGGCTTAGGTGCTGGTTTTATGGCATGCCCTTAAGAACCAGAGGATTCCACCCCATTCACTGCTGCGGCTTGGGCGCTGCTGCAGGCGTGCCGGAGCCGTTGGAGGCGGCAGCGCGGCCGGGGAAGAGCTCAGAGGCTGCCGCGCCGCCGCCCTTGACACGGCCCTCGCCCATCTCGATGCTGGCGCGGCTGCCGGCCGGGGCCTCCGCTATCGCCGACAGCCGCCCCGAGCTGAACCGCTCTGCGCATCAGTGAGACGCACATCAACGTCAGCTCACTGCCTTAATGAGACGTCGCTGCCCAAAGCCGAATGCATTATGCAGCCGCGGAAAACCCAGCGTCAGCCGAATGCCCTATGCCTGATTGGCTGCTCGGGAAAGCCCATGCAAGGTAAGGAGTCTCGGGTTCTATCATAGAACTTCTATGTGACAAAATTTTCTAGCTGCAGCCCCCTCTACCTTCGATGTGATGCGGGCCCAGGAGGACAGGACGAATGGGCTGACTGCATCAGCTGATCGGCTTTGTGCACCAGTGGAAACAGCCCAATACATTGTGTCTAAGTCATCCCGTTTCACCCACATATCGCTCATGGCTGCTGGGCAGAACCCTCCCAGATACATCGTTCCGAAGCTCATGAGAAAAGGGCCATGCGGTGGCATAATGCCCTTCAATCCAATGCATGCCAGGGGCACTTTACCAGGACGGCTATTTCATACAAATACTGTACAAGCGATGGAGCCAAGAGTCGCACCAGCAGTGAGGGATGACTCGGTGCTGGAGGACGCCCTGTCAGCATCAGGTGAGTCAGCACCGGGCAGCGGGGGTGGCGGCTGCATGTCCTCCACCCTTTCGCTTACCTTTCTGTCTGAGCTGGGCTCAACCCTGCAGATCAAAATTCAATTTGAACAATGAACTCAGATGTGCAATTCTAAGTCATCGTCACGTTGCCACAGACGTGCGCTAGTGTCCACAGCACATGATATCTCTTCTTGATGACTCGCAGTCAGAGAAGGTATCTTCATACAGCATGGCCATGGAGGCTGCACTTCTGCACTTTATCTGCACACAAATGATTAGTGATTCGGGCTTGCACTAACGCAGTGTCTCCCCATAAGTGCAGGGGTATTGACAGTCTTGAAGAAGTGCTGGTGACCCCACAGAAGCTTTCCCTAGAGTTCAACCAAGGTATAAGGTGGCAGTGTGGACGGGTGCGCACGTGCGGCGGCTGTCGCTGCCGTAGTGGCCAAATTTGCGCGCGTAGGATTCTTCGCTGGAGGCCACCGCCGCCGGGAAGTGCTGAGAGATGCTCTCCTTCTCGCTGCCATGGGACGAATCGTCTCCCGTGATGAGCGAGCCTGCCACACCCTTCTGTCAGTGACTTCAACCCATTTATCTCAACCCTGAAATGTTCATAGGAGCATGGGAGCACCCGCACTGGTTTAATGAAAGGATGCTCTGCCGTTTGGGCAACTGCAACTTGCAAACAACGTGAGTGGGATATTGCATGCTGCAATTGCGCATGCAGAATGCAGTTGGGGCTGTAGCAGAGCAGGTCTGCAATCAGCCGATTGGGTCCAACAAGAGGTGCTCCCCGACTTGAGGGCTTTTCAGTGTACTCCATCAATTCTTATCACAATCAGGTAACGACTCCCACCTGCATAGGGGCCAAACTGCTTGGCGAACCCCTCCTGCGTGTGCGCAAAGTGCGCCTGGCCAAAGCGCACGCTCGCATCGCCAGCGCCGGGCCGGTGCGCGCCGCGCTGCGACCGATCGGCGTTGCGCGCGGCCGCGAGGGCGGCCGCGACCTGCGAGGTCATCTTGCCGGCCTTCACCGATAAGTCTGGCGTCGCCGGGCTCGGCACCTGCGCACATGGCATAGAATGGCTGGGACTGTAGTTTCATAGTCGCGGCCTTTGCCCGATGTGGCGCAGGAATAGGAGCAATCAAGCTTTGCTGCAGAGAGCTCAGAACTGCGATTCTGAGCTGCTGTGGACTTTCTTCGCTTCAGTCAGAAGCACAAGCACAATGGGAAAGGCTGCAGCATTTCACAGAATGGAGGAAAGTTGCCATTCGACAGCAGGAGGGTGAGAGAGTTCAGCAATGCAGTAGATCTGTGGTACAGAACAGAACAGAGCTGCTTCATCGCAGGTGAGGGGCCACGCACGTGCGATGGCCGCACGCCAGCCTTGACGGTGTAGTCCATGACGTCCGGGTGCGGCCGCCGTGGTGACGGCGCCGGCCGGCCGCCGTACGCCGCCGGGATTGGCTTGCCCATGTCTGCACCGGCGTTCTCTTCCGGCGGCGGCGGAGCGAAAGATATGTGCCGCGTTGCCTGCACATTGGGCACAGAGTGGCTGGGACCACGTTTGTAAGGATGGCCTTTGCCCAGTACGGTACTGGCACCTCAGTCCCACTGCACATGATGGGAAGCCCTGGCAAAATGTCATCTTGCACGATAACATCCCAACAGGTCGTATAATGAAAGTTTTATGCTCCTCAGACGGACTTCCGGCGACACAGCAGCTAGCGCCACAAACTTGCAGCGGAGCCTGCATCAGTGTACGAGCCAAATTTGGGCTCTTTTATGGCCATGAAAATGCTGAGCTTGAAGGCTTGCCTTCGCCTTGAAGCGCTCCTTGGAGGCGACTGCGCCAGAGTAAATTGCAGGGACCATCCTGCCCGGCGGCGTTGCCTCCTCAGCTTCCTCGGCCGCCGCGCCCTTCTCAGCGTCGCCGTTGAGATGCGAGGCGAAATAAGACGCCAGGTCGACGCGCGACGGCTCCTTGCCGCACTTGCGCATGGAGCACGCCTCCTTCCAAGCATCCACGGCCGCCTCCTGCATGGAATCAACCAAACACAAACAAGAATGGAAACTTCCCCTCCCTCGAAATGCGCGAGCGTTGACCAAAGACTTGCTTAAAGATTTCTTTCACAGCACGCCCATGGCCATGCAATTTGTGGCCTTTCATTTCGACAGAGCCCAGTCCGAGAGGGAAGGGCAACACAGCAAGGTCGCATACAGCTGGGTGGTGTAAAGAGGCACAGGCCAATGCCACATGTGGGCAGTGGCTCTCTTTGAGATGCAAGGGGGGCATGTGAATGGGCATGCACCTGCGAGTGGCGCAGCTCAGCGCCGAGGTCTTCCTGGTACCAGCTCGGCACGTAGTCAGGCTCGTCTGACAGGCCAACCACCTGTGCGTAGTCGATGTCCGCCACAATCTGCACCTTGCCAGGTGGAACATAGTCATCCTCGTCATTAGTTGGAGGTGGCCTGCACGGAGAGAGAGCTGTGTGAGGCAAGCTCTTCTGTGCTTCCTTTGCAACACAGCAGGCCATCTTGTCCTCGCGGCTACTAGGGCCTGTGATGCCTGATATTCTCTGGTGGGCATCAGAGCTGTACATCTCCTGCACTGCTCCTAGGTGTGCAAAGCAAGCATGCTGCTGCTTCCACTAAAACCTGGTCGGATGTGAAAATTATGCACCTGCCATCTTTGAAAACATGGCGATCAGTAACAGGATCAAGCTTCATCGAGCTGTACAAGCTCTGTGGAAACAATGCGCAGTAAGGGGAGGGAACGCACGCGGCACAGCACATGAAGCCGCCCTTGCTCTTCCCCTTCCGGTTGACGCCTGCGGCGGTTGGGAAGTCTTTCTCCGGCGGCAGCAGGTCCAGCACGATCACTGATGTGTCGTCCTTGAGGCCTCCATGTGCGCGCTGAATCGCTTTGATCAGCTTGTCCGGTGCTTCCTGCACTCACGCACATATTCAACTCAGAGCATGTCCGGTGCACTTGTTTCATTGCTTCATTGGTCTCATCACTGCAGCACTCTCCATGCTAGAATGGCTGGGGGATGCCTGGGGTCTGCTGTGCCGTTGCAACCCGCTGATGGTACATGCACGGGTTTTCTTCTGGTCCTGTGCTCTGTGCATTGGGAAGCTACACAGGTACATTGCTGCAGCTCCTTTTTTTGTAGAAGATGACATGCGCATTGGCATTAGGGTGAGGTGATGCTGACATGCATCTTAGATAATCCCAGAGTGATGCTCATGTGGAGGGGACGCGCGCACCTCCACGGACCAGCGGCGAGCCATGCGACTGACGCGAACCATCTTCTCGAACGCGTCCCAGACGCCGTCGGACGCCACCAGCACCCGGCCCCCAGTCTCGGGCACTCGCACCTGCGAGCAGGTAGAAAGTCAGATCTGCTCGGGAATTTGGCCCATTACACACCTGAAACAAGCCCCTGAGTGTAAAGAGCACCTCACGCATGCAAGAAGTGCATGGAGGCAGAGTGCTGCAGAGCAGGGTACAACTGAAGAGTGTCAAGCATAGCATGCGATCATATGGCAGGCAACCCTGTCAGCGCTGAAGTAGGCAAGCAGATAGCAGGGTAGCTGCACTTTCTTCAAGCGGGCTGAGTGGGCGCACACCTGCATGATGTGGGGGATGGCAAGCACGATTGCACCCACATCAAAGTCTCCAACGGCCCTTGACAGGCAAAGTCCCCCCGGCCACACTCTCAGGGGCCCCCACCCCTGCGCAGTTGGCCCACTTGCAGGCCCAGACCCTGCGAAGTAACAAATATTCGTCCATCATCATGATATGTTGTGTGATAAACATCCAGCTTTTAGACATTTAGCATCTATGACCTGCCTCATTTCGCTCTCAGACGCATGCTATTCTGACCCCAGTCTGCTTTCCTCGCTGCGCTAAGCTCACTGGGGCTGAACATGACTCTTTCAGCAGTACAGACGAGACTTACAGCCGGTATACTTGCACATCCGCTTGACTGCATGCGCAATGCGTGGAGCCCATGCAGCGCTCAAGAGATTGATTGGGACACTTTACATTGCTGCCAGCTATTCACACTTGAAGGATCAACAAGCAGAGAATCCAAGCCTGCAATGCAATGCAAGCAGTACACACTCGATGCGCACCTGAGACGTCGATGGGAGCGACGAGCGCGCCGGTGCCCTCCAGTCGATGGCGTTCCTGGCGGTGCGTGGCCACACGGTGGTCCACGCTAAGCTGCACAATCTCCGCTCCAGTATCCAGCACTGCGCGCGAGTCGCCCAGGCCCGCTATTGTGAGCAGCCACCCGCACTGCAAGCACACCAGCCGATAGGTTGGAATTGGGATGTTCGCATGTATCTGTTGACTGAGTTCCGCTGATGAATTTGACAATTCTGATCTGTCACCCTTCAATGGTGGTGCAGCTTTCTATGTCTGCAATGCAGCACATAGGTGTGCTGATGCCTTACACCAGCTTGCATCCCAATGCGTTGAGTTTCTGCTGTGCCTCAGGTGCCGGAAATTCTTAGGCCATACAAGATCCAGCATGCAGCCCAGCATGAGCCGGCAGCATGAAATGCAGACATTTTTGGCCAATTACATTGAATAAGGGCCATTGGACATCTTCACCTGTATTATGATGGTCACGGTGGTCCCGGCAGTGTGGCCGGTGCAGGCAAAGGTAGCCTGCACCTCATCCAGCGCGCACACCAGCGCTTGCTGCAGCTGCTCCCTCCACGTCACATATTCCTCCCCGCTGTCCTCCGCCGGCGGCTTGCCAGGCGGCAGGAGGGGCTCCAAAACCTGTGCGCATGTGCCACCCGCCTCGTCAGCTTTTCACTAACTAGTTACGTATGTATTGACCAAGAAGAGTAAGGCGTCAGCGTAAACTTCACCTCCGTCCCCCACCATCATATCCGCTGTTACAACCCGACATGAAACGATTGCGATAACAGACCTGTCTGCGCTGCATGCCTATCCCAGTCCCTCTGTCACAATGGCACGGTGGCGGTACTGCATGCTCTGTACTGAGTTTCAGGCCTGGGGCTGTTATTTTAAGGGTGAAGGCTCTTCCTCAATTGTGCCCAGACCATGGGTGCAATACTGTTCTCAGTGCTCACACCCATCCTGCACTGGTTTGAGGTCCTTGAGAGGTGTGTTTCTCCAGAATTGAATGCTATACAGACGCTGTTTGCCCAAGTGTCCAGAATGGCTGTCATGGCTCGCTGCAATTCATGTCTGCTAGGATTCATTGAGGATAAAAGAGGAGCTTGGAAGCATGGCTGTCAAGTGAAAGATGAGCTCCACAGGACGCACCTCGCAAAGAGTATCGTGTATGTGTTGCGCCGCTGCAACGCCATTGTGCCCATCAAAGACGCAGTATAGGCCAAAAGAGGCTGTCTCCTCGTATGTCAATTGCCTGCAGGTCACACAGCAGGTTCACAAACAGCTCTCTACAGGGCAGTGTGGACACTACACCTGGGATCATGGAGGAGTAAATTGAGTGCATGAGGCAAGGCAGCGCGCCTGGGCACTCCATTCACCGCGCCATTCTCCTTCGACGCTTCACCACCCCTGTTTGAACAGGCACACGGCAAACCTTAGACAATTTGAGTATTGCTAGGGGACTTGCAAGACCTCTGACACTGACAACCAGAGCCGCAATCTTGCACTTGTCCAAGGTGGCCTTCGTGTGTCTCAGTCAATAGGAAAGAATGAAAATTGAGGAGCCCACCTCGGACAGGCCTCCTTTGTAGGATCATTCCCTCTCTCCGGAGACACACGGTCCGCAGATGTCACTGAGTCATAAGGGGATGACCGGCTGAGGCAAGTCCTGAGGCCCTTCTCATCCCCGAAGAGAAGCTCAGCAGTCGGGAAGGGCAGATGGGGCTTCACGAGGACGACATCCTGCAACAAATACTGACTTTTATGGATGGATGGAGGACCGTAATATTTTTTAATCTCAATACACGGGGGTGCACAGCATGCCTTGGGGTGGGTGGTGGTTCACTTGCAAGACAGCAACTAGGAAATATGAAGCCACTTGGACCTAAAAGCGGAAATAAGCAATGTCACCCTAAGGCATCAAGATCGCAAAATTGATTTGAATTCGACGCGAATGCCTGATAAGTCGCCACTTAATCGTTGCGATACCCTAGCTGCAGATGAGACAGGCAAGCTTAGGAGCTTGTCCGACATTCTGATCTGAGATCTGTATAATTTCATTGATTGCTTTGCAAAGCACCGCACCTCGCCCTTGAGGAAAGACTGCGCTACTGAGTATCGTACTACTGGTTGTTGTGCTGCTATCTTTGCAGGTTTGTCCATACTCCAGGCCGGTATGGACTCTAATAAAGCTACCAGCTAAAGTTCCATTCTTACAATTATTTAGGCAATACGAAGAGCGCTGGTGAGCTTGTGTGCTTCAGCCCTGGCCAGCCTTAATGCCTTTTGCTTGCCTACTTACGACGACCCTGCGGCAATCCCAGCACTGCCTGTAAATGAACTCCCTCGGCTTTGACAACATGCGAAACCTTGCATTAATTTCGACGACGATCCCGGGCGGTTTCAATTGCTCGGCCAGAAAGGAATCACATGGAGCTCACGTGAATTCTTCCCATGCAATGCCAAAATTGGCTCCGGCTGCGGAAACGGGGCCCCCTCACTTTTAAGCGGGGCCCCATACAACACAGGCGGATTTATGCTAGCCCCGTTCCTACTTGCGTACTCCTGAACAGAACACTTTCCTGCGGATATCACCCGCAACAGAAAGTTTCGTTCGCTTTGGTCAGTTTTCATCGACAACACTCTATCACGTACCTGATCTGCAGATCCTCACCTAGTAGATTGTGAGAATTCATATCTTCCCTGCCTTGTGGGCGTGAAAGTGTTACAGTGCATTAAGTATCTGCTCCAATGCGATCTGCGATCGGCCCATTTCCTGGACTACTGTCCTCTCAGAAGTCAGCATCAAAGCCAGTAGTCATAGACAGCACAGCGTTGGCACTAGGAAAAGGTAAGCAGCTTCATCCATGCAAAGACAATTTTCCATTGGTTTGTCTGACTGCAAGGAACGATCATGCTCAGAATGATGCTCTGACTATTGCTGTCCCAGGTGGGCTGCCAAAAAGAGTATGCAGCGTCACTGGCCGGCGTGCTCTGATGACATGCGCCCGGTCCAGGACGCAGGAGAATTGGCCGTCACGCAGCACACAGAGGTCAGCAGCCTTGCTCCAGTCAGCTCAGCCTTCTAGCCATGGAATACAACATGCGCAGCCCCTCTCTTCTACAGAGCCAGCAGCATTTTCGGTCAGGACCACACGACTCGCAGCAGCCCCTTCAAGGGAGAGCCAGGCTGCACCTGAAAGGCAGTCGGGGCAAGCAAGCACTAGCGGCAGGGAGTTTAACAGCATGGTGAGCAGACGCAGCCAGGAGAAGCAGGCAGAGCAGTCTGTCGCAGACAAGCTCATTGATGTCTTTGCCAGCAAGACCCCTGCGGAGTGGCGGAAGCTGATCGCCTTCAGCAGGCAGTGGCCCACCCTTGCTGACAGGTGCAGTACTGTGCTGTCCCCTTGCCGTCTGGATGGCTCGCATCCTGTCACACCTCTCCTGACAGCGAGAAACATCAAAGATGTATGTGTCTCTTTACACTGGGAATGTATCGTTCTAAACGCCAAGGGTGGGCATGAAAATACCTCTCCCCCGCTTTGGATTGCTCCACTCCACACAGAACAGTCATGTCTTGTTACTGATGGCAGCCACTTCTGATTTCATGCAGTGTGTTTGATCGCCTGGAGGAGCGGATGGCCAGAGAGGCCGATCTTAGCGAGAAGTCAAAGCTCAAGAAACTTCTGCGCCGGCTGCGCAGTGTGCACGACGAGTTGACAGAATACAATGAGCTTCTACAGAGGTATTTTCAGCTTCCGCACTTATTGTGTGTTTGTATGGTTTCAAGCAAGCAAGGTCGCAGACAGACAGTTTTTTGGCATTGGGGTTGATCAGGAAGGGGTCACCGGCACCTTCTTCTTGATGTCGATGCCTTGCATGTATCAATTCCATTGTTTCAAACCATGGGAGATGTGTTCAAAACTCATATGCGCTCGGGCTGTGTACAGTTTCAAGGGAAGGGGGGTCCATGAATGGGAGAGCATCGTGGCAGCCAACCGGCCATCGTTCACCACAGAGTTCTTCGAGCATGCGGAGAATCTGGTCAAGGCTGTGCACGATAAGGAACAAGAACAGGAAGGTGCGTCGTCAAAATCTGCCACTGTAGGCTCTTTTCCGTGGCACCCGGCCTTGTGAACTTAACTCTGTCATACTAATCCTCTGGGAATATCCCTGAAATGTTGCAATGACTGTGGACGCACGCTGTTTTCTGAAGGATTCTGGCCCTCATGACGTATAAGTAATCATGGGAGACCAATGCATGCACTGTGCTGCAGAGATGGCAGAGCGGGTGACAAAGATTCTGGCATTGGTTACTGCTTATGATGAGGTTAGTGCCAATAAAGCAGCCATGGAGGACGCTGCGCTGCAATTTGATGGTCTCCTGCAGGTTGGTGCAAGCATGAGGCCTTGCATGCAAGCAGTTAGTGAAGACCGCATTGAGTCATTGCATGAGCACTTGATGGAACCATAAAGGTTCTGAGCATGTGGGGAGTTGAGCAGGTTGTGATGCACATGATTGCAGTGACTTCTTGTTGTTCAGCGGGGCTCATGCATTGTCTGCTGAACTGCCAGAGCAATAATTTTAGCTGTGCGCTGTCAGTGTACTGCTTGCTTGACTGCCAGGGCATTGACTGTAGCTGTCACATGTGAGCGATTATGTGTGTGATGTGCTGTGCAGGTGGGCAGTCTCGAGGAGGCAGACACCAAAATTGATGATCTGGCAGCCACCGGGAAGCTGGACCCGGCCCTACTTCTCACAATGGCGAAGGCATATGCAGCGGCGAAGGAGACCGATAAAACCCAGGAAGAAGTCAAGGATATCATGGCCCACCTGTACTTCAAGGTGAGGCTCTCTTGCCTCTCGTGCGATGTCAGCGCATTGAGCCATGAGGACATTTGTTTGCTGCATGTCCGGATGATCTGAAGGGCCTCCTTGCACTTCTTCCAAATTGCGAGCTGTAGATCGCTATGAGGAATATTTATTGCTGCATGGAGGTGTGGAGTGCATGTGTTGAGGTCTGCTTGGGTCCTGCTCAAGCATCCGTGTCCTGGCCTATTTCATGGGTCGAGATTGTCTCTCTGCTCTACGTGCAGGCGAAGGAATCCTTCGCAAAAATGCAGCCCCCGGAGGTCCGCATCCTCAAACACCTCCTGTCGGTGGAGGACCCGCGCCAACGAGTTGAGGAGCTGCGCGCAGCATTTGAGCCGGGACCAGAGCTGGAGACCGCAACGCAAGACTTCCTGTCGACGTGAGATCACTCCGCATTGCCCACAACTTGCACTAAGACGCGCGTATCAAAGCTGTCAGGATGTCAGGGAGTACAGTTGCCTGTGGTGTGCACTTGCGAGCTAGCTTGTCCCTATCAGAAAGCATCACGAGCAGAAGATAGGCTGACGACTTGCCAGGGGCAAGACATCTCAGATATAACCGTTGCAATATGCAGCAGAACAGGAGAGCTGTGTCAGCGCCATCGTGTGCTGCCGTTGACCTGCAATCCATCGTCCTATTCCATGTTGCTGCACTAAATTGCTGCTCAGGCGGCATGCGCTGTGGTCTCTCGCCACGGATATAGCCAGAGTTGTACGGTATTGGAAGTCTCATAATGTCCAATGCCTGGCTGTGCAGCACGCCGGAGAAGCTCTTGGGGACGATAGAGGTCATTGTGGCTACGTATGAAAGGAGCGCTGGTAGCACCAGCATGGTGGGGCAGGCGGGGGCGCTGATGAACCCCGAAGTCATCACACGTCTCAAAGACATCCAGGCAGTCGTGCGGAAACAATTCACCTGAAGGGTGGGACCTGTGCAAACGTTAAGGCTGTGTGGGAGCCATTGCTGAATGCGGTAAACCGTTCGCAAGTTGTTGACGGTATATTTGTTGATGTGAACATCATCTGGTGCTGTAGTTGGTTGTGGTTGTTATGGCTGGTTGCAACGATCTGGTGCCAGATCTTGCAACCCGCCACCTAGTGCTATGCACACATCGGACACTCCATATTCCTTGCATGTGCGCGAGCTCAGCTAGGCGACAAATGTTGCACACTTGGGAAATTGGATATCGATATCGCAAGTTCGAAAAACCTTGTTGAACACGTACACGTAGTAAAACCCACGGCTGAGGGCCTGATGGAGGTCTTCACTGGGGATCTGCGCTGCTGGGATGAGGTGTGTGGCCGCCGGTGCTGCAGCCACTGCCCGAAGCTTCCAGGCGAGGATCTCTTAATTATTTTGCCACCTCTTGTGGAAACCCTCTGGCTGTGTGGGTGTGCGCTGCAGCTGCACTGGTGGCTTGCAGAAACGTTTACTATGGTGACTGACTTTCACAGAGACTCCCATCACCAGTAAGTGATGATGTCAGCCTTCACGGCACCATGCCTTTGGCATGGGCCTGGATTTTAAGAAAGAGAAGGAGCTCCGATGGGAATATAAATGTTCTTACAAGCAAGAATTGCACAGCCACGGGCATCACATACTGGTGCTTCTACATAGAGCATATACATACAAAGAATAAAGCAAAGGCCACATGGACTGCAAGACATAGATACTGCAGATAGTATTTTCTTCATTGGAATTGTTCCTGCCTCACCCATGTTGCAACCACAAGAAAGCTATCAAGAAGCTGCAAGGACTAGGGAGTTGCTGGGTTATTGCAGCCCATTCAGGGAGACTGCAAATGGCTCTAGCTTGCCTTCATCTATCATCTCACATGTGCATCAGGCCTGGACAAGTGGGCTTCTCACTGTGACTGTGCGCCAGTAGATTCGGCTCTCCATCAGTGCTGGCTCTCAGTCCAGGCTTGCCTAGGGCAGCTTGCCCTTGCTACGGGCTGGGAGCAGCGGCCGGCGGCGTTGCCAGCTTTGGCGGCCCGCTGAAGTCAGCCTTGTCGGTGAAGAACACTGCGCCCCAAGCACAAGCAAGTCAGGAGAAGGCTGCAAAATGCATGCTTCCACACGGAAGGCACAGGAAATTTTGAAGCGACAGGATCCATTTGCTTAATTGTTGCCATGAATACAAAATGTAGAGGGTTTGAGAGTGGCAGCAATCTTGAGAATAGTTCTGTTTCCCACGCCCAATGTCTAGATTAATCAGAGCTCACACTAGAGATCTGGAGCAAGCATAGTATAGAACATGATTGGCATATCTGCGGTTTCAGCACTGCAGCGGTGCACGCACCCTTGGGAGAGGCATTGGCTCTCATCTTCGTGCCCACCTCCAGAAGGATTAGCTCATTATTGCATGCCTTCAGCAAGGGCCCAGGGATGTACATTGTATTCTGGGGTCCCTTCTCCGGCCAGTAATATCCCTGCACAACGCAAGAGACTGGACGCCTTAGGATTGTCACATGCATAGAATGTCATGAGAAGACAGCCTATAGCCCTAACAGGGAGCACCGTGGCATCAATGCAATAATATTCTTTTCTTGACATCTGCTGCTCCGAGCAAGGGAGCAAAAATCCTGCTTGCAACAAAATTATTGGTGCACCGTCACATGTTGAGGCAATGACCCTGGCACATGACGCGTAGAATTCCAAAATTTGATAGTTGTGCACTCACCAGGTTGTAGCCATTGATGAAGGCTACTCCCTTAGCCCAGGAGGACTTGGCCACGTTCATGTATGTGTCCGGCAAGACCCCATCGGCATTTGCCAGGCTGCCGTCCACATTGAAGAAGCCCCTACAACATTGCAACCCACCAGCACTGTGAGATCAAGAAGAGATCCATTCAATGCCCTCGCTGCCTGACAAGCAAATGATAAAAAGATGGGAGGCTTCTGAGATCTAATGTGTAGGGGGAAAAGAGCGGCAGAGGACTAGTGCACAATATGATCAACCTGGATATTTTGGCTTTGGACTCTAACAAGGCTTGCACATGGCCTAAGAACCGGTGTCTCAAGATGATTGTGGTTCTTCAAATAATTATTGTTATTATTTTTACACGCCTATCCAAGCCAGATTAGGCTTAGGTGCGTCGCAGCAGCATTTCTATGACAGCCTTCCAACTCGGCCTATCTTGGCACCTTCTCCACCATGAAATATCAATAATAACAAGGAAGTAATACTCCACCTGTAGAAGGTGGGGCCGTCGAGTGCAGGATCTGGCACGGGCACTGGAGAGGCGGTAGTGTTGCCTGCCGGCGCAGTGGGACAGCGCTCACCCCCATCGCTGGGCATGACAGCGGTGATGGCAGGGAACTCCCCTGAGCGTGCGGCAGCCTCCATCTCCTGGATATAGCACAAATTAGGCTCTCATCTTGCATAGCGCTCGTCTGTGAGAGTTTGCTGCGCGATTTGATCAGATCTTTCATTCCCCTGTGTGTGGCCAGGGGGAAAGATGCTTGTTCCTGAGGATTGCATATGGATGGTTGTTTTTGACTATGATGATGGGCCTGCAAGTCACAGATGGACATGGCTGCATTCACACCGCACCTTGTTGGCATCACTACTTGCATGTGCATGTTGAGAGGACTCTGCTGCGATGTAAACCAGCAGAAAACCTGTGATTTGAGGAGAAGGAAGCCGCAATCACATTAGCAAGCCGCGCCTTGACAGTGTCCTCAGCCGCAAGGTTGATGACCGCCGGTGCCGGCTGCAACAGCGCATGCGCGCGCTTCCAAGCAGCCGGCGCGGCCGCAGCTGCGGCGGCGGGAGCCACAGCTTCTGCGGTGACGTCAGGGAGCTGCAAGCCCTCGAGGTTGTCCAGCGGCAGAGGGAACACCCTCCAGCCCGTGAGTCGTTTCTCTGAAATCACACAAGAGATCATTTGTATTTGCACAATATCTGTTGACCAACGGGTTGCACACTTTTGTACGTGACAAATGGCAGCATTAGAAGGACAGGATCGCCTGCAAGCTACAGGAAAGCTTTTACCCGCAGACAAGCAAAAGGGGATGGCAGCATTGAAACCTCTGCGACCAGCGCGGCGGAAGCGTGCATGCATTATCACAGAAGAAGAGCGCACTGTTGAGGAGGACGAGGTCGGACACAAGGCCCTTGAGGTCAAAGTTGTTGCCGGGGAAGTTGGCGCGCCCCAGCTGCATTACCAGGATGTCAAGGGTCACTTTTTCGCCGTTGTTGGCGTGCGACGCTCTTTCAGCCGCATTGTTCAGCACCACAGCCAACTTGCCGTCCCGCTCCAAGCTGCCCACGTACGCGCCGTCCGCCATGATCTGCATGCGCTCAAAGAATGAGTAAGTGAATCCCCTTAGTGCTGCTCCTCACAGATTCTGACTTTTGTCCCTTATGCAACGGCAGACTTTCTGTCATTGTGTCAAAATTCTGAGCGTGCGGCCTTTGCGCTAAAATTTAAACACGTGTGTGTGAAACTTGTTTATCAGCGCTCAGCGGGCTGCTTGCAACACGAGGACAAGGGCCAAGCAATTGAGGCAAGAGTTGGCGCACCACTGCCGAGTCGCGGACTTTGCTGCCGACATAGAGTGTGGTGCCGGCGTGCAGCTCTGCTGCATCGACATTCGTGCGGTAGAGTATGAAGCCGTCCCTGCGACAACACACAATGGTCTTCGAGTCGGTTGTCTTGGGGAGTGTCTATCTGCGCATTCCTACTGATCCTACTTCTTGAAGAGGTCTTGCATGAGTTGCAAAGAAGCTATTTTCTGGAACATGATTCCATGTGCAATAGAGACACCATTCCCTAAAAATTTCAACACATTCCCAAGAAGAGGCTCTGCTGAGTATGCTCCTTGGCTGTGCATGAGTCTTGCACGATGCACATGCATTCAAGAGCGCTCACCATTGACTGTATTCTTCCATGGGTTGGGGAAGCTCTGAGAAAATGCCGGGCCCAGACACCAGATTTCCCAGTTGACTCAGAAGGGTGCCTTGTTGGGTGAGGGCGACCTCGCCATATGACCCTATGCGAGGCCTCGCGGGTATGGGTGGCAGCCTCATCCCTGTATGCTTTTGAATGAGCTCTCTGATGGCCTGGCCTGGCCTGAAGTGAATGTCCAGACATCAATGAAGATCATACAGATTTGGCACTCTGACCAAACCAGAAGGCCCTGCCAGCTGCCGGCTGACAATTGTTAGCACACCAAAAACAAATCAGCAAAGCATGTGCAATCTTCAAGCGAGCATGCATGGCAAAGAAAAGTATCCTGAAATCAAAATCACAGTCCATACATTGAGTAGGTCCTGCGCACCAGAAACTTATTGGGGGGCCCATGCTGGGGAGGTCCGGTGCCAGGCTGGCCATAATCGCCTGCCTCGCTGATTGGCGCGTCATAATCGTACGACGTGAGCACAGGGCCCCAGGTCATGGAAGATTCAAGCTTGCCTTCTGTGTACTCTACCGGGTCGTTTTGTCTACCATCAACGGGGTCCTCTTGGCCACCTACACGCCAGCAAAGATACATGTATCTTTGTAAAGTGAATATTGTTTAAGTCGCGGATTGTGTGCTCACTGTCAAGACTTCATTGAGTCCATCAAAGGACTGACAATGTTTGCCGGATATGTTCTGCCGGAACAATCACCCTCACTCATCGCCTTCACGGATCCGGATTCATTGGCCATGGTTTGTAAGAAGGACAAATGCAAAGGTCCTATCAACAAGAAGCATGCATGGAGTGCATCCAAAGATATCACTGGACATGAGACTCACCAATAGACCAGCCAAAATTTGTCCCACCATGGGCCATGTAGAGATTAACAGAGCCGGTGTTGTTGTTGTACTTGAGGACTTCGTCCAGTTTCTGGAGGAACAGTGGGAAATCTGGATTCTGAATATCCTCCCCCATGCGAGTTATCCATCCAGAGCTGCAGATCACCGTGACAATGCAAATGAGCTACGCGAGCCACATATGACTCTTCCATGAATAATGCACAAATGACATGATACTGCAGAATCATGTGAAACATATATGAAGAGCATGATAATTATATAAATTGAGAAGATGCGTGGTGAGGAGTTCCTCTATCCAGCGGAGGCTGGCAAACGGGAGTCTCAACACATTCTTTTTGGTCAAGCGTATCAACAAAGAGGAGGAGGTAAGGACGCACTAGAACTCCGCGCTGAAAGGGGGAGAGCCGCGCTTTCCATTCAGGGACGCTTGAGTCTCAAATGCGTGAGTCACATTTTTGTCCGGGCCAAAGTTCACCGTCCTGCAGGCATAAGCATGTGTCAATGAGAGAGTTTTTACAATTTGTCAGACATAAATATGCTTTGGTTTCTTGGTAGCAGACCCCTTAAATGGCATATGTCAGTAATGCAAATGGTAAGATATTTTTGAAGGTGTCCTGTTAAAGTGAGGTCAGGTTTGCCATGCCACAAGGAGAAAGCAGCGCACGTGAATAATTCTCTGCCGCTGAGAGTCCCCTTCTCAGCAACATCAACTGGATCAGCAGTAAATAAGATGACATCATCCCTGAGCGCATTCCTTGCCGTCTCCGTGATGTGCCTCAGGTACGTCTCATCTAGGCCCAGGCTCCCGAATTTCATTTTCGATCTGCAAGAAACAAGCAATTACAATAGAACACAAGTGAACAGCCTTGACCGCCTGGGCCAACTTTTAATCAAAGAGTTTAGCTTTTCTTGTCCAGAGTGTGAAGCAAGTAGATCCGGTAGTGACTCTCCATTAGGAAATTCTCTCACAAGATAGACAATCGCACTTGTATCATGATGATTGGTCCGCCATTGGAGTACAGCAAGGGCGTCATCCTGGGTAGCAGCTGGTTCCAAAATCGGTCCACATGCGCCAAGTATTGCGGGTCACTGCTGCGCAGCTTCATTGTGCCACCGCCAGAAACCTGTACGCACGACCCGGCACATGACATAAAATACATGCCCACACGGGCACCATCCTGAAACATGTAACTTGTGCTTACTTAATGAAATATTGGAAAAGCTGGCAATATGCATGCAAGTGCTGTTGGCAAATACTCAAGTTTTGCAACAACTTAGCAGAACTCTTGTGCCCACAATTCAAACTCTCACCAGAGAAGAGCCCAGCCACGCAGGGAAGCCGCCCAAAGTTCCACTCAGCACAGATGTAGGGCCCTGGGCGGAGAACCACCAACATGCTCATTTTGTGAGCAAGGGATATGAACTTTTCCACGTCTGCCCGTCCTTCCCAGGTAAATTCGCCCGGGTTGATTTCATGGACATTCCACGCCACATAAGTCTGCGGACACCACAATGGGAAGTTCAGTGTGAGGGTCTACCTATCCGGAATGCTGAAGGGTACAAAAGAAAGTCCTCAGGTGCAACTTCCACTCGTGCATAGATGCAAACATCTGTCGTGCGCACCTCAACAGTGTTGAGGCCCATAGCCTTCATGCGCAGCAGCCGATCCTCCCACTGGTACGGATGCACCCGAAAATAGTGGATCCTGCACATAATATTTTGTCAAGATGCCTTTCGATGCTCAACTCGGGATTTTTGTGTGCCTTTCAATCGTTGTCAAGCTTTACATGAGCGCACTGGAACACACCCGCCGGAAATAATCTGTACGGGCTCCCCATCCTTGAGAAGCCGGTTGCCCTCGATCCTAAATTCCCGAGCGGCAGCTCCAAGCAGGATGGCGGCAAAGACGACCAAGACGGCCGCCGTGAAGTGCGTCAACCTGCAGTATGCGATAAAACTACAACGTTTCCCAGTCTTCTTTTGCGTAACTGGATATTTGTATGATACCGATGGTGAGGGCTGTCCTACTGACAACCACCCAGTGCTCGAGAGCATCAATAAACGTGGAGTGCTTTTTTCTTGATCAGCGATAATTTGACGCATCGGTCTGCCAATTTGTGCTCACCTTGTAATCCTACACATTTTGAAAGATGATTCTCTACTCCAATCCCTTCGTTTTGCTTCTTTCGTTGAATAATCTTTAGCCGCAAGAGACAGCTCAGATGACTCCGCCTAGCCCTGCAATGGCGATGACGAAGCTATGTATTCTCAGGACAGTCTATTGATAAGGGTTGACATACATACTGGCAAATTCGATTGCTTTATCAATATGAGCTGATGATCAGGGGACGAAGGTATGACCTGCAAGGAGATCACGTTGCGGTTCTGACATTAGCTGCCGGCCAGTGATTGCCACGCCATTGCTGCACGGACATCATACCCTGTAAGCTTTGTTCCAACTTTAAGAGAAAGGAACAAATTATCAAGAGAGTGCGAATGTGTTTTAGTGAAAGGTGCAGCTGTCATTTCTGAATTGAGTGACGGCGATGTCCATTCGTGAGCTGACGTGTCGCTGGGTTGGCGCCAAACCCACCGTGGCAACCTGTGCTCAAGTTGAGCTAGAAAGGTATAGAAGACATGTGAAGTGGCAAGCAAGGGAGTGCTGCCCTACCTGCACTGCTATTTAATACAGCGCACAGTGTTGCAAAGCCCAAACAAATCCAGCGACTCAGATGAAAAGGGGTGTGTGTGTGTATGTCTGTGAGATGAGCAGGGTGGTCCACAACTGAAGTTTTTCAGCCTGTAATTGTTTCCTTGCATAATATTCTTGGGGACAGCTTTGGGTGTTGAGTAGTCTTGCTCGACAAGGGTTAAGGCTCTGTGACTGCCGCATCATAAGCGCCCAAGGCACACATGAATGACCTGCGTGCTGCCGCCATGGCAGCAGTGATGGCCTGCCCTCCATGGCTGCAGCCGTGGGTCTCTGCTGGCATGCTGTGGGCTCTGCTGCGCTGAGCCATGCTCCATCTGCTGCTGGCTGCGAGGCAGGATGATGAGGTATCCCGATAACGCTTGTGCACTGCACGTGAGCGGAGTGCTACGGGGTGAGTGACTGCTGCTCAGGAAACGCTGACTGGGAACAGGGTCCTGCTTTGACAAGGGCTGGCGCCAGTGGGAGAAGGTCAGCGGCTGACTCAGCGCCTCTGACATGCGCAATTTGTCACCCTGCGCTGAGCTGGCTGCTGAGCTGGCTGAGCGGATCTGACCCATCTGATATCATCAGCAGGTTGATGAGTTCAAGTATCTTGGCGTACTCTTTGGATCTGACACAGGCCTGCACATGGCATATGAACAGCTTACTCGCACAATGTGGGGTGCCTGGTCCCTTCTTCAACAGCGGTACAGGAACTTACGCTGTGTATCCTCTGTGCACCTCCTACTACGCTTATATCAGGTGTGTGTCCCACCTGCGGGGTCCTACGGGTGCGAGGTCTGGGGTTTTAGACGTCTCTCTGGGGCTGCTCAGAAGGCACGTCAGAGACTAGCCTCTGTTCATCTCCAGATCCTGCGCCAGATCAGTGGGATTAGGACTGATGTTCCCACTGCAATACTCTTTAGAGAGTTGCAGGAAAAGCCCTTACAAGATCTGTGGTTACTTCGATCAATTCGATTCTGGAACAATCTTGCTGGCCTGCCACCTACAAGCCTGCATAGGAAAATTGCACTGGACGATTGCAGGGATGCTATTGTGCACAATACAAAGAACTGGGCTTGGAGTTTACACAAGGCCCTGCAAAAGCTTGGGTATTCCCTAGACATTGCTTGCAATACTATGGATCAGATCTCTTTGGCCCAGGTTAGACAACAGTTACAGGGTCAATTAGATGCACACTGGGAGAATTTGGCCTTGTGTCCTAGGACCTGTGCAACACAAGGGGCTCGACTTTGTACCTATGAGAACTGGTTTGCTGCTATTCATCCCCGTCGCCATTGTCTTAGGATCTCTGTGTCTGCCACCACGCTTAGACTCTTCCTGCGCTTTCGTACTGGTTGTCACGGTCTTCCAGTTGATCAGGGTCGTTGGGGGAATCGAGTACCTCGCTCGGAACGTTTCTGTCACTTGTGCAACACTCAGGCCATTGGTGATGAACGGCATATTGTCGTTGAATGTCCTGCGCTTCATGATCTGCGTGCTAGGTATGACAGCCTGTTTAGGCCCAGTATTACCACTATGCGTCAGTTCATGTGGCAAGATGATCTTGTACAGGTGGCTCAATTTATCAGACTCTCATTAGGACGCGTAAACACTGATCTAGATACAGTGAACATCTAATCAGCCTTGTTGGCTGGCATGATGTAATGTTTCTCTCTCTCTCTCTCTCATCGATGTGGCTGTGGATACTCTGTTGGCAGGGCGATAGACAAGTCAGGGATGTGACGTTTGAATGGAATGCCTCAGCCTTTGATTTGTCTCACGTGCTGGCTTTAGGGGCAAGCATGGGGTTAATTGAATTGAGGGTTGAATTCACTTGTAGGGCAAGCTGCTAGAAAGCTCTGCAGAATTGTCAGCAGAAAGCGCCTCTGCAGGTGCGCCTGCAGCACTAATAAATTTCTTTGTGTAGATTCACCACCTCTCTCATGCCCAGTCAGACCTACAGCAATACACTTCCCCACCGAACAAAGCTAGTGCTGGAAGGGCTCAAGGCATCATCTGCTCTACAACCACCGGGCAACATGCATGGAAGGCATTAATGTAGTTATTCAAAGGTCCTTGTGAAGATGGGGTGGGTTATGCACCTGCAGACCCCACAGCTGCAGGGAAGCCCTTTGATGAAGGGTGTATCGGAAGGCTTGCCTTGGCCGCGATTTGGCGATTCCCTGCAGGTACATCTCTGAATTGGCGTCTGCTACAACACACAGTCAATACTGTGAGACCCTTGCTTCCGGGCCCTGCGAGACCCTGCCACAGATGTCTTTCCCACCAAGCCAATCTGTAGTCCGCGTAATCTCACAACATGTTTTACTTAGAAGTGCAGGCATCAGAATCATGCAATGCTTGTAAAAGGTTTAATCTCGGTGCCCAGATATGCACAGTGCAGCTCACGGTCAAATCTCGTTCACTCATCCATCCCTGAGATTTCGTTCTCAAGTGCATGCTGCGAGGTGTACTTGTGTCCTGTAAGGTGTGTTATAGCCACAGAAGACTACAGACAGGCCTGGGACAAGCGCCCTGAGAGTGCTTAGAAAAGTAGCATACAAAAGACCTTCCCTGCAGATACTTTACTGGTCAAGCAGCAATACAGACCCTCAAGAACCTAATTGCCTGTCTAGTGGAAATAATGGAAACTAATAAAGCAAGGTACAGTATGGCAGCAGTAAGGCCGGCTTCAGCAATGACCTGCCCAATATTGCAGCCCTGATTGACCAAAGCACCCCAACCCTACTAATATGGAAAAAATTGGAAGATGCTCCTGAGCGATCTGAGATCTTGTCCAGATCTGATGGTAAACTCCCACTGTCCACTGTGACACCATTGAGCCTTAGATCTACTGACTTGATGGCCACCTCACGTTGCTTGACTTAACTTCAGGAGCACCAGGCTGTTGCATTCCCTATCTCTCGAGATTCCTGGCATTTCTCCAAATTATAAAACACAATCACCCCAGGTTCGCCCCAAACATGGCACACTCCACTAGAAGCATCATCCTGCACCATGCTCACTGCCACAGATACAGCATGACGGCTGCAAGAGGATCACTGCTTTGATGCGCTGAATTTCTCCCACTCTGCAGATCTCCGGCCTGCGCACTGTGTGATGCGCAGCTGCCGCACCTGCCTGCCTGCGCTGTTGTCCATGGCTGCCTGGAGGCTGCTGGGGGATGAGTGTGAGCTGTACGCCGCCATGCCCTTGATGCTCACCTGCCAGGCAACGAACACCTCTTTATTTCATGCTCTGCTCAACGCAAGCAATCCAATGGTCATGCCTGCGCACTCAAGTGCTGCCAGGAAACACCATTCTTATTATGCTAGAGGGCAATTGCCTGCAGGTTGCAGGACTTTACAAGGAGAGCAGCGCTGTCAGGTTTTATCAGTGAATGCAATCAAGAAAGGCCATGATCAACCATGCAACATTTGATAGCCAATCAGAAGGCTGCTTTGAGTGGTGGCAAATTAACTCGAGATGACCTTGGCCAGTGACATGCACCTGTATGCTAGGAAGGCAGCAAGGCAGTGTGCATGGTCCAATTCAGAGAGAAGCTCACCTTGTCATCAGAGGCTGCGGTGGAGAACAGTAGCTCAGAAAGGGGCGCAAACTTGCCGAAGTGGCCGCCCAGCAGGCGGGCCAGCTCCTTGGCTGACACCTTGCCCTCGAACACCGCCGTGACGGCCAGGCAACAGGCAACATTGTCCAGTTTGCTGGCACCCTGCCCTGCCACAGCGCCACCGCCTCCATCTGCCCCCAGCCTGCCAGCTGCTGGCAGCTTTCCGGCAGCTGCCTCTGTGGTCTTGCCGGCCCAGGGGCCCCCGTGCACCTTGCTGTTGCGCCGCTGCCACGCTGACGGCGCATCAGCTTTTTGGTGCACGCCTGCCGCTGTGATGTCAGCGTTCAGCGCGCGCACGCTCTCAGCCGTCAGCGGAGCGCTTGTGTGCAGCCGTCCCTGGCCGCTGGGGCCCTTGTGCGGTGCAGCGGGCTTCACCGGGCTGGTCTTGCCGGCACCGGCACCGGCCGCGGCCGCGTCGGCTGGCGGTGCGTCCGGCTCCTCATTGCCGTTCGATTCGGCGACCCCAGGAAGCAGGAAGTCCAGGGGGTTGTCGGAGCTCGCGGTGCTGCCGGCCACCGCGCACTCTGACAGGCAGTCTGAGGCCTGGTCCTGGAAGTCCGGCTCGCTCTCATGCAGCTCCAGCGCGGCGCAGCACGCAGTCCAGCTGGCGGCGGCGGGCTTTGTCCTTGCAGTGCTGACCCAGTAGATGGTCTCTGGGCCGTCAGCCGCGCTGCTGCCAAGGAGTGGCCCCTGCTTGCCGCCAGCGCTGACCCGCAGCGTCTGCACGCCTGCCATGTGCCGGTCACCGGGGCCTGCTGCGGCCGGAGGCATCCCCCCTGCTTTGCTGCTGCTGCGCGGCTGCTGCGAGGTCTTGAAGAAGGGCGGCGGCCGGTAGACAGTCTTCTGGCGAGGCTGCTTCCTGGCCTCGCTGTGGCTGATCTGGTGGCTGGGGTGCCTGAATGTGTCAGCTGGCTTCACAGCAGCTAACTTGGGGCGGATCTGCATCTGAGACTCGATCTCCACACCTGACTCGATGGCTGCCTTGATGGTCCTGCGCGCTTCCTGTGCCCCGTAGGTGGGGGATATCTTGATGGTTCTCCGCGCTTCCTGGGCTTCATATGTGGGTGAGGGCGGCAGTGGGATCGGCGTGGCAAGTCTCCTGTATTTCTGAGCGCCTGTCTGTGTAGCAGCAAGTGGGGGCGGCGGCTGCTTGAAGGCTGTGGGAAATTTCTTTTCCGATGGTGACATCGCCGTGTCAATCATCGTCATGGGCAGCAGCTGCTTGGGAGCTGCAGGAAGCTTCCTGTCCACTGCTGAAATGGCGGTCTCAGCAGGCGGCGGCTGCTTGGAGGCTGCGAGAAGCTTCTTGTCCACTGCTGACATCATCGTGGTCTCAGTCACAGTCGCAGGAGGCGACTGCATGGATGCTGTAGGAAGCTTCTTGTCCGCTGCTGTAATGGCGGGTTCATCAGGCGGCGGCTGCTTGGAGGCTCTGGGAAGCTTCTTGTCCACTGCTGACATCATCGCGATCGCGGACTCAGTGATCCTGTTGCTGCTCGCATCGATAGAGATCTCCTGCTCCTCCCGAATCTTGACTGGCCGCAAGACGGGTAACTTGTCCACATCAGCATGCAGCGGCCCCTGCTGAGCTGCACTGTCGGTGCCAGGCTCGCCTGCCTCTGTCTCCGCATGCTCCGCATGCGGCTTAGCCTCCATGCGGGCTATAACCTGCACAATCACAAATTATTAATAGACCCCCTTCAATTTTCAGGAATGTAAATGTCTGCCAGTAGTGTCTCAACTGCTAGAAGCCTAAGCTTTACCAAGGAGCCAAGACAGGGCTAGGCACTGTTCCAAAATGGTTTAATGCATGCAGGATCTGTGCAAGAAATGCTCTGTAAGTATTGCTTAAAGCACTTCAGTCAACAGCGATGCACATGTGCAAAACATGTGCAGCAATAGTACCTTGTGCAGGCAGGTGGCTGGCTGTTCAGTGCCAGAGTCCCTCATGCGGTTGGAGCGCGTCTTGCGCAGGGGGGTTGCGCGGCTCTGGGGCTTTGGTGTCCAAGGCTCCGGCTCCGCTGTTGGCGAGTCCGTGCATGTTGGAATGAAGGGCGCTGCATCTGGGTTCAGGACTGTGCGCGCCAGGGCACCAGGAAGGACTGACACTGGCGTCGCAGATCCATTGTGGCTTGTCCATGAGGTGACAGAGGTTGGCATGCTCGACACCTGCATGGATTGATGCACATGATCAATGCATGATGGATTGATGCACATGATTGATGGATTGATGCACATGATCAATGCATGATGAATTCAGGACATCCAAATTATCTCCCAAGTGCTCCATGCATCCATCCATGCATGCAAGCAAATGTCACTGCACAGCAATATCCTGACACCCAGGCGTCTTATGGTAAGCATGCAAGGCATGCATCATGAAGATGCAATTGCAAATGTGCCTGCATGCATGTGTCATGAGGTCTCCTCCGAAAGCAGAAATTAGTGACATGTGGTCTCACCGGTTCAGAATGGGAGGATGCTGACGAGCTGGTGGCCTGAGCCTGAGGCTTGCTGACTGTTGGGGGCCGCTGCAGAACTTTCACTGGAGCTTCCTCCTTGCTCTCCTGCTCCCTGCAAGGTGCCTTGCTGCTGGGCTGGCCTTGGGGCGCGGAGGGTGCCTTGGTGGTGGAAGGCTTGCGAGGGGGTGGACCAGGTGGGGTGCGAGGAGGAGGAGGCCGGATTGGCGGCCCCTGGGGGAACATGGGGCCATATGCATGGAAGGCAGGCACCGGCATCTGGTAGCCCTGCTGCCACATGTGCCATGGGCCAGGCGCCTGCTGGTACCAAGCCTGCCCAGAGCAGCAACAGAACCCCAGTTCAATGCATGTGCAAGTCAGCACTGACCTGTGCAGACTCTTGCTGCTGGAATCAATCCATTGACATGACAACCATTCCCACTGCATGACTTTGTTGCATGACTTAAGTGTGACTTCTGATTGCTGTGATGATTGGCTTTGTATATTTCCTAGCTCCACAGGCTATTTCATGCAAGGTCAGCCACGTGCCTGCATTGTCGCCTGTCCATTGTGCAGAGGCCTTCCTGCATGTGGCAGCTTTGCAGACCTGCCATTGGGCTTTGGCATCCTCTTGAAAGCATCCACACCACGGTGGCCTCCTGCACGAGGATCCACTCAGCAAGCCAATTCTGCAAGATGTGGAAAGTGCTGCATTCGTTAGGGCTTTGACTTTGGTCCTCAGCATACTCAGTGCTGTAGAGCATGAGTATACAGCTGCATGGTTCCCTAGGACGGCTTGATGGCTCCAGAAAATCAAATTGATGCAGCAATGGTGCTCCCACCACCTTACTTATAACGCCAGTGTCTCTGGGCAGATTGGCAGGAAGAGATGCCCAGGAACTGGTGACGGCTATGGAAGCTTGCAGGCAGGAAAGCTAGTTCTGAAGTCTAACGGCCATTAAACAGTTTTCTTACCTTCTTTCAAGGTCGCCCCTACCGACTTTTGGCCTTGTGCCCCCGAGGTGCGAGCATCAGAAGCCCCAAGCCCAGAGGATTGGCCAGAGGTCGGGCCAAACGTGTACAGCGGTTGCTGTGGGAAGTAGTATTCAGAGGCGTGGTTTCTGGCCGGGTGTTTCATCTGATCCGACCTCCACTGATTGTAGTACCTCGCCATACAGGAGAACCGCAAGGGCTTGGGCTGACTGCGCTCCCAGGACGCGAATCGCACCGGATCAAGTCCTGCTGCTGCGCTGCTCAATTTTCTGCTGCTGGCTCCATCAAGGATCCATGCATAAAATTCGTGATCTAACATTTAGCGCCTAAGAACGCGAAAAACTGAATCAAGAATGAAACACAGAAGGCCCGGACCGCGCATCGCACAAAACACGAGCAACAGAATAAAATTGCAATACTCCCAGCTGTCTCTTGTCACGATGAGATCACCAGTACAATGAATTCCTTTCTCTCTTTTGAGGCAGACAGAGTTCCAGGAGCGTCTTTGTGCTGCCTTTAGACTTGAGCATACTGTGACTGGCCTAATTTGGACCGGGCTTGTTTTGCATGTGATGTGTGACATGCACTTGCACTATGACTCCATCAGACGTTGTATGTCAATGTAAGCCAGAATACAGCCAAGGGAGATATCAATGGTGTCCATATGGACTTCTAAACCAAGTCATGATGCCAACTCAAATTACCAGCACCGGTACTACCGTAAATACCATAACGTTCAATTGAGGTAATGTTAATGCCCTACTAGGCTGGCCTTTGCAGGTGCAGGTCAGTACTTAGAAAGTTGTATTTGACTGCCATTGTTCAGCCTGAAACCTACAACATGGTCAGGTCAGAACGTGTGTTTCAAAAGTTGTCAATATCGTTAGGCTGGTCGTGGCTGAGGCACTGCTTCAAGCAAGTTCACTCATGATCACTCGAGCTCGCCTGACCAACCACACAAATCATCTAAAGCTTTCAGGCTCCGGCCGGAAGCTCATTGCAGACGCCTGCAAGCTGCTTGCATGCAGATCCTTGGCCTGCATATAAACGGTCAAGCAAGTGCTGCAGAGGGCTCAGCAGCTTCCAGGGCTTCCACAATGGACACCACAAAGCCTTCCAAGCCAGGACTGTCGGGGTAGTAAATGCGCTTCAGACCCAACTTCTCTGCTGCCCTGGCTGATGTGCTCCCTGCAATACAGAAACCATCCATTGAAATCCAGATCAAACCACAACCTGAAGGTGTTGCAGTGCCTGCTTTGCTTAACAATAGCATGCTCATACTCAATGCCCAGGATGCAATATATTAGGAACGGAGCAGAGTCTGTCAAGTCTATTGACATGAAGAAGAAATGAAAGGCAGTGCCAATGCTAGAGGGGGTAGAAAGGGCTGTCTCGCAGTGTGCAATGTGTGCAGGAATCAGTATCCATGCCGCACCTATACAGGCAATGGCCACATCAGCGGACTCCTGATCGCCTACGCATGCCAGCCAAGCTTTGACAGCTGACGGCGACGCAAATGCCACGACTCTGGCTTGCTTTGCAGCCTCCACGTCTGCAGCAGGCAATGACTGCACCGGTACTGTGTTGTACGTGTTGAGCCTCCTCACGCTGAAGCCTCGAGCCTCCAGCCCTTCCTGTCACAGCATGACGATGGCAGTGAACATGTGAGCGATGCTCCAAGAATAGTGCACAGACCAAGCTTTACCGAGAGTGCCAGATGCTGCAATGAAGCCCAAAGGAAAGCTCAAGCTCGCCAGCACAGATATATGTTCCTGGTGAAATAGAGTCAGGGAGAGTACCTGAAGGCCAGCACCAGCTTTGGCAGAAGCAGGATAGAGCACTCTCCCTTCTCCTTCCAAGGGCAGCTCCGCAGATAAATGCTCAGCATTTGCCTGCACAATGCATTGCAATTACCATGATGTGAAACATTCCTGGTACTCCCAACATATCCTTCAAATGTCAGTTGAGTCATGCGACTTGACAGGCAGAGTAGGGTTGCCATGGACACGTGACGGCTACATGGCACAGATGTACCTTGCTGGGAGTGAATGCAACCGGCAAGTCTGCTTCTCCTGCAGCTTCAATGACTACTCCTGTGCCAGATCCAACCACAGCAAGCCTGACCTGCAACAAAATTTGGGTAAATTGCAGACCTCCTCTTGGCTACAGTGTCATGCACAGATTCAATGGGAGCAAATGTGGATCAATGCATGCACATGCATGCAATTGGGATGCATGATGTGCTGACATGTAAGGACTAGTCTGAAGAATGCCAAGCAGCAGGCATACCTGTGGCTTGTCAGCTTCCCTCCAGCCTTGCAAGAAGACAGAGGCAGACTCTGGAGAGGTCACAATGACCCAGTCATGGTCGCCGGCAGTCAATGCATCTGGCAACTCTGATCTGTCTGGGCCCACAGCAGTCTCTACCAAGGGAAGCTCCAGTACAGATATACCCCTCTGCTGGAGGCTCTTCATCAGTTTTACATTTTTGCCTCGCTCGCGTGTCACCACAACTTGAGGCGCCTCTGTGCTTGCTCTGCATGAGAGGTGTTTCCCTGCAATGCATGCTGGACTCAGCGCCGCGCATTTCTAAGCAACAAAACCCCATGGGGTTCATGTAAACAGGAATTTTGCGAAGGCTGCTGATCAAAGCTTGTGCAGTACTCACTCATGGACGTTTGCTTCCAATGACAGAGGGATTGACCGGTGCTCAGACGTGCACATGCACGTCTGCAGTTGCCTGCAGATCTAAACAAAGAAGATCTTGCTACATGATCCCACTTTGGGAAGTCAGAAGTGTAGCTCGTGCTTGCGTGTGCACAGTCAGTGAGTCGTGGTTTCTGAAGAAAATTCATAAGCACCATCGACTGTATTTATGTGGATATCTGCAGCTGATAAGTGATTGTAAGAAAAGGGACAATTTTTTTGAGCAGGTCAACAAAACTCGAGCACTCAGATCACTTTACTAATTGCGAACACCGGCAAGCATGCCTTCTGCACATCCCACAATAATGAGCCGTCACTTCCTTAGCGATCGAAGAAAATAGCTAGCAGACAATCGTAACATACAAGAATGCTGCATGGCCGAATTAGAATCAACGTTGAAGAGATTATCCTGATCAAAATCCAAGACACGATGAGGACACAGGAACGCCCTCTGATGGGTTAAATTCCTCCTCACCGCCAACCTTCACAACGGTGGTCACACCGCCAGACTCCGCCGATCTTTCAAACTCGAGCTGCAGCTGTCTTGTCGACGATCAGGTCAGATTTGCGATCCACATCGGCACTGGACAGGATCCAACCCTGCTTGTCTTCACGCACTCGCCTCCCTGGATCCCCCAGCAGTTGAAGCTGGCCTGGGGGACCTCGTCAGGGACCTGAAGAGGGCCAGGTGAGCTTTTATGAAGCACAAATGGACCTCGTGGATTTTCCAACGCAACGTGCACGAAGTCATCTGTCATCAAACAGGAAGATGAGACATGATTGCGTGGGAATTGCATCTGATGACAGGCTGAGACTCCACAGCACACGATGACGTCGACACAGGAGATTTGAGCTTACTTTCTCCTACAATTTGTGCAGAAAATCTTGGGTGTGATACAATTCTCCCTGTTCAACCCTGCAGGACAGAGTCACCCCAGCCAGTGCCTCACCCTCCTGCTCAGTGGCCAGACAGCGGCATCATCCAGTCCCTTCCAGTAGCAGGTAATAGCAACTCCTCTTTCAGTCACTCCACATCGACCACAACTGATGGGTGCCATAGGGCATCATGCCTGCATTGAGCCCCATCATGTTTTCGGGTCGCACATGTGCTTCTGCCCGGCCCTTCTTGCTTGTCAATCCTTCCCTAGGATTGCATTGTTATTACAAGAGCATGGGAGAAGTTGTGTTCAGATCTCTGCAATGTAAGGGAGCAAGATCACGCTGATGATCACGCTGATATGTCCTTGCATGTGCAGACCCACCTGAACTCCCGCAGATCCCAGCACCGCAGCCGCTGATCCCGGCAGCCGAGCCAGCAGGAGAGCAGCAGCTCACTCCAGTTGCAGCCACACCTGTGGCACCATCGCCTTTATTAAATCCAGAGGCAACCCCAGAGCAAGGGGCCGAACCCGGGTCGTCAGGGGGCAACACAGCGGCTGACAGCGAAGACAAAAAGAAGCCAACATACTATTTCGAGTTTGCCAAGCGCAAGTGGGAGACAGAGGAGACTTTCCGCCTGCCGGACGGCACCTTCTGGCCTCAGGTCTGTTGCATGCATTGAGATCATGCAAAGGAATCCAATCTCATTTCCAACTTTGTGCAATAATGCAGGCATCATGGAAAGCTATCATAAACCGCAAAGGAGCACTTTAGGTGCAGCAGTGAGAGTGTGGATTGTGGCTGGCAGGTGATAGAGGGCGTACAGAACCAGGACCACGGAATTGTGTATTGCAAGTTGTGCAAGCGGCAGAACAGGACCAATACCTTTGCATACGAAGGGTACAGGTAAGAAACTCCCTCAATCATCTCTCAATATCCTGCTAAGCCTGCCCACCACGCCACATGCATGCAGTTGGGATAATTGCCTGTCTGGCATAGATCGAAGTATGTTTATGTCCAAATGGCCTCCTTGTGCATTTTTGAGTGTTGCCTCGTGATGCATGTGTGCATCCCTCTGAGATCTGGAAGTAAGGCATCATGCATCCCTCACCAAATATACTATAAAGGAGGCAATGTGTGTGCAGGAAGGGGAAGCGGAGCGCTCTGGTGGATCACCAGAGCAAGAACAAGGAGCACAAGCAGCTCGTTGCAGAGATGGAGAGCGGCCTGAAGCATGTCATGCTGATGGCGGGCCATGCACAGCGCCTGCAGGGCAAAGTTGCGATTGTCACAGGTATTGTCACCTGATCAGCACTATGTAGATTGCTTTTTTTGTGGTTCCTATGGCCTGTGCACCACGAATCCCCAGACGCTGTCATTCATTCACGCTGTCAGGGAGCACCGAGTGTCATGTCTCAGATTCATGTCTCTGACTTACCGTCAGGCTGCTTTCCCTATGAACCTTCTGGGGAAGCAGCCCTGATGGGCTGCTTAGGCAGTGGGGGACTACATGTGGTGCTTCCTGCACATGCCCATGCCGAGATTGCGGCGTGCAGTGCAGCATGTTGATGGGCTGTTGTCACCGTTACTGCACAGGTTACTTACTACCCCTATTAATGTGACAAATGGGGTGTGCGCTGCAGGGGGTGGCAAGGGGATCGGCCTGGCATGCGCCAGCTGCCTGGGCCACGAGGGCAGCAAAATTGTGGTGGCTGACGTCGATGACACCGCTGCCAGCAGGCATGCACCCTCTCATCATGTTCAGTGCTAATGCCTCCCAAACAAGCTATGTTCGCGATCTTAGAATGCACTGCATCATGCGCCATTTGAGGAGCTTTCATGAACTTCTTATTGCAAATTGAAGGCATGCATGGCATGCAGTGGTCTTTTGCTCAGCAATCTCTGCCTTTTGGCCTCAGATATCACACATCTGCTTACAAGCGCAGACTCATCAGGCATCTAAGCTCAAAATACCACCCCAGGACTTGATATGCTGTGTCATGGGGCACCAAAGGTCATGAGTCTTTAGTGCCCTCTTGCTGTATTGTACTCCTCAGCTTGGCTTGAATTTCTCCTTGTGTGCGCCTGCAGTGCGGTGACGCAGCTGTTGCAGGAGGGGATCACTGCGTGCGCTGCCAGGTGTGACGTCACCAAGAAGACCGAGGTGGACCGACTGGTCGCCTACACAGTGCAGCAGTACGGCGGATTGGACATCCTTGTTGCCAATGCAGGCACGCCCCTCCCCTTCCACTTTTTGATGTGTAATGCAACACATCTATTGTATCAAGTGCATGTTTCATACTGTGTTATAATGCAAAGCAAAATTTAGCATGTTCAAGCGATATGTAATGCACTGGACCCTGAGGTACCAGGTTGACCTGCTGCATGTGAAGGCATTTGAAGGAAAGGCAGAAATGCAAGGACAGGCCTGGCTCGGGCATAGTTCACTCAGGCTTTTCAAGTGCCAATTTATCTGGAGCCTGCTATTAATAACTGCATGCACAAGACAGCCTGGCTGATGTTGTGCAAACAATGAGATCCTTGTTTTCTGAGGGCATCAGGCTCGGAAAAGTGAGCAATGTGAGGGAGCATCGTACTTTTTATTGACATGTTGCATGCTGCATGCAGGCATCGTAAAGAGCGCCGACTTCCTGGACATGTCCGAGTCAGACTTTGACGACGTCATCAACGTCAACTTAAAGGGGGTCTTCCTGGTGCGCTCTTGATTTTCCTCGCTCAGCAAATCATCCACCCTTGCTTTACCTACCACCCACTCCTGGACCTTGGGTAAGTCCCTACAAAATTTCCCATGGTCTACATTATAGCAATCAACACTTGTGCATTCTGACTGTGGGGGACGGGACAAATTCTGAGCACTGTACCCCCGATTGATTGGGTCTTGCTTAGTTCTAGAGAGTCCAACAAGAGGTGGGATTTGCGGCAGCCTTTACCTGCAGCACGTCTGCACACGCACCTTGCGTCTTGGCAGGAAAAGCGTGTGATAATGATAATTATAATGATGTTAAGAATGATTTTAACAATAATTGTCACTGCTCAGTGCGGCCAGGCGGCTGCTCGCCAGATGGTGGCGCAGAACAAAATAACTCCAGGACGCGGCGGGGCCATCATCAACATGTGAGCCTGTCAATCCATTCAACATCACTGCTGTACCTGGAGCATGCAGCTTCATCTACACTCCGTGTCAGCTAGCCATGTATTTTTTTTGCCTGTACAGCATTCCCTGAAATGTGTTGCTGCAGGTCATCGGTGAACGCTGTGATGGCAATCCCATCCATTGCAGCCTACAACGCCTCCAAGGGCGGCGTCAATAACCTCACCAGGCAAGGCCTTCCGTTCCCTTTTCTCCTTCTGTGCTAGCTTCTCTCTGCTCGGCAGGGGCCCACCTGCATCTCTGTCAATGCACAGGATTGCACGGACTTCCTGTGCTCTGATGCAAACCCGAACAAGCGAAGCACCAGTATTCATGCAGGATTCAACCTGCAAAGCACATTTTTGGTATCTGTGCGCTGTGGAATTTTAAGAACTGGTGTGGGGCTCTGTGCAGGTGCATGGCACTGGCGCTGGCCCAACACAAGATCCGAGTGAACGCCATCGGCCCTGGCAGCATCATGACTGAGGTGCTCACCAGCGTGGTCGGTGACAAGGTCGCCATGAACAGGTCCGCAGCCCTGTACCCGCCTCACCATGCCCCAAACCTTCGCTTGAGATCTCCTGCCTAACTCTTGATCTTGCTGGCCTGGGGTGATCTTGAGGTTGCCGGCCTGAAGTCACCGGTTGCTGTTGAGATCACTGCCCTGGGGTGCTTTAGAGCTTCCCGGCTTGAGGTGCTGAAATGGCCTGCAATGCCTGTTTCTGAGACAAGCGATCTGCTTGAATTGCTGTGTGTCCAGCATGGAGCAGACATGAGCTTACTGACATCCTGTGATAGCCAGTAATCATGAGTGCCACAGACGGTCATTACTAATTTATTAGTGAGAAGATCACTAAGCATGCATGTGTGGGGGTACCAGGGTGCTGTCGAGGACCCCCATGAATCGCATCGGGGACCCCTATGAGGTTGGCCAGATCGCGGCGTTCCTTGCCTCCGAGGGAGCCTCCTATGTGACCGGGCAGGTGCTGTACGCAGACGGAGGCCGCATGGCACTCAATTACACATGCCCTGTGCCGGGAGGAGAGACGCCTGAAGCGTCCTGATGCGCACATTTGGTATCTACTGCGCACTGTGCAGATATTCACAAAGGAGGGTGCACCATGCGTACGCTTGCTATATATATAGTACTTAATGATGGTCACGCCCCCGTGGTGCTGCATGCATATGCGGCATTACGTAATAATTATAACGTTATAACGCACCTACAGCTGTGCAATTCTGATGCCAAGAACCTTGGCCCAAAGTTGAAAGGACACATGTTGGACACTGTAACCTTCTTGAAGTGGCTCCACAGTGGCAATGCCTCACCTCATGTTCATGATCAAATTTAAGATCTTCACATGCCAAATCAGGAGTTGTCCCAACGGAACGCTCAATTTCGATTCTGCAAGAAATTATTGCTGCAAAAAAGGAATTTCTTTGCAATATCCCTCAACCATCGCGAATCTGCGCAATTATATGGAAAGGGCCCCAATTGCGAAAGAAACCAATACATCCATCAACAGTCAGGGCTGACCTGCAAACCAAATGGAAGCTCGAGAGCCTTTGGTGGACATCTCAAGGTCTGAGAATAATGCCGTCCAGGTCGACAACGGTGATGTTGTGGCCCGACTTATGGCAAGGATCAAGGATCTTGAACAGAAAGTCTACGGCAGTCACTTCCTACAGAACATATGGGAGGGTTCAGGTGAGAGTTGATCAGATGAACCCAGTGCAGAAGACCCATTCTGACAATGGGTACCATCAAGTCCCAGCGGAGCCTTGCACGTTATCAATGGTGATATATGCTTGTTAGTGGGAATTGCATACATCAAGATGCTAAAATGATGCCCAGCTAATATCTGAGGATCGTACAGGACATTCAATTTTAATTTCACTTAAAAATGCAACTTTTACGCACAAATCAAAAGTGAGCTTGTGACAGAGATTTTCTGACCGTTTCATACAGGGCTTTCTGACAGGGAGGAGGGCATTTTGACAAAGGTGTCAAACTTTCTGAGTAGATTCTCTAGAGCAGACCTCACCAGGCTACTTCTATTTGGGTGCGTAAACCCCTCTTTCTTTCTCTTGCTCGATCATCCTTGCCTGCCTTGGCTTGCACTGACTCACATGCACAACTTTCAATAAGGTGCACTAAATGCCTAATCACCAATACAAGTTCCTGTCTCAAAGGTCGTGGAAAGAGTATTGCTGCTCTGTGACACTTCAAGGCCGCCCTGGGATTAGTAGTCATGGGGTTTCAAAAACTACGTAGCAAACTTGGCAATATGACAGAGTGCCTGCATGGTTTGCAGGGAGGAGGACGAAGATGATGAGGCCCAGATGGGCCCACTTGGAGCCGGGGCAGGGGAGCAGGCGCGCAAACTGGCAGCGCAGGCCGTCATCGAGCTGACAGACAAGCTAACCAGATCGGAGCAAGAGAATGCCGCGCTCCGACAGCGGCTGCACTCGTCCAGGCAGCTTTCCAAGGTGCAGCCGGGAGCCTCTGTCTGGCCTTCACCCATGCGATTATTCTATGCGGTTAGTGAAGGCATCAGATGGGCAATTTGGAGAGCGTGTGAACGTGAGGGTCAGCTAGCGCACCGTTGGGGCAGGCTAAAGGGACCCATGCAAGGGGCATGAGCATTGAAGTGTATGAATGCGTTTGGGGCTGGCCGAATCAAGTTTTCAAGAGGCAGGATCATTTGTGACGCTGCATGTTAACAAAGGGGGTCTCGGACAGACCAAAATATTTGATGCAGGGGGCAGGATCATTTGCAGCGCTGCATGGGTATGCAATTCGGGACATGCCAAAGGAGTCCTGTAGGGGCAGATTGGTCGGTGACATTCTGTGTCACACATCAGCACCAAAGCTACGGTGTTGAATTCCAAAATAATCATCGATGACTAAAATGTGCTGAGTTGGCCATTTTGATATAGGTATTTGCATGGCTGGACAGGTGGGGCAGGAGTTGGAGGACGTCTTGGCAGAGAGGGATGCCCTCAAGGTGGTCAACCAGGAGCTGGCTCTGAAGCTGACCAGCGCAGATCCTCAAGCCGGCTCTGGGCTGCCGCAGGAGGAGCCTGATGCTTTGCAGGTGTGTGCGCGCATGCATGCATCCTCAAATGCTGCATCACAAAGGCCCAATTTTCATTTAAAATAATGCTGCCCAGTGGTGCCAGCATTCATTAGGATTACTAAAAGGCCATCAATTTCTCTGTAGAATCTCTATGCTTCTTGCATCCAATGTGCAAGCATTTCGTCTTTTCGAAATCTAGATCAGGCTTCATAATAGAAGAGCTTTTATGACAAGCTTTTCTTCATGATTTCAGCGAATGTTGAAAATTTCGAATGTATGCGCAGGGGTTGAGAGAGGAGCTGGAAGCCATGCAGCAGCAGCTGACTAAGGCTTTGGAGGATCTTGAGAGGGAACGCGCGGACTATACTACTACTAACCAGGCCACAGCAGATCAGGTGCGCAGTTTCGCATGTTAACTGCACTGCGCATTCACTGCACATGATCTCAGCGCCGATGTGTTGTCTGAGGAGGATTCGTCAAATTGGGCTCCCGCTGGTAAAAATGTATATAATCGGCAGCGTAAGAGACCATTATTGTGTGCCGTTCAAATTAACCGTCTTCTGTCTACTCGTTACTGCCAAGTTGTCAGATCCACGGCCTGTTCTCTGTTGGCTTGGGGGTGTTTTTCAAGCTTCAAATTTCTTTGGCTGAAGGCACTGTGTGCGTATGGTAACAGGTCTCAAGGCTGGAGGCCAAGATAGCAGTCCTGAAGTCTGCCAGCGCCGAGGAGGCTTCCCACTCTGAGAGCCTGCAGCAGCAGCTGAGCGCAGCCCAGCAGGAGTTGGCAGCAGCCCAGTTGCAGGCATCACAGACACAGATTGAGCTCACAGCCGCACAAGCCAGAGAAGCGGAGCAGGGCGCTACTCACCAGCAAGTGAGTGAGCGGCTGAAAACAACAACTGAGGAGCTGGCAGGTAGCCGTGCTGAGGTGGAGAGTGCGGGAGAGGCGTTGGCCGCTGCGAATGCGAGAGACTCGGACAAGGCGGCTGCCATTGAACAGCTGCAGCAAGAGAAGGTGGGTTTGATTTGAGAGATCAAACAGCAGGCTGCTTCTTTCCCGGGGAAGTAAGTTGTGGCAGACTGATAACTGTGCAGAGTATTGGAAGAATGACTACGTTGCATACGCAATGCTTGCCGGCTGGCAAGTGTGCATGTGAAAGCACAACTTTCCTTTTACTACTTGAATGCCAGGCTTTGCATGGCAAAGAACTTTCCCATATCAGTCTGCCAATAACTCTGTGTCTTCCAGGAGGGCCTTGAGAAGGACTTGGCGGAGTCGAGGTCTGAAGCACAGAGGCTAGAGCGGGAACTGGGCAAGCTGCGAAGCCAACAGGAGACACTCACACAGCAGGTGTATCCCTCTTTCTGGGACGCATGCAAGCGCAGCCCACAGCACTTGAAGAGATCTGTATATCCAGACTAGTCTCTGCCTCAGTCTGAGCAGCATCGCGGCCCGCATTTAGCGTGAGAATGAGAAATTGCGCAAGCGGATTCATAAAGATTGAGAAAAAGAGTGAGCAGGGAGGTGAAACAATTTTCCAGGTGACAGAGGTCAAGCATCCCTGCCTTGAATGTCATGTGATAGATTGCCCCACCTAGAGGTCATCCGGTTGCTGCATGCCACAGAATTGCACTTGCAAAGGTCATCTGACAGGGCTTTGGGTATTTATGGCGCAGGTGAGGGAGGCGCGCGAAGCACAGGCGGCGGTGTCTGCGACGGTGGCCAAACTGGAGAGGCAGTACATCGAGGAACGGAACTTACGGCGCGAGGTGAGCCCCTAGGGCACCCAACATCACAATCTCTCAGTATTGACCTTTCATCCATTTCCTTGCCCACCATCTGAAAAGACATCAAGGCATGTGGACGCTACGCCCGACCAGCGCGAATTTCCTGCATCTGCGAGATGCATTGGTCTGTGCAGCTTCAGGTGTGAAGGATTTGCTCTCCTAGTGTTGTAGCACTTGTCCCTGTCAAAATATTTGCGCGATCAACAAAGGCAATCAGAGCTGTTCTTGCGGCATCTGCAATGTAAACTTTTCCCCTGAGTTTATGAAGTGCTTTCACTTTATGCCTGGCAGGTGCATGAGGAGCTGCAGGTGCTGAGAGGGAACATCCGCGTCGTGTGCCGCGCGCGGCCGCCGGCTCCGGGCGAGCAGCCCATCCTGGCCTTCCCATTGGCCGGCGCACTGACTGTATCGCCCCCGGACAGGCGCATTTCAGACTTCGAATTCAATGCCTGCTTCGGTCCGGCCTCAACTCAGGTGAGAGCTTTGCCTTTTTTCTCATCTTGGCGACAACATACATTTGCACTACAACATGCAGATCGGTGCAGGAGTCTTGTATGTCAGCATGCTGAATGCAAAAGCACTTGAGAGATGTGCGAGGGGGGTTGAAGGGGGAGATTTTCAAGACAAGCTTCAGTTTAGGGAGATTGGAAGAAGGGAGCTTGGAAGGGGGAGAAGTTGAAAATCTCGAAGATGCAATGGTGATTGTGGTCTGCCTGTGACAGGAGGATGTTTTTGAGGAGATAGCGCCGCTGATCCGCTCCTGCGTGGACGGCTACAACGCATGCATCTTCGCATACGGCCAGACCGGCTCAGGTGCGCTAATATCCAACCCCCAGCCCAATACTGGAATCAGACTTTGTTACACATGCGATCCTGCATGCCAAGCTTGTGATGTGGCGCTCCTCATCAACATATATTGCACAAGGCAGGTGCTCTCGTGCAGAAGACGGTGTCTTCCTATTCTATGAGCCCTTTTGCCATCTGACCAAGCGAATTGCATGCTAAGGAGAAGGTAGGGCTTTGAAACCATTTAGCACATCTGATGTCATTTTCTTAATATAGGTATTTTTGGGTGTCGGCTGACTGTGGACGGTATGAGGACTGTGCCTGCAGTTAGCTGCATATTGCATGGGTCTTGGGGAGTCCATTAAGGGGTACAATGTGTGGCAGCATTCACCTGCAGCAAGCCTGCAGACACACCTTGCCTCAGGCATGACTATGATCTTGGGTGCGGCAGGCAAGACGCACACAATGCAGGGCCCGCCGGAGGACCCGGGGGTGTACCAGCGCGCGCTGCAGGAACTCTTCGCGGCCACGGGAGGCAACGCCCCCGACGACGGCGCCGCGCCACCTGGCGGCCACATCAGCGTCGCAATGCTGGAGATTTATAATGATGACGCGCGCGACCTGTTGGCCGACGCCGTCACCGGCAAGGCCGCCTCTCTCGACGTCTCTGCGCTCGGCGCTGGCCAGCTTCCTCCAGGTGCGCGGCATTCCTTCCCTGTGTAGGGACACATGTGTGATGATAGTGATAATTTATTTTCTGCAGGGCGGTTTGAAGCTGGGTGCCTCTGATGCATGAAGCCATTTGGAGAAGTTTTCAACTCGCCAGCGGGGTCATTTTTGCGTGCTTCATGGTGCATTTGTTGGGAGGACTTCTAAATCATGCCTGCAAAGCTAAGGCCTGCGCACTGCTGCCTGTATAGTCCACCCGTTCCATTCTTGTTGAACTGAAATGAATTCTGTGTTCCAACTTGAGACTCCCAAGGGATATTTTTTCAAACCAGCTAATGCGGCCCACTGGTGCAGACAGCTGAGAATCTTTATGTCTATTATTCTGAAAAGTCCCATGGAATTCTTGGTAAAATTGCACGCGCATGTGCAGGCGTGGAGCGAATCCCGGGGCTGACGTGGCGCCCAGTGGCGACGGTGGACGACGTGGCGGCAGTGCTGGCAGACGGCAGCCGCCAGCGCTCGACGGCTGCCACCGCCATGAACTCAAGTTCTTCGCGTTCGCATGCGATATTATCGGTGAAGATCTGCGCGGACGTTGCCACCGGCGCATGCAGCCTGCTGCACCTTGTCGACTTGGCCGGTGTGATTTTCCATCTTTCTTGCTTGCATGCAAGATCCTTGACAGACAGAGTCAGGCACCGCAGAGGCGGTGAGCCCGAGGGTGCTCAAACCCATCCCCGTCTACTCTGGGACGGGAACGTTTCAGGATCATCTATAGATCTTTCTGGGGGGTTTTCCAAGTATTTCCAGAGGGTATACATGCAGACCACCCTTGCCTGCAGTATTGTTTTGCAACTGGTAGTGGCACAGCCACTGACGGGCTATGTATCTCCGGCTGCAAGTCAGCCTCTACAGGCTGATAGGCTGCAGGCTGCCTTAGTGCATGCCATGGGATTGACACGTGGGCGCTCACTGTGCAGGCAGCGAGCGCGTGGGCCGCAGCGAGGTGGCGGGAGCGCAGCTGAAGGAGGCGCAGTCCATCAACAAATCTCTCAGCGCGCTCGGCGATGTGATCTCAGCTCTGCAGCGCCGCGGGCCACACATCCCCTTCCGCAACTCCAAGCTCACACAGGCGAGTGCACTGCTCTCCCTTTCGCTGCTTCTTCTTCTGAATTCTCTGCTTACTTCCTGGTGATGACGACATGGCGGATGGCCGTTGTGCAGAACTTAGCATAAGACTACAGACCTATCCATTCTTTTTTTCTTTGGTGCTTTCCCTGGAGCAGTCATATTGAGGGAGCAAGAAAAGGTAGTGGGTAGCCTAGGAAAGTGACGGCAGCTCGTTGTGCGATAGATGAGCCTTGAAATAGTCTGAATATGGGGGTCTTTGTTCGCGGCTCTCCAGCAATTGTCGGAGTTCAGGTCGTCGCATCCCGGAGAGTGACCGGTCACATTGACAGAGGTAGAAAGCCAGAAGCAGTCTAGGACAGCGATGGCAGTCCTTATTTGTGATATATGGGCCTCAAAACTTTCTGAGAATGGTGGGCGCTTGCAGCTTCCCACAGTTTCTCATGCGCCTCTTGATCCCACCGATACAGCGCACACTCTCTTGCTCTAACAGTGCACTATTGCAAACATACTCAGAAATATGGGGAAGCCCAGTAGGTATCAAAATCAGTTCTGGGCTCTTGCCTTGCCAGAGGCAGGCCTTACTCCCAGCCTGCCAAATCCAAGATTTGACTGACGTGCTTGCCTGCCAAAATTCAGCTGAGTTTACTGGATGAGGACCACCACAAAATCCTGGCAGACATCCTTGCAATTAGGAACATAAATATCTTCTCCGGACTCCTGCCCTGCCAGCAATAGACACATCCTTGAGCACGGCCGATCCAAACGCACGTCCTCATTTGCTGAGAGAGGCAGTCCCCTAAGCTCTGGCCACGCATAAGATCGCGCTGAAATGTGGAGCCCACAACATTCATTAGGCTGTGTCCTCTAGGTCCCGCCATGCCAAATGCATGCACCACCATCAGCAAATGGCCGGAAGAGCACCTCGGTGTGGGAGTGCATGTAACGGCCACGGGGTGGCCTGGTCCAAAAACTGGAGAAATGTTCCAGTTACCGATATGTATGTCAGGTCGGAACCTACTAATCACCTGTGAGCTCACCCTTTTGGGTCAAGGAGTAGGATCAAGGGGTCCGGTGAGGGCCGGGATGCAGTCGCGGGGGTCCACCGGTTCAGGAGGAGGTACGGATCGAGGAACGGTCCGTAACAGTGCATATCTTTGCTAAGAAGCGGAGTCTCTGTGCTCTGCTGCAGGTGTTGCAAGACTCCCTGTGCGGCTCGTCCAAAGTGATGCTCATGTGCAATCTGTCACCGGAGGCGGCCTCTGCCAGCGAGACGCTGTCTTCCCTCAACTTCGCGCAACGCGCGGCGCAGGTCAGTCTTTGTATCAAGAATTTCATGGCAAGTTCTGCCCTTGTTGCTTAATGACCAAAAGCCCGGCAGGGTCAAAGTATTGGCTGGGAGATGACTAATTGGGGTTACTGATCGGCAACTTTTCAAAAATAATGTTTGCCACCTGAAGCATGCGGCTGCCACGGGGCAGGCCCTTCAATTTTTCAACTCTGAGTTTGAGGCTGCCTTCGGCCACTAACTTAATGTAGCCCTGACCTAGCAAGGATGAACTTGATAGGCCCAAAAAAACTTAGATACCCTCATTACATATTCCCTCACTGGTAAATTCGGCGCAGGTTGAGTTGGGCCCCGCCAGAAGAGGCGCCGAGCTGGAGCAGCAATCAGGCGCCAAAGCAGGCAACACCACCTCCACCCCAGCCTCGCGCAGGTGCAGGCCCAATTAGTAATCGATGCATGTGACTAATTCTGAGGGGCGAGCTGAGAGCGCGGAATTCTTAACGAGTGAGGGAAAACAGTGTTTCACCCCACTTGTAAGCACCTCCTCCCCTTATTGCACAGGCAGGGACCCTCTTGTGTTCATTAGTTGTGACTTATACTTGAGAGGACACTGATGGGCACGATTGGGGATGATTGCTTGCGGCGAGCTGAGAGCGGGTTTTGTCCTTTGAGTGATGGCCACTTTATCGCAAGTTGCTGCATGAGAGAAGGGTCAGCACTGGTATGTCACATGACTTGGAGGGACGACAGCAGAGCATGGCCTGCTCTGCGTGAGGCGGGTGCACTGATTGCATTGCAGTAGGAACCTTGAACGCTGACAGACAAGAATGCTGACGTCCAAGAGTGCTGATGAAGTGGTGTGCTGGAACAGGAAATCACGGTCTGGGCAGCCATCGCCTTCTGAGAAGCCAGGCTCAAGTGCCAAGAAGGGGCCGGACAGCAAAGGGAAGGCGGGGGTGACAATGGACTTTGCAGGGAGATTTGTGGCGCCCTGAACGCATCTGACAGAAAGCCTGAGCCTTTCTTTGCCGGGGAGTAGGGGTTGCTGACTGGACCATCTGTGACATAGTGCCTCAATCTGTCCTCCTGGACTTGAAATGTACCACCGCGCTGCAGCATGATTGCTGCAGGTTATGCTTGGTTGGTACACAGCTGTGTTGACGATGAGGCTCTTCCATGTGCAGATGCATTGTCAGAGCAGATAGGCCAGAATGTCATTTGTGATTTTCAGACTTGAAGATTTTGATACTGCCTGATGTCACCGACTCCTTTCAGTCCTTTTAGATTTGCATGGGAAGGAAAGAAGGAAGAAGCTATCCTTTCTTGATGCAATCCTGTTGAGTGAGAGATGGAGCCATGCATGCGTACATGTGCTGGGTGACCGGATTCTTCAAATTTGCAATCAATATTACGGACCAGTTGTGTGACACGAGTGATGCACGACATCATCCATATCTGGGAACCAAATCTACAATCGCAACCACTGTTGGTGGACGACTAGCTATAGCTTCCCACCAACAAATGCAGCTGGTTTGAAAAGAGCATACAAATCAACAGCTATGTACAATACAAGGCAAGCATGCACGATAAAACTTGTTTGTCCCTAAGCCCTTTCTTTCATCGCGACCGCCATGGACGCATGTGTTATATATGAAATTCACAACTCAACACATTCATTTTTTAATAGTGTGAGCCATCGGGTGCCATGCCCACAACTCAACTAGCTAAGTTTGCAACGTTGAGGACTCAGCAAGTTTCAAACGGCCACAGCCCAATGGGATTTACCGTAAGCTACCAAGGCGGCTCCAATACACAATGTGCACGGCTGTCACCCTTGCAACAGCAGTCTAGCAGCCACAAATCTGCTCTATGAGGGTCCAACGATGGGCGCTCTCTAATCTGCATTTTGAGTCACCTATTAAACAGACATTTGGGGCGACACCAGTGGCGCCGGTTTTTGCTAGTGTTCACAGGCCACCATGATGCTGTGCAATCAAGTATCAGCGGTTGACTGCTGCGGTACTGATGAACATGTCTGATCTGCGATACAAGTACTCCTCCTTGGGGGAAGCAGTGCTGCCTCATTTTCAGCACTCGAGCTACTTGCAGGCCGCACATATGTTGTGCTCACCCCATCGGGCTACTGCCATGCTCGTGCAGGGGTATCAGCCAGATGCTGCTGCAGCTGCATGCGCAGCGTCTCAGCGTGCCAGGTGGCGTCCTGCAGGGACTGGTGAGCTGTCGCCAGCTCAGCATCCTTGGCATCCACCGCATCCCTTGCTGCCTGCGCCAGCTGCCCGTACTGCTCGCTGAAGGCCTGCTCCTGCTGCAACAGCTGCATGACACATCAGCGGGCATCGTCAGCCTCACAGCGCTTCAATCAATGCACACAGGAGCAGATCTGCAGGCCAAGGCTGGCTGCTCTGCTAGAGCGACGCACTGGATTGGCAGTGGATGCATGCAGGCCCAGCCCTCCACTGAGGGGGTGCTTAGACATGTGATGTGATATTTGCTGGCATGCAGAGGAGTCAGCTTGACTTTGAAAGGGGCGGCTGCCTCACCTTGAACTCCAGAATCTGGCAGTCTTGCAGGCATGCGAGATGGCTCTCAATGACGACCGCCTGGTTGCTGAGCGCGGCCTCCATCTCAGACTGCGCATGCCAAACCCACGAGTCATGCTAGAGCACTATATACAAATCTTCCGGCCTGCCAAGCTTTGGCTCCTGCTTGGAAATCGACAGGACTCGCATCCCCTTATCACATCACAGGCATAGGGAGTGGGGGACATGTTGCTGGGGATATGTACCCGCATGACGCGGTATAACTTCACCGCCAAGACGAGCTTCTGGTGTGTCCAGAGGTGCAGGTCCTGGGCGAGCGACATCGATTCATCGCTGTCAGCCAGCTTTGACTCCAGCTTCCTCGCAGCATCCGCTGCCTTCCTCGACTCCTTTGCCACAACCCACGCGCCGTCAGCAAGCACAGATGGGACATCAGGCACCGAGAAACAGCATATTCTTTGAAATACAAACTTTGAAGCCCTGCACAAAGGTCTCTTCCCTGCACTGCATCTTGAATGCCCTTCACTGCCCTTGCCAGTGTGTGGTTGTGGAGGGATTTACCTCCTTCGCAGAGGCCTCAGTTGAAGTGAGCTGCTCCCTCAGCTGCGCCAGCTTGCTTTCGTGGAGCTCAGTTGCCTGCACAGGAACATCGACACAGTGAGAAGGCAGCTCATGTGACACGCACACAGCCTGCTGACAGCAGGAAGGCAACCTGCAGTTCAAGGGTTAATTTGAAACTTCTGTTCCAGGCCAGACAGGTGGGGGCGAGAGGCAACCCACCTGCAGCTGTTGGTTGGAGGCTGTCGCCCGCTCTGTTGAAAGCTGCTCCCTCAGCTGCGCCAGCTGGCGTTCATGGAGCTCAGTTGCCTGCACAGGAACATCAACACAGTGAGAAAGCAGTTCATGTGACACGCACACAGCCTGCTGACAGCGAGAAGGGCAGCCTGCAGCTCTAATTCAACGTTTAATCTGAAAGGTGTCTTCCTGGCTGGATACTATCCTAGTAGGCAGGGACTACAGACAACCGACCTGCAGCTGTTGGCTGGAGGCTGTCGCCTGCTCTGTTGACAGCTGCGTTTTGAGCTGCGCCTCCGCGGCAGCCGATGCGGCAGCGTCGGCTGCGCGCTCCTTCTGTACTGCTCTTGCCTGCACAAGCACAGCTTCCACGGTTACAAACCATGTCACAATCCTGTTGATACGCTCACAGGTTGCTGCCAGCGCAGGACATCAGGCATCTTGTGCATGGTGACATGAGCGGGGCTCACCGACTTCTTCAGGTCTGCAACCGTGGCCCTCTCCATTTGGAGCTGACATCTCAGCAGGGATGCGTTCGCATCCTTGACAGCTCCGTCCAGTCGGAGGGCTGCAACAGTATTCTCCAGTGCTTCCTGCGCCGTCACAGCCCTTCTGCTGATGCACTTGCAGTGATGAAAGCACTGTCCTCAATGTGAAACAAAAGTCATGGGTGCCTTGAGTGTGGTGCACAGCCAGCGAAAAAGAGACATGGGGAACACCTGGTCTTGGCTGGCTTGTGTCAGTTGCTGTTCTCGAAGCTGAAGCTCCAGAGCCTGCGGAAAACGTCTGCTGATGCACCATGATGAAAGCAGTGTTCTTAATGTGAGGCAGAAGGCAGGGGTGGTCCAGCTATGTTGCACAGCCAGTGGAGGGGAGACATAGGGCACACCTTGTCACGGCTGTCTTCAATGAGCTGCTGGTTTTGACGCTGCAGCAGCTGATTCTTGAGCCGATCCTGCTCTTTATCGAGCTGCAATTTCGTGACCTGCAAGCAAAATGTCAATTATGGCTGAAAGGGCAGCAACACTTCTTCGCAGGCCTTATGGAAGTCGATAACGGCAAACCCAAACCTCTGCTCAAGCAACATCTGGAAGGTGTATGGGAAAGCAGACCGGTGGTAAGTACTCACCTGATCTTGTAGAAGTCTCCCTGACGGCCTTCCAAAAATTATATCCAACATTTCCAAGACGAATTCAGTACACATCTGCAACGCACACACTGAAGTCAGGCACCCGACCGATCCGCCATGATGGGCAACCAAAGGGGATCTGAGAGCAGGCGCCTCTGTGGCTCATTCCGGGTTTGAAGCTGTGCTTGGAAATCCCTTCAAGCACGTTGCTCCAGAAAGGATTCTTGCTATGCCATGCTTCAACCTCAAGGCACTCTTTGCCTTTGTGACACAGCAGTAGCCCGCGGGGTGCCTGGTAAAGCTCCGCTGCATCAAAGTAAGGAACGGTGGTCACCTTGAGAGTTTCGGGTGCCTGATTTCTGCCGCGCAGAGAAGAAGTAATTCCGGCGTCCAACTTGATAGGTTGATCGCGCCCGGAGAGGTGAAACTTCCACGTACAGAAGGAATAGGCGTTGATGTATAAGAGTAAAGCTCGAGCCAACTTTTGAGTATCTTATGAAAGAGTCTCAGTTCATGTATTTCAGGGAACTGATATGGCGTTCCTTGTGATTTTGAGCTGCCGACTCGGGAGTATGGCGGAATTATGCCTGACGTCACGAGCCACGTAATTGATGTTATGTGGAATGCCAGCCCGCCATTCTCCCACTGGAAGGGTGTCCAAGTCTATCTTTGTCTGCATTATTCTGCGTCAAATTAGATTTGTTTGCGTTGATTGCCGTTATTTCCGGGTCCTGTGATGCGCGCGTCTCGCTTTGTACACAAGCAAGCATCAACCGCAGCGGACATGTGAGCTCTAGTCTATGTGAAGCACGGAATCACAAACTGCCTGCCAGGAGAAGTGTACTGGGTGTCTTCATGCCGATGCATTCGACTCTGCTCTGAAGAGCAGCTGCGAGGATCAGGATGAGTGAATTTTGAGGGGATCCCATTTTGGAGAGGATCTGAGCGACCCAGTTCCTGCCTCTGTCACATCTAATAGGCAGATCATTCATATCGTTCCTCTTATCAGCCTACGGCCTTTGTGCTCGCCGCAAATCTCGAAGAATGTGGTATCCAAGGTTGAATCATCAATTACGTGGCTCGTGACGTCAGGCATAATTCCGCCATACTCCCGAGTCGGCAGCTCAAAATCACAAGGAACGCCATATCAGTTCCCTGAAATACATGAACTGAGACTCTTTCATAAGATACTCAAAAGTTGGCTCGAGCTTTACTCTTATACATCAACGCCTATTCCTTCTGTACGTGGAAGTTTCACCTCTCCGGGCGCGATCAACCTATCAAGTTGGACGCCGGAATTACTTCTTCTCTGCGCGGCAGAAATCAGGCACCCGAAACTCTCAAGGTGACCACCGTTCCTTACTTTGATGCAGCGGAGCTTTACCAGGCACCCCGCGGGCTACTGCTGTGTCACAAAGGCAAAGAGTGCCTTGAGGTTGAAGCATGGCATAGCAAGAATCCTTTCTGGAGCAACGTGCTTGAAGGGATTTCCAAGCACAGCTTCAAACCCGGAATGAGCCACAGAGGCGCCTGCTCTCAGATCCCCTTTGGTTGCCCATCATGGCGGATCGGTCGGGTGCCTGACTTCAGTGTGTGCGTTGCAGATGTGTACTGAATTCGCAAGCTGGCGCAGCTGAGGGAGCAGCTCACTTCAACTGAGGCCTCTGCGAAGGAGGTAAATCCCTCCACAACCACACACTGGCAAGGGCAGTGAAGGGCATTCAAGATGCAGTGCAGGGAAGAGACCTTTGTGCAGGGCTTCAAAGTTTGTATTTCAAAGAATATGCTGTTTCTCGGTGCCTGATGTCCCATCTGTGCTTGCTGACGGCGCGTGGGTTGTGGCAAAGGAGTCGAGGAAGGCAGCGGATGCTGCGAGGAAGCTGGAGTCAAAGCTGGCTGACAGCGATGAATCGATGTCGCTCGCCCAGGACCTGCACCTCTGGACACACCAGAAGCTCGTCTTGGCGGTGAAGTTATACCGCGTCATGCGGGTACATATCCCCAGCAACATGTCCCCCACTCCCTATGCCTGTGATGTGATAAGGGGATGCGAGTCCTGTCGATTTCCAAGCAGGAGCCAAAGCTTGGCAGGCCGGAAGATTTGTATATAGTGCTCTAGCATGACTCGTGGGTTTGGCATGCGCAGTCTGAGATGGAGGCCGCGCTCAGCAACCAGGCGGTCGTCATTGAGAGCCATCTCGCATGCCTGCAAGACTGCCAGATTCTGGAGTTCAAGGTGAGGCAGCCGCCCCTTTCAAAGTCAAGCTGACTCCTCTGCATGCCAGCAAATATCACATCACATGTCTAAGCACCCCCTCAGTGGAGGGCTGGGCCTTCATGCATCCACTGCCAATCCAGTGCGTCGCTATAGCAGAGCAGCCAGCCTTGGCCTGCAGATCTGCTCCTGTGTGCATTGATTGAAGCGCTGTGAGGCTGACGATGCCCGCTGATGTGTCATGCAGCTGCAGCAGCAGGAGCAGGCCTTCAGCGAGCAGTACGGGCAGCTGGCGCAGGCAGCAAGGGACGCGGTGGATGCCAAGGATGCTGAGCTGGCGACAGCTCACCAGTCCCTGCAGGACGCCACCTGGCACGCTGAGACGTTGCGCATGCAGCTGCAGCAGCATCTGGCTGATACCCCTGCACGAGCATGGCAGTAGCCCGATGGGGTGAGCACAACATATGTGCGGCCTGCAAGTAGCGCGAGTGCTGGAAATGAGGCAGCTGCTTCCCCCAAGGAGGAGTACTTGTATCGCAGATCAGACATGGTGTTCATCAGTACCGCAGCAGTCAACCGCTGATATATACTTGATTGCACAGCATCATGGTGGCCTTTGAACACAAGCAAACACCGGCGCCACTGGTGCCGCCCCAAATGTCTGTTTAATAGGTGACTCAAAATGCAGATTAGAGAGCGCACACTATTGCTTCGTTGGACCCTCATAGAGCAGAGTTGTGGCTGCTAGACTGCCGTTGCAAGGGTGAAAGCCGTGCCATTGTGTATTGGAGCAGCCTTGGTAGCTTACGGTAAATCCCATTGGGCTGTGGCCGTTCGAAACTTGCTGAGTCCTCAACGTTGCAAACTTAGCTAGTTGAGTTGTGGGCATGGTACCCGATGGCTCACACTATTCAAAAACCAATGTATTGAGTTGTGATAATTATCCATGGCGGTTTCAGTTTCGGCCGCGAGCCGGCCAGGGAACTTCATTGCGAATGCTTGTCTTGTTTCTACTTAGCTGTTCGGTTTCATATTCAAACTTTGAACGCTCTTTACAAATTAGCTGCATATATTGGTGGGCAGCCAATGGTCCACCACCAGTGATTGTGATTGTAAACTTTATGCCCAGATTAGAATGATGTCATGCATCACTCGTCTCACACAACTGGTCTGCCGTGATCACAAAAAATCCAGTCACCCAGCACATATACCCATGCATGGCTCCATCTGTCACTCAAAAAGATTAAGACATCAAGGAAGGAGATCTCTAGAGCTTCTTCCTTCTTTCCTCTCCTTGCACATCTAAAGAGACTGACCGGAGTTGGCGACATGAGGCCAAACCAAAATCTTCATTCCTGGAAAATCACAATTCTGGTCTACCTGCTCTGACCATGCATCCGGATCTGCACATGGAAATGCCTCATTGTCAACACAGCTGTATAACAACCAAGAGTGCTACAGCAATCATGCTGCAGCGTGCCGATACATCATTACTGTCAAGTTCAGCAGGACAGATCGAGGCACTATGTCACAGATGGTCCTTTTGGCAACCCCCACACAGGCAGTGGCTCAAGCTCTTTGTCAGATTGTTTCAGGGTGCCACAAATCTGCCCACAAAGTCCATTGCTAAGACAGGAACCCATGCATGCCTGCAAGCCTGTTCGCCTGCGCAGACTGACAGCAGGCAACTTGCAGCATGCAACAGACTTTGTCATACAAAGTCTGACCGACGCTCCTGCCAAGGGGGGTTGCATGCAATCTCTCGACGGCTGCACAGAATAAACACGAAAGAGCCGCATGCAAGGAGCGCTGTTGCTGGCCCAAAGCTGGCGCTCTGGCTGGCGATGCTGATGTGGCGCCCCAGCTGGCGCCGCGCCGTCGTCAGGGGCGTTCCCTCCCGTGGCCGCGAAGAGTGCCTCAGTGTGCGCTGGCACCACCCCAAATCCTGCGGCGGGCCCTGCACTGTGCGCGTCTTGCCTGCCGAAACCACAAAACAAAAAATGAAACCTTTCTCTTGTCCAGGTGTCCGGTCCAATATATATGTTGCCGAATGTGCTATTTCATTCAAGGCAGCATCTTTGTTTGTACGCATGCACCCTCATCATGAGATCGCAACAGATATTTGAAACCCAGGCAAATGCCATCTTACACATGGGGCCGAGTCTGCATCGGATGCAGCAAAAGCAATTGTGCAGGTTCTAAGCTCTGCATAATTAGATATGAAGTGGTGGCAGATGCAATGCTTGGCATGTAGAAAAGCATGTGCGCCGTATCCTGATTGCACAATCGGGCTAAGAGGATAAGTTTGCGCACCCGAGCCGGTCTGGGCGCTGGCAAAGATGCAGGGTTTGCAGCCGTCCATGCAGGAGCGGATCAGCAGCGCCATCTCAGCAGCGCCTCAAACACATCCTTCTGTGACATGCACAGTACATTGACGGCTGTCTTCCTCAAGGCTCAGCGATCCACGCTGCCTTGCACCTCTTGCAAGCTCTCTGCAATATATTCAATGTTCCCCCGTCACCTTCCAGTGGACCTTGAACACCTGTGCGGATAGACCACCAGACTTCAGCACAATTCTGCAATTTGCAATATTGCTCATGGCTGCCGCATGCCATGGGCTATTTGGGTGCCAAGGAGGCCTGGTGGGACGCCAGGAATGCGATGCCGATCTCCCTTGCACAGAGATCTGAGCGTGCCACCATCTGACAGTGTTACGGTACAGAGTCGCAACACCCCTGTAAGCACGCACACAAGGCAGCGTCGTATACCAGGACATCTGCGATGGTGAATGTGGACGCATCTGCAGACATTGATCATGGCTCAGCATCCTACGAGTGCATGCCAGTTTGCTGTACAAGTGCAGGGAAAGGCATCATTTGGATGCTGCTAACTGCATCTTGGGAGGACGTACGTTTACCTTGTGGGATGGCTATCAATATCTTCAGCAAATTCATGGCCTAGGTACAACGGCATGTGAGCTCAATATATTGATTGAGACGAAAACAACCTTGCCACGAATATTGCTAGGTGTCGTCGTGCCGATGTACTCGGCTGTCACGGTGTCTGACACAACTTGGGGGTGTCCCGTGATGATGCCGGTGTGAACGACCCGATATTGCCATCGTAAGATATTCAGAGCTTGGTCAGACCTTCTCCGAAGATCTGCCATAGGTAAGTGGCGTCCAAGGTTCGTTCATCTTTCACGTGACGTCTGGCAGAACATTCGCATAGAAACACACCAGCTCGGCAGCACGCTATACTGTCGTCGATCAAGCATCTCACACTCAATTTTTATCAACAGATTTGCAGGAACATCAAGCAGGGAGCACAAGTTTCCAACAGGTGACGTGCGTTGACGCGCGTTGACTCAGACCACGTGTGAGTGAGTCACCTGCCCACCTTGCCCCAAACTGGGCACCCTGGGCCCAGGCGGGTGGCACCCAAACCCAGCCAGAAGCAGCTGACCAAAAATTCTCAAATATTCACACCGACAAGATCTTCTGGCAACTATTGTGTCTATTGCAACCTCATCTGTAAGTCTTGCCCGCAGTACAAGCGTGCCGTAGCGCCAAGGATTCGTACCAGGTTTGGCAACATGGTTTCACAAGCAACATCATCGAGGTGGTCTCAGAACATCCTCAGCTGGGTGAGAAACTCTTTTAAGCTTCACAATACATACATTTTCACCTGGCATCAGCAAGCAGCTGGTATCTCAACCACTTTAACTGAGGTCGCCAGTCTGTCTAATTGGTCGTGAGATGTCACAGCCCGACGTCGTGTTACTGCTATGTACGTTACATTACGCATATAAGAGCCACTGCGAACCCTCTGCAATGTGTACTGGCACCTTGATCAATATGGCGACGGCGCCTTTGGCATTGATCCCACGTAAAGATTAACCTGATAAGGGTCTGCAACGCAGATAACGGAGTGTTTCCAAGGCACACGAGTCCATACGGATGATACTACCAAGGCGAACAAACCGGCCCGGGCAAGAAGTACCTCACGCCAAGTTCTCAGAGCGCAGGTGCTTGTCCCGCTTGCACAGGTGAAGTTTTATTTTTCAGCGAGATGCAAGGAGACGTCTCAGTCACTCCGTGCATCTTTGAGTGAATCTGTGCGCCGATGAGGCCTTCTAGGACTGGCAGATATGATAGGTCCATGCATGTTCAAGCAGAAAGAGCGGTTCCCAGGAGCCATCTTGAGGCCCTGATCAATGCAGTACCACACCCTGATCTGCTGAGCGTCTCGACAAACAAAAGGACAGAACTTAATCTAGAATGTGCATGCCTTGTATGAATCAGGTCACTTGTTGAGGGCCTGCAAGTGCTTACAAGGCTTGGGCTTTTCTGCAGGTGACAGAACTGGTGGAGAACCGGGAACTTGACAAGGCGAGGATCACCTTGCTGCTAGAGAAGGTCCTGGCATTGGAGAAGGCCAGAGCAGCAGATCAGGGGCTCCTGGAGACACTGAGGGCGGCGCTGGCTGGGAGGGAGGCAGAGCTGGAGCAGACAGCGCTGGAGGCCTCTCAGGCAGCGGAGAAGAGGGATGCAGACCTGCAGGCGGCCCGGCAAGGCCTGCAGCGCTCTATGCGCGACCTGTTGCAGAGCCGCACCCTTGTGCAGCAGCTGCAGGCGCAGCTGGACGCAAAGACGGTGCAGCTGCAGATCAAGGTGAGGATGTCTCCTCAGACAGTGTCCGCTTTTCAACATGTGCCGAGCATGGGATTTCCTTGATGTGTGATCCCTTGAATGGAGCCGAGGTCGCAGTGAACCTCGGCCCACCCAGCAATATGTCACCAAGCTTGCTGGTGGAGAGGTGGATCCGATTGTGAGGTGCTTGCTGGTATGTATGTAGACCCCAGGAGTGGTCATGATCATTTGTGGACATGTGCTGACAGCAATCCTGTATACCTGCAGGAGAGCGAGGCCCAGACCGCTGCCGCTGTGGCCGCTGGGACGGACCGAGCGATGATGGGAGCTGCCGCGCAGCTGCAAGACATCCAGGCGCAGCTCGACTCTTGCACCGCGCAGCTGCACGCCGCGGTGAGTCATCCGTTGCCTCATCCTGCATCTGCTGTCCTTGCTGTCCATGCTGTCTTCCTACAAGGGCTGTAGAGCCTCGACGCAGGGTGCATCTTGCATTGGCATGCCTTGGGATGGTGGATGGATGTTTCCCGCTGACTGCTGTTGACCGATGATGACTGATGGGTGCAGGTCCTGGACAACCAGCGTCTGCTGGATTCTTGGAACCAAGCAAATGGAGAGAAGCTGGCCCTGCTGCAGCAGCTGGCAGACCCAAGCCGCACCCCAATCGTCTCGGAGGTGCGCGTCCCTTTTTTCCTCATTGCTTTTCTCCTGGCTCATTTGCCTGCTGGCTGCAGTCCCCTTGGCAGTCACCTATATTATCTCCCTGGTGTATGACATGCTGTCTTGTGTAACATACTGCCCTCTGTTATCCACCATCTGCCGCCCACCATCAGCAAGCATGGCAGCCATGCCAGTGTCTACCAGTCTCTGTTTTGCATTGCACTCAACCGCCACAGCTTCAGCTCTGTGCTGATGAGCATGCACGTCTGTCTTCTGAAGCCTTGCATCCATATCCAAGCAGGAGCCCCAAATGTCACCGTGTCACTGCTGCAGGCGGATTGCCCCCTGGTCAAGCACCTGGGCTCCGGCGCCTGCGGGTCAGTCGACCTGCACCAGATGCAGATGGCGGTGAAGAAGGCTTCCACACCGCGGGACCAGCAGGTGCTCAACAAGGAGTCAGTCGCGCTGTTGTCCATGAACCACCCGTCAATACCAAAGCTTCTCTGCTTTGTGGCGCGCTCGGACGGCTCCTTTGGCCTCGCCATGAACTTCATCTCTGGAGGCTCCCTGGAGGAGGCCATCTGGTGCGCCCGCACACCTCACTACAGTCTTCTTTGTTGCCATTCCAATGATGGGCGGGGACGAGTTTCTGACTGCTTATTAACGTGTCAGTGGTTGTCCAATCTTCTGTGTGAAAACAGTAGCCAATCTTCCATGGTTGCACATGGCTATCTTCATTAAGAATATTTAGGGGATGGGGTGACTGGCAGATGAGCTGCTGGTGAGGTTCACTGAGAACGTCCCCTGCTAGAATAGGCATGCTGACTGGACTCCTTTTGTGTTGAGCTGACCGCACCGTGCTTGTCATGCAGGCCCGCCAGGGAGGGCACAGTGGGGAGGAGTGCATTCGCGCGCCCCGGCATCTACATGCAGCTGTGGATAATGATGCAGCTGGTGGACGTGCTGATGTACGCCCACAGCATGGGGTGGGTCCACGCGGACGTAAAGGCCGCCAACATCATGCTCACAGCGGACGGACGTGTCATCCTCATCGACTGGGGCCTGTCCTACATGATCTCTGAGCCGGACAAGATGTGGAGGTGCGCAGCATCCCTTACATTGTTCCTGCCAAGAAGTGTTCCACTTCAGTGGCCCATGACCCCGCATTGCTCTCGCGCTTCCTGCTGCATGCCTGCCAGCCAAGCTGTGCAGAGTTCAGGGTGCTCAACCTGTGAGTGCCGGTGGCCCTTTGCGGTGCTAGAATAGTGTCACTGTTAGCAGCAAGGCAGCAGCTGCCGGGAAGCTGCGTTGGAAGCTTCCCGTGTGCTTTCTAGAGCGAGTGACCGGTGACTAATGAATGTGCCTGTTCTGGCTGCTGCAGGGGCACCATCGGCACCTACCAGCCGGCGAACGTGCTGCACGGGTCCTTCATGAGCCCCAAGGACGACATTCGCGGCCTGTGCACCGTCGGCGTCAATATGCTGCATGGGGGCCATCCCGTCTGCAGCAAGCTGCTGCAGCGCTACCGGGCCACCAACGCCGACCCTGCCAACCGGGTGTGCATTTCAGCCCTCATGCAGTCCCATCTTGCAAGAGTATGTCCTGCAAAATCTTGCTCGGCAGCGTCTTTGCATTGATCTTCCTGATGTGCCAAGCTTCCCCGGAACCATCTGGGCTGCTGATGGGGCCTACGCAGAATGGCATGCCAGGGGTTGGATTGCATGCATTCTTGGCTGTCGATGAAGATCTCATGCTTGGCAAGGGGGCTGAGAATTTTCTGCGTGTTCCCATCGCGGCAGGCTGCGATCACTGACGCGATCAAGGAGGCCCCATCGGCGAACCATGAAGACGAAGACGTCCGCGTCGCCTTTGCGGAGATGATGCGCCACACCGGCCTCTGCGAGGTGGGCACCCTTTACCTCTTCCTTGCATCCACCCTTCACCCCTGCTTTACATAGCCATGGAATCAACGATCCTAACAGCAGTCGCTTCTTGCAAGTTCATACTGATGCCAGTTCCACGACACTTGATCTCTAGATTGCATGCTTAGCACAAAGGTGCCTCTCAACCCCGAGTCCACGGCAAGCCAGGCCCAGTTGTAGCCGGGGTCACTTGTAGACTCGGTGGTGCATTCAGCTTAGCTGACGCGCCCTCGTGCTTGCATCGTTCCCATTAAGTGTAACTGCTCAGCGATGTGCATGCGCAGGCGGACTTTGCCCCCTTCCTGCAGGATGCGCGAGTGCCACAGGAGTATGTCATCATTCTGCAGAGCGGCCTGGGCCACGATGCGGCCTGCGCCATCGAAGGCGCGATGCCGACGCTGCAGGAATTCAGGGCGGTGCTGCAGAGGGCCATCTGCGAGGTGGAGGCCACCCAGCTGCCAACCGCCGTGCCCGCCATGATTGACTGAGACGGCCGACACGGCGTACACTGCGCTGTGCTCTGGTGCGCAGCGTGCACAGCGTGGTGGGCTATGTCCTTCCTTGCGCTGCCATCTTGGCAGCTACCGGCCGCTGCCTGAGACTTTATGGCTTGAGTCGGTCGCACCGGCACGGCGCGCACGCTGCACTTCGGCGGCACACAGCGTGAGTAGCATGGCATGTCAAAGACACCATGGCGGCAGCGCCGGCAGCGGCAAAGACAAGCCGCTTGATCATATGACGGTCAGCACATGGTGAAAGAATTAAGAGCACAAAAGTGGGCTCAGATTTTTGCCGGTGCGGCTGAGAGGCCGCAAATGCAGCAGCTGAGCCAGCCTGCAAGCGATTTCCCCTAGTCTTGCATGCCAAGGGATCTACATCTCCTGCACAGCAAAACAATTCCCTTAGTCTTGTATGACAAGGATTTTACATCTTCTGCACAGCAAAACGGGGGCAGTCAGTACTGCTGTGATCGAGGGCTCAAAGAATTTGCTGAGCATAGAAATTCTGGAGCGCACAGCAAACAAGATATAGCCAGCACAGCTCATCAAGCAGCCCCTTGAGGGCAATTTTGTGTAATGCAATCCTGAACCTGCCAATTTTAGGGCATCAAAAGGTTCAGGCCCTCCCCTTAGAAGTCCCCAATAGGAGGTGTTTGCAGAGCAATTTTCAATAGGCAAGAGATTGGGGTGCGCAGCCGGTGTTGAAGTACCCATCAGAAACAGGACAAGCAGGATGCATGTGTCTGCCTACTAGAAACCTTTTACTGGCATTGGTGTGAGGTCCAGGGAGGGGCCATAAAATTATTGAGTTGGTCTCTGCCGCCCAGACTTGAGACTTGTCCTTTTCTGTGGTAGCTTACATGTTGTCATATGTTGCGTTGCCTATAGCAGCACCCAGTTGGGCACTGGCAGGTAATTGATCGTAGGATGGTGGGGCCACAAATGCTCTACAGCGATTGAACACGCCCAGAATGGGGGTTGTGTTGGGAGGTTGCATGTCTTTGAAAATTGTACCCCGAACAGAGCTGCGGCAGAGGTTGAGAAGCAGCACAGGAAGGGACCAAATATTTTGAAGAGGAAAACCCCAGCTATATGATTGTGGTTGCATATGCCATGATTTGTGTTGTGCTGCTTGTGACAATATGGCGAGAGTACATCAAAGTCATATTGAAAGCTTAAGCTGACCGGAGGTTTTATTAGCATCCCGGCAATCATATGATATCTCGAGTTGCATTTTGCATGCAGAAGTTGCGGGGTGACGCAAAATATGCAGGTGTATGCCCTGGTTTGATTTCAAGACTAAGACAGAAGTGGAAACGCTTGAGATTATGAATACCCATTGTAGCAGAAGGACATCTGTAACGAGGAACACTGGCAGACACTGGCAGAAGTGTGGGATGCAAAAGTGGCCCGACTTTCTATTCAACGGCAATGTGCTCATCTCCGTGTCCTGGTCAGACTTTATAGACTATACAAACTGTATCTTGCAAACAGCTCGTCTGTGTTCACTGAGCACTAAACATTACTGCTGCAGTCCATGGTCCCAGCATGGCACATTCCTTAGCCCCGCTCCAGGGCCACCCAATCGGTGACCCATATCCCAAAACCCAGTACTAACTTGTCAACAACCATGGAGCACATCAATTGCCAGGGAAAGAGCTAAGACCCGCAAAAAGTAAAAAATGGGACACAATTTGTCATAGGTTGTCAGGGCCTAACGAATGAATGCAATGATCATTCTGGGCTGCGTAATGGCAGCCGACGAATTCCATCGCCGCCGCTGTGCACAGCGAGGGGGCATGGATTCAAATCCCTGTTGATATAATACCAATTGAGCTGCGATTGCATTGGTTGGCAAGGGCTTGCCAATCCATGCAGCAGATGCTAAACCTTGCAAAACAATTAGACTGCTCCCCTTGTCTGATGATGTTCAGGTGAGAGAGCCATTGGACGTTCTCGCACTGAGTGCGCTCAGTTTATCGGTACAGTATACAGCCACCATGTGGGCTGATGGGCAATGTAATGTGCGCATGGCGGAAAGTCCTAATAAAACTTGGCTCGTGCAATTACTGGAGCCCAAAGAATACGCTCCTTTTTTCAAAGGATCCATGAGAGCCCTCCAAATGAGGCGCGGCAACTCCTGTAGACACGAGGAACGAAGCCTGAGCATTACGCTGATGGCTGTAACAATGGCCAAGCTTACAATAATTGTACGGCAATGGCTGTCTCTCAGTCACTGAGACACTGGCAAAGGACAAAGGAGCCTTGCACAAAGTGAGAAGGACAATGTAATTCGTCAAAATGGGCATGCAAAACAGCCACGCATGCACAGCAGAGCATAAGGGCGCATCAAATGTCATGCAAAGGTGACTCACCTTCAAAACTATACAGACTAGCTCACAGGTTGGCAAAGAGGCTGTAGTTGACTGCGTTCAGGACAATGCTCCTGACAGCACCGATGCATGCCATGATGCCCACAATGATGTAGATGATAGCGACCAGGAGGGAGAACCACTTTCTGCATTTGCACAGCACATTCATCATCCACCCCGAAATAACACACCTCAGAAGGCACTAATTACTATTCAGTGCAGTCTTTAGAATTTTGAATCAGAACGAACGGGAATGTATGTAGTGCTGCAACAGGGACACAAACAGACACAAATGCTTATAAGGTGCAAATCTGGGAGTGCAGTCTCTTGTCACAAGAGAATCATGCGGCCATGAGGTTAAATTTCAGATGGGACTATCACCGGTGTTCAATGCTTGTATCGAGAGAGGCAGAGCACTCACGAGAATCCCTTTGGCTTGTAGGCCTTGATCCACAGGAATTGGGGTAGCACAAAGTCCATAGGAGTGAAGCCAATTGCACCGATCAGACTCATGAAGTCCACAAAGAAGGGCAACATTGCGCCAACCTGCAGCCAGGCACCCCAGAATCTCACACTCTGTCCCAGACTGTACATAAACCCTCAACCCTCTACCAGTCAAGCTTATCATAATCCACCCTTGAAGGCGACCCAGCAGCAATCCAGTGAGAAAGGCTTTGGAAGTCAGGTAATTCTGCTCATTGATTGTCCCACTCTCCTGCAGCTTGCTGTCACACCCAAAGGTGTGTTGCAGTCGCTGCTTCACTGCAATGCTGGGCACAAGACAGAAAACAGTTCCTTGGTTTTGATTTCCATGCGCAAACAAGGCTGTGCTCATTTGGGGAACTCACCAGGATGCAGAGGCAGATGAAGACAGTGCGGCAGATAAGGCGGACAATTGTGTTCTTAAGGTTCCATGTGGGCGCCAGGATATTGCCAAAGGTCTTGTCGCAGGCCTCGTAGATAGGCTGGCAGTACACCTGCTCACAGTCCAAAACCTTTGTCATAAACTTTCCTTTCTTTCCCCCATTCTTTCTGCCCAAAGCGTTGCTTGTACGTCAACAGGAGTGTAAGATCCTGTGCAAACTACCTACCAGACAGCTACCCATTCGCATCAGGAGCCCAATCTGTTGACAGGATACAAATGGAAGTCTCAAGAGTTCAAAAATTTCCTTGTCACGAGCAGCGGTCTTGCTTGCCATGCCATGAGTTGATGAGTGATGCCCACCAAGCCACAGAGCATGTATGATGTGAGCAGCCAGCTTATCTACACCCCAGCATTTAATACCCCACAAATCATTTGTTGACAGGGGCATTAAAAGTCACCTGGGTCGTGCCGAAGAGCTGCACGGCAGCAAAGGCCCAGGCCATGATGACAGCCCAGCCCGGGTTTGTGAGACTGCCCAGAACAAGTCCCTTGACGCCGTTGCCAAAGGCCCAGTACCCTGCACACAGCAGGACCATGAGCCGACATATTATTCAGAAATCTTCCTTAGCAGTCAACCCCGGTTTCAATTATTGGAATGCCCACAACATGTCAATGCTGCAAGCAAGAGAAGCAAGCAGTGTACAATCCATCCCACCAAATCCCAAGGCCTCGGAAGACCTCCAAGTGCCGCATCCTATTTCTTAGAGGTGGGGGGCACCCTGTCACATGACATGCAAAGAAGAGACTGTTCAGATATTGTATGGAGGGGGCCCTCACCAGTAATGGAGACACAGAGGTAGGCAGACACAATGGTGCAGTAGCCCATAATGATGCCACCCTTCATTGTCCGCATGGCTGGCGCCTTGGCGGTTGCACCGATCTCTGCAATCAATATCAGTAAATGATGAATCATCTGAATCAGCAAGACTGACTTGAACAGAGCTCTTTCTCTTTCGAGTCACAGAGGTTGCTGCCAACATGCACTCCTTTGCAGGAATTATCACGACATTACTTAGGACAAATACTTGCAATCATTGTGACGAAGCGAGGGGTGTCAAATGGGAGAGGTCTCTCAGCAATAACTCCCCACCTGGAATGACGGTGTTTCCATAAGCAAAAGCCCTGAGCAGCACAAAACACACAGCACATTGTCAGCACACTCTCATTGCATGCACATTCATCCAATCTACAAGCAATCTCAACATCCTGCGACTTGGAAGACAGGAAACTGCATGCATGAAAACATGATGAACCTGCACAGCTTTCATTCTCTCACTGTCCAGGGTGCAAGCTGCCTCCTTACAAACCAATAGGAGGACATTTTCTGTACATAGATTTACATCCATCGGCTTTTTTAAGATGTAAATGCACGGGGAGTGGGCCTCACATGATACCCAGGCCATTGAAGATGTTGAAGAGCTTGTTCACCCCTTCTCCTGGGACTGTGTAGTCTGGCTGCAGATCCATTGTGAAACCTGCACCACCACGAAAAAATTTCAAAATCCTGGAAGTCCTTACCAGCTTTTTGACACTCAGCTTCCCACGATGTTTGTCTATGTGACATGCCCTGACATATGGTCAGCTGATACGATAGGCAGTGGAAGCATAAAGCCTCCACATGATAACTGTCTTCAAGGAAGGCAGGTGAGAGGGAAACACACAGGAGAAGCATGCACCAAACTGCAGGAGCCAATTGCAGGCACACATAGGACAGGATTCGTACTTGCATCTGCATCAAGCGTGGGCAATTTTGATCTGGTCGTGCAAACTGACGCTAAGCAAACATCAGCCTCTGCAGAAAGAACAAAGGGGAAAAAAAGGAAAATGAGAAAAAAAGGGATGGTGCAGGGGTTCACCTCAGCACAGAGAAAGAGCCACGGCATTGATTGAGAATGAGATGGTGCAAGAATAAGAAACAGTTTTATGTGTGCGCGAAGCGCTCTGCTGAAATCTCTTAAGAAAGATTGATTCAACACTGGTGGGTTTGGGGTTCATTCATTCGAATTAAATACTTGTAGGGATTCACCTGAGTACAGAGAGAGTGCGACTGCGATGATTGAGAATGAGATTGTGCAGACAGTGGCGGTCTGGTTGACAAAGCGGATGGAGTGGAAGTTGGGGCACTGGGCAAGGATCAGGTTGACCGCTCCAAACACCAAAATGTACTGCGTCAGTGTCACCGGTGTCTCCCCCCGCGCCAGCACGTCTATGGCCTGGCCACACACAAATACAACCTCAAAAATCTGAAGTCTGCAACAATATTGGGCGGGGCATTATTGTTGTTGCATGACGTGCACTGGGTTTTTCTGTCTTCTGGCGCTTGCCTTGATGTCTGCATTCCTCTTTCCCTGAGATTGTTTTGCACAGTCATAGCCCAAAGGCAATGATTGCCTCACTGGTGCCACAGGTGGCCGGAAGTCTGCACTAGGAGATACAGAGCATTGCTGCATGAGCAGGCAGCATGGCATCACAAGAGCCCTTGCAGCAGCGTTTGCCAACTTCTCAAATACGGGAGATGCCATAAATAGGGACAAGAGCCCAAAGGTGTGATCCTTTGCTCCTAGACCGGATCGGGCCGGCTGCAGAAGTTGCATGGATGGAGATATCTCTCAGATGTGTCTCCCCGTCAAAGAGATTCCAAGTGCTTTTGCAAAAGTGACGGATGCAATGATTGACAGGGCGCACCTTGATGGCCTGCCCCCCCACGATGTGGTTGGCAATGGTGGTCCCGATGCAAACCGCGAATTGGAAGGGGGTCACAGCCCACCAGCCGGACTTGCCTGCATGTGCACAGCAGGCATGTTAAGAGGGCCAGCTCACCTGCAACACTTGCAGTTTCCTAGATCTGGTCCACTCCAGTGTTCAACAGCAACGCAGGAGCAGACAATAATGCACACTGCAGGGTGCGGAGCAAGATATCTGGAGGACAGGTTTTCTGCATGCAAATGGAGCAGGAATGTATCGCGGGCATTGGCACAACTCAGAATCAGTCCTCGAAGGGACTTGACACTCGATACAGGATCAAACCAGAGTGGTCAGCCACACAAGATATCGAAGATAAGAGTGGGAAAAACTTGCGCACCAAAGACAGCAACAGACAGGTCGCGGAAGCGGATGTGGCGTTTGCCGCCATACTCAAGCATGCTAGAGACCAGGAAGGAGGTGAACATGGTCACCAGGCCCCCAGCAATCAGCGCAACCAGGCCTCCACCCCAGCCGAGGAGAGACACAGCAAAGGGCAGGCCAAGGGTGGGCACAGAGGCCACAGCCGCGGTCATGTGGTAGCCGATGTGGTACCACTCGCCTATGCACAAACGGAGAATGATCAGCTGCGCTGGCAAGGCCCCACGCAGGCTGGCACCCAGCGTGCACAAGGCCAGTGGGGTTTCGCATCGTTTGACGGTCTGGGTGGCAGTGGCCTGGTCACGGCTGCTTTCGGCTCGCGAGTTATCATGCAATCTCCTGCTGGTCATTCTGCAAAGAATTTCGTGCAATGACGAAGCCTTGTGGTACAAACTCGTGGTCGTGCTTCAACGAATCGACATGCGGGACTCCCAACGTCAAGGACGAGCTGATGGCTCGTTGGAATACTCACCCTTGCCAACATATTCTGGCACGGTCTGCTTATCGTCGAGTTCCATCTGGCCCTCCGGGTCTTTCGAAAAGTTGACTTTGTTGGCGTGTGCCGAGTCTTCCATGCCGGTCTTCTCGCCCAGCGCCATGACTGGTTCTAAGCTTCAGTCTGTGATCAAGATACTAGCAAAATTTAGCGTTTGTACATGTCACAATTTCGATCAAGGCGTCACTGTATATCTCTTGCGCTATCTGTAGTACAACTCTTGCGTTGCTGTGATCTTCACCGTCTCAGCCTTAATTGGCCAAGCTTCGACTCAGGACAGCCCCCCGATGCCTTACAACTTGTTCGGCTACATAATGTTTTTCTTTCTGGCTAGTGATCTTTCTTAACAGAAGCAACCGACTTTAAACCCTAGGTTACCTATACGGATGCGATCGGAGCGGCACAACAAACGCGAAAGCATTTTTGGGGTCAGGGTGATGCATCGGAACCAGTCATAAGCGTCTTGTATATGCACCTGAAGTCTAATTGTGAAGATTCCAGTCCAGTGGATATGCTAAGACAGCAAATCACCTCCAGCCACTCCTTCTCCGATCGGCTCTCTCCCACAGTATCTAGCTCAGATTCCCGCCGTCCTTTACAGCCTCCTAATCCAGTGAGCAAGATGACGAGTCTGCAGGTTCCTATTACGGACGGAAGAGTGTTGAAGAATGAACTCCAATCGGCGTCATGTTTTGGCCACATGGGTTCCACGTTGGCGCCTAAATTGGTCATCTGATCAGTGACGTTTCGCGCGCCAGCAGGACGCCATGGATCTCGTCAACGGGTCAGACCATCTCACTGACTATTCTTGGCCCTATTGATGGATGGTTTGAACAGTTGATTGGCCATGCATGGTTGGCAATGGCGGCAGGCGCAGCTGCATATTTGAAGATCTAATATGTGTTGCAAGAATATGGAAAATGAAGCCCGGTTTGACTGCCAGTGGGCTGAAGGCCGGGCTTGTTCTGCAAACACAGTACTGTTTGGCAAGCCATGACTTTCAAGCAAAGAAGCACAGCTGGTCAGACACAGTCTAGACTGCACATCTGCAGATCTGCAGTGTTCATGAGCTGGCCATCTGCCGGGGAAGTTTGTCCCAAGCATGCTTCATGCAACGCATGCCGCTCGTGACTTGCCATTTGGCCCTTTCCGGGAACACTTAATGGAAAGAGACACTGTGCAAACAGTGCTGTCACAGCACAGTACTGCTGTGGCACACTCATGCACAGAGCCACCAGTATACATCCCATTTCACTTGCAATAATTATTGAGCAAAATATGGCGGGCCAGAAGCTAGCTGAGTACACCATGTGCTGCTTCTGTCCAGTGATCTAAAAGCCTGTCTACTGTTGATACAAACAAGCCATAAACCACACAAAATAGTGACAAGAGGCAGCCACAGGAGCCAAGCTCCCGTGATCCGCTGATATCGATACCCTCCAAGCTTGCAAGGCCATGCGTTCAAATATAGATTTGAATCAGCTGCGCGAGTATGAATGTCCCCCCAAAAGAAACATCGTTAAGCAGCCCCAAAGAAGTTCTACACTGCGCCTTACAAGCACAAGTGTGCAACACAGCTTGATCGACGCACAATGTAACCGGACGCCATGTAAAGCCTCTGTCAAGAATCGCACAAGGAGGCAATTGAGAGGCAGAGACCTGCTGCCCATTTAGACCACCCATTTGAGGCATGAGATGCCCAATTCCAGTCTCCTCTCAAGCCACGACTGCGATTCTGGCTACATAAGTCAAGGCCCTTATGGATGCCGCAAGGAAAAGTTTGCATAAGATCTTTCTTGGAGGACTTCCAAAGAACACCTGACACAAAGGCCGAGGATGCCTCCAATTGCTGCGGTCCAATCGAACCAGAGCTGCTGACATCAGCGCTGAGACACAGACGCTCTCAATTGCGCTGACCCTCAACGGTCGCATCAGCGCTGAAGCTTCGGCACCGACAGACGCGCACACCCTTGACGCATGACATCAGCGCGCACACATGACATCAGCGCCGGAGCATGACACATGACATCAGCGGCGGGAGAGCGCGGGGAAGGCGCCCTGTAGCACAAAGGCGCGCAGGGAGGCCGGCGCGGTGACCTGGCCGAGCCAGGCAGCGAGGGCGTTCCCGTCCAGGCGCTCCTTCGCCTGCAGCTCCGCGCTGAGGCCTTCATGCGTTCGTCGATTTGCCGCCACGCAATCGCGCGCGGCCGCCAGTGCCCCTTCCACCAGCCTCTTTGCCTCCTCCTCCGCCAGCCGCCCCAGCCCTGCATTATGTTGCTGATGTCAACCTGTGACACTACTGTAACGCACACTGCTGACACGCTATTTGACCATTCTTCGTGTGACCAAGGCATTGCTGGCTTGCCATGGCAACTACATCAATGGTGATAAGCCTGAAATAGAAGCGCAGAGCCCAACTGAAGTTCCCTGAGGAGACCTGATCAGAGGCTTGTTCCTGGCTGCTCAACCACCAGTGCTGTGAATGTCAAGGTAACGAGGGAGATGAATTAGAGATCACGTATTCTCTGTGCCTTCAGTGCTCTAGGTTAGCTTCATTTAAGAGTAGGCACATTCCTACTTCTCCTCAGTGGCACGTCTTCATTATGACAATACACTCCTCTAGATAGTTCCCAATTTGATCAATCCTCCATACCCACTTATGACAAGGCAGGGAGCAGGTGTCACCTGAGTCTCTGCCGAAGAGCGGCGCGTCGTCAGAGCCGCCGTTTGTGAGGGAAGCCACGCTGAGGGGCCCCACCGCAGCGCTCAGCCCAAACTCCGACACCGTCTGGTACGCCAGCGAAGAACAACGTTTTATGTCGTCCACCGCCCCCGTCGACACCTGGCGGTTTAGTCAACACAACCATTGTCAGCATTCCCCATAAAGACTCATCCTTCCCAATTTATTGTCAGCACTCCTTTGCACACAAGCAAGGTTCGCTTACCCTCCCAGATCACCCTGCTCTCTTCATAGGCATAGCTTTCAAGTGCTCTCCCAGACCAGCACGCTACCAATCTTGTGTTACACTCTCATAATTTCCCATTGTACAGGGTGTGACGGGGCGCCATGTCCCATAGCGTCCTTACATCTTCCCTTCAGAGCATTGCTGTGGTTCATGGGATGTGTGATGATGAGTCACCTGGCCGCAGGTGAGCTCCTCTGCAGCGCGGCCGCCCATGAGCATGGCCAACTGCCCGCGGATCTCCGTGTCAAACAGCAACGCCCGGTCCTCCGTCCGCGGCGGCACATACGTGAACCTGCGCACCACAGCCGCACAGCCATGACCCACTGCACAGCCCACATCCTAAATCAACATATGCTGCCCACGTCTGCCCTGCCTGTAAATCACCTTCTAAGCAAGGACTCTGTCCCCTCCAATTGGATTTCAAGAAGTGAGCTCTTGGGGGCAGAAAATTGCTCCTGCTGCAGCAGTACGATGCCGTAAGGACCGTGAAGCACCTGCTCCGCGACTTCATGACCTCACAGCTCTCCCAACTTCCAGGCGAAGGGGCTAGTAGCGCTGTTAAATAAAAGAGCAAATTTGGAGATCCACCTGGCTCTGTCAACAATCAAAGTAGGGGCACCAGCCCTTCAGCCTTGGAGAACCTCTCAATGAGTACTGCAAGTGAAGTGCATTCAGGTTGGAAATACAATCGCACCCGAGCGCGCCGCCGGTGCGAGGGATGATGGACAGCTTCTCCACGGCGGCGGACGTGGGGATCAAAATGCGCACGGCCGTGGCAACGAGTGCGTGGCCGGCCTCATGGCGCGCGACGACTTCTTTCTCGACTCCCACCAGGATGCTGCGCTTCTTCTCGATGCCCGCCACCGCTCGCAGGATTGCATGGTCAAAGTCCGCGCTGCCCACCGCGCCTGCGCAAGACCAGATCCTCACTTAAAGGCACCAGACGAGGTGGTGTAGAGATGAAGGAAGTCAGAAGTGGTTCCTGGTGAAATTGGACAGAACTTGATTCAGATTTTCTCAGCCAGAGTCCGAGCGGGACCACTCGGATAGCAGAAGCAAGAGATAAGAGACCAGCGTCAATGCATCTCCTAGCAGTCACTCAGACACCACAGCCACACCATATAATCTTCAAGTCAGTCTCTGCCAGTCTCATTGCGCAGATGTAAACTTTTGAGTTCCTGCTGGTCACACCCCAGCACAGACAAGGCACACACAGAGGCATCCAGGAGGCACCCGTATGCACACATAGAACACGAGCAGCGAGCGCGCACCCTTGCTCTCGCGGCCGGCGAGCAGGGCGGCCTCGTTGACGAGGTTGGCGAGGTCGGCGCCGGTGAAGCCGACGGTTGAGCCGGCCACGTCGGCGACGCTGAAGTCGTCGGCCAGTGGCAGCCGGCGGCGCTCGATGTGGACGCGCAGAATCTGCTCGCGGCCCAGCCGGTCCGGCCGCTCCACCGACACGCGCCGATCGAAACGCCCCGGCCGCAGCAGAGCGCTGTCCAGCACCTGGCCGCCGTGTTAAAGCCACAATCTCAGCACATGAAGTAAGAGTTGAGCGAACATAAATGAAGTGGAATTTGCTCGGGGCATTAGTATTATGTTCAAAGAACTTCGCTCGACGCCGTGCATGGTTTGGCACAGGGTCACCGCATGCGACAATGCGATTGAAGGGATATATAATAGAATGCGAGGATTTTGTAGCATTTTAGTTCTGGCCAGTACAATGCGATAGAATGCGGTCCACTGAAAACTGCTATTTTGAGGCCTACAGAGCCTTAAACGAATTCCTCCATCCCCAAGCCTGTGCACACTTCAGTTTGAGATGGAAGACACATCCCAAAAACTATTTCACTTTGATTTTTCACGGAAAACCTTCCTTTTACCTGGCTATACCTATGTTTTGCATGATAAATAATGGCACCTAATGCATTTTCATAATGCATTTTGTCGCATTATATTTGAGAAGGATCATGCGGTGACCCTGGTTTGGCACAAGAGCGGGAGAGGAAGGAAGGATCAGTAAGAGTATTGGCGCCTCCGCTTAAGGGATAGAAACACTAAGGGCAGAAGGACGGCTCGCAAATCTAATGTCACCCGCAGGATATCAGGGCGTCATTCAAGGGGGCTATACTCACGTCTGGGCGATTGGTGGCAGCAATGCAGATGACTGGGCCGGCGTCCTTCTCGCTCTCAAAGCCGTCCAGCTCTGTCAGCAGCTGGTTCAGCGTCTGCTCCCGCTCATCGTTGCCCACGCTGCGTAGCCGCGTGTCCCTCCCTGTGCCACACAACAGGGGCCCACATCCAATCAGCGCTATTTCAAAGAACACTTTGAAAGAATACGAGCGTATACCAGAGCATACAACAAACTCGGGTGAGGCAGCAGCTGGGAGGGGAGTCTATTATTGTTGAAGAGCACCTTCTGAAGAGCCTAACAGAACCCACAAGCAGAGATCTCCTGCAAAGGGGCCTCTCCTCAGCCTAACAGTCAATAGAACAGTGACTGCAAGCTCACATTGTTGGCCCGACACTCTCTGAATGGGTGTCCTCAAGCATGCACTGCTGATTCAAGCAAGCTTTCTTCATAGGAGGACCTTCCTTATAAGAGAAGCAGCAAGACTTGCTGCTGCAACTATAGGATGACTACAGACTGTTAAAGGCAGATTTGAGCCGGCGCGCACCTTTGGCGACGGCGTCAATTTCATCAATGAAGACAATGGCGGGGGCCTCCTTGCGCGCGGATGCGAACAGCTCGCGCACGCGCATGGCGCCCATCCCCACGTACAGCTCCACAAACTCTGATGCGCTGATGGAGAAGAAGGGAACATCCGCCTCGCCCGCCACCGCCTTGGCTGCGCATATAATAATTACATGCCCACATCAGATATCCATGCACCGCAGAGTGTAAAGCCAGAAATGCACGTAACAGTATGCGAGGTAAGAAGATTTCTCCTAGAAAGGTGTGATGAGAGGCGCCTGCCACTGCTTTGGCTACGGACAGAATTTTACACTGGCCCGCGATGATGCATGCCCAGGTGATCACTTCAAACGATGAAATCTCCAGGAAGCCCGCATTCACCTTAAGGCATGCCCAGTTGATCAGTCCAAGCACACAACAGTGTGCAAGGCTGTTGATGAATTGCTCCAAGGACAAGATTTCACAGGGGAGAGATGGTGGTGCTCACCAAGGAGCGTCTTGCCGGTCCCAGGCGGTCCTATCAGCAGCACACCGGATGGTGCTCGCGCGCCCAGCTTTGAAAACTTCTCCGGAGACTTCAGCAGCTCCTGCCCCAGGCACAACAAGCTCCACTGTCAGACAACCTTATCATTCCACGACACACTCACCCGCCATGCTCACTGCACCCCTAGAAAATGTGGGAAACTACACGGGTATCTGGTGCCGTACTCCAGCGAAACATCTATCCATTGCCCATGTAAGGAAACCTATATACCGTAGATTGGTCGCTTGGGTTCCTTCTGCCAAGCTCAGATCATCCTGGAGAGGAATGGCAGACCGGAGTTTACGTGCTACGCAACAAGCCTCAGTGGTTGGTCTCTCATGTGGCAGCGAGGCAGGGCAGGAGCCCGCACCACAATCTCTGAGAGCTCTTCCTTGGCTTCGTCCACGCCTGCCACGTCACTAAAGGTGATTATGTGCTGCGGCGAGGTGCCGGAGCTGCCGGCGCCGCTGTGTCGCCGCCCGGCCCCTTTCCTGGGCAGCTTGATGGGCAGCCGGTTTAGCGCCCCCAGCAGCAGCCCGACATACAGCCCATACACCTGCCATGCACAGGGAACCTCAGCTGGACTATCCCACCGAGCAAAGTGATCAGCGTAGCCGAACTCAGGAACACATGTCCTTTCACGGTAATTGTGGGCCCAGGCAAAGATATCAAAATGCTGCACTTCCATTGCTTTGGAATATCCTGTCCCACGCCCTGTTGTGATCAGCATTGCTATCCCACAAAATAGGATGACTGCCTTTAATGTTGCTCCTGAGATGCTGACTCAGTATATATGGGTAGTAGCATGGAGGTTCAGAGCGAGGTCAATGTATATACAAGGCCATGTCTGCATGCAACAGTGTCACATATCAAGGACACTGTAGAAAAGCCACAGGAAGGGCAGTCACCGCGAAGGTGACAACATGCTGAGCATCTGCAGTTGTTGCCCCTGACAATTCTTGGTTTTGACGCCTACCAGGGACAGTGCAGGGCGAGGACGGTGGAAGATTGGATTGAGTCTCCCTGAGAGAGAGAGGAAGATACACAACAAGATCACTATAAAGGAGGACACATGAAGGGCAGTCACACCGCGAAGGTGAGCAGTACAGACTGCTGCTTCTCCACGGCGGTGAACTGGACGCCGTTCTTCAGCATGGTGTCATAGGGCGTGCTGTAGTCGGCTGGCCGGATGGTGCGGAACACAATGTGGGCGTTCCGCGCCACGTCACCGGGCCCGGCAGGCAGTCCGCGCATAATCTTGCCCTGCGGCCGCAGCTTGTACGCGAACCTCCGGTCCTCCACCGCCACCGCCAGGACCTCGTTGCTGCGCACGTTCTGGACAAAGGTCGAGAATGGCACCTGCGCGCATGCAGCCGGCATGTGCCGGCATCAGGCCCTGTTCACATTGAGCATGCGTGTTTGAGGCTCTGCAACTGTGTGTCGGCCATGGGTACTCCAATCAAGGAGTCTGTCCGAGCTGCTGCCCGGGTACAACTGCGTGGCAAGGATCCTGCCCAGGACTGAGCCGGACAGGATATTTCAGAGCAGGAAGCTCGATCAGGAACATGCACGTTGCTGTCTGCAAGCCTCCATACGGATGAACTCCTGTCCAGCTAGCACAGTGTGCGCAACGTCCCCAGGACCAAGCACAAAAAGGTTGAGACTAACATACAGTAGTCCTGGGAATAACAAGCGCGTAGAGTTGAGGCACCCACCTCCACTGAAACGTTGGCAGAGTCTCCAGTCAGGGGGTTTCTGCCGTTGAGTGGCCAGAAGCGCATGAGCAGCAGCAGGCCAGCAACGTTGAAGATGATGCGCAGTGACTTCTGGCTGCGCACAGAGCCCAGCACCTCCCTCAGCCAGGCCAGTGGCTTCCTTGACCGTTTTGGCGGGGGCCTGCCGCCATTGTTCGTCTTCTCATCGTCATCGCTGCCCTCTCCATCGCATCGAACGCGCTGCAACGCTCCCCTGTCCTTCCCTTGCCTCCTTAGCAGAATTGATGTGCGCTGTCGAAAGACAGGCTGCTGCGTGAACTGATGGTATAGCTGCGGTCTGTAAGCGGCATTTGTGCGCAGTTTTCCCTGCCCTGCACATGGTCTGCATTGGGGAGGACGCGCGTGCAAAGGGCATGGACTCCTGTCGATGGGAGCAGCGCATTTGTCTGCAACACTCGTCCAGAGCATGCCTCAAATTCTTATTACGGCACCTCTAAGGGACTTGGGGCTACGATATCTGCATGATCTGTTGATTGTGGGTTCTGACTAGTCATACAAGGCCAATGGATTTCCTAGGGCGTCGATTCCCGAATGCTTTCCAGTGCACTAACCAGCATGTGAGAGTAGATCTATATACAAGGCAAGAGAAACAGCATACAGAGCACAGATGAATCCTTCCCCTATATAACTTGGCAGACTGAGCAGATTCGAAGAGCCCTATGAGGGTATACATATCCCCCCGAAAACTGGCGGGAGAAAGGGTATAAATTAAGGAGGATCAGGATAAAGCAGGAAAGAAGAAAGCACGCCTTCATCCACGCAATAGTGAACGAAAATATAGTGCAGAGGAATTTGTCTTCATGTGTCGTATATAAGCTTGCAACAGCATCGTTGTCCTACCATCAAACCAATAAAAGGCTTGGTCCCACCATCTTTTTTGATTGCTGACCTGGCTGCAGCAAGAAATTGATGTGATGCACATCTCTTTTTATACATGCAATTGCTAACAACGTAAGTATAAGCAAAGAACGAAGCTGCATCGTGCTAGATATTGGCTGGAATTGTGCAGAGAAGCTCAGAGAAGCTCTCTGATACCCATAGCAAGTACGGGCGTTTGTCGATGTCCTCAGCCGTTGCAGCTGTCGCAACCGGCGAAGCGGGTGCATCAACTCTTCCAGAGACGGGGGCAGGGGACAAAACAGCCGAGATCAGTGGCGCCAACGCAGATGCACCAAGCAGCTCAGGTCTAGGAAGCCAAGGGCGGAAAGTTAGCACGCAGGACATACAGCTTGTGCAAAATCTCATAGAACGATGCCTTCAGATGTACATGAGCCAACGAGAGGTGGTGCATCTTGCTGACTTGCCTTCTGCTTGCCCGATCATCATTCCTCTATTGTAGTTCTCTTTTTCATCACTTTCAACTCTAGCAGTCGTCCATGCTGTCTCACCATGTGTCGATTACTTTTCTAGCTCGTTCTACTTCTTTGTGGATCTGCATACTTGTGCATTTGGCCCAGATTGCATTGTTGTGTGACCTAGTCGTTGAATGGTGCCCAGGTGGTGTTCACATTACAGCAGCAGGCCCAGATAGAGCCAGGCTTCACACAGCTGGTGTGGCAGAAATTAGAAGAGCAGAACCCGGACTTCTTTCGAGCATACTACACGCGGCTCAAGTTGAAGGACCAGATCGTGCTCTTCAACCATCTCCTAGAGCAGCAGGTGGCCATGTTCCAAAAGATGCAACGCCAATGGATGGCTCCCTCAGGTGAGAACACACTGCACCAAACCTTCTAATAATGACACTCTAATACACATGCCAAATTGGGCTTCAGACAGGAGCATAGTGTGCGCCTTGGGGCCTTACGCAGCAAGGGGATGCCTTGCAAGCAAACTATCTGCTACCAAACCAGTGGCGATGCTAACGCCAAGCATCAGGGAGCCTCAGTACTGCTCTGGAGATACAGCCCCTGGGATCTGGCTGTCAGAGTGTAGCAATGGCGCCAGAGGGATATGACTCACTGCGATGCTGGTGCAGGCATGATGCTAGCACCACGGCCCATGATGATGATGCCGGGGATGCCGTACCAGAACCCCATGTCTGCGCCTGTCAGCCTGCCAGCCATGTCCCTCGGCCAACCCCTCAACGTCAAGGTGGCGCCTACAGCTTGAATTCTCATCTTCTTCCCACCGCTATATAATTTCTATTAGGTCTGCAGAGGAGCTTCGCTGTGCTGAGAAGCAGTAGACATGGCGTTGGAGTTGCTCAGCCTTCGAGCCTTGTTGAATGAGGTTGTGCGCAAAAAGTGCTTCCAGCTGAACTGACACAAGAAGCCGGAGCATTATAAGCTTAAACGAATTTCACAATTATTTGGACATTTCTGTCGTGTTTTTTCATTTGTCATAAACCAGTAATTGTCCGTGCAGGCGGAGGACGTGTCAGAGGGCACAGGCCGCTCAGATGGCGGCCCACTGGGGGGCGACACAGACATGGACATTGCGGGGCTGTCTGTGCCGCCGGCGCAAGGCATGGACGGCCTGCACGGCGCCGCGCAGAGCCATCCCTTCTCTTCTGCAGGTGGCTTACTCTCTTCTCTGCTGACGTGACATGTAGTGGCCATCCTGTGTCCCCGACGAATAGTGGCCATTGTGTGGAGTGCAGAACATCACTCACATCACAGCGCAATGATTCGACTTAGCAGCACCTTTGTTTATGAACAAGGGCGCACCCTTTTCAGGACACATAGGTCTCTGATGCGAAAGGAAGGTGCCGGTTGCTGGTTACTGTAGATTTCACCGTTGGAAGGTGTTTTGCTCTCACCAGGTCTTTGTATTTTGGCTGCAGATCTTCTAGCGCCCATGGCAATGTCAAGCCCACTTCGGACGGGCGGCAGCGGCGATCTAGGCATGGGGAGAAACCTCAGCTTCAGCAATTTCGGCGCGTTCAGCGATTTTGACAATTTGGGGTCCAACCCAGATCACAGTATGCTGCACAGCCAGGCGCCGAGAGACCTCCCCAGGAACTTCAGCCTGTCAGAACTCACAGCGCTGGATGACTGAGACAAGGAGTCCAGATCTACTCATCGAGAATATACCAGTCTCCTGTGTTGGCAAGCGAATCGGCAGCTGCACATGATGTTGACATCCAGCTTGCCGGTCTTCTGCCAGACTTAATGTCATGTAACTCCCGCGGGTATAAAGCTTGATCCTGCACGTTATGGTGGAACGCAAGGATAAGTAGGCCACCGCCCGTGACCCAATATGCCACGTGAATACTAGATATCCCAAGCGCCCAATTGCGTGGCCATCTCTTGTCCAGAGTGTCTTTTTGGTCCCGTTTCTTGAGAAGAAAACTGAAACCATTTTTGAGGCGCATGCTCATGGCTGCACCTATATTGTGTCAAAAGGCGAGTTTGAATGAAGCGTTATTGAGGCACCCCCGTCTTGCTTGCAGCTCTGGTATTGAAACGATTGTGCTGTAATTATAACGATAGTTGACGAGCTAATTGAACACATCTGGTAACAGACACGCCTGCATCAGCACATCAAGAATTCTTGGAATTCGAATCCCAAGTGAGTAGTGTGATTGGAGAAGCAGGAAAGTAGCAATGCCTTACAAGCCTGCACGTGCCAAGTGGCCCGGCCAAGAGAACACCTTTACAAAAGTATTGAGGCTACTGCACAGCATGATGTAACAGGACACCATCAAGTGTCTCACTTGGGAGCTCGAGCTGCACAAATGTATTGAGAAAATGGGCTATGGGAAATGCACAAAGCCCAGCCAGGGGCATATAAGCATGCACCCCAACAAAAAAATGTGAGAGTTGCACTCTGCCAGCAGCCTGGAAATGCATTTCGAAGGTGCTGTAGGCCCCAGAAAGGACTCAAAACACGCCATGCAACACCAAAGCAATCCAAAGAATAGGACATCTTGAGCATACACCAAAGCTACTAGCATAGTATGTGCTCTAAAAACATGACTCGTACATAATACAGGAAGCCAACGCGGACCATAAACACTGTGAGCTCACAGAGTCTGCTACAAAAATCAGTTTGCTCGCAGATCAACAATCTCAATAGAGCACCTTCCTTATTACGTTGCTGCAAGAATGCACATGGCAAAAGCGCTCACCACACCATGGAATGGAAGACATCTCCTGCCAAAACTTGTCGCTGCTCTCTTTGAACAAGCAGACCTCATCTCACACAACTATGAAGGCTAAAGGAGAGAGCCGCGGCGGACATGGAGCGGACTAGCATCAACTCTCAAGCAAAAGGCTATGTCTATGTGTTGGCTCAAAATCCATTGTACGCCCCCTTCAGTGGTCACCTCGTTTGTGGCAGTTGGTCATGCGTCCTACTATGGTACACAAAGCTCCTCCGGCCTAATGCCACAAAACTTCCTGCCGTGTTGCTGCCTTCTCTCTGCAACCTCAGATTGCTCAATTATGGTGATAAACCATGGCTACCATCTATTCCAGCCGTGGAGAGAAACCATAGCTAGCTTCAAACGCAACAAGTTATCCTCGCTCCCTTGGCAAGCAACAGAAAGATGACGGTGTCAGATGCGCACTGTCACAGATCAGCACATTGTGGCTGTGCCCATCTGAGGCAAATCTCACACAGCAGACACAACAATTCACACGCGAAAGAAAGTCTCCAACCCACAGTGACAGGCAAGAAGCCGTGCAGACACCTTTCAGGTGCCAGACTGATGCAAAATTGACCGTGGGGAGCAATGAAGCTGGCTCAGATACAATCATTTGGCCAGATAAAGGGACGCACAACCCCTCTGATGTTGTTCAGTGACCATGAGCACTGATCCACTCTGCTGCTGCTGCTGCTGCGCAGACATCTGCCTCACGCCCATGAGCTTGCTGCAAAAGTGGGCATGTGCACCAAACATGCACGGGAACCCTGTTGCGTATGAGGTGCTGTGCATAATCTGAGACTGTAGTGCCAGCTGCCGGCAGCTACATGCCTCTGCACTCCTGCTGCGCAGCACTGACACCGGCAAGCGGCGGCTCTGCAGAGAAACCGATTCCGGCCGCCCTTTCCTGACTAATTGCAGCATCACAAGCGAGGTACTCCCAGCCAAAGTGGGATCCCCCAGTTCCAAGGGGGGTCCAGATCTCTAGCCGAAGCGGATCCCCCGGTTTCGAGGGGGGTCCAGATCAGGCGCGTCTGGGAAGCCCCACACGTCGCGCCGCTCCAGTATGGCCTGCCCGCCCTCATCTAGCGACAGGGCCTCCCATGTGCCCGCCAGCTCATCGTCCGGAGGGAACGGCCCCTCCCTCCTGTTCGCACCCTGATGCGACCACAGAGATTTGGGTAAGTGCCCACTGCATACTTACCATACCTAGCTATGATCCAAGTGGTCTTCCAAGACATCAAGCTTGTCAGGCAGAAGCTTCCGCACCAGCCTCCACAGTGCTCCATGGGACCACGAAGGCTGCAACTGTGTTGAAGAGGCTGCAATAATCGCTCATTTTAAGAGCAAGCGAAAGGCAATCGGCTTCTGTCGTGTTAATCACCTTTTGCGCAGAATAGGAAAGTGGCAGCAAGCAGGTGGAAGGAGGTAGGTCAGCACCTGCTGCAAGACGGACCCGGCGCCTCCAGGGGATCCGGGGGGCCCAGAGGGCATGGGTGGAAACTTCCCATAGGAGCGCGGGGGGATGGAGGGCAGCAGTGGGCCGTCCCTGCCGCCTGCCCGCTGCCCAAACAGCGCCTGCCCAAACCTGCGCGGCCCAAAGCTGCGCTGCGGCGGCCGCGCCGGCGTCCTCTCGCGCACCTCACCCTCCTTCAATGACCTCAACTCTTCCTGCGGCACGTATTCCCCTGTCAGATGACCTGATCAACAAGTTAAGCTGCACGCTTACAGCAAATACATATCTCCCTCTTGAGCCAGTACGAATGAGTGATAGTCTGCACCCAGTGCAATCTCAATCAGAGCCATGCGTTCTGCTGTCACCATCACAAAAGAAGGAAGCAGACGCAAGGGATGATCTTTCAACATGCACAAGGAATGGGCCAAGGCGATTCTTGACGTGTATAAGGCAGATCCACCGCAGAACGCGGCAGAAGAGGTGACTGGGCTATGAAATGGTGCATGGACAGACCTGAGAGGGGACCTGCACGACCCTGTTGGGGCCCGGCTGCCAGGCAACAATGGCCATCTGCTTCTGGATGGTCTGCACGTCTGGGGGGTTGTCTGGCTGTGTCCTGTATGAGAACGTGACAACCCCCTCTGCATCCTCGCTCTCCTGCTTCGTCCAGTCCTGCAAAGGGCAAATGCAAGGGCATAAACATTTGCACGCCTGATGCTGCCAGGGTCACACTACCAGGGCAGACACAATGAGTGGGAGACAGCTGTAGCTCTCAAATCTTAGAGCTGGCACAGGAGATTGTAGGTCCATTGCATTTTATTCCATCGAACAGAAACACAAATGCATAGCAACCCCACCCTAATCTGCCCTACATAATGTGCTGAGGGCAGAGGGGGGTACAGCCTTCGATGCAAAGCTTTCATTCTACCCAGAACAAATTCCTGATGAAGTACACGAGGCTTGCAAGCAAACATTAGCAGCTTACCTGTTCTTCCAAAATAACGTACTTGTACTCCATTTTGCTGTTTGCTGGCAGCTCGACCTGGAAAGCAGAACATTGTAAGTGTCTTGAAGGAAGGGGGGTCTATTTGCATGCATTATATTAAGGCACAAGTGCGTGGAAGCCCCACCTCTGTCGTCCAAAGATCACCCTCTGTCCACACCATTGGAACTTTGGCTATGGACAGGAAGGACCACCCAAAAGGGATCCGCGATCCGCCGATGCACAGCATCTGTCGGCTGTGCACCCTGTAGTGCACGCTCAGCCGCACTCTGACCAGGACTGGCTCGCCCTGGGGCTCTGCTTCCGGCTCTCGCCTGCCCTGAAATGGGTAGCTGCTGCCGCTGTTGCTGGGCTCGCCCTGCCTGCTCTGAGCCTCTGACGACGCATCCCCATCAGATCCTAATGCTGCGCAGCTGACGGCCTCCCGAGATCGGGCCTCGGGCGAGGCAGGGACTGTGGGCGCTGGTCTGGGCCTGCTGCTCGGCCACCGCTGGCCGATGGGGCTGCCACTGTAGCTCTGTCTGGTGCCTAGGCTCTTGTGCAGAGACTGCGTGTGGGTATGGGATCTCATTGCATGCCTGAGATCTGTGCTTGCCAATGATTGTAGGGGCGTTGTTCAGGCAGGCATTAAAAGGTGGGGTTCCAGGGGCCGTCCTATTCAGAGGAGGTGCGCAGTCAGCATCCGCCAACGTGGCACTTGAGGCCGACAATGCCAGCAGCCTAGCACCTTCCTCCTGCTTGGCTGGAAGAGCACGTCATGAAATCATGTTGGAGTTCTTCCACAGAGGTCGCACATGCGCAGCAAGTATTCAAATTGTGGTGGCTGGCACAACACTTAATGAATCAATACTTAGTAAGTACCGTATATTTGAGGACTACGTAGTCCTCAAATACGTACGTACACCGCGGTATACCGCGGCACAGGCAGCGGCTGCAGATGTGCTAGAAGCACAGGCACGGCCGCAGCTGATGGCAAATAAAGAATGCTTGATGGTCATATTAACAAGAGGACAGCATGCTGGCTTGAGGCCCAGAATCACGGGGAAGATTTGCTGCATGAGACCTGTGGCCAAAGTTGGCTCGGTACCAGCTTCCGAGCGCTGCCGTGATCTGGCGGCAACTGCTTTTGAGTTTCACAGATCGCAAGAAGAATGAAAAATCTTGGGATCTTGCGTGAGGAATGAACTTTACTCTTGAAAGCAACATCTATTTTGGTAGCCAAATAATATGAGACGTCGCAGAGGGTCATTCCCTGAATCCAAGTTTCCAAGATGTCGAAGCACCTAGTTTTATTCAGGGATGTTCGATCAGATCGGCTTCAAGACTCAAAATATTGCACATATCAAATCTCTTGGTAGATTGTGATGTACTCCACATGATTGGGAGACTTCACAACTGAGTTCCAAGCTGCAACACAGCGAGGATCCACGCTTGTGAAGGATCAGATTTCATCTTCAACCTCCTAAGAGCTTGTGATCGGCGTAATGCTGCTGTGATGCACTGGATCGCCCTGCTTCTGCCCCTGCTGCTCCTCGCTCATAGAGGCCAGGCAGTGGATCTGCCCAGCTCTGCAGAGTACCTGAGGAGGCATTGCGCCGCACACCGGGCCGTCTACGAGCCCTTGATCGACGGCTACCTCTCGCAGTTCAGGGACGGCTTCACCGTTGCGCAGCTGCTCACTCTCCCCTCGGTCTACAATGGCACGCGCATGCAGCGGGAGTTCAGTGGGGGCATGCCTCTGCTGTATATCATTGATGGGGAGCTGAGAGTGGACGCCAGCCTGCCCAAGCCGGGCAACAAGCGGCTGAAGAACCTGGAGTACTTTGGTATGCCGGTTCTGGAGCAGTTAACACGCCGCGCCCGGCTGCCGGATTTGGCGCTGCTCTATTCGCCCTTTGATGAGCCCACCGGTGCGCCGCTGCCCCTTTTCCCCTGCAGAGAAGGGGACTTGTCCTTATCTCTTTTAGAGTCCCCTGTGCAGAGCAGCCCGCCATAGGGATCGTGTAATCCACTGGACCCTCAGGCCAGCCTGACCTCTGGGTGGGCCATTCATCTTGGAGCTCCTGTGGCAGGCTCCATGTGTGCTTGTCCATTGCCCAGAGCCTTGCAAGAACTAGATGGACTTGCCTTGGATTCTAGTCTGGACCACGCCCCCACGCTCTAATTTCGACGGACATCACCAATCTTCTGCTGAGGCACTCACGCTAGAACCAAGCATGATTGTAACCGCAGGCTCACAGGCAACTCTCAAATTCAAATACTTGTCAATGTGCATGCACAGAGTTTCCTGGTGTGGACGCGGCACCCTGGTTCGGCTACTGCACGGTGCCGCAGCAGCAGCGCACGCTGATGCTGCCGGACACGCTGGCACCGGCGGATCTGCAGTGCCCCGCCGGCGGCTGCCAGGCCGGCCCGGGGGACGCGCGTGAGCCGCGCGCCGTTTTTCTTGGATCGCCCACCGGCTGGCACAAGGGCAAGCGCCGCGCCGTGCTGCTCGCCGGCATGCGCCACCCGGACCAGGCACGTCACAGTTGCCAATCTTACATGAAGGACTGCTGACGTGCCACAGGCAGCACGCGGTCATTTCGTAGCGACCGTCCAGATTTTTGGTCAGACTGTAGGCATGAAGATGGCTCTTGCTTCTTGGCCTTGGCTGTACCTGCCGCCAGCTGCACAGCTGCTGCTGTGCCCGTGCTGCGCAGCCACTGCCAGAGAATGCAGCACCTTCCACATGAATTACTGCTTGTCTTCTCTTTCAGAAAACAGAAAAAGAGAAAAAAAACAAAAAGAAGAATTGAAGCCAAGGTGCTCGAATGTGCGCAGGTGCACAGCGGGCTGACGGAGGACCCGGACAGGCTGCTGTCGCCGGAAGAGCGGGAGGTCTTTCGCCCGGTGCAGTTCATGGAGCTGCCGGAGCAGGTGCAGCGCTTCAAGTACTTAGTAAACGTTGAGGGCAACTGCGCGGCGCTGCGGCTGCGGCGGTTGCTGGCGTCGCCGTCGGCGGTGATGTTTGTGCAGTCAGACGAGATCGAGTGGTACTACCCACTGCTGAAGCCCTACGTGCATTATATCCCCGTGAGGTTTTCGGCGGCCGGGTTGCCGGAGGGAGGGTTGGGGCAGGTGGATCTAGCCGAGAAGGTGGCCTGGGCAGAGGAGAATCCCCAGAGGGTGGCGGCGATTGTGAGGGAGGCGAATGCGTTTGCGCGGAAGTATTTATCCAGGCAGGGGCAGGAGTGCTACGCGATGCAGATGCTAGATGCGTTTGCTCGGTTGCTTAGAGACCCCTGGAACGTGCGCAGGGTCAGGCACAGGACTCGACCCTACCCGGGGGTGCACACCGATTGATCTATAGCTGTGAGCATTGCGTATTTACTGATGTACTAGAATTCCATAGGGGTGTGAAGTGTGACAATCAGTTGAAAAAGTGCAGATCTCTAGAGAAAAATTTATGTGGGACACGGCTATCGAATTGGAAGTGGAAAAGGAAGACACCTGCACTGAACAACTTTCAAAAATTCATGAGGCTTTGAATTCATAAACTATGCCTCATCTCATGCCAGGTATGGGCCTCTGGGAAGCCATTTGTGACAGCGCAACACTTTGTTACAATGGCTTTTGCTCTTTCAACCCTTCATGCTGCGCACGAGCTCGAGGTGTCTGAAGATGCCACGTAGAATTAAGTTTATTTATCAAGACACTTACATTTTGTTATAGGTGGGTAATATACTGCGTTCCTTCAGGCTGCAAGTGTGTGCATTGAAAACAAAAAACCTCAGGGCAGCTTGAGCAGCTTCTTCTAGTATTTTGAGACACCACAAGTACAGCACGCTTAACTGTGCTGCAGTCTGAGCGGCGATTGGGTCAGGATTGCATTTTTCTGCGAGCCTGCTCGTGCATCTCGGCCTTCCACGCCTGGATCCTCGCTTTGAGCTCTGTGTTGGGTATGAGGTCCTCCTCTTTCAGGGGCATCCTGTTGAAGGGGTCATGCGAGTCCGACAGCAGGTGCCTGTTGCCACAATACGCGCTCAAGCCCTAAGAAAATGTGAAAAGGAACAACCCGACAATTACACGAATTGCCCTTTGGCATAAGAGGATGTGGCTCTTGCTTTGCTTTGCTGCAGCATGCCACAAGATCTGTACTTTCCATTCCCTGCTCACGCTATCCAATTGGTATTTCAGAGAGTTTGCTTCAAGAAGGCATCCTTCAGTGGACCATAAGCATCCTCATTCAGCATGCTTCAGCAGCTACCGCCATGACACATAACCCTCCACTGCTCGGGGCTGAGCGTCCTGGCGGAAATGTGCTGAAAGAGGCTGACAGAGGGTGCAGCATGCTGTCCTTTTCCACCCTTCAAATCTCTGATAGCCCCTCAAAATGCACAAACAAACTTACATGCGTATTTGCAGCAAGTCATAGTGGCAGAGGGACCGCGCACCTGGAGATGGTGGAGCGGTCGATGACCTGTTTGCTGGTGGGCAGGGTGACCGGATCTTCCATCAGCGTGTCCATCAGTGCATCCACAAACTCCTCCGGCGGATCCTGCAGTAATGTGGGCATGTATTTCAAACTATATGATTTTGAATGATGATGAAGGCGCATGTGCTTCCAAACCACTAGTAACGAAAGGACCAGTCACAGTGCTCGCTCTATTGCCTGTCATTTATCAAGCCCTCTCCAAACAGTGCTCTTGGGACAAACAACCTCTTTGTAAAGGCCACAGAAGTTGTTATCTCCTTCAGCAACTGAGAAGGTCTCATTTCTGTTGTCAACTCAAAAGTAGCAAGTTACAATGACAGTGAACAAGCACAACTGTATGTTGAGGTGAACGGGGATGATGCAAACCAGCATTTTCGCTCATTGCTCACCTGCAACAGTTCCTCCTCGGCCACCTTCTCGGCCTCAGCCGAAACCACGCGTGCCGCCAGGGACTCCAGCTCGCGTATTTCCCCCTCCGACAGCAGCATGAACTGCCGCAGCACCTGCGCGCACATGCCCGCACATGTCACTGTCGAGCTACTTCTGGCCAGCGTCACAACAACTCCTGCTTCAAGATTCTCCTGGCGCTGTGCACCATTGGCCATGTAAGGCGTGCAGCTTGAGCGGCATGCTTGCTGAAGCGGTGTCTAGTGCAATCTTTGGGATCTCTTTGAAGCGGCATGTCCACAGTACTTCCAATTAAAGAATAGTCTCTCCTGTGCTGCAACCCAGGCGCTGCTGAGGATAGCACAAAGCATGCACACTCATGTCTTCGCAGCAGGGCAGGAAGGGGCGAGCAAAATAGCGAGTGCAGAAAGCAATACACCTGTGAGGCCTCGGCGAACATGCTGGAGTTGTAGGAGCGCTCGTCGTTGGCGATCTCGCGCGCGAAGACAGCGTTGTCATCGGCGCGCGAGAGGTGCACGTAGATGGCCGCGATCTGCGCGAGCACCTCTTTGGGCTGCCAGCTGTAGCGCTGCGGGTCCTTGATTTTCAGCTTCCGCCGCCCCGACCCTGCCACAAAAGGTGTGCGCACGCTTTAGTACGCCCCAAGAGCATTGAATAGAAATGTTCAGAGATAAGTCATCACTCGTAACTATAATCACCAAAGTGGGCACCTAGCACAGCATCAATTTGGATTGCATTGATCATTTGCTGACATCCAGGCTGCTGAGAGCCCCAGCTTCCTGATTGGCACCTGGGGGTTTGAACCAAGGGGAAGGCATTGCAGCACTGATGAATCTCGATGCCCCTACTGCTGACTTCAGTGATCACAGGCAGCATTGTGCTCCTTGGGGTGAACTACACATGACAGCAAGTACACAGACATGGTGCATCCAGTCAAGGGGCAAAGAAGACAACGCAATGGCCAACCTGCCAAGTGAAGTAAGAAGTAGTTGAGGGTGGAGGCAATGCGGGGAGCCATCTCGCGCAGCAACCAGGGCGCGGTGACCTCGGTCGTGGAGCTGCGGATGATGCTCAAGTTGCGCCCCGCCATCAGCAGATCGCTGCGCAGCTGGTTTGCTGCACCACATACGTAATTTTCATAGCCAGCTTCTTGCTTACTGCTATTCTGAGATATTCCTCTGATTTAGCGGCTGTCTGTTAGGTGCTGCATGCTTGAGCGGCGCACTGGCATGCCACAACTGTGCAACAGGCAACGCATGCTTAAAGTAAGGCAAGCACTGGTTCTTGGCAAAGCGCATATCTGATGGATGCAGACAGTCATCTGCAAAGACTCTTTGATCTCAGCTCCTGGCGCTCGCTTCATGAGTGCCAGGAGGAGAGTGAGCGCACTGTTCTGGTTGAGGGTCTGTTCCTGCTCCTGGCGCTCCTCCTCGGGCAGCGCCTTCCACCTCTCCTCATCCTCCATCATTATCTCCGTCTCCTTCACTGCATGCCACACACACAAGCTCAGCACGCACTGAATGCACTTTTTTACTCTCTGACACAGCGTGTCAGACGCTGCCCGGTCAAGGGGTGGATTCCACAGAGGTTGTGCTGGGCATGCGATGCTCATGCAACGATCCATGAGCCACCGCAGCTTGGTCCAAATATGCACAAACACCAGCTACATGGGACACTCAGATGCCGGACATCCCTTTAGATACCTTACTAAATATAGGGCGACAGCATGCCTCTGTTCCAATGCATGCCCAGAAATAAGGGGGGAGCAGCGCGCGCATGTGAGAAGCTGCAGGCGGCCAAAGCAATGCATTTGCTGGAAGGATGCGCAGGATTCACCTTTGGGCAGGATTTCCATGGCGTCGTTGAGGAGGTAGATGGCGTCGGTCTCCAGGAAATGTGCAAAGTGCTGGTAGAGCTGCCCGTAGCCGCCCTCCTGCTGGGCCACCCTCCTCCACGCCTCCCTATGCGCAGGGATGTTCCACAGGTGCACTGCCGCAGCACACACACGATGTCAGTCACCCCGCGATAGACAATTCCTGCATTGTGCCACATATGCACTGCCGCAGCCACACATGATCTCAGTCACCCCGCCCAAAAGATCTCATGCACTGTTTTCGGGAAATTCCACGGATGTACTGTCACAGCCACACATGATCTCAGTCACCCCGCCCAAAAGATCGCTTGCACTGTTCTTGGGATGTTTATCCACAGAAGTATTGCCACAGACACACACATTTCCTTAGTCACCCCAAACAAGCACTGCTGCCACAAGATGATTAGTCATCCATGGTAAGTAGCGGTAAATGAGGATCTCTCCGAAAATCTGGATTGCCGCTGACAAACTGCTGGCATGACAGGTGCAGGGGTGTGTTCGCTGGCTGTAGTACTTACAAAGGAGCTCTCCCATGCTGTATCGCAGGTTGTACTTTTCGTAGAAGGCGTTGTTGCGCGAGGTGTGCTCGATGTCCACATACAGCCGCAGCACACTCCTGACCTGCAGACATCAGAGCAACACCTCAGCGCGCAATCAGTGCCTACACACGCCTTCACCCTCCATGACATAACCCACAGAACTTCCTAGACAACATCCCAAGTGCGGCATGATGTGTGCTGCCCAGGCTAAAACAGTATATTTAAGAGGCACGGCGCCAAATGACAGCATGTCTGGCTGTCATACCAGCTGAAGCTGCTACTAGGCATGCAATAAAAATGAGAGTCATCAGCGCAATCTGTCACTGCAGTCTCCAACAGCACATGCTCTTAAACACCGCGTGAAGCATGCACCTTGTCCACAATCTTACAGTGCTAGTCAAATCAGTTTTAAGGCGCTACGCAAGGATTCAAGTCCGGGAAGCTGCCAGGCCTCACCATGTTGCTGAGGACGAGCGGGTGGCTGTCGATGAGCAGGAGCACGGAGGCGGCCACCTGCGTGCTGCGCCGGCTCTTCCACGACGCGCCGCCATCCTCCTCTTGCGGCATCCACGTCGTCAGCACCTGCACGCACGCACCCGCGGCCGCTCAAAAATCTGCACTAAATGAAACGCAAGGTGAGGGGGCTCACGGGAGATCGCGTCCACCTTGGGACAGGACCTTGACCTACTGCACATTGACCAGGGCCTGGTGCCTCTCTTACCAGAGGTGCACACACTCATGATAGGCCAAACAACAAGGACCGAAGTCCAAGTGTTTGGCCAATCAATACCCGTGCACCACCGACAAGAGCCATCTGTGCTCGTCTTGATTTTGCAGACCACTTTGTGGTCTGGCTGAGGGCAGGCAGCCGAGCAAAAGTCCACATTGCACGATTCACCCATAAGTAACCCGCTTACAGCAAGCAATGTCAGTCGAAGCACCACACCACGCATGCCCTGCCTAAACCTAGACAAAGATGGGCTGCGTGGGATGGGATTCAGGAGGTAGCTTGTGAGTATCTCAGGCGGCAGGGATGACCTCGACCATGCGGGAGCGCAGGTAGGGGTTGTGGATAAAGTCTGGGGAGCCCATGAAGGTGACAAAGAAGAGAAGCAGCTCCTCCATGGGCAGCCCCTCCAGCACCATGGGCTTGAAGCGGCTCACATACAGCAGCAGCTCAACCATGTCCTCCACAAAGTACTCCTGCAAACAGTCCATGTCCCACCCATCACTCATCCATGTAATGTCTTACTCAAGCAGCGCAAGACCCTTTGCGGGCTGTATTTACGTTATACTGCCAGCATTCATAAAGTGCGCTTTCGGGACATTCCCAAAATCCACTGGCTTACACCCACGTGTGATACCAAGACCTCCTGGAGCCATCCTAGAGCACAATGCCAGAAGAAACACAAGAAGCCGTCGTAATTGCCTTCCCAAAAGGGCCGCTCATGCATTCAGACCCAGAAACTTCCAGATGGAGGCAGTTAGCATACCGGGAGCATGCGGAACTCCAGGGGTGCTGGGGAGGGCAGCGGCAGTTCGGGCTGGCCAGTGGTGGCGGTGGCGGGGGACGCCATGCGCAGCATCCAGGCAGCCACCAGCCGATAGAACAGCACCGAGTTCTTCAGCAAGTCGTCACTCTGCGCAAAGAATTACATATTAGAGCATTGCAGCTCTGCACAAATCCCCAAATACTACAGTATTCAGACCTCGCAAAATTATGCTTGTTTAGCACCCACCACTGTACAAGGAATTTACACAAGAGGCTGGATTGGCGGAGTGCATCCAGAGGTGCCTTTTGGAAGGGATGGAACTGGCGGCAGCATTCCTCACAATATCAGAAAGGCATGGAAGACATTCGAAATTAAAAAATTCGGAATAATTTGGATACTTGAAATTGAAAAAATCGGAATTTTCAATTTCGGATTTAAATTTGAAAAAGGTGCACTCACGGAGATGGCGGCGGTGTAGCCGATGTACATGTCGCCCATCTGCTCGATGCGCGCCTTGACCATGGTGATCTGGCGCTGGTAGTGGTCCACCATGGGGTTGTTCTGCTCCAGCATGCCCTGCACCATCGAATCCATGTGCCGCAGGTCCCGCTCCAACCCCTGCTGCGTCTGTGGGAATAGCGCACATGCAACACCTCAGCCGCCCGGCCACACATGCGCGCCATGCATCGAATCCTTGGAAGTGCGGAACAGGTTAGCAGAGATAAGAAGAAAAAAGAATCTTGAAGAGTCTATGGTAGACCACCAAGGTCAACAAGATCATGTCTGCTTAATCACACCAAGCATTGCGGGCTGGGCACACATGGGACGCTCATAACAACCGTCAGCCACCGATGAAAGAAACAACGTTAATATTCCCGCCCATCTGTTTCTGCATATGGAAGAGGCGCCCACAATAGTGTCGGCCGCCGGTAGTATGAGGGGACGCTGCACCTTGTACAGCAAGCAGCGAGACAGAGGCAAGATATAACCTCACCCGGGCCAGGTTGTAGAGGTCTTGGATCATCTTGATGAGGCCCAGGTGGAGGCCCTTGGCGGTGAGGAAGAAGCACTCGCAGATGAAGTGGTAGGAGGGAGTGCTGGCTGCGTCGCCTGAGCTGAGGCGTTCCTGCACCGCCCTCTGCTCCTCTGCATCCACTGCCAGCTTGGTGTCGTCCTTGTAGTCTATCCGCTTGCTGCGCATCACGTACCTGTCAACAGCCACACAGCTCTCCTTTATGGCTGACGGGTCATGAAAGGTTCGATAAGGGTTTTGAAGGATTCTGGAAGGCATCCAGCAGGGCTCCAGGAGCCATTCAAAACCCACAGTATGATCAAAGAGATCCAGAGGATGACGTGCAGCAGCGCAATTTCTGAGAAGATGGATTGTCTTCTTATTCTGCGGTATGACGGTGCCACACTATGCTCAAATTATTTGCCCTCAGGGCGTCAGTCATTGTCCAAAGTGGAGTGTGTCTGGATACAGAGCATTCTCTAGTAGAAAGTATACGCTGCTCTTGGACATACGCATGTTAATGCATACAAGTCCAAAAAGTTTGCACGAATAACAGGCGGTGAAGAAGGTATGACAGGTATCACTCACCCGGCGTCTATCTTGCCCCAGGCTTTGCCGGAGAGGGGCTCTAGGAAGGGGTCGCACAGGCGCAGGAGCACCGTGACCAGGCTGACGAAGAAGGAGTGGTTTGCGGCCAGGCGCGGATTTGTCTGCAGCTTGGCGCGCTCCGCATTACACTCCAGCGCCAGCGCAAACCAGCTCAACATGCCCTCCCTTGTATCCTGTATTGCGCAACATCATTCGAAGGTGAGCACAGCTGTCACCATCTTGCTTCTCAACATTCTACTGAAGTCCTGTTCGTGGGAACGTAAAGGCCCACCCAGGAAAAGGACTTCAGTAGAGTGCTGAAGTCTGCACATCCATCTGCATGTCCAAACATCCTATGGCACATTCATAAGGAGGATGCTCGCACACCATTGATTCCACATATTGAGACAGCATTTCACATTCCATGCGATGACCCCAAGGGAACTCACTGAAGATCGCCCATGCCTTCAGTGGTACTCAAAGACTGAGACATATGAAGACCCCACATACGCCATTTCCAGAGAAGTGTCCCTGGCGGCAGCGGGCAGGTCCCACACCTGGCTCTTGAGAAAGTTCATGGAGATGGCGTAGAGGGTGTCGTGGATGGTCTTCATGATGGCGCGCAGCATGTGGTGGATCCTGTTGACCTCCATGGGGTTCTGCTTGGACAGCCCCGCGTAGCACTGCTGGTGCACGCTCGGCTGCGGCTGGGACAGCACGTCCGGCATCACCCCCAGAGAGAACGGCGGCCCCAGCAAGCTCTCCGTCTGCAAGCCAGGCAGGTAGTTAATTTCCAAACTAACGCCACGCGCCTCTGTGGGTTACACGAATCATCCTAATGAGCCACAATGTTCAATAGTACGCCATGAAGTAAAAGTTGCATGGCCTAAAGTACAAGCCTCAATCTTTCCTGCAGCAACACCGGCTTGCAACCCAATAGACTGATACCCCAAGAATCCTTGAGCAGAATCCTTCTTTTGTTCAGTGACCAACAGGTTTTGTCATGGCGGACAGGCTGCCGCACTATGCTTCGATAACCCGGTAAAAGATTCTGATATGTCATTCAAGTAGAAACAGGCCATCTACCTGCAGCTGGCGCCCATTTGCGACAGCTGGCCGCCACCGTGGCAGCTTCTGGTATGCGCGCGCGATGGGCCTGATCGCTGTGAGGCCCTGAAGCATTGCGAGGGGCGCTCCATAGTCCCCCAAAGGAGACATCCCAACCAGCCTCCTCGACACCTCCGTCGCTGTGGCACAGAAAGCATACATTCAAAGAACCAACAACCATTTATAAAGTCATGCTGCTCCTTACCACTGGCCATTGCATGCCTGATGCCTGACTTTGCCCTCCAAGACGTGCAAAAACTGCTGGCCTGTGGCAAAGGGCCGCATTTTCTTGTATGGCAATTGCAATGATGGACAATCCCAATCAGGAGTACTTTCATCTCACCGTCCAACCATTTCCAAACGTGCACTGACATTTGGACGCACCAATGGGCTCAATGATTGTTTCCAGCCCTTCCTGCTCAAAGCGCTGGGCAAAGTCTTCCAGGAAGCCCGCTGGCATGGGCGTGGCTGTGGGCGGCCCAGCACCCTCCCTCCTGTCCAGGCTGTCCAGAAGCTGCAGCGCCCCCCTCTGCTGCGCCACTGCTGGCTGCTCCCACCCCACATGCACTGTCAGAGGTGGTTCAGCATGATTAGAGGCCTTCTGACACCTCTACTGGTATATACCATTGTGCCCTTGCAACAGGCCCTTCTCAACGCCGGGCTGTCAGTCTTGCCTCACGTCAATCCGTAGATGGGGAATGCGCAACGTTATAAAAAGGTTCATTTAAGGGGCCAGCTAAGTACACCCGAGGCAGCGACTAGCACGCGCAACTTGCAGCTGCTCTGTCATGAAATGGTAAAGCTGCCTGGACTAGTGAACAATGCAATAAGAACGATGCAGGCAGAGAGTGGGCACACCTGTGGGAACATGTCCATGGTGAGGAGCAGGCCAGAGTAGGAGACAACGAGCTGCTTGCTGTACAGCAGCGATTCCTGCACTCGCTGCACAGCGGCTGCATCCTTGATGCTGGCAGAAGCCCGGAACTCATCAGAGGCTCTGCCATAGCAGGCCAGCAGGTAGTGCAGCGGCCACTGCGCCTCGGCTGGTTCCTCCATTAATCGTGCCATGAGGACCCTCTCAAGGTTATCCCTGTCCAAGCGCAGCTGCACCTGTGGAAGCCCCCCCTCTTCTGCAAGCTCCTGCAGCGCCATGACAAGTTCCCAATCAAGATCCTGCACATTGCCTGCTTGTAACAGCGCGGAGCTGCTGCAAGATGTAATGGTGACGGCTAACGGCTGCACCTGCCTCGAAGTTTGAGTGGTCAGGTCAAGCATCAAGACTCCCAGCTGATGAGCACTCTAATGGCTAAACAATGTCAAAGAGGCACGAAACCCACGTATGCTATCCGTACTAGGCATGCCAATCATTTTTGAGCGAAGCTGGGATCTCGCAGAAAAGCACGACAGCGAATGCCACAGCGCTACCAAGATCACTCAGTGATCGTTGTAAGTGTAGGTCGAAAGAAGTGAAGTCTACGGTTCAGTTGCAATTGCATTTGTACCAGGCAATTTAAAGTACGTAAGGAGACGATCACAATCTTAAGCGCGATCAATCTTCACTTAAAATCTGCTTCTGTAGATTTTGTGATTCCAAGAATTTTCCATTTGCAGAGTGTCACCTGTGCAACATCGGTCAAATAAATCTCCTCATTGCTAGCGCTACGAAAATTCCCTTTATCTGTTGTGAGTCTGAATCGAAACACCCGGCGAAGAGCAATATACTCATCTTCGGCTGAACCCATTACAACAAGGGAAAAGTTCAACGACTCACGAAGACCTTTACAACGTCGCTGATACTATCTATCATTCATGATCATCAATGTCAACAGCTCATGTTGCCTAATTTCAGTTGAAAATAGTTGTGTCTCGGGCTCCATTCTGGGGAAAAACGCCGCTGAAGACATGCATGCTGTGAGAGATCGGCCAAACGAAATATGAATTTTGTTTCATATTACATATTCACAGCCTGAATCTTATTCAATTGTGCTCCAATTGCTTCTTGTTTCTGAATGTCACTATAAATCAGGCCAAGAAGGGGCGAACAATATTTGGATGGACCAAATAAAAAGCAAATATGAGGTATAGTGTGATTTTCGCAATCCTCAGAAAGCATGTGTATGATCGATTTTTATTTGTTGAAGTGAATTTTCTGTACAGGGCTTGCTGACGGCATCTACTCACTTAATGCAAACCTCTGCATCTAACCCATCTATCCAGTATGCCCCCGTTCTATCTTCCCGAGTCTTTCAGTTTTGTGATAGGATCACCGCGCTATTTGCGTGCTGAAAGATCCGCATGTTTTGGGCAGAGCGGAGAGGTCCAAAGCCACCCAAGACCTGCAAGCTGCTTACAGGGCCTTTGATGACGCTTGCAAGGACTTGCAGTCCCAACTCGTGCGTCGTATCACTCACAAGCCTCTGAACGAGTTCCTTAAAGCGGTCTCATTGGTTCTCTAGAAAAGAAAGATCAGGTGCACCACTGTCGTCCATGCTGCTTTGCAGGCCGCTGCAGGACGCCACGTGACCATGCAGAAGATGACAGCCTCTCAGCCGTAATTGCATACTGGGACTGGACAGAAGTGTTGCTCAACGACCAGCAGAGCCCTGATCCACAGCGTAGCATTACCTTGGGGCAGATGGATGCAGAGGATACAGGCAGGGGTGCACCTTCAGAATTAAGTATACCTGATCACATCATGAACCCCCAGCGCCTCCCAATGTCGCACGAGCTCTTCACCGAGGGCAATTTTGCGCGCGAGTTGCTGGCGAAGCAGACGCTGCAGAGCGCTCCAGACAGGGAGGAGGACAGCACTGCAGAGGAGCGCAGAACATCTCACTCAAGAGCAGGCGCCAGGTGCTGTTCATACTTTTTGGTCATTCGCCATAAGGCGAATGTCCTTTACGATCGGTGAACCTGGTACGGATTATCTTCATCTTTTGCCCCTTCCCTATGCCATGTGGCTGCTCGCCAGGCGGCCACGGCAGTTGAACGGAACGCGAGGCGCAGTTTAGAGGCCTTTCAAGGGGGATTGCCCCGTTTTTGGCCCTAGATTATCTCTTAATATCTCCCTGGCGATTGGCTTTACGGGCCTGCGACTGGTTCTGCCCCCCAGCTCGCGTATGACCTCGTGGCCGCCCGCGGGCGCTCCCACTTGTTATATCGCCCATTGCCTTTGTGGCCATTCAAAGGTTGCTCTTTTGGCGGGCATGTCATTGTCATGTGGTTTCTGGGCCATCCCTTCTGCATGCTAGCCTCATGTGGAGTGTCCGTTGCATGGCTTCTGACCAAGAATAGCATGCAGGCCTTCGGATTGGCCGAGTTTCCGGTGCACAACGTGCCAACTCCAGCTGCCAAATGCGCACCTGCTGGACATCCACATCCAGGAGGTGCACGACTCCTTCTTTGCTGCTCAAGCCGCTCGGCGCATGAAGGTGCGCTGGCTGCACCGTGCTCACCTGCAGCAACTTGAGCTTCGATGTGCAATTGCTGGGTCTCTGGGAGGGTCTGTTCTCCGGCATGGCAAAATTGCCATACTACAAAAGGCCTTGTCTGAGCGTGCATGGATAATCCTAACACGGAGTGCCAAAGGAGGAGTATTGCTGTGTGGCCAGGTGTTCCGGTGCCTGGTGGAGGGTTGTAATAAAGCATTTCACACATCGGCGGAGCGGGGGCAGCACCTTCATGATCAGCACTGCTACCCGCGCGGATTACACTATGAGACCATGCACCTTGGCCGGCGCCAGGGGCAGCAGAGGCCGGAAGAGGAATTCCGCCGCACTGCCAAATCTAGGCCAAATTCTATGGATGCAACTGGTGACAGCGCAGCCGACACTGACCAGCGTGGACTCGTTGGAAGAGAATCTCAGCAGTGCGAAGGTAGCCCAGCTGGGCATTCTTTGCAAGCAGATAGACCTTCAGAGAGTGCAGGGGACGTGCAGCCACCCGTGAAAACAGATCAGGAAACCACTACAGATCAGGGCTGTCCTGGTGAAGACGCAATGGAGGTTGATGAGCTGACCAGTGGCATGTCTAGGCTCAGCACAGCATCTCAACACATGGCATTTGTCCCTCGGTCAGTCTCTTTCGGCCGCCACGGGAAGCAAGGCCTCGCCAGAGGCAGCTGACACAGTTAAGAAAAGGCCTGGCTTTGGGCTCCTGAGACTGGCCCCTGCCGTGTGTCTTTTCTTTGCCTTGGATGCATTTTTTGCCATCCGCGCTTCTTGTCTTTGTGCCTTCTCTTCCTCCTCCTTTTCAAGGGCGTCCCATATGGCATCTGCCTGCAAGACTTGCGGCATGTATGATCGCTATTGTGCCAAACACCATGCATGTTTGAACACTTCAAGTTGAAGCGCCGCGGCAGCAAATGAATTTATTAACAATGTTGTGAACCTATCGCAGTCTTGCACGGTAACCAGCTGATATTTGGGTGTGATGAGCTCACCTTGCAACAGTGAATAGCTTATATCTTTGTTTTGATCGATTTCAACTCCTCTCCAACGCACTGAGCTGTTATGATGCTGTCCAGGACTATCTGAGCCTGTTCTGCAGTGCTGAGACGGTGCATCTTGTACAATGTCCTCTTCCATCTGGTTCGTGCCCTTGAACAGAGACTGGTGAATGTCTGCTTCATTTGGGTCGCCGGGGGTGATATCTGCCACGTTGCTCCAGGCTTTATCTAGCTCACTCATTGCTGACCTCGCCTTCAGAATCTGGTCTAGATAGTCTTGTTAACCGCTGGCTCGTTGGCTGGTATTACCATCATTGAAGGTCTTGGCACCGCCCTGTTGCACTTCGTCAAACTTCGGGATCTGCTTTTCGTACTCATCCTTCCATGGCAACAGCATGTTCCAATAATCTTCAAACTCATCCCCCCAACTCCTGCAGCTGCAGTCAGGTGCATCACCTCGCTGCCCTTACGCAGCAAAATGGTCACACGAGCAAATCTGAGATTTTTGAAAGATGCTCGAAGGCATCCTGGTGCAGTTTTGATTTTGTTTGAGGCAGCGAGCAAGGAAATACATGGTGCCCTGGTTGCCATAGAAGCAGCTGTGATGTGTGATCATTCGATCACCACAATCCACCACAGAAATCCATGAGGTCAGCATACACCTGTGATCCGGGACGCACAGGAAAACTTTATCCGCTGAGTTAGGCTGCCTCCTTGATGTCTTGATTCTGTTCAAGCACTAAGATCATGACTGTCTGTCGATGAGCGAGTTTGTACAGAGACTATTCCACAATATTCCTGATTACTTACCCCTGAATATTAACCCTTCAAAGCAAAAGATCTTGTGCGAAAAGGATGAGCTTGGATTCGGGCGCAACTTTTTTGCTCGAGCTCCCTCATTCCAGCCCAGCGCAGGAGGATTCCTCGACATCTCGCACCAGGATACCCGGTAACAAGCTGTGAGGCGTGTCTTTGTCGGATATCTTGAGGTTCGGGGCCCACGATGGGTATCTTTGAGACAGCGTTTCTTGGGGACACGGATGCCTTGCTTCAGAGGTCTCAGAGCAGCTCAGGGCCCAGGCCAGGCTGCAGGCCCTTCCAGTGTCAGCTACTGCAGAGGGGAAGGCAGGCGGGCAGGCATTCCTATGACTTGGGCCAGCGATCTGTTGTGTTGAAGGCCCACGGTGCCAATATTGTCCATGCAGCTACAGCAGTGGCCGTGGCACCGCAGCAGACACATCGTCACAGCTGTGACATTGAGTTCTCCTGGGCACAGCAGCGCAGGCTGCTTGAGGAGAGCTACAATGCTCAACCAGCACCTGAGACGGTGAGCACAATTTGACAAATGATACAGCATTTTGCCCAAATTGCCTGACTGGGCTGTTCCTTGCAACAATCCTGCTGTGATTGAGTGTTGACGACATGCATGCAGATCATCGAGGTGCCTTCAACCAGTTCGAGGGTTGAAGTAGAGCAGCAGGCAGGCAGGGGCGAGGAGCAGGGAGGAGACAGCAAGCGGAGCTCTGGGTCTTTGAAGGAGAGACGGGTTCGGGCAGTAAGCACTGCTGTGCCGCTTAGACGGCGACGGGCCCGCACGCGTGATTCCGAGAGGCACGGCAGGTCGTCGAGGAGGGCGCCCAGCATTGGCAGACCCCTGGACCGATCAGCGAGCAGGAGACGGGGCCTGCGACGGGCGAGCTCGTCGTTGGCTGCAGCTCGAGCGGATGTACGGAGAATGCGGCAGAGACGACGAATCGTCGTCGACCCTCTGGCTACGACGGAGGAGGCTGCAGAAGCAAAACAGCTTGCTAAAATGAACAGCGAGCTAGAAAAAGGAAAAAGGGTGGACCCGGACGGCGTGTCATCAAGGTATTATTACAGATCATGCCTTCAGGGAAGACTAAAATCACCTGTATTCTGCGAAACCTCATACCTTGCATCCTTGGGCTGACACCTCATGCCCTTGCAGTGGGAGGCGCAGCTATGTGGATGACGCAGTCACGAGCTTTATCCACAGCATGGGCAACACGGGCATTCTTTCGAGGCAGACAGAGGCCTACCTTGCGCACATCGTGCAGAAGGGCGTGAGCCATGAGAAGGCAGTCAACGAGAGGCAGGCCGAGCTGCAGCGCGTTTTGACACCCGCAGACATCGTGGAGATGCAGGTGCTTTCCTTGTTGCTGCCCTTGTATTGATAAGCACATGGCATGCATGAATCAACACATACCTGCTGTGCAAGTCATGCGCAGCGCAGCTTTGCAAAGACTCTGCGCAGACAAATTCAGAGACCCTTGTGCAAATTGTGAGTCTTACTATTAAGTGTCACGACTAATGCAGAGGCTCTTGTGCAATATGTGAATTGACTGTAGAGTGTCATGTGCAGGGGTTGAAATCAGAGGCGCACCTGGAGCTGCTGCTGAGCAATGTGAGCATGGCGCGCGGCCTCATGGTGCAGTACAACCTGCGGCTGGTGATCAGCATCGCCAAGCACTATGTGGGGCGGGGGGTGGAGCTGCAGGACCTGATCCAGGAGGGCATCCTGGGCCTCATGCGCGCCGTGGACAAGTTTGAAGGCAGCAAGGGCTTCAAGTTCTCCACCTACGCCCACTGGTGGATCCGCCAGGTGTGCACTCTACTTTTGTCACTCTCTCCTTCCAGTCCAGTGCCACACGGCGCATTTCGAAGCATAATATTAATGCCGTGCATTGCAAAAGGAGTCATCCCGGCCTCGGCTGTGCGCATGTTGCTCGGCTCAGCTTCATTTTAGCGCCTAGCAAAAAAATGATTACTAATCGCCACTTCATTACTGACTCATCAGACTTGCAATGGGGTGCATGCTGGTCAAGTCTTAGTAGTCTGACAAGCTAGAAGTGATCTCAATGAGATACAGCCCGAGATGGTAGCATAGGGGCTGGTCAGGACTGACGCGCATGTGCTGGTGCTGTGCGGCAGGCGGTGAGCAGGTGCGTGTCGGAGCAGTCGCGTGTGGTGCGGCTGCCGCAGCACATCATGGAGGCCGTCAAGCGCATCAACCAAGTTCGCACTGAGCTGGCCTCCAAGGAAGACTTTGGCCGCCACATCTCCAACGAGGAGGTCGCCGCCGTGCTGGGCCTCTCCCCTGCCAAAGTCGCCTTCTACTGCAAGGTGCGCTAAAAACTCTATTCCTGTCTCTCTGCGCTTACTTGTGCTGGCATGCAGGCGATCCTTCGAGAATATCCAGTGCCTGCATGTGCCTTGGGGGCTTCAAAAAGAATGCAGCCTTGCTGAGATTCTTTGCGTCCCCCAATAATCTGTGATTTGCAGTACCCAGTGATGCCATGAATTTGAATAGGGTGCCTCCGGGAGAGGTCATTTCAGGCCAAGGGTCTAGAGGAACACAATCTTGTTTGCGCCAAGGTAAAATGCAAGACATACAAGCCAGTGCAAGCGCCAAGAAGGGAGGAAGGCCTGCCTTGCGGCGAGATACAGTGCATGGACATAACTAACATCTCCCGGCCCAGGATCACATTGCAAACATGCAATTGAGTACCAAGTGCCATGCGCTGACTTGGCGTTTGCGTGTGACAATCAGGCGGCGCTGCCGACCAAGTCGCTGGACGCGCCGGCCACGGTGGGCGGCAGCTACAAGGACAGCTCAGAGGACTTCATGCTGGGGGACGAGATTGATGCAGAGGAGGTGGAGGGCGCCGAGGAGAGCCTCTCCGCGCGCCTGAGCAGCCGCATGAAGGACGATGTGCTGCAGCACGACATCAACACCGTCCTCTTCACCCTCCCAGCCCGCGAGCGGAACGTGAGCAGCGCCCTTCTGATATCAACCACGCGAAAATGCCTGCCAACGCACAAGAAGAACTGCTTGACAATCGTGCTGTTGTGCATGAACTGGACATGTGAAGTTCGAACAAAGGTGTTGGTGTTTATGCAGTGATGACTGAAGGCCTTTCTGGAAAAAAGTTGTGCCTCAGCAGGCCTGTCTTTGCATCCCTATCTTTCGCATGAGTGATTGCATAAGCAGTCGACGAGTCTCTAGACTGTAGAGAAACAAAGCTTGTAGCCAGAAGGGGCTGATCATTGACAGGAACTTTTATTTGTCGTTGACCAGAATGTTCGGGGGAATGCAGGTGATACGGATGCGTTACGGGCTGCACCGGCAGGACGGGCGCGGCATGACGCTGCAGGACCTGAGCGCAGCGTACGGCCTGACCAAGGAGCGCATCCGCCAGCTGGAGGAGTCCGCGCTGCACAAGCTGCGCCGCCATAAGTCCGTGCTCACCGCCCACCTCCCCCTGCCCTCCCCGGCCTAGCCTGCTGCCCGCTTGCTGCGGAGCTGCATGCCGTCCCCGACAGAGCCTGGCTGGGTGCAATTTAGAGAGCCACATCACCCTCCCTGGCCTGCCTGCTGGGCGTGTTGTTGGTAGCTCTATGCCATTGCTGGGCTTAGCGTGCTGGGTGCATCATGGGGAGCCCCAATGCCATCCCCAGCCTCGCCTGGCTAGGTGCTTCTCGAGGAGCGGCATGGATAGGCAGGCTAATGGAGCACTGTGCCTCGCGATTAGCAGTGTGCTGCATCAGAGAGTGGTGCAGTCAGCAGGTTGTGATTGGGCACAATGCTTGTGCGTAGTGTGAGGGTGCATAACGCTGACGTAGGGAACAGCTCCGGGTGTAGAGAAGAGTTCAGTGTGGAATGTGCGAGTGCACCTTGGGATGAGAGACTGGCATATGTGGAAGCTGCGTTCGCTGTGCTTTGCACAGATGCTACCCATAGCAGCGCAGTGAATGTGATGAGCGGTGTTGAGCTTTTCCTGCCCATGTGAACTCCTGAATCTGGAGCACACCCATGTGCACAGTGCAATTGACTGCACAGGGATTCAAAGTCCGCCATAGGTTGTTCACGAGTAGGCCAGTTGCATACGCATCATTGTACCGATTCAGTACTTGGCTGGACAGATATTCATTAGAGTAGCTGACACTGTTGGCAACCAATCAGCAATTGTCTGGTGGATGCGTTAGATGATTGCTGTCGGCTGTTTTACAGTCACTTCGCGTCAATTGGATATTGGATGCATTGTCAATCATGTAGTATTTGCCATTGCATGCATGCATATTCTACTTTGCAGAGGATTGAACACAGAAAATTTACCAAGACAAGATTGCCTGAAGGGCAGTGAGAGGATATGAGCAGGAGTTGGTTTGCAATGAGGCTTGTACACTAGCAATATCGATGTGCTAATGGAATCGCATGTAATTTCTCAAAGTTTGGTATCGAATCTCTGGCTGGACAGCAGTGCAGGATTGTCTCTTGAAAAGCACAGCATCATGTCCAAATCTGCAGTGCAGACACCGCAGCATCCTTGCAAGACTCGATTAAGGAGTCTGAACTCATACAGCCGCACACAATTCCAGTCAGATTTCTACTCCGCAAGAAATTTCTGACAATACACATGGGGCCTAATCTTGCCTTTGCCTGGGACACCAGATACCTCATGAATCCCCTGATCAGCGCTTTCCGGGTCTATCATTGACGATCAACTTTACGCGAACAGCGTATGATGCTCAGATGCTCTTCATCAGCCCTCCTTCTCAAGACAACCTCGCCTGCACCACAACAGCAGATCTCCCACTGCCTGCAGTTGACTTGCACAACAGATCACAGATCAAGTGGCAGGCTGCTAAGGAAAGTAGTCCTCGCTATAGCAAACAGGGAGCAGCAAGCGACAGAATTAACACCAGAGGCTCACCTGACAATCCGCTTTGCTGCATGATCCCAATGATCTCTTCGGGGTCATTTTCTGCTACTGTGACTAGAAACAATTGGCCGTCAGGAGACAAGAGGTCCTCAACCTACAGCAGACAGCCAAGCTTGCAATCAGGACCCTGGTTGAAATGGCAGCAACGTTGCACCCACATTCCCAGCTCTCCTGACACAAAACCAGAGATCAAACCTGACTTACTAGCATCGCACCATTGGCAGGAATCTGTCAATGACAACACGGCCCCTGTTGCCACCAGCCCAGGCCTGGGCAATGCCAGTCCTCAGAACTTCCTCATCCGGTGTGGGCACGTAGGGCGGATTAAACACCTGCTCACAGCCAGTGCCGGACACCTTGGGGCTCAGATTTGCTCAGAAAGGGATGACTGCCCTCTGCAATTAAGACGGCACATACTAATACAGCACCATAGGATGGCGCTGATGTTGCAAGTCAAGGCACTTTATTAGAGTGGTCACTAGTAAGAGGGGGCTCACCAGCAGATCCACGGCCTTGCGCAAACGAGGCCTCAGGCCCTCCAGTAAATCTGTATGGACAAGATCCACCTTATCTGCTACCTGGGGAGCCCCTTCACAGATAAGTCAGCCTCTCTAGTATCAGGGACAAGGCTGGATCAATTTAGAGCGTCTGACAGTCAAAAGGCGCTCACATTGTGCGCCTGCAGAGTGCACTCAGTTGAGTGCAGAGCTGCAGGGTTGATGTCTGTGGAGATGCAGTGCGCTGTAATACCAAGATGCTGGAGGAGAAGAGCCACAGAACAGGTGATGTAGCCGCTGCCGCTGCCAACCTCCACACATCTGCAGAGAATGCTTCAGTCATACTTGCGACCGAAATTCTTCAATGTAATGTCACAGCTATAAGAAACTTTGTGAGACTAATGGTATTTCTTACATTCTTGGAGGTTTACTCCGCCATTCTTCAGCGGCCTTCACCAGGGCATCCACAAGAGCAAAGCTGTCCTGTTGCACATGGTGCCAAAAGTGAAGAGAAGCATGAGCAGCATATGGTGAGCAGATCGACGTGTACTTTTGCTTTTCTCTTACGTCGGATGGGTCGTAGACGTCTCGATCTCCGTGAGTCTGTCGAACATCTGCAATGTGAGCTTGTAGCATTAAGCGGGTGAAGACCTCTTCAACGGCCAAAATCAATTGCTGTGTTTCCTTAACAACCTTCGCATTGATTTGGATCCCCGCTTCTTTTGCCTCAAGTATAATTGCTCTTCTTAGATCTCCATGAGTTCCACCTACTTGTAGTACTCTTCAGACTGTGTCACTCAACATGCGGCACAGCACGCTATGTAAGACGGCAATTGTATGAGACAATTAATCTATTTATGAAATTTATCAAGCCATGTTTACATCATGTGCAGGAGCAGCGTGCAGCATTCCTTTCGGAGATGACCGCCGTTAACCGGCGCTCCCTTTTCGAAATACAAACTTGGGTTCCGACAGTCCAGGACCGACTGTGACTTCAAACGAGGTGAGAATGACAGGGCAAGTGATCAGTGCTGCAAAGTTTATCTTGTGGGTCTGCAATCTCAATTGTGCGCATCAGAGCATGCATCTTCCCGCGGCTTATCGAAAGGGAAAAACATACAAAGAAGAACCTTCTTTTACACCCTCTGATCTTGGTAATTGTTTACAATAAATTTCGAAGTTGATGGTGATGCTGAATCGCTTCTAGCCTTGTCTGGTAAGGTGGTAGGTTCTGTACAGCACTTTTTTGCAAAGCACTTTTGCACAATTGTCTGTCAGTTCCATGGACTGTCCATGGATCCGACGTGCATATGCAGTAGGCTTTGAGATTATATATTGCCACTCCGTACCATGATGGCAATTAGGGTTCCATGGCAATCAGAATTGTGGCATCCAGTATAGCATCAGCATCTGAGCGCCTCTGTGCCTCAGATCTCTGGTGCAAGTTGCCACCAGGCCTCCGAGGGCAGCAGTACAGACTAGTCCTATGCGCGTCCACAGGTTGGCAATCATCAAGCCATGCATCGGGCTGAGCATCTACCAGTAGCTAAAGGACTCTGTCAGGATATAGCGCTCCCAAGTGCAGCCCTTGGCTTGCAAGGCCTGCAAGATCTCCTCATCCAGATCGCACTTCGGCACTGGCTTGCCCTTCATACTTGAGTAGAAGTCCTGTGCACAGGTAGATTGTCTCGCATTGTAACACCAAAGAGAGTCTGAGACGCATGCTGACTTTGGAAACACAGGGCGCCAAATGGTTTCCTTACCAAACTAGTAGAAGCAGCGTGCACATGATGTTGTAACGTGCATTCAATTCTTTATTAGAGGTGTATGATGAGGTTTTTCATGTTCAATTGAGGTGCAAGTCAAATTACCTTGTATTCATTCGGTGACATAGAATGACGCCAGATCGGATCAAAGTCATGATCTTCAAAGACCCGGTCCTCCATCTGACCCCACAGAATTTTGCCTTCAAATTTTAGTAAGCACATTGCACTTGAGCAATAGCAACCATATCGCTCAGTTGCAGGAAATGCAACATGCACTGAAAAGTGTAGGGCAAGGCAAGCAGTCGGCCATGAAGCAAGGAGAACCTCTTCGAAGTGGCAACATGGAAGGATGGAGGACGTTTCGTGCATAGAACAGAGATGACATAAGATGCCAACCATTTCTTCTGCTGCCATCTCCGCCTCCACCTCCCTCATTAATCTGGCGATTATCTCATCATCAGATTGTCCTCGATCCTGCAACAGCATGATGGAATGCAGCTTTAGTTGCACCTCATGCATGACTTCATACGACTCATCTGACTGCGAGGCCACCTGAGTCTTGCACTCAAAGGTAGAAGTCCGTTGCAGGCACAAAACCACTGGTGGCGCCCACTGCACATGAGGCAACGAGCTTAGTCCGCAAGTCAACACTTGCTTGAGGAGTTTCTGGTTTCTAATATTCAATAATGTGTGAATTTGCTGTTTTTTTAAGCTTCCCTGCCCCCTGACAGAAACCCCCGTTGTGCAGCTCGATTTACATTTGGGCAGGCCATAACAAGCATGCGACACATTTTCTCTGGCGCTCCTCTAGATTGAGCGGACTAACGACACACTTTGTGAAGGGATGGGCCACCTTTGACTGGCGAGCTCCCTCATCTGCAGTATGGCAAGGCTCCTCAGCTGTCCCTTTCCTGTGCATGAGCACATGCACCTTCAGCAAAGCTTTCCGCATGCGGCATGTTGGTAGTATTGCACTGTTGTCAGCTTGTGCGTTGCTAGGACCATCAGGTAGAAAGTGCAAGAGCAGGCAACAGATGGACTTGAAATAGCAAGAAGAGCATGCCATGCAAGTTATATCACAGGTGTCACATGCAATGGTCAACATATTTGCCTCTTGCAAATAATGTCAATTCGCAGCAATGCAGCTTCTGGCCAAGAAGGCAGCTTCAGGATCGTACCCCGACAATTTTATTTTCTCTGGTTGTGGCAAGCCTGCGCCAGGAAGTGAAGGCTGCTCCATTGCGGCGACAAACAATACCTTGTCTCTGATATCAATGGTTTTGGGGGAAAACCTCTTGAACTCGACTCGCAGGTTGCACTATACTTCTTTAGAGTTTCGGACATTTGCAGCCGCCTGAGAAACACAAGGATTAAGTTATTCCCGCTGTTGCAATGTAAAATTCTCTTGCTTGAATTTTTATTAATAGCTTTCACGGATTGTTGGGATTGTGAGATCAGAAAAGTACCTTGCCTTGAACAGCCCGTTCGTTACAGAGGCGAACAGCGTATCTGCAAAAAAATGGGGTTCCGAGATTCCGTTCCGATGCCTTTCCAAGAGGGAAGTCAAGCGAGCGGGTTTCAATCAGCGCCCAAAACTGCACTTTTCATGCAATTATTTATCAATGCATCGAATAGCCGGTTACAATGCATTTGCTGGGTCAAGGAAGCTCGAACAACATCCTTCGGGTGCCAGGAGAGTCTTGCCGACAGCAGGTGGTTCTGAGGCACGTTCAGTCACGGCGGCAACACTTTTCTAATGCGTCAGCGGCAAATCAAATTTGCATTAACGTTTCTAGACCAAGTATGGAAGCGAGTGCTTCGAAGACGTTCACATACCGAAGTGTCTTCATCAGCGATTTGCACTTAGGAACACCGCAGTCTCAGGCCCACGTTCTGCTTCCGTTCCTGCAACAGGTACGCAAGTAAACTTGACCTTTTCAATTATCATAAAGTCTGCCAGAATGGCTTCCCGGTGGTAACACACTTTCCTGTAACTGCTCTTGCAAATATCTCTCAAAGTATTCAACACTGCTCGTGGCGTGCTCCGCAGATCAAGACAGAGAAGCTTTATCTCGTGGGTAGGTTTGCTCTACTAGAAACGCATGTCCCAAGTGGTATTTGTCTGAAGGCTCTGTATACAGGATAGTACTGTTGTGAGCAATGTGAAGCTGAGTACACTGAAAGCCCCATCTCTGTATTTATAGGGGACATTATTGATGGATGGAAACTCAAGAATAAATGGTGGGTGCTCGTTCCATCTTTGTTTGTCCTGGAGTGTTCTATTGCTCGTACCCCGCTCACTGCTCAATTCTAGCGTGGCAGGTACTGGCCGGAGAGCCATGGCGCGATCCTTAGGCAACTACTGGACATGGTAAAAACTTCGAGAGTGACCGATTGGTATCTTTTGTGCTGTCTCTGCCTGGGTCCTGTACTTGAGAAAATTCGCCCATGCGCAGGCGAACACATGCGAGGTCATTTACGTGCCTGGAAACCATGATGAGGCCGTCAGGTCTTTTCTCAACAGGTATCCGTGCTTTAATTGCACTTGTCCCCTCTTCACGTCCATTGACCCAAGACTCGCTGCCTCATGTCCTCTGGTGTTACTGATCATGCTGGCTTATGTGTGCCGCAGCAACAGCCTGGTCACATTTGGGCAAGTCAAGGTTGTAATGGAGACTTTGCATCGCACAGCAGACGGCCGGGATTTTCTTGTGCTGCACGGGGACAGGCAAGCGCCCTCCAACTAAATCACCACCCATTACTTGCTTTAATTCTTCTAAAAATACATTTCTGCATTTTATGCGGCACAATAGCCACCTGGGAAGACCCCTTTCCTGCCACCTTGTGGGTAGCAACTGGCATGAAGAGACAAGAAAAGCCACCACTTTCATTTGAGTTCAGCACTGTGTCAGCTGTGCAGATGTGATAGTGAGAATCTAACGTGCAAAAGCTTGTGGGCTGCAGGTGCGACACAACGGTGCACCTGTCGCACACGGCCACCAGACTTCTGGGCGACCTGCTATACGACGTCTTTGTAAGCCTCAACATCCTGATCAAGGCTGTGCGGCGCCTCTTCAAGCTCCCCTACTGGTCACTCGCTGCCCACATCCACTGCAAGGTGCCTGCACTCAGTATATGTGAGCACCCCTTGCATTGAACTTTCATGGTGAACACTGCTGCCCCTACAAGTGTGTCAAATTGCCAATAGGGTCTCTTGTAACGGTGCCTGATCAGCACGAGAGCAACCGCATGCCTCCGGCCGTTCAAATGTCTAATTTGGACAAGCAGACCTGTTGGCAGGGGATCTAAACCATCCCCGGGTAGACAGAGGGGAATGGAGACATCAAGGCAGTGTGAGCACCAAAGTAATAGAAAGGGCTGCCTAGGTGAGTGCACTTCATGCAACAACAAAGCATTGATCGCCCTTATGACTTCTCTTGTGCTTGTGCTGTGCAGTCAAAGTTTGCGGCGGAGGTGGTTGACCGGTACGAGCATGCGCTGGCGGCTGAGGCGCGGAGGCAGGGAACGGACGGCGTAATCTGCGGTCACATTCACTGCCCGCGCATCCGCACCATCAACGGCGTCCTCTACCTTAACGACGGCGACTGGGTGCTCGCTGACCTCTTGCGCTGAACTATGACCCTTGCTATGACAAGCGTTTCTTGCAGGAGCATCTGCACACAAGCCGCCGCTCAAGGCTGCCAAAATCCTGCCCCTTGTTGGACTCGCCAGATCCAAGCAGAAGCCAGTAAGTGTACGATCCCCAGTGAGCCAAGGCAAGTTTGACCCTATTATTAGATTTGGCAGCATGGTTTCTGACTCACATCACTGCAATTGCCTCCATGGGAAATACCAACAAGAGGGTAGATCTAGATGCAGCCGCCAACTTATTTGCAGCAGCGGGTTTTGCTCGGGCCTATTTCTTGGCAGACTTTCCGCACTCCAGGCCAATTCACGCTGAGCTTGGAGAAGGTAACTGAGAAGGATGCAGTCCCGTTGTGTGAAGCAGTCCAACCACCCTGGATTGCATCTGACTGAGATATTGTGCAGAGCTGTCATCCTGACGGCAGGTGCATGCATTACGTGAGCAGGTGGATTCATGCAGCGCGCTGGTGGAGGATGCGCACGGCAATCTGGAGATCCTGCACTGGATGGACCACTACAAGGAGCCTGTGCTGACATCACCCGCCAGGTCATCATGTGATGATGTCAGCGACACAGAAAGCGCCGTCAGCCAGCAGGCAGCGCTGCTCTTTGACGTCCTCAGCTTGGGAAGTATAAAAAAGCGCGGGAGCTTGCTCCCCAAGGAGAGACAGGGGAGCCCCAAATGAGGCGCAGATCGCCCGAAGGCACTGTAGAATGCTAAGGGAATGGCAGGGGGTGTGTGCGGCAGCAGTACACCAATTGTGCTGTATAATTGTAGATTTACAAAATTGTCTGAGTCATCACGGCATTCCCAACTATAATGAGGGCAGGTTTTGCTAGACGCTGCAGCTGCACGTTTGCAACCAAGAGAAGAAAATCTGGCGGAAATAAAGGGTACACATAGCGCAGAAGACTCCAAAAGTAGAGATGACTGCTGCTGACGTGCTGATCTGAAGTGCTCACTGGCGCAAGGCAGCTCACAGAACTGATTGGTCTGGCTATGCACTGACAATGCTCAAAAACGGATAATCCAGAACAAGAAACCCTGGCCTTGAGACCTCACTGCTTGATGGAATGCACCAAAGAGGCTATGCAGCAGAACTGGCATGCCTGGCGATCTGCGCATGCATATGCAGCGGTGTCCTACCAGTATTATTAGTATATCTAGGACCCTGGCATGCATGCTGCAGCGTCATCAGGGCTCCGACATGCTCAACAGAAAGGCAGGAGTGGGAGGAGTACTAGTATCTTTGAATCGAGCCAAGAATTGCAGATCTTGAAGCATTGAGTACATCAAGTTTATAGAGTGTAGCCTGTTGTGTACATATTGCGAGTCTGGTGTAAAGCTGCCAGTATAGGTAGGACCTGCAGAAGCACTATTGTTTTGCATGTACTGCATAGTATTAATATGATCAGGCATGCCTCCCACTGCAGTCTTTAAACAGATGTGGGACTCTTCCAGCATTGAATCTTCTGGACCCTGTGCGTACCACGTGTGCACACATGGGTACACTGGTTGGCGACACAATTGTGTACTGTTTCCCAATTTCGTAAACCTCAGGCGATCCAGACGCTCGCGACATCCAGTCCCACTCAAACAGTGCAGCGCTCCCCTGGCTGCTCAAGAGGAACATTCAACCACCTCTGCCTCACAGAAAACAAATTGTATCTCGAGCGGACCAGGCTGTCAATCTTGCTAGAACTTGAATCAATTTTCCTTCCTCATACTTTCCCTTGCTTTTCCCTAGTCCCGCTGCTTCTCATCATAGAATTCGACATGCAGTCGTGTGAAGCAATTAAGCCTATGACCACGCTCCACGATCCCCCAGCAGCGTGCAGCTTGTGCAAAAGTCCCTGGCGCTCCTTCTCCTACTCCCAATCAGGCGAAAGGTACAGCAACAACCCAAGCTGTCCCAGCTGCCTCCAGTTTTATTGGAGGATTCAAGGCACACATAACACTGTATGAAGCCATTGTGCCATGGTGCGTCACTGACTCTGCTCCACGCATCAATACCCGTCTATTTTGTCCTGCCGCTCTGCCTCCTTGTTGGCTGCAGTGATTGCCTTAAAGAAAAGAAAGCCTGTACACAAGCATGAGCTTTCAGGGCTTCCCATATCCTGCTCCCTCTATCGATTTTTTTGTGGAGCTAGCGGGTGCAGGTTGGGAACAACAGGTTGATGTTCGCTCATTGCCAGGTCACTAAAATTGCGTCAGAGATTACAAGTGACTCTCCATATTTCAACTCTAAGAGCCCAAATGCTCTTCACCGGTGCTTCGTCTCATGCGCTTTGCTAGGCACTGTGCAACACCTGGTGCATCAGGCAAGATGCGCACACACCTGCTGACGGGAACCCAGTGATGGAGAAAAAGAGCAGGATAGGCGCCCACAGGAAGTTGCTCGGTGGAAGCACGCCAAAGATTGGATTGCGGTTGGCAAATTCAAAAATGGACCCCACCTGGCCCCCCATGGACATGTTTTAGCTACAATGAAACCCCCACATTAACTTAAGCATGTTGATGTCAGTATCTGTCAATTGCATTGAATGTTTGAATGTCCAGAATCAAAGCCCATCATCACTGTCAGTTTTATGCTAAGGGAGACTGTCTTACCGCTGCAATGGCGACCAACGCAGAGCCTATCAAGTAGACCGGAAATAGCAAATCTGATCCCTCGTCTGCAGCAAGCTTGCGCTCACGCTCACCACGGATCCAGGGTGGCAAGGGTTCCTCTCCTTCGCTCTTCTGCACAAGCACACCCGCAAGATAGGCAATTCTTAAATCGCTGTTCTGTAGACCACGCTGTGCATTTTGAGGGCGTGCAAGTTTAATTCACTGTCTCTGTGAGGCTTAGAAAGACTATGAAAGTCAGACTGCAGGGTGGCCAAGGCCACCTCATAAACCTGGTGTCACCCCTGTAGGGGCATCCCTGGGATTGATCAAGCGCTGGAGTCTCTCAACACGCACAAAAAAATGACAAGGAAACTATCTGCATAGGATGCAAGATCGTGGAGCTACCTCGGTGCCAGATCCCTCTTGCTCTGCTCTTGTCACAGTGCTGGGCCGACGCTGCCGACAGAGCTTGCTGTCCCTCAATCTGTGCGATAATACACAAGGTCTAACACAAAGTATCTTGCTCTTGCATGCAGGCTGGAAGGGATAGGGCGCCCTGAGGCCCGCAACATCCAAACACATGTGAGTCATCAAACTTGATATATTTTTCAGCAGTTAGAGATAATGCTTTGCTAAATAAAATTATTGCTATGATTTTCAGAATTTGATGTCAGAAATCTCACAATTGTCGTGCATTATCACGTCTCGAAAGTGAATGCGCATGTGCCTCGCCTCTGAGATGGATGGCCGCTACGCTCTTAGCTGTGCGCGCCACTCACTTCCTCATTTCCTACTCGTTCGCAACATGGACAGTGTTTCTTAGAAAATAAAAGCATGCTTTTTATAGGTGCATGTCACTACCATGCTACTTGATGACTTTCTTACGGACTGACGCATTGCACCTGGTCACATTGAAACTGGACTGAGAAGAGCGTGCGTTCCTGGTTAAGAGATGCAACAGAAGTAGGAAAAAACCACAAATAAGGGGCTTTGCTACTTTCTAAAAGCCTTTGAACGCAATGCTTTTGCTTGGAGGACCCTTTTTATTGCCTCTCACAAGGCCCCTTCACTCAACGCAACAACGAAATCTCTGTACTTTGTTCCAAAAAAATGTATATGGTGCGCCTTGTAAAAGTGTCGGCCACCTCACGTCGCGTCACTGCGCCTTTTTCCAAGGTACCGAGATTGGATTGCCTCATCACATTCTGTGCCTTCGCACAATTTTTACATGTTTTGGTGTCAATTACACCATTAAGCAATATCTGGCGCCCTCATGATTGAGCATTACTGGGGCACATCTGTTGTGCAGGGAGGTCCGGCATTCAGGGCTTCTCCCGTGGGAAGTTGGTCGTCAAGAGGACAAAGGCAAAAGCCCCAGGTGAGCTATTTGAGTGGAACAGACCGAGTGGGTGTTTCTGTCTGCAAAGCTGCATCTGACAGGGTGTCCTTTATTGCAGCCCAAGCTATCAGCGGCTGGCCTGACACAGCACTGGAGAAAGCCATCCAGGTCCTCCAGCGGCTGCGCGCGCTGGGTAACGCGATGCTGCAGTTTGCATACAGCCAGCGACACCAGCTCGAGAAATGGTATGGCCTCATTCTGGCCATTTGCCCGTGCATCCATGGCCTGCCAAATAAAATTACTCCACCAGCGCTAGCAGTATATGCACAACAGAGCTCGTTGCACACTGCAGGTACGTGAAGGCAGCCGCAACTGTGCTGCTGATGCTTGCGCTGGTGACAGCTGCGGCCAACGTGTGGGTGGTCGGGTCTTTGAACCGGAGATACATCCCCCAGGCATGTGCGCAAGCGGAGATCCTGCTGGAACGCAAGGTCAGCCATCCTCTCTCAATTTCGACTGTCCGGCCTTGAATACTGCTCTCTCGCAGATCCTCTCTTTGACCGGGGATGCTAAGCACCTTGCTCTCGGGGATGGTAGTGGCAGTCCTGTCGGGCCATGCGCACTTGTGAGACATCTGAGATCCTGTTCTCTGGAGATGGCATGTTGCAAAACTGCGATGTTCCTCCGACGGCATTCTTGCTCGTTCGGCCGCCTTCTGTTCCGAAACAGACCGGGGACCGGTGTAGGTTGTCGCAGAAGCTTTCTGGCTGACTGGGCAAGGAGGACTACCTCTACTTGGTCAATTGCCTACGCGCCACAAAATTGCCAGAGGGCAGTATGACACACCCTACTGTGCAGGTGGGTCTGGGGCGGGTGAAGTGGGTGGCGCCTTCGGGGCTGGTGGGTTTTGGGCCTCTGGCGGCGGTTGGGCCGGTGGAGTTGGGCCCCGGGCCGGCCGAGCGGTCGAGCGCAGAGCTGCAGGAGGTGATTGTGTGCGTGGACCCGGTGCAGTCGCTGGTGCAGGGCAAGCTGGTGCTGCACCTGCATGCCGACAGCGCCAAGGTGGGCTTTTCAGCAGCAATGTCTCTGTGCGTAGGCATCAGTTGTGCATGTTATATGAACAGGGCCCCCAGATCCCCATTAAAGGGCAGGCTACAATGCGAATGGCAGTGGCTTTCATCCACAGCATCCTGCCAGCATCATCGCATCAAAAGAGCGTTGAAAGACAAGTTGTCGTTTTGGAGTGCTGGTACAGAAAGATCGGTGCTGGTGTGCAGGTGTCGCTGGTCCAGGCGGACAACTTCTCCTGGTTTGGCTTCCCGGATGACACTGAGCCCTCCGCCAGGAACTTCCTGCCTGGCCTCACCAAGGTACAGCAATCCTTGTGCCATGCCTTGAAGGTCCCATCATGTCCTGGCAATGTTGTCTTGCTCCGTTAATTAGCATTTTGAACTTTTCTTGATGCGACCTGCATGCTCTCATAGCACGCACCCTGGAGGAATATAGATACACGCACAAGCAGTAGCTACATTTTTGACAATTTTTACAGGGGCTGGAGTCAGATATAGCGCAGCACCTGCTGCCGAGCATGCCAGGGACCGGGGAGCAGGATCAGCCACTGGCAGGGAACGCCGCGCGCCTGTCCTCCAAGGTCGCCAAGGCCGAAGCCCGCCGCGGCCTCGCGCCGGCCCCTGATTCAGCGCTCAACTTCCGGCCAGCGGTGAGTTGCCCTCCCGGAGTGTTTTGCTTTGGGGATTTTTGCGATGGAGCATTGCCCCTTAATCGCCCGTGCACAACAGCGGTCATATTGAGCTCACAGACCTGACACCCAGTTGCTGGGTCTGATTAGGACTTACAACTGGGTGTGTTGAAGGTTGCAGTCCCTGCCATTGCCAAAAACAAATTGCTTTTGGAGGAGGGTTCTCCCCAGGAAGGATCTCAGCACGTGTGGATTTAGCTTTCGATAGAGGGAACGAGAGAGGCAAAAGCAGCACTCCTTCCAGCGCCTGTCCGGAATTGGTGGGGGATGTGGGCGGACCACACTTCCAGCCGTGCAGATGCGAGCTGGAAGCCCCACCGGCCCTCGACAGAGCTGTCCCCCTTGGGAATCCACCCTTGAGGCACCTGCACCGGGGCTTCTTTTTGGTGGAGGAGGGAAGACTGCCCTAGAAAGACCTCCTGTCAGGGGTGCCGCCAAATCTGGCGTGTGCTGGCCTATATTTAGGGTTACGAGGTGCTTATCGCAACCTTGGCGCAGCAGGGCCCCTTGGATGGCGAAGGAATGCGTGGCAGAAATCCGGACCGACCTTGTATATATACCACAGAACAGCTGGAAATTTCAATTATGGGACGGAGACATGATTAGTCTGAAAAGGCCCACCTTGCTCTCCTGCTGCCAGTATGACCTCTGACAAGCCTGCCAATAATACGGAGGAGCCATAAGACTCAGTATTTGTCCCCCTGCAGGTTGGCGCTGATCTGGAGCTTGTATCAAAGGACGACAGGGAGCTGATGCAGAGCAGGGCAGAGCTGGAGGCGCTCATACTGCAGCAGAGGTCTGCTCAGGCCAGCAGCGTTGACTCGCCTCCCTCAACATCCTCTTCGCACCCCGCAGCCGCGCAGCTGCCGCAGGGGCGCCAAAAGGTGGTGAAAGCCCTGCCCGCGCCTAAACAGGCAACGCGCCAAAAACCCGCCCCGGCTGCCGAGGCCACCCCGGGAGCGCAGCCCGGCTCCGGCGAAGCTGCAGGAAGCTCCCGCGCGTCCGCCGGTATTGCTGCAAGCGCCGTGGAGCTCTCGGCAGCCTCTGGCGGCTCCTCGCCATTCGCATCCATCACCGGTCGGGGCACTAAGTCTCGGCGGAAGGGCAGCGACACCGCTGAGACCGCTTTGGTGCGCGCTGCGAACGGCAAAGAGCCGCACAGCAGCAACAACCAAGAAGAGCATGCTGGATTGGGCGCTGGCACCGTCAGCGCCTACTTTGGCAACGGCTCCTCAGCCAGAGATCATGCCAATGGCGGCAGCGTGGCAGCCGACGTGAAGAGCGGCGACTTTTCCTTTGAGAAGGACCAGCACAGAGACAGTGTGTCTAGTCAGCAGCAAGAGCTGCAGCCGGGAACAGATGACCAGCAAAGCACGCCTCAAGCCCACAACAGCAGAACAGAGGAGCAGGATGGAGGTCAGCTTGATGGACTGAGCTTCGACGACTGGATGGCGAACGGGCAGCTGGAGGCTGGCGGTGCGGAGCAGCATGCAGGGGAGCCAAGCAGGACCCCAGCTTCAAGCAGAGTGGGGAGCGTCACTTGGCTGAGGCCAAAAATTGGCATGGCTCCACCCCTGCAGGTCCGAAAGGGCATGCCGCTCGATGTGCTCCGGCAGAATCCAGCCAGCCGCAAAGCGCTCCCACAGGGCGTCGCAGCTGTGGGTGACCGGGCCGCAGTGGCTGTCGCAGCACCAGCGGTAGCGGAGGCTGAAGAGAGCAGCGCGGTCCCTGAGCAGCATGCAGACGCCGGTGCAGCGCCTGCAGCGCTCACTGAGCAGGCGGACAGCGTGACGGGCATGGATGTTGATGTCATGGGTGACGATGTGCCTGCCGATGACAGCAGTGACACGCACGAGCCAGCAGCCAGGGCAGATGGATTGCCAGATGCCAGCACTGAATCACTACCGCAGCCGCCTTCAGACGACGAATCAGCGCTTGCTCATGAAAGCGTTGCAGTCGTCTCATCGGGCAAATCTAAGCGCTCGGGTCCCAGCGCGCATGAGGTGTTTGGGAGCCTGATCAGGCAGCGGCAGGAGGAGAAGGCGCTGCGGCCGAGGCCGGCCTGGAGCAACCAGTCATGGGACGCCAGGTGGCATGGCGGCCCCGAGGGGGAGATGCACCAGCATGGCGGCAGCCGGTCACTGCATCAGCCGGAGTGGCAGCGCCTGAGAGAGCCGCTCCGCCGCACCACGCGGAGCAGCCTGCGCCACGGCCGCGCCACTGTTGAGGTGACTGTAAATTCCTCCAGTACTCGCAATTGTTGCTTGATTGGAGTTCTCTTGGAAGCGTTGTTTGTAGTAGATGTTAATTACTGTTAGGCTGACGTGATGGCTTATTTTGTGCAGGACCTGCAACGGAGCATGTGGAATGCCCGGGATCTTGCTGCTGTGGACACGGCTGCAGCTGCTGCTGAAGCCGTACACGACGCGGAGCTGTCCAACGTTGTTGATGCGATGGAAGTGCCAGAAGCCGAGGAGGCCAGTTCAATTCATGTTGCGGAAACCAGAGCAGCTGATGGCGAGCTGGAGACCGTTGGCGCCAAGGAGGCTGCTGAGTTGGGAGAACAGGGTGAGACTGGAGAGGCCGCTGGTACAGAGCTGACCGCAGCTGGAAATGCAGCCATAGAGGGAACTGCGCGGGACGGGGTGGGAGCCAAGCGGGCATGGCCGTGGCAGGCGCCGTTCGTCTCTCCTGGGGCGTCCCCTCTGGAGGGCCTGCGCAGGCGCTTCCAGGAGCTGTTCCCTCCCAGGGAACCCACCGCCGCCACCATAGAACAGGATATGGATCACAGCAGTTCAGCAGAAGGCGAGGCAGCTCAGGGGCCACTGCAGGTGCCGGCAGCCGACGCAGATGCGCGACCCCTGGAGACAGGGGTCTTCGCGTCAAGCGAGGACAGGCTGCAGCACTTCTCCCTGCACCGCTCCCACCGGAGGATGTATGTATCCACGGCGGAGACTGCTGCGGCCATGGCGGAGAAGGAGGAGCTGCAGGAGGTGGGAGAAACCGCGGTAGCTGCCAGCTCCGAGGGCCAGCTGGAGCCCGCTGTGGCAGAGGGCACGCCGTCAACAGACATGCCTGAGGGCGACGACGCGCGGTCAGAACCATGGGCAGGCGCAGAGTATGCGGAGCAGCCAGAGGCACCGCCCGCTGCAGAGCACAGAGAGGAGGATCTAGGCGAGCCGCTACAAGAGTCGCCAGCCGATGAGGCAGAGAATGCTGCTCCTGGAGTGGAAGAGGGCACCGTGGAGGATGCAGGAGACAGGGAGGAAGGCCCCACTGTGCAGGAAGAAGCTCCGGTGCCGGCAGCCGCTGAGCTCATGAGAGTCGATGTCCCCTCCTTTTCGCTCCCTGAGCAGCAGCCGCAGCCGGAACCACAAGTCGCCGAGGCCGAAACTGCAGAGGCAGAGACCAGCACCGCTGCAGCGCCCCAGCAGCCTGACGAGGCCGGCTTAGCTGCCGACAGCTCGCAGGATGCCAAGGAGCCGGCGCAGGCCAGTCAGCCAGCGGCCGAAGCAGAGCCTGCACCCGCAGAATTGCAGTCCCAGCCGCAGCCGCAGCCGACGGCAGAAGAGGATCCTGCTGCTCCTGTGGACCCGGTCCCGCAGGAGGCGGCATTGCCGGTGGTTGGGGACGCTGCGGCGCTTCGAACGAGCAAGCCAAATTTGGCACCTTCTCCGGCCCCGGTCGTGTCGACCAGCCCCGACGGAGCCGGCGGCGGCCGCGCATCGTCCAAGGCCAAGCACTCGTGGCAGTCGCCCGCGCTCAGCGCTCGCTACGGCGAAGTCGAGGACAACGAGCCGCGCTACAAGCCCCGCCGACCCGACGCCGATGCCAGTGCGTCCCCTGCCCAATATGGGTCTTTACGCCGGCAATCTTGTTATACAGCACTGGGCCGCGTACCTCCATTTCCACATGCATTGAAGATCGTGCAATGTTGCGTCTTGAGAGGGCTGCGCCTGCAAACTTCAGAAGTGGAACCCCAAGTAGCCCTAGCCTCCTTACCTGACAGTTTCAAGACTTGCCGATCAAGTCAGGGGTATGACAATTTAGTTGTCTTGTGCTTTGGGCAGGCTCTATGGGCGGAGTGCGAGCGTGGGCGGCCAAGCGCATCGGCGCGCTGGTGAAGTCGCTGAAGCCGCCCGATGTGGCGCTGAATGCGGTGTCGATGCGCGGCGGCGACTTGTATGCGACGCTGACGGGGGAGGCCGTGCCCCGCCATGTGCAGAACATCGATTTGAAGCTGCGCTTCGGCCGCGACTACCGCTCGATCACCCTTGACCTCAACGGTGTGCTGCACTGCCTTTCGCTGCTTTTACTTGCATCAGTGAGGAGATTTGCAGGAAGCTTCCATACATCACATCGAACCTCTCCTGCCTGGAAACAGGATGCCATAGGCGTGCTGCTCAAGATTGGGGCTTGCTGTGCATGCATGTTATCTTGCATTTAGCAAGACTGTTGCACATCAACAAAACATATATCATGCAGTAGCAGAGGTGCTTTACCCATTTTTTGTGCTGCCGAAGGGTTGGCACACGAGCGAGACTCGGCCTCAGACAAGTGCACGATGATCAACCCGAATGGGCAGCGCCACTTGCGCGATGTTCCCTCTGCGCCCATCGTGCGCTCCTTCTCTGAGGTGCCTCAGGTGGCCGCCCCGCCGACACAGGGCCAGGTGGCTGCTGCAGACAGGAGCACCTCTGCCTCCGAGGCCCCTCTTTCGTTCTCCACAGGTGTGCTATCTGTGACACTCTGTCCTTGATCAAGAATTTGTGTGTCTGCATGCTGTGCATTTGCCTCCTGTTTGTGTGAAATTTGCAGGTAGCAGCCTCTGTGATGTGCCTGGCAATCAAAGGCAATGACAATGACAATGAATGGTTTAAACAGATGACTAGTATACTCCACACAGCATCCCTCACAAATAAATTGGAATGGCATCAAGTTGCTTATTTGAGGCTGAATGGGAGGTGCATGCTGTTGGCAAGCAGGGACGCAGGCGCGCGAGTGGGAGGAGCAGCTGCAGGATCTGGCAAAGGAGCACTTGGGCGGCACTGACGGGGTGCGGTCGCGGTCAGAGGGTAACCCAGACTCGCCTTACGGCGCGGACGTCACCATAACCGAGCCGCAGCAGGAGAAGCAGTCCTGGCTGGCTGGCGTCGTCAAAGCCGGCAGCAAACCAGCAAAGCCCACAGGTGATGCACTGAACAAGCTGCCACTGAGGGAAAACTTGAGACAGTCCTGTCAATCCGTCACTTTCTGTGGGACAATGCAGAATGTGTGCATGCTACAATTGCAGAAACGCATACGGGGACTCGCACAACTGTCCTGACCTGCGGCTTCTACGGCAACACTGACAGTAAACTGAGCTTTTGCTTGTCGTGTTAGGGCTGGTACGCCCATTTTTACTACTGTACCTAGATGACATGCAAGATGCCAAGTGACAGTGCTGCCACGGCAAAGGCAGCCTAGAACATCCTTGCACCTTAGCTCTTTACAGCAGCACGACCTGCTCAAATGTTGCATGCATGCAAATAATGCGAACTAATGTTTGTAGGGGGCCGCATACGCCTGCGGCTGAACGTGAAGGAGCTGGCCAACCCAGATCGGCTGGCAGATCTGGATCTCACCATCTGGGGCGACAACCTGCATGCGCCCCTCATAGAGCGCATCGTGGAGCTCCCCATAGACATCTATGGCGGTGAGCTGTCAACTACACCGCACCGCCTGGATTTTCATCTTTGTATATGTCAACTAATGCTCCCTGACCTTCTTTTACATCTGCTCTTTCTACATGGAAAGCAGACATAGGCCTATTTGTCTTGCAATCCGGCTGCCCAAATAAAGGCATGATGGCCTTCTGTCAACTGTCCATCTTCAGTACATGGTTACCTGCACCAAGCACAGCTTTTCCGAGAGCAGCTGGGGTGTGTTGCAGGGAGGATTAATGGCAAGCTGCGAATCATGTCAAATGACAGGGAGACGTGGAAGTTCCCGGCCATTAGGGGGCGCGTGCGAGGCAGCGACCTGGCTTTCCATTTCTTCGACGCCCCTGACGACTTTTCGCGCACCCGCCTGGACCTGCTGTTCGAGGGCGACCGCATGTACTTCCACGGCGCAGAGGGCTTCTTCGGCGCCGTGCCCATCACCCTCAACGGTGCGCACATTGCAGCCTTCCCCGTCTTAATCTGGGATTGGCTTGCCTGTAGGGTTTTATTGCCTCTGCACTATGGATTGCCTTTCCACATGATTGTGCCTGGCGAACGTCTTGGTAGCTGCATGCAAGTTTTGAAGGCCCATGCAGTTGCATGCATGTAGAACAGGGACCAACACTCCACAAAGGGTCCAGAGCAGCAGTGCGCCAATGTCGTAATCACTGCTGAAAGCACAGACCTCCAGTTTGAAAAGGAGAGCGGTACGTAAATGACTCGGTGTGGTGTGGGGCAGGCGACATGGACATTAACCCGGAGACGGGGCAGTACCGGCTAAGCGCGAGCGTGCCGGGCGTGGAGGCGAATGAGCTGCGGCGCACGCTGGCCATCCGCCCCACACCCTTCCCCATCGGCGGCGCTGTCCGCGGCGTGCTGCACTGCACCGGGCCCCTTGAGACGCCCGTCTTCTCAGGTGCATGCCACAGGTCTTCACAGCAATTGCTAAGCCTTTGAAGGGGGTTGTGCTTCTGGAACTTTGGCCACTCCTGATGTCCTCGTATACCGCACAGAGTAGTGGCTTGGATCTGATTGAAAGGGGCTTCAAAGGCTCTCTCCAGGAGCTTGCATGTTGCAGGTCACCGTCCACTATTTCTACTCAAAGAGTGCTTATGTCCATGCTGGAACGCAGAGATGCGCAGCTTCGTCAGATCTTACAGAGTAGCTTGACTGAGGATGTCTGCTGACGAACGCAGGCACGGCGGTGGCGATGCCCCCGAGCAGGGAGGATGTGGAGGCCATGGAGGACAGCAGCGCCAAGGAGGCGCTGCGTGAGTTTCCGGCCGCTGCAGGCGCGTACGACCGCGTTCCTGTCGCCAGCGCCTCTGCTGTGTGGACGCTTGACACCTCCACCGACATCTTCCTGCTGCACTCCATCCAGGTGCAGACCTTTAAGTCATTGCTTATACTCAACTCCTCTAGGCAATGCTCCCAAAACATGAGAGGGGAGCAATGGCAAGTGTTTGTCCTCGACTACCGGAGGGCTTACCCTTCCTGTTGCTTCTTTTCATGCTTTGGAAGCTTAATACACCCTGAGCAAAGCACTATAAGTACGATACCTGGTAAAGGAGGGCGGTGGAGCACCTGTGCGCTTGGCTGAACAATACTGACATGGTTGGGCAGGCAGAGCCGCTAGGGGGAGGGCAGGTGCTGGGCAGCGGGCGCATGTGGGTGTCGCCGGCGGGAGAGATGGATCCGCGTGCAGTGCGCGTGCAGCTGGAAGGCCGCAACCTGCCCACCGAATCGCTCCTCAAGCGCTACCTGCCCAAGGCACGCGGCCCACTCCTGTTGCTTGCACTTCAGCATCCTGTCCTGCACACAATTGCTGCAAGGCACACAAAAGATATTTAATATGTTCTTCTCAGCATGGGGATAGCCGCTATTGATTACAGAAAGCCTGCTGAAGATTGCCATGCTCCTAGCTGGGGAGCACTCAGGAAAGAGTTGACGCTTTTTGCTGTCAGTGTCCACATTGTAGTATTTGAACTCAGCAAAGTGGAGCTCCAGTATTATTACTTCAAGGACCTGATCTGTACTGGACCAGTTGCAGCCATGCACATGTCAGTGCACCCTGAGGGACCCTGACTTTGCCACAGGGAACGCCTCTGCCTGCGGCGACGGAGCTGGGCGACAGCAGCGTGCACGGGTCGATGGCGGGCTCTTTCCTGGCGCCCGACCTGCACGTGCGCTGGGAGGCGCCCGCCGCGTCAGCTTCCGGCAGCGCCGACTTCAGCCGCGACGCCAACCGCTTCACCTGCCGCGCTCCGTCACTCGACGTCAGCGGAGCCCTCTTCCTGCGGCCAGCTCCCTTTGACGCGGTCAAGGCCGTCCTCACACAGGCACGCCCCTGGAGATATTCTCTCTCTTCCCCTCCCAGATTCTGGACGTCTGCAGTTGCACCAGAACTTTTCTCCTTGCATCCATGGTGAACATGTAACGGAGTCTTTCCTCTGCATTCTATTTGCGTGACTATGGCGCACAAATGCAGCCGAGCCCGTGCACTGAGGTGTATGCAGGGGTACATGTTCTGGCAGCACAGGCCCAAGCTGCTGAATCATTGTCTCCATAGCATTGAAATAATAGATTGGCCACTTGTTTTTAATTGTATAAAGCTATTTGTATTTTTTGGCTCATGACATACATTTGCAGGCGGAGGCGACGGCGCTGGCGCAGCCTCAGCTGGAGGGTGCGGACATCGACTGCAATTTCAAGGGCCTGGATGTGCTGCCCATCGCAGCCGCCCTTGAGCGCGGGTCGGCCACAAAGGCGCAGCGCCTCAAGCTCAACGGCCGAACCAAGTTCTCCGTGCGCCTTGTGCCCACCGGTGAGTGCGGCCTGTCAATTCAACTTGCATGTCATGGTGTTTATCAGGCACCTTGAGGCTCTCAATTTCAGGCCTGCCCAATTTTCTGCTTTCCGGCAGGCTTCATTGCATCCTGATGTATGGAGCTGTACCAGGCGCGTCATTTGGTATGGCCAGCACAGAGAGGGCATGAACGCTCCAGATATGTTTCATAAAGTCCTTTATTTAAACACAAGATGGCAACAATGGATGGCCCTGGCAATACAGAGAAGCAGGCCAGCCAGGGCAGCGAGGAGCAGCAGCAGGAAGAGGAGCGGCGGCCATCCGCGTTTGCAGGGGACCTCACGCTAGAGGGGCTGCGCGTGAACCAGCTGAAGCTGTCGCGCAACCTCACCGGCACCGTGCTGCTGTCCGAGGACCGGTTCCAGATCCGAGCAAAGGTGGGTCAGTTTGGAAAGTCCGTTATACTTTGGGTACATTGCATCAAGTCATCTTGAAAATGACCTCAATTATAGAGCCCTTCTCCGATCACATGGCAAGTAATCTGTCCTTTTCTAAGGACATAAAGCCCACCGCTGACCATGGTATCCCTGGTGTTTGCACAGGGGCAGCGGCCGGACGAGACGCTGGACGTCAACCTGAAGCTGCCATTCTCGCCAGGCTCCAGCCCGGCCACCAATGCAGCAGCGTCCAACAAGGCCGCCGCATCAACAAGCACCGCGCCGCCGGCCGCCGCGCCGGCAGGAAGCGGCACCGGCGGAGCATTGCTAGGCAAACGGCGCGCCGGGCTGGGCGGCCTGGGTACGCTGCTGCCCGTACCGCGGTTTGCGGGTGCGGCCGCGCAGCCGCCGCTGCTGCCGCAGCCGGCCGGCGCCGTCGCGGCCGGTGATGCCTCGGCGCCTGGCAGCGACGGCCATCAGGGAGGCAACTTCATGCTGCGCTGCGGCCAGCTACTCATGTCGGCCGAGGTGCGCGCGCTTAGCATGAACCGTTTCTTCAGCCCCTGCATTGACTTGTGATCGAATAAGCCGCTAACATATCACGATGATACACTTGGTTGGTGATGATCAAGGGTCTCAGCTTGAGAAAATGGCGTTTGACGCGAGGTGGCTGCGCTGATGTGCGCAGGTGAACGCGGAGGCGAGCCGGGTGGAGTGCGCGGTGCAAGGCCTGTTACTAGATGAGCTGGAACTGGCGTCGCTGCGAGGGGAGGTGCAGGAGGCGTCGCTGTCGGTGAATCTGGAGCAGCGGCTGGGCCGAGCGGTGGTGGCCGTGGCTGGGCCGCGCTTCAGCGGGCTGCAGGGGCAATCCCTCAGCGGCGCCTTCCGCTGGGAACGCGACGTCGTCCGCCTCGAGCGCGCCGTGCTGCAGCAGGCCAACTCCAGGCGCGCCCGCCATATTCTCTCTGTAATTAATCTTAGGGGCTCCCTACATGAAGGTCGAAGGGATTGCTAATGCGCTTGTGGGAGCAGGAATGGGCCCTCCTCATGAGCAATTGTTATTGTACTCATGCCGTTATAGAGCGGCAATTGTCAGTCTTCAGGAGCAGGGTAGTGTACTGATGCACCAAGTGCATGTCGTAAATGCTTCAGCACAAAAATGCATGTGGCTTAAATGGATGGTCTGGGCGCAGGTATGAGGTGCAGGGGGAGTACGTGATTCCCTCCGGTGCCACAATCCCACGCTCGGCAGCTGAAATGGCTGCGGCTGCGCAGCCCCCCAACGCGGCCAACGTGTCCCCCTTTGAGACCGGCGGCGGCCGCTGGCGACTGCAGGTAAACTCCCACCTTCTCTCTGTTGTCCAACCTGAAAAATATTGGGCGCGGCATCCTCGGCTCCATTCCTCCCTTTACATCCAAAGCCCGCTGTACCCCGTTCATGCCATGATACCCCAATAATTTGGGTGTAATTTGTCTCAGTCCGCTTCAGTTGGCTGCTTTGATACGGGCAGCTGGACTTATCATGTTCGCTGGTTGCCACTCAGGTGAATGTGCCGACAGCCAACATGGAGGAGATTCTGCCAGCGGCGCGGCTACTGAGCAGGGCCACTGCGCTGTCCCCATCAGACTACGAGCGCGCCAAGGCCCTGTTCCTGTCTGGCGTGGACGCCTCCAACATGGCTGCCCAGGTGAGTCACACCTCCTGAATTATACACACCACATATTTTATCGTACATCCCGTTGCCATGCAGAAAGAGCGCATGTGATCGACCCTGTATGGAGGTTATTGCCGTGTGGCGGACCTATCAGCTGGCAGCTTCCATATGGGATCTCTCCAATCTGGCATAAATGATGCAATGGTACACTAAACCAGGAGGGGCACTTTTGACTTTCCCTAAATTTCGAAGCACAGTTCAATACTTGCATGTGAGATGCACTATAGGGGACTTTTGGTCAATTTAGATACTCCTGCGCAGGAGCTTGGACGGCAGTTGGAAGCGGCGGCGCAGGCGGCACGCATGGCGATGGAGGCAGACGCGAGCATGCAGGAGTCCTCCGAGGACGCAAGTTTTGGCGCGCCTGAAGAAGCAGCGGCAAGGAGCAGCAAGTCGTCCAAGCCGGGCGGCGGCAGCACACCGCGCGGCACACTGCCAGGACTGCAGGTGCTTAAATATAAATTCAATGAAAATCACAATTACGGGAAATTGTATGTCCGTTTCTGCCTTGCTGCAGCACTATAAGGGTGTCGCATGCACCGAGGACTAAATTCTTCTCTGGATAAAGAGAAGATTTGACAATGCTGGGACAATGTGTAGGATCTGCGTGGGCAATGGAGCGGAGGAGTGCAGGCATATGGCGGCGGCGGTGGCGCCACGAATGTGGACTTCAACGTGCGCGGCCAGGACTGGCAGTGGGGAGACTACGGCCTTGACCAGGTATTGCATCTCCCCTTCTTTTGTACAGTCTTTCATTACTTTACCTGATAATGCTTTCGTCATGGCAGGCAATCTATTGGGGTTTTTTTGAACGTTACATCTGGCTGCACTGTCATCCCTCAACAAGCAATTTTACAAGTTAATCCCTGACTTTTTTCTACAGTCCTGAATGCAGTGTTGGTGATGACCGATCACAACTTGTTCTGGCTTTGCTGACGACATGACAATGGTTGCTTGGTCAGGTGGTGGCCAATGGGAGCTGCCACAGCATAGAGGGCATAAAGCTGGAGGAGCTGGGCCTCAAGGCGGGCGAGGCCAAGCTGCTGGTGCGCGGCAGCCTGCTTGGCGCTGCACAGGACGCCTCCATCATCCTCACAGACTTCCCCGTCGCTGTGCTGCAGCCGCTCTTCCGTGCACTGCCCGCCCTCGAGCACGCCACTCCCGCTGTCGCCGCTGCTGGTGCGGCCTCAACACCGCTGCATTACGCTGCTTCCTCACCTTGTTTTGGGTATTGGTGTCCTGTTTTGACATGCATTGATTGTTATTTTGTTCACTACTTTGTTCACCAGGTGCTCCTTGCTAGCGAGCAAGGAGACCTTACTTGCTCATTGTCCTTTCAGCTTTTTGATCACCAAAAGCAAGCTGTTGATCCCAACAGAAGGCTTGATACTTTGTTCAGATCACCATGAGTGGCAAGTACTGCCCTAATGCGTCAGTGAGTGTTTGTTGTGGAGCGCCCAAGAGGGAGTGGTGGTGGCGCAGGTGGCTCCGGCGGTGGCGGCGCCGGGGGCACGCTGGGGGGTCTGGCAGTGCCGTTCCTGCGTGGGGGCCACCTGCGCAGCAGCATGCACCCCTCCTACAGCGTGGGGCTCGCCAACTCCCCCGTCAACGGCCTCCTCTATGTCCGCGGCACCATCGGTCCGTCCTGCTAAGATCCTGGACTTCGAAAAATTGACATGCTGAAATTGCCTCCTGATATGTTAATTACACTGGGGAGGTTTCCAGGACAGGAACATCATGCTGAGCATGTTTGCTTTAGAAAGTTGGCCAACTCAGTGTGAGCATCTGCCATTCTAGCCATGGCAATGAATCAATTTCGTGGGGCTCGGGATTCAAACTAAGAGCAAGGCATCGGCAAACGTGAGCACGCAAGATGTCAACCGCAAATGCGCCGATTGCAATATTTTGAAATATCTTGTGGTTGGTGTGCGGCAGGCGGCAGCGCTGCGGTGCCGGAGGGTGAGGTGGTGGTGCGTCTGTACGACGGCGCCATCGGGCCCACCTACCTGGCGCAGGCGCAGGCGCAGGCCTCCCTCGACGCCGCCCAGCAGCTCTCCTTCTCCGCAGACCTGGCCCCTGCCGAGGCCGGCCGCCATTCCGGCCACGTCCGCGTCTCCGGCAACGTTCCCCTGCGCCCCTCCCCGGCCCTGCCAGGTGAGAGCACCAGTCTCTGTTCTAGAGTGGTAATTTTGCAACAGTATTGCACGCCACGCAGACGTGGCATGCTGTGCATTCAAATTCGTTCCTGGAGGTAGGGGAGCCGATAGGAACGTGCCACATGCCCTCTGTTCTGGCGAGGCCATAAAGTCCGGATCTCAGATCTGAATCTATGTGCAATTGAAGACTGCCGCCTCTAGCTGACTTAATGTGAACAGGTGCATGTCTGCAAATGCAATGCAAGTGTACACGATGAGCCTGCTTTCTCTGGGCGCCACAGAATATTATGTTGCTGCCTCAGCAGGGAACGGTGGATCCGCCGCAGCTGGCACGGAGGGCGCCAGTGTTGGGTCTGGGAGGAGCGAAGAGCTGGAGGTGAATGTGAGCGTGAAGGATGGCGGCATGATGCTGGTCACAGCGCTGACGCCCGACCTCAGATGGCAGAGCGGCGCTGCAGAGCTGTCCATGCGCGTGCACGGCTGTCCTTCCCGCCCCCAGGTGCCCCCTCTTTTCTCTTCTCTTCAATTTTCCGGCCCTCCTGAAACTTCAGAGGCACAACGTGCAAGTGTGACACCTTGTAGAGGCAAGCTCGCGTGTCAATTATGGCCCAGTTGGTGAAAGTTGTTGTTTTGCTGGGTTTGCAGGTGGAGGGCAGGGCTCATTTTGCCAAGGCGGCCATGTCTTGCCCTTGGCTGAAGTATCCCCTGACCAACCTGGGAGGCACCGTGCGCATGGCTGACAATGCGCTGAAGGTCAGCCACTCACATCAGCCCGGCACCTGCCTTGACTGTCTACAAATGCTTGTGTAGAGAGAATTGGTTGCATGAACAAGTGGTGGTGAAACTGAGTGAAAGTAGATGGATGGTCAGTTGTCTTAAGGTTGTTTTGTCAGCGATCTTCTCTGTGTGCAGATTGAGGGACTGGAGGCGCATGTGGGTCGGCGTGGCCGCATCAGGGTGAAGGGTGGCCTCCCGCTCACTGCTGACGCGGCGACAAATCCCGACGCCAATCTGGCCCAGGCAGCAGGCGCTGACGCTGTGAAGGGGGCTGCTGGCAAGGAGTCCTCCGTGGGCGCTCTCATTGTGGACATCCATGGCCTCGAGCTGCGCCTCCGCAACGTGTACACAGGTATGATCTATCTGCGTGCCTGCAATACATTCTTTGTTTCTGGCCTTTGTAAACTCCAGGCATAGTGCATGAAAGGCAGGAGCTAATGTGCAGACGGCTGCCTGCCTTGAACACCTACCATTGTGCTGCGCAGGCTATCTGGACGCCGGACTGAAGCTGCAGAACAGCCTGACGGCGCCGGCGGTGGGGGGCGACGTACGCCTGTCTCGGGGCGTTGCCTCGCTCATGCCGGGGGGCCCGTCGCCCCCAGGCGGCAGCGGCGGCGGCAGCAACGGCGCGTCCTCATCAGGCAGCAGCGGCCAGCAGTCCGGCCTGGGCGCTCTGCTGGACGGCGGCCGCGCGCGCGAGACCGATCTGGTCTTCAAGGCCTTCACAGTGCTCACCGGCAAGGACGCCCTCGCGCGCCAGCTGTCACGCTTCGACATGCAGCAGGCGCGCCCTCCCACTGCCCTGCCTCAAGCATTATCACGCGAGCACATGCAACAAACTAGCTTCAAGCACGGGCTGTCTGCACCTTGATCAGATTTTGATGTGTCCAAAGTACTTCGCATGCTCGTTCATTGCTTGTGTGGCTGCTGCAAGTCGTGCATCCAACTGTCCGGCAAGTGGCTTGTTGAGCACCACTTGGAGGTTCCCATGCACAGAAGGACTTGTCCTCGTGCCGTACTGAATGTGTTAAGATTCCCAGTGATAGGAAAAGGGGCTGGCGCGCAGGCTGGCGAGGTGGCGATGCAGCCAGTGGCGCAGTCGGTGGAGCTGAAGGGGCTCAAGATCCACTTGGGCCCCGAGCTGCGCGCCATGTTCCCAGTTGTCCTCAACATGAGCATCTCCGGCGACATCGAACTCAACGGCGCCGCCGACCCAGCCTCCCTCAAACTCGCCGGCATCATCCACCTCGATGGAGGAGAGGTGTGCTTGATTCCCTCGTGCATCTCTGCCTCACTCTGCATTGAGCAGGCATCTTCCTCCAGAGTGAATTTCTTGTGAACTGCTGCTGTATACACTTCGGCATGTAGCATGCCTTGAGAAGTGACTAGAAGGAGTGGGGGAGACAATGAGCTTGATGTGATGAGAGCTGCGTGTGCTGGTGCATGTGATGTGAGACCTGAGGTGGTGTTGATGGCTGCACAGGTGAACCTGGTGGCGACGCAGCTGGTGCTGGACAGGGAGCACCCCAACCGCCTGGTCTTCTCCCCCAGCCGCGGCCTCGACCCCCTCCTCGACCTGCGCCTCAAGGGGGCCCAGGTACCCGCTCTTGATGCCCTCGTCCTTGTTTTTCTGCAAAGATATTGTATCTTGCAAGGCTGTCCGTGTCAGGATTGTGCGTACAGTGTCGCGGTTGGCCAGATCACTGAGCGGCGGCGGTGTGCCTTTCCTGCAGGTTCAGGCGTTGATTCAGGGGCGTGCCTCCGCGTGGCAGCAGAACCTTGTGCTGACTCCTACCAAGGCCGGCGCTGGCGAGGCGGTGAGTCCGCACAGCCGTGCATCATTCCCATTTTGGCATATTTTTTACCAGGACAAGCCCGGGCTCAACAATTAGCTCACCATGTCGGAAGGAACTCAACAAAGTAGAATCTGTATCTCCGGGTGAAGGACACTTTTCTGCGACTCGAGCAGAAGACAACTATTATTATCGCCATCAAAACAGTCATGCACATTGCGCATGATGGAGTAGTGTTGTGAGGGCTACAAAGGAAACACGGTACACTTTTAGCAGAGGCTTCTATGGTGACGCTGCTGCGATGCTGGCCGGTGCAGGGCGGCGCGGCGGAGGCGGCTGAAGCGGCGCGCATATTTGAGGGGCAGCTGGCGGGCGCGCTTGTGGCGGAGGATGGACAGCTAGCGCTGAGTAACCTGGCGGCCAGCGCGGCGCACGGCTTCATGCCCAAGATCCAGACGCAGGGGCAGTTTGGGCAGGCGCGCTGGCGCCTCGTCTCCGCGCCTTCCATCCCCGGTGCGCGCCCAACCGAGTCTCCCTCCACATCGTTGTTTATGTGTTTGGCAGAAACTTTCCACGCTTGAACAAGTGGTTGTGCCCAGCTTTCACCTATCGGAATGTCCCTGGCTGCGAGCCAGAAGACATACATACTGAATTGAGAAAGTTCCACAGTAAAAAGAGGTACTGCTAAGGAATCTGGTTTTTAGTTTGGCAGGTGCAGGCGGCTGCAGATTCAGGCATGTTGTCTCTTGCTGGGTCTTGCAGCAACCTACATGTGTCCAGGGAGTTGATGGAGGTGGGAGTAAGTGGATACTGGTCACAAGTAATGTCTGCCTGTTGTCAGCGTGTTAAGAAGAGGGAGCACTTGCGGGCTGAACACATGTACTGTCACGCGCACAGGGCTGCTGTCACTGGATCCGAGCGGCGACCCGACGTCGCTGCTGTCGTCGCTGACGATGGGCACGGAGGTGGAGGTGCACTTTGGGCGCAGCCTGCAGGCGGCCATGGCGCGCAAGCTGCGCGACTCTGACATCGCCACACAGTGGACGCTCAACTACCAGCTCAACTCCAAGCTGCGCATGCAGTTCAACATCGCCTCATCCTCGCCCTACCCCCGCACCCTCATCTTCCAGTACTCCTCAGAGACCACGCCGCCGCCCCTGCCCAGATAGATAGCTTTGGCAGCTGCCTGAGCCAGTGAGAATCTTGGCATCTGGAAAGGATATGGGCATTCATTTTGTAGCATTGTAGCTGATTTGTCATTAGCAGGGAAGATATGTTTGCATTGCGTGACTCGTGCATTTTATTGCTAGCAGTTGAAAAACTTGCTGTTTGTTTTCAAGAGAATATGATTGTGTGAAGTATTCAATGCGTTGATTTCACGATGTTTTTTCGAGGCCTTACTGCTGGCACTAGTGATAGAGCAATGCACTTCCTAGCAAGTTACTTTAGGAGCACTTATACAATTTATGATACTAGGAGCACAACAGAGCAATTGTGAACCAATCCCCACAGCGAGGAAGGACTCGTCAGTCAGCAGTCCTTGTAATTGTATCTTCAGCCAATGTTCTGACTCAATAAAGTAATCCTTCAAGCTTAAATGAAGTATATACTTGGATATTTGTCCAAAAGTACTTGGGCCCCAAGGTGGACAGTCGCACACCATCATGGACGCGGCAATGCCCCATCGGTCTATAAGAAATTCCTAGTACTAATCTGCCGCGGCATTTGATGCTACAAGCTGTACGTACACGCAATCAATCCATCTAGATCTAGATCTCGCTCCTAGTTCATGTCTCGATACGGCGCGTCTCATGTCCCTGACCTTAGTTAATTGATCAGATTGATCCGATCATCTTACCTAGCCAAACATGCTATGCCAAGGAAGCCGGGGCATGCAGTCTAAAAGTATCGAGATCTGAAAAACTCAGGATACCTTACTGATCCCTGAGCATGCTCTCACAAAGGGAAAGAAGCCTAGATGTACAGCATATAATGTCTGCCAAACCTTGCATCCATGCGTCACAATACTATACTATAGTAGTACTGCCTTTGGGCACATTCATATGATGCACCCTCTGATCCAGGATGTCATTCCTACGTAAGAGGAAAGGGAATGAGAGAAGCATGAAGAAAACTACACTCCTGAGTAAGAGAACTTGCTTGGCCTTGCATCTCCACCTTCACAGCCCAGAAGTATTGAGCCACAGGTGGCAGCTCTTGCAGAAGGACAGCAAATTAAAGGAAAATAAATGACCGGAGCAGAAGTGCGTGCTCCAGGCCCTATAATAGCAGCATTGCTGTATTGAAATCAATTTCAGCCTCCGTCTTTCCTGAAGTGGGGAAGGACTCCAGGGGCAGGCTCTGGCACGCCTTCTGGAGGGTATGCCGGTGCATTGGGCCCGCTGCTGGAATGGTAGGGCGGCAGAGTGTACAGTACACCCTCGCTGCGCAGCTGCTCATTGATCGCCAACAGCAGCTGCGTCCGCGCAGCCTGCATGCGCCCGCTCGTGGCTGCAACACAAAGCAATTTAGATAACTGTCTATGGCAAACAGCGGCACACACGGAAGGCCATCAAACACTGCGAGTCAGATTTCTGAAGGAAGGTCAAGAGGTGAATGCCGAAAAGTGCATGCAAGGCCTCGTGCGCACCATTGTAGAGGTAGGACCACCAGATCACCATAGAAAGCTTCATGGGGTCTGCGCCGATGTTGCAATGCACACTGTACTCGCCAGAGAAGTCCTGGGGGTTTGCATTCACATGCTTCCCAATTGCCTCATCCATGCGGTCGAATACTTCAGAGGATGTCCCGATATCAATAAGAACCTGCACAAGACAGAGGGCCGTGGGGGAAGTGGCAGGCACCTGCAGCTTTTTGTATGGAAATTAGGGTGCAGAGTGTCTCAAAGACTCGCACTCTACACCCTAACGTTGATATGCATTTGGAGAAATATGCATTTGGAAAGGCTTGCAACTGCACACCTTGAAGGTCTCTCCCTTCTTTTGGGATCTCGTCACATTGGTGAGCAGATCAACTGAAAGCTTGGCGTTGGGGCAGAGGATGCGGCTGCCCTCCCACTTGATGAAGATTGTATTCATCAGCGTTATCTCCTCCACCTGCACGCCATCGTATTTCTTGTGGGACATAGGCAAAGACCTGGCTGCCACAGTTGCTACCAGAAAAGGAAAGTTTGTCCCTACTTCCTGCCAGTGTAGCATGGACAGACACAGCAAGGCAGAGGTGTTCAGTGCAGCTGGCGGTGGCTCGAGCTGGTTCACACCGTGCACCAGTCCTGTGCGGGTCCGAGCAGGATCACATCGCCCACGTCGAAAGGGCGCACTACGAAGAGGTACACCACGCTCTCATAGATGGCGCGGATGCTGTTCCCGAACACAAAGACAAAAGAGAGCAGCAGACTGGACACAGTCAGCCAGGTACGTGTCAGATTCACCTGCAAAGCAGACAGCTATCCCTTCAGCAATCCCTGAGAGCATGCGCACCTTGGCAAAGGACACATGTACATTAAATATTCTGTAGAGGTGCTGTAGGTGATTTAGGGCGTGCATTGTGGAGCTCACATCAAAGATGGCGAGGTAGAAGAAGATGAACAGGAGCTGGAAGCAGATGCCCAGCAGGCGCTCCAGCTTGCCCACAATCGTCTTTGTGTCCTTCAGCGTCGCTGACAGATTCTTGCGATTGTCATATATCTGCACAGCACATAATTGACATCAGGACAGAGCTCAAGAATGCACTGTGCTGTTCAGCATGCACAAAGCTCTGTTGCATGCGCAGCAAGTGTCACGACTCTCAGAAAATCTGGGCTGTGAGGCCATGACAGCCCAAGAATCTGCAGGGGCAGTGTCTGCACCTGCAGCACTGCCTCTTTCATATCATCTGAGCTTATATGGCCATCAGCGTCACAGTCGAATGCATCCAGCGCTTCCCGCGCCTGCTCCTCTGGCAGAAAGACCTGCAAGTCCTCCAGCTCCACAAAGGTGCTGCAAGAAGGCCAAACATTGCAAATTGTATTTGTTGCCGCACTTCAGTTCTGGAAGGACTTCTGCACTCAAAGTCTACATCCAGAATATCCACGAACTCGACACCTCAAATTGCACTATTACAAATCCCCGCCGAAATGCACCAGCATGGCTGAAACTCGGCTTGTTAGTATCAAGGTGGGAAGATGGCGGCGCACCTCTCAAAGGATGATTTGCAGTTCCAAAAAAGGTAGAAGGCCAGTTTCTTGGCCTCATCCTGGCTGGACACCTCATCAGCCTTGTGCGCGGCTCCCAGGCGCTCTGTCAGCGTCAGCTTTAGCTTGTTCTTGCGCAGATGCTTCTCCACACGGTGCAGCCGGTCCAGAAAGCTGTTGTTGTTGTTGGTCGCTGACTTGGCCGGCAGCACCGGGACCACATCATCGTACTCGATCTGTCTCATCAAAAAGATGCGTTTAGACATGCATGCATGCATTGCATGTATTATCAATTGTTAATCAGATCAATCAAAGAGCATCTCCCCAATATGCTTAAAGCCTGTTCGCCTTGATTGATGGCAAGGCCTGACATGGCTTAAGGACTTTCTGGAACCCCTGGTATTCCCAGAGTTTGGCACTCGCCTAACAATTCTGGCCACAAAGGACACGATCCAGAATGCAGAATGCGGGCCAATCACAGGAGGACTCATTGCCGGCTGCTTGAAGGAAATGAGGTACCTGCGACTGGCGGCGGGTGCGCTGCGGGCGGGCGCGGCGCATGTCGCTGCTCATGAGGCTGGTGATGCTGGCCAGGCTGCGCTGGGCCTCGCTGAGGTGGCTGGCGCGGCTGAGCACCGAGTGGCGGTCGCTGTCGCTGCTTGACGCGCGACGCCGCCCGCCCGGCTCGCTCCGCGGCGACGTCGGCCGCGGGCTCAGCCGCGGCAGCACCGCATGCGATGCTGCTCGGATGGACTCCGCCTGTGACAGGGGAAACTTGTGAGCATCCCAACACTGCGCCTATTCCACTGAAAGAGAAATACTTATATGCCACCTGCGGCTCTCAACAATGTGACGCTGATGATGGTTCGACATGCTTCACAGCCTCTGCAAGACAGGTCTGATGGAATATGCAGGGCGAGGAGGTCCAGAATCTGCACCAGTTTGCCCATTGCAGCGCTGACGCCTGACTTGGCCACCGTGGGGCTGTTGTCATCAGTGCTGGGCCGCTGCTGTGCGAGCGCCACCAAGAAATACTCCTGCAACATGAGAGACCCTGATGAGCTATGTTCCAGAGGAACAGCAGTGACCCACAAAGACATGGCAAACGTATCTGCTGACAAGGCTGGGAGGAGGCACCTTGCACAGGGCATCCTGCATCTTGTCAAAGTAGGAGTCCCTGTAGAAGTGGTTGCTCATGAGCTTGGCAAAGAGCGTCTTGAGGACGTTGGCGGAGCAGGCCAGCAGGATGCAGCCTGCTGTCTTCATGATGATCCAGTATGCGTCAATCAGATCCGGGTCCTTAGTCTGATTGACAGACTGCTGGAACAGCCCGGCAAAGAGGGCCATGAAGAACGCCACGCAGAGCGTCCGCTGCAGCCATTTCTGCGCGCATTGCACACAGGGTAAGTATCCTGTATACTCGATAGACTGCCCTTTGAGACCAAATCACATGAGCTGGTGCGATTGTCACTGTGGAGCAGGGAAATGTTGAAAGTAACAGTCACAGCATGCAAGGCCGAGGTCAAATGAGAAGCATAGAAACAGCGTCATACCCGCAGGCCAACCACATAGTACAGGGCTCCCTTTGCAACAAAGTTGCTTTCCAGGCCGACCACAAGCAGGTACATGACCAGCCTGCTGATGCCATAGAGGGGGACAGTGCCAGCAATGAACACCAGCCATCGCCAGGCCTCAAACTTCCACAATGCCTGCAGCACCAAAAGGACAATTGGTAGCCTTGCTGACTGGACAGAGGAGCAGCAAGGTGGTTAGAGACCTGCACGGGTGTTTGTGAAGACATGCACAGGGTGAAGAAACTGCAAGCAAAGTGATGGCCTGAGCTGTGACTAGAGCCTCACCAGATGCGGCTTGAGGACATAGACGAGGATGCCAGCCAAGAAGAGGGCCAGGCTGGCCAGGAAGGGGAGCACCAGCCTAGAAAAGTACTTGCGCCGGAAGAATGGACGATGTCTATGTTCCTCCTCATCCTCGGCATCATACACTGTCCCCGATGAACTGCTTTGGGAATCCTGCGTTCAGATGAATTTGTTGTCAAAGGATCTTCATGGATGCCATTCAATCTGGTATTAGGAGGCAGCTAGAGGTGGAGATGAGGTCATCACGAATACTCTTGTTATGCAAGGTTGGTGGATGCAGCTGACCTCATCGTCGGGCTTGCACTCCCTGGGAAGCGCTGCAGGCATCATCATGGAGCCTCTGCGCGCGGGCCTGTCAAACTCTGGGAAGTACATGGGCAAGTCGTCCAGCTGTGAGCTCCGCCGCCGTGCCTCTGCTGCCTGCACATCTGCTGCTGCGGTGCTTGTGCGTGCCATTCTAGATGTCGTCCCTGCCCTTATCCTGCGAGCAGTGCACGCTATCCTTGGCACCTTGTGGGAGGTGAGCTTGTGACCACATTTGACCTGAAGGCTCTCCAGCCGAGACAAGCAGCTGGGTGGAGAGCTATGCATCGGTGAGGTCTTCAATTTCACCTGAAGTTCTTGAGGGGCACGGAATCTGCACTCTCAGTCATGTCTTCATCCAAATGCACATCCTCCAAAGCTTCCTATGCGTCGAACAAATTTGATTTCAGTTTCAGGGCAGCTGTGCATGCCTGCAGTCAATCTTCTTCGCTGAAGCTGTATAAGCTGTAAGACTGGGTCTGCATAACTGACCGTGGGTTCAAAAGTCGCATCCTGGGGAGGTGCAGAATCGATGGGAAGCTGGAGGGATCGTGTCCTGTTGCTGGACGTTTTAGGGAGTGGTGGCAGAGCATCCCAGTATTGTTGAAACAAAGCCCCAGAGTCACTTGGCTTGTCGTGGTGCCAGTGCGCATGCAGTGATGCTCTTGCCTCAGCGGTACTTAAAACTTCCTTCTCTGCGTACTTATGTCCTGAAGTGCGGGCAGACAGCAACACAGACTTTGCATCTCGTTTTGTGAGGTTGTATTTTTTTTTTCATTTCCTCCAGCTTTTTGAGCCATTGCATTTGAAAAAAACCTGTTTAGCTTCAAATAATGCAATCAAGGACTCCTCACCCGATGTCATTGAAGAAGCACGCCGCAAAGCCGCACCCTTCTTCAAGATGCCCCTCTTCACGGCAGCTTTGGAGCCGCCCGAAAAGGACTCCGAGGACACTGGCAGCAAAATGTCGCCGTTATCATATTCTGTGACTTTTCCAGGTCTGTCGGACCGATCCTTGGCAATGAGGATCTCCAGCAGCTCTGTCTCCCCACCCTGCATTTCATTGGCCTCGAAAGGGCGTCGTACTTGGTCAACACCTCGCCAACTGCCAGTCTGCATCCGATCTGCACGGCAGAGTGGTACTACAACAACATCGTGATGTCTCACCAGAATCTCTGCCTTCACACTCCTCGTCCGTGCTGAATCTGCAAAACTACGCTTCATCGCAAAGATTGTGATCTGCCGAGTAACCGCAACTTTTTCGCCAGTTCAATGGCGTTCCTGCCGACTTGTCTCAATACGACTGTACTCATGTATCCAAGAATGAGACAGTTTCATTCATTGATCAGTACCAGTGCATTAATAGACAAAATAGGACAGACATCGTATTAAATTGCCGTCCAAGCTGCAGCTTGCTTGATTTGGGTGAGCGTAAGCAAATGCTGGTGATGGAACAGGAGAGCTGTTGCTTTCCTTTGTTCAGAGAGGCTTTCATTGACAGAGCGTCCTGGAGCACGGGTGCAGATGCGGATAGCATGCCAAGCACATCCGAAGCTGCTCATCCATTCCCACCGTCAGTCCAGGGCGCCAAAGGTGATTATTTCCTGGTCACCTCCAGTCTCCGTTCTATTGGTTCACCTCATAGACGGAGGGACACACAGGCGGAAGCTGAAGAGGATGTGACGTCTCAGAATTCTTGAAGCGCGCTGTAAAAGCTGCCAAGCACCTGCTTCCTGTCAGTCCTGAGAGTGGAATATACATGCTTGCTCACAGGTTTGGCAAACCTGGATCTGAGGGCATTGTCACGCATAGATGGGCCCCCAAGCGAGCTCCAGGCGAGGCGAGAGAAGTATGCATTTTTCGAGAAGCATTGCTCTGAGGTTGCTGACGGCATCTTCCTTGGCAGCGATGTAGTCGCACGCAACCGTGAGACGTTGAGAGCAGCTGGCATCACGCACGTCATCAACTGCGTCGGCTTTCTGTACCCCGCGTATTTCAAGGACGAGCTCACCTACCTGGTCCTGTTCTTGCAAGGTGAGACAGTAGAGCGTTTCTGAGAAAAACCCAAAATCTGCTGTTGTTACATAGAGGGTCAAACCTGTGGAAATCTTAACACCGGACATCTGAGTATCTGTCGGTGCACATGCAGATACACCAGCCGAAGACATCACCTCTGTGTTGTACAACGTCTTTGACTTCATAGAGGTGCGCAAAAGTTCCTGCTTTTCATTTATGTCCACCTCCATGTGGCTTGGGGATCCATTTGCGGGCCGCAGCAGTTTCAGCAATGGCAAGTTCATGATCATCTATGAAATTGACAGGCGGCGAGGCTGAATGGTGGCCGCGTCCTGCTGCACTGCTCCCAAGGCGTGTCTCGGAGTGCGACCTTGGCCATTGCCTACCTCATGTGGAAGAGGAGCCGACCGTTTGATGAGGTCCTGACCTCTGTCAAGGCTATCCGCGGTGTTGCCAACCCCAACATAGGCTTCACATGCCAGGTGAGCACTTGCTGTGTTGCTCTTGTGTGCCCCTGTGTGCACAGCCATTGCACAAATGTGGCCGAAGATGAGCCACACTGACTTGTTTGCCTGCTTTGCGCAGCTGCTAAACTGGCAGAGAAGGAGAGCAGCAGGAAACAGGGGCCTCAGCATGTACAGGATTTCACCTCAGTGCATGGCTGCTCCGCTGAACTTGGTCGCAAAGGCGGTGGCACCTTCTTTGCCATCGCTCGACCCTCGTGGTGCCTTCATCTTGCAGCACACCCAGCACACAATAATATGGCAGGTGAGCTCGTGACCAGATTGTGCAGCTTGAAATGACACAGCCGCATTTGGCTTTGAAATGATGCAGTGAAGTAGATTCATCTATTTGGATGTATACATCACACCTCAGCACTGCTGCGACCACCTTTATGCAGGGGTCCCGTTGCCATCCAAAATACCTTGAGGCTGCAGAGAAGGCAGCGAAACAGCTTGCCAAGTATGAAGGCGCTGCCAGTCCAGCCGTCGTCATGGTTGAGGGATCAAGCACTGCAGAGTTTGATCGCGTGGGCCTGCAAGGCAAGATCGAGAATGCTGTTCAGGAGGTTGCCGATTACAATGCGGACTACCAGGTGAGCTTCTTGTCATCAAGGACTTCTCTAATAATCCACCTTTATTGACCTTTGCCAGATGTCAGAGATGGACGTATTTGCTGGAGTTATATCAAGTTTTAGCGCATGCTGCCAAGATCAGTGGTGGTTTGCTGAAAAATTTATTGCTTCATGATCCCTGATCTCTCTTGAAAACCCTTCTGGTGCTCCTGCCTACAGATGTTCTTGGAAGCTGAGAATGGGGCCGCCAGCAGCGGGGGGCCTGACAGCTGCCGAACAAATTCCAGCACCGGTGACGGCAGCAGCCGCGCGCCTGACACAGCGCGAACGGATGGAAGCAGCAGCGGACGTGCCCCCAAAACTCCAAGGGTGCAGGTGGAAGAGGATGGCAGTCCAAACCATCGCTCCCGGAAGATCAGGCGTTCATCTGGCCCTGAACACTAGACTTCACTGGTCAAGTGGTACACATCATGGCGATGGTGTATCTTGAGTTTCCGATAGCTCACCCTGTAGCTTCTCAATTGATCAGGAAACTTGGCAACTTGATTTACGATTTTGCAAATTAATGAAGGCATTGCACAATCAGGAAACTAATCAGTTTGATGAAGGCATTGCACGATCAGGAAACTAATCAGTTTGAATTCAATACTGTTGTCTATCAGTACACCGTAAGTCATCAATATGAATTCTGGGAATCATGAGCAAGTAGTGTATGTGTACAAGTCAAGATTGCATTGTTATTCTGCCAGAGTGTGCAGTACACTAGTGAATGCCGCAGAGGCGCCGCCCGGCATTTCGAAATTTTGCGCGCATTCATAATCAATATGCAAAGTTTGCATGTGCATGAGCTAGCGCTTGGATGCGTATATGGGCACCTGAATAAAGTTGAAGTTGATGTTCATGTCCTGCATGTCAGCTCCGCATAACTCTCTTGCAGCTTTGCACACATATCTGTTTGCACAGCTGTGCTCATTGTTTGGGGCTCCTGATCTCCTGTCTGATTTGCTGACGTCATGGTGGAGACAACAAAGTTCCTTTCCTTGGTCGCACGAAGCAAATGTTCTACCGATTGAATAGCATTGCCCTTGTGAACAAATGCATGTTGCAACTTAAATCACGCAGCACCATCGACCCCAGGGCGACGTACTTGGTTTTATAGTGATATCAGAACACAGTCAACATCCATCGAGGTAGAAGGAATAATATGGATATCTGGACATTCAACGCCGACGATGACGATGATGATGAATTAATTCTGGATTCTGACAGTGGTGTGCGGCAGGATTTTTGCAGTCAGTCCACTTTGTTCAGAAGAACTGCTACTCCTGTGTTGGGCATGTTGATGAAGAGTTACTGTTGAAATGGATATGACAACAACATAAAATAATACACAATTGCGGGTGCAGATGCTGGCAACCAGCCTGCTCACAAATTTCCTGCAGCGAAAAAAGCTCGTATAAAGTTGGGGCAGCATGGGTCAAGGCCAATAAGCCTTCTTGATGACATTGACGATCTGGTAAGAATCTGATGTCGCTTGTTTCCCCTTCGTTGGCAGCCCTCCTCTGGCAGTGACAATGTTACTGTAAGGCATGCAGACAGTTTTGGTTTGAAGGCAAGTCAGTACTTTGCAGGACGATGAGAGGAAGCCAGCACCAGAGCTGGAGAGGAACTACGAGACATTCGGTTGCAGAACAGACGCTAGACCACAGCTGGAGGTGGCGGCCCTCACACACAAGGTTACCAGTGCTATTCCTGCAAGGCCAAGACGGTTGGATCCTGCTCTTCAGGCAGAGGCCATGCGAGCCAAAGCCAATCTGGAGAGGATCAGGAGACAGGCTGAAGAGGCAGCTGCAGCTTCAGGTGAAACACAGGAGGAACTTGACACATTGTGCACTACAAGCTGACTATGTTCAACAGTGTGCTTGCTGTAGTTTAAGATCAATCATGCATGCAGCTTCTGAGGAGGATGACGATGACGAGGTGGTCATCACGAGCACAGCCACTAACGCTGCCGAGGAGAGTGTGGTTGTTGAGGAGCAGAAGGTCATGCTGAGGATTAAAAGTGCCAGGGATCAGGAGGGCAAAAAGATGCGCATCGGTGTGGGTCAGCCCCTAAGCAGGCTTTTTGAAGCATATCAGCAGGCGGGGCATAAGGAGGGGTGGCTTGATTTAGGCGCAGCAGTCATCTTCAAGTGGGATGGTGAGAAATTGGGAGGCAAGGAAACCCCTGCTGGCCTGGATCTTGAAGAAGATGATGTCATCGATGCCGTATGGTAACCCAGAGATTTTGGAGTCATGATTCACCCTCTGCCAAGACCACACCAGAGAGAAGGCCAAGCGGTCATATCTTCGTACACTGCATAAGCATTTTGCTGGAATTTAACGATCTAATGAACACAATGGGGCATGTGATGGCATGAAATTACTGGAGGGATTGCCTTGTTGCGAGCATTTGCTCTTTTCTGATGTGCAAGCTTCCTAGTATGGTACACTTTGTCCCGCAGATTGACGCAGCGGCGACAGCTGTTTTAACTGTTCACTTGTGTTGCAAGAGTCTTGGACTGTATCTCTAGACTGCTGTTTTACTGGCTGTATACCTGGCTGCAGACTGACAATCGACGTGCGGCGCATGATGTTGATGAGCGCATTGTCCGACACAGTGACCGACCGTTGCCGCAATAAATTCATGAAACACGAATGATCGTTTTCTCGGCATGGAAATCCGAAGCCATACACATGCCTGAAATCCCACAATGTCAAGCAAGCTGCTGTAGCGCTGTTGCATGCCATATGAAGCTTGCTTTATCTTATATATTCTGCATCAGCACAACCAAAAGCCTACTTTGACCAGATCAATCGAACCATGCATGCACGGGGCCAGATCAGGCGGCCCACCTCGGGCAGAATTCGCAAAGAGATCGACATGTCCCACATCTTGCTTTGATCTCCATCACATGATTTCTATTCGAGAAGTGCAACATTTAGATTTGCAAGCTAGTTCGATCGTGAACACGCTGAACACCACAAGTGATAATGGCAGCTTTGCTGTGACTATCAATTCCCGCTGACAGATGGCAATGGGACAATTAGATACAGCAGATGCCTTCTCTCCAGGGAAGAGAAGGATGCTCTTTCTCATGAGACTCAAGAAGGCTGCAGAAGACCCTGGTGCGACGCCACTGCAATCTGGAGACCCAGCTAACAGAGTTTGTTATAGAACTATCGTGAGGAATCCTCTGAAATATTCAATTTTAGAGTTCTTATTTATTGCAGGGACCGTGGAAGCATCAGCGGCGTCGTGGTGTTCCACACTCTTCCAAGCCCTCCCATTGTACACCGATCTGGCGTCACAGCGGGCAGTCCTGGGCGTTTTGCGTGTAGCTCTGCGCAACGAAACTTTCTTGAAGACTTTTGCAGCCATGCTGATGCGCACAGATGGCGCCAGAGTCAGCAGGCAGGAGAGCTGCATTCTGTTTCTGTGGAGCTCTGCAGCCATACAGGCTCTCCAGCTACCTGCTGCTATGAAAGCCGCTCAGAAGCTAATGGAACGCCAGGTTTGTGCTCAGTTGCTGTCTGCTGGGGCAAATGATGAGGCTTGCATGTTATAAATCGACCTAACTAGCAAATGTCCAAGTGGGCAAGCGCGGTGTGTGCTGTGAGACCACAAGTCATCCAACAATGCAGGTTGGTGCTGCAAATCCTGGTGTCTTTCATTTTGCAGGTCACTTATCTTGATGCGTTGGTGTGGACCCACGCACCATGTCGTCCAAGCGTGAAGGCCCTGAGCAGCACTCTGCGGAAGGCGCCTGAGCTCTGGGATTCCTACCGCAGTTTGGCAAAGTCTACTGGTGGGTGTTTCTGTGGACTCTGTGTTAAAGGTCAAAGTTTGTTTGCAAGCTACGTGGCTATGAGCTGTCTTGACTACTGAGGCGGAGTAAATGTGCTCCAGGATCTCCAGGGCTAGTCAGAGCTCTTTTGGAGTACGCTCAGGCGCAGCAAGATGGAGTATCCCAGGATGAAGCTACCTTCCTGCAGATCCTGATAGACCAGGTACAGCATCTGAACCTAGGACAATGATTTGTGCCCGTCGCTATCTTTCTAACAAAATTGTAGCTCAAGAGCGGTGCTTTGCAGGTGTTGAGTGCTCGTGGACCAGTGCCGGCGGCCGTCATGGAGTGCTACAGGCCCCTCCTTGCCAACATGACGCAGGAGGCATTTGCCGACGCCCTGCTGCCAGCCCTGCTGAGGGTGGTCAAGCGGCTGCCGGAGGTCATGCTGCCCGTCGCGGACGCCCTGATCGGCATGATGATCCTCGATCTGAGCCCGGATTCAGAGACCCTCATGAAGGACCTCGTCCAGCAATTCCGCCACCCAAAGGACACCGTCAGGTGGCCACCTTGCTGACACATATAATCCTATGTCTTGTTTACTATCGTGCTTGCTTGCGCTGGTCTGAAAGGACCTTGCACCTGGAAGAACTTCCCACTTTTTGATCACTGAGCATTGTCGTGACACCTGGCTAATCTCACAGGAACTCGGCGCATGCATGCCTACGCACAGTGGCGAGCAAGGTCAGGGACACAGAGACGCTGGTGGCCATGTTTGCGGTGGCGGATGCGCTACTGAGTGGGAAAGCAGAGGGCAAGTTGCGCAGCGTGCAGGACAGGGCAGGTATTGTGAGCGCAGTGACAGCGCTCAGTGCTGCGCCTGGCAGGAGCCGTGCCCGGACAGAGCTTGCCTGCAGTGTTGCAGATCTCCTCTGCAAGCTGTATGGGTGAGCCTTTGAGCCCTTAAAAGTATCGAAGCATGGCTTCGTGATGCGTAGTTGGATAATGGTAATTGCATCCTTATGTGGATGTTTGGAAAATCATGGTTTGCACGTGATGAGACCCACTTCCGCTGGAGCAGGGAGGAGGTGAACGAGAGTGTGAAGCTGGAGATTGTGCGATGTCTCGGGCTGTGGGCGTCGGCTCTCAAGACCCTTCCGACTAACGCGCTGGAGCTCCTTACCAAGGGGTTGAAGGACAAGGAGGCTCTGCAGAAGGCTCATCTCTGTGCAATCTTGCAGGTGGGTATCAGCTTGCTGCTGGACACTATCCTTTTAATTTCATACCAAGGTGAAGGCCATGCACTTGCTCCCTGCATATATTGAGTACAGGGTATGATGCTGCGCAGATTCTGCACAGCAGTCATGAACTGTGCTGCTCTGCGGGTGGCTTGCTGGCGCCCCTGAGCAAGATAGCGTCAGACGGCAGCGTTAAGGCAGCTCAGCGTGCAGAGGGTGTCACAGCCGCTCTTGCCATTGCCCTCATTGCAGGCGCTGACGTGAAGAACAGCAAGGGCTTGGAGTCCTTCTGGACCATTCTCAGCGCTCCAAATGCAGCATTGCTGTCAGTTGCCACACTTGCAAAGCTGCCTGCCGCAGAAGCCGCCTGCGCCGCTGAGCTCGCAGAAGTACTGTTACTGCAGGTGAGTCATGTCATGCAATTTTTTGGTAGTAGGCAAATTCCAGCGTTGCGATTTCAGGTCAGATTCTACTACGTTGTCTGTGGTCGTTCTGTAGTAGAACTGATGAGCCCATTTGGATGGTCTGCAGCATGGGGACCGTATTGGGCGGGAGACGACACAGAGCTGTGCTCGCTTGTTGATGGCGGCGCTGGTGCACTATGACCAATCGGTGCGGAGAGTTGCACAGAAGGGCGCCGCACGCTGTGTGCAGGAATCTGCCTCTCTGGCAGAATCTTTTATTCGAGCGCTGCAGGAGCTTCTCGCGACCTTCACATCCTGCCCGGTACTGTCTTGCAATTCCGCGCCTTCATCAGCATTCTTGGCACAATATTCACACGAAAAATTACTCTGCAGTCAATTCAACCCTTGCTGATGCAGTGGCTTGCGCACCTCTACAATGTGCGGAGTTTAATTTTCTTATACTTTCTCACATGAGATCATGTGATACTGATGGAGTCACCTGTGCAGGTCCTCACACCTGCAACCCCGTCCGCAGATGATACCGGGGTGTCCAGCAGTGCACTCACCGAGCGTTTCCAGCATGCGCTCACGGCCATCTCGCCACGGCCACAGCAGCACCGAGGCGTGTCGCCGCTGGCCCCTGATATTGCGGCTCGCTTCCTTTTGGCTGCGAACCACCCCATCATCAGTCCTACTGGCGCATACACCCGCCCATTCTGGTGCGAATTCATTGCAGATGTGGTCTCATACAAACACCATGCAGTTCTTTCCTGTATGTCTCCTGATGTGCTCTCCTGAAGGATGGTGGTCAATCCTGAAGCATGCAGAACGAGTGACATGCTTGTGTGTTGCCCAGGCTGGCTCTGCGGAGGAGGCTGGGCAGTGTTGGGGACAGTCTGGGCACAACGGCCGCTGTGAGTGTGCTGATGGGCAGTGAGGGCGTGGGGAGTGGTAGCGCTGCAGACAGGCAGGCTGCCAATGCAGCGCTCGGCAGCGCAATGATGGAGAATGCTGAGGGCGTGCACCCTCTTGTGCTCCCGCATCTCAGTGACCTTCTTGATCGCTCGCAGCATGACGCGCTGCCGCCATCACACATTCTGATCTTCAAGACCCCTCCTGGTGAGTGCTGTCAGAGATCTGGACAGCATCTTTCCACGTCAGCTTACGAGGGTGCAAGATTTTCCGCAACGCATCCAATATATCTTCTGTTCCATTGAGCTAACAGTTGGCCTAATTCGTCAATGCAGGCCAGATAGCAATACAGATGGACATCAATTCATTGAGCCTATCAGATTCTGGGGCACCAGCAAGTGCCGGACAGGCACCAGCTGCAGCCAAGCAAGCCAAAGCAGCTCCTCGTCCGAGTATGAATGGTTCAGCCACCACCAACGGGCGCCCAAAACCCGCTGACAAGGGCAAGGGACCTGGTGCAAAGGGCGCAGAGAAGAAAGACCCTGCTGTCCTCAAGAGGGAGAAGCAGCTTGCAGAGGAAGCAGAGGTACTGCTCTCTGGTCCTGTCATTGAGGGATATGATCTAACATCTGCATCCTGTTACTTTGTCTCACAAAGAATTTTAGGCATAAATTGGGGCCAGATTAAGTTTGGAGTTTGTGCAGGTGCGCGAGGAAGTGATTGCAGTTCAGCACAAGTTGGAGCGGGGCTTGTATGCCCTGGCAGGCGCAGCCCAGGGGAACAGAGGCTTCACCGCTGATCACTTGGAGGACTTCCTGGGACTGGTGCTGCCGCTGCTGGGGTCCCCCATTGTTGGTGAGGGGGCTGCCTTTGAGGCCGTGCACGCTCTGGCGCAGTGTCTGCCCAGCACCCTTGGCAGCCACGGGTTGGCTGTGGCCCGTGCTCTGCGCCTTGTGGAGCTTGACAAGTATGGTGAGTATGGAATCCCCCTGCATGTGTTGCTGGATAAGGCTCTTGACAGTCTACTCTCTTCATGGTTGATCCATCAACTCACTGAGTGGAGCACTGTAAGTTCTTCTACAGCTTAACTTGCTGAGTCGGCGGTACATGCCCATCACAGTGCCAAACACGCTGCGAAGTGATACTGTGTGGCTGCAGAGGAACCACGGGAGCCTGACCTGGTGAGTCGTGATCCCCTTGTGGAGAGCATCATGGCACTGTCCTCGGCGACTGCTGCTGGCTCTGCCCTGCCAACACCGACATACATGATGCTGTTCCCCATCCTTGCCGCCGTTCTGAAATGGCCGCAGCGCACGCCCCTGCACGAGGACGCCTTGGCAGCTGTGGCCTTGCATGTGTCACCGGGGGGTCCGCTGCCTCGCAGAGCGACGCTCGCCCTGCTGTACAACGTGCTGGAGATTTTGCCCAGCTTCAGGTGCTTCCTTGATCTGTCATGCAGCCATATGTTGTATTGCCTGCCTGCCTGCATGCAGGCCATAATAACTCCGAAACCAACTCCATTGGAATTGCTGCGTTTAGCGCAGTGTGCGTCCTTGCAATGGAGAATGTATCATGATTCATCGATGTGGCATGCACAGGGGCAAGGTGCAGCCGCTCCTAGATGACTTGTGTAGGGGCCTTGAGCCTGAGGACGCGGCTGCAGCGCTCCAAGGTCTCCTGACCTCATCAGCAGACACACGCGCCGCCGCACTGGCTGCACTCCCACATGTCCCCTACCTTGCTTCTGGTGAGGACCAACAGCATCGTATTGGGCATTCCCCAAAAAAACTTTCTTTGCCAATTCTGAAAACTTCCTGCTTGCTTGGGGTAAAGAGGTTGCAACTCTGTAAAAGTAAAGATATCCCGTGTCAATTTTAAGTTCATAGTCATTGATTGCTGACGCTGTCTCTGCGCAGGTCAATGTCCCCAGTCTTCAGGCGCTGACACTACGCTGTTCATTGCCTGCCATGATGTGGATGAGGCAAACGCACAAGCAGCGCGCGAGCTCTTTGCAGCCTCCAAGCTCAGCCTGCCCCGCAACTTTGTCGAACCGGTCGCAACAGCACTGGCTCATCAGCACAGTGATGTCCGTTCTGCTGCAGCAGCTGCCCTTTCTGCGGGCATACAGGTGATGATCAGATCAATCATCAAGATATTTTGCTTGTCTTCTTGCATTTTTGTCGGAGCCACAATTGAATATGCTGTACCTTTGACTGTCTGAACATGCTGCAGGCACATCCAGAAGCTGTGGGGGAGGCTGTGCAGAGAATCATTAGGAGTTATGAGGGAGGCTCACAGCAGGGACGGGTCGGAGCTGCTCTCGCCCTCAGGGCCTGCGCTCCACAGCTGACCAACCAGCAAGTACCCATCGCGCTGGACTTCCTGCTTGGAGAGGGTCTTGCGGATGCAGATGACGATGTGAGGGGGCAGATGGTGACTGCGGGTGCGCCTCACTTTCTTTCCAACTCCTGCGCGTCTTTGTCAAGCATTGGCCAAGCAGTGATGAAGAGTCTGAACTGGTCTTGCAGGCATGGCTGTAGTCACGGAGCATGGGGCAAGTAGCACATCAAAGATGCTCCAGCTGTTTGAGGGCTACCTGGAGGCCAAGAATGTTGCGGATGAGGAGAGCTATGACAGAGTGAGGGAGGGTGTTGTGGTGTTCCTGGGCACCTTGGCACAGCATCTGGACCCTGCCGAGAAGAAGGTGCTGCTCTTTCCTATTCTGCACCTGCATGTACAATCTTGCATACGTGCATGCTGGCCCATGCCTCACCTCGTAAAGTTGCAAGATCTGCTGGCACAAGGCAATGATGCCTTCAAATGAATGCTTCCTGTGTGAAGCACCAATGATTACGTCCTTTACAGGTCCGGAACATCCTCAACACGCTCATAGATGTGCTGAGGACGCCATCATCAGATGTGCAGCGTGCAGTCTCGGACTGCCTTGTGCCTCTCATGGCGGGTCTTGCCACCGACCAGGCATTCATCGAGGCTCTGATCCAGAAAGTTCTCAAACTTTTGACAAAGGGCGAAAGTTACGGTGACAGGTGCGCACTGCCTCAGTAAAAAGACATGCATGTGGTTGGCAAGCGTTGCTTTGGTAGATAGCAAAAGGGAAGCTGGACGCATCCCAACTTAAGTTGATACATAATGGGCTGCTGTGCCACCGCAGGCGAGGTGCTGCCTATGGACTGGCTGGCATTGTCAAGGGCTTGGGTGTATCAGCGATCAATGGCTTTGGCATCATGGATGCCTTGAAGGCGGCTCTGGATGATCAAAGCAGCGCGGATGCTAGAGAGGGTGCCCTGTTTGCTTTTGAGTCGCTGTGTGAGAAGCTTGGAAGGTACGCAAAGCACCACCTCGTGGCGGTTGGCTTGATTGCACCTGTGTTCATGTTTACTTTGTACTTCATGGAGCTCGTGCATTGGGCTTGCCCACAGATGCCAATTAGATCATCAATCTCCTGGGTGTCTCAGGCTGTTTGAGCCTTACATCGTCCAGCTGATGGGCAAATTGCTGGAGCGATTTGGCGATGTGTCAGCCTCTGTGCGGCATGCCACCAACAACGTAGCACGGGCCGTGATGAGTAACCTGTCCAGCCAGGGTAAATTTCTCACACATAGACGCTTCTGATAGTTCTTTGTTTGTGTTTTGCATGCAGAAGTCTTGCTGAGCATTGCTGACTGTCCTTGCCATCCATGCCTGCACAAGGATGTGACTAGTGTCATTCAATGACAGACGAATGGTGCTCCTGAGCAGGGGTGAAGCTGGTGTTGCCTTCGCTTGTGGCGGGCGTGGACAGCCGCACCTGGCGCAGCAAGCAGGGCAGCGTGCAGATGCTGGGCGCCATGGCTTATTGTGCCCCCAAGCAGCTCGGCACAGCGCTGCCCTCCATCGTGCCTAAGCTGTCCGAGATCCTGGCAGACCCCCACCCCAAGGTCCAAGCCGCCGCGCGCCACGCCCTCAAGGAGGTAAACATCCTCCTTTTGATTATTAAAAATAACCCCTGCCTTGGTTTGTATTTGGTCGGCGGAGCCCTATTGTCATGCTCAGAGCATTCTAGAGAGGAAGGCCATGGCGCATGTTTGCAATAAAATTTGCGCTGCAAATAGTTTTGGCCTCAGTATTGCCAGTGCGCCCTGTGCAGGTGGGTTCCGTCATCCGCAACGCAGAGGTGCAGGAGTTGGTGCCGGCACTGCTGGCGGCCATCGCCGACCCCAACACAAAGGCCAAGCCTGCACTGGACACGCTGCTGGTCACCAAGTTTGTGAACGCGGTGGACGCTCCCAGCCTGGCGCTGATAGTTCCGGTGGTGCACCGCGGGCTGAGGGACCGCTCGGGTGACATGAAGAAGAAGGCTGCGCGCATCGTGGGCAACATGTGCGGCCTCATCAACGAGCCCAAGGTGAGAAGTGTAGATGACTCTCTGCACTTGTGTACTGCCCTCACAATTCCCTTGATGAGGACTTCACGGTCACAGATTGCTTGGTGACTTGCAATGACGGCGAGTGGGCATGATCTATATGCATGGTGTGACACGACATGACGGCATGTGCGCGTGCAGGACATGGCGCCGTACGTGCCGCTGCTGATGCCGGAGCTGCAGAGCGCGCTGGTGGACCCTCTGCCGGAGGTGCGCGCGACGGCTGCCAAGGCGCTCGGCTCGCTGCTGAAGGGCATGGGCGAGCAGCACTTCCAGGGCCTCATGCCATGGCTCCTGGCCACCCTCAAATCAGAGGTGAGGCTCCTATACTGCTCTACTCCTTGTTCTGTAGCTTGTGAGTTTGCTGGCTTATGAAGTGCAGTACACAGGTACCTGGCTACATGCACCTTCTCCATCTGTGTCCCTAACTACCTTGCCGAGAGGCGAAAAGGATGCATATGGAGTCCATTGCTGTGACTAAATTCTGGATGTTTTGTCGCTGCAGAAAAGCAGTGTGGAGCGTTCCGGCGCAGCGCAGGGTATGGCGGAAGTGTTGGCGGTGCTGGGCAGGGACCATGTGGAGGCGCTGCTGCCGGATGTGCTGGCAGCGTGCACGGCGCCCTCACCCTTTGTGCGCGAGGGCAACCTCACCCTCTTCAGATTCCTGCCCCACGCCATCCCCGATCAGTTCCAGGTGCTGCACCATCTCTGCATGCTGTGACATACATTACATGATCGTACTTGAGCACATGCCTGGGAAAATGCACAATATGTCGCCTACCAAGTACAAGAGTGTGACGAATGTGAGCACCGTGCAGGAGCATCTCAACGAGGTCTTGCCTGCAATCCTGGACGGCCTGGCGGACGAGTCTGAAGGTGTCCGTGAGGCTGCCCTCTCAGCCGGCCGCACAGCAGTGGAGCTGTTTGCGCAGACATCGCTGCCGCTGCTGCTGCCGGCTGTGGAGGCTGGCATCATCAATGACAACTGGCGCATCCGCCAATCCTCTGTGGAGCTGCTGGGCGACCTGCTCTTCAAGGTGCTGGGTGCTGGTTATATTGCAGAGCCGCCCTTCACATCACTTGAAGACTGACAGCAAAAGGCATGAGCTGGAGATTTTTGCTGCGGCCCACATGGTGACAGAGGGGGACAAACAAACTGAATTACATGTTTGGTGTGTTGCAGGTGGCGGGTACGTCAGGCAAGGTTCACATCGATGGTGACAGTGATGATGAGGGTATCTCCAGTGAGGAGCATGGCAGCGCCATCATTGAAGCTCTGGGCTGGGATCGGCGAAATGAGGCAAGCATTTTCCTTCCCTTGCTGACAATGAATATCAGAGTCATCAGAGTTGCACCGTCCATTTGGGCGTACTGGTATTTCTGTTGCAAGGCAAGATATGCCAGGTCTTCGCCCAGGACAGTCCTGTCTCTCTGCAGGTTGTGGCGAGCCTCTACATGGCACGCAGCGATGTGGCCTACACTGTGCGCTCTGCAGCGCTGCACGTGTGGAAGACAGTCGTGTCAAACACGCCGCGGACCCTGGCCGAGATCTTGCCGGCTCTCATGAAGAGCATCATCGCGTCCCTTGCCTCCCCTGGTGAGCTGGCGCCACCGTGCACTGCTGGACCCAATATGACCACCGAAGTAGTCTCCCCTGGTGCACTATCCTCATTCATGGCCAGAGATCAAAGTCAAATTTGTGGACACCACTGAGGCATGTGCGGGTGGTGGAGCAGGCGAGGAGCAGCAGCAGATGGCGGGGCGGTGCCTGGGGGAGTTGGTGCGCAAGATGGGGGAGCGAGTGCTGGGCCACATCATCCCCATCCTGCAGCAGGGCATGGGCGCGGAGGAGGCGTCAACGCGGCAGGGTGTTTGCTACGGTATGAAAGAGCTGCTGGACAACATCACGCGCCAGCAGCTGGCCGAGCACCTGGGCGCCCTGCTACCCACCGTGCAGGCCGCCCTTGTCGACCCCGACCCAGGCGTCCGCCAGGCCAGCCCCCACGCACCTCCTGCTGCGCAATCTGCCTTTTAAGGAATTGTGTTGCTGATAAATTTCCAGCTGACAAGACAAGTGTAAAGTACTTTTCAATTAATAGAGGTGTCCACACAAAGCTGTGATGCAGTCACAGAAGCCGCCCCGTTCCATTCCTGTGTCACACCATCTGCTTCTCTAAGATGTGATGATGGTGGTAGTACGGAGACAAGGCCGCCCTGGCAGATTGCAAAAGACATGTGACAGAAACTGGGCAGCCAATCTCTGTGCCAAGCGCGGGAGGGCGACAGTTTGCCCTCGGTGCAAGGAAGTGAGTTGTGTCTGCTGCGGAACAGGCGGCCGGGTCCGCCTTCAACATCCTGTTCAAGGGGGGCGCGGGCAGCGCGGTGGATTCTGTCATCCCCGCCCTGCTGGCGGGACTGGAGGGCGAGTCACACCAGGCGTCACAAGCGCTGGAGGGCCTGCGAGTCATTCTGGGCGTGCGCCCTCAGACGCTCGGCAGCATGGTGCGCACCCACATTGGCGGCATTGGGTTCCATCTTTTGCCTTCTGTGCAAGATCAATCTGTGTAGACATGATCAGGTGTAACGTGGGTTTTACATGCTTTGCAGGTGCCCAAGCTGCTGAAGCCGCCTCTGCATGCCACTGCCTTGCGGGCCATTGGGTCTCTTTCAGACGTGGCAGGTGACACCCGCTTCATTTCTATATAATGCTGAGTGTAACTCTGTTACACGTTTTGGATTGCTTTGTTTTCACTTGACTGCGTCATTCTGAGCCTCTTTTGACTTGCCAGGCCCTTCCATTCATCCCCACCTTGGCACAATTCTGCCGCCCCTCCTGTCCTTGGCCAGTGAAGCAGGCAGCCACAGTGAGGAGGCAGAGGCTGCCAGGGAGGGAGTGCGGCAGGTGTCTGCAGCAGTGGCAGAGGACGGAGCCTACCTTCTGATTGCTCAGGTAATTTTTGCAGTGTGGAAATTTAATTCGCCCAAAAGCCCTCCTTTGAACATCTGGATTATGGGGACCAACTCACTCGTGGTTGTGCAGTTGGAGAAGGGATTGGAGGAGCCCACACGGAGGCGAGCAGCAGCGGATACCATTGCCCACTACTGCTCGGCCTCAAAGCATGACTTCCAGGAGCACGTGCCCAGCCTGCTGACGGTGAGCACTTGCATGCAATGACACACATTCTATGAGCTTGGCTTCGTCTCAAGCCAGCGCTTGCATGGATGTCTCCCTGCCATGATAGCAAAATCCCATACTTGTTGAGATGTGCATCGAGATGGCCAGCCAACAAGGACTCCTTGGCATGGTCAGGCACTGGTGGGGCTGATGATGGAGGAGGATCATGACACACTGGTGGCGTGCTGGACCGCGCTGGGAGCAGTCATCGCTAGCATCCCCAAGGAGCTGCAGCCGAGCTATGTGCGCTGCATGCGCGAGGCCGTGCAGACCGCGCGCGACAAGGAGCGCCGCAAGCGCCGGCCCGGGCCGCTGCTGCTGGCCGGCTTCTGCCTGCCCAAGGCTCTGCAGCCCGTGCTGCCCATCTACCTGCAGGGAGTGCTCCAGGTCAGCAGAACACCTTTTTTACTTCACACTTGAGTCCGGCTTTTACTGGACATGCGCGTCTTGCACTTGTGGTGGCAAGTGTTTCCCTTGATCTGACAGATCCTCCATTCCTCTCAAGTTGACTGTTGCTAGTCATTCAAGAATATACAGTAATGGCACGATGGGCCGCAGGGGTCTTCTGCTGAGCTGAGGGAGCTTGCTGCTGAGGCGCTTGGAGAGTTGGTAGATGTGACGAGCCAGGAGGCCCTGCGACCATTCACTGTGCAGATCACAGGTGCTGCAGCATTTCTCAAAATTTTATCAATCATCTGAAATTCATGCTGGATGCCACCTTGAATTCTTTGTGCTTCAGCACAAGTAGAAATGGACTTGGGACTGACTGCCATGGGTGTTGATGGCTAAGGTCCGCTGATCCGCATCATTGGGGACCGCTTCGCGTGGCAAGTCAAGGCCGCTATCTTGCACACCCTCGGGCTTCTCATTGCCAAGGCGGGGCCTGGCTTGAAGCCATTTGTGCCTCAGCTACAGACGACATTCCTGAAGTGCCTGGGGGATCAGGTAAGAGGGCCTGTTTGTTTTCAGCCATACGTTTCATTGTGCATTTGCAGAAGGATTCACAAAGGCATGGAATGCGGGGGGGAGGGGGTGTTCCAAGGTTGGTATGCTGTGACAGGCCCGCCAGGTGCGCCAGAGCGCTGCGGAGAATCTTGGGGAGCTCACAAAGATGAGCATGCGGGTGGATCAGCTTGCGACAGACCTCACAAACAACGCCAAGGTGGCCGAGCCGGCACTGGCCGAGGCGTACCTGACAGCGCTGCGGGGCATGCTCTCGTCCGTTGGCGAGCGCATCTCACCCGCTGTGCTGTCCAGCACCGGGGCTGCACTGCAGGAGCTCATGGCTGGTGCAGGTGGGCACAGCTCCTTTCCTCGATATTGGGTGTGCTCTCCACATAACATGAATATGAGGTCGTGAGGCTTAGAATTGAATCCGTGCCGCGAGCATGAAGGTGCAAGTCGCGATGATGGTACAGGTGACGATGAGGTGCTGCGTGGCGCTCTGGCATCATGTCTTGGAGTGTTCGTGAAGCACTCGTCAGCGGAGGAAGTGCGGCAGGTGCTGCTGAAGGGGCCGCTGGGGCCTCCCGCTCCCAACAAACGGGACCGCCTTGGCCACGCCCTCACGCTTGCAGCCGTCGCTTTGAGCGCCCCTGAGAGGTAGTTCGACCATGCTCCTTGCAGTTTTCATGCATGAGTGTGATTCTAAGTAGCGCCATATGATTGGCTTGATTCTCTGTTATAATAGCTAAGATGAATCATCGCACAAACATGTGCATGCATTATCGTGAGTGCTCATCAAGCGGTAAAGAACTAGTGTTCATGTACAGGTTGGAGCAGGTGGAGCTGACAGGGAAGGCAGTCGCGGCCGTGACCCGCTTCTCCCGCGACGAAGGTCACGCAGTGCGGCTGGCGTCTGCGCGCGCGACTGGTCACATGGCGCTTGCAGAGCTGCGCGGGCAGCTTCCTCAGGACGCTGCACTTTCGCCGCTGCTGCCAGTAATGGTGGCGCTCATCGGCACAGATCAGTCCTCTGAAGTGCAGCGGCAGATGCTGCTGGTGGGCGGCCTTTCTTTACAGTATCTGCCTATAAACGAGCATGTGTTTGCAGTCAGGTGGACTCACTGCTGCGCTAGCAAAAGCTGACTGTGCATTGGCTTGCGAAGGTGCTGCGCAAGGTGGCTGTGGAGAGAGCCGATGCGCTTGTGCCCCATTACACATCCCTCATACCCAGCATGGTCAGCCTGCTCCAGCAGACCCAAGGCCCGACAAAGCTGGCTGGCGATCGCACCCTGGGCCGCGTTCTGCAGGTGACTGCCCTTGCAACCGGTGTCCTTTGGCACCCCACGACATTTTCGTGTACTTGTGAAGGACACAGCAAGAAATCATGCGGTTGACGCTGTTCTGGTCTGCTCTCGCAGATTGACCAAGGGCTTGAAGCAGTCCATGCCTTCCTCAGCATGCCTGGAGCCGGGTCCACAGCCAAAGCATACTTGACCGAGGCCTGTCTAAGGCGCCTGAGCCGACTGCCCCTAGCCGATGACGACGATGATGAGGCTATGCTGTGATGCATATCGCCCAGGTCCCCAGGATGTGAGCGCATCAGATCTGAAGGTTGAAGTGAGCACATGTACGATATCCGTGTGTGCATTTTTTAGGACAACGATGTGACAGATGAGGCATATGCAAGTGGACTGTTTTTCCTCTTAAGGGTTCATTTAGTGCGATGATGGTGTCTGCTATGCTTTGCCATGCCATGCATTGCAAGCTCTCCAGACAGTCTGAAGAATGGAAGATCGAAATCTGATAAGTACGAAGAACCCTGTCACTGAAGCGATCCAATGGTCTGACATGTATGTAATACAGGGATTTTCCCTCAATGGTCAGTTGTCACCTTGTATGTTTCCCTTAGAGCCCTGGGGTCACAGATTGCCGCGACGGAGCTCCTTAAGGCCAAGCTTGCGCCTTCACCATTTGCCAGCGCGGAATGGAGCCTCAAGCACGCGGTACCACCGGTTGAGGGACCCGCCGAGCTCAGCTCTGCACGGTCCCCGGGGTGCACCCTCCACCCCCGGGACACTGGCCTCACCACCCAGTGTTGGTGGCCTCGCCCCCCACCAACCGTGCTCGGGCTGCTCACACCGTGGGTTTCCCTCGGCCGGGCGGCTCAGTCGTGGGCCCCGCTACCAGTGGAGATCAACACCGGAGCGCCGGAGCGCCGTTGCCCGCAGAAGCTCATATCACCATGCCCAGGGCTCTCGGAAGTCAGTTCTTGTGTTCCACCTTCGCATGCTTCACCTTGAGCCTCACCAGGCCTTTCTGATTGTTCCACCATAGTTTTCAGCCATTTTCTCGACCATGGCCATTGCATCATCGTCATTCGTGGCCCTTTGCCTTAGTAAAATTTGATTGCCTCCTCGGCATTTGTCTCATGTGCACCACCTTGAGCGGGTGTCTAGGATTTGAATATTCATGCCTCCTGCCTATCCCCACCTGTGCCGTCGGTGAGTGTGCTGCTCTCGAGTTCTTGTTGTTCCACCTTAGCATGCTTCAACCTGCCCAATGGCCAGCACGATCGGCCGATCGTTTCCCATCAAAGCGACCCCTGCATAGACCTACGCGGCCGATGCTTGTGCTGCCAGCACCTCTGGACATTATTGCCCATCGGCAGCAGCAGCTTAACTCTCGCGTGAAGGAGAATCGCACTCCCACCAGCCATCGCTCACGCCGGGACACCAATTGCAGCCAGCAACGCTGCAGGACGTCACGAAGCCAGAGGTTTGGCAGTCCCCATCAGCAACACCTTTGGAGTGGGAGGCTTTCAAGAGCTCAAGATCACGCAGAGACCCCTATATCCCTCACACATGCGACGCAGCTGTGTCGGCAGCCATATGCGATCTTCATCAGATGGACATGCCCTGCGAAGCGCCCCCTACACATACCCGCATTAAGCGCTCCGTCACTAGAATTTGCGACCTTCCTGGAAGGGATTTCGACATTGCAAGGAATGGCTCTAGGAAACTTCTTTCCACCAACAGCGCCGTCGCAGCAATTTGCGGGCTGGAGATTGTTGAGCCGCTGGTGCTGGGAGTTGGAATTTCTTCTTGCCTATCACTGACTGACCTCTTCGCTGCAACAAAACACTGTGTTTTTCTGATGAGCCTCTCCAGCAAATTTAGAGGCATTGGTATGCAGGTAGCATGGGGACCAGTGCAAGTTTGGCAGCGTCCTGCACAGCACGCTGAATCTGGAGCATGGCCCGCGTGAAGTGCAAGTCTCCGAATTCGCGCAAGCCTGGCCGCTGCGGACCGGGGCGCGTTTCCTGCCGGCTCGCGGCACTCAGATGCCGCTCCGAAGGACTGCAATCCTCCCGGAGGTGACCCAGCGTTGAGCCAGACACAGGCCGACATGTAAATGCCTGCACACACCGCGGCTCAGAGTTGCTCTCGTACGCCAGACAGCTGCAGCCAGCCCAATGGAGGGCGGTCGCCCACAGGAGGTGCTCCCAGCCAGGAGATTCCCTACACAGAAGACCACAGCAGCCGAGGTGCCCGCTTAGTCAGCTCCACCGCTGGAGCTCTCCGATATTCCGAGCATGCGCATCGAGAATTGCCTAGAAAGGCCCGGCAGGCGGAACCTGCCGGCTCGCGACACACAACCTCCAATGGGACTATCAATAGTTTTCCAGTGATCCTCCGATGTTTCTGTCTCACCAGCAGCCCCAACAATCCCCTTGGCCTGTCATCCGTGGCCTTCTGCCTTAGTGTCTGTCCTCCTCACCATTCACAGTAGTTCATTGAAGGCTATCTGAAGGGTTTAGGGTTTCCAACCCCAGTATCCACCCTTGAACCTGAGCGGGTGTCTAGGACCTTGGACATGATGCCTCCTGCCTATCCCCGCCTCCAATGTGGTGGGTGTGTGTATCTGGTCGAGTTCTCGCCAGCCTACCTGTTTTTCGCCTCATTTGCGGCTTCATATCTCCCATATGCCACCGTTTGCTTGTGCCCCACCTTGCTGGCAGATTGAGGCATAGTTTAGGGTCACATTGCCAGCCCCGAGCGGGTGCTCACTCAGATGCTCACAGACACTCAGATGCCGCTCCGAAGGACTGCAATCCTCCCGGAGGTGACCCAGCGTTGAGCCAGACACAGGCCGACATGTAAATGCCTGCACACACCGCGGCTCAGAGTTGCTCTCGTACGCCAGACAGCTGCAGCCAGCCCAATGGAGGGCGGTCGCCCACAGGAGGTGCTCCCAGCCAGGAGATTCCCTACACAGAAGACCACAGCAGCCGAGGTGCCCGCTTAGTCAGCTCCACCGCTGGAGCTCTCCGATATTCCGAGCATGCGCATCGAGAATTGCCTAGAAAGGCCCGGCAGGCGGAACCTGCCGGCTCGCGACACACAACCTCCAATGGGACTATCAATAGTTTTCCAGTGATCCTCCGATGTTTCTGTCTCACCAGCAGCCCCAACAATCCCCTTGGCCTGTCATCCGTGGCCTTCTGCCTTAGTGTCTGTCCTCCTCACCATTCACAGTAGTTCATTGAAGGCTATCTGAAGGGTTTAGGGTTTCCAACCCCAGTATCCACCCTTGAACCTGAGCGGGTGTTTAGGACCTTGGACATGATGCCTCCTGCCTATCCCCGCCTCCAATGTGGTGGGTGTGTGTATCTGGTCGAGTTCTCGCCAGCCTACCTGTTTTTCTTTTTTTTTTTTTTAAAAGGGGAAGCCCCCGCTATTACACAGGTGCCAGTCGCACGCTTCCCAGCACGCATGCAATAGGATATTTGGGGAAACCTGTCAGAGTTGGGGCACGCAGAGCACTCCCGCAGGAGGATAATGCGATACTTAAGAGAAGCGCAAGCATGAAGGCATACCACAGAAAGGCAACAGAAAGGCTCCTAGCGATGGACATGTCCCAAGCACCAGAGGGTTACCTCATCCCCAGAGGCGCACTCCAGCCCGCCGGCAACGCAACACCGCTGAGGTGACGTTGGAGGACCCACGGGGCAAGCCTAGGGCTTGCAGCTGGAGGCAGGGGTCACAGCAAAGCAGGCAATCATCAATCACTGGCAGGCAATTATGGATGTGCGGGCAACCAGTGGTGGAACAGACATGAAAGGCACGTTTATACGGTTGGCCGACAGGGATGGAACAGGATCGCGTTCGGACCCATTACCACTAGGTGCCGCTCGGGGCTGGCAATGTGACCCTAAACTATGCCTCAATCTGCCAGCAAGGTGGGGCACAAGCAAACGGTGGCATATGGGAGATATGAAGCCGCAAATGAGGCGAAAAACAGGTAGGCTGGTGAGAACTCGACCAGATACACACACCCACCACATTGGAGGCGGGGATAGGCAGGAGGCATCATGTCCAAGGTCCTAGACACCCGCTCAGGTTCAAGGGTGGATACTGGGGTTGGAAACCCTAAACCCTTCAGATAGCCTTCAATGAACTACTGTGAATGGTGAGGAGGACAGACACTAAGGCAGAAGGCCACGGATGACAGGCCAAGGGGATTGTTGGGGCTGCTGGTGAGACAGAAACATCGGAGGATCACTGGAAAACTATTGATAGCCTAAAGCCCTGGGCAGGGTGGTCTTCTGTAAGCTTGCGCCAACGCTCTGGCTCTCCGGCACGGTACTCCACAGGTAGCGGGGCGCACGATGGATCCGTCTGGCCGAGGGATACCCAAGGGGTGAGCCGCGCAAACACGTCCGGTGGTGGGCGAGGCCACCGGCACTGGGTGGCGAGGCCAGTGCCCCAGGGGTGAAGGAGGCACCCCCGGGGCCGTGTTGGGCCGAGCTCGACAGGTCCCTCGACCAGTGGAAGCACGTGACTCGGAGCCCCATTCCGCGCTGGCAAAGGTTAGAGGTAGGAGAGGCGCAAAGCTTCTGGTAGGCAATCTGTGGTCCCAGGGCTCTAAGGCAAAAGGGGTCTCAGACAAGGAACGACAGGCCGGGCTTTGCCGGGGTGGGATCGGGACTGGTGAAAGGTTAGTCATCCGTGCCTGACTATGGTATGACGAAGGCTCTTAGCGCCCATGTGCCCAGAGCACCTATCGCAAAGGCCCCCCTAAGAGAGGGTGTGAGTTCAACACAAGAATCGACACGAGCGGGTGTCATGGCAGAAGGCCAAATGAGAGCATGGTCATACAGATAGCCAAGTTAGAGCCGTGGCCGGCTGGGTACAGTGAATGGTGGATCGGAAGCGTCACGCTGGAAGCGGCACGGGATGCTGGGCACTCCAGTGGATGACTGGTTGCGCGCCCGGCAGCTCCTCCAGCGCGCAGAGGACCGCGCGGTGGCACCATCGCGCCGCAAACTGCTCCCTGGTGATCATCGGGTCGCGTCCGCGAAGCCAGTCGCTGAGCACACCTGCTGTCTGCCGGACGTTGACGGTCGCGAGCCGCCAATCGGCAAGCAGGGCCTTCTTGCAGGAAGACAGGATGCGAGCCGCAACCGCTCCGGGGGTGATCGCCGCCGCATCTGGCTGGTGGCGGCCGCGCTGATATGCTGCCCACAGCTGACAGATTGTAGCGAGCCGCAGGCGATCCCAGAGCTGCCTGAGCTGCCGCGGCGGTCCCCAGATCCTGGTGTCATCGGCGAGAAGAAGGTCGGCGCTGCGCGGTGGCGCGTCGTCTCCGGTCACCGCGGCCCATGTCGCTGCGAACCAGTCCCACACCCCGGCGGCGAGAGGGCAGATGATGAAGACATGGGTGAGTGTGGCCAGCTGACCTGCACAGCTCGGATGCGGGCAAACGTGACCGGCGGGATCGGCGCGGTGGACGTGACGCGCGAAGCCGCCGACGAAGAGCTGGCCATGCAGCAGCCTCCACGCTGTCACGCGCTGCCGCCGGTCCAGATGGGAAGCGTGCACCACTTGCCACACATGAGCCCAAGGTGCTGATGGGTCTGCTGTGACAGCAGCAGCAGGATCAACAGTGACATCTGCTCCCTGTGGCACTGGTGAAGGGCCCGCTGGCGCGCCCGCAGGCCCGCCGCGGTCCCGCAGCGGAACCGGACGGGGTTGCGGCGCAGCCATCCAGATCGCCCAGGAGGAGGGATCAGGCTGCCCTCGAGGCCTCTTGCCTAAGACCTGCGACGCGGTACCAGCAGCTGCAGCCCTGGCCTCCCATCGCGCCTCGAGCGCCCGAAGGCCGCTGCGCTGGTCATCTGTGGTATCAGCCCAGATGGCTGGTCGCAGCGGGCCCGCCGGGCTGGCCTCCCCCTTGCTGATCCTGTGAAGCACCTGTCGCCGCGCGGTGGCCTCCCTCACCACAAACTCATGTGCCGGCCGCGTGCCGAGCCCCCAAGCCTGAGGGTCCTGTACCTGGGATCCCCAGAGGCCAAAGAAGTATAGTGTGGGCGGCGGTGGTGGCAGTGGCTCCGGCAGCTGCTGCTCCCACTCCAACTGCTCCCCTGGCTGCTGCTCCACCTGCAGGTGCTGCTCTGGGTGCAGCTGCTCCGCGTGCTGGCGCTGCTGACGTGTGCCGCTGCGTGGATGCCAGGGCCTGGTGATGTCCCAGTGCTGAACCAATGCAGGCTGCGCGGCCGGAGGAAGGAAGGCGTGCATGGCTGCAACGCCTCCGTCCACTGGCACAAGGGCTCCTGTGCTGCTTACTGTGTGGCTGAGAAGGTAGGTGCTACCTTCGGCTGTGCGAGACCAGACGCGGCGATCCGACGGGTCCGGAGATGCGCACCACATAGCGGCCGGTGGCTGCACCTGGATTAGCGCTCTCCAGGCTGCTGGCAAGGCAGCCAGAAGGATGGGCACGCGCTCTCGCACCATCCGAACCGGATGCTCCGGGCCGCGCACGACATCGCGCAGGTGGCTGATCCTGACCAGGCCAAGCCTGGCCCAGTCCTCCCAGGCAAAGGGCTGCCTGACTGCATCCGTGAGCTGCCTGTTGAAGAACAGTGGCTCACCCATGACTGCGTCGTAGCCGATCGCTTCCGGCTTCCGCAGGTGATGGGGCCGCAGCTGCTGGTAGGCATGCAGGTACTGCCGTACGCGCTGCGGGGCCTCCACATGCTTCGCTGCAAAGGTGGAGAAGAGCAGGAATCTTCCCAGCTGCCAGATGTGCTGCCGCCGCGCTGACACCGTGCCGGGTTCCTGCGCTGCCAGCCAGGCTGTGCTCCTGTACAGCCAGTGGTCGAAGTAGGCCTTCCAGGCCAGCTGTTCCGGCTCCAACAGCCTGCCCACCACCTTGGCCTGGAGAGCCAGGATCTGGGCCTTGATGTCCACCAGCGCGATGCCGCCGTGTGCGGCCGCGCGGAAGCAGACGTCCTTGCTTGGGAACAGCGCCGCCGCTGCGCCAGGGGTCACCGGCCGGTTCGCCGCAACGAAAGTGTGGATGGCTCTGCAGAGCCTCTGTAGCAAGTCTTGTGGCACCGGTATGAAGGTGGCATGGTAGGTGACCATGGAGGCCAGCACCTGTTTTGCGACGTACGCTCGGCCCAGCAGGCTGAGTCTGAAGCCGGACCAGCGGGCGATGCGGGCCTCCACCTTCTCAATGATGGCTGTGTATAGGGCTGTGGCAGCTGCAGCTGGCTGGGTGGACAAGGGAATGCCCAGGTGCTTGACGCCGTCGCTCGAAGCCGCGAAGGTGACCCCCGTGACTGGATCGGGCCCGGCGAGATGGCTGAGGCTGCCAAGCCCTAGGGCCTGGCTCTTGCTGCGCTGCAGCCTGGCTCCTGTGGCTGCGCAGTGGAGGCCCACGCTGGCCCCCAGCACGATCTGAGCATCCCGGGGAGTCCGCGCGTGCACGCTGGTGTCGTCCGCATGCTGGTGCATGACTGGTGCTGGCTCCCCTGAAGGCAGTCTGATGGGCTGGAAAGCTAGCTGGCCTGCAAGCATCCTGGCATGCGCGGCCATCGGCTGCGCGGCAAGCACAAACAGCAGCGGCGAGAGGGGGCTTCCCTGGAAGACGCCGGCGGCCACCGGGAAGGCATCGGTGTGCCAGCCGTTGAAGGCCACTCGCGCGGTCGTGCCGGAGTGCAGAATGTGCACCCACCGCTGCACACCGGGCCCGAAGCCCACCGCAGCCATGCACCGCTCAATCCAGGCCCTGTCAAGGCGATCGAAGGCCTTCTCGAAGTCCAGGAAGACCTGCACGCCTGGCTGGTGTGTGGC